TCGGCCAGCGGCGGCGTCGTTGAACACGCCGCTGTTGTGTTGTGATGGATGGCGAAATGGAAAGAACAACGAAAAAAACGAAGAGAGAAGGAGAATAGAAAGAAGAAAAAGACGAAAAAGAAGAAGAAGAAGAGCGGTCGGATGGGAACCGAATGGAACACCAATCGGGGTGGGAGAGCGGGCGCGAGAACAGGGACGAGAACGAGCAGGGGGAGGAGGAGGAGCCATGATGATGCGCCGAAAACATCAACAACATCAAGAAAGCAGCACAAAAAGGTCCTCCGGTTTTTTTTCTGTTGGTTTCTCTGGTTCCGACCCTCATTCCTGAGCTGATCGCTCAAAAAAGTGCATTGAAATTGAAGCCTTTGTGTGTGCGGAGTGTGGAGCGCCAGGAGGTCACCTCATGAAAGTCCTTTCATATTTTATTTTGAATGCAACCGCACAACTGCCGGTCCCTCTGACTAGTGAATTCCTACAGTATCCACTAGTTTTCATGTCTACAGACTATGGGCCACCTGTCTCCCCTCCCCTCACTTTTTTGCCCATTATCCCGTTCCGGTCCTCCCTTCCTCATTCGGACTTTCGCCTATTGCGTGCACTTTCGTCCACTCTCACTGCCATTCACTTTCTCTTGTACAAGCTGTCCCTGCCCATCGCCTCACTTTCCCCTTCCTGATCCTCACTTTCGCTGCTTTCGTCCGTCCGCTTGCAAAAAAAAGTCGCAACACAGCCGGCGGAGCGCGCCAAATTCGAAATGGCCACCGTCGTCGGCGGCGGCGACGTCGGAAGAACCAGTTGTTGCGCAAGCAGCAGACAGTACGCAATGGAGAAAACTGAAAGTGCAAGTGGACACCGACAGAAAGGGAGAGCGGGGGATTTGTAATAGCCGGCCATCAGATGAAAGCGACGGTCGAAACTTAGTGAAAGCTGCAGCGTCCCTGGAACCAGTCCGCGGGACTCGCGGCTCCCGATCCTCTGGCCAGCTCGCTCCTCACACGTCCTTCTTTTTGTGACGTTTTTCCTGTGGCTCGCCGCTTTCCCTTTTCCCGATTTTTTTCGCATTTGCAAACACAAAAAGTGAGAGCAATGCACAGTGTTGCGGGAAGGCTCACAAAAGGACATTGGTGTGCAGTGTTTGCCAGGTGCACACGGAGGTCTGAAATGTTGTAGTCACGGGAACGGCGACCTCTTCTTCTTCTTTTTCTGTTTCTGTGCATTGAAGGGTAGTGAGAGAGGGAAGGAGTGGGGGACTAACCGGTTGACTGGATTGATGTGATGGCCGGCAGGCAATTCGGACTGATTTTGAGACTGCCACCCAACCGGCCGATTCCCCGAGTTTCCCCACAAAAAAAAAACATTTCCCTCGCCACTTTCACTTGGCAATCATTTGTTATTGTTGTTTTTTGGGAATACAATCCGATTTCTGTTCGGTTTGGTTTCTATGAGTATCAGGGAAATCTGAACCGACTGTCCACAATCTCATAGATAAAATGTTACAAGCTCTCCACACTCCTTATCACGACCACGGAAAAACGGAGGAAAACAAACATGAACGTGTCCGACGCAGTTCCAGCACAAACTTTTTCCCCTGATGAGCGTACCAATACACCTGAAACTGGCCATTTCTGCTGCCAACAACCCAGCGACGCGTCATAATTCTTGATGGCATCCAGTCATCCAATTTAGAATCCACCGCCGCCGCCGTTCACTTTTTGCCGCCGACCATTCTCTCCAATCACGTAGACTTTCACTTTGATATCCATCCGCACAGCGACTTTCACTGCCGCTTTTGCTTGCGTAATCGTAGTGGCCGGTGGGAGAGTGGGAGAGGGGCGAAAGGCCGTCCGACTCAAGGCTGCAGGACCATCGGTTACGTTTCGTTGGTGAAGGTTGTTCTCAAGCTTTTCGAGGACAACAATTGATAGCGTCAAATTAAAGTTTAGAGATAATTTGATTTATCAGATAATTCGACTTCATCGGAACCTACAGTGATCCAAGAAGAAGACCAAACTCACCTGGAGTTTTCTCTTACTAGCTGACAGTGAGATCTAGACCATCTAGACCAAGAGAACTTTGTATGTCTTTAAGAATTCATACCTTCCCTATCCGTTGCTCATTACTCTCCGTTTTTGCGAATTCTTCTTCATCTCTTTCATCTTCATCTAGACCCCTCCCAAATACCATACTTTCTTTCAGATTTCTATTCGAAAACAGTCAGCTTTTACTCTTCACTCTCACTGCTGAATTCGAAAGGCAGCCGCAGCTTTCACCCTCATCCTGCCGGCCACACACCTCTTCTTCCTCTTCCTCTCCGATCGCGTAATGCGAATGCGCGACCAGTCCGTCTCCTGCTGCTGCTGCTGCTGCTGCCTCATCATCTAGTTCTAGATTTCGCCTCCTGTGGCCAGCCACTTTCGCCTCACCACCGACGTCGTCGTCGCTTGCGTAATCCTTCGTTTGTTACTGTCGCGATATGTATCGTCGTCCCACCCATCATCCTTTCGCTTTTTTCGTCCCATTCACTTTCCGCCAATCCTCACTTCACTTTCTCTGCCCATCGGATGAGATGCCGAGGCTTTCCTGGTGACGTGACGCCTTCCTGATCGGCAGTCGCGTCCTCCTCCGTCCGTGCGTTCGGTGAGCCTTTTCATTTCGGATCTCCCATTGATTCACCCAGTGCTCAGTAGGACACTAGCACACTTTTTCAATTCTGGTTATTTCTTTTCTTGTCATACTGTACATATCTCTAACTCTCTTACTGTAGCTCTGGCGCTCCTCCAGTCCTCCAGCTACAGTACCACGTGTTACCTTTTCCTAGATGTTCCTAGACGTGTCCTTCCAATATTACATTTCTAGAATGTTCAGTTCATTCTGGCGTCACCTCTTCACCCATTATTTTACAACTGTTTTTCGATGACACAGCAGCAGCCCACCACCACAAAACATCTCTCTTTCTCTCTTTTCCCTTGATGGAGGTATACTGTAATCCGCCGGTTCGTCGATAGTACATGGCTGACAGAGACCGCCCGCCACTTCTGGCAGCCGCCGGACCTGATCTGGGCAGGCGTGGAGAGAGCGCGCGGATCAGCGAGACGCGCGACCACTCCGATATCTAGAAGCTTTCGCTAGGCATTGCGCAAGACGCTTTCACTGCTTTCGTTTACGTCGTCGTTGCCTTATCCCGCCCTCGCTTTCGTTGGTTGCTTCACGATCTCTTAACCCGCCAAAAGCCAATGACCAGTCGGCGCCAGCAACGTGAGGCTCTGCGGCGTCGCGATTGCGCAACTTGTGCACACAAACAGTGCGCGGCCTTCCGCGCGGAAGAGTGGGGGGCGAGATCAGTGGCTGCCGTCCGTCCGTCCGTCCGTGCGGCTCACGGCTGTCAGCCCATTTTCTGGTTTTTTGATTCCTATGCTTTGGTGAACTCGGGCGCCCCCCTCCCTGGTCGACGAACGCATTCATTCCGTTCCCGTTCCGTGACCACCGAGAAAGAATAACATGGACTGTAAAATACCAGTTTGAGAGAGTGGATCGAGTACGGTCAAGATGACCAAAAATGACCGTATTGTGTGGAAGACTGCGTCTCGACGGCCCGGGGCGCTCTCTCGAGACGACCTGAATTTCGATTCTCAGGTGTGTGCGTCCGCCAAAAACTTTGACAGAATCTCTTCGCCTCCTCTGCCTCCTGTCTATCAACTTGTTTTCCGCCGGACCGCGCCGGCTGTTCCCAATTTGCGAGGACGTCGTCGTTGTCCCCATGTGACGTGGCAGTACCACCACTTCTAATATGTATGTACATGTATACATTGTGCTTTTCAGTCTGCCATGTACACATATTGCGTGCGTTTTTCCCGACACTTTCCATCTTCTTCTTCTTCTTCTTCTTCTCCCCGGGTTCTCTGCATTTTCTTCCAGTCGTGCGGCGTCCGATCACACGCGGCGACGCTACAATGTCTCTGTGTTTCTGTACATTTCGAAATCTCTGCTCCGTGCCTTTTTCTGAATATAAAAGCGAAATAATAAAAAAAGTGACGGGGCGGCCACCCCTCTCGCTTTCGCCCCGCGTCTTCTGGAAGCGCAGACGTTTCCAGCGGGCGCGGAAAGAACTGTTTGCGCAGCTTTTCGCGTCGTCACTTTCTGTGTGTATGTGAGTGTGTGCCCGCGGGGACAGAATGAAACCCCCGACGACGGCATCACGCATTTTTTGCAATGTATGCTCTAGGCTCGACGTCACACGGAAATGGGCGGCGCGTCCTCCCGCGCGGATCGTCTGCCGCGCGGCGCCAGCATGTTTCAACGAGAAATGAGTACTTGCACTTTTTGCAGGACACCACGGCTTACGCGCCCGCCTCACACAGACCGTCCGTCCGTCCGGCAAAAAAGGACGCGGTGGGTGGCCGGCAGCTTCTTTTCCGTCCGCCTCCGCTCCCCCCTTCCGCTCTCATTTTCAGCTCCTTCTCCCGCAATCGCAATCGCTGTCTGTCTTTCTCTTTCTCTTTCTTGCCATTTCCGACTTACAAACTATTCGTTTTTTTCTCGCTTCTTATCACCTTTCATTGTCTTGCTAGCGTCCATCAACACCCAAAAAAAGCAACATCTGATACCGCTTTTAGCATCGCCGTTTCTATTTTTAGCTCCACGCTCCAAAAATTCGAAACGTTTCCATTGTCTCCGCCGGACGAGCCGTTATCAGCACACGTCCCCCCGCGGTGACCATTTTTTACTACTCTCTGTTTCTTTCTGATTTTCTGATGCCTGGAGCTCGATCGATTCTCGTGTGATAACGTCGTTCGTTCTTTTTTGTGTTGCGTAATGTTTCTTTCGTTCCGCCGTTCCCCCTCTCTCTCTCTCTCTCTCTTCCGTAACTTCTTATTCTTCTTCTTCTTCCGTTAATAGCCGCACTTACTCTTCTTACAGTACCCCCAGCACCATCTACGTCACGCGGCAGCACATTTCCGGCGTGCAGAATCTTTTCCACTCTGATCACAAATTGATGTTTTATGTGTCTTGACAATACAGTAAGTGTTCCTTCCATTCGGAACGTTTTGTATGTCTTCTTTCTTTCAGGATCATAATACCTCAGTTATTGGATACCACTACATATTTAGAGGGCCGCGCTTCTATTCCAGATCTCCCGGTTGACAGAAGAACGACTTCACATGAGCAGTGGACGTTCCAAATCTCAGGTGAGTTTGAGTGAGCTACCAGGTCCGGGCCCCTTTCGTAGGATCTCTTAGCGCTTTTATCAGTCTGTATCATGCGTGACCAACTCCAGCCATATCATCCTGCAACTTTCCTTTGTTCTCAGCAGGACAGGGGCGGAGTCTTGGCCGGCGGTGCCTGTTATCAGCGTGACGGTCTAGAAGGACAATGAGAAAAGAAAGGGCGTCCGTCGTCCGGTTCTTTCGAAACTTTCCACAGTTTGTGGACCTTCTGACCAGAAGACGAGAACACATCCTTGCCCTTCTTCTTCTTCTTCTTTTCTTTCTTCTTCTCGTTTTCCGCTTCCGCTTCGGACCTTTCCTGAACTGGCTCTGACTCATTCTTTTCGTTCACTTTCGGACCGCCGCTCCCTCGTGTATTGTAGAGTGAATGGGCGAATGGCAAGTTTCAAAATGCCGCCCGAACAAAAAAAGCGTGTCTCACTGGGTCGGACTGCGAGAGAGTATTTGCTCTAGTTATATTGTGCCTCTGCTGATGCCCCGAGTACTGTACACATACACAGTAACCTCACCTCGCGACGCTACGCCCCTCTGGCAAGTCATATGCTGGCGCCGGTCGTCGAGCTCATTTTCCACACAAACTCTATTGCTTTGCGACTCTCTCTCTCTCCCCCCAGAGATCCCCCAAACAAGTGACCCCTATCTGGTATTCCTCTCCGATTCTAGATGATTCCCCTGACGGTGCCTATCTGAAACTCTTACACTTTTGCTCAATTCAATGCTTTCAGACAATAGAAACGTCTTCGTCGGGGCGTCGGCGGAAGAAGGCGAATAGCGAAGTGGACAGCGGAGCAGAAGAGCCGACCGCCACGAGCAGCAACGACGACAAAAGTGGTAGGTCCCCTCGGTTGAGCTACAGTAATCCCTCGCTTCCTTCCAGATTATCGCCTTGAATTGAAGAAGCGTCTCACCACATTCCTGACAAGTGAGTTCCCGTTCCTTTCCTCGCGGGCGCACCCAGTCCGTCCGCATCATATCAGTGACTGGCCGTGTGTGTCCGTCAAGATCACACGTGTGACGTCACACGCGGCGCCGAGTCGAAATGTGTCTTCCGCGCGGAAATCGACCGCAAACATTTGATCAGATCGACGACAAAGCAAACAGCCGCACAAAAAAACGAAGTGTGCCACGGGCAACAGTGAACATTTACACACAAAAAAACACATATTATAACAGCGTTGCCCAAGAAGGCATCAAAGGAATATTGTAGAACTGGGAGCTCCTCCCGGGAGTAAAGGGGAGCGTTTGGCGGGAACCGAAAACTTGATTACTTTTCGGTTTCCCGAAAGTTTGAGGAAGAATCTAGTTTTGAGGCTCATGGCGGATGCAATGTTTGACGTTTCAGGCACCTGTGTGAATCCTCGTTTTTTCAGGTGGCACTCCGATGGCGTCCTCAGATTCTGGAGTGGAGTCGACCGCTGAGGCCGACTTGAGCGAGCTGAAGGCTTCCGATTCGCCGATGTCCCACGATGGAGCAGACTCGCCGCGGAGGGACCTCGACAGGACGGACATTGTTGTCTGCGGTGAATGCCACACAAGCTTCTCGCTGAGCTGCTTTTCGACGTTCATCGAGCACAAAGTGAGTCATCTGATGTTCAGCTCTGTTCCCAATTGTTTCTTTTTGTCAGGTTTCGAACTGCGGAGGCAAACTGACCCCATCGGATGACTGCGAAGTGACACCGCGCAGCTTCGACCGATCGAGACGACGAACCTTCAATCCGGCGGCGCTGGTAGGTTGATGATTTGACCAATATTTGTCGAGAGAGCCCTATGGCGCCCCCGTGACCAACCAAAACGAAAGGGTTAGTCCCTTTTCTCGTCGCCCCCTCCACGTCGTTTCCTATTTGTTCTGGACATTGAAAAACTGTCGGACGGCGGGGCGAAAGAGAGCTCTGAAATTCCCCCGGGGAGATAGTACCTGTGCAAACAGAGCGACCCATAGACTGCAGAAGAGCCATCACCACCACCATAACCATCAACAATCTCGACCAGCCAGGGAACTTTGACTTTCAGAATCGATGCGGTCGTTCCACTTCTGCCAATCCACTCCTTCTCAACTACAACATGGACGTGACCACCGACACCAACGACTTAGGTAGGTCGTGATGATCTCTTGGCCCCCGACTTCTAGTTCAAACTCTGTGTTTGATCGTCCTCCAAGTACATGCACTTTCAGAGCTCGGACGGTTCAGAGTCTCTCACTGACATTTCGAAATGTATGTGTGTGTGTATGTAGATGTATGCGCATTTTTTGTTTGTCCAGCGGGTTACGGTACTTGAAATTTTTCCACTTTCTGCCATCCATCTCGTTGTTTACCGCAGGGCGACTTCTTTCGGCGAGTTGTTGTAGACGGCAGAGTTTGTGTGGCGTGAAGATGCGCAGAGTTACCACGTGGCAAGTGATCATTCGGATCAGAGAGACGCAGTCGGCCTATGTACTGACGAGTGGACCAGTTTTGACCGGCAATTTGAGGAGCGGAGGTTGAGACGCGCCCGCGCGCTCACATTCTGCGACAGACTCTTGAAACTCGGCGCCTTACTCTGCTGTGACTCGTCAAACGTGGGGGGGGGGACGTGAAGGGATCCACCGAGTCGACGGAGCTCCTCCGAAGACCGGTCGTCGGGGCTCCGCGGGGTCAGGTTACTCGGGGCTGTTGATTCATTCACCGAAATTCACGCACGTCATTTGTGGACCGGCGGGGGGTCGTGTGACCGAAAAAGAATCGGAGGCACAGTACCATCTGGTGAGGAAATAAAGTTCTTGTGTACATACATACGGCAGCGCACAAAACTCGGGCATCCTGAGATGGCAGAACATCGGAAATGAGAGCCAGAGAGGCAGAGAAAGAGACCACGGACTGACCGAAGTCCGAAAATAGCCGTCCGAGAAAGAGAGAGTAACCGATAATGGCTGAACAAACTTTTACAGGCAACTCGACAAAATCGCTGACGTGTTGTGCGTGCAAAGAGCGATTCGCCGACGTGTGGACGCTTCTCAAGCACAGTTACAATGTGCACGGACTGCGCGTTTGTCAGGAGACGATTCCGGAATCCGATGTCTCGGTCACGTCCACGTCATCGCCCACATCTAACGACTCGATGCTGATGCCCTCCAGTTATAGACACAATGACAGCGCCCGTAATAAATGCAGTGGAACGAAGGGAATCATGAAGTTGCACGTTTCAGCCAAAGTACTACATCCAACATCGATAAAGTCCGACTCGACAATGATGAATAGCTATTGTTCGGAGAGGCTGAAGGAGTTGGCCAGTCGTGCCGGAGAACAGGATCAGAAGCCACTGATGGCGCTCCGAAGGCTGATGCCGAGTGACGAGACGGAAGAAGAGCAAGTCTCCGCGTTCACCTCAACCTCCCTCCTCAACTCGCGGGCTTCTCAGCCACAGCTTCCATCAGCTCCGAATCAACCAGGATTCCAGTCGAGTTCCGTGCCGAATGTCTGGATGCAACCGTCGATGCTGGCCGCCATGCAGGACTATTACGCCTCGATTCAGCAAATGCCGTATCCGATGACTAACAGCACTGCAGTCGCCCTGCTCAACCTTTCCAACAACCTCCAGCAGCAGCAACAGCAGCAGTCCCAGCAGTTGAATGCAGGACAGCCGATCGCGACGCCTCAGCCGCAAGTGCCTACGCCTCTTTTCAAAGTCTCAACAGACTGTTAGTAGTTCTCAGTGAGCAGACTCTTTTGATGAATTCAATTTCAGAAGCACTTCTGATGAGCCCTCAGCCTTCACTCCTCGCCCGGCTTCCGCCGCAATCAGACGTCGTGCCTCTCCCGAAGAAGAAATGACTCCGCCGCGGAAGAGCATGAAGATTGAAGAGGAAGACGCGCTGATCGTCGTGGACGACGGAGAGCTCGCCGAGCCGGCAGCCAGAAGACAGAACAATATCAAGAAGGAAAGGTGCAACTTCTGTAACAAGGTACCACCGCATCCACTTGCTCTTCTCAAATCAATGTGTTCAGGTGTTCACGAACCGCTCAAATCTCATCGTTCATCTTCGTTCGCACACCGGCGAGAAACCGTACAAGTGTCAGTTGTGCCCGTACGCGTGTGCGCAGAGCAGCAAACTGACCCGTCACATGCGGACTCACGGTCAGCAAGGCAAGGAGACCTACCACTGCTACATCTGCCACATGCCGTTCTCCGTGCATTCCACACTCGAGAAGCACATGCGCAAATGTGTTGTCAGCAATTCGCAAGGTCGTCGGGAAGGAGGCGGATCCCCTCCAGGTGACACCGTTTTCCCCTCCTTCTCCTTCCAAGTTTTTCTTTCAGAACGCATCCGTCCGACTCCATCCGCGCTCGCAGAAGCCACGTCGCTCCTGGCGCTCTCCGCTCAACCCACTCTTCCGACTCCGCAGCCACCGACCAGCGCGGTCTCGCAGAGCAATCAGATAGTGCTCAACTGGCTTCAAGCGCTGAACGCCAGCAACAGCACACCGGCGGCTCCGTCGAAAGAAGACATGACCGATCCGGATGAGGAGATGGAGGAGACGGAAGCGAGCGAGTTGCACGAGAAGCAAATCCAGCACATCAAAGTGAGTTCCGAGCTCTGAATTATTCTATACTTCTTCCGTTTCAGAATGATCAAGCACAACCGAGCCAAGTAGCGGCCGCCAACTAATCGTCCCGCCCGAGTGTCATCCGTCCATTCATCGCCAGTCAACTACCTTCAACTCTTTCAACTTCTTTCCATCATTCTAGTCACTCGCCCCTCCCGTTAGCATTTCGTTCTCCAGTGTCAGTGTTGTGCTCGTGTTCGTGCCCGTGTTTGTGTATGTTTGTTTCTCTTCCTCTCCCGTGAACTTGCGCCAATTTCACCCAGTGACCGTCGTCTAGCTGTCTTCTCTTCCCGCCTCCCGCCCGGTGCCAAACCGATCCCGCCGCGCATTATCCCTCGTTGATTTAATCGTCTCCAAGTCGCCTCTAGAAGTTTTATCATTGGTTTCCAAAGCCCCCAGTCTAACCCATAGGACTTTCACATACAAATGCAAAATAGCCTTTATAAACACACAAAGCCTTCCTCGGTAGTCGTCCCCCGTCTCTAGTTGTTCTAAGACCTACATCCACTTTCAGCGTCCCGAATAGATTGTGATTCCCCGTCCCCTTCGCCCCGCCCCGTTCGTTTTACAGGCAGCTTTAATCTCTCGCAGTCTCCGTTTAATAATCCATCGGCATCTCCCTCCAACTGACCGTCTTTCCGTGCTCTTCGCGAGAGTTCTCCCCCCGTCCCCGCCCGTGTTATTTTTATTTTCCGTCCCAGTTTTCTGGCGTCGTCCAGTTTTCCCGCAGATACCCCCGGTGATCCGTTGTACAGACCCTGTTCCCCTGGCCTTTTTCCCCCAGTCCCCGAGTTAGTTTACCACCCCCGAGTAGTGGTTTTAGTCTCCAGATAGTCTCTTGTACCTTTTATACATACTGACCCACCCCCAACAACAACATACTCTTTATTTTATTCACCTAAAATATTCTAGTTGCTGCCCCGCTTTCGTATTCCGATTAGAGCGGACTCTTGCGATTCGCTCCCTTTTGACCGTTTCGGGATCGAATCGGAAGAGTCTCAAACACACAATTCTTTCTGGTTAGCTGGTGTACTTTAAAACTTGTGAAGCTATTTCCCTTCTGCCCATTTACTCTTTCCACAATAAATGCCTACAATACCAAAAAAGTACACACATGTTACAAATTGTTTATCATATATCGTATATGTTCGGAAAGAGAACGATTGTGTTTATCGTATATGTTCGGAAAGAGAACGATTGTATCGAAAAACAATTGCAAGGTCCGAGTGATGATGAGAAACCGTATCGGATGAGCGAGTTCGATACAGTTGCCACTTTCATCAAACCGAGTTACTATTCGGTCAAAAGTCGGCGGTGGACGGCCAACAGCTTCTATCAAAACAATAAAAAACAAAAATAGAGACACATCGGAAAAGGGGAGATTGCAACAAATTGGGAAATCCCGAAATAAAACCTGGGTGACTGTAGAAAAACTGGTTAGGCATGACGGGGATGAACGTGTGATTATGGGGTGGACGAGATTAGACGAATCCAAAGTTTTTCGCTTTGATTGCCATCAGCAACTTGGATTTGAGAATGCGCTTCGAAGAGTAAACCGGTACGTAGATGCGAGAAATGCACGTGTTGGCTGTGGGGAGGAAGACGTCTTCTGGCGGTCGGAGCATCACACTCGCGGCACTCTGCCACTTTCCAGCTGCTGGAAGCGATGGGGATCCGGTCCAAAAGAATACGAGATCCTGGAAATGTACAGTTAACGGCGTAGGTGGCTTCTCTAGGTTTACCATTTTCTCTTGTGGAGTGAACGATTCAATGACCTGCCAGAACCATTGCTTGAAACGACTCAGAATCTCCTGGGATGCTCTGCTCTCGTCCAAAAATGTGGTGTTCTCCTGCAGAACGCTTATCGAAACCGATTCGATTCCACAGATGAGCAACCGCAGGTCCTCTGGAGTTAATCCGAAGAGCATCGACTCGGGAATCACATCGAGAATTCCCTCGCGGATGGCTTCGAATGCAGGGGCTCGTTTTCCGAGAAGTGTGTGCTCAGTGTACTTGTAAACGTATTCGAGCACATTTTCACTCGATACGATTGTTTCGTCTCCATTTGGTCTCAGAGTAGTATCGAATGGCTTCTAAAAAAGAGAAAGTTAAGAATACAGGGAAAAGAGCTCACTCCATCAAGGCCGAACTGCGTCACTGCGAAGGCGTATTCATTCGGTGATCCTTTGAGGTCCGACGAAAACATTTTACGGAGACTGTTGAACATCTCTATATCGTGGAAAGCAAGATCGAGGAAGCAAATAGGTTCTTTGAGAATGTAGGCGAAGACGTGTCGACCAAAACGCATTGGGAAAATATCTCCTTGTGAAAGGCAAATTCCCATTATTCTAAAAATTATTAAACGATTGAATAAGAAGAAAGCCGACGGGCGTACCTTCCGACAGTTCTGAAAGCTGCAAAACGAACCGGCGCCTCATTGCCCAGTTTCGGCACGTAGCATTCTGCTCGATTCTTCTCGAACAATGCGGTGAGGGGATACTCGGTTCCGACGACGACGTTCCACTGCTCTTCGTCCGAACGTGATCCTTGCTGCAACACTCGAGAGAAACAAAAGCCGTTAAATGGTCCGTCGTCGAATTCTCCCTCCGCTCGAAGTTCCGAAAGGATCTGCTGAATGTGCAGACGCATCGTATCATCGTTGTTGACTGCGTTAACGAAGAATTCAGTTGGCAGCTGGCACATAATTCCCATCACTCGGCCGATGATTTTGTCGTCGTTGACGAACTCAAAAGTCCTGAAACTAATTTTGGGGATCAAATTCAGCGCGTGGAAGCTCGTACATGTCATGGATCTTGCGGAGAGTCTCTTCGTGTTGTCCCCAGTTGAGCGGTGCCACCGGTTGCGATTCGGCTGAACTGTCGACCAGAACCTTTTTCGTCCAGTTACCTTCTCCAGTAAAGTTTTTGATGTCAAAACGAGGAGCGGCGAGATTCAACGGGAACGTTTTCAGGCGATGGAGATGTGTACGAAGACGGATCGCCTGCTCACGACGGGCTTTTCTCACAGTTTTGCTGACTTCTGAATCTGAAAAATGTCCGTCAGCAACTAATTCTAGCTAAAACATGTTCAAACCGTGGTCGTAGTCGCATCTTGGGTAAAGCACTTGCATGATCAGAGAACTTCTCTCAGCCTGCGATTCTACAGCAAACGGAGCAACATCCATCATGCACGATTCTGCGAAAGCCGTGTAGAAACTGCGAGTGACGCCAGTTCCCTCTCCTGGCTCGTCAACAAAGTGCACGCGGAGACGAGTTCCAGCGAGTGGGCTGTGATTGCTTTCCAACGACCGAACAGACATCATCTTTTTGACGTACAAACTGTTCAACTGTGTCATTGTATCTCGGAAAAGACTGCTCGGGTCTCTGCGGACATCTAGAACAATCTCCTTGACAGTCGAGTATTGCGTTCTGTACTTTTCGGTAGCCTTATTGAACAGCTTGTGTTTAGTGTCAAAAGTAGCAAGTCGGCGGAGGAGGATCGAGTTTTCGAAGGCGACATCTGCTCCGAACGCATCCGCGATCTTATCGTAGAAATGCTTTCCAATGATTCCGAGTGTTTTGTGCCATTTTGAGAAATACAGATTTTCTCTCTCCGCAGAGTGGCGCAGCAGTTGCTCCTTGAAAACAGAGACGGTATTGTCGTAATGTGGGAGGCATCCAGGATTTTTTTTCGTTTCCAGCGCGTAGTCCTTCACTGCATCATCCGGAGTTCGGCTGTGGAAGAAAAAGTCTCTGGTAATGCTGCCGAATTCGCGCTCCAATGAGGATCGGTGAGGAGCCATTGTCATACTGGAGCCCGGCCTTCGGTACTCGAACGGACGGTTTTGCAAATGAAGTGTGAACTCTTCGATTGGAGCCTGAATATCGTACATTTTTAATGCCGTTCTTAACGAGACGATTACCTTTGTGATGGTGAGTGTCTTTCTTTTTGCGTCGTCCAACATTGGTTCCCTGAAGAGATCTTCTCGTCTCGACTGCATTGTCAGAATTTTCGGACCGCCGAGCATTGGACACTCGGCTTCAGCTTTCAGGGTTTCATTAATGTGATATCGTCCCGAAAGAGTGTCCCATGCACCATCATGCAGATGGCCTGGCCAGGAGAGAGAGTACGGACGGATGTAGAATCCAATCATAAGATCCGGATCGGTTTGCATACACTGCATTCGGAATTGACGTCTCTGGCAGTCCTCGTAGTTGTCGATCATCATTTTTACGTCCTGAAACAGTTACAAATTGTCTTTCGCATTTCCCCGTAAACGTCAACCCTTACAATTGGTCGTTCTGCGTTGCAGTTCAACAAGTTGAAAAAAGCGTCCGCGATGAAAGCAACCGGATAGAGCATCTCGACGTCAACGAATGCAGCAGAATCCTTCGCTTCGTCAGTCGCCAAACGGAGGAGTGTATGAACATAGTTCAACGACTCCTTCCGTCCCCGCTTGTCATCTGTCTGTGGGGAAATCGGGCGAATGAGCGATTTCTCGTACGTTTCATTGAATGCGATTTTCGCTTCGGTCGATTCGAAAACTCGTCCCATCCAGCGGAACGTCTCCTCGAGAATGTCAGAGAAGATGCGCTGAGCCTAGAATTTCATACGTTTTGAAGATAGCTGATAAATCGGTTTTACTTTCAGTTGGCAGCGTTTCGCGTTGTCGTCGGCCTTCGTGTAGACGGAGAGCACTGGACGTGGCATTCTCGAGAGAATGTCGCATCCGGCCCGAACGAGGATGGAAAAAGTGAGAGCGAGCTGCTCACGAGCCGCTTCAAGTGATGGCTGCTCTGCGTTGTCAGACTTTTTGGAAGAGTTCGAGCCGCTTGGAGAACTATTCTGATTGGAAGTGGAGGTAGTAGCACCGGTGGCAGCTGGAACGGCAGAAGTAGCGCGACTAGTTGCAGCAGCATTCGAAGATTGTGTCTGGTTATTAGCAGGATTCGCGGAAGAGGAGCTGCCAGTGCCCAACGCGGATGATCCTGTTCCACTGTTGGCGTCGTCGCGTCGGCTGGAGAACGGAGGAAGTCCTCTCGGCACTCGATACGGAGCATAGTATGTGGAGACTCTCTGAAGTTAGCAAAACCATTAAAATTGGTTAGAACCGCAAAACATACGTTGATGGCGGATGGACCTCTCGTAGAGTGCATCCTTCTCCCTGTGGCAGCTTCGTATTCTGCGAGAGCACGTTCGCGAGCTGCACTCAAACTGGCTTGAGCGGCGACGAGATCAACTGAATTTCAAGATTAGAAACAAATTGCAAAGCTAGATTATCTTACTGTCGGCACCAGATCGTTCTCTAACAACGGGTTCCGGTTCCTGCTGCGCATCGGCCGCGTCCAATGGATGGGCGACCTCGGCAATCACAAAAGCGGGTTCCCGAGCAGCTGCACCTTCCTGGGAATCGGACGAACCGTCGTCAAAGTCGCGGCGTGGAGACTCTGGTTCGTACGGTTGCCATCCTTCCTCCTCGTCGCGTTCTGGAACAGCTTCTCTAGCCTGCTCTTCTTCGGCGGCTCTTATTCGTGCAACTACTTCCTCCTGTTCATCTTGCTCATCGACTTCCTCACGTGCTTCATCTTCTTGGCGCTCTTCGGCTGGACGTTCGCTGTCCTCATCGTCGTCATCATCATTATCTTCGTCGTCATCATTATCGTCATCGTTGTCATCTTCATCTTCGTCGTCTTCGTCATCATTGTCATCATCCGCACTGCTCGACTCGACGTCTACTTCTCTCCTTGGTTCGCCGGTCCTCTCTTCGTTATCTTCATTTGTATCGTTTGTGGTATTTCCGGAGAGAAGACGTCGACGACGAGGAGTTGGCAAATTGGACGTGGCAACTGAGTCATTACGAACGCGAGAAGTGTCTTGGGATTCCGACACGCGGTCCCCGGCTGATCTTTCGTCTTCCAAACTGTTTTCAGAACCATTTTCTCGATCTGTGTCACGGCGACTCGACTGAAAACCGTACTTCAAATTACTATTTCTATTTAAATAACTTACTCTTCGAACCCTTTTCGTTTCAGTTTTCGTGGTGGACGATGACTTGTCATGTCCTTTCGATCGCTTGATCACTTCATTGAAAGAAAGATCAGTGGAAAAGTACTTATCGAGAATGTCCATAGGATCACTGTTGCTTCCCGCTTGGGCCGGATTCACCATAGGTCTGAGCATTCCATCGCGAACTGGCTCGAAAGCGGCATCCGCAGCGATGGCCAGTTGTACAACGGCGAAAGTGGGCAATTGTTGGAGGAAATGCATGATACGATTGATCATGGCGACGAATGAGGCAGCCTTCTCGGACATCTTCGAGCTCTCCTTCTTGGCAATGAGAATGCTACTGAATGGAGCCGGATACGTCGTCGGGAATCCGGCGGCATTGTACCGGACACGGTCTTCGCGATTATCTCTTGACTGCGACTCTGCCTGATCTTCTGCCGACAGAATAGTGCTGGGCGCCAAGGGGGATATGTTGATGGAGAGTGTGAGCACGCGAACAAGACTGCGAACAAAACGGCTGGCGACCAACTCGATGTTCGTGTTCGCGTCTGGGTCTTCTGACGTTTGGGAGAGAAGATGACGGAGTGTTCCCACAAAGTAGGTCGAGAACTCTTTCATGACTTTGTTTGCCATGACGAAAGCTAGCTTGTCGAGATGTGTAGAACTGCTTTGTTGCAGGAATTCGAGTTGTCCGGGGGTAGCCCAATCGTCTCTGAAACGAAAAACTCGAGAAAAGAAGAAAAAGAAGAACTCACGGTCCGTGATTGCTGATTCCGAACTTGATGGCATTCAGGACAACATCAGCCATATTGCAACAAAGTTCCAATGCGTTCCTAGCAAACTTTGGTGGCTGCAAATTGTGCTCCGGGGTTCCAGAAGATGGTAACGGCGGTGGACCTCCTGAAAGTTGAGTTGGCAATCTATTTGTCATTTTCCCATCCTCACTGTATCTGGCTCGTCTCTTCTGCGAGTACAATTGTTCACGTGTTTGTCGGATGACAATGCGCGAGAGGAAGAGCACAATGTGCTCATTACGGGCATTCGGCAACTCGTAAAGACGTGTGTACTTGAGCAACTCGCTGAGAAGATGCTCACGAAGAAGCTCATTTCCAGCGATCAGAGCTTTGCAGCTGCAACTGCTCTTTTCCCAGCAATCACAATACGCTGTCGGAGAAGTTCGTTTCAATCGACAGTCATGGTTTCTGTGACACGTAAGCGCACACTCGGAACAGCAGCAGAGCGAGCCAGTGAGTCCGCATGTCTTGCACTCGTAAATGTCCTGATTGATGTGGTCCTCGCCGGTCCAGGTGAACGAGCAGACGTCGTTGTAGCAAAGAATGAAGAGCGGCGAATCGTCAGCGTTATGACTTTCGTCAGCAGTGAATCCCGGGAAGATGTACATCAGCTTCTCGTCTTCAGACATCGAGATGAAATTCAATTGGAGCAGAGTTTTCCAGATTGAGTATGCGGCACCATACGCTCTCTGGTTTATGGCCGACTGGAAAGGAGTCATTCCATTCAGATCACGTGATAGAAGAAGGCATTTCATTGCACTCGTCCGATCGAGTTCATCCAAATAACCGATGCTTTCATCGGCGTTTTTGTCGAAGAGCATTGCTGGATGTTTCAAAAGAATATCCACGATCAGCAGAGCCATCCTCTGTCGGAGCTCTGGTGATTTTGGCGATGCAAATGGTAGTCCCGATTCTTCCGAACGGATCGATGAGAACGAATTATTCTCTCCTGTGTTGTCCTCCGGATCCTCAGACTCCATTCGAATCGGTTTCTCCGCAGAACGCCTCGTTTTTCTAGCCGGTGGAGCCGTCTGTCTCTTTGGTCTGCTTCTAAGCACACGGCCCCATCGGCTCTCCTCTCCGCCTTCGCCTTCCTGTGGTGGTGCTGAAGAAGTCCCTTGCTCTTCTGAGGCACCCTGGATGGAATCTTCTTCCATCGGAACTTCTTGGCTAGGTTGTGGTTGTGGTGGAGGTTGTGGAGGCGGCACGTTCTTGGTGGCGAATGGAACAGGATGGAAGGTGTCCGCAACAGCCTTATCCATGTCATCTGCGTTTTTGGTGGCCGTGGTGAGTCGAATGGCGGCGTGCAGAACATTGGAGCACAAGTCCGAGCTGACGCCGAACAGTTGTTCGCCCATGATCATCCGGAACTCGTGATGGGTGATAGTTTCATTCACTGAAATGAGAAAGCTACTGGATAAAAGGGAAACAAGAAATTACTTCTCATTTCAAGAAGACGATCCAGGAAAAGAGTGACTCCGTCCACATCACAATAGAGAACACACTGCATGAGCGACGATCCGTCCTTAACGAAATTTCTATGCCACGGCCGGTTGACACCCGGAATCACTATCATAGAACCTTGCCACTGCGCATTCTTCTGAAAAACAAGGTGATTCAGAAACAAACATCTCATGGGGCACCTTCGAGAGTCTAACCTCGCATGAAGCCAAGATGTTGAGAGTCGGTCTCCAGGCAGTTGCGATATGGATAATAGGCTGAGAATGCATTGCAGGGATATCACGGAACCCATTCAAAGCGTCACGCTGCAGAGGAATCAACTGTCCTGCGGTATCGCGGAGGAAGATTGTGCGTGCCTGGAGTCAACGAGTTACTTTATCTTGATAACATCCCACTTACATCTCCGAAACTGATCAATTTGGGAGTCATCATCGGAGGAATCGGACGTTCAACTGCAGGCAAAAAGACGGGCACACGTCTTCTGGAGATCACTTTTCCGGTCATTCCCACCCTGTACATGTGCATTCCCCTTTCGCTGTGCTTGCTGCGAACAAGCACGCGCAGTTCATTCAAATCAGCGATCATCGAGACGACCGTCCGATTTGAATCCACGTCGAACTTGAGCAGCTCTTTTTGAAGAATAACTGAACTTCGAAGTGATCTTTTTTCCGCCAACTGCACGTCGTCCTTCCGCATCAGACGGGGCTCTTCCGAACCTTTTTTCAATGGAGCAATCGACGGCGGCTGAAAAAACACGAGTAAAACGACACCATGATTAAAAAACGAAAACAAACAATTCCCTCCATTTCCAATCTGTCACTGTAAATGCTCTGATACGGTGACGGCGGATTGAGCGGAGCGTTGGGCCGAACACAAACGAATCCGTTGTTCTCGAGGTCCACAATCAGAACGTCTCTCTTCCGATGTTCGTGAATCCAGACTAGGTCTTCGACAAGCCAAATCTCAATGCGACGTCTTCCGAAATCAGCAGGCTGCGCGAATGGTGGTTCTCTGAGAGTATGTGACGACTCGTCCGCCGATCGCTTTCGTGATTGTTCGACGCGAACACCAGGGTCAGTCTCGGCTGGAGTGCCCGATTCGGACGGTCCGTTGAGAGAATTCAAGAATCCCTCGACTTCCAACTCATAGTCGTACTCTTCTGGAGTGAGACAGCGGAAACGGCAGTGATCAGTCATGTTCCAGCAGTCCTCGAGCAAAACACCAACCATCGGATAGCTCGTGTCAATGTGAGCAGCCACACTTCCGGCCGGATACAACGGCGCTTTCTTCATCTGAACCAACGAGCCCTTGACGATTTCGTGGGTGATCAAAGCATTCGACTGTCCGCCGCTAGTTGTCGCATCTCCAAACGACACGTGCTTCTTTTTCTCTCGCTCCGCTTTCTCCTTGTCAGCATGACGGCTGCCCTCCAGAAGTGGAACGATACCGCTGAAAAGATTATTGTCGAACTGTCGAATTAGAATGGATCGCGTAACTTACCACCAATGAACAATGCTTTCGATTCGGAAAGCAGACAAATGGTCACTAGTCACCAAATCCTGCACTTTTATGACCGAATCTTCGCCGATCTTGTTGATAGTTTCTGTAGCCTGAGACACGCGAACACCGACTCCACTCTCGTCGAGCCACGTCACAATGTGACCGAGTCGGGTGAGAACGGCTACGCGGAGATTGCTGGAAGACATCTGAACGACTGGATCGGCGTCTGTTGCGATAATCGAATGCTCCGGTTGAAGTGGGTTTCGAACAACGGTCATCGGATTCTTCGTTCCGCGATTCTCTTTCCATCCCCACGAATACATCTTTCCGTTCTTGTGCAACACGTACATCTGATAACTGGTGGCTGTGATGCTGACGACCGGACTTCTAAAATTACGACAATTTTTTATTACATTTTCTTTTTCACTCACGATTTCCCCTCTATTTCTTCGAGTTTCTCTTCAGTCAAAGCATGCTCAGGAATACCGGCTCCCGATTCTCCGCACCACCATTCAATGTTATCTTCCAGCTGAATGCAGTTCTTCCAGCACGACTCCGCGTCTTTCTTTTTCTTATCTTTATCTGAACTTTTCGGTTTTTTCGGCCCATAGTGATAGCGCATATCGGAGCGAGATGTCAGTGTATCCATAAGGCGTTCCTCTGTAAGAACTGATGGAGCGATGATAACTTGTCACTACGTGAATCGAAATACCTCTATCCAGAAAGCTTTCTGCTAAGACACCGTTTCCGGCGCCGGTTCCTTGGCCGACCGAGCCTTCGAGTATGTGCAGAAGCTCTTCGGGAATTATGTGCTCCCCACCAATGTCCATTCCATCTGAATCTTAAATTTTAAAAAAGTGCGCGATTTTAAGCATTGTCTAACCGTCTCCGTCATCTCTCGACAACAAATTGTTCACTGCTTCATTCACGTTCAGTCCTGTTCTTTGCAGTTCTCGAATGATCACTTCTCTCGACTTCCCTTGCAAAACTTGCTGAAAGACAATACTACGACTACTGAATCTTTAAAAAAAAATCGCACCTGAACGTTGTTAATCAGATCTTCTGGAACGTTGGCTGCAGGAACCGAGCTGCGGGAAGTTCCGAGAATGTAACCTCTCGCGCCGTCACCAAGATTGCCGCGAAGACGATAATATGCTCTGCAAGCGGCACTGAAATTAGGCGTTCGAGAGGAATTCTCGGGCTGGACGCACCTGTTCGATAGCATAACTCTTCTGTATTTGGCAGTTCCAGTTGCCGTTCGAAGCGAGCTCAATCCACCGCTCAACGGAATGACCTCAACCTCGTGGGACGGGCGGTATTCATCGCGTGTGCGGGACGTTTCTCCGCGCACTTGCTCTGCCTCTTTCACTTCTCCGGTTTGTACTTGCAACAGAGAGTACGGAATGCGACACACATTATCGTCATCGAGCAGAATTCCGATGTGACTCGGACCAAGAACAACTTGTTTGATTTTCCAGACTCCTAACGTAGCGAGAGCCGCGTTCGGCTGGATATTTCCCAAATTTTCATCTTTGAACTGATCGATCATTCTAAAACAGATAATAGTTATTCATATTGCTTATTTTGAGGTTCCGACGAACACATCGATTATCGCCGAGTCTTTCTTGTCATCGCCGACGGTTTCCTGGGCGAACAGCACGTGCGTCAAGTTGTCGTTGCGAGCCGCCTTTGTCTCTCCATCTCCGTCACCTGAGTGTTGACTCATTGCCGGACCTGGAATTGATAAATCGCGTTTTGTTTTTGTAGGCAGCCTTCCGATACCTGGTGTTTGACGTCGGCCTTTCGCCTTGCGTCCTCTCGACCTTTTCACCAATGCGAAAGATTGGTTATTAGCCTGAAAATCATTTATAATTGTTTTCGATCGAGTTTTTCTAACAGGACATTTGAGATTTACAAGAGATTCAGCTTTTTAAATGATTAACTTTTTATTCGAAAACGAATAGCGCCCAAATAGAAATTTTGAAACCTTTCAAAACAAATTCTTAGCAGTTGCGATCAATCTTCCTCGGTTTGTTGTGAAACACTTTAAAAATTAATTAAAAAGATAGAGTTTTAGTTATCAGACTAGTCGGCGACACTCGTTCGATGATAAAACCGCAAACTCTACGAAAAATCGATACTACACAGCAGTCTATGCTTTAGAGCGGATATTTTCGTGCGCCTTCTCTTGTTCCGAACTGATAGCGTTTCTGCTCTCAAAAAAGCTTCGAAAACTTTTTCCTACAGATTGCGTCGATTTTTCAGCCAAACTCGAATGAGAAACTGACTGAAAAGCGGTCGAATGGCGGGCGAGAAGTGCGGAAATGCGAATGGATGGCGACTGGCAGAACGGCCTCGCCGCGGGTGCCTATTCCGCTCGTCGCCTACGTCTCTCGCTCTCTCCGTCTGCTTCTCTGCGCGTGAACCGGTCTCGCCGCGACGGAAAATGTGCGGCGGATACGGTAGAGCAAAGCGTCGTTGCATTCGGCAAGTCTGGAAGCGAGTTGACTAGAGAACGAAGCCAACAGCGCTATCTGCCGCGGCAGCGGAAGGCGACCTCTCTGGGTTCTGTTTCCATTAGAAGTTGAACGAAATAGAACTGTTACAAAATAGAACTCCTAGTTGTTTTCTAGCGTTGGAGTTCTATTTCGTAACAGTTCTATTCCGTTCAAGTTCTAATCCCTTGTAGCGCCTTCCGTTCGCGCCATTTTCGTCGTGCGCACTTGCATCACGGCGGCGAGCGAGTGTTCGAAGCGGCGAGACGGAGAGGCAGTGAGTGGGAGAGAAGCGGCGGCGACGAGTGCAAACGGCGGAGTTCATTGTGGAATGCAAAACAAATGTGAAAACGAGTGACCGGATGGGGAACTCATTTCTCTTACAATGGTTTGAAAAGTATAGATAATAAAATTACTACATTTGAAAATATATTCTGCGTGACAAAAAAAGAAAATTTGAATTCCAAATGCCGGTGTAAAATGAAAATATTTCAACAAAAACATGTTGTCGGCCATGGAGATTTCTAGGCCAGCATAAACTAGCCCCTCGACAGAATTTCAGTCTTTTTTCGGCTGATTTGAATATTCGACTTCTCATCTGGCGATAATATTTATCTTCATTTCATAAGGAGAAGCTGACTCATTCGCGAATTATGAAAACGGAAAACAAACGGTTACGAGCTGACTGATTGCATGACAACACAGTCGGAGAGCCAAAAGGCGTAGAATCGGTCCTCAAAAGTTTTCCGTCAATACTTCCTGAACGGATGTTCAGAACTCTGGAGGAAATGATTGGAAACAGAGTTGCTAGCAAGAAGTTAAGATACATTTCAGTGAATTTTGAACATTTTAATTCAATTTTGGAGACACTGTCTGGTGGAATTTGTGAAATGTAAATTGTGAGAGCAGAACAGTTGATTAGAGTCACATGATTATGCATCTCTCGTTTCCGTCAAAGCAAATGCGGACGAAACGGAGACGACGGAGGCGTTGTCAAAACTACCAAACACGGAAGAGCTGGAGCCCGGAGCCACTGACGAGTCCTTCGAAATGCTCCATTCCTTCGGGTCGAGTCCGATGAATCGCATGACGGTTTCGCGGTATGGACGGATGAGAGCGATGGAGAAGAGGGGGTTGAGGGTGGGAACGAGGACGGCGAGCAGGAGGATCGAGCTCTCGAGCACCGGAGACTCCACGAGCTTGAACTGGGCGAGCAAGAACAGGAGAAGGGAAACGAGGAAGATGAGAGGCAGCAATGCCTGAGCCGACAGTGCCTGGAACGATCAATCAGCGACCTTCATCAAGATTTTTGACTTACAAAAGTGAGCTGTCTGTGGTTTTCTCTCACATCCGGCCTCAGAATAGCATTCCTCAGTTTTTGGTGTATCTTCCGACGGAGGATGCGAATTAGAAGACAGACCGGAAAGCTGGGAATGATCAGGAGAAGATAGGCGAGCACGGACGGGAAATGGCGGAGATCAGAGTGTCCGTTCACGACTAGGTCCTTCAGTCGGTACTCCGGATGATGGATCTGAACGAGAAGCCGCACGTCTTCCGGACGATTATTGTCGATAAGCAGAAAGAGTGCTTGGAAGAAGGACGGAAAATAGAGGAGGACGATGAGAAGAAACAGCTGGTTCGCCTTCGGATACCTCTCCAGAAGCACGTAGTAGCGGAAGGCGAAGCAGACGACGAGGAGGTGGAGAGAGAGGGAATGGAAGTGCAGTTGGAGACTGTATCCGAGGAAGCACAACCAGGCGTTCACATGTTTGCAGAGTCCGGAAGATGCGATTCCGAGCGTCAAACCACTTGGGATCGGCCTGGAAGATGACTGTATACACTAGAATTGATGACAATGGAACCAACCTGGACTGACTGAAAATGTCGAAAAAGCAGGCAAGGAAGTCGACAGTCGCCCTCACGATGATCAGAATCGAGTAGGTCCCGATGGACTTTGGAGTTTTCCAGACGGCCAAAAAGATGAGAATGCAATTGGAGAGAATGCCGAAAAAGGCGAGAATCGAGTGAAAGACTGAGATGACTAAGAGGAACATTTGGGGGTGGATTTCCACGGATTGCCACTCACTTTTATATGTTCTCTTCAGTTTCCGATTGATGGTAATCAGGAAACGCCTGAGATTTCTATGTCCTTTTTTCCTAGTTGAATTTGTTTTTCTGAAGAGTTTTACAAGGATGATACTCTATCGAATTTCCGTTTTTTTTCCGCTTGAGATAATGCGAGATAATCAAAAATCTGGGGCCCAATTGGATAGCAGATAATAGTCCTCATTTCGAAAAGTGTATAATAAACCAGTAAACTCTAAAAGAGTTACGCCCTTTGCGTGACCTTCTTCGTCTTTTTATATTCCGCGAAGAATCTATTCAAACATTTTTCCCGAAACTCCTTCAACTGTACTTAAAATTTACCAAAATGCCACATAATCCTGATATGGCAGCAATTGATAACTTTGGCTTCGAGCACAAGGTGACTATTTCGGTCTTTCCCCCAATAAGGCCCATTTTTTCAGCCAGTCGGATGGGTTTCGATCAGTGAAATCAGGAAGGGCGACGTGAGTGTCGTCTTCAAAGTGACCGATTCGAACGGAAAGATCGAGGCGGCGATGAAAGTGGAGAAGTTGGGAAAATCGGCGGAACTGAAGAATCTGGAGAAGGACGTGCTGATGGCGCTGCGGGACGATCCGAACTCCCTCCATCTTCTCGACTACTGCTACGCCGGCCCGTTCCGTTGTACGGTGATGACCATGGCCGGGCCGGATCTGTTCAAGATCAGCAATGATGTGAGAGAGGGCCGACGGGAATTGCTGATCTCCGGAGTGATTTCAGATGCAGAAGAAGTTCAGTGACTCGACGATCCTACGTCTCGCGATCCGCACCCTGATGGCCATCAAGTCTCTTCACGAGCACTGCTACGTCCACCGCGACCTCGAGCCGTCCAACATTGCTCTCTCGTGCACTGCCCATTCCCGCAACGTCTATCTCCTCGATTTCGGATCGGCGCGGCAGTTCGCGAGACAGGAAGGCGGCAAATGGATTCTGAGAACTCCGAGGGACAAGGTTCCGTTTCGCGGATCACTCCAGTACTGTTCGCCGAAGATGCACGACCTCGAGGAGGTCGGAAGAGTCGACGATCTGTGGTCGTGGCTCTACATCTTCATCGAGATGCGCACCTATCTTCCGTGGACCGATTCGACCCATCAGATGAAGTACGCGCCGCGCAAAAGGAATCTTCTCGAGGAAGTGCTCGATTCCGATCCGTCAGCTTCTTTTTTCCCTCGTTCGGATGATAAAGTCCCCATTTTTAGATTCTTGAAGACGTTCAAACCTATCGCAAAACTTCTGAAGATCTACAAATACGCGGATCGTCCAGATTATCGAAAGATTTTTGAGATTCTGACGGCGAAAATGGAGCAGATGGGGGTGAAGTGGACGGATCCGATGGACTACGACGTGCAGTTGGACCGGTGCTGGAAGGCCAGTCCGAGCGACGAGAAGACTATCGTGGTAAGCGTAAATGGGGAGGGGGGGGGGGGGAATAAATGGGGAATCTTCAGCTACTTGCCCGCGCAATGATGCGGAATTCTGCCGTTTCAGGATGAAGTGGCCGCCGCCTTCCACGAAATCGTCGTTCCGGGCGGTCAGCAGTACGTGCTGGCTGCGAAAATCAATTTCTTCAAATTTAAAAAGGAAAATAAAAAGGAAGAGAAGAAAGGGATACACGAGAAGGAAAAGGAGAAATCGACGGATGTGCCGAGCAAAAGTGTCGAAGTGCCGAGCAATCAGAAAGCGAACAAGGTGGTCAAAGGAAAGGCGGCGCAGAAGAACAAGAAGACGAGCAGCACGACGAGCTCCGCGAGCCGACAGACTCCGCCCTCTCCCGTGGAGCCAGCAGCGGTACCGCCCGTGACAGCTATGGCGATTAATAAGAAGCCAGCGGTGGGAGTCAAGTGTAAGATGTAGAACAAATGCCTTTTCTGGAAATTCTGGAAGTGACATTTTGATGAATATTATAAAACTTGACAGTCTACTCTAACAGAACTAGCTCAAAAACAGGCGAAATGGTAATAAACTAGGAGGACATGAATTTGAAGAAATCGTCATTTTTCATCAATCGAATTCGTAGTCCGAGATGGTATGTATTTGAGTCGATTCGACCAGCTGCATTCCGTGGAATTTGAATTTGGGATCCAACTGAAAAATGCTTGAACATGATGCGGGTAGCCGTTTCAGATCATCATACATTTTTCAGCGTTTCTTTTTTCGTTTTGGTTTTGTCCTCTCGATCGAGCGATTGGTCCACGTAGAGCACCTGACGGCAGTGCGAGTGATTGCAGAGACATTGCACGAAATCAATGTTTTTTTCGTACAATTTGAAGATCTTTCCGTCTGTAATTGCCGGAATTGTATTCAAAGTTCGACTTTGACTCACCCGAACAGCCTTTTCTTTCGAAGAAACGTTTCACGAGCCCTTGAACCCTCTGTAGTAGTCGAGACTGATCTCAAAGTCGGTCTCCTCGTCAATTTCAACGAGCGCGTAGACAACCAAGTCGGGGATTGTGGTGCCCGATGCGACGAGACGGACGGCACACGTTGGGTTACACTGAAATCGAACATACTTTTTTTTGAATTTTCAAATTGAGCATACGCTATGCGGAATGTACTTTGAGAAGTCATGAAATTCTCTTCTGTCCAGAGCATAATCGGTTCCCGGAATGTTGATGAAAGAGCTGAAAGCGACTCGCTCTCCGTATCGCAGCAGCGCTCTGTGAGCCTCTTCAACTGGGACAATCTGAATGAATGGATTTGCTGGAATAGTATTATTTCAGAATCTACCACGCCGGCCATTTGCATCAACGGAGTTTCTTCGTCAATAATGTGAGCTCCTCTCAGAATCCATCCACGTGGCGATTCCTGTCGCAACTCAAAGTTCGCTCCGAACCTTCTGAAAAATTAGAAAAAGGAATTTTAGTCATGTTTCGACCGCTCGTTTACTCCTCGGGAACTTTTCGTTTCTTTTGCTGTGCATAATATCTCGGGTACTGTCCGTTCGCATCGGTTTCAAAGAAACATCTGTCAATGAATGGAGTGACCTGAAGGGAATTTCAGTAAAAATTATGAAAACAATTATAGAGAACTGACGTTATTGAATCCCAAATCGAATGATTTCGGTGGAAAGAGGTGCGGACTCGCATCGCCCTGTCCGGGCAGATACGGCTCAAGAAGAAGTTTCGGGAGTGGGGGCGGTGCATAAAATGTATTTTCCAATTCGTACGGCATTTTGACTTGGACGAACGGATACGTGTCGAAAATATCGAAAAGATATCTGAGCTCTTCCGAGTATCGCTGAAAGCTCTTGTCAATCACTTTCTGTGCGGGGACGTGGAACGAGTGCAGCTGGTACTGCTGGTTGCACTCGCGGACGTACTGAAAGTTCTAATTTCACAAGGTTTGTTTTCTATTTCTCACCTCCAAAAGCATTCTCTTGCTGTTGACAGTGTCTTTACACGCGAATTTGACAGTTCCAGTGTGAATAGTGGTTTGAATTGAAATCGAAAGCGGATCGATTCGCACTGAAACAAAAAACGATACATTTTTCTTTTTTTGTCGGACTGTGTTACGCAAAATGTTAGAGTATTTCGCGTCGGGTACAAGTAGCAAATCGTCATCGATGGTATCAATGTACGTGTCTGAATCAATCAATTTCTTCGCGAAAATTACGAGCTCTTTGTCGCAATTCAACCGATTCTCCGCCTCTTCCGTGTCGTCTGCCTCCGAAAAACCCAGCCATGCCACTTTGTACAAGAGTTGATTGTTGAGCGGTCTCTGAAAATTAAAAAAAACCATTTAGAACAATGCACTCAATCCACTCACGCATCCCAGAATGCCTTCAACTTCGTAGAACGTGTTGTCCACTGCCGATTGTTTCGCTTTTTTTGTTGTAAGGCGGGACTTCTGAGTGTACTTTTTTAAATGCCTTTTTTTCGAATAATTGTTAGCTCACCTTCTTTCGTGGAGCCATTTTTCGACGATAATCGGTGTTTACTTACACGTTTTGCTTTTGTTCTCAGACAACGGTTTGCGATGCATGGGCGATGCAGTGGCGATGTCGAGCCTACGGGCGGAGTGTCGTTGCGCAAACTGTTTAGTCCCCATTATTCGCACTGAATTTTGAGGCGTTTCGCTCACAAAGAGCAGAAAAGGGTTAAAAATACTCCGATTGGGAATGAAAATAAATAAAAAGAATTTAGTTTTAGCAGATCAAATAAATTAATTTCAAAATAAATTATCAATGACCGTGAACTTTTCACTGCTGTAAATGACACTGAAAATTACTTGAATGACAGTCTGCAAGTGTGTGAGAGCAGAAGAGAAAGCTCGGAAGAGCGGAAAGGGAGGGAAGAGCAGAGGTGCCCGCCGTCGACTGCGAGAAGAACGCGGGCAGACACGATTAGAAGTCAGTCCGATTCTCGGGTGTCCGTCTCGGGTGTGACCATGCGTGCTTGGTCCACACGCGTAGATCCGGGTGACTTATCTGCCAATATACAAGTGACACGTCCTGTTAATGTAGAATAGTTTTCGAATAACTTGTAACTTGTTTCGAATAACTTGAATAACTTGTAACTTGTTTCGAATAACTCGAATAACTTGTAACTTGTTTCGAATAACTCGAATAACTTGTTGTATAACGTGAATAACGCCGAAGCGTCGACATTTCGTGGTTCGATTCCGGTTATATTCAGCGGCACCCACTTCCCTACAAGACTCCTTACCAAAAGATTTTTCTATTTGACGTTGCCGGTGATTGCGCAACTTTTTTTAATGCTGAAACTTTGGAACGTTCCAGAAAACCCAAAAAAATCGGCCAAATTCTGACAAAATTTGAGCGTGCTATTCAGAATTGTTCTGATTTTGAGAATTTTTCAGAATTTTCCAAGCTGGGGGGTCACAACCTTCCCTTGTGAAATTAGCTTTTTTCAAATAAGAAACTTCTAATTTCCTTAACATTTCTTTCATATCTGAAAAATGTAGTTTCGATAAAGTATACAATATAGTTCTAATTATTTTCAAAAATGTGTCTTTTTTCTTTTTTCCTAGTGCATCTTGGCTCTTCGACCTTTCGACAAAAACTGCTATTTGAAATGGCGCGTACAACAACGCTCCGAAATTCCGTGCCTCCGCTTTGTTTACGCGCCATTTTTTTGCAAAAAATTCGAAAAAAAACTGATAATGCCGTTCAGAACTCACGCTTACAATCACCATTTCCTCCGTATATTGCATTTTATCGGGGAACTAATTCTCATGCCGCGCTCATTATTTATGTATCTGAAACCTTATCTTTTCACCATATTCTGGAACTCTTGAAATGTTTTCAGTAAAAAAAGCTCGATCATCAAGTGATGCCATGGCGACGCCCGGGACTATATTGGCCGAAAAATTAAATTGCCAGGACGTAGTGGTCGTCCGTTGGGATCTAGAAGACGCGAATTCTCCAATCATTTCTGCCCCTACCACTCTCAACTTCATCAAATCCATTGGATACAAAACTGGAGACACTGTGAGTACAGCCCGTTTTTCCTCATCATTGGGTCCGTTTCAGGATGGCATCAGGTGCGCTCCATGCCAGTCCGACCCTGAGCAGTTTATCATTTTGCCAATGGAAACAGAAGCGGAAGCGAAAAGAATCTGTGAAGACTCCGAAAAGAAAGGATTCGGAATCAATAATGTAAACTTATTTCCATTTCCAATAAAAATTTGAATCACTTTTTACAGACCAGAATTACCGTCAATCGCCTCATTGGACTGAACGGAATCCGCCTGCGAGATGCGACCGACTGCATACGACTCTGGCACGAATACTTTGATAACGACGAACTGATGGATCTGATGATGGGCCTGATCGGGTTGGAGTGCAAAGGATCGGGCCGAAGTCGCGCATACCGGCTATCGTATAATTCGGAGCGCAATGTCCGACCTCATCGAGAACGGAACCTGCTTCATGTTTGGCTCTTTCCAGTCTCAACTACGTCGAAATGGATATTCTGACATTGTGGGTTCACGTTCATTCAATTTAAAAAAAAATAGAAAATCACTTCAGGACATTGTCGTTGAGTCGGTGGACACTCCGGAAAAAGTGGGGTCGACCGCAGTTCGGCAGCTCAGTCAGATAACCGAGAACAAAAGTATTTCGCTTTAGTTTTATTCCTTTATCTAAATGCACTCATTTCCAGTGTCTCATCAGATACCCACTGACCAAGTCCGAATTGTACACGTTTCCACAGGAGGAAATCATCAAAGCGCTATTCCATTGCCTAAAAGACAACGAAGTGTTCCGTAAAATTTTCGAAATGCGTTTTGTGCCTGCGAGAACTCCAATCCTCATCTTCAAAAGCACTCAGATCAAGGGAATGGACGTAAGAGACGGGGAAAAAATGAATACAATAAATATGCACGTACTGCAGGTGACCTTCGACGTGTCTGTGAACAACCACATTGGATCTGAGAAAGGGCTTCTTCTGGATCAGTTTATCCAGGCGGACAAGTCTGAAAAAAAGAGAACGAGGAAAATGATGCAGTTTGTTGTGCACTGGGCGAGGTGCAACGGACTGTTGGGCGGAAACTACCCGGAGGAAAAGTTGGCAGTGAAGACCGGCTTCAATTCGTACATTTTCAACCAAATGCTTATCCATTTCATGCAAGCCGCCACGCAGAGAGTCCTCGTTTTCCCACAAGCAGTAAGAATTCAACCATCAAAGGCCAATTCCACATTCAAATTACAGGCTCAAGAAAATCGAGTTGTGGAGTACAACTTTGATGACATGTTCGATGATTTCACGCATTTTTTGAAAGAATTTTTCAAGTATTTTGCCAGTTTCGACTTTACGAATAAAGCGATCTATGGAAAACAGACGATGCAGAAGTTAGCAAATACTTGAAAAATGGAAAAGCAGCTAAATATTGTAGGGCAACAGTGGCGAACGTGCACGGAGTGAATGAGTCGGCGCTGATGATCATGGATCCGATGGACTGCACACACAACATCTCCGCTCGGGTCACCGAAGACGCGATGAAACTTCTGAAGGGACTCATCCGAAATGCGCTTCTCATAGTCAGTTTGCTCACTTTTTTTAGCACCCGCCCCTTCCGATTTCATTTCCAGCTAAAGCAGAAAATCTTCCGGATTAGCCTCCTTCTGCGCACCAACCTTTATGCCGCCTTTCTGATGCGAAACAAGGAGCCTAATGCGTGTAGGATCACTACCCAACTGCCCGAGGCGTTATCAGAATTTGCTTCAGTATGCAGTGGGCACCAGGAGTACCTCACGTTCCAGCTTCCCGAAATAATTCAAACGTCCGCCGAGTTCATGGTTCTGCTCACGCGTGTGCTTCGCTTCTACGTCAGTCCGAATCATGAAGGACCGAGTGTCAACAATCTCTACAACTCAATGGTAACGCCAACGAGCAGCAGCGCCGAATCGTATTCCTTTTCGCAGGGAGTGATATTTGTGGTTCAGTCCAAGTCCTGGATAGGTCGGCGTAACAAGAAACGGCAATTGAGAAACGTTCGCAAAGACACGACGAATCTGCACTTGGAAGTGATGTGCAGCGACATGTATCCGTACGAAGACGAGCCGATTGCCGAGCTGCGCGTCGCCATGTCCGACCTGGCGGACTCGAATAGCAAGATTGTGTACATCGAAATGCTGAAGGGACAAGTGGCGGACGTCCGCGACGCGATGCACTACCTCATCGACCAGTTCATGGCCAACCATCTGCAGGAACTCGTGCAGGGCGGCATCATGAGCATCCAGGACATTCCAGTTTACCAAGCCTAACTTCATTCATTCTCCAATTATCTGTAACATACGGGCGTTTGGCTCCAGTGAAGCAGGTTTCATGCCAGTCACCTAGTGGCCTCTTCCCTCCATAATCTCATTTCGCTTTAAGTATGCACACGTTTTGTGCCCTTTTCCCGCTTTCTGATCGAATATTTATCTGTCCATCTCATTTGGTTCGTTTTATTTACTTTCATAAATGAAGATTGTTTCCCTTCGCGACGTATAGCTGTTGTGCCCACTGGTTTAAATACCGATTCTACCGGAAACGAGGGGAAACTATCAGAGATCAACCGAAATACGAGCAGAATGGAGGAGAGAGTGTCGCAACGAGCACTTCTGACTCAAACTGTCAACGAGATCGTCAAAGTGCTCATCGAGGCCCACAATCAGAAAAAGGACATCAATCTGAACAGGTTGAAGTGCGTCGTGAGTTGCTCAAATCAAAGTAGTGCTGAATAACCAATTTTCCACAGATCGCCCAGAAGAACGGACTCAGTTTCCAGCCGAAACTTGTGGACATCATCGCCGGAGTTCCAGATGATTACAAGGAAATTCTTCTGCCGAAATTGAAGGCGAAACCCGTGCGGACGGCTTCTGGAATCGCCGTCGTCGCGGTGATGAGCAAGCCGCACCGATGTCCGCACATCAATTTCACCGGCAACATTTGCGTTTATTGCCCGGGCGGTCCCGATTCGGATTTCGAGTATTCGACGCAGAGCTACACGGGATACGAACCGACGAGCATGCGAGCCATCCGAGCACGCTACAATCCGTACCTGCAGACGCGCGGGCGGCTCAATCAGCTGACACAACTGGGTCATTCGGTGGATAAAGTCGAGTTCATCGTGATGGGCGGCACATTCATGTCACTTCCCGAGGACTACCGTGACTTTTCATCCGCAATCTGCACGACGCACTCAGCGGACACACTTCTGCGTCTGTGGAAGAAGCCGTAGCGTACTCGGAGCGGAGCAAGATGAAATGCATCGGAATCACGATTGAAACTCGACCTGACTATTGTCTGCCACGTCATCTCAACGACATGCTGTTGTACGGATGCACAAGACTCGAGATTGGCGTGCAATCGACGTATGAGGACGTGGCACGCGACACGAATCGTGGCCACACAGTCAAATCGGTGTGCGAGACGTTCCACATGGCCAAGGACACCGGATACAAAGTCGTCATTCACATGATGCCCGATCTTCCGAACATTGGCCTCGAACGCGACAAGGAGCAGTTTCTTGAGCTATTCGAGAGTCCGCTCTTCCGGCCGGATGGACTCAAACTCTACCCGACACTCGTGATTCGTGGAACTGGATTGTACGAGTTGTGGAAGACGGGACGGTATCAGAGTTATCCGCCGTCGGTGCTCGTCGAACTGATCGCCACGATTCTCTCGTTGGTTCCGCCGTGGACACGCGTTTATAGAGTGCAAAGAGACATTCCGATGCCGCTTGTCTCCTCAGGTAATCGGCAGAGACTGACTGACACTAGATTCATTTTTTCAGGTGTGGAGCATGGTAATCTACGAGAACACGCGATGGCCAAAATGAAGAACTAGGGCTCAAGTGCAGAGACGTGCGAACGAGAGAAGTTGGAATTCAGGAGATTCACAACAAAGTGCGGCCAGAAGACGTCGAACTGATCAGAAGAGATTACACTGCGAACGGCGGATGGGAGACGTTCATTTCGTATGAAGACCCGAAACAGGACATTCTGATCGGCCTTCTACGGCTACGGAAGATTTCTGATAAAGCTCACAGGTCTGAGTTGAAGGTAAATAACTAGACAATAATTCCGTGGATACTGTATGAATACGGCTTTCAGGGAAATGTTTCGGTTGTCCGCGAGTTGCACGTCTACGGGGCCGTCGTTTCTGTTGCTGACCGAGATCCGAAAAAGTTCCAGCATCAGGGATACGGATCACTTTTGATGGAGGAGGCCGAGAGGATCGCCCGAGAAGAGCACGGATCAGACAAGATCGCTGTGATTTCAGGAGTCGGAACCAGGGATTATTACAGGTTAGCTGTTTTTTTCCAGAAATCCGCTAAAATCGGGCTTTACAGGAAGCTGGGTTACGAACTCGATGGCCCGTACATGAGCAAGCCGCTAGACTCCCTGGACGCATAATTTATTGTGTCTCTTCGTTTGTTGTGAAAACTTTGTTATTGCTTTTCCATAAAAAAAAGTTTTGTTCAAATACTTCCAAAGTACATCTCCAGTAAACCGTCGATAATCCTCTTGCCGGCGACGAGGAGGGCGTCGAAAATTCGAATCGATTCAGCGGTGGCGATGTGGCTGTGGATGTGGCTGATTCCGTTCGCTTCGGCACAACTCGACCTGAGCGCCATCAGTAAGAAACGACTTTGTTCGGAGGCGGTGAGAATAGATGAAGTTCAGAGAAACAGCAGACGTATCCATCGGGGACCGTCACTGTGCCGACCACAACTGTTGGACCTTGTAATGTCGGATGCCAGAGTGGATGGGTTCCGTACGGTGGAAACTGTTATAAGGGACGCTCTGGGCGGAAGCTCAGAATGGAAATAATTAGAGCGATTTTCAGAAGATGCTGGACGTGCTCACACAGGAGACGGCCGAGCAGGAATGCGTGGCATTCGGAGCCCATTTGGCATCTTTCGAGACTTCGGAGCAAGCGACTGCCGTTAAAAGTGAGCACTTTAGATAGAAGTTTATTGCCGAGAAGAGGTACTCAGCAAAAACCTTGTATCGAACCATATCAGCCAATAATCGAGTTGCGAGTAACTCCCCAGTCAGAGACCCTTTCAGCCCTTGTCCTCGATGCTCCATTGTTTTCTGACGACCTTCTTTCCTTCATCTCGAGCAGCCAAGAATCGTGGATCGGACTGAGCAAGGAAGTTTGCGATGTCTGAAATCCGGAAGCGAACTAATTGGTTTTTGCAGGCGGAAGGCGCGTGGACTTGGACAGATTCCTCATCCGTCGAGTTCACAAATCTCCCCGCCGGCACCTCGGTTTCCGGTGCTTCCTGTGTTGCTGTCAGTCCCTCGCGCCCCCCGCCCCCGGCTAAGGTCCCTGATTCAGATTAACTCGACCGGCACGTGGCAGCCGACGGCATGCTCTTCCACCGCGCCCTCGTTCATCTGCAAAAGGGAGGCGGCATCTTAAAAAGCGAAGCGCAAACGAAGACAAAAACGAAAACTCGTGGTGTTGTGGAGCTGAAATAAATTAATTAGAATGTCCTCGTCTTGGATTAACAGGGGGGAATTCCGACGTCTTCTCGTGTCTCCCTTTCTCTTTTTCTCCTTTTCTTCGTGTTTCTCCACAATCACGCCTACTCTTCACAGCAATTCATCATCTCACGATTCATCGTTTTGCTCCTTTCTCACCAGCAATCCACGTCAGGCCAAATTCAATGAGTGTTCCATTAAAAGATGACTATTCGGGCAGAGCACATTCAATCCAATTTCGTGCATTTTATTGCATTTCATAAGGAAACCACTGGTCGCGCGCCGCTCTTTTCTCGAATCTCTCGACTCATTTTTGACGACGACGACGACGACTTCGGGGCTCCATAAACTCCATAAACTCATAACTTTGTGCTCTCCTGACCGTGTCTGCATAATGTATTCGTCGTTGGCTCATCGAGAATATATATTGCACGTCCATCCGATGACCTCATACGCCTCACTCATTAATAGTGTTTGCCCTCGGTGATATATGTGAAGTTTGGCATTATTTCTAATTCCTTAACGAGGATCTCTGTATACTCAGGGTACGTGTAGCAAAGAACATACTTTCCTGGGGCACTTTCCGCCCTACTTCCGCTAAGCTCCGCCGGAGACAACAATGACGCAGTGTTCATCGGTTCGCTCAAGGTCTACTCCATTTTCCTGTTATTATTCATTCTTTGGAGTTTTCTTTCTTTATTTCTACAGCTTCTGCCTCGCTCGTCGGAACCCAATATACGGACTTGAACGTCCGACCTCCCCTTAAGAAACACTTGAAACATGCGCGGACCAAGACGAGCTCATTGAGCCCATCTTTTCCCACGTTTCCCTTTTCGCTCGGTGACTCGAAAAGAGCAAAAGAAACGAAACGGAGTGTGTCATGGAAAATGAATTCATCTCCCGAGAGTTTGGAAGAACACGAGCAGTTCCCCAGTGGTTGAGGACATTCTTTGGTCCGAAGGGGAACGTGCTTTTCTTCAGCTATTTATTCTCTCGCAGTTTCCTGTACATTTCATGCCTCGTCTTGGATTGTATCCAACAGATTTTAGTTCCGCCATTGCCTAAAAATTACGAATGGACAGGTGAAATTTTCTTCAAAAATGACGTGCTTTTCAATCAAGATTTCTGTATTCAAAATCGCCCCGTGCTTTCTGTTTTGGCGTCGTCCAGACAATCCAGACCCCCAGAATCTGTATACCACATTCGGCAAATTTCCGCGAATCTCTGCTGCCTACTGCTTTAGTCGATGAACCTTCTGCAGTGTGATCTCCTGCTCGACGCCCTTTTCCCCAGAAATCATACGGAAACGTCATTATTGAATTTGCTCGGTTTGCGTGTACTTCGCAAGAAACACTCACAAATAAGATGAAGGTGATAACGAGATTGATGGAGGTCTGCTCGGAAGGCAATCCGTCGGCGAGCCGGGTAAATACCGTTGGCTCCTAGCTTTGCGGTCCGTAACCAAGCCAATTTCGAAGTCTTCTCCGCCTCCGATTAGTTGAATTTCTGCCGTCGCATCTTTTCTCCCTTCCTCGTCTTTGTTTTCTCCTCCCTAAATCACCTCAACCCGTTTTTCGGAAGATAACTATACAAACTGACATATGCGCGTCTTGAAATATTGTACTTAGTTCAAGTGTAGTTTGGTTAGGCTGAAAATCACAGATTGCCTACAAACTCTCCCGGATTTCCAGTGACTCAGCCCTCTTTTCTTCGTCGCCGGACACGTACACAATTTCAGAAGAAGAAGAAGAAGAAGAAGGAGAAGAAGACGACGAATATGAAATTAAGCATTGTCCATTTCACCTTCCTCTTCTTCTTCTTTTTTCCGCCGAACACCTCATCGTGCCTTGATAACTTGTTCCTCCGCACAACTAATTGGCAAGTCTCGTGGCTTCTGGCCGGATAATTTAGTATTAATTTGGCCCAGCCGAGGCGGGGGCGGCATCTTCATGATGAACCAGCACAAGTTTTGCCCGTTTCGATTCTTTTCACTTTTCCGCTTCCTCGTTTCGAGTACGAGTTGAGTTTGATGTTCCGCCTCATTACGGAGAGAGAAAAGGGTGAGCGAGTCTGTCGGATGATGCCACTTGTTTCCGAAAAGGAGCAGAAAAGAGAAAGACAGATAGTTTACATGCGAGTCCTCCCCGAAAGCAGGTTGTTTTCCGAACTTTGCTGCAGCTGAAAATCCGCCAGTTTTGTCAGATTTTCCATGTTTTCTTTCTTTTTCTGCCCCCCAGAGCTGCATCAGAGGTCATTCTTCTCCAGCGACTTCTATTGTGCCCAGAGAAACGGAGTATTTGCGCTTTGTCGCGCACGTTGCAGCCAGCAAAATCCCGTGAATTTAGACCGCTGGAGCGCGATTGCTGCACCTGACCTAATCCCATCCGGTCTTCGATGTTTTCGGCTTTCTCCGGAAGGCGAAGAACGCGCAGGTTTCCCTCTAAATTTGCATTCTGTTATTGCCCCCGTCTTCGCTCAAACCACCGTGATCATCTGCGGTGGAAGGTACAGAATCGGGTTTCCAGATATTCTCACTTCATCAGTTCATTTTTCATCACTTTCTCCACCATTCATTCCTACGTCATCTCTTCCTTTAAATGTGTTCCTCGGTACATTTGCGGTTCTGTCCTCATATTTTCGTCAATCCACAGAACTCGAGAAGCAAACTTTTGACACTCTCTTCTCCAATTTCAGATTTATGAAAGATCACCAAAGCAATTAGAGTATCCTGCTCATATGTCTCACTTCTTCTCGAATTCCCGGCCGCCCAAAATAATCACCTTTTCAGAGAGAGACGTGGCAGATGAGCTCTCTGGAGCACGACCTGTTCCTCCGGGAATGGACGTTCTCGTCGCGCCTCCTCTTCTACTCGATCATCGCCATCACCTCGCTCACGCTTCCCGTTCTAGTCATAATTATGGCGCTGATGAAACCGCATAGAAACTCGCAATACTTTCCGTACATGTGCGGAATCATAATGGGCAATTTCGTGCTGCTGAGCACTGTATTCACTCTAGTCGTATCCGAAAACATCAATGTGGTCTACCGTAAGTGCTTCAGTCACTCTCTCACTCTCTCCTTTCTTTTTCAGACTTCCTACCAGGCTTTGTCATCTGCAAACTGTCGGCTTTCCTCGTAAACTCTGCCTCGTGTTTCATTCACTGGACGTGGGTGGCCATGTACTCGCAACGATTCCTCCACGTCTTCTTCCCCCTTCGATCCAGAAAACGAATGCATCGGAGCACGTGGAATACACTTCTAATGTGAGTTTCACTCCACTAAAACATCCTTTATTCTAACTTATCTGTTCAGAATCCTCCTTCTCTCCTGCACATGTCAGATCTGGGCTCCAATCACAATAACTGAGCTCAGTTTGACCCACGGAAACAACAGTCATGGCACGTATTGCGCTGAACATCCGTATTTCAGCAGGTAAGAAACAACATCTCTTCTCAATAATCTGTGACGTATTCGAACTTGAGCTCCTCAAGATCATCGTTCTCGTGGAAAGCACCATCACTTTTTTCCTGCCGTTCCTGCTCACAGTTCTCGCGGACATCTCCGTTTTGGTTTCGAAAGTTCCGTGGCAGACACCTTTCAAACTCATCTCCGCCGACGATCTGAGAAGTAACAATCGGAGTGATAACATGAAGATTGTGTCAAAGTTGAATTTAGAGGTACCGCCCGGGTGTGGTCATTCATAGTCCTAGTTTTCAGAGCGCTGAAAAGAGGAGGATCACTGCAATCAAACGGTGCCTCATTTCGGCCACTTTAACTCTCATTCTAAACCTTCCTAACTACGTCCTTCAGGTACACTCTTCCTTCACCTTTTCATTCTTCAATACACTGTTAAGGTCATCGACGAATTCTACTCTCTCCGGGAGCACCGGGAAGTGTCCATCCGTCGCATTTTTCTTCAAGCGGACGCCGCCGTCTACATTCTCTACCTCCTCCAGTTCCCTTTGGTCCCTGTCAACATGTACTTCCTCCGACAGAATATCACACGGAGCTCAAGGTTTGCTCTCGCGTACTCTGGCCATCTCTAACTGACACTTATTGCAGGAAGCTGCGAGAGAAGACGATATTGCACCACGAGCACAGCCGTTCTTTCCAAGTTCTCGAGATGAGCAACGATCACAGCCGAGTGCCGTTGAGCACCACCGTTCCGTCGCCCACCTCCTGAGAGGCTTCAGTTCGAAAGAGTACGGGTTGCACGTTGCGGGTTCTCATTATATCACCTCTCAATGCAAGTATCTCTATTTGTTGGCAGTTATTTGTTTTGATCACTGACCTGAAACATTGCATTAACTCTTGTTTTTCTACTTGATAAATTATTTTATTTTGTTTTTGGTTCTGAGAAATGTTGAAACAGGTTACGAACCGCTGAGAAGCCAAAGGACGTTACGAACGAACGAGTTCTTCTTCTTCGTTTCCGCTATCATATCAGCTGTTCGCCAGCAAACCAGTTGGTCTCACTCTGGAACGATTGACTCGTATAAAAGAAGGAAATGGTCTGGGGGAAGGCATGTCATTTCATTTTCCCTCCATTCCAATGATTCCTTTTTCAGATATGGGTCACGTCCAAGTTCTCCTATTCGTTGTGACGAGCGCGTCCGCCCTCGCGGCTCTCACCGCCATCTTCTCGGCCGTCCACGTGATGACCGACATCAGCAGCTTCCAGGACGAGGTGCTCTCCGATCTGAGCAGCTTCAAGCAGTACGCCGACGACGCGTGGGGAGTGATGGTCCAAACCGGAGACTCGCCAGGATTCCGTTTCGATCAGATCACCGGCAGAGTTCGTAGACAGTACGCGACTGGAGCGAGCGGAGGAGGCGGAGGATGCCAGTGCGCCGCCCAGGCTTCTGGCTGCCCTGCTGGACCACCAGGAGCACCAGGACAGGACGGAGCCCCGGGAGAACCCGGAACCCCTGGAGAGGACGGACAGGCTGGAGGAGCTGGAGTCGCTGATAAGCACGCCTCTGCCGGACAGTGCATCACTTGCCCAGCCGGACCACCAGGACCACCAGGACCAGATGGATCTGCAGGACCAGCCGGACCAGCAGGAAACCCTGGAGCAGACGGAGCCGGAGGAAGCCCTGGAGCAGCAGGACCAGCTGGATCATCAGGACCACCAGGACCAGATGGAAATCCAGGAGCCCCAGGAGGCGACGGAGCTCCAGGTGCCCCAGGAACTCGCTCTACCAGTTCTCCAGGACCCGCCGGACCAGCCGGACCTCCAGGGCCACCAGGACCTGACGGAGCTCCCGGAGGTGGAAGCGGACCAGGACCAGCGGGACCAGCGGGACCACCAGGACCATCCGGAAATCCAGGATCTGCCGGATCGGACGGACAGCCAGGAGGACCAGGACAAGACGGTGCGCCGGGAAGCGACGCCGCCTACTGCCCATGCCCACCAAGAAGCGGAGGTGGAGCTGCCGGCGGAGGAGGTGGCAACCCGTGAGTAACTCTCGGGGATCTTTGCTCGCTCTAACGTTAATGTCGTTTCAGCTACTCGAGCAAGCGCCGATTCTCAAACTAAACGATGGAAGTTTCTGCGGCGATCAACTAGTTATAGCACCATTGAGTTGGTGAAAAATGAAGCATTTCATCACGCATTCCATTTATTTATTCACACACACACACAAGGTTTTTCAACTGAACGGCATGACGTTTTGTGTGTCAGAATTGTCTAGAACTAGAGAAGTAAAGGGCGAGAATGAGAACGTGAAGATTGAAAGTAGTAGGCTACGAGCAGTGGTCGTTGGTCGGGGAATCAGACCTTGGAGCTTTCGCTTCTCTCGATAGTTATCTCGGGGTTAGTTCGGACGACGCGCAGACGGCACGGGAAGAACAGTTTGTAGAAGGCGTTACGGTAGTCGGGAAGCAGGAAGATGATGGCGAGAGGATCGATGAACGGAAAAGCGGCGACGGCGACGATGGCGGTCACGTTGTTCAGACTGAGGAAAATGAATGAATTAGAAACCAAACCGAAAGGGACTCTTACGTTCCAGTGTTCACGTGAATGACCGGAACGGTCCAGGCGACAACACAGGGGATGTAGCTGACAGCGAACGGGATGAACGTCTGAATGGCCAAGGCCTTGAGCAGGTTACGATGCATTTTCTTCGTGTTCTTGCTCATTTCAACGACACTCAACTTGGAGTGGATCTGTAAAACACGACTAAACATTCTAACTTCTCTTCAGATATTGTTCGTACTGTGTATCCAATCCAAATACAGAAAAAAATGGTCCAGCAAGAGATGATCGTTACGATGATGATGCCGGCAGAAGAACGGAGGATGAGCTCGGCGGAGGCTCCCCAGTACGTGCTGCCGAGAATTGGCACCTTGTAGACGTCAGCGTTGTAATCGCGGCGAAACGGAACTGCGAGGTACGAACGCATTTCATCGTCGGCCCACATGCACAAATATACGGAAATGAACCAAACGATGCCCTGTCCGAGGACTCCAAAGATCATTGCGGTGATCCACTTCGGGTTCCCGAAGGCTGGAATCCAATGGGGACGGCAGAGGGCAACGTAGCGGTAGATGAAGTGGACTTCAAGAACTCCGTAGCTGAGAGAGAAGAACATGCATCGGACGCAGAGGGCGATGAATCCGATCTCTGTGTCCTGCAAGAAAAATCAAAAGTGCGAAAGGAGAGGAAGGGGAAGTTCCTACATCAGCAAATGGACCGTGCGTGACGAACACACAGAAGGTGTTTCCTTCGCTGTGAGAGCCCATCGCAACGAGCATGTCTACGGTCGAGTACATCATATCGAAGATGCCGAAGCTCATGAGCATGAACTTGTAGACTCCGATCGCCGAACGACTCGTGTTGGCGACGATGAAGATGAAGACGGCGTTGGAGCAGTAGGAGAGGATGCCGAAGACAATCGGAGCCCACAAATGGAAGAAGCCGACGTAGATCATCTCGGTGGTTAAATTTTGAGACTGGAAAAGCATTGAACTGGTGAATGGGTTCATTTCGAAAGTATTCAAAAGTATTGAAACGAGACACTTCGTCTCATCTCTCACCTCAACGTTTGAAAACAACATAATACCCATTTTTAGTTAGTTGAAGATTGGTTTCCGAACTATGAAACGGCGGCGATGTATTTCAGAAATACGCACAAGTCACGGGGTGAATGCGACTCGATGGGAATGTTCTCAAGGTGTTTTTTTTATGGTGGTGGCATGAAGAACAGTGAGAAGAGGTTGTTGAATGGCATGCACGTAATCACGAAGGAGGTGTCTAGGGGATGTCTGCGGACCTACATGACAACAACAGAAGAGATCATTTATTTGCTAGAAGATTAAAGATGCGCGTAACGACTTCCATTCAAGCCTAAGCTCACAGGATGCTTTCCGCTTTAATTGTGTACTGGTATTGTGTAGAACTACTTAGGCGAGCACACTTTACGGAGAAAAGATGATGAGCAGTCTGACTAACGGATTGTAAGCATGAGACAGTCTGAAATGATATAGAAGGCGTTCCGCCACATTTTAAATGTAAAGTTCAGAGCGGGGGTCACCTGGAAGAAATGGGTCAGAAATCTGGTGGAAATGTTGCGAAAAGCTCACAGAGGTCTTGTTTAAAGACGGACGGAAATTTTGTGACGAGCAGTCTAGGTGGCAATCAACTTTTTCATTTCAAGCAAATGTTTTGGTTACTTGAACGCGTCGGCTGAATCGTGAATGTCGTGGGAGCATCTTTGGACACTTCACTTTCTGAATTTTCTGTTCCTCTGACACTGTTGACGTATTTTGTCACAACAAAGAATCCGGTTATAACCCTGACAATACTAGTGTACTCTGAAACTCTATAACCTATTGATAACCGCGTGAACTTTTCAATCGCACCGCATACATTTGTGCACTTTTGTGATATTTCTCGCTTCTCGTTCACTGACCAACTGACTATGATTTACTCGACACTCACCAAAGGATACGTTATGCGATTGTTCAGAACGACAGGTCAGCCGCAAGCCAACGTGCCGCCCTGCGAACTTCTCATCTTCCACTCATATTTTCTTCTTCTCCCAGCTCCTTTCCTCCCCTTTTTTCAGTCCGTTTTCGTCAACTGTTCTCTGGTTTTCTGGCCCCGTTAAACTTCCAGTTCTTCGTTTTATCGCTGAAAAACACACGGCCCTTAAGGTTTCATGATTTCTCAAGTCAGTATCCACAAACATTGATGTTTTCAAAGTATCAGTTGATTCTCATACAATTTTCCTATCTCTCTCTCTCTTTTTCTTTCTTTGTTGCCTTTTCATGACGTGAGTGCGTCCGTATTGAGGGCAGGAAAAGCATGGAAGAGAAGTGAAAGCATTGGATTGAAAGCGCCTGCGTCTCTCCGCACCCCTATTACTTTTTTTGCGTGTGCACACTTCGAGCTGTCTACTCTTTGCTCTTCCTTTTCCTTTTTTTTTCTCAATTTATTTCCCAATACGTTGCAATGACCTTCATTTTTTTCCGATGCGGTCGTATGATGATAAGGCTAGGTTGCAGACGAGAAAAGGGATTCCCCCGAGTATCTTTTGAAAAACGTCATCTGTTTCTCTTTCTCTGATTGATTCATGATTATTCTTCCTCCCTCTCTCCTTGATCATCTGTTGTTCGCACTTTCATTATTTCATTTTCAGCTCAACCGGAACGTGCCTTATTCTGGAAGATGTCTGCAGACACGAGCCATCCGATCACCATCCGGAGATGTTCATGTACCAGCGAAACGTGTGAGTCTGATGCTTGAAGAAGCAAAAAAAATCGCCAACAGCTGTTAAATGTCGAATGTGATACTTTGCTCGTCCTTTTGTCAAAGTTTTATGTTTCCAGTTTATGGCTACCGTACTTTTACTTTTGCGCCTACGTTTCAGTTATTTTTTATAGCCATCTAGCGGATGCTGTAATAGTAAGCATGCGGAAGTTGCCTACGTCAATTCTCAAATGTCAAACACCTCATTTCAGTGTCTCCAAAAAAGTCAATCTCCTCGCTGCCGCCCGTCGCCGCTCGGAGACCCTCCAGAATCCTCGACGAAGCGCATCTCCCGAAGCAACTTCTCGTCCAACATCATCACGAGGATGGCGCATTCCTTCGAAATATTTCAGCTACGGTCAGTCCGCTTTCGATTCCTTCGTCAAACGTCATAAAACTACACACTTTCGCCCTCTTCCAACACGTGCCTTTCTTTCCCTTTTATGGTTTCGAACGACGTCTGTCTGATCCTATGGGTGCAACGGCTGGTCTTTCGACGAAACAATTCGAGCGTCCTGGGGTCGCAGTGGGTGTAAAATGTGCGGGAGAATGGTCTGATCTTCAGGAGACAATTGACTATTTTGTTGACAGATCAAGGAGAATGGTAAACCGACATTTCGCCCAGCCCTGAATAAAACCTGCGAATAGTCTTCAGTTTCTTTCGAGAAGTTCTTCCGAATCTAATTTCAAGCTTCCGGCTTCTTTCCCTTAAAACGACCCACCGAATTCTCTTCGTTTCCCGACAAAAACACGAACATTTTTGAACGGAAAAGCGGCAATCTTCGCTGATTATTTGATCTCGGTGCAACCTTGAGAAGACGGCAGCTTACTGCCACATAAAACGTGCGTCGTCATTCGTCGCAACACATTGTTTCGAGGGTTCGCTGTTGCGAGCGAGAGAAAAGAGGACGCAGAGAGACAAAGGGTGCTGCTGCACCGCGCCGCTCCCCCTCACTTTCGCGCGAACCGTCTTCGGCTCCGCCCCTCTTCCTGCCTGTGACCCTCGCATTCGGTCGTCATTCGTCCGTCCGCTCGGCGCGGCTCGTCTCTCTCGCTCCGTCTCCTTCCAATTCGTATTCGCTTCCGATTCGAGCAATCATGGCCACCGTCGGCGTACTTTATCCGGCCTACACGAGCTCTCCGTTGTTCGTCGAAGATCCGATCGTTATTCTCAAGGGTTCTATCGAGGTGACGATTTTTTTAAATTTAAAACTCTAGCAGTGCAACTTTAGCAGTGTTCCACTTCCCCTTTTCACAAAATTTAAGCCAAAAACGATTTTTTTTTCTCTTTTTTTTCAGAAAAATCCAAAAATTTTCCTGTTTTCTTTCAGGAGCTCGTGCTCGAAGTTGAAGAAACGGCGAACCAGCAACAACTGGGAGCCCCGTCCTCACTTCCGGAATCGCGAGTCCTCGTCCTCTACACGGGCGGAACCATCGGAATGAAATCGTCGGACGGAGGTGAGCAGACAGGGGGAATTCCCCCCTCACGAGGCATGACTTTCAAATGTCGTCCGACTTCACTATGCCCTTGATAAGACTGTTTTGCACTTTCCAATAGACGCGTATTTTGGCGAGTTTGCATGTGTCCGGCACATGAACTGCACACTGATCGCCGTGCTGTTTGCCTTGTAGACAGGCTTGCAAACGACGACGGTGTCCGTTCCATTCTTTGCTCATGCGAATATTTGTCGTCGTTCTTTCGTTGCTCCTGCTGCCTGCCGGACACTAAACATAACTCTCATTTGGGAGCAATTTGTGATCGTCTAAATATAGAGGAGACTAGTGTTTGCTGAAGATCGAAAAGTCAGCTGGACACGTGGTCTGACGCAACTGAACTGGGAGAACTAAAGCGGATTGCGCGGCCGGGAGCTATTTGAGCAGCAGGCACCCATTGCAAACTTTGCCCTTCTTTCAGTTTACTGCCCGGTGCCCGGATACCTTCCCGAAGTGCTCCGTGATATTCCGCCACTCAATGACCGTCGATACATCGAAGAGCAGTATTCGAATATGGCCGTCCGACCGTATTCCCTTCCGCCAGTTCGGCACATGAAGAAGAGAGTCGTCTATTGGGTTAGATGACACCTTCCATTCTCCTTCACTCAACAATCTTTTTCCAGATTGTCGAGTACGAGCCCCTTCTCGACTCGTGCGATATGACTTTCGACGACTGGATTCGCATAGCGACGGACATCAAAAAAGCCTATCAAAAGTACGATGGATTTGTCGTTCTTCACGGAACCGACACGCTCGCCTACACTGCCAGCGCTCTCTCCTTCATGATGGAGAACCTCGGAAAGCCGGTCATCATCACGGGAAGCCAGATTCCGGTTGCGGAAGTTCGCTCCGACGGAATGGAAAACCTCGTCGGGGCACTGATTACTGCGGGTAACATTGATATTCCGGAAGTTTGCGTCTACTTCAACAACAAGCTGATGCGTGGGAACAGAACTGTCAAACTGGACAACTCGGCGCTCGAAGCCTTCGACAGTCCGAATATGAATCCTCTCGCTCAGATGGCGATCAACATCAAAGTGAACTACGACTCGATCTTCCGCAGTGACATGGTCGCCGCGTTCACTGTCCACGAGAATCTGTGTCGTGACGTCGGAATGCTCCGTATCTTCCCATCAATGACCATCGAGTCTGTGCGTGCCTTCCTTCAGCCGCCGACGAGAGGAGTCATTCTGCAGACATTCGGATCTGGAAATATGCCGACGAGACGACAAGACATCATTATGGCACTGAAAGTAGGTTGAAAAAGATGAGGAACAACGTATTTTACACGTTTTAGGAAGCCATAGGCCGGGGAGTTATGGTGGTTAACTGCTCGCAATGTCTGAAGGGACAAGTCGATGTGAACTACGCGACAGGCAAGATTCTGTACGATATCGGAGTGATTCCTGGATCGGACATGACTTCCGAAGCTGCGATGGCCAAGCTGTGCTATATTTTGGGGAAGGACGAGTGGGATCTGCCGATGAAGAGAAGCGTGAGAAATTCAGAAATTATCTTCGTCCAATCAGATGAGTATTTCATGAATTCAGATGCTGCAAGCAAATCTTCGCGGAGAAATGACCGTGGCCACAAAAGGAGCGATGCGAGAGCTTGATATCAGTGAGAAGTTTCTTGGAAACTCGCTTTTCATTTCATCGGGTTCTTCGTTTCAGTTCCACACATTGCCAAGTGCCTGCGAGTCTCATCTTCGCAAGAAGTACAACTTCTGCGCGACATCATCCTCCCTCCAATGTTCTGTAATGCCGCCAAGACGAACGACGTCGAAATTCTGAAATCTCTGAAGGCGTCCGGAGTGAACTTCTCAGCAACCGACTACAATCTTCGTACTGCTCTGCACGTGGCCGCTTCGAATGGAAACATTGATTCAGTCAAGTATCTGCTGACGATCGGAACCAATGTGCATGTCAAGTAGGTGCCTATTCCAGATCTAGAAACTTATTTTCATTTTTCAGAGACATGTTCGGTTACAACGCTCTCGTGTGCGCAGTGAAAGCAAAAGCGATGGACTGCATCATTGCGATCAGAGATGCCGGAGGATTCATAGATGCGTCGGCACAGAAGATTGGTATGATTCTGGTTTTTATCAGTTGTCGCCTATCGCATTTACTATTTGAAACAGGCAATGCCGCCACAGTTTATATGGGGTCGGGGCCAACGACTAGGGCCGTATAATGTAACGAGGCTGTGTAATAGATGCGAGGCTTCTCCTGATAGACGTGCACTTTCAGGAGTCGAACTGTGCTTGGCCGTCTACCAGAATGACATCGAACTTCTCAAGTGCAACGAAGCGGCTGGAATTCACATGGGCGAGAAGGATTACGATAATCGGACTGCGCTGCATGTGGTAATCAAATACTCGTCATTTCCGACCTCTCAACGGTTTTTTGTAGGCGGTGTCGCTGAACAAACCGGAGATTGTCGCCTATCTGCTGCAGTGCGGACTGGACCCGAACGAGAAGGATGATTTCGGCATCACGCCAATCGGAGAGGCACGGCGTCGCAATTTGGAGGTGACGGTGTGAAGTATGCTGCTGAACCAAAATGTTTCTGATTTCAGAATCTCGAAAAATTGATGATGACGTACATGCCGCCTGAGTTGAAGAACGGCGGCGGCGAGGTGTTCCACATGGAATGAAACAGTGTAGAATGACGACTCCTGTTTAGACGAGTACTGACTTAACTTATAAATGCCTCCTCTTGTGTGACTTCTCCCGCATAATTCGACTAACCCTGTGCTTTTTACCGAATAAAGTGAGTTCACTTCACTCGCCACCTGATTTTTGTTTCCTGAACAACAGGTGTGAAAAAGAGAAATAACAAGCGAGTGAATAACAATATAAAGTGAGCGATTGTGGCCGGAATTAGCATATTTTCGCCTGATCCGTCGTCATGAACGCCTTCCTTTTAGTTGGAACAGCTATTCTCTTCATTTCAGTCTATTCACAGGTGTCTAATCTCTTGTGCCGTTCTTTCTAGTCATCCCCCTTTCAGACGTGTTCATGGGCGGTTTGGTCGGAATGGTCTGACTGCTCGGACTCGTGCGGCAGTTGCGGGAACCAGACGAGAAGCCGCACGTGCTCCGGACAGTCCTCCACGTGCACGTGCTTCGGAAACTCGACCCAATCGGAATTGTGCAACGACGACGTGTGCGTGTTCCCGCGGACGAGCTGCTGTTCCGGCGAGCCGGCGTCAGTTCAGGGATTCTTCAAGTGTGCATGAATAGATCACTTATTTTATTTGTACGCTGTTTTCCATGATAAGGCACATGTAATGAAAGTTGTATAAATTACTATGAAACGACTAGAATGAGGAACATTTATGCGCATTCGAACTGTCCGCTGACCGAGGACGGAGAGCCGCTGCAGCAGGAGGTACGGGGGAACTTGCAGATGGCCGGTGAGCACGTTTGCTGCTCACTCGTGTCACTGGAAAACGAATAGGTGAACGAATATTGTGGGTTCTTATGACTTACCCAGAACATGTGCAAACGGTTGTGGTCGCGGAGGTGGAAGAAGAGCACGTGCGGGTTCTCGATTGAGTTCCGCAGTTTCCGCAAGTGTCGCTGCACGAGGACCATTCTCCCCATGTACCCCAGGTGCACGTCTGCAAGGAGAACAGTACAAGTTAGGAGGAGAGATCAGAGGAAAGTTACCTGTGCTTGAGTTACAGCAAACAAACAAAAAACGGTGACGAGAGTGAGAAAGAACGAGTTCATCGCTGATGTGTCGGGCGCTCGGTCGGGCGCTCCTTTTATAAACTTTCGTCGTCTCCCTCCTCCACCTATTTTTGCAAACGGATTAATGTGGATCACAATATTCGAATGCGTCATTTCATCGAAAACTATGACAAGGCGCAGAATGAATGATGTTCTCAATTTGAGAGAAAGAATGAGAGCAGAGAACTTTATGGATGAACTTTTTGTCATGGACAATAACAGAGATTAGCCGAGTGTGTTCCAGGAAAAACAAAAGATCTTAGTCAAGAATCATAGGGAGGGGTTGAAGGATCAGCAATCATGACAAACCGTAAACATGGTCAGGATACGATTTTGTGTTTTGTCGCTCCTGGCACATTTTTTGTGTATCCACGTAACTCTCCAACTTTCCCCGTTCCCCTTTCCTTCTCCCGCTCAAGAGCCCCATTGCATGAGCGGAAGCCAGGTGCGAGGCCATCGTCATGGCAACCAGAAGCCGCCTTTTTCTCCCTCTCCTCGTTTGTTGTTTCCCGCTACACTCTCCTATTCCTATTCTTTGCTTAATGAAACCGGCTCTAATCGAATGGGCACCGCACTGCGGATGGATTTGCGTCGTCACCCAGGATGAGACGTCCGGTGAAGCGAACGTGGCGTTCTCGGATCATTCGGTGAGAGGACAAAGATTGAAAATAGAAAATGAATACCAAATATTGTAGGGAAGTGTGAAAGAGAGCGGACCGACAAAGATCGGAGCGGTGACGGCGGTGAAGTGGCACCCGAAGAAGCAGTTCGTGGCCGTCGGATGGAGGGACGGAGGCGTCTGTTTCGTTCCGAAAGGAGCGAACATTTGTGGGTTTTTACTGAATAGAATTTTTGTAGTAAAGAATATGTTGATTCCAGCCCACTATGTCGTCGAAAAGTACCCTCATCCGGCAAAAGGAGTCGATTGGAGCAATGACGGAACCATTCTGATGACTCTTCATAATGTGAGAATCATAATCTTTTGTGATCTCATTTGAAATTATTTAGCCATCATCTATCCACATGTATACTTATATTGCCATTGGAGATGACATTACAACTACGAATCTGATGCAAGTGGAATTGAATGATGAAGTTATGTTGTGGTGTAAACGATTGAGCTATGAGATGTATGCTCGAGTATCAATAGGACTAAAAGAATAAAGAATTCATTCAGATACCGTCAGAATCAGATATCAGCGGAAGAGGACAGCGGAGTGGATGAGTCTCCGTTCGGATCGAAAGAGCAGTTGGCGGAGAGAAGACCGGAAATGGGGAAGGGGGTACTTCCGACGGGGACCGAGTTCCTCTTCGCGTGCAGGTCGGGAAATATTTATGGAGTCGACAACGAGCGACAGAGAAATGTGCATAAGGTGGAGGGATCTTGACGGATAAGAAACAAAAGAAGAATGTTTGCAGTTGGATTCGGAATGCATGTTCCTGGATTACTGTGAATCGAATAAAGTGATAATCGTGTTCACACGCGACTGCTTCATATTCCACCTCGCAAAAGGAACGTTGGAAGGAAGATGCTCGGAGAAAGTGAAGGTGAAATTGGGCGGAAAGGCCGAGAACTACCGGATGGAGCTGAACGACGGCATGCTTGTCATGTGTTACGGAGAGAAAGAAGTGAGAGTGTGGGACTTGATGAGGGAGGAGAACTTTACCATTCAACTGGAGACGAGCAGGGGGTTTCAAGCAGACGAGACAGTAAATGTAGTCACGGTGAACGGCAGAAGAGGTGAGAAAACAGGAAATGAGGGAAAATGAGAAAAAGCATTCGCAGGAGTGATAACAGCCGCCACTAGCCTCAACAACGTCGCCGAATGGAAGAGAAAACGGACTGATACTCCCGCGGAGACGGCTTGGAAATTGAGTCCGAGCACGCATCTCGAGAGCCCGGTGAGTGAGCACACCGACACGCTAATCCTTCCGTTTTTGCCTCGTTAGATTTCATTGATTCGCTGGAGCCCCGTCGTGAGCACCGCCGCGCTCATCACCGAAGAAAGCCTCGTACTGCTGGGAGAGAACAACGTAATCGTGAAGATGCGTGGCAAGTTGGCCGCCATCCAGACCAGTTCGAACAGCTTCACGCTCTTGAACGCGTCGAGCGGCGTCTCGCAAGACTTGAAACTGCCCATCTCGTCGGCGAGAGGAATCAGTCTGGGCGAGAAGCAACTGGTTGTGTGGAGTGATGATACGGTAGGAATGAAGAGTATTATACAGTTCCGGGTAGAGGAATCATTTCAGGTGGTCACTTACGATGTGCAAAAGTCATTGGCGACCATTCAGTGCACGTCGTTCTCGTGCAACGCGTCTTCCGTCGGGATCGCCAGTCTTAATTTGTTCTGTATTGAGAAGGACAAGATATTGGCGAGAACTCTGCAGGTACATCTACTTGAAGACCTCTTTTCTGTATCGAACCTGTTATTCAGGGAACACTGCGCCAGGAAATATCACTTCCGGAGATTGAAGGCGACCCGGAACTGCTGGATGTTAACAGGAACTTCATGGCGGTGGGCACGACCAACGGGTTCATTCGCATCTATTTCGTGCCTCCGCAAACGAATCCCACTGAGAAGAGTGACAAATCGAGCTCCGAGACGTTTGTGACTTATGCAAAAGATGCTCAGCAGGAGCACAACTCCAAGTATGTTGTGGAGAATGTGAAGAACTTCTACAAGTTCCATTCGATTAAAGTCAATCAGGCAGGGAACAAAGTGGCAGCCACTTATTATGAAGTAACCTCTTACCGCCAAACCTAAGGAAACAGCTTACTATTCCTTTTTAGGATGTTTCCGTGGTCGCCGAGCGTCTTCTTGTGTACGACGCTGAGACAGATTCGGTCTCCTACTTCTCGTTCGATCGCGGAATGACAGACACGCAAGAGTACGAAGCACAGGCGGAGTTGGCTCACACAAGCAGCGGACGGCCGGTGACTGCGGCAGCGCGGAAGATGGCCAGGGAGCAGTCGCGGTTCACGATGATGAACCACAGGCCAGGCACCGTCGAGTGGGATGAGAACGACCCGCGGTATCTGGTTGTCGAGTGCAATCATATTGAGCCCGAATCGGTAGGGCTTTCGGCTTTTGTTTTACCCTGTTTCTTATCAATAGATTGTTTCAGATAGACCAAAGAGTTCTGACCGCATTCGTGACTTCTGAGCATGGAATTCAACTGCAAGGCATTCAACAGAAAAGTTCCCATTGCGGAAAACTCGTTTCCGTTTCCGTTCCAAACTTTTACTTTGTGAGAAAATCAGGCTGGGATGAGGAAGATAGTCGAGGCGAAAGAACTATCGGAAAGACGCTTGTGGCCAAGTGCCTTCGCGAATTCCTCGGAAATGACAATTGTGACGAGGCGACCAGGAAGGCAATGATGGACTTTTCGTTTTACCTGACGATCGGAAGCATGGATGCGGCATTCAAAGCAATTCAGTTCATGAAGAGTGAGAGTGTCTGGGAGCACATGGCGTCGATGAGTGTGAAGACGCGTCGGCTCGACGTGGCAATGGTCTGTCTGGGGCACATGAAGAACGTGCGAGGAGCACGGGCGGTGCGCAAATCCCATCTGAACGGAGAGAACGATTCGATGAAGTGCGCGGCGTTGGCCGTCGAGTTGGGAATGCTCGAAGAGGCTCAGATCATCTATGCTCAGAATGAGCGCTACGATCTGGTGAACAAACTGTACCAGGCGCAGAATATGTGGTCGGCGGCGTTCGAAGTGGCAGAGACGAAAGATAGAATACATTTGAGAAACACGCACTACAACTATGCCAAGTTTTTAGAGGCGAAGAAAGATTCGACAAGCATTGAAGCGGCAATTGAAAAGTATATTCGAAGTATTCTGATTTCGGCTCATATATTATCGGTTTTCAGCTACGAGAAAGCGGGAGTGCATGCATTTGAAGTGTTCCGGATGCTGAAAGATTATCCAAAACAGATTGAGCAATATATAAGACGGAAACGCGAAGAGTGAGTGAACCTAGACGATCTGAATTGTCCATTGTTCCGTTTTAGTGCTCTGTATACCTGGTGGGGAGCGTATCTGGAGAGTTTGGGAGAACTGGAGGGATCCGGCAGCTTCTACTCCTCTGGCAAGGACTTCTATTCGTTGGTCCGCGTGAAGTGCATGCAAGGCAAGCTCGAAGAAGCCTCTCGATTGGCGGAAGAGTCGAAGGACAAGGCGGCGTGTTACCTCATCGGAAGAATGTACGAGAACGACGGAGACGTCACTAACGCTGTGAAATTCTTCACGAAGGCCAGAGCCCTGTCGTCCGCGATCCGACTGGCGAAGGAGCACGATATGAAGGACAGACTGGCCAACTTGTGTCTGATGGCCGGAGGATCCGAGCTCGTCAGTGCTGCCAGATACTATGAGGATCTACCCGGATACGCACACAAAGCAGTCATGCTCTATCACAAAGCGGGAATGATAGGAAGAGCTCTGGATCTCGCTTTCCGAACGGAGCAGTTCAGTGCTCTCGATCTAATCACGAAGGATCTGGACGCAGACACTGATCCCAAAATTCTCAAAAGAGCCGCTGAGTTCTTCGAGAGCAATCAGAACTACGAGAAAGCCGTCAATTTTCTGTGTTTGGCCAAGGAATTCTCAGCCGCCGTCCAGCTATGCAAAGCGAGAAGTGTGCGGGTAACGGACAAGTTTGCAGAGCAATTAACGCCTTCGAAAGGTAAACGATTCTGAGAAATGTGGAAGAAATGCAAGTGATTCAGATGATATGCCAAATGCACAAGAAAGAAAGAGAATTCTGGAAGTGGTCGCTGAGCTGTGCCTTCAGCAGGGAGCCTACTCTTCCGCCGCGAAGAAGTTCACTCAAGCTGGGGACAAACTATCTGTAATTATCTGTTTGTTTGTGTAGAACACATATTTCTGTTTCAGGCAATGCGTGCTCTGCTCAAGTCCGGGGACGTTCAAAAGATTCGATTCTTTGCGAACACCGCCCGAAACAAGGAGATTTACATTCTGGCGGCGAATTTTCTGCAAACCACAGATTGGCAAGACAACCAGCAGACGATGAAGGACATTGAGACGTTCTACACGAAATCTCAGTCGTTTGAGCATTTGGGGAACTTTTACAAATCGGTGGCCATTGTGAGAAAAGAGTAAATTCATGAGTTATCAGTCACAATTTAGCTGGAAGCAGAGAATCTGAGAATGCTTGACAAGGCAATGACGGCTCTTGAAATGGCGGCGGTTTGCATCGGAGAGGCGGAGACAAAAGGACTGGCGACTGCAGGAGTGGAGGCTTTGAAGGAAGACATCAAAAAGTACGTGGTGCAACTGAGGAAACTGCAGAAGATTCTCGAGTGAGCTGCCGATCTTGAAGCCTCGATTATGAACTAATTTTCAGAGTTATGAAGAACGATGCCGCTGATGGAATCCGTCAGCTGACTACATTGGCCGAAGAGTCTCTCGAAGATGACATCGTCCCGTGCACTCGTCTCTTCGCACTTCTCATCGAAGACTATGCGGCGAAGAAGAACTGGAAGCTTGCTTATCGCTCAATAACCGGATTGCAGAAGAAGATTCCGAACGTGGACCTGGAGACGTTTGTGGAAAAGGAGACACTGGACAAGGTGTGTGATGAGATGCGAGTGGACCGAGTCACTAAGCAGAACAAGGAGGAGGTGGAGTCCGATGGAGAGGAAGTCGACTTTTCGCATTCACTCAGACGACAGAATATCACTTGATTGTGAATTTACAAACATAAATAATTTTTCTCTTCTTCTCTTTCTGCTTAAAAGTCCTTCATTGCCTTCCTGATCGCCTGCCTCATCGCCGTGAATTTTCTAACGAGCATAAGCTTGGCAAGGTAAATAGTAAGTAACAAAATAAATAATTTATTTCTACTACCAGAGTGAAAGAGTGATATTTCTGCGAAGATACACGTTCTGTTGCGGACTCAAAGCTCCGATTTGAAATTGGAAGCCGGCAATCCGTTCGACATCTTGAATGGTGGCTGTGTAGTCGAGGAGCACAGCGTCAGAGCTCTGAAATGTTTTTCGTTTATTACAGGATGGGCCGTCTACTTACCATGCAATCCATTGTTGACTTTCTGTCCAAAATGGGGAAAACAAAAGCCAATGCTCTCATTTCCGATATTTTTCTGCATAATGGAGGGTTAAAAGAGAGCCAAGTGCCAGTGCAAGTGAAGAGAATACGGTAGAAATGAGTGGGATCTCTGAAAGTGAAAACCAACTTAAGTCGGCTAGAAGGCGTTGCCTCACCCATCCTTATCAGCAATTCCATCGTTATTTGCATCCGTAGCCGTTCCAGACAGCACGAAAAGCTTTCCAAATCTTTGCAAATACTCGCTTGTCTTATCCTGAAGAGGCGCCAACACATCTGAAATGTATACAGCATGATATTAAGTACACCAAATTACTTTTCAAAAATAGAGTTGGAAAATTGAATTGGGCATCTGCGATGTGGCTGATGGCTGAAAAGTACAGAAATGAAACACGAAAGACGTCACTGACTATGAGCGACCTTTGATTCCAGCCGAGAAAAACTGAAGATTGCGGGTGTCATTGGGACATTGATAGTTGTACTTAGTATTCAGAAAACTGTACGTTTCCCCGTTGAAACTATGCGTTTCTTCAGTTTCAGATGACGTGAGCATTTCGACGACGGCCTTCCGACAGTCTCCTTTGTTCACACTTGCTATGATCGAGTTATCGCAGTAACTTTGGAAGCAGTGATCCTTCGAGTAGATGGGAAGATCCTTGATTTGAGAACAAGTTTCCAGTCTGGATGAGATCTTTCTCTGCAAATCTCTCTTTTTATACGTTCACGATAAATTGACTCACTCGAATAGTGTCTGGTATTTTGTAACATTCAAGAGTCTCCGTGGATCCAAAGTTTGGGCATTCCCTGTAAAAAAAAAATACTTCCTGGTAAAGAGAACGTTTTCACTGGCTCGACAGTATTCCAATTGTTCTCTCTCGTAGGCGGTCTCTCTAAAATACTATCAAAGAAGCCGATGGTTCCATTGTTCTCAACAGCTCCTTCGATTCCAAGTAAAGAGAGCCAAAGGTTCATGTACTGAACATTTTGGAACGGAGGGACCGTCACGTTCTGCCGGAATGAGGGACCACGGGCAAACATGACAGTGTGCATGTTCTCATTCAAATAGTCATATCCGTGATCGCCGAGGTTGGTGTCACTTCTGAACAAATCATAGGAGAGGGATTGAAAATTATTGTGCTTACTTTAAGAATGTGGTTCCGGCCCGGCCTTCAATGATAATGTCTCCGACTCGTCCTGTCTTCGAGTAATGCTTCCGTACAGGAATGTCTTTGACCGTATTCAATTTGACTCCATCCACTTTGCACCTCATCTGATCTGCCACGTCATTCACGGCCAAATCTGTTCTTGTTTTACACATTACGCCTATTCTCCTTTACTTACGTACCTGTGCTATTCAGATGTAGTCTGGCAACAACTCCATTTGAGAATATCCTTCCGTCTATATTTATGTAATCCTTCACATTTACAGTATTGTTGAGAGCTTGCATTCCATGATCCGACACTATCACTAGATTGATACACTCCAGCAGCCGTTCTTCGTACAGGGTCGTCATCAACGTGTCAATGTACTTGTCCACGTCTTCCAGTGCCTTATTCACATCCTTCTGTGCATGTCCGGCTGAATCCGGCTGATGAAGGTAGGCAGTTATCAGTCCTGGTCGCTCGTCCGACGGCAGTTTCAGCCACTCGACGAGTGTATCGATTCTATCCTGAAGCGGAAGTTCCTGGTTGTAATCTGGCGACACGTCGGGCATGAAACCAGTGTTATTGAAATAGCAGCCGACCCAGAAAAGACAGTGTGCACGTTCTCCGGTCAATCGTTTGTAGGCGGACCAGATCTGAAAGCTAAATGTTATTTTTTTTTTTAAATACAAGACAAAACATTACAGGTTCTCCGCCGTAAAACTGCTCGGCTTCAGCTGCTCTCATTGCTACTAACTTTGGAGAAATCTCGGGATCATAGACATTATTGTCAGCTGAAAAGGAAAAAGTAGTGAATAAAGTGAACAAGTGCAAACTGATTCCATGAGATTCCGGGTACAATCCAGTCATCATCGTGTAATGATTCGGAAAGGTCTTCGAAGGGAACGAAGGGTATACTCTGTCCGCTTTGGCACCACATTCAGCTATCTTCTCCAGCGAATCGACAATGTTTCTGCCGAGATACTCTCTCGCGAATCCGTCAAAACTCAGAATCATAAGCGGCGGTTTCTGGTATCCGTCCAGCTCGCATTTTTGCAGATTCTCACATCCTGCCCATGAGTACTTTCGTGGAACGCTCTAAATATTGTATACACGGTTTTTAGGAACAGGGGCACAAGTTATGTACATCTACCGCAGCCGTGTATCGAAATAAAAGTCCGAAAAGCAAATAGAATAGGACTAGAGTACCGATCATCCAAGTTTCTGAAGAATTGGGAAGATGAAAAGCGGAAAAAGAGAAGAAAACGAGTGGAAAGAAAGGAAGAAAGAAAGAGAGAGAGAGAGAGAGAGAGAGAGAGAGAGGGAGGCTTTTGTGTTAATCAATTGATCCCGACAAGAATGGACATCAATCAATCATTCGACCGAGAAAAAAGAGAACAAACGTTACAAAAATTGAAGAATTCCTTGAACAAGTACTTTCCAGTCCTTTCCCTTTATTTGCTTTCCGAGACCAACGACTTAGTGTGGTGGGAGAGCGGAGAGGAATATAAAAATAAAAACATGACAGTGTCACTGAACTTGTCATCACGTCCGAGTCGAAATCTGGTTTTAAAGCGGGCGAAAATCTTTTATTCATTTAAATTCACAGTCGGTGAAAATTGATTGACCGGAGAGAGTGTGTACCCGTAACATGTCGGTATGCTTCTTCTGATCACCAGAGCGCGCTGGTTATGTTTCGGCGGAGCACCACGTTTTGCTGCTGACTGAGGGCTCCCAGGCCGAACTGGAAACCGGCAATCCGCTCGACGTCGAAGATCGTGGCCGTGTAGTCGAGAAGGATCGCGTCCGATTCCTGCAGATCAGATGTTTGTTGTTTCTACAAAAGGAAACATACCATGCAATCCATTGTGGATTGCTCGACGATCGGAAAGATGAACGCCAACGTTTGCATAGCCTCGGAATCCGTGCAGAGCGGAGGATTCATTGAGAGCCAATTGGATGAGCAAGTGAGGAATATTCGGTAGAAATGAGTGAGTTTAGTACTGAAATGGAACAGAAATGGGTCCCTCTGGAAGTACGGACACTAACCCTGAAGCATCAGCGACGCCGTCATGATTCGCATCGGTTGCGGTTCCGGAAATCACGTACATCTTTCCGAACTTGTTCAAATATTCCACTGACTTTGCTTGCAGCGGATCCAGAACTTCTGCAATCAATCAAAACCTTTTCGATTGAATGGAATCGTCACTCACTTAGAATAAAGTTATTCGGGAAGGTAACTTGTGCATCCGCCATGCTACTCATTTCTGAAATCGGTTCCGTTTCAAAGAACTTCATATTGATCGCTTACGAGACGTTTTGAGTATTGTGATACTTTCTGATGACCCATTGACAGTCGGACAAGTGTATTGGTATTTGGCATTGACAAAAGTGTAATTAGCGGGTGTGACAACTTCATCCCGGGACAGAACTTCGATGATTGCTCGTCGAGCATCTTTCCCATTTCGGTTCACAACTACAGAGTTTTCACAATAGCTTTGAAAGCAGAGACTGTCCGAGTAAAGAGGGAGATTGGTGGGCGAGAAGGCGCAGGATGTGAGCTTGGAGGAGAGCTGGCTCTGAAAAAAGAGTAAAGTTGGTTATGGTATGAAAGCTGAAACTGACCAAAGTGTCAGCGGAGACATCTCCGGAACACTTGAGAGCAGAAGGTAGGGCAGCCATTGGGCACTCTCTGGAAATGGAAAATTGTCTAGAAGAAAAGGGAATCTCAAACGAACGCGACAATATTAGTTGGATTATCTCTTCTGGGTGGGCTCGTGAGTGCTTCATCGAAGAATCCGACAGTTCCATTGGTCTCAACGGCTCCTTCGATTCCAAGAAGGTTCATCCACAAGTTCATATATTGTACGTTTTGATACGGAGGTATAGTATAATTTTGCTTGAATGAAGGCCCCCGGGCGAAGAATATTGTGTGCATTTTCGGATTGAAATAGTCGTATCCGTGATCTCCTGACAGTTCGTAATCATCTGCTAAGCTTCTGAATTCTCTGATATCTCTGGATGATTCGACATGACGAAAATGCTCACTTGTAGAAGGTGACTCCAGCCCGTCCTTCCAAAATAACCTCTCCAACTCGATCACTTCTTGAATAATGCTTTCTGGTTGGCAAATCTGCTCTTGTGTTTGCTTTCACAGTGTCGATTTTGCAACGAAATTTGTCTGCCACGTCTTCAACGGAGATGTCTGTAACTTGGAATTGGGTTCAGACATGAATCGGTCTCACTCACTGCTATCGTTAATGTACATCCTTCCAACAACACCTTTCGCAGTCACCAGCCCGCTCAGATCCAAGAAGTCTTGGAAGTAGTAGGTCTTATCGATGAGCTGCATTCCATGATCCGAAAGGATGGCAAAGTTGATGCATTCCAGAAGGTTCTCCTCGCTCAGCCGACTCATCAGGTAGTCCAGGTTGTCGTCAATCTCCGCCAACTTCTCATCGACGTCTTCTTCGTCCACTTGATAATGTCCCGCATTGTCGGGCTCGTGAAGATAGGCGGTAATCAGTCCGGGCCGTTCGTCCGCCGGCAATTTCAACCAATCAATCACCATGTCGATTCGATTCCGGAACGGAAGTTCCTGATTGTACTCGGGTGCCACGTCAGGCGGGTATCCGCTGTTGTTGTAGGCGCATCCCACCCAGAACAGACAGTTCGCCTTGTTCCCCGTTTTCCGTTTGTACACCGACCAAATCTGAAATGTTCAGTCTTTCGCTTGCAGTCAGATTACTAAACTTACGGGCTCTCCAACAAAGTATTTTGCGTATTTGGTGCTTTTCATAGACTCGAGAGCCGGGGAGATGGTCGGATCGAAAACACTGTTATCGGTGATTCCATGAGATTCCGGGTAGAGTCCTGTGACGATCGAGTAGTGATTGGGGAACGTTTTCGAAGGGAACGAAGGATACACTCTGTCGGCTTTCACTCCACAATCGGCAATGTGATTGAGAGTCTGCACAATGTCCCGGTCCACGTATTCCCTCGCGAAGCCGTCCAAACTCAAAATGACAAGAGGAGGCTTTGTATAACTGAAAATTCATTGCTTACTAAAAACCGCTGTGGACTGATTCTCACCCGGACAGTTGGCATTTCCCCAGATTCTCACATCCTTTCCATTCATATCTAGCCTTTGGAGATCTGCGAGGTGGCTCTGGAGTGGTTTCGGGACCGGTTACGATGGGGTTGATGGGCGAGACGGCGGGCTTCGGAGCCTGCGTTGGCAACGGAACCCCACCCGGTAACGGCATGTTGGCCAATCGGTCTAACGTTGGTCCCAGCTGCTCCAAAGGCTGTTGAAGTTTCTGGAAAGCGAATACATATTCTGAGCGGTGCCACATTGCAACTAACTTGTGATAGTTCTTCGAATTGTGTTTTAGAAGCAGTCATAACACTTTCAGCATTCGCATTCGCTTCTTTCAGCTGCGTGAGAAGCAAAACCACAATGAGAATGACGACCATCGCGAGAATGACGGCGACGAGACCGATGGCCGAAAGGAAGCAGAAACGACGGTTGAACCACCGTTTTGTTTCGTCGACTTCTGCAAATCCACTGTTTGCCGCCGGTCACCGAGCACTTTTTAATAAAATGGGTGGGAGAAGGAGACGAACCTTTAACCGATCAAGAAAACGAATGAGGGATCAGTTGCAAAAAGAGCCGCCACTAATAATAGAAACGTGATCAGACAATCATTCGAGAAATCATTGTGGTGATGTGAGAGGGCGCAGAGATCTGATATTTGAGTTATTCGAGTGAGAACGGCTGGCAAATAGTGAAGTTGGCGAGATTTGAAGGAGGTTTGCAACAGTCTCACGCCGCCGACAAAGAACAAAAAGAAGAAGAAGAAGAAGAAGAAGAATGAAGTGATTGAGACTGCTAACGATTTATCTTATCTCTGTTGATTATGTCACTGATAATGCCATCCCTACCTACCCGGTTGGAGGGGTTAAAGCAAGCGCTGGAAATTTCCTACCAAGTTGTACTTTTAGACCTAAATTGAAGTGTTTCGGGTCCAAGTTTGAGACAGATTGTATGAATTACTCTAGAGTTATGTGGATGGATGGTCATATCTCGGAATCTGAAACTTGGACCAATGATACTTCAATCCAAGTCTAAGAGTTTGCAATTGGGTGTAAAGTTCTATTGCATAGTCCTGCGTAAGTTGAAAGGGACCTTCATGAACTCACCCTCATACTGTATGGTTCCGTTGTCGGTGGTCCCTGTCGAGAGAACCCGCACCTGGTTGACCATCATGGGGCTCTGCAACAAAAATGATTGATTCCGTATGGAATATATGCAAATGGGAATGGGTTGGAATTCAGCAGAATTGAATGTACATGTCAACAAATAACTTTTCTTCTTTCCGATCAGAATCTAGTTTGGTTTGCCATTCAATGAGTAGCTAGTGGCTCCGCGGCGGGATCCAACCGCAATGACCTAAGCTTTACACCGCACTTCTCCTCCTCTCCGTGTGCCACTGATCGATTCAAAAAGTGTACTTCGGCGGCGAACTGTGATGCAACCCACTCGTAAAGTGTAGCCCGAAACACGGTTTTAGTCTTTTCCGCATGACACACACTGACCTGGTTCAAGTTGGTTTTCATTCAGACACAGAGTAACGGAAAGAGTAACGGAAAGGGAAGGCAAGGAAAAGATCAGGTGAGTCCGTGAAAGGGGGCGGAGCCTTCAGGCAATCTAATCACACTTCCCGCTCTACACAATCCCTGCGTAATCGTTTGTGCGCCCGTTGGTCTTTCGAGTCCAGATTTAGCGGATTTGAGGAAGGCAGGAGACGTGCCGAATTCCAGGAAACGGCTGGCTTCGCCTCCAGAGAATGTGTGCAAAAGAGTCAAAAGAACAGGTTCAAAACGGAGCATTTTTTGATGTTTTGGCATGCACGTTATCAGTCTGAGGTTCCGAAACAAGTGTCGCTAAAACAATTGTATACACACACCACCGCACTACAAAATGGAGAAGGAAGAATGAGCGGACGGACGGCGGTGGTCAGTTGGCCTCCCGAAATGTGCCCCTTGGCAACCAGCCAAATGTATACAAACGGGGCAGAGAGACCCTTTTTAGACTCTTTTTGGGGACCCGCGGGAAGACTCACTTTTTCCATCGCATCGTTGGAGCTCATGCCCGAGAAGAAAGAGAAGAAGGGAAAGGTAGACGGGAGGAGAAGAGGGCCGCCATCACTTATCAGCTGATGATTCGAATCAATTGCACTTTCCGGCCAAGTGCCCGTCACTCAGTCCTCCCAATTTCTTTTTCAGGTTGTCATGCTTTTAATCATAATCCGAATTATTAAAAGATTCGTCAGAAGAGACTCGAGGATTTCCGGCGAAAATGATGAATAAGTAAGAGTCTCGTGTTCGTGAATACCTAATATCCAACGCCTCTGCAGTCGAGCCATTCCGACATGTTTCTGTTCGACAGACTCCCCAGAGGACTTCGAATGTGGCGCAGACAGCTTCTGGCGAACAAGGAGAGTTCGCGGGTTCAGGTTCGTCTCGAGTGGTCCTCTCTGAGGGTGCACTTCAAAGAAACAATTCAAAAAGAAGGGATTCGCTTCGGCCAAAAGACAGAACCGATTTGAGAGATTTGGAAACCATAACTACTGCAAAATTGACACCCTCACGCAGTTGACGGACAATACGCGAATTGTTTATTGAATGGCGCCAGAAGTCAATGTACTTCTTCTTCTTCTTCTTCTCCTTCTCCTTCTTCCTCATCGTTTCTTCTCAAGAATCCCTCGCTCTTTTTGCGTTTCTTTCGCCTCCTGAAATGATTCTAATGTGCCTCTTCGGAATGTGTTCGCAGGCAAGTCATCATCATCCTCCTGCCTTCACATAAATTATGAGACCACCAGAAATCATAAAGAAGAGCGTCTCCTCCGCCGTTTATTGGTTGGCACCTCTTGGCCCTCACTTTCGCTTCTTCCTCTTCTTCTTCTTCTTCATTTTCTTCATATTCTTCTTGCTCCTCGTTCGGCCAATATATTTTGACAACCGGCGAACACGAAACAACCAACGCGTCCTGAATTGTTGTTCCTCCCCCTTTTCTGGGACGGCACACGAATCTGCGACCAAGGCGCAAAAATAGGCAATTTTTCGTGGTAGTTTGTTCCGTCTTCTCCATTCATTCATCTCTAGATTCCGACGATGGAGAAAGACGGTGTCGATGAGCCGGTGAGTCATTCCGGTACCATTCGCCAAGACGCACAGGAATTGTGTACTTTTGTTTTTGAAAAATGATATGTATTCGTTCGTTTGTCCATACTTTGAGTCGGATCGGAAATAGATTTCTTTTGCGAAATGGAATTGTCGTGAGAATTTCACACTTAAAATTTTCACTAAATTTGATGCTGCGCCTTTAAGCTACAGTACTCCTAACGCTGTGTTCAGGCAGTCTTTTCTCATCGTAAAATTTTCTAAAATGTTCCCCTGGTCTCCGTGTTCATGTTTTATTGTTATGTGCGATTAAACAAACATTCCTTTTCTTCTGAAGCGCGATTCAAAAAAGTACAGTGATCGGCAAAGTTCTGAAAGCGGCGCGGAAATTGATTCTCTGGGTATTGTCCACGATTCCCTTTGACGCCTTTTTGTTTCCGATAAGAAGAAACTAATTGAAAAAGATGGAAGATGAGACATCGTCGGTGAGATCGGCCGCACTGATTCCGACACCTTTCCAGCGACAATACCTTGTTGCAGCTGCTGATGGGGTCTGCGAACAAGAAGGAGTCCGCGGAAAATGCGACAGCGAACGGATCCGCCGTCGATGAGAACGTCGTCTACAAAGTGAGTTCATCTAGCTTCTCTTCAGAATTCCGTCGTTTCAGGTGTATCGTGCTCGATGGCTTGTGCTCGCTGTCTGCTGTTTTCTCGCCCTCTCCAATGCGATGGTTCCGTTCAAATCTTCTAAAGCAGTTGCCCAACTGATTATTTTCAGCAATGGATAAGCTTCAGTTCTCTATCGGAAGAAGTGCAAATGTACTATCGGGGTCGTCCAGCGAACGGTAGCATGGACGTGTCGCTCGTTACTAACCAAATCTTCCAGGTAACTTGCCGATCGTCTCGTTTAATTTTTGAAAGTTTTCAGTTTGTCGCGGTTTTCACTGGATTCGGTGGAATGTACATAACTGATAACAAAGGAATCAAAACAGCCGTGAGTACCAGTAACTGATACTACCTACAAAACCTAATCTCAATACATTTCTAGAGTCTCCTCGGAACCAGTTTGAATGTGGTCGGAGCTACTCTTCGAATGATCGCCTCTGTTCCGTACATCGAATCGCATCTGACTCGCGAGATTCTGCTTCACGCCGGCTCATTCATCGCCGCCTCTGCACAGGCCTTCTTTCTGGTGCTGCCTTCGAAAATCGCCGAGTGCTGGTTCCCCGGAGATCAGAGAGCCATCGCCAATGTTCTTTCGTTTGTCGGTCAGTGTGCAATTGTTCTTTAGATGCATCGTTTTCATTTGCAGCGAATCCGGCCGGTGTTGCACTGGGAACCATCGTCCCGTCCATTTTGTTCAAGGAATACACGAGCATTCACTCTGCACACTGGATATTTTTCTTTTTTGTCAGATAGAAACATGCTCTTTTCAGTGCAAACGTTCTTTTTCCAGACCCTCGGAATGGAATGTCTTGCCCTGTTCCCGTTCGTTCTTGCCCTTTTCGTCCGGACCAAACTGCCCCCAACTCCTCCGTCCGCCTCTTCCGCGGCTCATCAGGACAACATCGGCTTCGTCAAATCGATACTTCACTGCATTCTGTATCTCTTCGCATTGCTTCCCCACTGATTTGACATGCTTTTTTCTTTAGAAACGTGCAATTCTTCATTCAAATGTGCCTGTTCGCATTCGCATTCTCCCTTCTCTGGAGCCTCATGATCTTCCTCGATGGACCGCTCAAAGACCAGGGCTACGAGCTGGCCGGGTGCGAGAAAAGGACGAGGAGCGCCGGATGAATTAGTCATTTTACAGATATCCGACTGCTGTTTGCGCCGTCGTCGGCACGCTGACTTCGTTGCTCGCAGGTCATATTGCTGACAAAACACGCAAGTTCAAAGTGAGTGATACATCGAGAAAGAGAAAGAGACAGCATTCGATTTCAGGAGATCATCAGAGTATGCACGTGCGGATTCGCATGCTCAGTTATCACACTGCGAATGGTGAGTCAGAAAGGGAAACAGAACGGTTACTTTTTTCAAAATCAAATTCCAGTTTTTGAACAAAAGAAGCGAAGGTCCTCTGGATACTGTGATCGTCTACGTTCTCTGCGGATGTCTCGGTGCTTTCTCGATACCCCAGTTCCCAATCGGAGTTGAGCTGGGAGTGGAGACGACGTTCCCCGTGATGGAAGCCACTTCTTCTGGAGTTCTTGTCATATTCGGGCAAGTTTCATTCATCCAATATCCTGTAAAGCTCCAATTTGTTCTAGATCCTTGTTCATGTTCATCATTCCGTTCGTGCAGACGTACACAGAAAGTCTCCGACTCTTCTACGCGCAGTCCTGGAAATGTAGGTTCCTTCTCAAATTCACATAATCGAATTTGTTTCAGTCGCTCTCGATGTCACCTGCGGCTTGTCTCTCGTCTCTGTCATTCTCTCCCTTCTCTTCCTCAAACCACGGTACGTGTTGAACTTTGCATTTCTATAAAATTATTTCTCTTTAGATATCGTCGATTGGAACTCGAAAATGCGCAATCGCCAGTGGCCGCTGAGAAGGAACCGCCTGTCCGAAGCCCGGGATCGTCTGAAATTGAGATGCGCTGAACTCATTTTCTGCCCTTTTTATACTCTTTACTCATAATTCCTTTTTATTCTATACTGATCATAGCATTTTGTATTTCTTACTTTATACTATCTATGTACCATAGGCCCATTTTGCACACATCCTTTTCACCTTTTTCTCAGTTTGTGCTGTCCTGTGCTATAGTCCGTTCACCTATCTAAATAGTCCCGTTCATTGCACCCAGCTTCGACTAGTCCCCGTTTCCCAAATGTTCATATCTCATTGTGTTTCTCATGGCAAACTTTTCAGAAGAATGTTTATATTTTCATCATGTTTCCAATTTGCTCGACCAAAAGTCAGAAGTTGAGACGGTTTCCTCGATAACACGAAAAAACAGAGCTCACGTGACAGTCGGCGCACTGATAACAGCTCGGTGGGCAATCTTAAAAATTGATTCTCAATTCGGCGATTCATGTTTTATGGCCAAAGTTTTAGTTTTTCACAGATAATAAAAGGAAGTTCGAACCGGATAACCGGGTCGACAGTGAAAGTTTTTGAGCGGTCGTGATCATGACCGCGTACAGACAGAATTTTTTCTATTTTTTGGACACTCCTTTTACTGCCAGTGTTTTCCGATCAGTCAAACTGTTCCGTAGATCATTTACAACCCGTTTCTAAACTAAACTGCCAACATTTTCATTTGAAAGTGTCGAAACCAAAGGGTTTCCAACATTTCATCGGTTTTCCCATTGATTTCATGTTTTCCAACCGCATAAAAACGACTCGTGCGTTCACATACAAAACAAGTATTTATTGGCAGGCACACAAAAAACGACTGTCAACTGGCCGCCTGCCGACCTAAAATCATCATCTCGAACTTCCGTTTTTCTCATTCTCTGAGTTTGCAGAAATGAGCGAGGAAAACGTAGAAAATGAGTATAAGGTGAGTGATGAGGGAAGCGAGATTTCTGGAAAAACCCCCCAAGGATATTCAGGTGTACACAGAACGATGGTTTATTCTGCTGGCAACTGCCACTCTCATCTGGTCTAATATTATGGTAATAGCTATTGCCGCCGCAGAAATCTGGCAATCTCGCTCTGAGGTAGAGCGTCATTGCCAGAGTTCTAATATCATCTGAACATTGACTTCTGCTATTGTAGCAATGGGTAGCGTTCTCTGCACAAATCGACCAGACCAACATGTTCTTCTGTGGTCCCGATGGCTTCTCCGATTGTACTGCCGCATTCCTTTCCAATCAAATCTACCAAGTAACCACCCACCCCACTCGTTTTGACTCTCTGTCTTGTAAGTGCACACAGCTTCATTACAGATCGTTGCAGTAATAGTCAGCATAATAGGAATGTATTTTGCAACTGTATTCGGGACTCTACCCACTGTAATTCATTTGTTAGCCTGTCACCCGGATATTTCCGATTTGCAGCTCCGACTAGCCGCGGTTTTCAATATTGTCGGCTCCGCGATCCGTCTCGTCTCTTCCATTCCTTCCCTTCAGAACTTTGTTATCCGACAGACTCTAATGCTAATCGGAACGAGCGTTTCGGCTGCTGCTCAGATGTACTTTGTAGTTTTCTCAAAAATCGCGGAAAGTTGGTTCTTCCCAATGCACAGGGCTTCTGCAAATGTTGCTTGCTCAAACAGTAGGTCACACGCCATAATGCAAATTGAGCAAGAGTTCATAGGTCTCGAGCTCGGAGTCGTTCTCGGTACCTTCCTTCCGTCAATCATCGTCCCTTCTACTTTTAGCGCAGACATCGTAACTCCTGGAGTTTCTTCTTCATGGTAACCATCGTTCCATAGCTTCCCGTTCTAATTATCACTACCAGAACTCGATCGTCTCAGTTTTCTGTCTGCTTCCCCTCTTCCTTCTTTTCGTTCTCTGCCGCCGATCCGTTCCGAAGACGCCTCCATCCGCGTCTTCCCAGCACGAATCCAACATTTCCGTGACCAGCGGAATCTTGAAATGTTTCAAGTAAGCGCCTCCTCGTCTCTCCTCACATCTCTCTCACAGGGATCCTCAGTTTCTGGTACAAATCGTGGTGTACTCAATCAACTTTGCAATTGCCAACGGTCTTATTTACACTTCAAATGCCATCAACTACCAGGGATATAACTTGAAGGGGTAAACTGTGAAAGTGAGCAAGTATGAAAACCTATAATATCTTAGGTATCCGATCGCCATCGCGACACTTGTTTGTATGTTTTCTGCGTATTTTGTCGGAGTGATTGCTGATCGGACAAGGAAATTTAGAGTTTAGATTTAGAACAGTTCCAACTTAAATGTCACCTGTGTTTTTAAGGCAATCGCGCTGATCAACGTTTGTGTGATCGCAGTGTCCGTACTTTTTCTCAGATTAGTAAGTGATCACGTGGTGGATTGTACTACACATAAGTTACTGTACCCAAGTTTTTCAGTACCTCATAAAGGCCTACTCCGGATGGTACGATTCAGTAATTGTTTGCACGCTTCTGAGCATCATCAGTAAGTTGCCCACTTCTTCTTCAACTTCTTTGCCTTTGAGTGTCTTGCTGTGCAATCCACATTCCGATCGGAAATGAGATGGGCGTGGAGACGACGTATCCCGTGCAAGAATCTATTTCCACTGGCGTTCTCAACACTTTTGGGTCTCATTTCAATTATTTCATCATCACTTTTCAAAGCATTTTACAGACAAACGTGGCTTTTTTCGCTCTACTTTATCCTTTACGCGCTTCAAGACTCTCACTGGATTTACAAGAGCTCCGGAAAAGGTGGCAGTTGGCAGTGTAAGTAGCTCTCAATAGTTTTCCCATGTAATCGATGTTCACTTCAGTGTCATTGGACTTCTGGGTCGCCGTTTCTGTGCTGAACGCGTTCATCGCTCTCCTGTTTCTCAAACCTCGATACAACCGACTTCAGATGGAAGAAGAAGCGAAAGCGACGGAGGAATCGATTCGGGAGTCTGCAATCACTATCTGTAAATATTGAGAACTCGTGTTTGTAAATAAATTTGGAACAAATTTACCCGGGGTCTCTTCAGTTTTTTGGAATGAAAAAGCAACGGAGGAAAGGAGCATATGATCGGTCATCAATCACTAGGCTAATCGATTATCTGGCTGGCTCCGAGGAAGAGAGAATCATCCAGAACACAATCCGTCTCTCATCTCCCTATCTCTTTCGCAGCGCTTTTCATCCCTCACCTCCGAATGTTCCCCTCTTCTTTCCTAATCTACCCACTATTCCTCACGATTGTACTTGCTCAATTTCCGAACAATGATTCCATCGTGCATCGTAAGTGCCGCCCGTCGTTCGAATGAATTCGACGTCTGATTCAGATGACGGACGTCTGTGGGATGTGGTCATTGAGACGTGCGACAAGGACGGAGCAGGCACCGACGCGGCCGCCTATCTGAAAATATTCTACGAGTCGGGACACGATTCGGAGACTTTCCACCTGGATAATCCGGGAAGAAACGATTTTGAGCAAGGCTCGCGGGATCACTTCAAGATCTTCTTCAAGCAGTCGGACATTGTCAACATGGGACTTTTCTGGTGGCCGGGTTTCAGTCTCAGCCAGTCTTGGTGTGTCAATTGGGTGAGTTAGATAGGAGCACTCATGTATTCCATTTCACACTTACAGGTTCTTCTTCTGAACTCTGACACCGAAGCGTGTTTCGAGGGCATCTTCGACAAGTGGATCCTTCATTACAGGTTCGGAAAAGGTGTCCACGGCCCGGCTTTTCATACATGGGACTTTCGGTTTTTTCAATATATCTTCAAAAATCGACCATAGGGACCTCTGATTTTTTGATAAGAGTTCAATTTTACTGGGTTCTTCAAAATGGACCAGGTCAGAGGTAAATGTAAGGTTTCTGAGAGAAGTTACAGCTTCACAATTTCCACTCCTCCGTATGTCTTGCCGGTCCGTGGTGTCACTTTACTGTAAAGTAACAAATTCATTTGCAGAGACCCTCCAACGTACGCAACTAAATTCCATCGTCTTCGGTACGCGGACTGTGTCCGTCCGGGTCCCTCATCTGCCGAACGACGGAGCTATCTGCGATACGACGACATCGTCAGAAACAGCGGGGGGACTGCGGCGGACGACAAGAACGACGACGACGAATGACTCTTTTTTTTTGGAAAATGGTTTATTCTCGAACAAAGCAACTTAAAGAACGATGGTTATCAGGAAGAGAGTGTGTACACATAATAGTATAAAAACAAGACAAAAAAAGAGTTTTCTAGATGCTCTTTTCCGTGTTTGACAGTGATAAGAAGAAGGGAGAGCCAGACGGCGAGAAGATTGAGAGTGAGTTGGGCAGGGAACAAGTAGAAAGTGAGAGCGGGATTTAGAAGGAGAGCAACGGAGAGCCAATCTGAAATACAGTCGAAGATTTCAACTGAACAAACTTCAAACATACCCAGGGTGACGAGTGTGAAGACTGTTCCGGCGGCAGCAACCAAGAAATGAAGAGTCATCAGAAAGAGAGCACAGTGGATGCCTATTTCTAATGCCAACTGACGAGGATCCTCCGGCCAGACGACCAAGTTGAAGAACTGTTTTCCAAAGTTCCAATAAGTGATCGGGCTGAGTCCCACGAGAAGGAAGTAGAGCACTGCGTGGAGAGCAGCCAGCAAAACCATTCCGGTGAAGTGTTTCTCTGAAAACGGTTACATTGAAACGTGCTAATAGATTCTGGCAAACTTTGGACGAGGAAGGAGAATACAGAAGAGGCAGTAAAGATTAGGATCCAGTCGACAGGATTCCGATGATAGAGAGGGACGGAGAGGCATCTGAGGATGTCACAGAGACCGATTGCTCTGTCTCTCCAGCTGCCATCGCATCTTTTCCTGCCAATCACGCAGATGCTCCAGAAGAATGCGCAGAGTGCGAAGCGGTTTTCTTGTTTCTGGAAGACGCCTCCGAACACTCTCCGCACCACATCCACGGCGATCATCGGTGCACAACTGAACGGCGGAAACGCCGCAAAAGAAACGTGGAAGAACGCAAATTTATGCGAATGAACGAGAGGGAAATACACAATAAGAGACCAGACCCGTATACAAATGTGAGAGAAAAGAAAGCAACGAGCTAACATTGGATGATTCGTCGTTTCAATTTCGACGATTACATGTGCTGCATTTGCGAAGCATCTTCATCTTCAGTTTTCCGATTCGAAGGCAATGAAGACGTCGATGAACTCTCGGCAGCTTTCTCTCGAGCCACTGAAAAAGAAGAAGCTTTGAAGAGCACGTTGAACAATAACTTACTCATAACTTCATTGAATCTCCGCTTGTCTCTCGTGATGGTGATGGCTGATATGCCGAAGAGAATCACAGAAATCACAAGGGTGCCAACACAGATCCAGAACGAAGTGACCAGCGAGTTGTAGTGGGCTTGCGCCGTCTTGTCGTCGCCTCGGATCGCATCGGACACCAATCCGAGGATGTAGGACCGGAGGCGTCACCAAACATGTGCGATATGAGAATCTGCCACGAAGATGCCGAACTTCTACGTTGCGGAATCACGACACTCTGAAGGTATCACTTGGGTTTGCTTCTCAATGGGTATTTTTTAATTTACAAGTAGCAGATCCACATTTGTGGCCCAATTGAAACTGCTGGAAATGACGCAAATGAAGAGCATTACCCAGGCGAAATTCATATTGTGCTCGATGTTTTGGATGGCAAGAATTAGTGTGGGGATGCAGATCAATGCTCCGAGAGCACAGATGATCGCGTCCGCGCGGACTGTTTGGATGCACTTGAACGGACCCACTCCACGGGACCACATCTGCAGAGAGGTGCGATAGTGTGATGAATAGGAACAGAGAATAAAGTTTTACATTGGAGACAATAGTTCCGATAGCGACTCCGGCCACTCCTCCAACGCAAGTGATCGCTCCGAACACCAGATTGATCCTCGCCTTCTCTCCCGGAGTCACATCAGTCACATTCTGGCGAGCTGCTTCCGCGTACTGGATGGTGATCGGGGCCCACCAGGCGAGGGTGCCGACCATGAACACGGTTGCCGTGTAGCCGAGACTACTTGTCACGTAGGTGGCACTGCAAAATTATACCTTCTTAATCTTTCTGCTTCAGAAAATACTCACTTTGTCAGCAGATCCTTCATGTCGTCCAAGTAGCTCGTGGGCTCGACGGAAGCGGCGATCTCTCCCTTCTCTCTTTCCGCTCTTCCTCGTTCCGGCTCACGGACAAAGAAGATTATGAGTCCGAGACAGATGATTCCGAGCACTCCGGTCACTCGGACTCCCCATTGCCAGTGGCCAGTCCAACTGTCGACCGCCGAGCCGACGACAAATCCGAGACCGCAACCGAACGGAATGGCAAAGTAGAAGACCATGAGCATTCGGGAACGGAGCACTCCGGTGAACATATCGGCGATTACGGTGGGCGAGATGATGGCGTAAGAGGCTTCTCCGATTCCGACGATTCCGCGGAACAAGAGGAACAACCAGAATTTCTGAAAGTTCTTCTTATTTTTTCAATCTGAGGTGTGAGAAATCTCACGTCAGCCGGAATGAAAGTTGATGCAAACACGGCAGAAACCCAGATGGCGATTCCGACAACAAAGATCCATTTTCGGTTGTAACGATCGCCAAGGAACCCGCAGATTGGTGAGAAAATGATGAAGAAGACCATGAATGTGGTCTGAATGAGTCCCGCCCACGCATCACTGATGTTGTAATACTTCTGAACGTCGTCGAGCACTCCTGAAATGGACGAGCACGTGTTGGAAGCCAAAAGAACACATTTCGCCCTCTTATCAGACCAATAAAATTGTGTTTTCTGATCGGGGCGGCAGTCTTCAGATCTTTGATCACAGAGCAGTTTCCCAACTGTCGAGATGACAAATGACTAACCTGCAATTGTGTAGCGGTCCATGTAGTTCAGAAGGTTGATGACAAAAAGGATCGAGACTACAACGACGGTCCAGCAGCCCTGGAACTCTGGCTGCGAAGTCGTTGTGCTCTGGGTGTTGGACGGTCCCCGCGCGTTCGGAGACGGGGACGGACTCCTCGAAGTGCCGTAGGACGGCGGAGGCGTCGGCGAGATCTCGAACTTCTGCACCTTGGCGCCTTCCTCCATCGGCGCCACTTTATTCTTGGCCATCCTTCAAAATGAGTTAGTGACGGTACAGACTGTATTTAAAGAGATGCGACGCGTTCGGTGGCGACGTGGAAACTTTGTAAAATGTCAAGGATTGGGGGGAGGACAGCACGGTAACAGAAACAGGAACCGCGACGGATTATAGACGTGAAGGTTTTCATTATCAAACGTTTGATTCAAAGCACAATAAACTGGGGAGACAATTTACAGAATCGCCTGATTTTCAGAGACTTAGCGAAGAAATCTGGAGTGTGGCAAGGAAATGAGTTGTTTTTCTTTTCTATTCCGTAAAAACAAGATATGACGAAGAGGAATGAGCACACTAACAGGCTGCAGATGGAAAAGGTCAGTGTCCAGGAAGGAAGGACGCGAAAACCATTTCACAGTCGGCTTCTTATCGGGAGAGCGCGTGCCGACCACGTAGCAGAATGTGCGGGAGACCGGTCTCATTTGAACCAGCCGGCAGACAAAAGTATTGCACAAAAGGGAAGATGATGATTCAGAATTGGAGGAATGTTTTGATGGAAACCGAACTGAAAAGGGAGGAAAGAGGCGGCGAACAATCGATTCGGATGGGAAAGTATGTCCGCGACGGGGCCGCCCGCATGTACTTTCACTGCTTTAGGCGACTATTCGTACGCATATAGTATATAGTCATCTCTACAATTTCGGTGTGTTTGTCTTTGGTCTCGCTTGATAAGCTTCTTCTCTGATAAGCACAAATATTTATGACATGTCTCGGACAGGGATGTAAGGCTACCACCAAAAAACAGGCTGTCCTCATTGGGAATTGGAAGCGGAAGAGATTATGATCTAGAAAGTTTCAATTCGACACAAAGACATAAATGTTTCATTTTTCTCCCTTAAATCTTGTTTAGCGGAGATAGAAAGTAGTGTAAACGATTTCCAGACAGAGGGAAATAAAAGTTTCTTCAACATGACCAGCACGTTTTCCGTTATCAAAGAAGAGCGAGAGATACTGTTGCAAACTTTCGATTCTCGTGGAATTCTTTCCATTACGATGCGGCGACACCGTTTCGCGCGAAATTCCGAACCGGCGTGTCAACGGAAACATATAATAATCTCGGGAAATAGTACAAGGAGATTAGATCGATAAGAAATTGAGCAGTTTGAGATATTTATTGGGCGACAATCGCAAATGCAAACAGAAACGGACAAAAAAAAACGATATGAGGTGAGAACGAGGCGATCATGGAGGGCAGAATGACAAGGAATTGGAGAAGAAGACGAAGACGATCAGTGATCCGATTGGTGACGTCATTGTTTTGGCGCGAGAAACTGTCGGTCGACGATAAATCTACGTCCACGTTTCCCTCCGATCCATTAACTAATGAGGTCCGCACGCATCTCATATTTTTCTCCAGATTCCTCCAATCCGCGGTTTATTGAATTCTTCGAAGTTTTGTTGACAGCGCTTTTTTCAGTTTTTATTTTCTTCAATTCATCATTTTCGTTTTCTTCGAAAACTGCTTCCCCTCGGCTTTTCAAAATGAAGAAGAAGATGGTACCGTAGCAGTTGTATCCGCCTGCAAAAGGATTATTGCTGATACAAAGCCCATATACATTTTTCCAGAAACGTCTAAAATTTTGTATGCTTTTTCAGCTCTAAAAAGTGATCATCATCTTATTAATATAGGTCTTCACGCTGTTCGCTGTCACGCTGTCGCTGTCACGCTGTCGCTGTCACGCTGTCACTCTGTTTGTCCGTCCCACGTTCATATTTATAAGAAAAATAGTTGTGACGGAGAAATTGAGAAATGAACACGTGAACTTCCTAACAGTCATAAGAAAGAAGCAAGCGTGATTATCGTGTCGACACGTCACTCTATAAGCTATTTTCAAACCAGAAAGGCCCGTTGCAAGTACCGTTATTTCATTATCAGGTTTTTTATTCGGCCTTCCCATAAAAAACCGCAAAATGTCGTCCGCGTGTTTGCGTAATTTATGCGTGTTAAAAGCGCGCGTGACTGCACATTTCGAACTTTGAGTTTCTTCTGGAGACTCTCCTCTCTTATTCCCATTCATCAGAGTATGTGTTTCTCCCTCCTCATTCTGCCGGTGCCTGCTGCTGTTTCCCTTTTTCTCTTCACCTGTCCACTTTCCCCCCTCCCCTCCCCACCTTTTTTGCTGTTACAACACCCGACTATTCGCATGAGTTTGTTGCTCTCGACCGGTCGGTACCTAATTACGATCACAGAAACAACACAGTCTCTCGTGCACGGACGTCATTCACCTAGAAGAAGAGAAGGGTCCGGACGGCCAGCGAGCGGGCTGCTAGTGGGGGAGAATGAGCAGCACGAGAGAGGGAGAGAGCATGACGGGAAAGGAGTGCGTGTGAAGAGAGAAACAGGGGGGAAGAGACGGACGGCGGTGGAGGGGGACAGGGAGAACATCTAAACGGACCCTTTTTGGTCATATTGCGCAGGCAGCCTTCGCTTCCTCACGTTATTCCTCTTTTCTTTCCTTCTTCTCCCACTATCCCTCTTCTCTCTCTCTATATATTCGAATTATTTTGAAGGTGGTGGAATGGCCAATGGGAGAGCAGTCAATGGGTTCCTGCTCGACATCACCGGAGTGCTGTACAACAGCATCTACAAATCGGACGGAGTGGCCATTCCGATGTCCGCCGAGGCAGTCAATTTGTGAGTTTTTTTTCTTTTCCGACACGAGCTCACCCACAAATTAGTATCGATCCTCTCCGTAGACTAATAATTTCAGCCTCTACCAAAATTCGAAAGTGAAATTTCTGAGCAACGCGAAAGGAAACTCAAATAGAAATGTAGCTCGGAGGCTGCAGAGACTCGGGATCAAGTGAGTTTTCAAGTTCCCACCTCCCGCACGGCAAATAATGTGTTCAGTGTCCGAGAGGAAGACGTGATCACGCCGGCGCCAGTGGTTGCCCAGTACTGCCGGGAGAACGAGTTGCGCCCGCATCTTTTCGTCAGAGACGGTAGCCATTCATTCAGTTCGTCACCGATCTTTCTTTCTCTCAAGATGTGCTCGAGTACTTCGACGGCATCGACACGACGTCGCCGAACTGCGTCGTGATGGGCGAAGTCGAGGAGGGCTTCTCGTTCGAGCGCATCAACCGCGCCTTCCGCGTCCTCATCGACATGCCCAAGCCGCTGCTCATAACAATGGGAACGGGTAATAATTGCTTCCTTTCCCTCATTCAACCCACAAAGTTTCCCCTTTCCAGCAAGTTCTTCCAACGTGTCGATGGCCCGTGCATTGACGTCGGAGCCTTCGCCGCTGCTCTCAAGTTCTCGACCAACTGCGAGGTCCTGAACATCGGCAAACCGAGCCGGTTCTATTTCGAGCAAGGAATGAACGCGCTGGGATTGAAGCCGGAGGAGGTGAGCATCTTTGCGATGAATCATTTCAACTGCATCTCTCTCTCTTCCGCAGATTGTAATGGTGGGCGACGATCTGATGTCAGACGTGGGAGGAGCACAGGCGTGCGGAATGCGTGGCATCCAAGTCAGAACCGGCAAATGGAGACCGGACTTTGAGAATATGCCGGTGAAACCGGACCTGACCACCGACTGCCTGTACGACGCGGTGAAACTGATTGCGGATAACGGATTCCGGTTGTAACTAATTTACTTGTCCATTTTTTTCACTTCTCGAGCCATTCTTTGTATGTGGCCAAGCTTAAGGCCAAGTCTCAAGAGCTTTATTTATCAGCAGAAGCCCTTTTTATAGCATCGATTTGAAAAAAAAAACAGTATTAAATATGGATGTCAATAATTTATTTGCAAATAACCCGCTTGTGCCAATCTAGAGCACGATTGTATTGTATTGTATCACAACTATTTGGAGAACAATAAAATGTTATTTTTGAAGAGTGCTCTATATCCCGATGAAATGAAAGAATTTTGGAAGTTTTTGTCTATGATTCGATAATTTGCTCAAAAAGAGTACTTATTCGTATGTAGTCCTTGCTGGAGTTCTTGAGAACCGTCGCTTTCGCCAATTGGTGGAAGTCCTTGGCCGCTTTCTGCTGGTTCTCCAGGACCGTCGTGATGGCAAGAAGGGCCGAGAAGCGGGCCGGTCCGTGCAGATTTCCGTGGCTGAGAAGGCAGTAAGCGAGGAGGGAACGGACGTACTGCTCTCTTTCCTTGCCGATCACTTGCTGAACGTCGATGGAAAGTCCGCAGACGGCTGGATTGCAGAGCACAATCGCCTTGAGCAGCAAGTATTCGACCCTGTTCAGCTGGTTTCTCAGCAGAGATACCAATGTTTTCTGCATTCCCACTTGATGTTTCGCGCCTGCTTCGCCATATCTGAAATCTCTTTCATAGACTGCCCATTAGGAAAAACTTACCTGTATCTAGGTGGCCCGGAAATTTGTCCGTTCGGATGTGTCAATTTATCTGACTTCAGTTGACTGTAATTGAAAAAGGCGGACATTATATCCGAGCACATGATTGTCGCGTGTTTCATAAGACGTAGTTTGCTTTCAAAGTCAATCTTGCTCCAAAACTCGAACATTTTGGAATACTCCACGTTAGCAAGGAGGCATGTGTGAACGAAACAGGCCGAATGGATTCTTGTCCTAAAAGTACAATTAATATCAGTTTGTTAATAAAGTTTTGCACTTTAAAACTCACTCTCCAGTTATTTCGTTTACAGGAACCGGGCAATATGAAGGGTTCGGAATTTCGTCAACGCAGAGAATCAAGGGAGCACGCAGCACGTCTTCCAATCTTCTGGTGTCCTGAACTTGATTCTCCAACTGGTTTCCATATGTGAAAGCTTACTTTGAATCCAGGAGGAAGGCCTCCGGTGTAGAGCGGCTCTATTTTGAGCTCAATCCTTGTCAACTTCTCAATTATCCCGTTCACCTTTTCCTCAAAACTTGAAGCAATCTGAAGAAGTTATCTGGAGTATTACAACTTCGGAAGGCAATCTAACTTGAGTGGTGTTCAACTCGACAGTCTGCCTCTTCATCATAATCTCTTTTTTCAGTTCTTCTCCATCGGAACTCTTCACTTCTGCTTGAATGGCCGACGGGTTCATGCCGGCTTCGACGCAACTCTCGAAGCGACACGCTCTGCACATTCTCCTCGTCAGGTCTATTAAAATGTTACACTCGAACAGCTCTTGATAAGGGTTTACCTACCGGTTGGTTCGTCGCCACTCATGCATTTCTTCATTTTGAGGCAGCAGTACTTCCTTCCGTCGAGAATGGACCTTCGGAAAAATGTTTTACAGCCATTGCAGGAAGGCACTTCGTAGTGGTACCCAGTGGCCGGATGCCGACACACTTGGCACTTCGAAGGACATTGGCTCCTGCTCATATGCCTCTGGTTACGCTGTCCTTTCTGCAAAATGCGTCGTATTCCGAATGGAGCCAGGCATCAAAATAACAAATACTCACTGGAGAATCAAAACGTCCCTCGTCCTCGACATCGGGTAGAAGACATCTGAAAGAAACATGATATTGATTTTCAATGTAAACAAATAAAAGTAGGAGTTCTCTCCAAACTCAACTCACTTTTCACTGGTTGACGGCACCAACGTAAAGTCGTCGGCAAGCATTTAGTACGTGCCCTAAGGATGCAAACTAAGTACAACAAAAGATGGAGAGAGACACGAGACGAGAGGACGATAATTATAACGACGAAACCATCAGAGGACTGGCCGATTCTGGGCGCACCGATCAACGCATCTTTGTTTCATTGGAGTCTTTTGCCGTCTGCGTCTCCTCCCTATCGGCCGAACCCATACGAGTCTCTAGTTGTTGCTTCGCCTGCGGTGAAAGCTGTATAGAGAGGCGGGAGAATGAGATAGAGTTTTGGCAGTGATGTTTCGGTGCACTCGGTGCATGTTGGTTGCTTGCCCGAGTGGGCGGGACATCCGTCGCAACAGGCGATGCACATCACGAATAGGTTTATTCAACGGAAAAATATTGCATGACATGGCTCAACAATTGTACAATAGGGATAAATTTTATTCCATCACTTGATCGTACAGAACACTGATACACTTTTTGCTCAGCTCGGCTGGATCCTTGTGCTTCTGCGAATGAATCGCTTTAATGTACAAATACAAGTCTTTTTGTTCCTTTTGCTGATTTTCAATCACGCTGCAAAGGGATAGAAGAGCCGAAAAACGGGCGGGACCATTCAAGATGCCATGTTGAAGGAGACAATATCGGAAGAGGCATTGCGCATAGACTTCTCGTTCCCGTTGCAAATGCTTTACGTCTTCTGCCGGCAATCCTGTGACAGCTACAAAGAATTCAGTTTTTGAGAGCTATTCAAAGGGGATGGACCTGGATTGCATAGAATTATCGCTTTGAGTAGCATGTACTCTGTCCGATCCACATTGTTCATTATAAACGTCACCAATGTATTCTGCAGGAATGCCCTCTGCTTCTCTATGAGCGGTCCTTGTTTCCTTTTCGGAGGTCCATAGATGCTCCCGTCCGGGTATAGTAGCTTATCTGCTTTCAATTTCGAAAAAGTAGTGAACGCATTGGTCAGATTGACACACATCAACGTGGCATGTTTCATGAGAAGTACCTAAATATGTTCTTCGTTTTTCACTATACATCTTTCAATCTCTGACTGATCTCATCTAATGTGGGAATCTGTTCCGTACAATCTTTCAGGGGTGCATCTAGATCTCGCGGCCGGGTACAGAAAGATTCTCTCGATTTGACCGTCACGCACTCACCTTACTTTCAATGTCGATGGAACTGGCAAAGTCGAACGTTTTCGAGTATTCGATAGAAGCCAAATAGCTAGAATGCACGAAGTTTCGAGAGCGTCTTTTCGGTCTGGAATAGGGAAAGATTTAAAAGTCTCAAGAGTACGGTAGCTCACAATCCCGTGTTCTTGGATAGCTTGACAAGAGTGTAACTCATTCCAGGGATCTCCATGTTATCATAAATCACTTTTGAAGATAGAACCGTCGCCAGATCACGCGAGTCCTTGAATCCCATCGGCATTCCCTTGTTGTGAACTCCTTCCAATTTCGATTCCACCAATGCCAACTTGCTAATCACTTGGCTCATTCTATCCTCAAAGTTGAAGAAAACACTTCCACTATCGAATTGTTCCCCATTCTCCCGTTTCTTCGCAATCTTCTTCCGCAGCTCTTCCCCTTCCTCGGACTTCATTTCGGCCTGGATCGCCATCGGATTCATGCCAGCCTGCACACACTTCTCGAAGCGACATGCCCGGCAAACTCGCTTCGATGTGTCTAAAGAATTAAAAATATCAAATCAAAAGAAGAGCAAACATGACTTACCGATGACTTCGTTCCCGTCGAGACAGTTGCTCACTTTGAAGCACTTGAACTTGCGGCCAGTGATGATGGTCCGACGGAAGAAGGTCTTGCAGCCGTTGCACGAGGGAACCTAGAGTCTAGTGGACAATTCGAGCCACAAGAAGGAAAAGTACCTCGTAATGGTAACCAATTGCAGGATTGCGGCAGATACGGCAGATTGAAGGGCACTGATTCTGAGGGAGGGTTTTGTAGACTTTCGAACGACGGTTCCTTCTCGGTTTGGCACTCGACTTTGGCTGCATTTCTTCTTCCACTTCTATACAAAGCTCTACAACGTTTTCACCAGACGATTTTCTGAAATTAGCATCACATGGACACTTGAATTCTTCCGTCGCTCTTACCTGGATGATGCCGACTCTTCAATCGCATCCATTGACCGCTTCAGAAGTTCTCCTGAAGTCTCGTTAGTGGCAAATGGGGGGCTGTCGATAGACGTGAGAGAGGCAAGGCGGTCTTCCGTGTCTGCTTCGCCTCTCTCTGTCTCTCTCTCTCTCTCTCTCTCTCTCTCTCTCTCTCTCTCGCCCCTCCCAGGCCGATCATATTATTTGTTCTCGTCCTGTAGACCGTCCTGTTTCTATGAAGTTTGCAGCCGTTTCCCCGCTCTCATTGCCTTGTGCGGGTGTGATTGTTTCTACTCGTAAACGGAGTTAAGCTCCTCTGGCGACGGCGACGAAGACCGGATGACGTGGCGGTCTCCAGTTGGTTAGGCACAGCAAATAGATTCGGATTTAAACCAATCTTTGTGCGACTTTGTGTTTTCATTGCATTGCCGAAAGTTTCGACTCGTCTGTTTGCAAAGAGAAGCTATGATGTCAGTGGTTCTTTAATTTCGGCCAGCCAGATCAAATACAGTTTATTGCAGGTTATCAGTTAATTACACATTGTTTTGAGGAGGTACAAACATATAGTCCGAAGAATTTCAATGGATATTGATATACACCGGTCGGGGACGGATTACGAGTCCATTATTTGATCGAACATGCTGCTGACACATTTCCGACCGTTCTCTATGTGCTGGTGCTTCTTCCAGTGCGACGCCTTCATCAAAACGTGAAAGTCCTTCTGCGCTTTCGACTGAAATTCGAGAGTCGGAGCAAGAGCGAGAATGGCAGCGAATCGAGCGGGACCATGGAGAGTTCCGTGTTGCAGAAGGCAATAGTTGAGCAGCGCCTTCATGTACTGATTCCGTTCTTTTCGATGACCTGTTGATCGAATAGTGACAGGCCAGACACAGCTGCAATTGACGTGTTTGATTTATAATGATAGTTTTGTGTTATTACCAGGATTGCAAAGCATGATAGCCTTGAACAAAAGATATTCGATCTTGTCGACCTTGTTGCTCAGAAAGGCGATTAAAGTTTTCTGGAGCAAACGGATATGATCGCTGATTACATTGGCGTATCTGTCCCTCTTCCTCATTGGCCCCGAAATAGCTCCGTCCGGATGCAGAAGCACGTCTGACTTCATCTGATGGATCGAAAAGAACGCGTTCATCATGTTGGAGCACACGACGGTCGCATGCTTTATCAGAATCATCCTGCTCGCGAGATCCAGCTGCGACGAGAAATCGAACAGTTTCGACGCTTCGACGGTCGCCAGAAAACTGCTGTGAACGTAGTTTACAGTGTGTTTTCGGATTGGGCTGAAACTATACATTTATTACGATTGTGAGTGCAAAGAAATGAACTCACTGATTGTGGTTTTGCTCGGGAATGTCTATGTGCATGTGCTTGCGTTTGTGCTCATGTGGAGGGCAGAACTTCAAATTCGGAATATCCGTTACGACAAAGATCGGCTTTGCATCGAGGACCTCTTCCAGCATTCTCACATCCTGAAATATTATTATTATTATTATTTATTTACGTTTATTTTTAAGGTGGAGAAGAGAGAGAGAAAAAAAGGAGGGGAGGGGATGTGGGGGAGTTGGGGGGAATAAATGGGGAATCTTCAGCTACTTGCCCGCGCAAAAGGAAAGAGATGATCATTTAACAGATGCCTGTGCCAGATTCATCTTTGATTAGACTCTGTGTGTAAAAAAGTGTGTCTTAGCTTCGATTTTGGAGTCTTCCATCGGTAAACGTGACTCCGTCTAGTCCGTGTAGTGTTTAAGCGTAGGAAAAAAAGTCATCAGGATTGATGTCGACTTTGTTAGCTAACAATTTGATTTAAAACTTCTTATCTAAATGTGATCGGCGAGTTTCTAGTGATTCGAGGTTAAATTGACGGCGACGTTCGCTGGTATAATAAAAATAAAATAATAATATAATAAAATTCAATATAATAAAATTCAATATAATAAAATTCGAGTGATTGTAAGTGAAACTAACTCTGAATCCAGGCGGAAGTCCAGATCGGTGCAGGGGTTCCACCTTGCTCTCCACGAGAGTCAACTTCTCGATCATTCTGCTCAACAAGTCCTCATCAGTGATCATCAACTGAAAGAAAGACGGTGTTTTGGAGTTCAACTATTGTAAAACTTACCGAAGACACGACCCCCATCGATTGTCTCTTATTGATGACCTCATTTCTCAGTGCCTTTCCCTCTGTAGTCTTCACTTCTGCTTGAATCGCCAGCGGATTCATTCCCGACTCCACACACTTTGCAAATCGACACGCACGGCACAATCTCTTGGACATATCTGAAAGCGAAAGTTTAGAATAATGCCCGAGTACGGTAGCTTCCACTGGCCTACTGGTTCCGTTCCTTCCAAGCAATTCTTCGTTTTGTTGCACATGAACTTTCTGCCAGTGATGATGGTTCTGCGGAAAAACGTCTTGCAGCCATTGCACGAAGGGACGTCGTAGTGGTATCCGATTGCGGGGTTTCTGCACACGAGACACTTCGAGGGGCACTTGTTCCTCGGCAGACTTTTGTACACTATATCATCGGAGAACGGCGACTGCAAACCGGGTGAGAACAAGGGCTTCTTCGGAGAGTTCAACGAAACAACATGGCTCCTCGGGACACGTTGCCAGGGAAAAGCCTCCCATTATATATTTTTCCTACTCACCGATAATTCCGGGGGGCTCGACGAGCGCTTTTGGTAGCTCTGGAGGTCTTGTTGATTGTCGGGAATCTCGAAGACTGCGGGGAAACTGCAAACATTCAAAATAAAAAATCTTCGAAACGTTCGAAACGTTTACCCGTTCAATTTGCTGCTTGTGGAAGGCAGTTCAAACTCTTCAAAAGTCGCCATCTTTGGTGTTTTTGCCTGAAACGGAGTATCAATGAATGCTTCTGACTGTAAATCAAAAGATTGCGAAACGCGTTGTGCAGAGTGACAAAGGGTAAAGGGAAAAGAGAGAAAGAGAGATAGAGAGAAATAGAGAGAGTCTCCGCACCGTCTCCGTCTCTCCGTCCATCGCGTTCTCTATTTGTTCACTGCTGGCGATCTCTGATGCGGGTCTACCACAACTTGCATTTTTCACGTTTTCTACGATAGAACGAACCTGCGGCCCCCAATTATCGGATAACATCAGTACTCATTTCAATTCGTTCTATGTTATTCTCGAAAGTTCTCTGGGAGGTGCGAAGAATGGTTCAAGTTCGAAATGACACATGTACAACTTCATTGGGTATATGAATACAAACATTTGAGACAATGAAAAGATTAGGAGGCCATAACTTCTTCAAACATGCGTCGGGGAACATCCTGGCACTGAGAATGTGCTCCATTTCCTCCGTTCGTCACCTTTATCATAACGTAAAAGTCTTTCTGGATCTTTGACTGCGTCTCAATGATCGGATTAATGGAGAGGATGGCGCCAACCGGGCGGGACCATTCGTTACGCCATGTTGCAGGATACAGTAGCTCAACAGCGCTCTTCCGTACAGATTTCGTTCGACCTCAAGGACTTGCTGATCTTCTTCCGATAGATCGGACAGAGCTGAAAAAATGAACATACAGTGAGAAGGCTCAAAAAGCGAAAATTTCAAACCCGGATTGCTCATCATGACTGCCTTCAACAGAATGTACTCGATTCTATCCACGTTGTTGCTCAGAAACGCATGCAAAGTCTTCTGAATCTGCAGTCGATACCTGCTCCACTTATCTCCCGTCAGTTGGTCGAGCATGAATCCAACCACACTTCCGTCCGGGAAGATCAGTTCGTCGGACTTCCGATTGTGCATCGAGTAGGAGGCGCTCATCATGATGGACCCGATGAGACCAACGTGCTTCAGGAGTATCAATTTCGAATTGAGATCGAGTTTTGAAGAGAAGTCGTAGGTTTTGGAGAGTTCTACAGAAGCGAGGAGGGCACTGTGCATGTAGCTCATGCACGTGTGTTTCAGTCTTCTGAACAGATAATATTAACTTCAGTTTTCACTAAAATGTCACACTTTTTCAGTGCTGGCGTGAGATCCGGAATGCGATGCACATCGAAGACTGGCTCTTGGCTCAGAATGTCTGATAAGCTTCTCAAGTCCTTAAAAACGTTATTTGCTAAATTCTCCGAATTTCTCACTTCATATTCTAATGGAATGACTGACAAATGCATTACTTGACTGTGATCTTCCGCAATCCTCAGTTTCTCAATCATCTTCGCCAGAAAGTCTTCTTGTGACTCCATCTGAAACGTTTGTTTCGTCATGATTTCATTTTCAGCACCCAAGCAACTCACTTTTCTCTCTATTCGTTTATATTGTTGTTGTCTCTTGACAACCTCACTCAGCCGATGCCTTCCTTCTTCCGTCTTCACCGCTGTTCGGATCGCCGTCGGATTCATTCCAACTTCGATGCACTTGGCAAATCGACACGCTCTGCACATTCTTTTCTCAGTGACTAAATGAGCGAAATCGTTTGAATTGCGGCAAAAAGAGCGTTTACCAATGGGTTCGGTGCCTTCCAAACAGTCCCTTCCGGTCAAGCAGATGAACCTCTTTCCGTTCACAATTGTTCTTCGGAAAAAAATGTTTTGCAGCCACTGCAGGATGGAACCTAAAAAGTGAGATATTGTTGATAAACAGCTTCGTGACCATACATTGTAGTGGTATCCAATGGATGGATTCCTGCATACTGCACATCTTTCCCGAAATTGGTTCTTCGGCAGCAGTTCATATGCCTAAAACGTGACGTCATAGACATCAATTTTTACTACGAACTTTTTGCTGCGATTCTTGTTTATCAGACTTTTCCTCGCTAGAAGTTGGAGAATCCATATCGTCGCTGAAACTTTACAATAAATGTAATTTATTCTTCAAAAATCTTACTTCATATAACGGAAAGGCATCATCATAAAGCTCATCGTTCGTCATTCACACCAACGAAAGTAATCGATGGACTGGCCTGCGTCTCTTGTTCTGTTTGTCTGTTTGCCAACGAAAAAGACCTTTTATGGTCTTTCTGATCTAGAATGTATTTTAGGGAACACTTTGTTGCAATAATTTATTGTAATGCAGAAACGAAAAGAAATACTTATAAATCAGGAGTCAAGAATATCATCAAAAAGGTTGGTAACCTTCATTCCACTGGGTAGGACAGCTCGAATCCGATCAGTGACCAATATTGCTTTTATGTACAAATGGAAGTCTTTTAGGTTCTTTACTTCGATCTCCATGCTCGGAATCAATGAGAGAAGTCCCGCGAATCGAGCAGGACCATTCAGAGCCCCGTGCTGAATTTGGCAGTATCGCAGAAGACAGAAAGCATAACTCTGCCTCTCGCCGTCCAAAATGTTCTGTGATCGTTCTGATAACGACATAACAGCTGCAATAAAAGAGAGTCTAATTATGGGAGAGGAAACTTCACTCTTACCCGGGTTGCACATGACTATGGCCTTCAGGAGCATGTACTCGACGCGGTCCGTTCGATTTCGGAGAAGCATTGCGAGGGTTCGATGAGGAACATCATCCCTCAGATTCAACATCTTGTGAAGCTTTCCCATATTTGCTCCAACCTCGGTACCATCCGGAAACATTAGCCTCTCGGACCGGAAATTACTGATGGTGAAGAATGCGGTGATCATGTTGGAGCAAGCGGCAGTCACGTGCTTCACCAAGATAATCTTGTCCTCCAGATCTAACTTCTTAGAAAAGTCGAACGTCTTCGAGTATTCCAAACTTGCCAGGAAACTGCAGTGTGCATAATGAACTGTTGATGGTCTGTAAACACTTAAAAACGATTTGTTGCTCGTTACATGATTAATCTCACTTGTCGGTGCTTTTTACCAAATTTGGAATGTCTCTGTTGTTGAATATCGCTTTAGCCTTGAGAATGTCTTCTAATCTCCGGCAATCCTAAAGAAACATTGTTGGAAACTGCTGATCAGACTCTGTAAGTTACCTCGAATCCTTTGGGAATTCCGTCCGTGTGAACTTTGTCTATTTTGCATTCCACAATGCTCAACTTGTTGATTATCTTGTTAATTTTATCTTCCTGAGTTGTTACACCCTGCAATTATCTCATTTCCATACAATCTCATTTCCTTCCTCCTCCTTCTTACCGCACTCGCCACGAATCCCTTATTCGCCCTCCTGTTCATAATCTGATCCATCAGAGTCTGTGCTCCATCGGTTTTCACTTCAAAGTTGATCGCCATCGGGTTCATTCCCACCTCGATACACTTTTCAAAGCGACAATATCGGCAAACCCGGCGAGACATGTCTGTAACTTTTACTTTTTAATGATCTCCCGTTTTGTAACGAAAACTGTACCGATTGGACCGCATCCCTCGAAACATTTCGTCAATTTACTGCACTTCAGTGCGGATCCATTAAGGATTGTCCGCCGGAAAAATGTTTTACACCCGTTGCACGAGGGAATCTGAAGAAGGTTAGTGATAAGTGATAATTAGCGAGAGAAGGAGGTGAAGAGACGTACGTCATAATGATATCCGACGGCACGGTTACGGCAGACAAGACATGTCGAGGGGCTCTTGTTCTTCGGCAGAGATTTGAAAGTCTTTGAGATCTGAATGCTATCGAATGAGAACTTTGGAGATCAACACCACTTACAGTATGCTTCGATTCGGTGGCCGGCTGCCAACTCGTCGATGCCCACTCGTTCACTTCCATCATCAGTGAGACGGTCAGACCAATGGTTCCGCTGACGAATTTGCGGCGCCTGCTTCTCTCGCACTTTCGTCGCCACGCTTTGTAATTCTTCTTTCACCGCCGGCTAACTCTCTGTGTTTGTTCTATTCTCGACTGTGTTTGCAGCGGAAAGAGAAGAAATTTGCGTTAGTTTCGTTAGTCAAATTCATGTAGAGGGCAGAGAGCACAAAATGGAATAAAATGTGTTGTGAGAGTGTGAGAGGAGAGAGGATTGTTTACTTTTCTTCAATAGGTTCTGTTGCCATTTGCATATTGGGTCAGGTCAAACCAACCTTGATGAAAAGGTTCTCTCGCGGACGCGCGCGCTTATCAGATCCTACTAGAAGTACAAGATCCAATGGCGTTTTGAGTTTCGATGAAATCAGACAGACTGTTTTAAAAGGTTTATTGAAGAGGCACTGGGTGTTAATAGTAACGGGTAGTGTTCAACTGGTCAAATAGTTCAATTCACAAACAAAACTTTGCTCTCCTCCCCGCACAAATGAAACATGTACATGTATGTATTTACAAGGTAACATCCGAGTGACTCATTCGACGCACAGCCCTCACGAAGCATAACGGACTGACGAGGATGGCATCCATTCGGTGGAATGCTCGAGATTAGTCGGTAGCCGGTAAACTAGGTACAGCTGAAATAGGGTAGAGTTGAAACAGAATGAGTATCCTCGAAACTCACCTGGATTACAGAATACGATTGCCTTCAAGATTATGCATTCAGCAATGTCTACTTTGTTCCTGAGCAGGCTGTGCAACGTCTTCTGAATGATCTTCCAGAGTCCGTCATAGTGTTGTGTCTTCTTTGTGATAATCTCTGAACTTTGCAAGACGACTTCATTCATGTGTATTCCATAATCTCATCGTACAAAGGACTGACTAGAACGGCGGCTGATCGATAGAACGCGCGGAACACAATGTAGACACCCTTTTCCTCCCGCTGCTGGAGCTCCATTATTGAGATCATTGAGAGCAACGAAGCTAAGCGATTTGGGCCGTGACGCTGTCCGTGCTGTTTGAGACAATAAGTTAGAAGGCTTTGAGCATAACCAAGTCTATGGTGCTCAATTGTCTTTTGATCCTTAACAGGCAATCCAGCAACAGCTGGAAGAGAAAGGTTATGAGGGCAATGAGCAAGGAAACGGACCTGGATTACAAATGACTATCGCTTTCAGGAGCATGTACTCGACACTGTCCAGATCATTCCGCATGAACGCGTGCAACGTCTTTTGGATTATTTTACGATGCTCGACCCAGACTCCATTGTAGTTCCGAAGTGGTTTTCCTGCGATCGTGCCATCTTGACGACGGATTGTATCCGAATTGAATCTGCGCAGAGAATCGAACGACATTATCATGTTCCGGCAAATCAAGGAGCCATGTCCAATGAGTTTCCGAATAGATTCGAGTTCAATTTGAGGGAAAAAGTCTAGTAGTTTTGTGTATTCGACAACTGAGAGGAAGCTGTTGTGAGCGAATCCAGCGTAAACCGGAAATGTTCTGAAAGTGGAAAGTTTGCGAAGTTTGCAAGAACCCGAACTTACTGGTTCATCAGAAACGACATATTCGGAATCTTTGAGACATCGAAGATCGGATGCATGACCAGAATGTCCGACAATGAGCGGAAGTCTCGATAGTTCTCGGGTAAGTTCACGGTGTGCAATTTCTCGATTTGTGACTCAGCTATTGTCAGTTTTGCGATCATGGTACTCAGTTCGTCCGTCACATTTAGACGCTGCAATCGTTATGAAAACATTTTCGGTCATTTGCAAGAATTCTCACCACTACAGGCATACCATCAGCGTTCCGTTTCCTCAATAACTCTTCTTTCATTAGCTTCCCTTCTGAACTGATTTCTGCTTGGATTGCCATCGGATTCATGCCCATCTCTTCGCATTTCGCAAATCGACATGCTCCACAGACCCTTTTATTAGCTGCTGAATGAGTTCAACTATAAATTTAACTTGAGTTTTCAACTCACCAATCGGCTCTTCCCTTTCCAAACATTTATTTCCGTTCGAGCATTGATATCGTCTCCCAGTTATGACCGTTCGACGGAAAAAGGCTTTGCAGCCATTGCAAGATGCCACCTGAGAGTATTATCATTCTATGAATGAGATTATGAAAGGAACATACATCATAATGATAGCCTACTGCTGGGTTCTTGCATATTCTGCATTCGTCCGGAATCACGTTTTTGTCCGAATATGTTTTCTTTTTAGTCTTCAGAAGGTTGATGTTTGGTTCGCCCTGAAAGCATGTTGTACGAGTACATTGAACGCATAACTCACTAGAATATCGATATCAGGAAGGAGATCGTTGGTATCACTCGTGGACGGAACGTCCGTCATTCTTGTCCGTACAACCTGGTTTCCTTTCCTTAACAACAGCCAAGTACGTTGTCTTTCACCGTCTCTGCCCTCCTGTTATCGTTCGATGAGATCAAATTTTATAAAGAAGCCGGCGGAAAAAGGATGACAAAATGGACGTGTGTATGTATTTTGACTCACTTCTTGTCACAAAATTGTGTGTCCGAGTAAAGTGTGAATCGCAAAGCGGAACAAAGAGGAAAACAATTGATTTGTTATTATATGTACAATATATATTAAATTGAAAGTGTGCTTATTGATAGCATCCGATGTGCTTTGACCAGAATGGGTTGACTGCGTAATGGAATGTGATTGGGTACATTTCAGGACCGGAGATGTACTCGGCGTTCGAGTGAATGCATTTTATATCTTCTCGTTGTGGGAGCTGCAATTAATGAGAACTTGTGAAGAATTCAGAGAATGTCGTCGGAAACATACATCGCACGAATCAGCGTTTGGGCACAGGACGTCAAAACTCTTGTTCTCCACAAAATACGGGTGGTAGAATGATTCGTTGTAGCACTGGAACACAATCGGACCGTAAAAGTTGTGGTCGACCATTTTCACAGCGGCTGCTTTGTACGTTTTGTCTCCGAATGCACTGAAATCCAACTGATAATTTACAGATTGAGATAAAATGAAACTAACTCTTTAAAATCTCGATCAAGAGAGCTCAAATCAGCCTCTCGAATGATAGGATCCGCCTCGGTTCCGTACATTTTCGGCAGAACAAACGGTGCTTTTTTGCTCAGCTCCTCTTCGGAAACGCCTTTTACATGGATGATTTCCGTGTTCAACACCTTGTAAATCTTGTTCTTGGGCAACTGGAAAGAGTGGTGGATCCACGTGGAATTGTACTTCATCGGATCGACAATACTCTTTCCGTATCCGGTTTCTTTTCGGATTTCCATGGTGGAGAACAGTTTTCGGAACGAAAATCCATTCACATTGGCGACTTTCTGAACGACCACATCTCTTTTCGTGTAGAATATCGAGTGATAAGAGGGATACGCGCCGAAGTGGCTCGAGAATTCCTGATGGTAATTGTGAGAGAGACGTGGAATCAGAATATCATCGATGTCGAAGAAGGCGACAAAGTCTGCCACTTCCTAAAATCCAACTATCTTCTACTGATGCTCCGTGTGAAACCCACTTTGTACTGCAAAAGACAATCGGTCTGTGCTCCCGCCTGATTCCTCCATTCCACACTTTTCATCGGATCAGAATACGGGCTCATTGCGTCTTTGAACTTCATTCTCACCCAATAATCTAACGTCAGACTTCCCTAAGATCATTCTATCCAAAAAACGTCATCGAAAACCGTCCTTACCCAGCTTTCATAGACCTTCAGAGTCGCAAATAATTCCTTGATCATGCTGGTCACGTAGACGTGCATATGACCCCCGTACCTCCGGATCACATGGATGTTCATCAGGAACACTTGCCATTTCTCGGCCACAAACTGCGGAGAAATGCAAATGATGACTGGCGAGTGGGACCACGTCCGCGGGCTTCGGAACGGAATCGAGACCCTCGTGCCTGTCGACTCGATTTCCAGAGTCTGCGGATTCGACAAAGTCGTCGCTTGAACCAAGACCATTATGTATTCGCAGAAAGTCTCCGACGTCGTTTCTCTGAAACAAACGGGTTCTATTAATCTGAATACGCAATCTCCGGCAAACTTTTTGATCGTTGCTTTTGAGCGGCGACTCTTGTTTCCATTGGTGCCCACTATTGTCAGCTCGTACTTCTCTAGATCCGCGTACGTTTTCTGATTCATCACCACAACCATCGCCAACGCATTCTTACCGAGTCTGGAACATTTGAGGTGGTAGACTAAGAATGGGTTGAAACGTACGATTTGGAATTCTCGTAGTAGTAGGCAGATGTGATGAATGCGTGGGTGTGATTGAAGTTTATAGGATCCGTTGGGGAGTCGATCACATAACCTCTGCTCCGTGAGCCGCGGAAGGACGCGTGATTGGCGACCATTGTGTTGAGGTACACAGTGCAAAGAAGCATGGTCATGGAGAGAACGAGTAGGAGAAGGAGGGGAGCTCGGTTCCGACATGGCTGAAATCGAAAAACCGGGAATGGAATTGAACTGAAAGATAAAACTGACCCAAAGATGATTGTGGACGTAGGAATACACTTTATTAGCACGTTCACAGAAGAATGGCAATCCAGAAGGCATTCAGCTCGTGAGGGCATCGACGAATGGAACAAATGAAATCGGCGTCTGACATCTCCGTCGGATGCTTCTTCGTCGGCGAATCTCGCCCAGGTGCAGATGGTGATCTGTATTCAGATCAAAAAAAGAATAGTCACAATGGGTTGTCCGCAGCGAAAGAGGAATACGAGGCAGATTTACGGAGCGGATAAAAATATGTCGCGTTCGAACAGGTCCACAAATTGACGTTTTTGCGGCGAAATCGGAGATTCCAAACGTTCAAGAACACTTGTCCAGATAAACAATATTTTGTTTTCAAAAACAAGAGAAAGACGACAACGTATGTTCAAATTATACAAGGCAGACTAAAGAGATTGTAGTGAGAGAGATTTAGAACTGGACTCTGTTTGTCCTGAGGTAGTCGGAGAGCACGAGGTTGCGAGAGAGTTGAGATTTCTCATAGGCATAGACGACGTTGGAGTTGTCGAGAGGATACCGTCTCTTCGGCTTCGGGCGGGGCAGAGAAGCCACGTTGGCACGGAAGAAGACGCTGCCGGCCGGCAGAAGGTTCACGAGGATGCTGTCTTGCGGACGGACCAGTCCAACGTCCACGCCTGCCCAGATGTCGTGCACGTGGTAGCCGGCCAGGTCGGTCAGTCCGATCTTCTCGAGAACGATTTCAATGTCCTCCTGGAAGTCTTGGAGTATTCAAGAGAAACTAGATGTCTTACGCTTACAAAAGTCTTATTTTCGTTTCTATTGAGAACAGCGAAGGCGAACGATCTCTTATCGCCCTTCGACGGAGTGATCTGCTTCACGTAAATGGCAATGTCCGTGCTCTGAAAAAAACAGAATCATAACACAAACCCCCCGTCTGACTCACATTCTGAACAAGCCTTCCCATGATGCCGAGCGGGTCCTGATTGATAGCAATGGCTTCTTTATTCTGAAGGATCGCTTTGAACTCGTCGCCAATGATTCGCAAGTCATTGGACATAATCAACGGAGCCGACCAGATGCTCCAGATGGTGAACTGCGAAATGCTCATGTCCCGCGTGATCCCCTTGTTTCCGATCACAAGCATATCCGGATCGTGCCATTTGCCGGGACCGTGCGTCGGAATGTGCTTGTCCTGGTTCTTGTCGTAATAGGCGATAATCGAAAGAATAGACTTCCAGGACGAATTGATATCATCGAAGTTTCTCCAAGTGTTGCACGATTTTCCGATGACGTTGTAGTCTACGAGCTCCGGATGGTCAACCAGGTATGCGGGCCAACTGCACGAGTACACGATCGGGCGGCCAGTGGCGTTAAGTTCTCTTTCCATTTGGGGATATCCGACTGGCATGAGCGACTGCTCAATGTTGCATCCGTCCAGTTTCAGATAGTCCACATCCCAATCCGCAAAGGTCTGCGCGTCAGTCTTCAAATGCTGGTAACTTCCTGGGTATCCGGCGCACGTCTTCGTTCCGTAATCCTCGTAGATTCCAAAGTGTAGCCCGAGATCGTGCATCTGTAAGAGATGAATTCTAATTTGGAATCAGTGAATTTCTTCCACTCACATATTTAGCCAAGTTCTTCATTCCACTCGGGAACCGGGTCTTGTTGGCCACCAATTTTCCCTCTGAATCTCTTTCCATCTCGGACCAGCAGTCGTCAATGTGAACGGACTTGTATCCGACTCGATCATATCCATCATACACTGCAGAGAAGATAAAAATGTGAAAACAAAACAGAAAAGCGAAAAAAGGCTCACCAAGCTGATCGGCAATCTCCATGTACAAGTTCTCGTTGATACATCCACGAGGGTGCTTGGCACAGTCCACTTCGCAATAGAATGCCGTCCAAGACATCCATCCCATCGGCGGAGTTCTGGCCAACCCATTGTCCAGACAAGCAGCGCCGGTGGCCAGTAGAAGAAGAAGAAGGAGTGGGAGAAGCATCCTCCTGAAATGAGTTGATTACTTTGGTATCACTGTTGGCAGGTGTATTTTCGACATTGATACGACGACCAAAAGCCGCGGCACAAACACATTGTACACAAGCCCAACGAACACGCTTGGAGCCAACTTTTGATACCACGTGCTGTTTGGCGAAATGATCAGCCTGGGATCACAGAGCGAATGGGGGAAACTAATGTAGGACGTAAGTGGAAAAAGACGGATAGGTGGCAGTTGGCGGTCATCAAACGGCCTGCCACGAAGTGTAAAGATGGTTGTTTGAACGGAGTAAAAACGGATAGAGAAAGATCGATCGGAAAGAAGGAAAGCAGCCAGAAATGAGCGATTGTCGACAAAGTTTCTGGGTCATCACCTGGCATTGAATTGCAAAAATTGAAGAAGAAAAGGTATAGGTTACGGGAAATGTATAGGGCCACATGATAAGAGAAGTCTGTCGTTTCATGAGAAGAATGATGATCTCCGAGTCGTTTTGTGGCATTCTTCTAGTTTCAATTGTGCAAACAGTGGAACTCTTTGAGCCCGTGGGAAACAAATCGTTTATGATCGATCAAACATTGCATAGGTATTCTCGTAGACGACGAAAATGACGGCATTTACGACGAAACCACGGAGAGAGATGGCCCAGCCGCCACGGTAGAATGCTCGCACTCCTTCTTCCCGGTAGATGTTGACGGTCACTTGTTTGGGAGACAATATCCGGTGGCTCTTGTCCGCCTGCATTCTGTTCTTAACCACTTCGAGCGGACAAACGGAGATCCATCCACTGATTCCAGCACAGCCCCCGGCGAAAAGCTGAAAGGACCAGGTTGGGAACAAATTGAGAAACGACTGAAACGGGTACCTGAGTCCAAGTGTTCTCGAGATTATGGCTCCGAAAGTATCTGCTGAGCCCTTCGTAAACAGGAATGTAAAAAAGATATCCAATGTTATCGCGGAAGAAAACGACACTTCCGCCCTTGAACAGTCCCCGAATGCCCTCGGTTCTGACGGTTTCACGAGCACATTCCATCGGACCGGCGTACAAATTTTTAGAGTGCTTCGAGTGATGGGCCACGTTTTCTCGTTGTACCTGAAACCGTAGATGTTTCCAGGAAAAGCAGGATAAACTCACTTGCAACTTTGTTTTGAGTAATTCCACAGGAATCACAGGGCCCACTTGAACAAGAGTCCCACAAATTGATGCTATCAGAATCTGAAAGTTTGAAATAATCTAAAACGGTGACTGAATACTCACATCAGTCATTGGCAGATCTTTTCTGGCCATCACATTTGAGTCTCCCGGATGGAGGAACTTCAGGCCGGCTCCGTAGCCAGCGAAGAGCAGTGAGTGAAGAGCGCCCGTGGAGAGGAACGGCACGAACATTCCCTTGTAGAGACCGTACACCTGACAGACAGTACATCATAAGGCTAGAAGAAAAAGTAAAGAGAACTTACCGATTCCTGCTTCATAGTTTTGACTATACAATCCACGATCCCTTTGTACACATTCATCGTCTGAAGACGTGCTTTGACGGTATCCAACGGGTGTCCCACAAGGAGACCAGCTCCTCCTAAAACATAAATATTGCTGAATCACTTTTCAGAATTCGACTTACCAGCAGCCCATCCGGCGATGAAATCAGCGTACATATTCTCCGAGGGAATGAGACAGTTCAGGACATAAACGGGTGGTGATAAGGAGGAAACGAGCAGAAAGGACTGCACAATAGGACAAAGATTACAGGGGCGAATCGATAGTGACCTACCACATACCAACGATTATGCTACACAAAAAGTGTGGAACGGTAGACAGAAGGAATTGGAAAAGAGGGAGAGAGAGAGAGAAAGGGGATAGACGCAGGAGGGAAAGTGGACGGTTTGGAAGTGAAGACATGTGGGAAGAAAAAGAGAAGAGCAGTGGTGGACAATGAGGTTCAGTTGAGAATAACTATTGCGGATTTCGAAAGCTGAATGGTCCGCTACGGTACATTAAATGGAGACATAAAAACTAGTTATTTCACAGAAATCGTAAGAAAAGTTGAATGGAGGAAAAGTATTCTGGCAATGGCGCTCTGTCGCAATTCAAACTCAGAACTAGGCAACGACCGCGAGCTTCTTCGGTAGGTAGAGCTCCTCGTTTTCTAAACATTTACAGTACACGTAAAAGTTCTCAGAAACTTTCAAGTAAGAGTTTTATTTAAAAATTACAAAGGACGTGAAACGGCTACCAAAAAGGACTTCATATTTTGTATTCTCCAACACAATCAATCGTACGTTGCTTTTCCTTCAAAGCGCTCACTTTGTTGTCCGCCTTTCTCTTCCTCTTCCCGTTTTTGCAAAAAAATTCGTTGTCAACAACACAATCTTTGCATTTAACTCAAAATGTTTCCAACTCCCGCATTTCTCAAAATCTGCCTGAAATTAAGGCAGTTTGAAACTTTTCAATAATCTTTTAAAAGTAGGTATTCTTCGTTGTGTTTCCTTTTGTTTCCTCCGTAGATAACATCATCTGGAAGCATGCCGATTCGCATCTCCGCTCTTTTCCTTTCCTTTCTCCCCGAATTGACTATTTGTTCTCTTCTCACTGTTCATATTTTCCCACTACTAATCATGCGATACAGTGAGCACACACCTCTATTACCCAGATACGCCATGAACCCGAATCTACAGATATTCGTGAGTTCCAGAGTAGCATTTTTCAGTCAGTTCTGTGTTTTCAGCTCAACAAAAAGACGCCGTACCATCGGATTCCAACAAACTTGGACAGATTATATGAAGAGGTGAGACAGATATGGCAGAAAGGTTGAAAAGATGAATTGAAATTTCAGGATTGGAAAGAATACTACTCCCCTTCCGACTTTCCGTCGCTCTCCAGTCTCTTCCGCTCCAAAAATCGATCATTTCTCCTTTTGATTGGTGCAATTTTCCTTGTTTTTCTGCTCCTTTTGATCATGTTTCGTGGCAATGAGGGTTAGTAGAAACAGACGGAAAGCGGACCGAGAGACCACCTCTTCTGTAGAGACTCAGACACAACCGCACGCAAACATTTCCTCCCATTCGTTCCCTTTTTGCAGAAGGAAAAATTTACACAAAAATGGAGGAGACGACGTCATCTGAGGCCATCAAAATAGGTAAGCACGCATTCAGAGATCTTCTCCGTAAAATTATCAGTTCAGAAGCCCAAACGTTGGGTGTGGCGAAGGAAGATGTGAGAGGATCTCTGGAGAATTATTTGAACTCGATCGATCCACATGAGCAATATCCAGATGACGTCAATTCGGTGAAACCACATCATATCCGAGTGATCGGAGCTATGGGAGATTCTCTGACGGTTGGTCCCTTACGGTTTCTCTCTGAAAACACTGTGTACATAGATCGGCTCGAGAGCTTCAAACGTCATTAAAGACGAGAAACAACGTTATCCCGGAAACGCGTTCTTCACTGGAATGGACACGGAAGTCGATGGTCATTTGACTGTCTACAGTAAGATATTCTCCAGCTTTGTACAGTAGACTTTGAGAATTCAGACATCTTCCGTGTGATTGCCGAAGAGACTGATTCGAAGTTATTCGGCGGCAGCACCGGAGAAGATTATGGAGAGAACACGGGTCTCAACGTGGCAGTCGGCGGACGGAAAAGCGACGATATTCTGAGACAGGCGGAAGATCTGGTGGCCAGGATCAAGGCCAACTCCGAGGTACCAAACAACGGGACTGATTCTCAGAAAAAAGGGAGTTTCAGATTGACATCAAAAAGGATTGGAAGTTGGTTTCGCTCTGGATCGGAACGAACGATGTTGGAGACCTGGGATACGGGTTCGAGCCGCCAATTCCAGCGGAAACGTACAAGACGAACATTGAGAAGGGGCTTTCGTACCTAAAAGAGAATCTCCGAGGACAATCGTCTCGATCATCGGAATGTTTCCGGCTCAGCTGCTCCAGGAAGCTCAGTCGATTCTGAAGACTGGGTTAGGGATAGCAACTCAACAACAAAAAGAGTTTCCTTTCCAGAAACGGGCAAAGGACGTTGAGAATCAGAAGAAGTTGGACGCCCTCTCGAACGGATATCGGCAAGCGTCCTTCGAAATCCAAAACGAGGGAAAGTTCAACACAAGAGAGTTCACAGTGGTTGTTCAGCCGTTTGCCACTCAATATGACAGTGTATACGTTGACGTGAGTGGGCGGGAGAGTGGCGAAAATAGGATGGAAATTTCCAGAGAATCGGCAACTACAACTCCTCGTTCTATGCTATTGATCTTTTCCATCTGAGCAAACTGGGTCACGCCATTCTCGCGAAGCACTACTGGCAGAATCTGTTCGAATCTGTCGGAGAGAAGACGACAAAGGCCGAGCTGGGAGACATTTCTCCTCGCATTTTTGAGTTGAATACGGTATATAAACAGAGGAAAATGGGAAATTGAGAGGTTTACGTTTCAGGAGAACTCATTCATCAAGACAATCGGAAACAGCAAAGTATAATCGGCGAATCGACGAATCTGCAACTCGGGTCTCGAACGGAAAACAAAAAGTGCAATTCAACTCAATTCCACTCCTCTTCTTTCCACTTTTTTCTGTTTGATAAACTTTATCGTTTGCGTCGAAACACTTTTACACCTCTCCGTGCAAACACGACAGTTTGACGACATTACGGAACGAAGAGACCAAGTTGAAACGTCATCGGAGGATCGAAGTGGGGGCAAACCGACATAATCCGTCTGGTTAGTGTGTTTCCAAATTGAGAATTTCCAATGAACATTCCGACGTGTTTGAGCAGCTTGCCCTTTGTTTTCATCGTCGGCCAACCAAAGTCCTGCGTCTTTCTGGATTCGCGCCTAATTTCCTGGAGTCCAGGTGATTGACACCTATAAATTATGCATACGCTTTGCTTTTGAGGGGGTTTTACAGAATGAAAGTGGTGTGTATCATATGTACAGACCTTTTGAATGTAGAGACTCAACTGAGCTTTTGTGCATTGAAAACAGCAATACTTCATGAAAGGCGAAAAATCACAATACCTCTCTCTCTCCCTCTATTCTCCCACGCGTTTAATATTCGAAACACTTCTTTTCGGCTCTCAAGTCCCATCTCTATGGCTTCGTAAATTCGATGGCTTCTTCCCTTTTTCTTTTTTTCCTCTCCGTCATTCCTCCGGCCGCTTGCTCTGTCTCGGCTCGCTAGCGGCTCGAAACACCTGCACCAAACTTTTCTCGCGGCGAGAACGATCTAGATCATACATGCGAGTAGTGCGGCAGACGGCAGCATTGAAACAGTTAGTCATGCGAGGTTTCTTCCTGAACGAGTTACGGAGCAGCTTGCTCCGCACCATGTGAATTTCATTTGCTCGTCGCCTAGCTACTGCCTGCTCACATGCTCCCTCCGCAACCTATTATCATCGACGGAAGTAAGAAATGCACATACACCGGGAGCCCTGAGATCACTTTAAATGTGGAATTCATTTTCAATCTTACTCTCCGAACCTAACTAGATGCTTTTGAAATCTAAACAGAAGGTTCGTATGAAGTGTGTTAGCATAATTTGTGGAAATTTGAATCTATTTGGAGTTTCTTCGCAGTCTAATTAGAAAATGTATCAATCTAGCCAGAATAATTTGTATTACAAACTATCTTCCTGGATGTTTGTTCCCATGTAACGTCGACATCGTTATTTCTTCAAGGTGTTGTTGTGAATCTGCAACAACAACAACAACAAAAAAACGGAATATCATCACTCTTTTTGTGAAAACTCTTGAGGGGAATGTCCCTTTGTTTGTTCCTCTGTCTGTCCGTCACCCCTTTTTTTCCTTTTCTATCCAATTCAGTCAGACGAAAATAAAAAAGGACCATGTAAACTCAACCTGTTGCGGGTCCATGTGTTCCACTTTCATTAACTCTTCTTTGTCTTGCCACACCATTCCCCAAAAATTTGAAGTGCTTTCGAACAATTCTCACATTCTGACGATAGTAGGTACTACTCTGATAGGAGGACAGAAAAGGTGATAGAGAAAGAGACAAACACAGCCGTCCCTCCTGACACATTTCAGTTTACATTTCTCGTCCAAAATGTGTAGACGTTACTTGCAGAAATGAAAGGAGCCCGGTACAAGAAGTTGACGAATCTGGATGAAGACGCAGAGGTTTATAGAGTGAGTCACAATTGGTTTTAGTTGGACTTTATGAGTATGTTATCAGTTTAAAGGCCTCTGACGACTCGAGCTCCGTGTGCTCCACTCTTGCCGGCTTCCTTCTGCTCTTCGCGTTTGTCGCGTGCATGATATTTCTGACCAGCGTCCAATCTCATCCCGTTCGTTGCTATGGCTACGATTTTCTAAAGAGAACCAGATTTCAGAGCTCAATATCATTACGAACGTCTGGAAAGATGGAAAAGACAGTCCTCCTCTGGATCATCCGAAAACCGTTGTTCCGAAGAAGAGAAACATTACAAACTGGCAGGATTACTACTTCACAGAGTGAGTTTCGTTTATTAGCAATTGAAGTGAACGCATCCCTCCAGAGACGAGAGCCGCTTCCTGAACTGTTCGGAATTGATAAAAGGCGAGAAAGATTCAATCGCTTTGTACGTGAACAACGGACGTATGAAACTGGACAAGGAGAGGGTGTTCGATCTTCCGATGGATTGCGATTCGATCAAAGAAAGGGTGTACGGGGATCTGCCACAACCGTTCAAACCTCTAAAGAGACCGATCGCATTTGTGCGGACGATCTTCAAGTTGTACGAACTGCAGGAGGCGCTCTTCTCCATGTCCTATCATCCGGATAATGTATTCTGCTACGTGATCGACTCGAAGAGCACTGACAAATTGAAAAATGCAATGAGAACAATGAGCGCGTGCTTTGGAAACGTTGTAGTTCTGGAGAAAGAATACAATTTGAACAGTGGAGGGCACGGACAGGATCCGGCACATTTCGATTGTCTCGAACAGATTCTCGGCAGAAAATGGGACCACGCCGTCATCCTTCAGGTACTCTTCCCGTCCGCGTTCCCAATTAGTTCACTGTGTACTTTTCCAGAACTTTGACCTGATCATCAAATCGCCGCAACAACTCTCTGACATCAGTGAATCTCTCAACTACACGAGCATAATGGGATTCGACTTTGGCTTCAAGTACAGGTACAACACGAAAGCGGATTGGACTCCAGCTGGCATGAAACTCTTCAAGAACGGTACCCACTGAACGCTGTTCCCACAAAACGCTCCTTTTCAGCAACCGGAGTGCCCGATAGCATTCTTCACAAGAAACTGAACGTGAGGAAAAGTCTGAACGAAGTGATCATCTCAAAAGTGTTCGTGAGATCAATGTTCGAAAAACTGAACATGCAGAACATACTGAAGCAGTTCGACGACAACGAGGTACGTTCGCAACACTTGTTCTCATCTCTATCCATTTATTTTTTCAGTATTACGGAGTGGACGAGATGCTTGTTCAGACACTTTACGAGAATTATCTCGGTCTTGAGGGACAGATGGAATCAAACTGTACCAGAAATCACGATGATATTCTCACAAGGTAACACTGATCTGTTAAGCGAATAATGGAAAGTGTTCAGGTTGACTCATTGGGACTTTTCCGGTCCGAATGGCTACGACAAAGAGTGCAAGTCGAAATGGAAAAGACACGGAATCTGCATTCTCGGCGTCGAGTACCTGAACGACCTGACGAAGAGTCAGAAAGTGAGCGCCAACAAGGTCATGTCCACATTTGACTTTGGAACGATCATTTGCACTCGAGAGATGATCAAGAGGAATCGGACAGGAGACACCCCCGATGCCAGGTGGCTCTCCTCTTTTCCCCAGGTAAACCTGTGCTCATTTCTCCAAAATCTCTCTTTTTTCAGTTCCGAGAAATGCAGCTGAAAGCGAACGGGACATACGATAGAAACAAGTTCGATTGCTAGAAAAACAGACATCAGGGTTCACATGTATACGGGATAACACAAAGAGTTTTAAATCTATTCTGGAATGGTTATTATAGAACGGATTTTCAATAGAGAGACTAAATCTCATTTTTATGTATTTAATGAAAAGTTCCAACTGAAAATGTGCAAAAAACAATATAAAACAAGAATAACATACACTAGCCACTCATGTCTTCCCTCACGATTTGATGGTATAAACTGCGAGAAATTAAGGGGAAACAGGAGCTACTCTATTGAAATCCTAAAGAAACTTCGTCGACGATCCCTGCTGCCATCACGGACAAGTTCGGCGCCTCGCTCCGTCGTGTTATTGCTCGTAAACCACGAATTGTTCTTTCGCTTTCTCCGCAAACTGTTTCATCGAGCCACGCAACTTTTCCAGCGGTAAAACTTACCTTCATCCAACAGTTTCTACTAGTTTTCATTGCAACACTCTCACAATTTATATCTAAACTGCAAATTTTTAGATAACCGTAAAACCTGTTCATTCAAGACGATATATCACCGACACCTGTGGAGATATCAAGCAGTTGTTCAATTGCTCATTGAGAAATGTTGTACATTTTCCAGCTGTCCACTTTTTGATATTTTCATAGAAAGCTGCGATACATTGTGATAAACGGTAATGCGGGATGTTCCGAGGGTCACGATCAATCCTACTTACAGGTATGAAAGGCGTTCAATACAGTCGGTTACAGAGTTCGGAGGAAGATACAAATCTGGAAACAGTGATTGAAGTTCATTTTGCTCAGCTCAAAGATCAAATTAAATTGAAGGTAGCTTCTGGAAATTCCAAGTGTGTATGCATCACTTTCATCGCCTTTGCTGTGATATTCGCATTTTTTGCGTACATTATCTTCCAAACTAATATTCAATCGGTGAGAAGTTGACGTGAGCATTAATTATGCTCACATTTCAGAAATCTGCTGTGATACATGAAAAATACAATCGTTCACTGGAATACCATGAACACGTTTCCGTGAAAAAGAGAAACATAACGAACTGGCAGGATTACTACTTCACTAAGCAAGTTTCATGAAACTTTATCCTCCATGGAAGGTCCTTCAGAGACGAGAGTAAATTCCTAAACTGTTCTGGATTTGTAAATGGTGATAAGGATGCGTTAGACTTGTACGTGAACAACGGACGGATGAAACTGGACAAGGAGAGGGTGTTCGATCTTCCGATGGATTGCGATTCGATCAAAGAAAGGGTGTACGGGGATCTGCCACAACCGTTCAAACCTCTGAAGAGACCGATCGCATTTGTGAGGACGATCTTCAAGTTGTACGAACTGCAGGAGGCGCTCTTCTCCATGTCCTATCATCCGGATAATGTATTCTGCTACGTGATCGACTCGAAGAGCACTGACAAATTGAAAAATGCAATGAGAACAATGAGCGCGTGCTTCGTAAACGTTGTAGTTCTGGAGAAAGAGTACAATTTGAACAGTGGAGGGCACGGACAGGATCCGGCACATTTCGATTGTCTCGAACAGATTCTCGGCAGAAAATGGGACCACGCCGTCATCCTTCAGGTACTCTTCCCGTCTGCGTTCCCAGTTAGTTCACTGTGTACTTTTCCAGAACTTTGACCTGATCATCAAATCGCCACAACAACTCTCTGACATCAGTGAATCTCTCAACTACACGAGCATAATGGGTTTCGACTTTGGCTTCAAGTACAGGTACAACACGAAAGCGGATTGGACTCCAGCTGGCATGAAACTCTTCAAGAACGGTACCCACTGGACGTTGTTCCCTCAAAACGCTCCTTTTCAGCAACCGGAGTGCCCGATAGCATTCTTCACAAGAAACTGAACGTGAGGAAAAGTCTGAACGAAGTGATCATCTCAAAAGTGTTTGTAAGATCAATGTTCGAAAAACTGAACATGCAGAATATACTGAAGCAGTTCGACGACAACGAGGTACGTTCGCAACTCTTGTTCTCCTCTTTATCCATGTATTTTTTCAGTATTACGGAGTAGACGAGATGCTCGTTCAGACACTTTACGAGAATTAGCTCGGTCTTGAGGGACAGATGGAATCTACCTGCACCAGAAATCACGATGATATTCTCACTAGGTAGATGTTGAACAGTGGGCGATTTCAAAAAGAAAGGATTATTCAGAATGACGTATTGGGACTTCACGGGGCCGGATGGTTTTGCCAGAGAGTGCAAGTCGAAATGGAAAAGGCACGGAATATGTGTCATTGGAGTCGAGTACCTGAAAGAATTGTCAAAAATGGAGAGAGTGCTCGTCAACAAAGTCCTGTCCACTTTTGATTTCGGCACGATCGTTTGCACTCGAGAGATTATCAGGACGAATCGGACGGGGAAGGTACCCGATGCCAAATGGTTTTCCATTCATCCTCAAGTGAGCCCACCTTTTACTGATCTTCTGAGTTTTCTGTTTTTCAGTTTCGAGAAATGCAGCTGAAAGCGAACGGGACATACGATAGAAACAAGTTTGACTGTTAAGAAAACGGGGTTTGCATAATGGTATTAATATATTTTTCAATAATTTTTTGCATTGCACCAGCACAAATGAATCATCAGTCTCTTCTCATTTTTGCATCACATGCGACAGTTTCAAAGACATTGCTTTCGAACTTCTGCACGAAGCTGTCAACGAAATTCAGAGAATCAGAATCAGACACCGTCCGATCGCCTTTATATTTATCTAATTGATAATCACGAGTGAGACTTGAAAGACGGCCGCCATCAACATACCAAAATGTATCAAAGTGGCAGCTGTTCTTCTCATTCCAGTGTTCCGTTTCTTCTCTTTTTTCCCACGAATACGTTTGCAAGTATACTTTTCGCCCCACGCGGCGACGAAAAGAAATCGAAGACCATATCAGCGATGTATTTCTGCCCGCGCCCCCTTCCTTCGGCCTTGTTCACACGGACAAACTTGTCTCGCGGACGTACGCAGCCAGTCTTCGGCCCCTTCCCACCACGTGGTCTCCTTCTTCCTCATCTGATTCCCCATTCCCACCTTCTCAATCTACAGAATGCCGTCCGTCGTGATCGCTGGAGCCGGTCTCGTCGGCGCTCTCAATGCGTGCTTTTTCGCTCAGAAAGGATGGGACGTGTCGGTCTACGAGTTCCGCCGGGACATCCGAACGATGAAGCACGTGCAGGGGCGGAGCATCAATCTGGCGCTGAGCAACAGAGGAAAAGCGGCGCTGGAAGCGGTTGGACTCAAAGAGTACATTGTGAAGCAGGGCGTGCCGATGTACGCGAGACTCGTACACAACAAGGACGGAAAGACGTACAGTAGGCAGCCGTACGGAAAGCCCGGACAGGTGGGTTACTGTAGAAGACTCCGTGAGAACGGGACGACTTTCAGCACATTGTGTCGATCAACCGACGGCACTTGAATGAAGTCATGATCACGCAGGCGGAAAAGTCGCCGAATGTGAAGTTTTACTTTGAGCACAAAGTGAAGAGCGTCGATTATGAAAAGAAGCAGTTGGTGGTGCAGTGCACGGCTGCGCCCTCCAGAATCCCGACGTTTGGCAGCAAGGCGGCAGCAGCACCGTGAGTCAGAAGATGTTGAATTTGAAGAAATGGGTGGAGTTTCAGACAAGAACATCCAGAAGTTCGTGTGGAAGCCGACCTGATTCTGGCTTGCGATGGAGCGTATTCGGCAGTTCGCAGAAGTCTCATGACTATTCCGAGGTAGTTTTTGTCCCGATACCGTAGTCATCTGTTTCCCAGATTTGACTTTTCCCAAGAGTACATTGAGCACGGCTACGTGGAGCTGAACATCATGGCCAACAACAACGAATTCGCGTTCGAAGAGAACGTCTTCCATCTCTGGCCACGCGGTCATTTCACTCTTATTGCACTTGCCAACAGGGACAAAACGTTCACGGGTGAGTGGGATTACTGATTTGAAGAGAAATGAAAGGAGTTGTAGTGACAATCTTCGCTCCATTTTCGGAATTCGAGAGGCACATGTCGACGCCAGAAGACGTTCTCTCTTTCTTTGAAGAGAACTTTCCCGATGCGTATCTGTTGCTTGGGAAGTGAGTTTTCATTTGAGATGAGTTTCGAATGAGTCCCGTCTTCAGAGAGCACATCGCAGACACATTCAGTCGTGTGAAACCGCAACCGTTGGTTTCTGTAAAGTGTGCTCCTCACTCGTTCTTCGATAATCTCGTGCTCATGGGCGATGCCGCGCACGCAATGGTTCCCTTTTATGGGCAAGGCATGAATTGCGTAAGCTTCCTACAAACTATTCGACAATCTTCAAAAGTTTCACTTTTAGGGTTTCGAAGATTGTTTGGTCTTCAGCGAGATTCTCGATGAAAACGGCGATGACATCGGTGAGTGACAAAATTCATCATCTCAAAAAATCATGTACGTTTCAGCTGCGACAGTGAGAAGATACTCGGAGAAGCGAGTGAAAGACGCGCACGCCATCATCGACCTGGCAATGTACAATTACGAAGAACTCAAGGATCTGGTCAACCGGAACTCTTACAAAATGAGAAAGACGTTCGACACATTCATGAATAGACTGTTCCCGAACGGCTGGATACCACTGTACTCGATGGTCACGTTCTCTCGTATTCCCTATTCGGAAGTGGTTGGGCGACGAGCGCGGCAGGACAGAATACTGTCGAGATTCTTCAAAACCACTTCCACGTTGGCACTGATCGGAGCAGTCGCCGGAGTGTACATTGGCCGGGGAAAGCTCGGGCTTTGAAAGAGAAAAATCGTCTTCTTCCTCTCCTAAAAATAGTAAAAATAGTATCTTCTGTTTTGCAACTAACACATGGTGAAATGAAGTGATTTGACCCTGATCTTCAGCAACCTGTTTCTGCGCGTGTTTTCAAAGATACGCATAGTCTTCCGAAGTGTCAAAAGTGAACAATATCAGGACGGAACAATGCAAGAGCGCCCCGCTGAACAATCGCTGAAACGGTCGCCCGTTCCACGTGTTTACTTTTCGCCTGGATCTCATTTATCGAGAATGCCGTCCGTTCTGATAGCTGGCGGAGGCCTTGTCGGCTCCGCGAACGCCTGCTTCTTTGCTCAGAAGGGATGGAGTGTGCGGGTGTTCGAGTCTCGTCCCGATCCACGTGGCGAACTGTTCGAGCCGGGAAAGAGCTTCAATTTGGCACTGGCACATCGAACAATGGCCGCGTTGGAGCGAATCGGACTGAAGGAAACGGTGATCGAGAAGGGATTTCCGATTACGAAGAGACGGGTTTATCTGGAAGCGCAGGGCGGACACCTGGAGAAGTGGCCCGTTTTGAAAGACGATGATGTGAGTGGAATTGGGTGTGAAATGGAAAAGGAACGGAGGGAATGTTGCAGTTCGTTCTAACTATGAACCGTCAACAGTTGAGTGAGATTTTGATAAATGAGGCGGAGAGTTACCGAAATGTGGAGTAAGCCAACATTTTCGTTCATTTGACAGACTATCAATATGTTCAGATATAAGTTCAATCACAAGGCGTTGTGCTTCAACTTTGACAGTCAGAATCTGGAGGTGGACACTCCGGAAGGCGTAATCTCTGTGGACGCCGACCTCATTCTGGCATGTGACGGAGCACACTCTTCCATCCGAAGAAGCCTTCTCAAAGTGCCGAGATTCAATTTCGAGCAAACATATGCCGAGTACGGGTATATGGATATGAGTGCAAAGTCTGCGAAAGGGCTGGAAAAAGGAGTGCACAACCTGTGGATTAGAGATGGGATCATGTTGGTGGCATTGGTGAACAGGGACAACTCATTGAGTGGTTAGAACCTTCCAGGATACATTTGGACGTTTCAGTGTTGTTTAGTGTCCATCTTCGCGAAGTTTGAAGAATTCGAAAGAAAACTGTCGACTCCTGAAGTCAGCGTTCCATTTTTCAAGAGAAACTTCCCGGAAATCGTTGCCATTCTTGGAGAGTAAGACCATTTTCTCACATCGTATTCGTCTTTTGTTTACTTCAGAAAGCACGTCTCGGAGATGTTCGTTCGCAACAAACCGCAGGCAATTATCAGTGTCAAATGCTCACAACACGCCTTCTTCGACAAATTGCTTTTGATGGGAGACGCCGCCCACGCGCTGGTGCCATTCACAGGCCACGGAGCCAACTGTGGATTCGAAGACTGTCTCGTGCTACAGGAGATTCTGGAGAAGAATGACGGAATGTCGATTGAGAAGAGTGTCAGAGAGTACTCGGAAGTGAGGACGGAGGACACCAATGCGATGAACAGAATGGCCTGGAAGGCGCATTTGACGGTGAGGACTGGGTGATAAGCGATTATTGTTCTCAAAGTGGATCTTCAGTTGGATCGTACAGTCTACAAGGTTCCCGTTTCATGGACGGAGAAGTTCATGTCTCTGCTCCGAAGCGCAGCAGATCGGCTCCTAACTCATCCTAGCTTGCTCGCAACACACTCTCGTGTGCCGTATGCTGAAATTGAACGCAAAGCGAAGTTTTCGGACAACCTTCCTCGTCACATTCTGGCTGTCATTCTCATCGTTTTTGCATTGCTTTCTTTGGTTTTCAGTGCCATCTAGAAAAAGTATGTCTCTGTCCGCGAGAATCAGCTGTCTTAAAGGCGCACGCCTTTTTATCGACGTGCAAGTCTCGCAACGACCGCATTCGAAACGAGCCGCAGTGCGCCGCGCAAATCCTCTTGTTTGCCTTCTCTAAAAATTCTAACCCTGCGAAGCAAGACGGAAAGATAAATTATCAGGAGCCGTTAGGCGACGCGACGGATAAATTCATTTTTCATTTTCTGCTTATTCGTGGTACGGTGTGCAAATCTGTGCACACACGGCATGAAGTTTTGTGCGTCGAATGTGGTGCACTGCCTTGTGACTCTTCGTTTTTTCGACAACAGACGTCAATGCTTCGATTTGTACTTTTCTATCGAAATGGTTGCCTCCTGTAGTGTTTTTTGTTGACTGGGGGTGCGAAAAGCCTAAATTCCAGTGATATGTGCTCGTGATTTGCTGTAAAACTCGTTATCTTGTTTTTTTGCGGTCGTTCGGTTTCGATTTCGATTTTTGCCGATGTCAAATAAATATTACCTCCTGCAATCAGCTGTACCTCTAGCCAAGTGGTTTATCTGTGCTCAGCAAACAGGTCGATGCGTAGCTGTGCTGCGACCTCGTAGAACCGGTTAATTTCTGCGCGCGCGTCATCGGTATTCTTCGCTGCCTCTCTATGGCTTCATTCCGTCTCGTTTCATAAGAATGAATCATATAACTTGCATTGCAATTGCTATTTCTTCTTGTTTTTCTCATCGATTTCCTTCCTTTCGCTGACTAGTGAGTCATAAATCAATAACCGCAACGCGCCCGCTCGTCCGCTGCCGTTCGTACACTGCAAAGCGATGCCACTCCTACTCGTATTCGCTCACTCTCGTTCTCTCCAGTCTTCTCTTTACACACTACTCCCGTTCTTTCATTCACTCTTTCTTGGTTTTCACCGAACACTTCTTACAGTTTGCAACCACTTTCAATCTTTGCTAACAATGGCGGACAAAATCAATATGTCGCTCGATGACATCATCAAGCACAATCAGAAAGACAAAAAGAAGAATAACGGAAACTCCCAAAAGCCGGGAACCAGCAACAAAAACACTGGAAATAAGGTGAGGTTCACAAGTAAAATGAAGTTTAACAATAATGTTTTCAGAACGGTGCCGGAGCCAAGAAAGCTCGTGTTGGAGCTGGTCGTAGAGCGCCACCGGCTAAAAATGCTCGCGTTGTTTTGGCGAACAAAGTTCTGAAAAAGTCGAAGCTGATTGCTCGCCGAGCGAACGCTGGAGCTGGAGCACAGAGACGAGTCATTGGGGCCCGCGGAAGGCCGGCTGCTGCTGCTGGATTGAACACCGTGGCCACCAAGAAACTGGTGAACAAGCTCGTCAAGGTAGGGTACATTCGCGTGCTTTTGGCGCTAAGTTTTACATTTTCAGAACGCCCTTCGCAAGAGAACGAACATCACGACTGCCCAAGTCGTTCGCAAACGAGGAGTACGTTTTTCCCTACTATTTGTGACCAGAATTCTGTGCACGAGCTGAAACATATAATGGATGAGAAGAAACAGAAAATCCGAGCTCCAGAATTGAGAACATTCGGTCAAGCGTAGGATTGTGAACGGCTATAAATCGGGTCGAGAGTTTTGCCATGGGAAGGCGTCTCTCGTGTCGCGTGAGCAACGTCATCGATCACGTTTAGCTCTGCTGAATACTCGCGATGAATAGTTGGAGGCAGAGGCCCACTATTGAAAACCCGATATAAAGCCAAGAAAACGGGGACATTTCTGAAATTGTCGGCTTCTCTCGTACACCTGCTATCGTCGGCGTGTTCTTGCTCTCGCATCGAGTTCTCAGTTCTTGACTGGAGGTGAGCTAATTGATTTCAGGGTGTTGCCGCCTCGACTCTCGCCGCCAGAAGGAACCTCGCCGTCAGACGAAACGTCATTGCTCCACCAGTCAGAACTGTCATCCAGAGACCGACGGTCGTCAGAGCTCCGGTTCGCACCGTCGTTCAACACGTGCAGCCTGCTCCGGTCCGCGTCGTCCGCGAGATCATCACTGCTCCACAGATTGATACGCGTGTCATCCGCAGAGGACCACCACCACAATCTCGCCGAAACCGTCAGCCGCAGCAACAGCGTACCGTCGTCGTTCAGCAGGTGCAGCAAGGAAGACGTTTCCGTCCGAACAACAACAATCGCCGCAACGACCGACCGACTGTCATTCGTCGCCAAGTTGTTCAGCAAGCTCCAAGACGTGCGCAAGTGGCTAGACCGCAGGTATCCAACTTCAGCCCGTTTGTATAACAAAACAGTCAATTTTAAGTACGAACAAGTTGTGCAGAGAGTGGTTCAGAGAGTCCCTCATCAGCAGCAGCAGCAAGGAAGAAATGTACGATTCGTGAATTCGGGCAACAGACCGATTCAGAGAAAGACTGTTGTGCAGCAGGTATTGATACTTTCCGATTTCGTGCTCCTTCTTTCATTGTTTTATTTTTGCAGGCTCCTCGCTATCAGCCAGTCCAGTATGTGACCGAGCACTTCGTTCCCTCTCGCGGACGCGGATTCCGCGCATTCTAAGTCATGACTTGTGCCACCAAGGATACTCAGCAATTGCGTACTCGCTCCTCATTGACTCATCTGAACTTTAATGACTCCTTTAAACACCTGAAAATTTTGTACGTTAAAAAAAAAATAAATACTACGCATGGACCTACATATATTATTTTTTCATAATAAATGTGTTACGAAATCATCGAAATGCGTTACTTTATTTCTGGTAGATGGTCTAGTGCAAATGCTTGCAGATGGCCTCCCGGGACAGGGTACGGACCACATCAAACAGCATCGATCCGAACGAGGATCCCGTGAGCGCACTGGAGAGAGTGATGTCGAATCCGGATCTGGAACAGACGGCCAGGCGGAGGAGGAGACAGGTAGGAGGGATCAGAGAAACGGATGGGAACGGAAAGGGTTCAGGAGGACGAGCTGCTGTTCTCGCGCCAGTTCGATGAGTCCGCGAGAACCGACAGCCACGAGGCCCTGTCCGCGAGATACGAGAGTCTGAACTACGAAGTGTCGGAGAACAGACTGTACAGAGACGCAGAGTACAAAGATACGCACCAGGTGAGAACGGTCGGGAGGGACCGGAAACTGACGGAAGAGCTCAGGTGACACTGTGGAGAATATCGCGGAATCGGTGGCTCGTCTGCTTTCTCATCGGCGTCTTCACGGCTCTCGTCGCCGCGTTCATCGATATCATGGTGCATTACAGCAAGGATATCAAGTTCAACTGGATACTCAAAGATTGTGAGATTAAAACATAGAATAGGATTGAACTGACTGAAAATGGTTTAAGTGATCTCAAAATGTGGAGAGGAGCAGAGAGGGACCACTGCCGGATGCATGTGGACCGTCATGATCGCCTGGATCGCCTACAACTGCTTCCTCGTCACCATCGCCGCCGTTCTCGTCATCTACGTGGCGCCGATTGCCGGCGGATCCGGAATTCCGCAGATCAAGTGCTATCTCAACGGAATCGCCATTCCGGAGGTTCTAAGGTTCTCTTTTTCACAATTCCATCTTCTTTTTCAGGTTGTTCGTCTCAAAACGCTCGTTTCGAAAGCGATCGGGGTGGCGTGCTCGGTGGGCGGAGGACTGTCTGCGGGCAAAGAGGGACCGATGATCCACTCGGGGGCAGCTGTCGGAGCAGGAATCTCACAGGGCAAAAGTAACTCGCTCGGCATCGACTTCGGGGTGTTCCGAGAGTTCCGGAATGATCGGGAACGACGAGACTTTGTATCAGCGGGCGCTGCCGCCGGAGTGGCCGCCGCCTTCGGAGCGCCCATCGGAGGAGTGTTGTTCTCTTTGGAGGAGGGCGCCAGTTTCTGGAACCAAAACCTCACATGGCGGATGTTCTTCTCGGCAATGATCTCCTCGTTCACAGTCAACTGGATTCTCAGCTGGTTCAACGGACGCAGCGGATGGCTTTCTTGGACGGGGCTCGCCAACTTTGGCATATTCGAGAACAAGGACTATAACATATGGGAGATTCCGCTCTTTCTGCTCATCGGAATCATCGGCGGTTGCCTCGGCGCCCTCTTCAACTACATGAACACGCGGTTGACGGAGTTTCGCAAAAAGTACGTGAGCAGCAATTTCGGCCGTCTTTTCGAATGTCTGCTCGTCGCCGCCGTCTCCGGTTTCCTCGCTTTCCTCACAATATTCGCCATCGATGATTGCCAGCCGATCGGAGCGAATCCCACTGCCACGTCGACGCAGATCAATCAAATGTGGTGCAAAAAGGGAGAATACTCGGCCGTCGCCAGTCTGTTTTTCCAGAATCCCGAGGAAAGTGTGAAAAGCCTGTTTCATAGCCCTATCAGTAAGGTTGAGTTGGGAATATAGGAACAATCTCGTTAACGTTCAGACTCATTCGGCGTGACGACTCTCATAATCTTCGGAATCGAGTACTTCCTGCTCACTCTCTGGACGTTCGGAATCTCCGTTCCCTCGGGAGTCTTCATTCCGGCTATCCTGACGGGCGCCGCCTGGGGCCGGCTTTTCGGCATCTTCGTCGAGAGATTGTTCCCTTCGGTGACTGGAATCGACCCCGGAAAGTACGCGTTGGCGGGGGCGGCCGCCCAATTGGGAGGCGTCGTCCGGATGACTATCTCCCTGACGGCGATCATCATGGAGGCCACGAAAGACATCACGTTCGGACTGCCCATCATGCTGGTGCTGATGGTCACCAAATGGGTCGGCGACATGTTTAACGAAGGGCTCTACGACTCGCACATCGACTTGGCCGAAGTGCCGATTCTCGGATGGAATCCTCCTAAAATGAGCAGAAATATTCTAGCTGAGTAGGTTTTTTAAACGTTTTCTCGCCTCCAATTCGTTCGTTTCAGTCGTGTAATGCGAAAAGACGTGGTGGCTCTCGAGAGAAGAGAACGTCTCTCCCGCATCGTCGAAATCCTCCGTTCCACCCTGCATCATGGCTTCCCGGTCGTCGATCGGATAGAAGAATCGCCAATTCAGACGCTTCCCGATTACGGAAGACTCAAAGGGTACATCCTCCGATCGCAGCTGTTTAAACTTCTCGAAAACCGAATATTCGCGGAGGAAGGATCGTCTTCGAGTCGTCTTCCGAATGACTTTTACGAGTGTCAGGACGATGACGAGTAGGCGGACTCTTTTCATTCGAGAACTTCATCATTTCTCATTTTCAGTCAGATGAAATCGCTAGAAGACCTCGGCTTGACTGCCTACGACGAAACCTGCTGGCTGGACATTGAACCCTACATGCACCCGCATCCCCACAGGTACATTCCCTTTCTCTCTTGCTTTCCCTTCTTACGTCATTCTCAGAGTGCCCCTCAACACCTCTCTTCCCTTCATATTCCGTCTGTTCCGCGGTCTCGGACTCCGTTATCTTTTCGTCGTGAACGATGACAATCACGTGAGCTGTCTCTTTTGTCATTCTCCTATCATCTTTTTTTCAGCTCCGAGGGGTTATCACCAGGAAAGATGTGGCAAGATTCCGTGAGCGACGACGCAACCATGAGTACCATGTTGATGAGCTCTACATTTCGGTCTCCTAAACCTTTTTTCTTGTATTTTGTCATTTTCCGTTGTCACGAGTAGCCTAAGAATTTACTTGTAAACTGTGATGCGATTTATTCATGTTGATAAAAAGTTTAACATCAATCGGACAATTCTTGCTCGATGCTTGAACATCATGCGGGTTTTTTTTATTTCGAAAATCACGCGCAGGTAGGTTCTGCTCGGGGCAGTTCTGATTCGAGATAGTTCTGATTTGGGACAGTTCTGGCTCGGGGTAGCCTCACGCTTTCAGAATTAAAGGAGCATGCGCGCTGTAAGGAGCGGGTCCCACCACGATCTATCACCGTACACCGAGCGCCAAAGTTTGAATTTGGAAACGTTCGAAAAACAGCTAAAACAGTGCGGACTCAGTGTGTTTCGTCGCTGTCTTCGAAATGAATCGCAGAAAAATGTTATGTTTCTTGGCATCTATCGCCGCTGCATTTCTCGTCGGATCACTCGCCGTTTATGTCCAAGCAAATCACGTCTATCCGGTGGAAGCTGGTCCAGGCGATTTCATGTATCATCAAGAATTCGATCGTCCCGAAACGGACAATATGACGATTATTGCTCTCACTCTTCTCGGAGCTTCAACGTAAGCTTTTCTCGCTAGTCGCGAAAAATACGTAACGTTTTCTGCAGATTCAACGAAGTCATGGAATTGCGGAATAAGAGTTTAGAAGGATCGGCATCCAAGAATATCAAAGTTCAGTTCTTCGTTTCGACAATGGGAACGTGCGATAAGAACGTATCACTTGAGTGCAGAGACTCCGATTTCAACATAGCTGAGCAGACGAAATATGTAAGTCATCTGCGAGCGCTATCTGAACACTTTATTTTGCAGATGTTCAAAGTCGAAGCTACTCTCGTCACAAACGACGATCTCAACCAGAATTGTCTGGACTCGAGCCGTGAAGATATCGTTTCCTACGTGTACTACCCTGGATACGAAGAGTTATTGCCTGGTGTAGCCAAGTTCGAGAAATACATAGTCGAGTACAAATGCGTAGAGCGTTCGACTTTTGGATTCGCTGTGATAGTTTTCATCCTCGCAGCTTGCATTGTCATTTTCGTTGTTCTTGCTTTCGCGTTTGTTTGCTGATGTTTTTCGCACTACATTCTGATACTTGCAGATGCTTCCCTAAAAGAAACCGACCGCCTGCCGGTAATCTTGATAACAGCGACAGCGGGAGCAGCCAAAGAACCAACGATACTGAAATGGTCGAAATGCCTGCATCAGAGCAAAACAATGCTGACAATCAACCATTGATATCTTTGGGAGATGATGAAGGAACCAGCGGGGCGGCAGGCGAGAAGATACGCGATGTTCCCGACGCTGAGAAGAGCGACGTGATTCTCGAAGAGATTCCCGAAGAGCATGCGGCCACCACTACACTTACAGGGACGTCCGACTCTAGCACACCTGCAAAAAATAACGAAAGCAGCAGTACCAATGAAAACGATTGACTATTTTCACATTTCTGTACATTTTTTCCAATCTCTCACAATTATTCATTGCTATTTTGATAATGTATATTCTCACTGTACATTGAACTGCGACAATGCATTGTTCAAGATCTCGAGCCAAGTCTTATTCTTTCCAATTTTTATGTTTTTCCTGGTACTCTCCATCATTATTGACGGTTTTCAGCTGTTAACGTTTATCAGAAGATTCAAACACATTCAAGATTTCAAATGAGGTCCTACTTTCTCTGTTCTGTTTCATTTAGCTAAACTTGGTTCTTTTCCATCGATATTAACGTATTTACTTTGAGTTGCCTTAAATCAAATGGATCACCTCGTTGTATGCTGAATTCATTTATTTACAGATGGGTGACGAGAATTCCGGTCGAAGGCGACGCAGCATTCCCGACATTTTCAGGCAGTCGGATGAGAGAATTCAAGCGATTCTCAACCGTAGAAATATTGAAAACGGTGAGAACGACAGAAAAGAAGACTCGGAACTTGAGCTTTCAGACAACATGGATGAGATCGAAGACGAGGAAGTCGAAATGGAGGAGTCCGATGATGTGCAAGCGGAGAACAGTGAGAACGATGAGGTGCCGGACGACGAGCGAGATCTGTCGTTTTTGGCTCAACCAATCTCTCCCGTTGTGAACACCGTGAATGCGGAAACACAAATCAGCACAGAGACGGCGACGAAGAAGAATCAGTCCGGCTGTGGATTCAGAGAGGTCGCCCACAAGGGATGTCAGTATTCTGTCGCCATGAAAAACAGCGAAACTCAGATGAGAGCGACGACAAATGAGCAAGGAGTTCAGCACTTACACACGACTGCCGACGCTGAATCGCAGTGCACGACTACTGAGTACTGTGAAAAGGCGGTTCAGCACGAGAGGGAGACGGTGTTCATGAGTGTGCAGACGGAGTACAACACGAGGGATCAGGAGGTGCAGTGCGACAAGCCGGCAAGCTTGCTTGGTCTTGAGGACTCGACTCCAGATTTCGAACGCGGATTCTATGCGGGAATTCGCCTAATGGTGCTTGAGGTAGTCAGTTGGATCTTACAATTTATAACTGTCAACTCTAACCTACGTTTTAGATGCGCCCCGGAGATCCATACGCATTCAATCAACTTATCCAATGCCCTCAGAGCCTGTATCTGCCGCCAGGAAACTGCTCTCCACTGCCGGCTTTCTCGAGCTCGATATTTCAGCCGACGACACCTTCATTCACAGACCCTTCAACTTCTGTCCAACAGAACATCGGTCAAGGTACATTCGTCATCATTCATTTTCCTTTTGAGAACTATAATTTTTCTAGATTGGGCACAACTGCAAGCCACTCTTGGACATTTCCCATTTTCTCAAATGGCCCAGCAGAATTTTAGCGCGATGAATCCGTTCCAGATGTTCAATAACACTCAGCCGACCGACACTTCTATTAACAACGAGACACTGGAAAATATTATTACTGGTCGAAGAGACAGTAACGCTACGGACGCTATTCAGCAAATTGACGATGTTTTGATAGGTTTGTGACCGGAATTTCGCACGAAACATTCACTTTTAGACATAGAGACGATCCGAGAGCCGGAGCCGGAACCAGAAGCACCGCTTCCAACTTCAAACGGAGACGTTCCGTCTCCGAGATTAGTCATTTCTGCTAAAAGCACGGGTAAGGAGAACGGCAATATCTTCAGTGACGACTCCGACACCGGTCCGTTTGCTCCATCGACGAAAAGAGGCCGTCCGAAAAACCAACCTGAAGCGAGCTCGGCCGGAGGTTCTGCGCGTTCAGCGACTGAGACTCTGAAGAGAAAGACGCCGGTTCGGAGTAAGGCGCATCTCGTAAGATCCATAAATGCTGTTGATTTCAGAACCGACAAAGAAATCAACAAACGGTACCGGTTCGTCAAGTTACATATCGAACGAGCAGAGACGGCTCGAATCGAATCTTAACAATCCGCAGCCAGAACACGAGAATCGACGAAAGCGTGCGCGAGGCTGCGTCAAACCGAAACAATGAAAATAGTGAACACGTGTTCCATTATTCCGTTTCTCCACGTATACCTCTGTTCTATTTCTTTCGGATTACAATCGAATGTAACCCTATTTTTCACTTTTCTGCACAGAACTGTCTCAAAACATTCACTCCCTTGCTAAATTAATAGGAAAGCATTCGAATCTTCAGAATCCCTTCTAATAGTAATACAGCACCTTTTGTTTTTCCCCCTTACATCGTACCAGTCCCACTGTGTAGAACATCAACACCCTCCCTCCCCCCTCTTCTCAACTAAAAAGTAATCACTGTTTTTGTTTAAAATAACATGAAAAAGAGAAGAATCGACCTTAATATGTACATAACCGTAACAATTGACATGTGAGAATTTGTTTTCTTAGCGGATCAACACTCGGTCTGCTGCTTCTTCTTCTCCTCTTCGACCGTCTTGCGAGTGATGAATGTGAACGACTGCGGCTGATCGGTGGCCATCGGGAAAAAGAGAATGTTGGCGATGAACATGAGCGAGCCGTTGAGCATGTAGACGTGGCCCCATTGCGCGTGTGAAGACTCGTCCGAAACGAAGATGGCGACGGTAGCGGGAGCGGCGAAAAGAGCGATGCACTTCATGAACTGGATCATGGCCAGCACGAAATGAGCATACTGCCTGGAAATGGGAAAATTGGAGAGGAAAAAGAACGAGGAAGGACTGACCGAGCCGCGAAAGTGCCGCACTTGTAGAAGCCGCCGCAGTTGGTGCCCATCAGAGTGTAAACGATGCTGAACATGATGACGCTCGTGTACTTCCACGAGGTCGGAATGAACGCGAGAGAGCAGCACATGAAGCCGGCGAGGCCGACCGAAGACGTGTTGAAGAACCACATTCGGACGCGCTCCGACAGGAACTGCCGGTCGGACAGCCAGCCAGAGATGAGTTTGGCGGGCATGTGGGCGACGGCCGAAAGCGAAATGAGCATGCCCGTCTCGATGACGGAGAAGTCGAGCACTTTGCGGAAGTAGATAGGCGAGTAGGTGAGCAGAAGGATGAGAGTGGTCATCTCGAAGAACGAGTTGACCCAGACGGTCAGGATGACGCGGTTCTTGCAGATCTCCAAGTACGGAACGAATGAGTCGCGCTCGATGTGCGCCTGTGTCTTGTTCTTCTGAATCGCCGTCAGCTCCTTCGCCGACACCTTCTGACTGAACTGCGGATCGTCGTTGTAGAAGTAGAGCCACGCGGCAAAGATGAGGAATCCGACGGCGCCATGAGCGTAGAACGCCGACTGCCAGCCGTACTCGGATTTACACAACTGCAAAAGATCTAGTGTTAATCTCCCCCGATCTCTCGTGTTTCATTGGTTCTTACCCAGCCCGACGCGGCATTCGTCATGACGGTGGCGGCCGGACTGAAACTGGTCAGAATCGAGATGAAGAGGCCGGTCTGCGCGAGCGGTGCCCAGCGAACACACACGATTCCGATAGCGGCGAAGTCGGCCGAATAGGCGAGACCCTGCGCGAAACGGAGCGCCAGGAGGTACGGAAGTCCGAGGTACGCTCCGATCGGAGTGAGCACTGTCGAGATGGCCGACACGACGCCGGCGATGAAGAAGGGGATGCGGGCTCCGAAACGCACGTACGAGTAGTTGATGGGACCGGTTCCGAGGATTGTACCAACCGCCACCGCCCACACAATCGCGCTCTTTTCGGCGACAGAATAGTCGTATCGGTTGTACGTCGTCTGAAAATGTAGCCTTGAGAAAGAAAGCTCAGTGGTCTTTCCGACTCACTCCATTTTCGGTCGTCTCAATGCCGGTCGGATCATCTTTCATGCAAATGAACGTGAAATTGATGATGATGTAGTTGGAGAGAATCGATGTCAGACAGGCCAAACCCAAGAAGACGACGATGTAGCGGAACCGATGTTTGACGGGATTCATCTGAAAACGAGTCTGCTGTGAGCGACACTTTTGACGTGATTATATTCGGTTTTGGAGGTAAACAAAGCGACTGAAAAGTGGGAGGAACACTTTCGAATCGTACTGTGAAGTGTGGTGGTGGTGATGAAGTGAGGACCGACTGAACCATTGGCTGTGCAGAACAAATCGCGTCGTTAAATATGAGTTCCGCTCCAAAACCTCGCCCCAAAACTTCATCCTCTTCCAAACCGTATGTCCTAAGCGCCGCCCACCGTCGGCCCGGGGGTGTCTCGTGAAAGAATCGTGCGTGGTCTCAATAATCTCTCTCTTTGCCTTCCCTCCACTCGGCTTCGGTCAAACTTTTACCCCCAACACGTCGGTTGACCACCGAAGAAGACTGGTCAATGTTACACAGATGATATTTGATAAAGTGTGGTCTGTTATGTATATGTTTTTGTTACTGTAGTTTGATTGTTACTATGATGCCGCCGACTGGTTTTGTGGACGAAGAGAGCTCGCTCACAGAGTACAATATCGAGGTTCAGTATTATGGTAATTTGGAACAATTCCGGAACTATGGTGTTGCTGAAGAAGATCAATATTTTCTCTGCCAACATTTTTAAAGAAATCTATTTGATTCAGGGGCTTCAGGACCACTTGCAATATTCCGATCGGACCCAAACTCTGCAGGCTTCTTGGCCCTGGATTGAAGTATTTTCGGTCCAAGTTTCAGACAAATCAAATATATTCTCAGTCAGCCTTCTCACTATATCTCCAGATCGGATAGTCCGATCGGTCAGAAACTTGGAAACAAGTGGTTCAAAAGTTCAGGCCGTGGCGGACTTTTCGCAATAACCAGAGCCTCAAAGCCTTCAGCCAATCTTTATGCCGACCCGGCTGAAATTTTCAACGTTGGTACTCCAAACCAAGAACGATAATTGCACAAAGTTTGGTTCCGATCAGAAAATTGCAAGTTGTCCGAAACTCCAAACCTTTGATTCTAAATTCCTCTCCACTGGAACCTTATGAGTTTTAATAAACAAACTACCGTAAATAGTGTAATATAAGGGCACCCCAATACTTTTAATTTCAGACGCCGTATCTTAGTGGCCAGTGGAGATTTCAGAAAGTAGTCAACTGATAAAATGTACACAACGTTTTATTGAGCATTTCGTTAGAGGACAACTTTTGATATCTCCACTGGCAGTTAAGATATACTGTCTTGAACAACCAGTATTACAGTACTTACGGGTATTATTACAAGATTCTTGCAAGCGCGCTCAACTGTAATCCCACGTGAAAACCCTGCCTCAGCTGTAAACTATTTCAGAATATCACTAAAAGCACGTGATGTGCAGTGGGTCCTCCGAAAAGTGCGGAAACGTTCAATGATCTGAAAAACAAAACGATTCAACACGAGTGCACTTCTCATCCCAAACCGTTTGCTTTCGTTTGCCGAACAAGCATGAACCTCACATGCAGTCGCACGCCTTCCTCTGTAACATTTTGATCAGTGAACGGTCGTGTGTGGGAAGCCCGAAGTGCGGTGACGTCGAAGATCAGGATGGTTTCTAGTCGATGTCCCCCCTCCGTAGCGCGATAAGCATGATGCCCGTCTAGTGTGTAGTTGTGGAACACACACCTCACATCTGGTTTACTGTAGATGCGAAGAAGAACGCATCATGAAAATGCACTCCGGTCATGAAGTACTCGTTTTTGACAGCTGCGTCCGCAAGTACTCTGCAGAAAAACAATATTTTCGTGCGGTTAGTTCCCTGCCCGTCCTCACAGTTTTGCCGAAAGTCTGGTCGTCCAACTTCCAAAATAAAGCACTAGTATTATACTAACCGTACAAGCATTTTTGGGCCTACAGGATACGTGCTAACTCTGTCACATCCCCGCCAAGTTGTAAGTTTTTATCAAGTTTTTCTTAAGAATGATCCACGTTTATGTAATAATCACGCAGATATTAGTATCTGCGAATTTTGAGCATTAATAAGAAGCACACGTCTTTATTTACTGCTGAAATCCAATAACTTGAAGACGGCTGCGACATGAATCCAGGTCTGAAAGGACAATTTCAAATATCTGCATCCTCTTCAGAGAATCGGCCCAGTGCTCCGTGCTCCGTGATTACACTGTTCCTAAAAGTGCCCTCACCGACGAAAGGGTCTCTCGTGGCTACGTCGAGATGAATACCTCGTGGAACAGTTGCCCCTCACGAGATGTTCCTCACTGCGTGCGTTGGCCATTGGCTGCGCTCTCAGTGTCGTTCGTTATACGCCACCGCACTGATTTTTATATTCGCTCAGTCTCTATTGGTGATCATATATATTCACGCAATAATGACTGTTTGCCAGAATTTGAGGCAGTTTGAGAAATGCTGGGAACTGGGAAGTATACGTGTTTATTCCATGCCCGAAAATAAGGCAATTCCTTGAAGTGGGAAATGAGAATGAGTTCACGGTTTCTTGAGAAACAAAACTTTATTGCGAGAAAACTGCTTCTGAAAACGTAATCCTAATCGTTCCTATCCACTAACTTGAAGGCGGCCGCAATGTGATTCCATATCTGAAAAAAACAGCTCTTTTCTTCTACACCATTTTCGTGCTAGCCAACCTCTCCAATTGTTTTCTAGATAATGTTGCGGGTGCGTCGCTCATCAGATCCTTTCCGTTTTTCGTCTTCGGGAACGCAATCACATCTCGGACCGGGGTCAGCGGATTGCCTTCCGAAGCGAGAAGAGCCACGAATCGGTCCAGTCCGAGGGCGAATCCTCCGTGCGGCGGCGCTCCGTGCGAGAGTGCATTCAGAAGATGGTTCATCTCTTCCATCGGTTCTCCGAGCACTTCCAGCACGTGACGTTGCATTTCGGCGTTCTCGATTCGAATGGATCCACCGCCCATTTCCACTCCATTCATCACCAGATCGTAGTGCTGTCCAGTTATCTCAAGAAGTTTCTTTCGATCTTTCTCGTGCAGAAGGGGGACGTGCTCTTCCAATGGCGCCGTGAACGGATGATGTGTGGACACGAGTTGTCCTTCTTCTATCGAAAACAAGGGAAAGTCGACTACCCAGTGAGCAGTGACCTCATTCTTCGACCGCAATCCGCAGGCCTCCGCCACGTGGTTCCTCAATTGACCTGCAAAACGATTGAATGAACTTGGTTTCTTCTTTATTTCAGACTGACCGAGTGTCCAATAAACTCCTTCGGATTCTCCCCAGCATACAACCAGAACGTCCTCATCCGACAATCCAAACTTCTCGACGATGGTCTCGTTATCCACAGATTTGAACCATCTGATTTGGGAAGGATGGCAAATTGCAAAGTTCCGTCCGTTCACGTTCATCTGTATCAAACGCTTCCACTCGTTCTTCGTTGAATTCGACATTCCAGTACTTGCGGCTCCTCGACACACCAGTACTCGTGCTTTCCAGTCTTTCTCGCTCTTTTTTAGGAAATCGAAAACATCTCCGTCGACGTCTTCAATCTTCCAGGGCACTCGCATGTCGGGCTTATCGATTCCATACAGTCGCATCGCTTCAGAGTACGGTATCCTAGGGAACGGCGACTTCGGCTTGATGTGGTTCAGAGAGACTGGCCAGGCCGACAGAATCATATCCTCGATGAGCTGCATGACGCCCTCTTGCGTGGTGAATGACATTTCCACGTCGACTTGCGTGAATTCTGGCTGCCGATCTCCTTTAGATCCTTCGTCCCTGTAGCATCGGGCGATTTGAAAGTATCGATCGATGCCTCCGACCATCAGAAGCTGCTTGAACTGTTGTGGACTTTGCGGCAGAGAATAGGCGAGTCCGTGATTGGGAGGCGGGGCCGGGACGACGAATTCGGTGGCTCCTCCGGGCGTTCGACGGAACAGCGTGGGCGTTTCCACGTCCACGAACTCACTCTTTTCGACCAGAAACCTCCGGACATTGTGGACGAATTCTGAACGAAGACGGAGGGACTTCTGAAGTTTATCCGATCGCAAGTCGATGTATCTGTATTTGAGGCGCGTTTTCTCGTTGGCATTAGCGTCCGGAAGCATCGGAATGTCGACTGCTGCTCGATTGAGAACCGTCAGTTTGTCGACTTGAATCTGAAAATGTTCATCGGTCAAACTCATCCTTAAACAGTGTGCAAACCTCAATGTCGCCCGTCTTCATCTTCTGATTTCTGTTGTCTCCTCTGTCGACGACAACTCCGTCCACCCGTATCACTGATTCGTACGGCGTCTCTTTCAGAAGACGTTTCAATTGCGAATCCTCGGAAATCTTCGCCTGAACTGAGCCGTACGCGTCGCGGAGCACGAAGAATCGGTCCATTCGTTTGTGCGACAACCATCCCATCACACTGACTTTCTCGTTTTTGTTCGAAATGTTCAGATCGTTGCACGTGTGTGTTCGTACTGTGTAAGCGGAGGAGGACAGAAGCCTTCTGGCCGCACTTCGAGCCGATATCATTCTGATTCTAAAAAAGATATTAGTTTTCAATATAACCATTTCATTTCATATAAACACTGGGAAACAAAAAATCCCGAGAAACGCACAATATTTGAATGAATTCGTTGAAATTTTGAAGTTTTATTATAATGTGACGACCTGACGGAAGAAAACAATATCGCAGACGTTAGATATACCCGACTGTACAGTAAAAAACAAGGCAAACCATAGAAAAGACTAGTGAAAATGGGAAAATTTGGCAAGAATAACAGTAACCCGTTTCTTCTCAACCACTCGTTCGATAGTACCACGAAGACTTTCGCTTCAAAGCGATATTGTGGCCGCCCGTGAATGTGTCCAAGAATCGGAATCCCGGCGAGAGAAGTTCTTTGAATCCGTACTTTCGGATCGCCTCGACGTCGTTGTCTCCGATGAAATCGCTGAGAACGACCCGCTCGTTGTCGTACTGTTGACCATGCCATTTGTCCGAATGAATGCTCGGCGGCTCATTCTTGTAATCGTCTTCGATGCGCGGAGTTTCCTCCTTCCAGCACACCGGGCCGTGGTGGAACTTTGTCTAAACCAAGATTGTTCAGAAGTGACAGAACATTCAATGACTGCTATACCTTTCTTTTCGGATAAAAATGATACTCGTACAGATCGGCCATGAGCACTCTCAACGTGACCGAATCAACAATCTCGTGCAGTGGAAAGCAACACCCTTCGCAGAAGACGTCTGGAATCGGAATGTCGCGGACGATTTCCCGAATCTCCTCCAAATGTTGCAGATCTGCCAACTCAATCATCGACTCTCTGTTCAGTGTGTTCAGCTCGTTCGTATGGTTCGGATACGCCTTCAGCAACTGGTTCATCAGCTGTCTCGCCGTGTCGCCCGTCTCACCACTCCTTTGTTTCAGCTCATCCTTCTGATGAGCTTTCAGCAGCACCGCCCGTACTTTGTCCATCGCTTTCTTCGAGTGTTCCTTCTTTCTCTTCTCTTCCTGTTCTGCTTTCAGTCTCTCCGCCTCCTTTTTCATCTCTTCGTCCACCTCGAAACCGATCAATTCCTCTTTTTTTCCGTACTGATTCTCATAGTATTTCTCTCCTCCGGACTCTGTCAGTTCCCTCTTCTCGTGATGATCTCCATTGTTAATCTCTTTCTTCTCACTCTCATGCTCCCGTCTCGCTTGAATACTACAACAATCCAGCATTCCCGGGTCGACAGGATGCGCTTCCGTGTTGAAAATGTATCCGCCGCCGAAAAGAACACAAGTAAGGTTCCTGGAACTTGTGAGAATGCGTGCACTGTCGCCTTTTGAGTGAATAAAGTTGTCCGGATCGAACAGCAGATACAGATATTTTGTGGTCTCAGCGAGGAAGAACGATTCCATTGATCCTCGATATTGTGCTCTTTCACGTTGTTGATCGTGGCGTATCCACATTTCGTACGTGCCGATGCTTCGATCGCCTGAAATCCACAGAATTATACGAATCACAAAGGATCCCTACGACTAACATCAACCATCTCTGCTCCCAGTTCAAGCCACAGCTCATCTTTCGTCGCTCTATATAGATACATCAGCGATTCGGCCATTTCGGGACGGAGCGGAAACGCGGATCGTTTATCTGCAGGCTCTTCGTTGTGAATATTGTAGAATTCGGGCGGGAATCCGTATTTTCTGATGACTTCCGAGTAGGTCAGCATGATCCGGGAGGCGTCTTGCACGTCTCCAACCATCGTCAAGGTCCCCGGCCAGAAGGCTTCGAGCGACTGGAAGATGGGAAGGGAGACGGCTCCTTTGGCCATCGAGACCCACATGAACCAGTCCTCTTTCCGGACGTATCTATTGATTGCTGTCGCGTGCTCTTGAAACTGTTTCATGAGACTCGGTCTTTTGAACAGAAACGCTCCTTTCGCGAGGTACTCGAAGTAACTGTCGACGCCCGCGCCAATTCCCGAGTCCGTGGCCGTCCACTGGCCTGTCTGAACATTGATATGATTGCCGACGAGTCCGATTGGAGAACGAGTCGCCCAGAGGGCATCCAGAGCCTTCAACGCCACCTTCTCGTACTTATCATCGCCGGTCAGACGGGAGAGTGTTCCGAATTCTGAAAGCAGGAGTCTATGAGAGTGAGCGTAGATTGTGCTCGGAAGCAAGTCTTACCGATGATAAAAGTGCCGACTCCGGCCGTGCAAGTGATCGGAGTCTCGTCCTTGTGCACCCCGTACTTCAGGTTCACCGTTCCATATGGCATTCCCGTGTCTGTGTTGAATGCGGGCATGAGCCGGTCGGCCATTCGGACCGCTAACTTTAGAAGAGGTCCGTCGCACGGCCATCCCTTCCAGTCGGCCACAATATCTAAATTGCTCCTCTTTAAAATCTTTTCTTTGTGTTTGAACAAACCTTTGTGCCTTCCAGCTAGCGTATGAGCTGAAATGAGTCCGCCGACCACTCGAATGTTCGTTTCAAACACCGAAACGTTCACATTTGCATCGTCGCGCACTTTCTCGAGCACAAGGGCCACAGCCCGCCTGAATTCTGTCGTGTTGCCCATCACGAGCAGAGTGTCGAGCGCGTCGACGAGCGAAAGAGAGAAGGATCCCCACGTGTCCTGGCCGACGCACGTGATCGGCTTCAGCTCGTCCAGTGGAAACGCGTGGTTCAGATATCCGTCGTAGGCGTGGTAGAACATGCGACGGACCTTCTCTCGGTAATTCTCAATGACTGCCGGCTTGAATTGACTCTTCTCGCTGGCTGCATGGAGTATTGTGATTAGTGTTAAGAAGAATATCGACTTCCTTATGATCATCTGAAGCTTATTTTCAAAAGAAAGAAGAGCATGTGATGGAGATGTATCAAGAGCGAAATTCGCCTTCAGTATATATGTTTAAACTATTAGAAACAAGCGAAAAGAAGTTTATAAAGACCAGTATTAGAAAAGTGAGATTGATAGTGGGGGAGAATCATTCACAATAAAACGGGGATCAATCAATCTAAACCACCGAGTAATCGGGTTATTTGAGAGGAGCGGAGAAGCACGGATCTCCGAATCGCTCGATCACGGCGCTTGCCTCCGTCAATTCGTTGCGCACCTTCTCACGCATGTAATAAATTGGACAATCTCGAGCCGAACAGTTCACTTTGTCTTGCATTGTCTTCGCACAGTTCTGACATTCGGTCCACAGGCGGCCGAAATGGTTTTCCAATTCGTGCATTGTCGTCAATCTGTAAAATAATTGTATTCGGAAGCCCTTAAATCAATCATTCCTCACCTCGCTGCGTAGATTTCCGGAAGTTTCGGCTCGCAGTGCTTGCAAACCGCGTTCTCCGATTCCATTTTCGGCAGAACACTCTTGCACCCGAGACAGGTCGCCGACTTTTTCGTGAATGCGGCCAGTCCGCCAACCTTGCTCTGCACAACAGTGCGCACTCTCGTGTGCTCTCCTTCCACGAGAATCTTCTCGGCGCGATCTCCGAGGATCGGTTCAAAGATTCTGGCGAGTGGCTTTGCGAGTTGGTTAGTCAGATAGTGTTTAGTGTCGAGTGGGATGTTATTTTGGAGCACGAAGGTCGGATCCTCGGCTCGATCGTAAGCGGGCACGTTCTTGGCTGCAGCCACAAAGACGTACGGAACACGGTCTCCGAGTCTCGGAGCACTTCCGGCGTCTCTCTTTTTCATTCGAGCAGCCAGCTCCACGTGTGCCTGCTTCGCATGGTACTTCTGAACGTTAACTTATTAGCACTGGAAAAGTAGGAATGACACTCACGTCTCCAGCCTTCGTCAGTTCCTTACTGATGATTAAAAGTGAAATATCGATCTTGTTGCACAAAAGATCACTGATGGTTCTTTTAGCAAAATCGAGAGCCGACTGCTGATCTCTGTCGATGAGCAGCCTTTCCAAACACACTCCGAGCACTTTTGCAACCAACGGACAGTTGTCTCTGCGGACCGTTTCCAGTCCTTTGCAGTCCATTTTATCGTGCACATCTGGTTTGGTGAAGTAGAGTCCGGCGTAGCGTTTCTTGTTGATGAGGAGATATGGAAAGTAGACCTTCTCGAACTCCAACTTGATGGGCGGAGTGAAGATCTTGCTTACTTCCTGAGCGGCATTCAGGCCGATCTCCATAGCTTGCGCGACTGTAGCCACTCCGAACTTGATCATCACAGAGTCGGTATCTCCATAGATGACCTTCGCATCGGCCGGGCACTTTCCATCGAGAGCACCTTTCTTGTAGATCCTTTCAACTTCCGACTTTGTCATGTCGATCATTTTTCTTCCGAATGCAGTGACGGACTGCGAGATCTCGAGGCACGGCAGCTTTCCGACGGTGGCTCCTGTGAATCCATAGACCGAGTTGGCAGAGATTTTCAGAGCCAGCTGTCTTCCGTTGTAAACCATTCGTTTGAACTCGTCCTTTTCATTCTTCATGTCGTTTTTCGCTCGTTTTCTCGCCGTCAAAAGATCGTCCAGAATTTCCGGCAAAAGTCCTCTTCTCTGCTTCGTTGTGGCGAAAAACTGGCCAGACGGAGTGCGGATGTAGTCCTCGTTCTCCACTCCCTGTGGCGCCTTTAAAAGAGTCGTGTAGCAGAGATTATGGGCGATCATGATTGAAGGGTAAAGGGAGGCGAAATCGAGAGTGGCAATCGGCTCGTTATAAAATCCACGAATCGGATCGATGACCGTGGCTCCTTCGTAACTCTCTCCGTCCCCACCGGACGCTTCAATCACAGGCAGAAAGTAGTTGTGCTCTTTGCATCGGCGGAGCATCATTGACAAAATCTTGATTTGTTGTCCTTTCGTTAGAAGGAAGTTCATCGGAACGCCCGTGACTCTCGCCATTTCAATGTAATTAATGACCGACATGAGCTTGTCGAGTAGTCGAAGCGGAAGATAGGCGTCTTTGAGACAATACTGAGCTAGACGCCGTCTCGTTTGCTCATCTCCTCTTTGCAGATCCGGAATGATGTTGTGCTCGACGTCTTCTTTTTGTTCGGAGAGAAACTGATACGAGACACTGTTGAGGGTGTAGCTGCGGAGTTTGTAGTCGCGGAGCACCACTTGGAGCACGTCGAAGATAATTCGTCCGTGGATGTCAATGCTTTTGTTCACGCGACTTCCCATTTGCTTCGAAGAGAGCACTGCGTCCCTCACGACGGATCCCTTGTTACGCTGGCGTCCCAAGTGAGAGACTTCCGGAAGAGAGAGCACTTTTGCACGATCCAAGATGTACGGAAGATCAAAGTTCAGAATGTTGTAGCCGGTGATGATATCCGGGTCGACTTCTCGAACGAACTCCGCCCACTTTTCCAGAAGAACTTTCTCGTTGACACACTGATAAATGTCAGAGCCAACAACGTGAGCACAGGTTCCGAGGACGAAGCAATTGCGGACAAACGGCTCGGATTCGCCTTCAACTTTAACGAGATTCGCAATTTGAATAATGGGATCTTTTTGGGCTTCCGGAAACACTCCACGTCTTCCGATGCATTCGATATCCAGTGAAAGCGTTCTGAAATCGAACATTGAAAAGTTGAATTGATATTTGATTTCATTGTCTACCGAATCGGAGCAATATCCGCCCATTCTCCGTCACTTTGATGAATAATAAGATTTTTGACGGACACGGAAATTTCAATTTGGCAGCGAGAAGACTTCATCGAGTCTGAGAAAATGTGACACTTTCCAGCTGGAATCTGGAATAAAACGGAGGTGAAATTTGTAAATCATTAGAAATTCAACCTCAATCCATCCGCATCCAACAATTCCAGTTCTCGCAAGGAACATGACGACCGCATTGATGTTCGATTCGTACAAGTTTCCCACGTTTACAGGGCCTTTGCCCATAAGATTTACTCCATTTTTCAGTTCCACCTTTGCTTTTTGCAGAGCTTCGGTCGAGCCGGACACTTTAACGAACGGCACTTTTGTGCTGGCTCCTCTGTAGTAATAGAGATTCTCTCCGCGCACCAATTCCACGTGCACGAGATTGTCCATAACCATTCCGGGCGCTTGCGCTTGTCCGCCACCACCGCGACGTCTCGCAGAAGCCACGAGATTACAGATGGCGGTTTGTGCGGTGCCAATGTGTTCGACTCCGAATCCAGCTGGTGCCTATAAGAAGATTATGGGTTAATTGAAAAGAGTTTCGTGAAGACGCACCTGGAAGTAGAAGTGAGGGAAATAGTCAGTGACGATGACGCAAATCGAGTTTCCAGCCTTCGTCACTCCGTACAATTTCACATTCGTTCTGTCGTAAGTTGTTGCAGAGCCATCTTCGTGGTACGTCTCCACCTCGAGCACCTGAAGAATGGCGGTTTTCAAGGGCTTATGAACGGAAAATCTGACTTGACAGGCAATGCTCTTGGTGACTCCGAGTTGCTTATCAACTGCCGGTCTCGCCCAACTTTTCTTGTCGATGACGGGTTTAGCAGGCAGATCTTTCTCGAATTTCGGCTAAAGAGAGGTTATAATCATTTTAATGCACTTAAATGAGCAACGTACCACGTAGAACTCTTCATGCTCGTCACTCTCGCGTTTTCGCTTCACTTCTGGCTGGAAGGAGGTCCCACCGGGCCGTTTTGTGGTCATTCCTGCTAAAAACTAACATTCTTGACAGCTGCGACAGTTAAAATTGCGATTTTAACAAGAGACAACAATTTTATAAAAGGCAGAGCAAACATGCTCTATTGAAGTGAGCGCGAAAATGTACAATTTTGAACAGAAGATTAGTGTTTTTGAAGAATAAACACAATTTTCTGTAATTTTCTGCAAAGTAATAAATGTAGGACAACACCAAACGTTCGAACAACTCGAGGAGTTTATATTTTCGTTCAAACTTGGAGGAATAATGACTGAAAACGATGTTTTGCCTCAATCCATTCCCACGCAAAACGTTTGAGTTGACGCGCTGCAAACGCGCTCCATTGAAAATTTTTCCGGCGCGCTTTTGAACAGTGTTTTTTTGCGGTATCGACTTTTTGTTTTCTCGAGAATTTTTCTCTGTTTCTCTGCTGCCATGACGATTTTTTGCAAATAAATTTTCGTTCATGAAAAATTATGTTTCTTGATTCGGAAACAATTTCGCAACGTTAAAATGTTTTGTAAAGACAGTGTGTCATTTTCGCAGCTAAACTAAATAATTCACAGGCTCTTCGAGAGTTTCCGACGGCTTTTTAAAATTTATCTGAAGCTTTGAATAATCATTTTTGCTCATCCAGTTTTCGAGTCGCATTTTCAGAGGAAACATGGAAGAAGAGTTGGACTACGATTCGGACAACTCTCTGAGCGGAGATGCCGTTCAAGAAGGCAGCGACACCGACGATTCGCAGCAGCCTAAAGTGAGTCTGTTTCCGATCTCGAATCTTTGTTCCAAACTCTTTCACGTGTAACCCTGAAACCTCCTGAAAAGTTGCTGACTGTTCGGAACATGGCGCCTTCAACTGCCCGCTAATTATGTTACAAATTGAGTCGTTCTTGTTGACGCGCAGGTCGCCCACATTATCCGGAATATGCGAGTGCGTAATTAGATGGTGTTCCGACTCTCTTTCGTCATCTTCATTTCCTCACGCGCAGGTAATTGAACACAAACAGCCGGTGACCGGGACGACGTCCGGAGAAGTAAAGAGAGAGACAGTCATCGGCAGTGGCCGGGAGAGCCCCATTGTGCGGCCATTCAACGCGTGTCCTTGTTGCTCTCCTCCCAATTCAATACCGTCTGCGGTGGTGGCGGTCTCCCGAACCGCGGAAATATTTGTCTAACAACTCGATGACACAAAAAGTTTTACGACAATGCCAGCCGATCGGACGGCCTTTGTAGAGTAATTATCGTGACGTGGCAACATGTGTGACTAAGCTGATTCTTGCAATCTCCGCCGATTTTCGTCTTTCTCTGGCTTTTGAGCTTCTTTTCGGTAAAGAACCATGATCATCTACGTCGGGAATGCATCTACGACGTCCCGATTCCGAAAGAGCTTCGTTTAAAGCCCGCAGACGCCTCAATTGCTGTTCTCCATGGAAACTAAATAACTCGTGGCGTTGCCAGGAGACGCATGCTTAGTAATGCTCTCCTTTATCTTCATCTCAATTCGTTATTAGCCTGCATATTCCACCATGGCTCTCCGCAAACAGGTTGATTATCCCTGCTTCTCCTCAGTTTCCACACTCTCCGAACTCCAACACGATCGTGCCAAAAGGGGCGGCTGAAGCCGGGGCAGTGCTGAAACGAGAGTGGGAGGAGTGGCCCTGTCCCGCCCCTTTTGGCTGTGCGCGCCCTCCTCGCCTCGCTCGTCCTCGTCCTCCCCTCATTCTTCGTCGCTCCTCGTCCTCCTATTCCACCCTCAATATGAGCGGTCGAATGTGTCTCCCTCAGTGTGTGCGTGTGCGACGGGCCGACGGCGCGCGCCCAGCGTCGATCGTGTTCTCGTGTCCGCTCTCTATTCCATCTATTGGCGCCCTCTCTATTCCAGTCGCCCCCGGGACCCTTATGCTTATTCCGGCACAGAAGTCTGCCCCGTTGGCCGTGCCTTCCGGCCGCCTGATACTTTCGTCTCAACCTCGCTTCAGATGTCGTAGGTGAGCAAAGTTTCAGGTGTGCCGGGACACACCTTTACTTTGCCGTAGCAGCGGATATTAAACACCCACAGCAATATAGAACAAATCGTCATTGTTTGTGTTGGAAATATGTGCGTGCGTGTGTGCGTGTACGTTTATTATGTATGCGACCGTCGGTTGGTTCAGCTGAAAAAGCAGAGGGCGAGTGGAGGGCAGAAGAGGGAGAAGCCTACCGACACCAACACGGACGGCTTTGTTCTTGTCGCGCACATTCGTGGGGTGTTTGTAAGCGACTGGGGGCTGCCTGCAGAATATGTTATTTAGAAGAGCTGAAAGATGTTGAAAAGTGGAGGAGAAGGGAAGGAGGCGAGCGGCGCAGGCGATGTGTTGTACATTTGTGACGGCGGCCGACGACGACGGCCCCGGGCGGTTATTTTGCGCTCATTCACAATGCTGTTGGCACGCGCGCCAATTATATATTGATGATGATGATGTTATGTTTGGTCATATTTGTAAATACAAGGTTTCGGCATGTCCGGTGTGGTAGGCAAATGTCGCAAAACGAGCGAGTCGATCTGCTAGGCTGATTTGATCCGCTCTGTGACTCCAATTTTGTTGCTGACACGACTCGACAACAACAGCGCGTACATTTCCGCTAAAAGAAGTAATTTCCTGCGCGTTGAATCAAAACCCGGTGATTATCTCCAACTGATCACATGCACACATGCTCCCTGCTTGCAAACCCGAGCTTCTGCTCTCCACCAGAATAGAAACGCAACAGCAGTCCTCAGCGTGTTTTTTTGCGAAACGGGATAGGCTCGTTGTCCCGCCTGGAACGACATTTCCTCCCATTTCCACCAGAAGGAGACGCATCTGGCTCCAGTTGATCGAGTGCCGATGACGTGGCGTTCAGGATGAGCCTGCTTGCTAGCTCGGCTGTTTGGATTAGCAGGAATCAGAGATTATCGTGAGAAAAAACCGAGGAATCTCGTTTCGTTTTCCAAATGAAGGGAGCCTTGTCTTTCTCTCTCTCTCTCTCTCTCTCTCTCTCTCTCTCTCTCTCTCTTTTCCCTGCTGTCGAAAGAGAAGAAAAAGCTCTCGTGGCGACGTTTCGCCCTCTCTCTCTCTCTCTGTCGCTCTCCTTGTCGCACTCGCCCTCTTTTTCTTCCCATTTTGATATCCACGCATGAAATTTAGAGAGGGACGAATGGTTGGGAAACGAAGACGAGGATGCTGGGAAACGCGTCGCCAAACAGAGAGAGAGAGAGAGAAAAGGAAGAGAGGGGGAAGAGACAGATGAAAATCGGTCCGAATTTATGAGGCCGGTCGAATGAAAGAGTTATGGCCACTCTGTGGTTTTAAATCGTTAAATATTTTTGGCGCGAACAACGGGGGAACACGTGGAAGAGGGGAACCGAATAGGATTACTGTAGCCAGAGGAGGCAGCGTTGAAACCCATATTTTAATTTCAGGATAGATTGGATGCCATCATCGATCGGAAAGAAAAGATTGCCACCGAAAAGGCGTTCGGTCTGAACCAATCGAACGACAAGCATCTCTGTGTAAGTTGTCCGAGTCATCAGCTCGCTCTTCCACCCGACGCGTAGATCAAATTGCCGGAGAGGCGCCGCAGTTTCTTTCTTGCTCGCTCTTTCTTCTTCTTCTTCTCCTTGTTCGGACGCCGCCGCTGTCTCTTCTTCTCAATTTAGTGCTCAATTATCGGCCGAGTGGCAAGATAACAAGTGAGTGATGCGACGAGGGGACAGCGCCGCCGCTGCCGCCAGAGCCCCACTAGCTGGTCTTCGACGGGCCACGCCGGCAAAAAGAAACAAGTCGTATCATGCATAAAATGAAGTGTTTGCCGCTTGGCTGCTCGATGGCTCTGAGGACGGGACTCCGTCACTGCTCTCCGGCGCCTTTCGTGTCACTTCTTCCTCCTCCTCAACGACAAATGAACACGTTGCACGTCAAGGAAGGAAACTGGAGGGAGGAATCCAGGGGGAAAGTCTGTAATCGAGTGTCTGTACCACCAATACGAAACAATTACTTTTTCGTGGCGGACGCCGGTCGGGCACTCTTATTAAATCCGAGTTCTGCGGCAAGAGAAGGTGTACCCATTTCTTTGTTGTCTGCAAATGAGGTAATGCGAGGGTTCGTCTCCCCTCCGGATATCCCGCCCGTCACATCGCATAATATGTAATTAGTAACCTCATCACGCCCAGTTCGTAGTGCTTTGTTCAGATGTTTCTGACTAATACGCGACGCATTATGCTCTCTTTCTGCTGCCTTTGCAGCCACTGTTGAAAGCCAATATTAGAGTGAGGGATACATGGAAGAGGAAACGTTTTTTGGTGGGATTTTGAGTGAAATTGGAGTTTTAAAAAGGGGAGAGAGAGGCCCTCGGCAGAGACCCGCACACAAAGAGCAGTCTTCGGCATGAATAGTAGATCAGAAAAGGGAAAAAGAGGGATTCAGAACAGAGGCCGAAGGGAATCTGCAAGGTATAATTGCAGGTGAGCAGTGCGGAGGCCAACGCACTCCAGAAGGAACTGGGAGCCGGACGCGATTCGCAATTGGGGGCTGTCTACGTCCATGGGATTGAGTCGCTGGACGAGTTTGAAATAAAAAAGTCTGTCGAAAATTAGTTCTATCAGCTCCACAAGTGTATTTTCAGAATATTCGTAGATTTCCGTGCCGAACAAGTGTGGAAGAATGGGAACGATGCAATTGTACAATTCGAGTACAGCGGAGAAGCTGCAGCAGTACGTATTTTAAGACAATTGGCGAAATATCTCATTTTATGCTATTCAGATGATGTTGAACATGTCGAAGATGATGCGACGAGTTCGGGGGCGGAAGAAGGCCGACGAAGAAGGAGAAGTATTGTCCGATGACGATGACGTGGAAGACGGGCAGATTATGCAGGAGAAGGGCGATGACGTGGAGCTGATAGAAGGATTGCAACCGAACGGTGCGTGAGTTGACTCAGCTGCTTGGCTGGAAACTGATGTTTGAACAACCGGACGGACTCTATGATTCGTAATAGGGCTGCTGATTGATTTGAAAGTCAAACGAGCGCCAATTCGGAGTGTCCTAGGAGATGCCTTCCGCTCATAAACAATCTCGATACACTCAGTTGCTCTCCGGCTGTTTATAGTTTACGGGAAGGATACTCTGCTCTCCGTAGAGTCGACGCTCCAAAGCAAAATGAAATGGGGAAATATACTGAAGTGATTCAAAAGATGGTCGATCCGCTTACATGGTGACTCTCGCCCACGCTCACACACACACACACACACACACAGAAACATAATTGAATAGAATAATAGTACTCGAGTGTTTTGTTAGTTTAGTGTTTCTGTCTATCTATTCGCCTAGTCGGTAATACTGCCGCTGCTGACATTGTCATTATTGGTTTCCGTTCTCGAGTACACAGTTCACACCGTTGGATGGCTGGCTGGCCTGAAAGGATAACCCCTGGGCGGCGAGAGATGGCCGTCGCCCCCTCGATGTTTGCGTGTTCTTTTGTCATCGATCCTCCGCACTTCCCTTCCGACGTTGTGTGCCCCTGTTTAGGGACCGATCCGTTGTTTTGGGGGGAGAAGACGGGGACGACGATATGTTTGGAGCCGGTCGAGCAGCAGCACAATGAAGTAACAGGATACTGGGTCAACTCGCGTCACTGCATCGCTCCGCTGTTTAGAAATGACTGCTGACTGCGAGATTTTCCGATTGTACGGGGATTATCGGATATTTAACTGGACTTGCGGCCGGCCCGAACGCGGACTAGCTCAACGAGTGCTGAAAACACAAGAAAAACCTAAAACGCGGAGGTGTCAGAGATGATCATTAGTGCAAACAACGGGGATGGTGTGGATGAACGGATGTAATCGAGTTTGCTTATGCGATTATTCTGCTTTTGACATTTCATCCTTTATATGATGAGCAGACAAACAAAGCATGCGGCAGGGAAGAGCGGGCGAAAATATAGGGGTCGAGGATCACTAATTACCTGCAATTTCAGAGAAGGGCATCGTGAACAGCGACAAGAAGAGCGACTTTGTGACCGTCGACGTTAGTGTCCGCGACATTCCTGACGGGAAATGGAGAGTGGTGACGAAGCACGTACCCTCCGACATGTTCGTTATCGTCCGGTATCCGACGTACAAGGAGTACAGAGTGAGCATCGGAAACTGCTTTGAAAATAGAAATTTACCGTTTCAGGCCATGGGCGGAGTCCGGGAAGACGATAGAAGAGCGCCCGTGAAGGCGGCCAAAAAAGATTTTTGGACTCACAAACCATCTTCGTCGAATCGCGGAGGACTGAATGTGTTCGATCAGGAGGGAAAAGAGCTAGAATGGGACTACGAACACGACACTCGCTTCTACGACGACGACAAGAAGACGGAGAAGGTGGAGAAGGTGGAATTGCCGAAGGGAATCAAAGTTCGCGTAAGTGATCCGTTTTTAAGCTTCCTCTTCAAAAATTTTTATATTTCAGGGTCGCGGCGCTGTAAAGTGTGGTTTCCTATTCGGCGAAGGAAGTGGATCGTTGGCTTGCGATGAGCCATCACCGTCGAAAAAGCAGAAGACGTCGGATGGCGAGAAGGTGTACGAGAAGGACGACGTCGTCTCGCGAATGGGCACTGCCGCACACGCCATCCGTCCAGGAAGAGTCGAACGGCCAATGAAAGATCGCATTCGATTCCCTGATCACAACGAAATTCAATTCTAACTTATTTCACTGTCCGGCCTTTCGAAAAACTATCTAAATCGTTTATATTTTGCACGGCACTACACTTAATCTATAAAACATCTACTCCATGTTTATAAATTCAACTTTAAAGCTGTCAATCGCTTGAAATAGATACATTCATCCCAGGTACTCTTCAGATTTCTCATTGTTTCCAGTTGTATTACGGGTCAATGACATGGCAGAAATATGGTTTGTCAAAGACTGAAAACGACTGTTCAATTGTCTTTTTTCAGAAATTCTTCAGCAGCAAATCAGTCTCAAGTGGATTCTGGAAAACTACGAAAAAACGGAATAAGTACGCTTTGAATGGAAGTTTAACACCGAAGATCGACTCCGTTGTACTTAGAAGGAAGCGAAGGATCGCCGGAAGACGGATCTCCAGGTGAGCATCCCGTTCCCACAGCCGTCATTCTCTTCTCAAAACGTCTACTCACCTGACTCTTTTCCTCTCATCCGGATGAAAACCGATCAGAATTCGTTTCGCCCTCCTCATAACGGAGAGTTTTGTGCATAAAAGAGTAGCTGTTGAAAAGCGCAATTCGAGAGAGAGCGAAAGCGAAACAAGTCGCCTGCTCACTCTGAAATGTATTTATATGTGTATCGTAAAAACATGAATGATCCGGACTCCGCACTCCCAATCTGCACGATCTTTTGCTTCAAAATCTTCTTCCGCGTTTGCTGTTTTTCCGCGGCGCCTGCCGTCGGCTACGGAAGTAAGCTCACGCCGTGTGGTGTTGTGCTTTCCAGCGTAGCCAGGAGCTCGCTTGCTCCCCGCCGCTATGCCTATTTGGGCCTCTTCGCGCCGTGGCAAAATACGCGCGCGGAGACGCAGCGAAACGCGGCCGCCCCGTAAGAAGGGGCGAGCGAAAGAAAATGCAGATTTCTTTCTCATTTACAGCTCGTGAGACCCTTCTCTCCTGTCCGCGTCCCGCCGACTCCTCTCTCAAGCGCCACTCCAATTCGGGCGGTCATGGTGGAATACTCTCTAGTTGGGGAAGAGAGGAGGAAGAAGAGAATGATGCGCTCGCAACGGAAACGTACACCTCTGATGAGATGAGGTCGAATTTGGGTCATTTGAAAAATTGGAGAAATGCGGCCTCTGATCGACCGATGCATTCTATGCTATTTATGAATAGTCCTAACGAGCTTGTATAGAAAATTAGAGAAACAACACTTAATTTTATTTATTTCGTCCTTTTCTCACTGTAATGCATTCCCTCTTACCGAGTCAGCGCCAAGGTGTCTACGCTCTATGAGTCGGCTGGAGTCGTAAACGACTTCCTAGGCAAGTAAAATTAAGACGGCATCTGAAAAATTGTAAGATGAATCGATACAAAGAGTTCCAAAAAAACCTGAAAGTTTGTTCTGTGTGTCTTTTTCCGCTTTAAATACAAACATCCCTTCGTTATTTGTTCGGCTGCCGGGTGTTCGTCGTGGCTGCGCTCTCCACCGCTCCTTCCTTTCGCTCTGTATTCGGAAGTTGCCAGAAACACGACCGGTCTGCATTATTCAAATCACGCCGGTACAATTTATTCCAGTCGCGCGCGGTCCCCCGGTTCTCTTGTTTCAATGCGCTAGTTGTGAGAGGCGATCGTCATTCGTCAGAAATGACTTGTTCAGGTGTTTTTTCTGCCATTGTCCACCTTAATTTCCCTGCATTCTTCCGAATACGACTCTTTCATACGACCTACAATAATACGTTTCCAAATTCCTAGCGATGGCGGGTTCCTAGCGATGGCACCTCTGCTTGTTTGATCCGTTTCCCCTGTTTCGAGTGAACTTCACGTTGCGGCGCCCGCGCCTTTGCTAGGAAACAGTATCCAGGGAGCGGGTAAAGCTTCCGAGTGACTACCACACAGCCAGACTCTTTTTTGCTTATTTGGCTCAAATACGACATCGAGTCCACGAACAACAGCACCAATTCCTTCACTATGAACATTATTGGGATGGGCAAGAAGAAACGGAGTATTTTCGCAGCACATTCATCTGCTCGGCCGATTTTCATGTAGGTGTCTCTGATGCCATTGCGTTCAGTTTCGTATGCGCGCCGCCCGCTTGGATCTCTGCAACATACACGTTCTCGTGTGGTCCTGTCTGCTTGCCGCTCGGTTTCCTCACGTGCGTTCGTTGCTTTGAAAAGAATCCCTTCTTGGACACTCTGGCGGTCCCTCTCTCACTGCCGGCGTCTCCTTTTCAAACTGCGCGAAAACACTGACAGCTCTCAAATATAGACACTCACACACATACACACTCGATTTTCCACGTCATTGGGTTTAGCTGAAAGATGGGCGGAGAAGCTCACTCGAAGCACCCGCTGCTCGCCAGCATCTCCATCTCTTTCTTCCGTTTCGGTGGTTTCGTGTGCGTCGTCCCTGCCGTCCTTCTTCTTCTTCTTCGGATCGCTTTCATTATCCTACTCACCCCGCACTACCTCATTTCCCAACCTACACTTTTACTTTTTTGTGCTGGATGCGCCACATGCGTTTGCGTTTTAGTTGTCTCGTCCAGTTCCGGGTAGATCAGCTCGGATTAACGACGACGTCCTTTCGAATGGTCGTCACACGGCTTTAGAAGCGTGTATTATGCTGTGTTGGGTGGCGAATTACATAAGGAAGCATTGCGAATAAGGATTTTACGCTTCTCAGTTCATCCCCTTCCGATGAATCGTCACCGGAAGTGCTTCTCAAACGCACTTCCATTCGTCACATATTCGTGTGTTCCGCACGAGACTACGTGAACAGACCGCTTCATTTTTGAAGTGGAACTGAAACTGATATCATGTAGGTCGCCTTCCACCCAAATATATATTTCGGATGTTTCCTATTTCGAACACTAATAACAGTCTTCACCCGACCAAAGAAGCATCGCCATCTTTGTGCTTAGTTGGCTGGATTATGCGTGTGAGCGCTCACACACACAATCGCACACTCGCGCTCACCACATTTACGAGCATCAAATCGAAATGAGATATTTTTGACTTAAGCGAATTTTATGCCAAGTGAACTAGTTGTCGTCGTCGGTCGGCGTTTGCGGCGACGTGGCCGTTGCTGAAAACGAAGCGGCAGGACTGCCGGTCGGCCTCTGCCGCCGCCTCTCGTAATGCTCTCGCCGTCTCTCGCACACCGCTGAAAAAGACTCTCTTCTCCGCCACTGCTCGCTCTTTCACCGCTTCTTCTACTGCTCTTTTGTCCGGTAGGAACAGCTAAAAACCAACGGTTCGGTAATGCAAACTTTGATTTAAAGTGCGTTAAGATTTGAGTGTGAGAAATGCGTTCGGCGGACACTTCACACTTATGCAATTAATCTTTTTCACACTAATTCATCGCAGAACTGTGTGATCTAGTTCATCTCGCGCCTGACTTACTGCTGCGAACATTCTAACACATGCCGCTTGCATTTCATCACATTCAAACATACAACAAGCTGCTCTCCTCCTTCTCATCGCGCTTCCTCCTTGCCCTCGTCCTTCTTCTCCTTCTTCTTCTTTTTCTTCTTCTTCTTGCTCCACTCCTGCTTCTCCCTGCTTCTCTCTCATCTTCTCCTTCTCTCTTGGCTCGACTACTGCTTCCGCCGCCATGCTTCTTTATAATGTGCATAGGCATGTGTATGTATGCGCGAGCTGCGAGCGCTCCCCGTCTTTCTGCATGTGAGAGCCGAGATTTAAGTCAGTCAGTCGCCGCCGACGTCCAGCTATTTTCTTTTCCCCAATCTGCGCTCGCCACTAGAAGAAAAAAGAAGTCTTTCAGTAAGAGAACACCTCTCAGTCGTCATCTTTTTCGGCCGTCAGGTTGCCACGTCAAACGTCAGTGGGACGGCGGCAGGGGGAGGCAGTGTGCCCGACGAAATCCGACACTCTGTTATGTAATTCGAATCCCCTAATTTGAAACAGTCAAAGAAGGCACTCGAGTCGATTACGTGCCTTCTTCGGCGCCTACAATGCGTCCATTTCGGTTGACATTCGTTTATCCCGTTTCCGGTCGTCGACTCTCTCATCCGACTCACACCACTACCACCACACCGTGCACATTTCATCCGGCACCTCAATTTTAACCCGCTTTTCTCCCGCTCAAAGCCGTGGCGGTCTCAGCTTTGTGTCTTTCTTTTCTCGCCCCAAACCAATTGTTGTTTCCCACTCAATTTCCGCTCTATCCACCCATTCTCTATCCCATCATCACCATCATCATCATCATCATTCCACTATCCTTTTTTTTCTCGATTTTCCGGTGCCTCAGATGGACCCAATACGAACCGCAAATAATTGCTTTTATTCGCCTAAAACACACGTGGCACACTTTCGTTTTGAAACTTTCCCCGGTTCCCTCCTCCTCCTCAGCCGACTGACACACATTGCCACCTGCTTCTTATCGAATGATGAGATTTCGGACTGTCTGCCTCTCTGCTTCTCGCCCATCTATCATCTCATGTATTTTCATCGCTTTATGCTCTGTGAGCACAAAAAAGCTTCTGCGGAAGGCTCTCAATGAAATTGAATTTGGACGCAGTGTGCTCTCGTGGAATGGCCGAACTGGCATTCAAAAAAACGCGGACTCGAGATGGCGTTGATTAATGAGCTTTTCGGGCGTACCACTCCATTCCACTTCTCTCTCCTCCGGATTACGGTCGTTTTCTCATTAACGCGTTTGGAAAAGGGAAACCGAGTCCGGGGAGTGCGTGTGCGTGTAATTGAATTCGAAATATTTGAAAAGGTTGCCAGAATATCCGAGTAGAATGCAACACAGGCAGAGAGCCGGTTCACGATGGCGCATTTTTGATGCAATTATCGGGCTTTCGAGCACCCTTACTCCCCTCTGAAGCCGTCTTTTGACATTTGTCTTGCGTGTCTTCGCCGCCATTGTACGAATATATGAAGAGGAAGAATGAGAGCGCCCGTGTAGCATTGAACACAGTATTTTGATGAATTGGCTCCCTAATTGTTTTTTTGCGTCTTTTCGAAGGCCCAAGAATAATATATAAAAGATGACAAGAGAGGAAAATAGGAAAAGAACAGGAAGCGCGTTGACGCTTTTTGACGTCCCGCAGACTTTTCCCCGACAACTCGTACACCAGTCTGATCAGTAAACTCTTTCAACAATCAACCAATTCTCCTTTTTGCAACCCGTTTTCTCGAGTTGAACCGCACCGGGCCACGTGATTCTGCAGTGGTCGGCCACGTATCCGTTTAACCTTCTCAGTGGCTTCATTTGGTGCTCTCGCGCGGCGCGGCAAGTTGCGTGACGCATCTCGCTCTCTGCGGCTCTCTCGTCCGATAAGTCCACAATTAGGATCGTTTGATGGCGGGGGCTGTCACGCCCGTTTCCAGGCGCCCCGCCCACTTCCTCTGCCGACGGCTTCTCGCCACGCTGCCGCCGCCTCTGCTCGTCCCTCTCTTTTGCCACCCGCCAATTCGATTTGCATCAGTGCCACTAAGTTTCGCCTCATTTTCTCATTTTCAGGCCATCGGATGAGAGATTGGTGATGCTGTTCACCGGCACAGTGCGCGTTCGCGTGCTCGAGGCTCGAAAGCTCCGTCCGACAGAATGGTCCCGTCGATTCAGTCAGAACGAAGCGGCCACGGTGAGCATTCGAAAAAGTATCACATCGAAATGCGATTGATGATTCCAGGCTGCAATCGACTCGTACGTGAATGTGGATTGGGACGAGTATCCGATCGGAAAGACGCAGGTTCGACCGAAGACCAACGAGCCGCGTTGGAATGAAGAGTTCACAGCGGTAAGAATGAAGGCGATGCGAGTGAATAGACGACTAATCAAGAAGCTTTCAGTCGGGTGTCCACCAAGGCAAAGCCATCGGTTTCTCAGTATTCCACAGTTGTGTGATGCCTCCCGATGACTTCGTAGCAAACACTAGGATCGCATTCGACGATCTCAAAATCGGGAATGTCAATGACATTTGGGTCAACCTGGAACCGCATGGAGAGCTTCACGTTGTCGTGGAAATGCACGGAACCAATGTGGAAGGTTAGTCATTTATGCGGCGGCATAGCTTCGAGAAAAGTTGAGCAAAAACATAACTTTCGTAAAAATTGGTCGTCAACACACAAAGATTGACTACCGTACTTGTTTATGCGATTGATGTCGCCCACGACTGTTGACTGAGCGGACCACGCGTCAAAATAGAGCAGCGCCTCAAAGATGGCTGCGGAGGGGGATACCTAGAAAAAGGGGTAGTGTACAGTTCTATCGGTTGACCACTCACCTCGATTGTAACTCGGAACATGTGTTCGTCGTCTTCTCCCACTCGGCTCGCCCCAATCACATTCTTCAACTTGAGTTGTGTGCATTGCACACGTGGCTCCAAAAGACGGTTCACTTCCTTCACAAAGTCCTCCGCTATTGATCTTATTCGCGGATCTGTCACGCTCACGACAACTTCAGACTCGCACACACAAAACTCTTCCGGGATATTGGCTGATTCGCAAGAGCGATTCTGAAAGTCGTCATGTGGTTGATGAGCCGAAACGGGGCCCAGGAAAACTTGCAATGGCGAAAGGAGGCTGATTCCTTTTGTGGTGGTCGTGGGCAGTGCTGGAAATGTCAGAATGTGGAGGAAAGTGGTGTAGACGTCGAAGAATGAAGAAAGTTTCTGGAAGTTCAATTTGAGTAACACATGTTATCTTTCATAATCTCACTTTTGTATTACTCCTCAATGTTTCGGAAATACGTTTTTCTGATCTTAACGCTTTCGGTACTGAGATTGAAAAGAAAGGAAGGCGTTCTTCTTGCCGTCCTACACTCGTCTTCCGGATGCTATCGAAACGATGACCGTGATCAGACATTATAATAAGGTACGCGTCATCGAGATCTGTCACATGCTTCTGCAAAAAGTTGGCGATGTCGTCGTCCCCATAATGCACCTGATTTAGCCAATCATGACCCAATTCTGTGAACCAAGATATTGCAAACTTTGGCTGATCTACAAACGAATCTGTTTTGCGTACTGACTCAACCCTACCTTTGTACTTTTCTATAAATTGAGATAGATAATTGAGCTGCAAGTTGTGCATTCTATGATTTCCGTAACAAAGATTCTTGCTTCTTCTGTGCACATACGACCAGTAGACGTTCAGCCAAAACGGACGGAAATAGTGATCAACTGGTTTCTTCTCAAATCCCTTTGAAAGATAGTTGAACAAATTGAAACCAGGATAGTCCTCTACGTAAAGTGTGCGGTAGCCTTTCTTCTGAAACTGCTTCCAGATCAAATCATGATTATCGAAGAAGCCATGTAGCTCTCCAAACTCAGAATTCCACCATTTTCCAGCAAGAAATGCGACGGCATTAGAGAAAGAATTGTCGCCGACTTTAGTCATTCCATCGAATATAAATGAGCCATAATGAGTGTCGAGGACTTGCAACGTCTTATTCATTGTTCTCCGGAAATTAGAGTGCGAAACCGAGTCCAGTACTATGACGATGACTGATGGTTTCGACCCGGAACTAGAAAGGGACCGGGGGAGAGGGATGATTTGATTGTGATTGTTCGAATAAACTCTGGTTCGAGGGAACCATGCACGCTGACAAGAAACCTCCACAAACTCTGAGTCAATGCGAACTGAGCTCTGAACAGACAAATATCAGTGAGTCGTCTTAACTTTGAATGATACATTAAATGTGGTCCATTCCGAGTAGGTTAACTGCTCGTCATCTCCATCCATCTTTTCATAAGAACGAAATTGACACTCCACTTCCAAAGAACTCTCTTTTATTGCACTTATGTTGATATGGAGAACTCCCTAGACTCGACAAGTTTGCGCATTTTATCTTTTTCTTTCCCTTCTCTTTTCTGCTTTTCTTCCATAACTCACTCACATTCTGATCTAGGAAAGTCAGTTCCGGCTGCACTTTGGCGTCTTGACATGCGAGTTGTGTGGGTCGTGAGTCGTCGACCAGAACATACTCAAGAATCGACGGGTCCCACGGGTCGGGCGGACGAACGACACATTTTGATGAATTTCGTTTTTGGCGAGCAACATTTCGCCGAGTTTTCTGTGCCAACGCCAAAATTCGCTCATTCTTTTTTCGGGAGACAGAAAACTTACGAAAGCAAATGAGATGGCAGGCGGGGAGAGAAGATCGGGAAAGAGAAAGATGAGAACGAAGAAAAAGACGAATAGGAAAGTACCAATGCGACGGAGCATGGAAGAATATCGACAAGGCGACATTGATATTGACACTAAACAGAACCTTTTATGGGGGAGAAATGGCGATAGGCAAACGAGTAAAAGAAAATGTTTCACAATGGGACGAGTTGAATGGCGGTGTGAATGATGAGCACTGAAACATGACGTCACGATGTACCTGTAATGCATTGCCTCCTGACCAATGATACGCAATCACTTTTCCGCATTGATGTTGTACTTCGAAGTCAATCCTAACCTTCTAAACTTATTGCTCCAGTTTCGCATCAGCCAACGTTTGACGTCACAGTAGGCAGACTTTGACCTGTTCCCGAATGAGCACAGTTTGACTCACTTCGTATTTCTCTGCCTGGGCTGTCTGCAACTCTCCATTCTCCTGCACACGATCACGAAATGCGGGGGAGCCCAGAGACAAAAACGAGCCGAATCATGGATTGATAGTCGGGGCGGGAGAGTGATAAGACGGTCGAAGCGGCGGAGACACTTTGCGTTTTGTCCAACTATACGCTATTCGACTCCTTTTGTTGATCGGTCCGCAATGAGTTTCGACTGTTTGGTCTATGATGAGTATGCGACGTCGTCACGCGGCGAAAGTAGCAACAGCAGTTCGAAGGCCAAAGTGAAAAAGAAGAATAGTTGGGGATTCTGGGGTAATCGGGAGAGCACCACCGGCCAGGGTAGTCGTCCATTTGAGCTATTGTATCTTATCCTTCTCATCATTCCAGATATCCATTCGCACAACAAGGCACGTGTGTTCAAAGAGCGAACGAATGCATTCAACGACAGGCAACGCCGAGGTGCGATGCGAAGGAAAATCCACGAAGTCACCGGCCACAAGTTCATGGCTCTTTTCCTTCGTCAGCCCACGTTCTGTGCTCACTGCAAAGAGTTCATCTGGGGAATTGGAAAGCAGGGATATCAGTGCCAAGGTTACCGAAACTAACAATTCCTATAATGCATCAGTTGAGTTTTCAGTGTGCACGGTAGTCGTTCACAAGAGATGCCACGAAGAGGTCGTCTGGAAGTGTCCCGGAAACAAGGCAGACGCGGTCGAAGAGATCGGAAAAGAGATCACTGAGACGGGTGCCGGTCGCTTCAACATCAACATGCCCCATCGTTTCTCCGTCCATTCCTACAAACGGCCGACATTCTGCGATCACTGCGGATCAATGCTCTACGGACTCATCAATCAGGGCCTCCAGTGTTCTGTGTGTAAACTGAATGTGCACAAAAGGTATCCGGAATGAGCCCGCAGACCATTATATCATTTTCCGAACATCAGATGTCAAAGGAACGTGGCCAACAATTGCGGAATCAACGCGAAACAAATGGCCGCCGAGCTGGCACAACTTGGCCTCACCGGCGACAAAATGAGCATTCGTTCGAAGAAGAAGGTGAGAGAAAGACAAGTTCGAGCGAGCGAGAGAAAGAGAGAGAGAGAGAGAGAGAGAGAGAGAGAGCAATTAGTTTGCGGTTTTTGTTTTGTGTACTCGTGTGTGAAGTAAGAGGCTCAAACAGTGTGTGCGCCAGGAATATCTGCGCAATCAACGGGTACTTGTCAGTTGGGCACACAAATCCTGCAACACCCGTTCGCTACATTCGTCTCTCTCTCTCTTTGCAGCCGTCAATCATGACCGAAACGAGCACCGACATCTCCGGATCATCCACTTCCGACAATTCGGGTATGCGAGATTCTTACGAATTACTGAACTCATTCAACTGTCTTGCAGGTTACTTGCAACAGATTAACGAAGACGACACGTCGAGCACAACGACCTCATCGCGAGGATCCAAAGTTCCTGGCGGAACTCTGTCTATCCACGACTTCACTTTCATGAAGGTTCTCGGAAAGGGATCATTCGGAAAAGTGATGCTGGCCGAGAGAAAAGGAACGGACGAAGTGTACGCCATCAAGATCCTCAAAAAAGACGTGATAGTGCAGGATGACGACGTGGAATGCACAATGTGCGAGAAGCGCATCCTCTCCCTGGCTGCCAAGCACCCATTCCTCACTGCCCTTCACAGCTCTTTCCAGACACCTGTAAGCCAATATCAGTTATCTCGTGTATTATCGTGCTTTCAGGATCGTCTATTCTTTGTGATGGAGTACGTCAACGGTGGTGACCTTATGTTCCAGATTCAGAGAGCACGCAAGTTCGATGAGAGCCGCGCGAGATTCTATGCCGCCGAAGTCACCTGCGCTCTTCAATTCTTGCACAGGAACGACGTCATCTATCGGTGAGTGTAACTTTTTGCTCAAAATGAATTGGCGTGGCTCAATTGCAGCGATCTCAAACTCGACAATATTCTCCTGGATGCCGAGGGTCACTGTCGTTTGGCAGACTTCGGAATGTGCAAAGAGGGAATCAACAAGGATAACCTGACGAGCACCTTCTGCGGAACTCCCGACTACATCGCTCCGGAGATCTTGCAGGAAATGGAGTACGGAGTGTCAGTTGACTGGTGGGCTCTCGGAGTTCTCATGTACGAAATGATGGCGGGACAGCCGCCGTTCGAAGCCGACAACGAGGACGATCTGTTCGAAGCCATTCTCAATGACGACGTGCTCTATCCGGTTTGGCTCTCCAAAGAAGCGGTCAACATTCTGAAAGCGGTAAGATTGCATTGAATTGTCTTACTCCTATTCTATTGTAAATATTTAGTTCATGACGAAGAATGCGTCAAAGCGACTCGGATGCGTCACCTCACAAGGAGGCGAGGATGCTATTCGAGCCCATCCGTTCTTCCGAGAAATAGACTGGGACGCACTGGAGGCTCGGAATGTGAAGCCGCCGTTCAAGCCAAAGATTGTAAGTTATCCGCATCACTCCAGCAACACTTACAATATTTGTACAGAAATCAAAACGTGATGCGAACAACTTCGACAGCGACTTCACGAAAGAAGAGCCGGTGCTGACTCCGAGTGATCAGGCAGTCGTTCGGGCGATCAACCAGGACGAGTTCCGTGGTTTCTCGTTCATCAACCCGCATTTCGTCTACTAAACTCTTTCTCCTTCTTCCCGTGTGCTTTTCTTCTTCTTCTCTCATTCCCTGGCCTTCTTCTTCTAGTGTACTCTTTTCTCTCCTTGAATTTCTACTTATCGAACCCATCCAATGCTCTCATAATCAGTCCCTCCCCGTCTCCTTTCCGTCGATTCACATTCCCCGTATTTATTCGCCCTGACTCGTAGCAACAATTCCTGCCCTCACAAACAATATAGCACACCGTTTTTTTTGTCCATTCCCTATTTCCCCTTTCAAATGCTAGTATTTGAAGTAAAAGCTCGTGTTTCTATACCCCGCACTCTCCTTATATTCTCTATATTGCTCGATTCCCTTTCTCTTTTTAGACTAGTCTCTACCCTCTTGCCACCTTTCTTCCCTCTTTTCCCGTTTGGAGAAACTCGAAAATCAAAAAAATCTCGATGAAATGGATAGTGTGTGAGTGATTGTGTCACTCAATTCTCCCACTATTTCGTGTTGACTTGTGATACCATTGAATTTTCCCCCACCGTTCCCCCTTCCCGTTACCGTCTCCATGTCTATCGCCTACTACACCTACTACTTCCACCAAATCTTTACTACCAGAGATTCCTTCGTTTTCTTCACAACCATCTCCTTTTTGCCCCCCCCCCCCAAATACATCTATTCGTTTCCATTTTCTCCCCAATTTCACCTCCGCTGCTTCTTGTGTAGATTACTATCTCTTTGATTTCATTTTTTCCTAGCTTTCCAGAAAAGCAGTATAAATTCTTACCTTATCAGTGTGTATTCTGTGATTCATGGGATATTCGCACAGCAGGTCGGCATTCCCATTAAGATTGTCTAAAATAGAAATAAGCAAGTGGACGTTGAAAAAATTCAGTTACGTGGTCACGGTCATGTTATTTTTAAACTTCTGAGACTTCTCGAACTACACTGTACTGTTCAGAGATAGCCGACGCGATCGATAATATCTTATCACATTACCCTTTCTTCTTTTCTTTTCTTTCCGCTCCCAACCATTTACAAACCTTTTCCATTTCAGTACCCCATTCAAAATGTTTTCCGCCGGAGTGCTCGCCAACGCGACCGTTCCTTGTCCGGCATTCCAGCAAATCGCCACTCCAATCGCGGATCTTCCAAAAGACGGAACTATCGGTCAGGAGGAACTGACTCTGAGGAACAAGTTGGCGGCACTCTACCGACTCGTCGATCTGTTTCGATGGAGCCAAGGCATCTATAATCATATTACCGTAAGCCTCTGAGTCTGCTCTCAACATTTCTTATAAATGGAATCTCAGGTTCGTGTCCCTTCTGATCAGGATGAGATTCTGATCAATGCGTTCGGACAACTGTACAATGAAGTGACGGCTTCGTCTCTGCTGAAAGTCGATCTGGAAGGCAACGTGCTGGACGGAGGATCCACAGATTTTGGCATCAACCAAGCCGGCTACGTACTCCACTCGGCGATCCACCACGGCCGTCCCGATGCCCAATGTGTCATCCATCTCCACCACCCATCCGTCGTCGCCGTCTCGGCTCAAAAGTGCGGACTTCTGCCGATCAGTCAGGAGTCGATGATCGTCGGAGAGGTGGCATATCACGATTACCAAGTAAGGGATGTTCTCAATTCCCCTGACGCTGTCCCGTTTTGCAGGGAATTCTCATCGACGAGGCGGAACGAGAATTGCTCGTCCGTCATCTAGGCGATCGGAACGTAATGATTCTGCGCAACCACGGCTTCGTAGTGTGCGGCGAGTCGGTCGAACACGCTCTCAGCCTCACCTACCACCTGATTATCGCCTCCGAGACACAAGTGAAAAGCGTTCCCGGCGGCAACACGGACAATGTGCACTTCCCATCGCAATCGGCCGTCAAGCAGGTCTACGCCGTCGCCAGCCAGGGAGGTACTACGCTTCATCGCATTCGCCACGCTTTTTCTTCGCGAAGCAAAGCACACCTATCATTTGTCGCGCATTGTTCTTTTTCTTCTTCTTTCAGGCGGCGGTGTGAACCGACAGAACGGACGAGTCAACTCGAGTCGCTGGAGACGTGGAGAGCTCGAATGGCAGGCTTACATGCGGCAACTGGACGCGCACGGATACGTTACGGGACACGTGTACGTTTAGGAGAGGATGTGACACGACGAACACCTTTTCGCGTGTTGTGAGTATGTGCGAATAATAAACATTGAAAGGATCTGGCTAACGTGTTGGTTACACAACAAACACAGAGGTACTTGACGGGCAGAAGCCTGGCGGACACTTGAGTCGTCCGCAAAAGGGAAGTTTGTGGCTGCGAATGGGAGAAGGGTGACGTCGTTGACGTGGCAGAAGGACTGTAACATGACGGTTCTTCGGCCCTTCTGTGAATTGCGATGGCGGCATGGCAGAAGAGTGACATGACCCAAAAAGCTTTAGCTGACAAGTTGGGGGGGAGGGGGCGGTAGAAGGCATTGTATGCTATGCATACCGCCCGTCCTCAATAGGCGTGCATCGGCCTTCCCCCCGTCAACACGAGAGTTTCGTCTGTTTGTGTCCACCTCCTCCTCCTTCTTCTTCTTCTTATTCTTCGTTCGACCGCCGCTTTGGGAACCCATCCGATTGACCTTCTCACACCTTTTTGCCATTCTTGACACCCGAATCGGGACGTCCTCTTCGCTCGTTCTTCAGACAACTTGACGACGTCTTCCGTCTTCACTGACACTTTTCAATTCTCAATTTATTTCCTTGATATTGGTCTCTCTGATCAGAGTGCTAATTCTGAGTGAAAAGTCCTTTCTCGATTCGTACAAAACCTTCGATTCACGCTTGTTACAAATCCACTAATCGTCGTGTTCGTCTCGTCGTCCGAATCCTGGCTGCCCCGTCGTCGCCTTTTTTTCCGTTCTTTCCGCCTCTCCGCTTCTTCGTTCCGATCCGCTCACACGGCCGGCTTTTCGTCCGGCTACAAGGGAAAGCAAGCCTTCAGCAAGTTACATAATTAGGCTACTTCTTCTTCATCGTCTTTTTCATCTTCTGTAGTTGGTTCGCTTCTCATTTTGGCGGCGATTTCTCTGTCGAGTGACTCCGAAAGTGGCACTCTTTTTCCAGCGACGCTTGTTTGTCACAAACGTTTGCAAAGTGAAGTACTTTCATCTTTGAAACCGTAATGTCCTAGTTGAAGTTGACCATATTTGGGCTTCTCTTTCTCTCTCCCTGAACTGTTTGATAGACATATCTCATTCGTTTCATGATATGGGTTCGTCCCGTTTACATAATACTCCGAACGCCACTGCGGAGTCATTTCACTTCCGACCCCATTGAGTCATAAATGCTTTATTGCGTGTCGCCCTACTACTCCCGATCCGTTGTCCAACCCCCTCTTCTTCCCTGATCCCCTTCGATTCTCTTTCAGGAGCTTTTCTGGCTTGATGCAGTCTGTAAATGGAAGAGGAACTCTATAATGGTTTCTATCCGAACCGGCACATCTACTACTCGACCGCCTACCCGTACAGGTACGTGTCAATTCATCAATCTTTCTGCCGAAAACTTCTCACTTGTTCGTTTCCGTCCTCATTCGCTAATCTTCCAAGACGCGCACATTTCAATATTCAAGGACGCATGCATAAGAAGTTCCCCCCGGGAATTTACCGCAAACAAAACAAAACAGACCGAAACGGGAAATTATCCGTCGAGGACATCGCTCTCAATTTCCAGAAGTCCGTTCGCGTTGAACCGACCCTATTTGGAGGATGACTACACCGACTACTACCGAGATTACCTGACCAAGACGAACAGTAACTTTGCGATCAGGGACTATGAACGCAAGATTCGAGTCTTCGACTCCTCCATCTACTACATTCGTGTCCTTTCTTATGCTCAAGTCAGTTTGTGTGATGTGTTCGCATTACTGTATGCACTTGCTTTCAGATTTTCCTCGCCGGTATTTTATTGGTGACCGATGTCTCGAAGAACGTGCTTCTCTGGAATTACATCCAGATGAACGGCGTGAAAATCGAGATGCTCGCCCACGTCATCTTCCCCATTTTTGCTCTCATCGTCGGTTTCATTTGTCTGACGGCGATTCTGAATCCGTCGAAGGCGTTGACAAAGTGCGTTGCCATCCTTCTACTCGTGATTATTGTGCCAAACTTTATATTCCCAAAGTACTCTGTATTTATGACAAGTGAGTTGTTTCCTTTTACAAGTATAATTACGGTTTCTTCTGTTTTAGCAGCAATAGAATCAGTCGAAATCAGTCAAGTGATGGATCGAAGTCCGCTCGGAAAGGACGTCGACATGATCAAATCGGAGACTCACAACCGAATGTCCAAGATTCTGATGCTGTCGACGAACCGATGGCCGTTGGGCGTGTCCGATCTGACGAGTCTCCCCACCGACTTTGTGCTCATGATGCAGTACTTGCTCATCGCGTACTCCGTCTTCTCCCTTTCATTGTTCATGTTTTACGTCATCACCCTCTTCTGTTTTGTACGATTGATTTCGGTTCAATGAACAATGTTTGAATGTGCAATCGGCTGTGACCGTGTTTGCAGGTCGCCGGTTTCTGATTTCAAATTCGAAAAAGCATTATATTATCAGTTCCACGTCAATTCCAATCACGGAATTAAGAATTATAAATTGTGCTTGACACTGTGCTAGCAACCAATCAAAACATGTTCATAATTTACATTACCAGCAATTGTGCATAATCACCACTCAATCATTTACAACTTTGGGATTCCTCCGACGACTCCGGACTCGATTCCGCACTCGTTGATTCCGCGGATGATGCGGAAGTATCCGTTCTCTCCCCAGTCCTCGTTCCACGAGTTGGCGCACAGCCAGTACGGCGTTCCGTTCTCGACTCCCCATCCGAGCATCTTTACCGCGTGTCCTCCGAGGTTCGATCCGGCGGTGTGCACGTAGATTCCGCTCGAGTAGTGCTCAAAGTCCTCGTAGACGGTGAACGCGACCTCGACGGGTCCGTGCGCGAGGATTTCCTTCTGGATCTCGGCGGCCTTCTTCGAGACTGCGTAGGCGGATTGTCCGAAGTGGAGGTCCTGCTGGTAGGTGAGCGCGTATCCCGCCTGGCACGAGTGCTCGCACTTGTCGGTCGGGTACATGTCCGACGGGCACGGCTTGTAGTGCGTTCCGTTGACGTGGTGCTCGCACGGCGGGTACGGGTACGGCTTGCATCCGGTCTTCTCAGTGTAGCTGCCTCCGGTCACGTAGCCCTTCTTGACGTAGTGGCGCCACGCCTCGATCGGGTATCCTCCGTTGCATCCGTTTCCGCACACCATTCCGCAGCACGCGTTGATGTCGTCGGCAGAGATCGAGATCTGAGTGGTTCCGTTCGAGGCAATGCAAATACGGTCGGAGATGGTCTCGGCGGCAGAGACGGCCCAGCAGGATCCGCAGGACGACTGGTCACGGATCTTGGAGATGGAGGTGCAGGCTGGCCATTGGGCGCGCGAGTCGAACGAGTCTGGGATGGCGGCGTCGAGGATTTCCGGGTGGGTCATCTCGAAAACCTGGAAAAGAGTGAATAAGAACTGTATGGGTTGGGAACAAGACTGACTCTGTACTCCTCTGGAATCTCGACCATCTTGGCTCCCATCAACTGCTTCTTGATGGTGTCCGGGTAGGAGCTGAAGTAAGAGCCGAGCTCCGCCTTGAAGGAGGACTGCTTCTTGTTGATGTAGTCGACGAGTTCCTGTCCGCGGAGCATCTGAGCCCTACTGGGATCGTGTCGGCATGGTTCACTTGGACGGTGTAGGCGTTGACGGCGACGAGGCCCACGAGAAGGGCGGCGACAGCGGTTTTCTGGAAGACATTGCTAGGTTTCAGGACAAATTGGTGAAGTTTTACCATTTTCGGTTGGCTGGAAAGAATCGGCAGTCGACCGATTTGTCAAGTATCAGCAGCCGTTTTATAGTCATTTCGGTCGAAGTCAACGATAACGTTTGGAATTTGGCATTTTCTGGGTGGAATTATTGATAAGGGGAAGTAGGCCTCGCCGCTACTAGCTCCGGTTTCGTATCAATTTGCAGACTGAAAAGGTCTGAACAGTCATGCGACACTAGGGAAAAGCGGGTTGCGAGTTTGAGTTAACTGTCGGTCCGGATCAGAAGTATGAAGGAAATGTGCCTTATCGATGTGATTTCGATACATTTCTCGGGAAATCGCCGGTGAGTTTTCTGCAGAAAAATGGATACGCTCCGGACATGGCGCTCTGTTCAGCTGAAATCCCGTCGACGAAATGATTTTTATTACCGAATTTTACCGGAAATTGTAATTTTTTTACTGAAATGTTCCGAACATTGCTTTTCTTTCCATTAGTCACACTGCTTTTCCATGATTTATACTCAAAATATCTATTTTACTCAAGTCGAAAATTTTTTTATTTAATGTTACGCTTTGAAAACATGTTCCAGTGTGAGTCAGACTTTGTCATGTACATAAATTTCTAATAATCTTTATCAAATGCACAAGCCGTCACATGACCTGATTTATTCGAAACCAATTACGTCAATGATTTATCAGTGCTCCCTTATCAATTGTCATTCGTGGAAGGTCGTTGGTGCACGTTGAATTGCCGCAAACAACGGACGTGTAGCTGACCACGCTTTCACGGAGCAGACAAGGAATCACATGGCTTCCATGATGCATATAAATTTGACAAAAAGCCTTCTGCCCCATGCCAGGCTCGAACTGGCGACCTTGGCATCACCTATAGACTATAAGTACCACGCGCTAACCGACTGCGCCAATGGGGCACGCTCGGAACGAATACAGATGGTCGTTGACGAGTGTGCGGCTCTCTTCCCCCGTACACTCGCTGTCTGGTGTGTCTCCTCTCGCAGCCCCCCCCCCCTCCCCAACAAACAACTAGGACACACAGCGGAGAGCGACACTGCCGACGGACTGCCTTACATAGGGAAACGTTGAGGAAATGCGGGCTAATGGTTGGCGGAAATGATACGAATCGAGAAATCGACGAATTGGAGATTGGATTATAGAGATGTGCCACCGGAAAATGGCACGGAAACGGGGGTTGATGGGAATTCGCACATCTTGACAGCTCTTATCATTAGTATTTGCTCCCTTCTTCCCAAAATGTACGGATTGGTCATCGAAGGCGTCCGTTTTATGATCCAAGAGAACTGGGGCACTCAGGTACTACAGCAGGTGAGTACTCTTTTCATTTTCCGGTTTAGGACTGGATTTCAGGTGCAAAAGCTCACACTGCTATCGGAAAAGTCGATCTCGACGCATGACCAGTACTCGGAGCACGTGGTGCCCCAAATGTTCAAGGCGATCAACGAGATCACGGGCACTCCTTACGAACAGATCGGAGTGCTCGCCGGCCGATTCTTCGTACAGTTTCTGATTCGGAATGGGTACGGAGACCTGATGAATGTTATGGGGCGACGGTTCTCCGACTTCATAAAAGGACTCGACAACATCCACGAGTATTTCCGGTTCAGCTACCCCAAACTGAGAGCCCCCTCGTTCTATTGCAAGTCCGAGAGCGAGGACGGTCTGGTCCTTCATTACCGTAGTCGGCGCACCGGATATCTTTCCTACGTGATCGGTCAACTCGTCGAACTGGCAAGAGTCTTTTATCAGTTGGACATTGGCATTCAGGTGTTGAAGAAGAAAGAGAAAGGGCGGTTTCATTTTGTGGTCATGAAGATTTCATTTGACAACGTTGGACTCGGACATGATTTGAAGTGAGTCTCAAACTTTTCAAACGTGAAATTGAATATTCAGACTAAAAGAACGAGTGAAGAATCTGAACGAGTACCTTCCCGTGGACACCAAATCCTTCCTTCAAATGTTTCCGTTCCATATCGCATTCAACAAAAAGCTTGAGATTCTGATGGCCGGCCAGGGACTTCTCAACTTGATGCCCGACATCCAAGGCCTTCTGATGACCGACGTCTTCGACCTACAAAGACCGTGCATCAAGTTCACCGCCGACGGAATACTCGTCCATCAGAACTGTGTCTTCCAAATCGAATCGCTCCATCCTGTGCTGAAGCAAAGCGAGGAGAAAATAACTGTGAAAATCAACGATGTGACGGAGGACAAGGTGTCTTTGGAGAAGAAAATGGTGATGGACAATGAATACGGTAGGCATACGGTAGAAGAAAATGGTAGGCGGACAGATTCATTGCAGAGAGCCTTCCGTACGTGACTCTTCGCGGGCCGATCATTGTGCTCAAGTCTTCCGACACTTTCCTGCTGCTTGCCACGTGTGTCGTGGATACCCTGGATACCATGTTCAAAATGGGATTGTATCTGAACGATTTCGGAGAGTCCGACTGTAACAGAGAGATAATTATGGCCACAATTCAAAAGAGTGACACTTTGAAGTCAATGTTAGAGAACGAGAAGAGAAGAAGTGAAATACTGACGGAAATGACGAAGGAGATCTCGGAAGCGAAGAAGACGGCCAGGGGACTTCTCACGCAGATGATGCCGTACGAAGTGGCGAAAACGATGATGAGGAGTGGAAGTGTCGAGCACTGCGAAGCCTTCGAATGCGTCTCGATTGGCTTCATTCGCGTTTGCGACTTCTCCAAAATCAGTCTATTCATAGAAGCCTTCGAAGTTGTGAATCTACTGAATACGTGAGAAACCACTGGACAACTAGCATCTTTCTCTTAATTTCAGCATCTACTCTCATCTGGATGCGATTGTGGACACCCACGGAGTATACAAAGTCGAAACGATCGGTGAGAGCTACATGATATCGGCGGGATGTCCGTACAGAGATGAGTTCGACGCCGAAATGGTGGCCGACTGTTGTCTGGAGATGGTCTCGCACATGAAGTCTTTCGAGTATCAGAATCAGGACGCGGTGAAGAAAGTGCTGATAAAGTGTGGCATATTCACGGGACCAGTAGTCGGCGGAGTGGTCGGGCTCAGAACTCCCCGATATTGTCTGTTCGGGGACACGGTCAACTCTGCCAGTCGTATGGAATCTTCGAATAAAACGGTAGTCAAAACCTGCTCACTTTCAGACCTAGCAACTTTCAGCCAATGACCATACAAGTGGGCCAACGAACGAAAGACAGAGTGGACAAACAGGCGAGCGGGGCGTTCCGGATCAAGCCGAAAGGGAACGTATTCGTGAAGGGAAAAGGCGACATGAAAGTGTACGAAATCGAGAAGAAGAAGGGCCGAGCCAGACACAAGAAGAACGAACCGTTGCGGAAGAAGATGAACGCGGAGAAGAAGGAGGCGGAGGAGCTGTTCGACGAAGACAACGAGGGCCATCGGTCGAGTGCGCTGAGTCGGATGAGTCTCGGGTGAGTGTGGTGGCTATTTCAGGAGCTGAGCGTGTGATTCACCTGCAAGCAGTGACTGATCAGAGTTCGAGACCGGAAGGATATCCGTAATGTTTACGACGACGCGGATGTCGCATTAGAGATGACACATATAAATGGCTCCATCTTGCCATTTGCACGCATCACGCATTTGTGCGTGACTTCAACACCTGAAAAGAGAGAGAGAGAGAGAGAGAGAGAGAGAGAGAGAGAGAGACCTGCTGTTTATGTTTATGTCACTCATTCACCATGTTTTTCATGTTCAGAGAATCCATCGACAGCTCGAGTTCACGACGTGGCAGTCTGACCGGCTCACAGCTGGAACTCAACAAAACCATCGCACACACCATCGAGGTCACTTCGAAAGCATCGGCAGCACTGGACTTGTGAGTCATTTCTAGTTGCTCTTTTCTTTTTGACGTCGCTTTCAGAAACATGCACGATGAGAACAATCGTCCGTCGACTTGGTCGGATTCTCACTCGAAAGAGCACCTTCGGAAGCAGACTCGCAAAACGGAGAGCAAGATCACTCTGTTGAGTTCGTCGGATCTGGCTGCGAGTCGGGCCGAAACGAGCAAAGAAGAGGACGGAGAGACTCCGCGACCGACTTCGAACGAACTGAAAGAGGTGCATCGGATCCGAGCGGAAGCACGTGCTCGGGACGAAGAGGATGAGAAAGTGGAGAGAGAAGAGAAGAAGAAACCGGGCGGAGAGGAGGAGGAGACGGATGCCATCAGCGAGACCAACCTGCTGCTTGACGACGACTCGGTCGCCACTCACCGCGACAACAACCTCACCTTCGTCGAGATGCCGTCTGATAGTGTAGGTTAAAGTAGATCAGATCCTGTCCACATTCTCAACTTCTTCACAGATTCCGCATGAAGATCGTGGGTCGCTTCCTTCCGGAGAGCCGTCCGAAGTGGGAGACGCCCGGGAGCCAGCGAAGAAGCCATTGGAGAAGAACGACTCGAACTCGTCATTGAGCAGTTTGGAGGAGAGGACCACAGTGGTAAGAGATAGAATAAATATTTCATTTTATTTCACTCGTCGTCAGCCGAGAAATGGAAATCGTAGTAGGTCTCCAGGAGAGTCGCTCCTCGGTTCGCAATGAACTGCCCCGCGAGCACAGATCCCGAGAGCACACACATTATCTGAAAGGCAAAATGTACGGAAAACCTTAATATTGAATCCAAAACCTTAGCTGCTCCAAATGCTCTTATTTTCGGACGAGGCGGGAGTGGATTCATCAGATGTTTCGAATGACGGAAATAAAATTGATTTCAGTCCGCAAAGCCCGTGACCCGAAGATTCGGAATGAGAGACACGGACAAGAAGGGAGCCAACAAGGCGGGCTCTTCAATGGTAATTCAAGAAATGGGGAGAGGCTTGAATTACATGGAAATCCTTGCAGACTTCGTCCTCTGTGCACTCTCATTCGATCAAAGGGCGCCAAAGGGATAAGTCACGATGCAGATGCGAGGACATCCGCGCTGATAACAAATTAAAGACCAAAGTGTGCAGTTTGATGTGAAAATAGTATTAGAAGCGTCGTTTTATTTATTCAAGATCACCCATAAACTGAATTATCCCTTCCATTTGCTCTCTCTCTGTTCTCATGATGCTCACTCCAATTCGATTTCGTTAGAGAAGCCGGTGAAAGTGAGTGGGCGGAGGCTCATATTTGACAGATCGTACATCTTCTGAAAAGACGAATCACCCGAGGAATCTTCAATTCTTCAATTTACCACTCCAGTGGAGCCTCCGACGCGGAAGGAAGTGAAATTGGAAAGCGATGGGAACATGGAATAACTACGAAGACGTTCGAGCTCCACGGAAGTCTCGGTGCGGATTTGAATGGGGAAGAACAGCGAGGAAATGATCATCATCGAGAGAGGGTCCACAATCAGCAAAGCTCAAAGATTGAAGTATTCTGAGCATACTGCAAGAGGGCGCTCACCGTTTTCCACTTTCGCCGTGAGCTCGTAAAAGGCTCTCTTGATGCGGACGGCCAGGTCGGAAAGGGTCACTCCGTCCGACTAAACTCTTCTTTTCACTCTCATGCTCTCTCTCTCTCTTCTCTAATTTAACTTACAACTGCTGCCAACGGCATTTTCTTATCTAGATCATAGCCCAGAATCTCGAGGTTTTCGGCTCCGAAGAACACGTGGCTCGCCTTGTGCAACGTGGACAACTCCGGTTCGATGCGAATCTTGCCGCACTTCTCTCCGATGTACGTCTTGATCAGATGGGCGGTTTCGAGGGAGGCAAAGTCCGGTGAGCAGAGAATGACGGACGGGATGATGCGACGGTCGCACAGCTCTCTCGCCATCATCTTCGAAGCGATTTTACCGGTTTCGGTGATCGGAGGATCCTGAGTGTACGACTTGAGCATGGAATTGCGACGAGGCAGCTCAATCGGGGCGTTCTGAAATACAACTCGTCCCGAAATTCCGAAACAATCGAACACTTGCCACATCGAACGGAATGTACGTATTTTCGTTGAGATCCGACCGTTTCATCCAGTCGGAGAAGACCTCAGAGATCATTTCGGCACTTCGCATCACAATAATCTCGTCGCCGGTCATGTTGGGAGCCGGTCCGAGGGCCTTGAACTCGGCGCAGATCACCGTTTCCGATTGCTTCGTCGATTTCGTAGTGATATCACTCATTTATTCGGTACGAGCGGGAAGAAATTCCTCGCTTAGTTTCAGGATTTTAATTTCAAAATAATTTCGTTCTGTTCTTCCCCGCTGACATTACGTGTTTCACGTGTACTCAGCAGTTTTCGTTCTGCTTTTAGCACCGCATTATCGAGGCAATCGCACAAGAGCCCTTTGTCAGAGCGGGTCAAACAAGAAACTAGAGTGAGTAGAAGCTTTTTCTAACTTTTTTATTTCGATTCGCATTCACGAATGTCTATTTTTTGGGGTACATTCCTTTAAGTACATTTTTGGTGTAACAGCCGTCCGTGTTATTCCGTCATCGTGTTCAAAAGTACGCAATGCGACAGCCGCTGCGCGCCGACCGCGACGCGTTCCTATTTTCGAATATTGCTGCGCTTTCTCTATTGCCCTTTTTTGTTTACCCGTTATTTCATATTCTCTTTCATAATTCGGTATTGATTTCAGCTTGGACTTGGGCCAAAGATAATTCGTATTCAAAATGGCTAGCATACTCGAAATGAGAAAGCTGATCGAGGCCAAAGCGCAAACAATGATTCGTCCTATTGTCAGAGTAAGTTTCTTCCTAGTTTAAGTTGATTTAAACTATTCAATTTACAGCCAAAAGAACAAAACGGCAATGGGGAGGCCAAAAAAGAGGAAGGGGAGAATCAATTCATCTCGACATACGAGCAGAAAGAGAATCCCGAGATCAAACCGAGCTCCTTCGGGAAAAGGCCTGTCTATTCGAAGTAAGTTGCTCGATTCGCAAGATCTTACATGTTAAGTCTTTTTTAGAGTAGATATCAATTGTGACAAGTGGTTGATGACGTTGGATGACGAATCGCGACTAAAGTTGGACAATCCGCCATCGCTAGCAGATGGCTTATCTCGAGAATTGGAAGCGGTTTGTTTCTTGTCTACGATGGTTCTCATTCATTTTTTTTTAGGAAATCCGTTATCTTGGCTGCGAACTCATTCAACAAGGTGCCATTCTTCTGAAACTACCCCAAACTGCTGCCGCCACCGGGCAAATCTTGTTCCAGCGATATTACTATCAGAAAAGCTTTGTCAGGTATCAGTTCGAGGTAAGTGAAGCCTGGAATTTGGTAAGGACACAAGACGGAAAACTGGATTATTGCAGCATGCAGTACAAGCGTGCCTACTTCTCGCTTCGAAGATCGAGGAGGAGCCTCGAAGGCCACGGGAGGTGTACAACGTATTTCACCGTCTCGAACGCCTCCACCGTATACAGCAGAGCGGAAATGAAATAAATAAGTAAGTTACCAGAAAAGATCCTTTCACCTAGCTAGTCAGTTAGCTAGTACTTTTTTGTGCCGTCTGTGCTCTCAATTTGAAACAATCCCATGTCAGAACCGATAACTATTGTCTGGCAGCAAGCAAAAAGCTTTAAAATGCGCCGGAATCGATTGCCCCGCTCCCCTTTCCCCCGAAAACCGATGAATAATCAATTTTTATCGCAGGCGGCTCGAAGCCGAACGTGGAGCATCTGTTCTTCGGCGATTTGGCTGAAAGTGAGAGAGAAGTTTATATTGTTGCCTTCATCGTCACACAGGACCCAGGTGAGCTGCGACACGTGTGAGCCGTTTGTTTTCCGTTTTATTTCGTCACCCATATCAAATTTGATTATTATCGTCGTCTTGCAGCGCGTTTTTCTCTTCGTTTTCGCAAAGGCTATGCCCGATTTTTGAAAAAATATTACAAATTTTCACGGCTCACACGTTCGGCTCATTCTGCGGCTCCTCAGCGCCATGTTTGCTCGCTTGCTTTCAATTTTAGTTATCGGTCGTTTCATGGGTCCAATTGCCCGCCTAGGTAGGACTAATAATTGTTTATTGCAGAGAAACGACGCGTGGACTGAGGCCACCTGCTGTCGATATGACCTACATCAACAATAAACAGCATGTGAGTTTCGTAAAGGACTTTTGGATCAATTAAAGGACGATGTGTTCAGATGATCAATTCGGAACGGAGAATACTGGCGACGCTTGGATTCGTCGTTCACGTGAAGCACCCGCATCGACTGATCGTCGCCTACTGTCACACGTTGGGAATTACGCAGTCGCGGCCGGACATTCTGCAACGATCATGGAATTACATGAACGACGGTCTCCGCACGGACATCTTCATGCGGTACAAACCAGAAACGATCGCGTGCTCTTGCATTTTTCTTGCTGCTCGCACTGTCGAGAACCCGATTGCTCTGCCGTCCACGCCGTTCCACTGGTTCGAGGCGTTTGATACGTCGGACAGAGATGTGGAAGCGATTGCATTGCAACTTGTGAAAGTGTATGCAAGACGGAGAATTCCGAACTGGCCACGTATCAAGGCGGAATTAGAAACGTTGCGAAATGCGAAGAACGCGGAAAAGGCGGCGGTGAAGGCGAAAGAAATTGCTGTGAAGTTGGAAAAAATGGCACCAAATGACGATAAAAGCGAGCCGACGAGTGGAAGTGGCAGTCGGAAGGAGTCGCCAGTGAGGAAAGACCGGAGAGATCGGGATAAGAAGGACAAGGATAGGCGCCGAAAAAAGTCAAACGATAGGGACGGACGGGACCGTCGCGATCGAGACAGAGATCATCGGGGAGACCGCCGGAAAGACGATAAAAGAGATCGAAGGAAGAGAAGCAGATCGCGCAGCAAGGATCGCAAGGTAACAGACAGCCGATATGACGGACTTGTAAACAGATTAGGGCAGTTGCAGGACAAGGTTCGAGGTCGAGATGTGGGCAAAAGATACCGCCGAGAGAGCAATTCACCATCCAAATTCCGACGATAAACGGGCTATCATCGTGTGACAGTTAATTTTTATTTCTATCATTTCTTACCCCAAAATCTCGGCTCTAGCCTCTATTCACCTCGTTATTTGAAGTCCCGAGAGCCTATCTCGGTTCCCGGGGTGATATTTTTTGTTTCGACTTGAGTTCACTTCAAATGAAAATATGTTCGCCAACAGATCTTTGTCGAATCGAACCGGACCGGACTGTCCGATGAAAGCTCCGCGTGGACGCTTATTTGTTTGTTTGGACAAGGATTTGTGTCGTTTTGGGAAGGAGAGACGACCTCTCCCCGTTTATTATTGTTATGGTTATGGCACCGCGCACGGCGAGTGACTCACATAACTCGTTCCCTTTCGGCGAATGACGTGGCACTCGGAGAGATTCCTCTCAAATATTCATTGTACACTGGAGCAAAGCGACGTCTTCCGGAGCATTTCCGTCCGAAGAAGACGTCGCGACGGAATTCTATCCCTTTTCGACCCGAAATCAGAAATTTGATTTGTCCCCTTTTTGTGCCTCTTTTTCGGAAAACATCAAAGAGAATCACTTTGTATTGAGAGTCAAGTGCCACAAAATACAATGGGAGAGTGCGTGTTTCCGGGGCACTTTCGTTCGGATGAGGTCATCCTTTGGACGGATTGCAACTGTGGCTGTTCGCAACCATACGGTCACTTTCAAAGTGTCCAGCCCTCAATGAAGTACTATTTTTCCAAAAAAATCGGATCGACTCGGATAAGAGTGAAAGTGAGAAGTGCACGGCCCGGCTTTTCATACATAGGACTTTCGGTTTGTTCAATATATCTCCAGAAATCGAGCATAGGGACCTCTGATTTTTTGATAAGAGTTCAATTTTACTGGGTTCTTCAAAATGATCCAGGTCAGAGGTAAATGTAAGGTTTCTGAGAGAAGTTACAGCTTCACAATTTCCACTCCTCCGTATGCCGGTCCGTGTAAGTTTTTTCAAGGAAGAATACAAATGTTTGATTTTTTCCTCTGTCGACAGTAAAAAAACCTTCCATTTTCGCTTTTACTCTAGTCGATACGATTTTTTGAAAAAAAGCTATGATTTTTTATGAAACTCGTATGAAATCACCCCCTAATGGGGCTATTCAGCGTATGTTTGTTTTCCGTTTTTTTCGTTTTTTACACCGCTGAATTGGGTTTTTTGACGTAAAAAACGAAAAAAACGGAATAATCTTTTTTTTTCACAGCCTGAATAACCCCATAATATAAGCAGTCATTTCGGTATTTTCTTCGCTAAAATTCTGCCGTCGTGAGTTTTTCAATTCGTGTCTTTGCTTTTCTTGGGACATCCAATCTAAGAGCAGCTAGAAGCTGACTGGGCACCTAGAAATCAGTCCGTTCTTGTTGCTATTGTCAAACTTTGAACCTGATTGGTTTGGTTCGATATCGGAATTCAGCTGAAACATTCCCCAAGGCCTGTAATAGTGCCAAGGTTCGATTGATTGTTGGCCAAAAGTGAAAAAAATCGCTCTTTTCGCATCCGCGTTCCCTCTAAACATACATAGTTTCGTGTTTCAGTCAGTTGTTGCTATGAATCACTCGGCTTCTCGCTTTCCCTTTTCGCTGGTTGCCACGTAATCTCTGCGTCTCGTTCGTTCGTTTTTTCATTTTTTACACTTTTCATCTCGATTCGATCTGTGAACCTGAAAAGTGGAGAAAGCTTTTCCTTTCCGCAAGTCGACGCGTAAACCTCCTTTTGGCTAAGGATAAGTAAATATATGCAAATTTTTTGTCCTTTCTCAAAGCTCCACAGCCTTGACGGAGCTCGTTAAACGTGGAGCTTGCCATGTTTCGCTCATTAGCACAAATGGCTCAATCGGCGGGGATCCTCTCTTTCTCGCTCTCGCTCTCTCTCTCATTCTCATTTTTGGCTTTACTAGGAAAGAGTTGCCTCACTTTTGTCATAGACCTTCTTTTGTTTACTTTTCTGCATGTCTGTGTGTGCATGTGTCTATTGTCTGTCCACTCTTTTTTGGCCGGCTTCTGACACGTGGCACAACAATTCACCTCCCCGACACACACAATAGTTATTGTGTCCCGCGTTCGTTTGGTCCCCTTCAAATCCCTTTTCCAACTTTCAGATCTTTGGCGAAGAAATCCTACAAGACGGATTATGCCGAAGTTTCTTTCGCTCGGCTTGCAAAAAAAAAACAAAAAACAAAACCCGTAAAGTGATCGTTAAAGACGTACTTCTGCTCGGTTTCCAAAGCTCCCTGTCCTACCTTTGAGTGCCCTTTCGTTCGAAAACCGACCCATTACCATAAAACATTTCGGACGAATAGATAAATGAGAAGAAGAAGAAGAAGGGGGAGAAGAAGAGGGAGGACAATCTAATGCAAACACCACGCCCTCTCCTCCCTGTGATCGAAACTGTCTGCACTCCTATCTTTCTACTAAAACTTGCGAGTATTTGCCTTTTCTGGATGACAACTCTTTCTCTCTCTCTCTCTCTCTCTCTCTCTGTCTCTCTCTCTCTCTCTCTCTTCTGTTTTCCGGAAAACCGGATAATGATCCTCTGCGGATGCGTAAACGGATCGGTTCTGGCTGACCACTTGCCCCGCGTCGTGTAATTATTGAAAAAGGATGGGCGGCGGCCGCGATACATAAATACCTAGTTGTTTTATTGTTTTCGGTTCCGGTCGACCGAACGGACACGGGCTTTTAGCGCGGATTACTGTAGTTTTACTAGTTTGCAGGCACGCGATTTCTGGCTAATAGTCCTCTTGCACCTTTGGGTCCAAGTTTCAGATCAAGCGGATTAGCTGCTCACTTTTCCGGCTTCCAATCAATATAAATCCAGTCTAGATAATCCGATCAGTCAGAAACTTGAACGCAATCCTCAAAACGCTCTGCGTTCAGTTCTGGCACGTGGCAAGCCGTCCTACTTGTTGTGTGCCTTCAGAAGTTCCACAAAACTTGAGTGAGAATGGAGGGGGACCCGAGAAAAAGTGGAGAGGGGACCCGTGGCGCGGAAATGGACGAAATTCGGTTTGCCCCCGATTCTCGACCAATTCGATTCGATTTCAATTCGATTTCGCCGCCTATCTCCGTCGTCGTTGTTTCTTCCATCCTCCACACTCTCGATTCTTCGTTTTTCTCGGTCTTCTCGTTTCGGAAGGCCGTTTCTATCTTGTTCTCTGATTGAAACATTCGCCCTTCCCAGCTGTTCAATGGGCTTCCGCCTTGTTCTCCTTCCACTCCGATGGGTTTCTTCTTCTTCTTCTTCTTCCTCTCCCACGACTTATCCGTTTTCCCGCCGGTTGAGTGGAAAAGAACAGCAGAAATTTGATCGGACTCGAGTCTGGGCCAGAGGTACATGCAGAGTGCACTCTCTTCGCTTTCTTCTTTCTCTTTCTCTCTTTCCCATTCTCTTCCCTTATCAATCGGTCACTTCCATTTGTCATCTTCTACATTGCCACGTCATCCTCCTCTCCACTTGATAGCAAATATGACGGAAACTATGAACTTTTGAGTTGTCGTTTCCCATGGGAAGCGTCAAGCAATCATCTTCTTCATGCGAATCTTTCTCTTCCCATTCCACTTATTACCCTCTTTTTTCAGCCGCATGCAATGAAAACAGTGCGGTTCAACAAGCAGGCGCTCGCCATCCTCGCCGCCTGCCTCATCTTCGTTCTCTGCGTCGTCTCCTACTTTTCGACGTCCTCGGAACCTCAAAACGCCGTCCTCGTCGGCGAAGACGGTGCGGGGGCCGAGGCGAAAAGAGCGAGAGAACACGTGGCAATTCGGGATGTGGGGAACAGGCACCTGGCAGAAGAGGGAGTGCACGAAAAGCCGAAGGTTGTGCACGTGGAGACGGTGGTCAGCAAGGAGCAAACGGAGAAGCTAAAGTCGGTGAAAGTGGAACTGAAACCGCCTACGGTGGTGGTGGAGGAGAACAAAGCGACGGAGGAAGGAGAGATCGGAGGGGGAACGGCGCCCGTTCAGACTGCCGAAGGGCTCGAGAAGTTGATCGGAAAGATTCACTACGAAGACAAAGATGAGGAGAATGGTTAGTCCGGATGAGAAAGAGAAGAGAAGAGACATGACTTTTCAGATCTCCGACGCCAGAAAGTTAAAGAGATGATGGTGCATGCATGGCAGGGGTACAAGAACTACTCGTGGGGAGCCAATGAATTGAGGCCGATGGCGAAGACGCCGAATTCGCAGAACATATTCGGGGGAAGTCAGATGCCGGCGACCATCGTGGATGCGGCCGACACACTCTTCATCATGGACCTGAAGGACCAGTACAAAGAGGCCCGGGACTACATCGAGAAGAACTTCTCCATGACCAAGTCCACGTCAACTCTCTCGGTCTTCGAGACGACCATCCGCTTCTTGGGAGGCCTGCTCTCTTTGTACGCGCTCACTCAGGAACCCTTCTACATGTAAGTTCTCGGTCTCAAATTTCATGTTACCTGTCCGTTTTAGAAGCAAAGCTCGCGAGGTCGGAGAGGCTCTCCTGCCCGCATTCAACACTCCTTCTGGAATTCCGAAGAGCAACTTGGACGTGGCTTCGAAGCATGCGAGCAACTACGGATGGGCCAACGGCGGGCAGTCGATCCTCTCGGAAGTGGGCAGTCTCCATCTCGAGTTCACCTATCTCAGCCGCATCGCCAGCGCTCCTATATTCGAGAAGAAAGTGAGGAAAGTGAGAGATGTGCTCGAAAAAGCGGACAAGCCGAACGGACTCTACTCGAACTACATCAATCCGGATACCGGACGATTCACTGGCAGCCACATGTCGTTGGGAGCCCTCGGAGACTCATTCTACGAGTATCTCATCAAAGGATACGTGCAGTCCAACTACACCGACAGACAGGCCAAGAACATGTACTGGGATGTGAGCGAGGCGATTCAGAAGAAGTGAGTGAAAAGGGACCGACGAAACACTTCAATCTACTCTTAATTTCAGCATGATCAAAGTGTCGAAGAAGTCCAAATTGACGTACACAGTGGAGTTGAGCAACGGGCAACCGCAGCACAAAATGGGTCATCTCGCCTGTTTCGTTCCCGGAATGTTCGCGTTGCAAGCAGTGAATGAGGACACCGAGGAGGAGAAGTCAAAGATAATGACACTGGCGGAGGAGTTGGCGAGGACGTGCCACGAGAGTTACATTCGATCGGAGACGGGCATCGGTCCGGAGATGTTCTACTTCAACGACAACGACGAGGCGACGAGCAAACACGCGGAGAACGGCTACATCCAGAGGCCGGAAGTCATCGAGGGATGGTTTTATCTGTGGAGACTCACCGGGAAGACCATGTACCGAGACTGGGTGTGGGAAGCCGTGCAGGCCGTCGAGAAGTACTGCAGAGTGGACTCCGGGTTCACTGGACTCCAGAATGTTTACAATCCAAAAGCGGTGAGCATTCACAGCTTCCAACTATTTTCAATGTTGAACATTCGTTTTCAGGGTCGTGACGACGTGATGCAATCCTTCTTCCTGGCCGAGTTTCTCAAGTACGCCTATCTGACGTTCGCCGACGACTCCCTCATTTCTCTTGAAAAATGGGTTTTCAACACGGAAGCACACCCGGTTCCCATTCTCAGTCATTAGCTCGTTCTTCATTTTTTTATTTTTCATTCCATTTTCTCACAAAAATGTGATAGTTGAATAGTCGGTATTCGGAACTCATGCGGTTTTTTCAATGATTCCCTTCTTTCTGTTCGGTTCTCGAAACAATTTGTCGCCCATTTACGGGTTTTCCGGTGTCTCGCTTTATAGACTTTCTTTCTGTTCATATTGAGCGCACGAATAAATTTTTTGCAATTTAGAAAGTTTTTTTCGCTTTAAAACAGATTTGCAAGATTCTGTGTAAAACAGATTTTCAAAAAGATCGGCCGGGAGCTACTCACTGAACTAATGTTAGCGAAATGAGTGGATCCAAGGGACTAAGTTGGAGCCTGCCGGGCTGTTGAATTTCAAGTTTCGATCCGGCTCGTTATAAGTCTGCTTTAAAATTTGATATTTTGCATTTGAAGAAACAACTGGCCATAAATTCAATTCATCGCTATTGCCTCTCGCTGTTTGCAGACACAAGCCAAATTTCAGGCAATTTTGGGGGCAAAAGCGGTAAATTGAGTATATGCGTGACAGAAAACAAGGTAAAATTTAATAGACATGTTTTGGAACTATGAAAACCCGGCACCAAAATCATTGCTTGGGAAAAGACGAGGAGATTTGAAATTCCCTTCAACTATGTCGCAAGTGCGCTCTACCGTACAGCGGACCGCAACGCGTCTGACGGCATTGAAAAATCATCAAAAATCTCAAACCAGCCACAATTTTACTCATTTCAGCTTCCTTTTCACTATTTAATATTCAAATTTTGCAGAAAATGCCAGACCATCTTGGAGATGATATGCGTAAGACCAAAAAAGGAGAAAAAGTCGAAGAAGAGAAAAATTTCCAAGGTGAGAGAGGAGTCACGATCAGAAATTGACAGAAAAATTCATTTAGCTCTGGACGAAGGCGATATTGCTGTTTTGAAGAGATATGGACAAGGCCCTTATGCTGAGCAATTGAAACAGTTGGACACTGACATCGAAAACTGCTTAAAGAAAGTACGACTTATTTGCAATATTCTCCTCGGCAATTCTCTCATTTCAGGTCAATGAGCTTTCGGGAGTGAAAGAGTCGGACACGGGATTGGCGCCACCGGCTCTCTGGGATATAGCTGCCGACAAGCAGGCCATGCAGCAGGAGCAGCCCCTCCAGGTCGCCAGATGCACCAAAATCATCACCAGCGACAAGCACGACCCGAGATACTTGATTAACGTGAAGCAGTTCGCCAAGTTCGTCGTCGATCTGGCTGATTCCGTGGCGCCGACTGATATCGAGGTTTATTATTGGTTTCACAGGATATCCTTCGAATTATGGTTTCAGGAGGGAATGAGAGTCGGAGTCGACCGTAACAAGTACCAAATTCACCTCCCACTTCCGGCAAAGATCGATCCGACCGTCACAATGATGCAAGTCGAAGAAAAGCCGGATGTGACCTACTCCGACGTTGGAGGTTGCAAGGATCAGATCGAGAAATTGCGTGAAGTCGTCGAGACTCCACTTCTTCATCCGGAACGCTACGTGAACCTGGGAATTGAGCCACCGAAGGGAGTTTTGCTCTACGGTCCGCCAGGAACAGGAAAAACCCTCTGCGCCCGCGCTGTCGCCAATCGTACCGATGCCTGCTTCATTCGTGTCATCGGATCGGAACTCGTTCAGAAATACGTCGGAGAAGGAGCCAGAATGGTCCGTGAACTGTTCGAAATGGCTCGTACTAAAAAGGCTTGCCTCATCTTCTTTGACGAAATCGACGCTGTCGGGGGAGCCAGATTCGATGACGGACAGGGAGGAGACAACGAAGTGCAGCGTACCATGCTCGAGCTTATCAATCAACTCGATGGATTCGACCCGCGTGGAAATATCAAGGTAAAAACTTGGAGAAAGATTCATGGCGGGAAGTTTGTTTCAGGTGCTGATGGCGACGAACAGACCGGACACGCTCGACCCCGCTCTCATGAGACCTGGTCGTCTCGACAGAAAGGTCGAATTTGCTCTTCCGGATCTTGCCGGCCGTGCCCATATCCTCAAGATTCACGCGAAGCAGATGAGTGTCGAGAGGGACATTCGCTACGATCTTCTGGCGCGTCTCTGCCCGAACAGCACCGGAGCCGAGATCAGATCAGTTTGCACGGAAGCTGGAATGTTTGCCATTCGCGCGAGAAGAAAGGTGGCAACCGAGAAGGACTTCCTCGAGGCAATCAACAAGGTCGTCAAGGGATACGCCAAGTTCAGTGCCACGCCAAGATACCTGACCCATAACTGAAAACCTCCCCGATTGTCTCTGTTTCCGGTCCCGATTAACTTATTCGCTTCCCCACTTTTATTTGTACAGATTCCCCCGTGTCCTCACAAGCACAGAAATTCTCTGTCAAATGTATTCGTCCTATTTTATTGAATAAACGAGGCTGCGGAGATTTAGTTTCGAAATAAAACACTCGATCGGCTATCTGAAAACGGCAATTCGGAATGTGTACGCTCCGTCATAGTTTTCATTTATAGATTCTCGTTTTCCTGCCTCCTAGAGGCGTTCAAAAATTGCGTATGGCACCCATATTTCAGGGGCCATCGCGGGCAATTGGGAAAAGTTTTCAACCAGCAATAAACGCACCTCGGCAAAGCCTCATTGGTCACGTTATCGCCCCAGCGCAAAGCTGGCGAGCCCCTCGCGCCACCGGAACGTCATAAACTGCAGCAGCCGACGTCTCGCGACTTACGCCCGCCGCTATGTTTTGCATTGACGTATTTCCGTCGAGTGCGTTGCGTGTGCGTTGCGTGTGCGTCGCGGTCACTCTTTTCGAATTTAGCACACTCCCGCTCACTTGTTTCTGTCCTTGTTTTCAGCCCAAATTGTTCGATTTTGCCATGTTTCGAGTACTGTGTAAAGAACAATATTCGACTCTGCCTTTTCAAGTGCTTGTTCCATTAATTTCACTGATTACCCGCTTATCCTAAAATAAATTCTAATTTGCAGAACTCCGTTTCGCAAACAGAAACAGTCATGGCCGCGTAAGTTTTTATTTTATTTTTCTGAATCATCAAGCATTCAGCTGTCGATTTATTTGATTTCTGATTGTGAGATTTCAGTCAAGCGAAACCACGTTCGGAAATGACGTCTGACGAGCTCGCCGCCAGAGAGCAGGAGGAGTTTGCCGTCGGACCACTCTCGATTCTGACGAATTCAGTCAAGAACAACGCTCAGGTATTTGAAAAATAACTTCGTATTTCAAAAATGTTACTTTTCAGGTGCTCATCAACTGCAGAAACAACAAGAAGCTTCTGGGACGCGTCAAGGCTTTCGACAGGTAACTTTAATATTAATTTTCCATGTAATCACGGAAAACTTTCAGACACTGCAACATGGTGCTCGAGAACGTGAAGGAGATGTGGACGGAAGTTCCGAAGACCGGAAAGGGCAAGAAGAAGGCTAAGTCTGTGGCCAAGGACCGTTTCATCTCGAAGATGTTCCTCCGTGGGGACTCCGTCATTCTCGTCGTCAAGAACCCACTGGCCCAGTCCGATTAAACGTCTCACTTTCCTAAGAATCTCCGACTTGCTACGGTTCATTTCCGTATTTGTTATTTGACAACCCCTTTCACATGTTCTTTTCTCCTCTTGCATGAATTTAACGCTTCTGTTTTCGTCTGCAATCACCCATCTTCTTAAGTTATAATTTATAAATTGAAAAGTAAATTTTCTGATTTTTCTGAGTGTACTGATTGTCGTTGCGAGAACCGTATGTTCGCGGAAAACCAATTTTTTGACAGATTTTTCTGTCTGCGTTAGAAGAAAAAGTCAAAACCGGTTTTGTTCGGGGGTGATGTTAACACCGGCTGCTATCAGAATTTCGACATCAGTCGCCCATCGATTGCAGGTTTCGCTCACATTTTCCAACCTAGTTTTCCTGCGAAATGGGTAAAATCGTTTCAGAAAAGGAACATGCCGATGGTAAGAGTCGCCACGAACTTGTCGGACACCGAGGTGCCCGTGGATTTTGAGGTGAGTCGGTTTATTCTTTCAAAGAACGAAAAGAGAAGGCCCGTTGACCGAGAGAAGTGTTGCTCTGTCCTGAATGTTTATATCATTCGTTTTTGGGACATTGACCTCTGACGAGTAACACGATACCCCTCGCGTCTGCTCGTTCCGAAGTGAGAATGAACACACCAGAGGCCGGGCGGGGAAGAGCATGAGAAGAAGACGTAGGTCACACGAATAATTGTTTATTTTCGAGCGATACAAATAACATTAACAATGGATTCTAATCAGGGCTGAGCACAAGGGCGGTCCAGACTTTTTCAGATAATCTGATCGGCCTGAAACTTGGACCAAAGATACTTCAGTTCAAGTTGACAGAAAAACGCCTGGACCGGCCTTCTGCTCAGTCCTGATTCCGTTCGATTGCCTCACTCAATCTCGCGGCGCACTTTGCGGACGATCTCCATGTCCTCCTTCTTGACCGTCACTCGCTTCTCCTTCTCCGCCACCGAGTTTGAGTCCTTGAAGAGGCCCACCAGATATGCCTCGGCGGCTTCCTGAAAGAAGAACAGTAATTGACTGAACCGAGAGAGAGAGAGAGAGAAAAGAATGTGTACCTGAAGGCCCGTCAATCCGTCCTTACGGAAAATGAGCGCCGTGAACATGTCCTGGGCGATCTCCTTGACCAGCATCTCGAACGGCTTCCGGGCAATCAGAAGTTCGGTGGACTTCTGAAGACGGCGGATCTCTCTGATCGCGACGGTTCCAGGACGGGTGCGGCGGCGCTTCGGACCGACACGAGCCCGGCGAGCAGCAATCGTCGCGGGCCCTTTCTTCACCGGCTGCTTCTTCGGAGCGTTCTTCGGAGCCTTCTTCGGATTAACCATATTCTGAAAGAATGAATTGGCTGAAGAGAAAGACGGAGAAGAGGAACACTCGGCTCGCGGAGATGTGCCGAATGACCGAATGGCCGGGGCAACATTTCCCCGCAGCTAGTGGGCGGGGCCCGACCGTACTCGCTGCTCAGTCCGAGTGACGCCATCCAGTAGACGGAGGCGGCAACTTGTGAGGGATAGTAATGGGTGCGAAAGCAAACAAACGGACGGCGCGAGACATATTCAAAATTTAAACCTTTTTTGAATATTAGAAAGTATATTTGCAGATCCGTCTGACTGATTTGCTGTCGAAATCGATGGGCAAACCGAGGGAACGCATTGCCGTCGAGGTAGTCGCTGGAGCTCGTCTTGTGCACGGAGCCACCAGGCTTCCGGCTACCGTAATATCTGTAAGTGTTATCCATTCCATTCCCCTCATTTCTCCAATTTCCCCCCAACCTTCAGATCCAATCGATCGGAGCTGTTTCGGCCGAAGACAATGTTCGTCACACGGCCGCCATCACCGAGTTTTGCGCGAATGAACTAAGTTTGCCGAAAGATAAGGTGAATGAAGAACTAATCAGCTTACTATTCCGAATGTGCAATTTCCGAAGAGAAGTCACAAGCAGTTGTGCTCATTTATCAAACAACATTCTCTTCTTTCCAGGTCGTTATCACCTTCCACGATCTTTCGCCCTCCACAGTTGGGTTCAACGGTACAACTGTCGCTGAAGCAAACAAGGCCTAAACTGTCGAATAACTGTTTGATTCCTCTTTTAGTTCTGCCAGATTAGTTTCAGTAATAAACACGAAATGAAGAAATGCGACCATTTATTGGCAGTTTGAGTAATTACAAAAGTGTATACATGAAATGGTTTAGACCTTGGCAAGTCCGGCGACGACGGCCGACTCGATTCCGCACTCGTCGGCTCCGCGAAGGATCTTGAAGAAGCCGGACTCTCCCCAGTCGGTTCCCCACGAGTTGGCGACGAGCCAGTACGGAGATCCGCTCTCGGTTCCCCATCCGATGATCTTGATGGCGTGTCCTCCGAGGTACTTTCCGGCGGTGTGCTTGTAGACTCCCGACTTGTACTTGTAGAAGTCCTCGTAGACGGAGAAGGCGGCCTCAACTGGTCCGTGGGTCTGGATCTCAGTCTGGATGGAGGCAGCCTTCTTGGCGACGGCGTAGGCCGAAGATCCAAAGTGTTTGTCGGAGGTGTAGGCGGTCGAGTATCCGGACTGGCAGCTCAACGCGCACGATGGGGTCTTGGACTCTGGGCACGATCCGGAGGTGCACGGGGCGATCGGGTACGGCTTGCATCCGGCTCCCTTGTAGTCTCCTCCGGTGACGACTCCCTTCGAGTCCCACCACTTGAGCGCCTGGATTGGGTATCCTCCGTCGCATCCGTTTCCGCATTGGGATCCGCAGCAGGAGAGGATGTCGTCTGGCGAGATGATTGGCTGTTTGGCTCCCTTGGTCTGGATGCAGATACGGTCAGAGATGGTCTCAGCGGCTCCGAAGGCCCAGCACGATCCACAGGTGGCCTGGTCGCGGATAAGCTTGATGGACTTGCACTCGGACCATTGGGTACGCGAGTCGAAGGTGGCCGGGATGGTGTCGAGGACGGTGGAGCGCTCGGTGGCACGGATCTCGTCGGAGTGCGGGGCGGCGTACTTTCCGTCCATGACACGGGATCTCATCTCCTCCTCGCTGACTTCCTTGTGCTCAGTGACGAACATCGACTGCGCCGAGTTGACGTACTGGACGAGGGCCTCTCCGGTGAGAGTCTCCAGGGCGGACTTGTGGTCGATTGGGACGAAGGCGAGGGTCTGTGCGCAGAGCACGGCAAGGACGACAAACTTCTGAAAGAGGGGCGGATTCAGAAGAAGAAGAAGGAGAAGAAGGGAAGAGAACTCACCATCATCGTTCCGAGTGTTGAGCGAAAAGCTGCCGTCTTCCCTGTGCAGCCCCCTTTTATACCGGTCCTTATCAGTTGGTTCCCGCCGCTCTTCTCTAGTTTCTTGACGTCGAGAAGCTTCGCGCCCGTGCTCAGCGCTCACGTGCTGCTCTTCTCTGCGCCTTATCAGCGGCGGTTCGAACTGATTTAGGAGAGCATCTGAACCGGAATTCATCTATGATACCAAACAAATGCGGGGAATTCGTAGTTTCTGCAAAGCGGGAACGAAGAATACTCTTGAATGCCTATCTGCCAGCCTTCTCTTGATTTCTCTGAAAGTGACGCGCATCCTTGCTAATTATGACTCCTCCGGAAGTTATGAAAGTTTATGAATAGGAAGAAGTCACGTAGGCTCCATATTACCACCCGGACGAGGTCGCTCTGCAAATGATTGGTTGCTATTTTCATTCAAGAATTCAGGAAATCCGTTTCTCAACAAAACTTTCTGGCTTGATGCTAATCCTGGCGACTTCTCGTCTCCGAAACTCTTTGCAATTTGTCCTCGATTCTTTTTCTGCTGCTCCACAATGGCCACCCCACGCGCATTGTTCCGAATCGTTCAAGCGAAGCGTTTCGGGTCGGATCCAAAGTGACGAGGACTTTTTTCTGCTGCGACGCCGAGCAATTATTGGGTGATCATTTATATTCCGCTCAAAACAAAATAAATGGGTGTTGTGAAGGAGGAGGTGAGCACCAACGAGGGCTTTCCGACTTTTCAGTGAGGACTTTTCAGAGAGTAATTGGGGAGATGACTTTTGGGAAACGGCAGTTGATATCACTGCTAAATCGTCACTTCAAAGCACTTATCGGTCGATTGAGGATGCTCCATCGCCCGGGCTCCAGTACTAACATTTGAAAACAGGATTTCTGAGGCAACGATTTTCGAGAGGTCAGCTTTAAAGATCGGGTGCCAAGTGCAATGAAAGACACGGAAGAATTCCCCCATTTTGGCCGTCCGTGACAAGAAAATGCATAGTTGGCGCCTTGACGGACGACACTCTGCACTCTACTGAATATGAAAACAGACAGAAATCTATACACCATAGATGCATATTTTTGGCTGAGGCGATACGTTTTTTTTTTTAATTTCCTGGCGTTCCCGGAGTTTGATCATGCTATCAGAGGGAAGCCCCACGGTCTGTTGAGGGGAGCATTCGAGGAGGGCTTCCTCCGGGTACGTGCTCCTGGTGACCTCTTGTCTTTTGCACGGCCACGCCATTCCGCATTCGATTCATTCGCCAGTTTTATGTGTCCATGACGCCCCCAAAGTATCATTTCTTAGTGGAAGAAGGCGTTGGTGTCAAGATAAGAGATGTTGCTCTTGCTCCAAGTTTTAATCATAGCTTAATCGACAATGATCGGAAAGCCGTCGGAAGCCGTGAGCGGTGATGTCATGGGATGGGCGGAGTCGAGAAAAGAGAAGAAGAAGACGGCACCCGCCTCTTCCTCCCTAGCCACAATAGCCATTAGTAGTGGATGTGCGTGTGTGTACGCTCCCCTTTCAGCATCTGCTATTCCAGCGACAGTCCGAATGTGATTCCCTTTCAGTTGTTGATCATCCGGCCGGCCCCTTTGTTCCCTTTATTCTCGAATGCGTCCCCGGAACAAGTGATCCTACACTTCTCCTCCAAAACACAAGTTTCAATGTTTTTGAAATGAGCAAAACGAGACCATGACGGCGGTGAATAATTGACGAGCGGATGAATGTTTCAAAGAGCTAACGTTTCACTTTGGATAATCTTAACAACTGACGCAAACGAGCAGAACCTGAATAGAGCGTTATCAGCGGATCGGATTAGTTAGTCACTCTTCTTAGCGTCCACCATAATCATCCGAAAACAGGTCAATGACGTTGACGTTTGCATTTAATTTCGGTGGAGAGTTGACCGTTGGTCAAGACTCGAGAGTCAATCATTTCAAGTCAGTGAGTAGGCGTTCTGAAGAGCCCTATCTTCTTCAGGAGTCACTCACTATCCATCACTTCTTCTCCTTCTTCTTCTTCTTCTTCTTCTTCTTCTTCTTCTTCTGCTCGCCACGTCACCTGTAACCTTTCATCGCCCTTTTATTTCCTTGTGGTGCTCATTCCAGATTTATAGCCGACTGGAATCTAGAATCTAGGCACCTCAGCTGAGCGTTACACTTGCGGGGCTGCCTGGCGAGGCGGTGTTTCATTTTGCAATGAATAAATTCGACATCGTCGTCTTCGTCGGGCCGTTTCGTTTCGTGTCCTAGAGGCGTCGAAGGGGTGATTGACGAGAAGAAGTTAACCGAGTCCACGTGCGTCTGCGTCTCGAAATTACTCATGGAGCCCCGTTTGACTCCGAAGCCCACTTCATTTTCACCTTTGCCCCGTCCTCCCACGTCATCGACTTCTTTTGCAATTAAACTGTGTGTGAGCCGAGAAGCAGAGAGAATGAACATTCGGAAGTGCTGGGAGCCATTCAAACACAATAACTTTCCACTTGTTTCTGTTTTTGTTTTTCCTCCGTTCTTCCGCTCTCGCGTTCGTTTTCCAACTTGTCCACTCCCATCGAAACCTTATATTCATTCTTCGGCTTCTTTGTCATCCTAAATTCAATCTTCCAAAATAATTTTACCGTCAGACACTCGCTCACTTATTTTTGCCATTCGTCTAACAATTTGTATCACATTTTCATAGTCGACTTTTTGTTTTCCGTTCTCTTCACTAATCCGGACAGACTCGGTCGGAGGTGAGCTCAGTTCCGCGGGACGGTCTTCTCCGAACGTTTCTCCGTTTCTCACCCAAGTCCTTTTTCCGATTCAAGACTTGCTGAGTAGTTGTCTGTTTTTCATTTCTTTCTCTTCCCGAACACATCTAATAACAGACATCAATCGGAAACGCGATTATCGGTTGCGTCTTCCTTCTTCCGAAAGGAACTTCTTCTGCTGCCACGTCACCTGGATTGGTTGAGAGCTATGAGCTCGGAGCTCGGTGCGCTTTAGACGGAATTGGTGCCCACGATTTTACGAGGAGGCGGACCATAAAAGTGTGTGCGCTGCAGCAGATGGATGGCAGAAACCTTTCACCACCGCTCCCGACTCTTACTCCCGAAGTCGATGGGGCTCATTTGATTAGAGAAGGAGATGGATTGGATATCTTCTTACTTTCCTTCTTCTTCTTCTTCTTCTTCTTCTTCATATTCGTCTTCTTCACACTGCGCAGCAAGATACGCCCATGTTCATATTAATTTCCGATGGACGCGAGTAGATGTCGTCGCGGCCGATGATGATGATGATGAAGATGATGGCATACATCACAGGATACGGGAGAGATATGCCCCCTTTCTGCATGCTCTCGCACTTTTTCCTTTTCGGCAGCCACTCTGCTCCTTGATCCGACCATTTATTATTCGGATATGAAGAGAGATACGAGAGAAGAAAAAGAAAAAAACAAAACCACTCTGAAATGCTTCCGGCCAAGTTCAAGCCTTGAATTCAGTCTATGATTTCATCACGATGCTCTTTCGTCATACTCTTTTTTGCATTTCCGGAACTCGAAATGACCACGTATCACATCAAATTCACCGATCCGCCGAGTTCACAACCAGTTCAGTAGGAATCCAATCCCTCACGTGCACCTTGAACTTGCCTGAATCTGATTTTGTTGAAAAATGAAAACAAATCAAATGACTCGTGTTTTTTCCACATAAATTCTGGCACTGCCGTCTTTATTACCTCCTTCCGAGATGTTTTTGCAGTAATTCATATGGGCTCACATTTTCCTCCATCGAATGACCAATCACAAAGCTATTGTTCGTTTCTGGAGGGGGGAATACACAACTGTCTGAGAGCATGTTCGATTTGAACTAGTTCTTTAAACTTCTAAGTTCCATGTTGTTGTGTTTCCTGAAACCGTTCTCAGTATTACCGTTTCCGTCACTTCCTAAACTCGGTCTATCGGCTTCCCCCACCCAATAATGGAATTGTGGACCCGCCCGCCCCGGGTGTGATATCATATCTCCAGGTGTCTCGAAAACATAATTCGATTGCGTTCCGGTTTCCACCTCAACGGGCACTTTAACCCGTCGATTGTTTTGGTCAACAAGAGCCTCTCTGCCTTCTTCTTCTTCTTCTTCTTCTTCTCCCTTTCGTTTCCTGCCAACTCTGTGTAGGTCAGGTGTCTGCGTGGGGAGCAGAATATCATTGGAGATGCTCCAATTTGCATAACAAATTAGTCACCAATAGCTCCTCCTTTCCCAACTTTTCTTCTTCTTCGCCTTCTTCACGCCTTCTTCACGCCTACTTCTAAAGATCCAGAAGTTGTCAGTGAAAAAAGCATACCTCCGTCGGGCCATTTGCATATATACATGCTCGAATTCGTCACTTTTCCGTGGATATCCGCCATTTATCACCTCCCTCCTCCTCCTCCTCCTCCTCGACGATTCCACAAACCCCTCAGTCAAGCACGACATCTTCTCTTTTCCATAATTTCCTCACTTTCGTTTCTTTTTCTTGTTCTTGGCATCGCCCAAAATTGCAGGTAATCACGAGAAATGTTGAGACAAATAGTGTTAATGTGCGCTATCCACACCGCTTGCTCGTTTAGTATCCGTGACATTATCAATGGCAAACGGGGAGCCGACGCTGCTAGTGAGTTGTGACTTCGAAGGATCATGCATGCGTTTAGTGGAAGTACAATATCACAAGGTGATCCCCCGACTATTCCAGCTCCTTGCCCCACCTGGCACCCGTTCGCGTGTCCGTCCGGCGAGTGCGTGCCCATCAAGTACCTGTGCGACGGATCGCCCGACTGTTCAGACGAGTACGACGAGAACAAGAGCATGTGCACGGCAGGTGAGCCGAGATTGTCACTTGACACCGTCGTAACCCCTTCTTCCTTCAGCTACACGACCACCAGTCGAGGAGACTCAGGCATTTTTGAAGGCTCTCATGTCCGCGCACGGAAAAGATTTTCTCGTCAAGGTAAGGGCGGATAGACAGTCTCTCCTTAAGTGTTCGAGTTGAGGAGACCGGTTTTTGGGGAGAAGATTGACATGTTAGGAATGGGTCGAACGGTCGGTCGGACGAATCCGTTAGTTTGAATGAGTGATCGAGGTGAACGATCCGACACAGCAATAGAGGGCTCTGGGAAAGACAGTCTTTGAATTCAATTCATAACGGCCCGGAAGACTACACGATTTCACCTTTTTTTCAGGTATTCGGACCGAAAGCAAAGGCTGAGCTCTCCGGAATGGGAGGAGTGGACAAGGTGGCAGTTGCCCTTTCTCGTAAGTTAATTCGCTATTCGAATTCAAATCCGGAAAGTTCTTCTCTTTTTCCGAGCCCATAACAGTGTGCGGACCTCTTTTTCTCTTTTTTTTCCTGTCACAACACGCTCATGAATATTTCATTTGATGTGCTTTCGCGGGAAAACTTTCCGTGAAAAAGTTACACGCAAATTGCGGCTGTCCAGAAGTTCTGCATATCCCTTTTCCAACAGAAAAATACGGGAATGACATCATTTCAGAAACCCCGACGGCGGATCTGTTTGCATCCGAGATGAAGCTGGACGAGAACGAGTCGCAGCACATGCTCGAGGTGATGGAGGGCATTCTGAACGGCTCGACCGACGAGCTCACCTCCAACGAGGCCGCCGACTTCCGCTTCTTCGTCCAGAAACTCCAAGAGACCGGATTCTTCTGAACAGGGTCCGCGAACTCGATCTCAAGTCTCTCGTCTTCCCCTCCAAACACAGACATCCGCGAAAGATCTCTCTTCTTTCCGAACAACACCTGAACAGCCGCCGACGAATACGAGTGTGACCACCTTTTCCTTATTGTTTCTCCCTTTCTCTTCTTGATCATTCTCCCCCTCTCTTTTCCCTGTCTCTCGATCTAAAGTTAGTTCCAATTTCGCTCGTTGGTGTGCTTCTGAATAAACCGTCTCCACATGTTTGTTCAAGTTTAATTCGATTCACGTTTATTTACATACAAACAAGACTAGAGCAAAAAAGACAAGGATCTTTGGTCCATCGGAAAAGTTGAAACCCGTACACATCAAGAAGTAGTGGTAAATGAGAGCACCAGTATGAGAACGACACACAACTGTAAACGATTCGGCAGTGAAGACTACACGTAGGTCATCGCCCGGGCGGCGGCTTCTGCTTCCAATCGGGCGCTACCCGACGGGCTCTTCCATTGGAGACTCGGCGCCGTTCCGTAGCCGCTTTCCCGACCGTCTTCGTTCCACTGACGATCCCGAGGAGACTCGGAAGTGCCCGTTATCCTTGTGATTTCATAGCTTCCGTCGCTATGAACAGGGCTCTGCGGAGGCTGTGGAGGCTTGCACGTGGGCGGAGGCTTCCGAAGTGACATCCGACTGTTCATGTTGTTCATCGGGGGAATGTTGGCCATATTGGGTCGGGTAGTCATGTAGCCCATATGTCCCATCGTTCCTGTAATGACAAAACGTTATTGAAAGATTGAAAAGACGGGAATGACTAACCGATTGGAGCGATCTCTTCGTACACTTCTGACTGCGGGATTCCATTCAGTCGGTTCACGGAGACCGTGTGATATGCGGAGCAGCCGTCTCCAGGATTCAGCCGCAGTGTCGTTGATTCGGAATGCCTAATCGGAATGTGCGGCGGAGCCATAATCGGGGTTCCGGTGCCTCCGACGTAGGATCGCAGCGTCGTCGGAGTGTGATGGAAGAGTCGGCTGCCGGCATTCGACTGATTTGAGTACATGAGCACGGTGGTCGGTGCTCCGCTCACCGGCTGCTTCATCGAATTGTACGTCCACAGATGCTCCCCGGCCGCCAGAATCGAGTCGCTCGACATTTTCTTCGACGCATCTGAGCTTTCGCGACGTCGCCTGCAAGTAGTAAAGATTGTGAAAAGAGCACTCGCACAACTTCTTATTGTGTTCGCCATTGTGCTCGCTCAAATTCAATTTCTCAGAGAGTCGCCTCCACTTCATTCACTTCATAATTGTCCACCTTCTCCTCGTTTTCCTTGGCCGGTCAACTTTACACCCTCACACTCTTCGCAGGACCTAATGACCTGGCCAGTGACTGATTGTATATCTTACGGATTGTAAATCATGACCTTAAGGATGAAGTGCCAGATGGGCCCCCTCCCTCAGGTTAATGTTTGTGTAACTGGAGGGAGTGACAATGATGTAACCAACTGTCTTATCCAGGGCGCAAACTAAGTGGGTCAACACTCGAAAACTTAATAATTTGCCTTCTTGAGCACCCGTGCCTCCCAATTGCTTGCTCATGAGCGCGTTTTAATTAAATCGCCATCCCTCCAAGTCAATGACATATCCAGAATCGAATCGTCTCAAGTGTTATGTAGCAACCGTAAACAGGAGAAGCCCGGAGCTTGTTGCAAGCAATTTGGAGGAAGGATGGAGACGGGGAGGAACAGATAATCAATCACTTATTGTAGTGGGGCGAATGATGAATCTGTGCGCGCGTGCGGACTGTCATAAACATCTGATTGATGGAAGAACGAACCTCCGGATGCGGCCAATTACTGCTAGACAGACGACGAGCAGCAAAGGACTGAAAGCGCGGCGACGGCGATCAAAACATTAGCGGCGAGTTGTTGTTGCTGCGTGGAGTCGTCGGAGTCGTAGATGGTGCCAATGTCGGAAATGCTCACGAACTGATTCGACGAGCACTGTTCTGCCTGCAAATATCTTATCATCCAACCAGTTCTCTTCCCGTTTCCCAACCAATTCCTTTCTCTTCACACCAATTTGAATTTGAATGAGGGGGGAGTGGGGCGCAACAAACGGGCGGAAAGTTGGACATTTGCATAAACGGAGCGGCGGCGACAAGATGGATGATCAAAGGGCGCCAGGGAAGGGGGAATTCATTGGCGGGAAGGGAGGAAGCCCCGGGGGAAACGTTTTGTGTTGCAACATTGTCCAGTCAATTCATATTCGACGATTGATGGGCATGTCGAGGGCTCGCTCCTTCTACAACCATCCGAAAGCTTGTGCTGAATCCACTTTGTTTCAAAAGTGTTCTAATGAAGATGGTTTTCCCTAATCTAACATATTTATCTGGGAAGGAGGCCCATCTTCTTCCTCAACAAACACATTCATCTTGCCTTCAATGAATGAGAATGGCAAAAACAATTGTTTTGGGCGCAGATGGTTTATGTGAGGAGGGAGAAGGAGAAGCCTTCTTCCCTCCCCAAAAAGATATCTCTATGGTGGTTATAAATTAAATCAGCTTCTGGTCGTGCACACCCAGCACCTTCTCCTTCTTCTTCTTCTCGCCCCAAACACAACAAGTGTTTCTGTTTCTTGTTCGAGCACCCTTGAGATTGTACAAAAGGATTATTTTGAGGGGTGGATAGGAATAAGACAAGGCACCAGCACGTTACAGTAGTGTAATACGCAACGAGTTCAAGAGGCTGTCAACCGGCAATTGTTATGCAAATGATGCGCTCCCCGAGATGTCACTACTTTTTATGGACATTTCTCTCCCATTTTCTTTCTTTCACCCTCTATCGAATACATTAGCCACTGAATGAGCTCTCTTATCAACACAGTTGGCTCAGACGGCTGTCGTCCCCAACAGGTGGCGGTCCGCAGCGTTTCTTCATTTTGATGGATGATCAAAAGACTCACCGGCTCGAACTTTTCGTCGGAAATCAAATGCCATATCAGAGAGGGATCCGGCGGGGGCGGCAGGTCGAAAAGCGGCGGTTCTGTGATACAATCGCACGCCCTCATTGTTTCGCTGGCATTGGTGAAGGCTGAAAAGAGAAAAAGGGTTGAGAGCGTCCAAAAGAGTCGAAAAGCTTTGTGTGTCCATGGCGAATCGAAAATATTTTACAATTTATAACAAGACAAGTTGGAAGGAGGAAGAGGCAAGAGGAAACGGGCCGAGGTAAGAAGAGGGGAAGTCTTTTGAAAAGAGGACAGACTTAAGGAGGTACATAATAATAGAAGGGGGGACAATTAGAAGAGAGAAGGGCCCACGGCGCGTAAGAAGGGTCTCGACACGACGATAACGACCTTGGAATTCAGCACTGACTTCCACTTCCACTGTATGGCTCATTTCGGAATAAAATGCGCGCGCGCCGTACGCCTTTTTGAGTATGGTGCCGGCCCATCGACGATCGGCAAAATGGTATGGAATGTGCGGTAGGTCAGCGGTAAACATTCGGAATGGAACGCCGCCGTGAAAATGAAGCATGTTATGGGAAATTGGTTTCGAAGCCGATGCAGCCGCGTCAGCTAGTGACCGAACGATTGATGCGAAGTGACAAGTGGCGAAAAGAATGCGTGGTGGTGGAAGTTGCCACGTCACGAAAGAATGTTGCGTAGTGGATGGGCGGGAGGAAAGGAAATGAAAGGGTTCGGCACGGGCAAGACCTGATGACAAGCAAGGACACCTAAATGAACATGTCAGTGCACCGCGGGCCCCGACAAAAGGAAAGAGTGACGGGTGCGCATTGGATTTGTTGCAACTCTTACTCAATTCCTTTCTTCTCTTGATCCTTTCTCTCTCACAAATCCCCTCTCTCAGCCAACTTTTATTGTCTTTCTCACATCCCTCCGAGTTTTTTTCTCTTTTGAAGACTGACAGCCATCCTCAAATGAGATTAGTCGCCTGTTTTTTCTTGTTTGGGCATGTTCTCCAGTGTGTACCGGTACGGATTAGGTTGAAAGAAGACGGACGGAGCGAACGGACATGGGAAAATGACAGTGTTTGTCCGAGGGAATCAACTGTGAGAAAGGCTGTAATAAACGCGAGAAAGTTTGAATGAAATTGGCAGTTTTCCCTGAGACCGTAATTCGTGGCTTTCCGAGTCCATTAGTTGAAGCAGAAAAAGAAGAGAAACCCGGTTATGATTCCGGACTGAACGAGGCGAACATTCGGAAAAAGCGTAGTGTGTACTAGTTGATGATCGGCGTGGCAAAACTGACATTTCACAAACTGACTTTCCGTCATTCGTACAATCGGCGTGGCTTCCCACGAGAGAGAGAGAGAAAAAGAATGAATGAATGAATGAGTGCCGGTGAATGGATATGGTCGGGGAGAAAAGAAAAGAAAAAGAAAGAGGTATGTTATGGTTCGGGTTAATCACATTATTACCGAAAATGAGGAACGGCGACTGGAGGAAGGACATGCGGACAGGCGGGAGACAATGTGTGTCTAGAGGGCGTCTGAGGAGAGGAGGATGGACCGCCCCGGAGGTCTTCCCACAAAGGCCCCGCCCTTCGGAGAAGAAAAGAAACGACAAAGTGATACAGGAGCAGGTGCGAGAGAAGAAAGAGCATTGTGATGAATAGGCGGAGGTGCGAATTTAGGTGACTATAACTTTTTGGCTGGTTTTCCAGCCGAGTGATTCTGCTCTGCAAGCCAAGTCACAACAAAATGATGGAATGAACGACAGAACGGAGAAGGCGTTGTGCATCTTCTCTTCGCGTGCCAAAATAGTAGTTCGGAGTGCCCCAAAAAGCAATTGCGGACGGCTCGCGCCCCTCCTTCCCCTTCAAAAAAGTTGCGAATCAGTTGTGTTTGAGGGGTCCGTTTCCTGCAGGACGGAAAGACGGACGGGCGGTGTCAAGTACACACGCCTCAACGAATTCATTTCTTTTTTGCCAACCAACCCTCTACCACTTCTTCTCCGTTTTCTAGAGAAACGAGAAAAGAAGAACACTATCCTTTCTCAAATATCAATCGTTCGAACAGCCACAATATTCTAGGCAGGCCCTTTTTCTTTTCAGGGACCGGATTTAGGCCCACTTGCTATAATCTAGCAGTCTTGAAAGTTTCGGCCTGATAGGACCATCTGATATACTGATTCAGGAACGAAAAGATCTCACTTTTTAGAATAGATAAAAGACCAAGTCAGCCATCCATCTCGGAGCAGAAGTTCCTAGAGCACAGTTGTTGGGCAATTAGATGAAAAATATGAGGGCCACAATTTGGAGAACGTGATTGGAGCAATAACAATAAACCCCAGTTGGGTGATGAGCAGAACCTGCTGTTCCCGAGCATGGAGCACGCGCAATTTTACGGTCGCGCCCTGTGATTTATGATGAGCAGGCGCTGAGAAGGGAGATGAGTCGCACTTCCTTTCCCGTTATGCAAGAAGCGACGACGGTAACGATGATGGATCGGAGAGATGAATGAACGAGAAGGGAAGAGTTGCACGGGGGAGAGGCAATGAATCAGGCCCGGGCAATCAGGGAAGCGCTGGCGAAGAGCTCAGCTGAGCCGGAATCTCATTGTGTTCGTGAGCGTGTAAAAGTGTCGAAATTTGACATGCGAGTAAGTACGAAACGAAGAAAACTCGGACTGGGACACCACCAAAACGCGCGGATTTCGGGGTGCTAAATGGTTCATTAGGCGTCCGGGCGGGGCGAGCCGCGCGGAAAAGGGAAGCGCAGGGCCGTCTTATTAAATAATGGTTACTCTGCTTCCCTCCCCCAAAGCTAGAAAGTTTTGGCGAAAATAGGCGGAGAAAGAAGAATGCACTAAATTCAATCACGTCTTCTTCTTCTGCTTCTTCTGCTCTGCCCCTTCTTCTTCCTCAGCTCCGTCCGAACCGCTTCTTTTTCTGCTAGACGGGGGCCGCGAAAAAATGAGACGGCAGCGCCTCTTAATCCATTTCGGACGAGAAATGGGGAAAAAACTAGGACGGACGAACGATGGAGTAAATGAACTTTTTTGGGCGCGCACACACGCCGTTTTACGTTTTATTATGAGCATAAAACGGACGGATTCACTTCTTACCCCACCACTAATCTCCGAATAGTTTTTGGCGCGCGCAAGAGTATATGGATGGAGAGGAAGGTATTAGGTGATGAAGGTATTACGGAGAAGAAGTAGGTGCCACGTCATAATGAGCCGATTGCGTGACGAAGACAATTGACACATTGTTATCGCACCTGGCAGTTATTTCACGGAGCACTGTTACGCAAGGAAGAGAGACCTACGAGTTTTGCCCTCCACGCCGACCCCTCCTCGCCAATTTAATGTATCGGCGGTGTTCCCAAAGAGGAGTCCGTAATTATTGATACAATTGTCGGATGACGCAACCTCCGGGAAAGGCCTACAAGGGAATAAAAGGAACTCGTAAAAGACGGTGAGAAAGGACCGTATGCGCACAGGTGGTGGCACCGTCCTCCTGCCAGCCACCTGCCTTCCAAACATGGATTTGATCGCGACGGAATGAGCGCAAAAAAGAGGATCAGAAGAAGTTGAGAGCCTGCTGTGCAGCTGCCAGTGACACATGCCCCTGGACGGGCGGAATCCGAACTATTCTGGCACTTGCGCTCTACCGAACTATTTCTGTGCGTTAGAGCGACAGCAAAATTTGTAGGGCTTTGCAGAGAACCAAGTGAAACTTGGAAAAACAGAGAGCAAGCAGAAAAACACGCAACCTCCGGAAATGGCGTGAGCCGCACTTTCTCACCTGTGCTCTTCCGCCGCACTTCTGCCAATAACTGTTTCATCTCTCTCTCTCATCACTTGACAAGTGTAAATGGAGACACGGATGAAAGGTGCCGGCGTGTTGACACAAGTATCGTTTCCACAATAAAACACCGTCGATTTTTGTGCCGCGCGCGGCTGGAGACGATGATGGTCAAGCACATTAGCACTCGAGTAGGTAAATAAGCAGAAGGCGTGGGAGGAAGCGATTGCGTAACGGATCCTCGAGCCCTGAGCAAGAAGCGGGTGCGTTTTGAAAGTTGCGACAACAATCAGGAACGGGGGTTCCGGCGGTTAGTATGGCTCATTGAGCACACGGGAGCAGAGGAATGCCGAGCATGAATGAATGAATGAATGAGCGAATGAGAGAACGAGTGGAGACGGATAGAAAATAATAATCGGGCAAGTAGATTTGAGGGGACCACGACGCCAAATCAAAACAAACATTCTCATAGCCAACTATCGGATTTCGCTTCCGATGAATTCTGGGGAGGCGTGGGAGGTGTATACAAATTGGAATGCGAGAATAGGTAGAGAGCCGAAAGAGAATAAAAATGAATTCGGAGGAGGAGGAGGAGGGAATAAAACATAATACCTCATTCCCAGCCGAGTTTTCTGCTCGAGTTTTGCGAGCCTGGTACCAATTTTAATGGCTCTCTAACCCCGCGAGCAGCACCTGACAAATTCCTCCGGCTGCTTGAGGACCAGGCAAGAGAGCTGAGTCATGCGGGCCCAGAAACACAACTTTTGCAGTCCTTTGTGCTCACCGCTCGCCCCATATCAATAGCAAAAGCGATGACACATTCGAAGTAAACATTTCATTGAGGACGGTCATGTTTTGGTTCGGACCAGGCTTTATTGACAGATCGAGCAGATAGTTTATGCGCTCTCTCGTTCTCGGTACCAACAGGTGATTGAATGTTTACATTCGGATCAACACACGTTTGAATATTAGGTTCGAGGCGAGGGTATTATGACACTTACGAGGTGATGGTGGTGGCAAACTGATAATGGTTGCCAGTGATAGCGAGATTTGAATTGAAAACAGGGTACGGTATGTGCACAAAGGATCGAAGAAGCCACCCATTATAAGTTGCACAACCGGTAAACAATCGACATATAGTTGACCTGTTCGGCCAGTTATTATACCAGATCGGGGGACGGATGAATGCAAAACATTAAAGGTAAACAGATGGGAGAAACGAGCGGATTATCATCATGATCAGCACGGCAAAGACAACACAAACATTCGGTACATCCGATTCAAAGACGGAAGACTTCGGGGGGAAGGAAGGCAGTAATTATATTGAGAAGAGACCACACCTTTTCTCTACCATCGCCATGATGATTATCGTCTCGGGAGGCACGAAAAGTGGAACAGACTGGTGTGGGCCGGAGAAAAGGACAAAGGACACTGTGGGCACCGACTGAAAACATTGGAATTATACGATTACGCAACGCGAGTGGCTAGCTAGTTCCGCAAATATTCCGAGTTCTAAACGGTTCTGACAATGGAAGAGACACGCCTTCTACTATCCTATCTGGCTGACTGTGCCGGACCTTCCCAAGGATGTTACTATCTGCTGGGGACCATGGTCGTTTCGCGGTTTTCGGGGATATGTCATGTTACGTGATTCTATCACAACAAATGGCACTCTCAGATCCTTGTCATTTCGCTGACTTTTTGCGCGGCCCTGATGCCTATCTGAGAGAAAAGTAGTACGGTATTTACACTGCCAAAGTACGGCACTAAAAAGTGCGTGCGCTGGTATGTAACCAAAAGGGAGTGCCGACCTATAAACGGAAAAGGGGGAAAAGGAGGGGAAGAAATCATTGAAATGAGAGAGAATTGATAAGTGGACGAAGGGACCGGAGCCCCATCGATCATCGGCGGACGGTACGCAACACAGTTGCGCAATACACACCGATTCATCATTTTTGGGCTGGCGAGATGATAGTCTTCTTCCACTGCCCCGTCCGGACGAGACATTTATTATTATACATATTTGGGCAGGCGGGAGAGGTGATTTACAGCCGAGCGGGGGACGGCTTCGCGCCTCCTAATTACAAATCACACGCCGCCACTTTTTGGGGTAATTTAGTGAGGAGCGTGGAGCGTTCATGAACAATAGAATGACGAAAACAGCGCCGATTTGGCGGGTTTTTCCTCCGAAGACGACCCTGTTATTACATGGAAACGGTGCAGCTCGCAAGCTGTTGTTGTGGGGAGTGCTGAGGTTAAAGGATGAGGACAGGTGCTTTCGCGAGTTTAACGGGTGATGATCTAGATGGGAACAACTAGATATTCCGGAAGGAAGACATCTGACACCTCCAACTGCAGATGTACTAGATGACTACAATATGATCGTAATTGGCGGAAAGAAAGTTGGAGGCGAAGTCAAGGATGTACCCGGTCATAATTGGAAATAATTTGCTCGCTGTCGGCGGTTTGGGCGCAAAGTGTGCCGATGACAGTTTCGATATTCAATTATGCGGACACTTGACACTTTCGCCTGACGATGAATGGATGCGGCGAGCGGAAAAGTGAGTCAAGTCAAGGAATACCACTTCAACCCTCGTCTTCTCCTGCCTTTTTCGAGTTCAACCGCTTCTGGATATTGGGGAGAAAGGGTCACAAAGTATTATCCAATTAGTGTCAATTTACACTGAAAACAGTTAGGTGAGAGTCGATTTTGCGCAAGATTCGGTCATAGCAGGTCAGAATATCAGACGGTTAGCTCATATTTCATAAGTGCAACAGGTGACTTATCACGTCATTTCTTCGAGTAGGTGAGAGCGTGTGGATACTGTCGTCTTCTCTGAAGAGGGTGGCAACTGCTGGTCTCGTGTGCCACGTCATCAGACGGAACAAATCAAACAAAGATAGGGCAATAAGGTTGGTTTCTCCTCAAATGATATCCCCATTGCTTCCACCTAATTACTCAAATTGACCTCATCCGAATTCCAATAGAAATCAAGGTCTTCTTTCTTCTGGCATCACGACGATGTCTTCAACGCATCAATCCGAGTCGTCAGCATGTCGAAGGTGTCAATCAGGAGCATATGGTGTGCATGCCCCGAAAACCAATTGACTGCTCTCTTTTCCCCCAAAACAGCCTATCATTAGATGGGGGAAGCACGTACAATAGGCGACTCCGGGACGACGGAAAAACGATGTCCTCTCTCTAATCCTATGATTAAGTTCAGGTGTGAAACTGACTAGTCAATGGACATGGTGACAGTGAATGAGGTGCGAAATTATAATAATACGGGTGGAACGAAGCACCTGTTCGCCACGGCGGATGAATTTTTGAGGAACGAAAGAAAAGTGCTAATGAGGATGGTAATTATAGGGTTCTGGAAGCTTGAAACAATGAAACATTTATATTGTTTTGAAGCGAGGGAAGCACGCTCGAAAGCTGTAAGTCACGCTTATCAGCCGACTGATAAGAGCAGGGAAGTATAGAGAAACGAGTCACGGGGGGATTCGCAAATTAGGTGTGTGTCTGGAGAGAGAGAGAGGGAAATGAGCAAGAAGGGAAGGAAGGGCTCATAACTCGATTTGTGTTCGGGCAGCGCCATCTGTCAAAATGTTCGCATCATTAACAAGTGGCAATTAGATGGAACGAACAGAGTTTCCCGCCGAGAACTTGAGGGGATATCGGAAAGATTTCTCGCTCAGATCATGCACAACAAACATAAACGAAAGAACAAGCAGGCGGGGGAGAGAGGAACACCTGCAGCTTCTTGTGTATGTACTTGAAATTGTACACCCAATAGACTCGCATCTAATTGTTTTGATGAAAATTTGATGAGCAGTGGTGGAGGATGGAGCACAAAACAACCACTAGTGGAAGCGGATCAGATGACCACGACGTTTGAATCGTTCTGTCACAGGTGCACGCTTTTCTTGTGCTAGCTAATCCTTGTGAACAGTCAAAAGGATAAGAGAGTGCAACGATGCGCGCATCCTTGGTTCCGATGAGCACCTGTTGCTGCTCAAGCCGGAGACTATAAATCTCTGAGGTCACCTCCGGTGGCTTCAAAAGCCGTACCGCCCGTCATCCTATTCAAAACAACCGGTTCGATGTTCGTCAGGTGACGATAATTAACATCTCTTTTCGAAAAGAGGGGAGCGGACGACATTGAGCTCATAAATTGTTGCTCGGTACTCTTCGAATGAGTGAGCAAAGCTAGGGGAAGCAGCTGGCAGCAAGCGGCGAAAGACACCGCCCGAGCCTTCCCGAACACTTTGGCCATTGTCGGTGCGCAGTGAGTCACGGCGACGTGGCAAACGAATCAATCAAAACATTGTGTTGTGTTTATGGAGCCGTGAAGGAGGCGGAAAGCCGGAAAGCTCGCGGACAATTGTGGATTAGAAAGGGGTAAAATAGGGAGAGAATGAACTTGTAGGGTTGTGGGACTGGTCAACAGGATTCGTTGACTTTCTCGTCTTATCTGGTCTCAAGTAGTCGGTTGCACTTTTTTCTCTCATTGACCATGAACTAGAACAAAAGCGTCTGTCCGGTCATTCCTACGCAAAGAGCAAAGAATGGCTCTCGAGATCTGACCAGCAGTGTCGGTCCGTCTTCAACAATCTTACTATTATCCTAATCGGATTATCCCGGGGCAACAGTACATAGACTGTCTTCGGAGACATTGACTGTCGGCACGCTGCTAGCAAATACATGAGAACGCGGATTAGCGGATTGGCAAATATATTATGAATAGTGGGACAAGCAGGAAATTGAGACGGCGGCCCAGTGATAAACCGAGGGAACTATCAATTTCCTGACTAGAAGAAGGAGAAGAAGAAGAAAGAGGGAGAAGGACCAACAATGTGAAACAGATGACGAACTGGAGGGATGGGAGTACATGGCTCATGAGTCAGGCGGTCATTAGTTGCATAATAGAGTAGTCTGTCACGACATCAAGCATCCGTTGTTCCCTATTTCCCCGCACACCAAACAATTTTATGATTGTGCGCACAAAATTCGGAAACAATGACAAGTTGGAAGAACATTCCGGACATCGACACTTTATTCCGGACACTCAAATAGTCCCACTACTTCTTCTTCTTCTTTCCCTTCTCCGTCTCCTTCATCTGCTGCTCCGCATCCGCCTCAATTTTCCTTGCATCGTTCCGCTCCTTCTTCATCATAACAAGAAGATCCGACGGAGCATCCTGCGGCACCAGCTGATCGGACCGGGCGTGGACCAATTGCACCGGATTCGTGAGAGTTCTCACTTGGATCATAGACGAGCCGCCCAGTGTCGCCTTTCCAGCTGCACCGGTCTTTGCTCCGTTATCCAGAACCGCTTCCTTGGCTTCCAGTTGTTTCAGTTTCATCTTCATCGTCATCAAACTTCCGACCGACGGAGCCGCCGGACTGACCGATGACTGCTTCTCCGGATTCGGAGTCTGCCGTTTCTTCTTCTGCGTCTTCTCCTTATCCGACGATGTCGTTCTTCTGTTGATCCCTCGTTTCCGACGATTCTCTTCAAATCGCTGCCGCAGGATTCGCTTCTCTTCGAGCTGCGACTGATGAACATAATCCACAAATCGGTAACGTTCTTCAGCTGTATAGACTTTCTTCGCTCTGCAAACCAGGTTGCAAACAGATCATATCAATTCGAATACGTACCTGAAGCGATTCCGTGAATAAAACCAGAAAAAGATGATTGCAAGAGGGACGAGAAGGCTGGCGACGATGGCCACGTACGGGGGGCGCACGAACAACTGACAGTTCTGTCCGGTGTGCAGCAGATCGCACGTGCACTCGAGCATTGCAATGATTTCTCCCTGGTTGTAGACGGTACATTCGCCGTTGGAATTGCACGAATCGGATTTGCATTCTGGTCTGTAACCACTATCTCACGTTTTTCTCTTTTTCACACCCACTGAGTAATGTTGACCGGGAATTGGAATTGGGGTGTGTGCTGTGTAGAGTTCGACCGGGATTTCAGTTTTTGCGTAGAGTTCGACCGGGATTTCAGTTTTTGCGTAGAGTTTGTGTTATTTGCCATGATGTATGTGATTAATCCACTTTATTCGCTCGTAGAAGACGCGAGTTGGGAGAGAAAATAAAGAGAAACGTCGTGGAATCAACAATAACACAGAAAATGGAAGGTGTCACGTGGCTTATTAGTTTTTCGTTATTACAGACCGTAAGGTAAAGATAACAAGTTCTGTGTCAAGTTAGAAAAGAGTATACTGGCTTGTGATTCGGGTTGATGACTTATACAGGATTTCATTTCAGAACTTGGTCTAGAAAAGCTACAATATCGCACTCCCTCTGCTAGACTCTTATCACTTTTTCCACTTTTTCCACTTTGACCTACCCCTCCCTCTCGTGCGCTCAGATCGCCGGCAATTCAAACAATTCGATGACGTCCCTCTTCTGCGCTCCGATTCGCTCCGAACAGATCATTTCGTGGCGGCTCGCGCCCCGCGAAATTCAAACTGATAAGGAGAGCAGCGGAGTGCGATAACGCCAGCTGAAATTGGGTGGGGAGGAGTGGAGCGGAGAGAGGGAGAAAGTGTGATGCGGCCACTGTTGTCGCTATTTTTAGACACTCTCCGCCTTTCTCCTCTCCTTCTCCCCCTTCTCCCAATTTTCAGTACTATCGAAATGGGAGGTTTCTTTTGTACAGGGGGCGGCGGGTGTGATCGAAGTAAGACACTTCGCCATCATCGTCGCTTTGTTGATTGTTTTGTATTGTTTTGTTGTCGTGGCGCCTCGTTTCCACGATACTTCCAGTTGTTTTCCAATTACTGACCGATCCTCCACTTCTTCTTTTCCCACTTTCACATACCAAGAGACTTTCAAAGATCGAGAAGAGGTTTCTTGAGGGGTTTCCCTTTGTACTACATTTCTGAAATACCGGAGGAAAGAATCAAAGAAGCATTCATTCACTTGATGTATTATCAGAAAAGGCCCGAGTGTTTTATAGTCATCAATGATGTGTGTTGAGAGAAGTGAGACCAGCTCATTATTACTTTTTCGAATCGATTCGACACGTTGTTGATCTGTACCGTAACCTTTCTCAACATTTCTAGAATCAAACGTTATCAGTATCAGTGTGTGCATACTATACTTTCTATTAATAGCTCTAGTTACTCATTATCACAACATCCGTCGTTCCGGGCCCTCGAAACATCTCCTCTTCCTCCTCTCATCTTTCTTTCGATTCGCTCACGCCATCATCCATTTCGGAAGCGGTTAAGCACCATTTGAAACAAGGCTCAAGTGGTAGGCGACGGCTCCCATATCGGCTCCTTCTGTTGTTCTTCTCCTTCGGATTGTCATTCTGACGTACATTTGTGTTTGTTCTCCTTCTTCTCCGGCTTCAGAACGGATGGATGGTTGATGATATGGAATATGGATGTTTTGGCTGAAATTCGAAACCCGAAAAGGGGTGAGAGGGCGTCTGAAATGGTTTCCAGTCTGCGTAAACTCTCATGTTCCAATGTTCCCAAACCCTAATAGCCCTTTGTTAGTAACCGGACACCCCCATCTGATGACGACGACGCTTCTTGAGACCCTAGACAGCCTAGGTTCTCACACCAGAATCCAGCGCGAACTATTTTTTTCTCCCCCGCTCGCTTTTCCCACGAATACCTGGAATAGAAGTGATCTGCGGATTTCATTCATTCGAGTGTAACGTCTTCCATCCGCCTCCCTTTCTCTTTTATTTCCGTCTTTTTCCCAGAAACTCGATAGCCATTACTTTGTCATCCACACCCTTTCTCTTCGGGCCTCTCTTCTTCTTTTTATCCCATTTCCCACGTCTCCATTCGTTTCCACCACTACCACTGAACACATCCACTACAGTATGCCTTCTCTTCCTTTTCCCGCCTGTAATCCGTCCGGTTCATAAGCCGTTTCACGGAACCATCACCTTATCAAATGACGTTAATAAGGGGAAAAGTCACAGCAAAATATATATTACGTTCTTGGCCAAAGTCCCAGTTCGCTTTGCTCAATGATCGGTCAAGATCTGTTCGTGTGATTGGCCTCACTCCGTCTGGCCTCGTGACTGCTCCACATCTCAACTTTTTCAGCCTGTTTCCCCTCCTCAAATGATGGGCTCAAAAGCACGAGCACGACGACGTCTCGACCTGTTCCTGCCGCTTTTCGTCGCCGTTTCCCTGCTCCATTCGTGTGCGGCAGGGGTTACCAAGAACAACAGCTGTAAAAAAGTCGGTGAGTTTGAGGTTCGCTGTGAAAAACTGGACAGAAGCATTACACCTAACAATAAATATCAGACTTCTCTGGTACCGGCGCAGAACTATGCCGCAGCAATACAAAAATGTGTTATTGTAGGCGTCGAGGAGCTGATCGATGAAGAAGGCTGCGATCTGATGATCATTCGGATCAACCGGTGCAGCGGTCACTGCTTCTCCTTCACTTTCCCGAATCCGTTGACTAAAAAGTATTCGGTTCACGCGAAATGCTGTCGAATGGTCGAATGGGAAATGGTTAGAGTTTGCTGTGCGTTTCAATAGGTAAACATCCGTTTTCAGTTGGAAACCGAATTGAAGTGCTCCGAAGGGAATCGAAAACTGCGAATACCGTCGGCGACGCAATGCGAATGCTTCGACTGTCTCGTCCAGTAGTCGCCGCTCTTTCCGATGCCGTTTCTCTTCTCTCCCTTCAGAATCTCTATCGTTTCTGTGCATAATAGTTCTAATTTATTTGTGTCCAGTGCCGTTCTTCTCACTTTCCCAAATAATCTCGTCGATACGGGCTACAAATCCCGAAGAAACAACCAGAAAACAAAGAAAATGTTCCCTTCCCCCAGTTCTCGATCTCTCTGTACTTTTCGCATTGTTCTGCCACAAAAAAATCGGTTTTTGAAAATAAACAACTGATTCTGTTGATTGTGGAGTTCTGTAGCCGGGCCTCGCAAGTGTGTACGAAACGAAAATAGAATAGACGCGAGTAATCAGAAGAAGAAGAACGTGTTGCACTTCGAGGAATGTGATCAGGAGCCGCCTGAATGGAATGATGGAATCGAATTCCATTCGTGTTTTGCTTGTTTATGTGTGGGAGAAGACGGATGGGAGCCGCGACGCCACCTAATTAAACTTTATTTTCATAACCTAGGAGGGACGCTCGTCTCGTTCAGCATGTACGTTTTGTAGTTGTTCGCTCGGAACATCTCGTCCATCACTATGAACTTTTGGTTTCCAATCTGAACATTTCCGAACAGAAAATGAAGAACGACTCGCGCGCCGTCCGTCTGATCCTCAGCAAAGTAGAATCCTGTCGATTCGTCACGACGGAATGGTTCCTGCTAACGATCGATTGACTCGTAGTTCTCAGAATGCGCTCACCTTGTACTGAGTGATAACTCCTCGGGACCGGATTGCTATAAACTGTTCGACGTCCTTTTTGTTCTGATATATCCGGATGAGTCTCAGCTGCTGGACCCGTATCAAGACGCCGATGACGACTGCCAAAGCGACGGACGGAATGGCCACGAGCGTTCCTAGTTCTTCTGCATCCGCCACTAGTTTTTGCACGAAATCGAATCGATTTCCGGGGCTGTTCGTGTACACATCGACGGCGAAAACGACGGCGCCGGCTAGAAACAGGGAAGGAAGGCGGCAGTCATGTAGAATGTACGGGAAGCGCCTGGAAAGATTCAGAAGAAGGAAATGACAGACTTTTTCTAATTCTCACCTATATCTTTGTAAATCAGAGTCCATTCCTTTTCATCGATTTGATCTCTTTCGTGTGCTTTTCGGATTTTTTCCGCGTCAAAATTGTCTCGATCTTCCTGCAATCAATCTAATTTGAAATGAACGTTACATAAAATCGAAGATACTTACGGAAAGAATATATTTTTTGACTTTCTGAATAATGCTGGAAGACGGGCGGGACGTGCAGAAACCGCGGTGAGCTACGAAGGCACTGCTTTGACTCAGAAGACACCGTGCTATCATTCTGAAGGCTTTTCTCTTTTTTCGGCGACATGAAAGTTGGTCATGAGAAGATATACCAGGGAGATCAGTCGAGAATCTTTTTGGCGACAACGAAGAAAATGAGCTATTAGGAATGTTTATTGACTGGAAAAATATAATAAAATTACAGAATCTCGTCAAGTGCCTCGATAGTTCCGTAGGTGTCCTTGGCCTCTTGCGTCAAACTCGCATTTCCATCACGGATCACGAGACGAGTCTGAAGTCCTGCCTTCGTCGCCGCTTCCGCTTCTGATTCGACGTCGGTCAGGAAGAGGATGTCCTTCGGAGCGATTCCGATCTGCTCGCTGATCTTTTTGTACGAGTTGCTCTCGCCTTTCAACCCAATGTTCGTATCGAAATATCCTTCCAGAATCTTCGTCATGTCTCCCTCGACGGAATGCGCGAAGAGCAGTTTCTGGGCGTGAACGGATCCCGACGAGTAGATGTAGATGGGAATGTTGCGATCCTTGAGCAGTTGGAGGATCGGCAGCACGTCTGGATATATGCTGAACACATTTTTATGTATTTTTGAAGAATACTATCCCACTCACTGTCCCTTTACTTCTCTGCGGTGGTAGGCTTCTTCCCAAATGAGTCCCTGGAGAGCCTTCAGCGGCGTCAACTGGAAAATAGCAAACAAGTTTTCGTTATTTTTCAAATTCCCAATTTCTCACTTTTTTGTCTCTTTTGATCCAGTGGCGAACATTGCGTGTCACGTCTTCAATGCATTCCTGTTTCGGCTCGCGAATTCGTCTGCAAATCGAACGATTAGATACAGAAAAGGGCAGGGCTGTAAGCTGTGCAAACAGAGGCGAGAGCATCAGCCAGTCGATCGATTGAACTCACAAAACGGACACATCGCTTTCCGCTTGTTGCTGTGCCACGCGTCTCAGATCTTCCAGAATGATCTGAGTGCCCGGCTCATCGTAGTGCTCCTCCAGATACTTTTCCACGTTGTCGAATGCGTACGGGAAGAGTTCATCCTGTAGGAAAAAAAATGTTAACAACAGTTATGAGAATAGAATAGAAACAATGAATTAACCTTGACAAAAGAGATACTAGTAATAGTGCCTTCAATATCTAGGAGAAGCGCATTGAATTGGGTCATGACTGCTGCAAATAACTCAGAAAATGATGGTATTTTATGTCTGTTTTGAATCGGCCAAAGTTTCGTGACAATGATCGATGGTTGTGTTTTTCGTGTTTCGAAACAGAAATATTTCCTCGATTTACGAATAGAAATTCCAGATTTGTCACGACTTTGTTTGCAGCGCAAGAAGACGGGGTAGACACCGGGTGTGTCAAATGGGACTCTGATATCATATCGTCGTTAAAACACTGATAAGAACAAACACTGATACTAATTTTCTGACTTTGCAATGCGAAATCGCCGTTTGTCCGAGAGGACTACACGGCCTATTGTTCTTGCGGATTTTTTATGCGCTTTTAAATTTAATACGGTTTGGGGAGAAACTTTCAAACAAAAACAGATGAAAAACTGAAATTTGTTCTGAAAAATTAGTAAAAATTCACTTTTTGTGACATAGTTACCATTGACCAACTGCGTAATGAGATGTGTAAACGCGCTCTTCCGCACAACACGTTTATCCGAACAAACCAATTACTGCTGTATCCCCGTTCCATCAACTGTTTCCTCATTAAAAGTTCAAAAAATCAACTTTTTTTTAGCTTGATGGCCCAATAAAGATGGTTAAACGAAATCTGTACGTTCTGCTCAGTCTCGGAGTATTTCTGACCGTCTCGCTCTACTTGTACAATGGAATTGAGACGGGAACTGATGCGATTGCCAAAAGACAGGTTTGAATGGAACCCTGAACACTAATTTTCAAATTTTGATAATTTATTTTTATTCAGCAGTACGTGGACGATTTACGACGGAAAATTACAAATTTGGAGGAGGTAGCAGCTGAGAATGGCAAGACAATAGACCGGTTAGAGCAAGAGGTCCGACAAGCAAAGGCCGAGAAGTCGATGGATTTTGATGAGGAGAAGGAGAAAACAGAAGAGAAAGAGAAGGAGGAGGAAGTGGCGGTGCCAGTGCGTGGAAACAGAAACAACATGGCTCACATCCATCAGGTCCAGAAGCACACGAGGCCAACGCCTTCAATGTCGAATGTTTGCTCAATCAGAGCCAATGTAAGCGCTGCTCATTCTGATCTGCAGGTAGGATCCTTTCCGGGAAACACGCAATATTAAAACAATCACTCAGTTCAGATGCTCGATCTATATGACACGTGGAAATTTGAGAATCCAGATGGCGGAGTGTGGAAGCAGGGCTGGAAACTGGAGTACGACACCGAGGAAGTGAAGAAAGAGCCCCGGTTGGAGGTGATTGTCATTCCGCATTCGCATTGCGATCCCGGATGGATTATGACTTTCGACGAATACTACAACCGGCAAACGCGCAACATTCTCGATGGAATGGCGAGGCATCTGGGCGAGAAAGACGAAATGAGATTCATTTACGCGGAAGTATCGTTTTTCGAGAAATGGTGGAAAGATCAGACGGAAGAGATTCGGCGGAAAGTGAGAGAGTACTTGGTGGCTGGGAAACTTGAGATTGTGACTGGAGGCTGGGTCATGACTGATGAGGCCAACGCGCATTATCATTCGATGGTGACCGAGCTGTTCGAGGGACACGAATGGATTCTGAATCATTTAGGAAAACGTGAGTAAATTAGCTCTACAACTCTCATCAAAAAGTTATTTCTAGAAGCTATTCCAAAGTCACACTGGTCTATCGATCCATTCGGATTGTCGCCGTCTCTGCCACACCTTCTGACTTCTGCAAACATCACCAATGCTGTTCTGCAAAGGTAACATCGCGAGTAGTCGATATTTACCAAATAGTATTAAATTCAGAGTGCACTACTCCGTCAAACGCGAGTTGGCACTGAAGAAGAATCTCGAGTTCTACTGGCGTCAACTGTTCGGATCGACTGGGCATCCGGATCTCCGTTCTCACATAATGCCCTTCTACTCGTACGATATCCCCCACACCTGCGGACCGGAACCCTCCGTTTGCTGCCAATTCGACTTCCGTCGGATGCCCGAAGGCGGAAAATCTTGCGATTGGGGCGTTCCTCCGCAGAAGATCAACGATGGAAATGTGGCCGAGAGAGCCCATATGATCTATGATCAATATAGAAAGAAGAGTCAGCTCTTCAAGAATAGCGTCATTTTCCAGCCGCTTGGCGACGACTTCCGATACGACCTCGATTTTGAGTGGAATTCACAGTACGAGAACTACAAAAAGCTGTTCGAGTACATGAATTCACAGCCAAATTGGAATGTGCACGCGCAGTTCGGAACTCTTTCCGACTACTTTTCCAAACTCGATTCCGCGATCGCTCAGTCCGGAAAGGCTCTTCCGACGCTCTCCGGAGACTTCTTTACCTACGCCGACCGGGATGATCACTACTGGAGCGGATATTTCACTTCCCGTCCGTTCTACAAACAACTAGATCGGGTGCTTCAGCACTATCTCCGTTCAGCTGAAATCGCTTTCAGTCTTGCGAACATCGAGGAAGAGGGAATGGTCGAGCGGAATATATTCGAGAAGCTCGTCTCTGCTCGTCGCGCTCTCTCGCTTTTCCAACATCACGACGGTGTGACTGGAACTGCCAAAGATCACGTCGTTCTGGATTACGGACAGAGAATGATCGATGCCTTGAATGCTTGCGAAGAAGTTCTCTCCGAATCTCTTGTCGTTCTGCTCGGAATCGATTCAACGAAGAAAATGGAAATGGACGAGTGGCGGCAGAATGAGAATGTTCTGCCGACGAAGCGCGTGTACAGCATCGGACAGTACGTGCTAACATTTATAAATCTAAACAGACCTTCCTTTTCAGAAACGTCGTTCTATTCAACACTTTGTCCCGTACGCGCATCGAGCCTGTTTGCATTCATGTCGATTCTTCCGATGCTGCTGTTGAAGCCGATCCGCCAATTGTAACAAATTCTATAAGCGCCAACTTATCCAATTTTTATAATTCCAGCAAAAGCAACAGATCTCCCCAGTTTTCGGGTACAACGAAGACGAGAAGAAGTTGATTGTCAAAAAAGGAACGTTTGAGCTCTGTTTCCCGATGACTCTGGGCCCGATGGAAGCAGTCAGTCTGAAACTTGTCAAGAGCACCACGACTTCGAAGGCTACTGTCAAAACGAACAACGGCGAGCTTCAAGTGTATGTGGAAGAAACTTCAATTGAATTCAAACAGCCATAATTCGTTTTTCAGTGACTCCATATTCACATCGTCCACGGTTTCTGGCGATTTCACAGTTCAAAATGACAAAGTGAAAGTCGAATTTGACGGCGAAAACGGAATGGTCAAGAAGGCAACGAGTCTGGTTGACGATAAACCGATCGATTTGAACGCGCACTTTGTGCACTACGGATCACGGAAATCGAGAAAGAAGTGTGAGTTATTAGCGAGTTTATTAGAATGTACAGGGGAATAATTAGAAGAAGCGAGCGCGTTGAGCGGCCTGGAATGGCAACCGGGAGACTGTTTGGCCTTGGTAGACAGTCGGCGAAGAGCCGAAAGAGCCCATTCCGATCGGGATGATCATCGGGTAACCAGAAGATTCTGAATTTGTTCGAAATGAGTGAAATGATGGACGGACTCACTTGGATACATTGGATATCCATTGAGGACCATCGGTTGTCCACTCCCCATCATCATGTCCGCTGCGAAACGTGGCTTGTACATGCTGGATCCATACGAACCTGAAAGTGCACTTTCTGCGCAATTCCGCTCAAAGTGAAACTCACCGACTCCCATCATATTAGAGGCTGATCCGTATGGCATTTGCATTCCCATTCCTCCCATTCCTTGCATACTTTGAAGCGTCTGCATTCCTTGGAGCCCCTGAAGACTCTGGAGACCCTGAAGGTCACGGAACCCTCCGGCTCCTCCTCCACCTCCGACCATCATCATCTGATTTCCGAGTCCAGAATAGAACGGATTGCCTCCAACTCCTCCGACACTTGGCCGACGGATGTAAACTTCGTCACGGGTGTACGGGTTGCCGAACGGAGATTGAGACCCAGAGGAATAGACATTGTAAATGAATGGGTCGGCTTAAAATGTTAGTTGAAAAGCATCTATTGATCAGCGTAATTTACCTGAAACAGCCGACAAAGCCAGGAGAACAGCGGCCACAACGAACATCATTGTGTCGGTGTGAAAGCGAAATGATACAAATCAACGGCCAAGTGATAAACAAGAGAAATTAAGCGATTTGGGTCAAGTTGCATCCGCACGCATCTCTCGTTTCACCCGTTTGCCTCTCTAATGTTCCTTTGTTTTTTCAGTCGCGAATGGAAACGAAGACAATCCGGCCGGCGCGTACCTCTTCCTTCCCGACGGAGACGCGAGAGAACTCAAGAAGCAGCAGGGAGACTGGGCAGTCGTCGAGGGAGAAGTCGTGCGACGAGTGTTCGCCGCTCCGATCATGGACCTGAAGGTTCTGCAGACGTACACACTCTACGAAGGGCTGCCTTGGCTGGATTTGGACAACGAAGTGGACGTTCGGACGAAGGATAACTTTGAATTGGCTCTCAGATTCAGCACTTCTGTGAACAGTGGCGACGAGTTCTTCACCGATCTGAACGGAATGCAAATGATCAAAAGGAGGAGGCAGTCGAAGTTGCCAACTCAAGCTAACTTCTATCCGATGTCTGCTGGAGTCTACATTGAGGACGAGAGCACCCGCATGACAATCCACTCGGCTCAAGCCCTCGGAGTCAGCAGTCTAGCATCCGGGAAAGTGGAGATAATGCTCGATAGACGTCTCAGTTCCGATGACAATCGAGGAGTCGGGCAGGGAGTCCGAGACAACAAACGGACGGTCGCCCATTTCCGAATCGTCGTCGAACCGATGGCGCAGGGCGGATCGAACAAGGACGAAAGAGTCGGTTTTCATTCGGCAGTCGGTCATCTTGCCACGTGGTTCCTTCACTATCCAGTTGTGAAAATGATCGGAGAAGCGACCCCCAAATCCATTTCCTCGAAGAATCTGGAGCAGGAGCTGAACTGCGACTTGCACGTGGTTACTTTTAGGTAAAACAGCTTTCACAAACGTGTTCTTCAAGAAAATTAGTTTCAGAACGCTCGCGTCACCCACAACCTACGATGCAAACGAGAGCTCGACCGCGGCGGAGAAGAAGGCGGCTCTCGTAATGCACCGGGTAGTCCCCGACTGCAGATCCCGCCTCGCTCTGTCCAGCACTTCTTGCCTCGCCACCGGATTCCAAATCGAACCCCTAAAACTGATCTCAACTCTAAAATCCGCGAAATCGACTTCGCTCACCAATCTGTACGAAGGCCAAAAGGCCGAACAGTTCCAGCTTCAGCCGAATGACGTGTCCACCATTCTTGTCTCATTTTAAAGCTTTGGGCTCCAAAGTTACTCATGGGTATTTTTAGATTCTTTGAATTCTGTTATTTATTGCATTTTAAATAAAACAAAACAAAGTCGAACAACGAATTTTTATGTTTCCGGTATTTCTGTTGTGAACTATTTATGTATGCTTCATAAGATTAAAAAAACTAAACTTTATAAAATTCAAGTGCAATGCAGTATAACTATTTTGCTCTTTTCTCCGCGGGCACAACCTGCTCTCTCTCTCTCTTTATTTCGCGCATTTCCATGGCAACGGCTCGCCGCTTTCCTTCTCCGTCTCCCCGCATTTCCATTCCTCACTCCGCTCTTCCAACTCTAATCCCCCCTCGAAATGCCGCCGTTTTCCGATGAGAAACCTTTTGTAAGTTCAACTGAATTCCATTTGAAACGGGCGGATTGTGTTCAGGACAGGAGCATTGCTCGAAAAGTGCTCATCGATCAGTCGAAACAGCAGCAAATCAGTCTGATAAGTGGATTTCGAGGAGTTGCGAGACATCTGAAGAGTCTTCTGAATGTGGAAATGTACGTGGAATGGGAAGGGAACGTTCTCGAAGTGTCCGTTTCAGAAACACCGAACCGATCACGCTGAACGGATTGGACGACGTGCGAATGCTCATCATTCCACAGCCAAAGTCTTCGTTCGGAACTGGTGAGGTACTGAATAAAATAGGAAAAGAAATGGATTGAAGTGAACTGTGATTCAGATCGAAACAATTTGGAAGTTCGTGGAAGAAGGCGGCGCTTTGATGATTCTGTCCGGAGAAGGAGGAGAGAGACAGTCGCTGAACAAACTGATCGGAAAGTACGGAATCATTTTCCATATTACGTCTTTGAGTATCATCATTCTTATTAATATAACTCTTCACGGGTCTGTTTGTTTGTTTTTTTTTATTTCTCTGTTTTGCCGTCCTACGTTTATTTCTAAAACGAAAACATTGACGGAGAATTAAGAAATGAACACGTGAACTTTCGAACAGTTATAAGAAAGAAACACGCGGCGTAGCCGCTTTCTAGCGTTAGCTCGGGTTTAAAAGTCTTGACTTGTCGTTCGGACCGTCCTCATCCATTTTCTCGTTGTGTGCATTGAGTAAGACGGAGAAGGGGACCTCTCCGAGAGGGTAGAGAAGACGATTGCACTGCAAGGAGGGATGGACCCGTACGTTAATAATATCCACCCAGTGTGCTATCCTTCTAACAGCTGTTTTTTACCCAATTTTTCTTGAATGCACGTTTAATACAATACATGCTATCTAAAACACTAACAATTTTGTATCTGACATCCTGGAGTTACAGGCCAATCTATATTAAAACAAGACCAGAGATGGTACTTACATAATTTATCGATTACCTGCTCTTTCGAACCAATTCTGTCCGATTTTTAACTGAGACTTCAATAGCATATATTTTATTGCATTTCAATAAATGGCTCAATTTTAAGAGAAACAACGCCCAACGGACGACAACGGAGTGACCAACTACAATCTCCAGAAAGCAACTCACGATCCTCCGTCCGGAATGAAGATAGTCATAGAAACTGTCCGTCAACTTTATAATTATCTTCTCGAAATGATATGGCCTGTACCTGCACCGAACTCTAGCTTCCCGCTCCTAAAATTGCCAGCGGTGCCTCTTTTGGAATGTCTACGAGCATTCGACGAAGAAAGCATGTAAGTATTCAAAAGTTGCTTGTTTTCTTAATGAACAATGTTCCAGCGTTGAGTTCGCTTTCATTTCTCGCTCGACGAAATGGCTAACAAGAACTGTCATCAGTCCAAGGTATACCGAAGTATACTTTGGAATTCCATTTACCATACACGTTCACCCACTTCGACGATGCTCATGGAAACTAAAATACTTCAAAACGTCGATTTCGGATGATTGGACAGAATGTCGAGTTTCACACAATGAGAAACGAGAAGAAATGCTCGACTTTACTGAGACTATGCTTCAAGTCTTATGCACTCCGATAAATCAAATATTGATCGATATCAATGCTTTTGATGATTGGAAGTCATTGATTGAATGGACGAACCGAAGACAACCATTCATCGAAACAGTGCGAATACTTGGATACGATTTCAATGAAGAAGATGCCAAATATGTGTTGGATAACTGTAAACCAACAAAATGCTTAACGATTATTTCTTCACTACCGGAAAGATTCTCATATGAGCAATTCTGCTGCAAATCTGAATGCTTGGAAATATTCCATTCGCATTGGTTTACACTTCTGAATGTTCTCAACTGCCACTGCTCAGATATATACCTCTGCAGATCTTCGTTGAGTGATAACGAAATTAGATGTGTCCTGGAACTCTGGAGCGTCGGAAACATGCCGTATTTGGAGTGTTTTGAAGTTGAGAGGACTAAGGATAGTTCGGAATTTGATGAAGAGACTATATACAAAGGATTGAACGTGACAAAGGTGCCGGAAGGTAAAAGATGGAGATATTATTAGTGAGTTTGAAGCTATGGAACATTTGAATTATTGTATGGTTTGATAGTATCTGAAACAAGTTGCAGCTGTGACGAGTATAATAATCTACACAAGTCACGCGTTTACTTCGGCGGTTATGAACTCAAAGGAATCGACGATTCTCGTGCTTCTGTTAAGACGCTTATTAATGGACTTGGTGTTTCTTTTTTCTATTTCTTAATCACACCAAAACCGGCAAGTCGTAAAGTGGTAAGGTTGACTTTAGAACCGTATCCCTGACTCTGTTTCAACTGTTTGTTATTCCCTGCCTTTCTCTCTCTTCTTCTATTTTGTTTTAGTCATCAGAATTCGACGATTCTGATGATGACTGTGAAATTGAAACTATCACCGTCATGGTTCTCCCCTCGTATCGTTTTACTGTAAATCTAGAATTGTTAATTATCCTTCCATCGAGTCACAGATTTCATCATCAATTTGTGATCTTTCTTCAAAGTTTTCCCCATTTCCGCTTCCAATTCTATGAAGAGATAAACGATCATTCGATGACTTTTGCAATGAAAACATGATAAATTCTTTGAATTCTGTTATTTATTGCATTTTAAATAAAACAAAACAAAGTCGAACAACGAATTTTTATGTTTCCGGTATTTCTGTTGTGAACTATTTATGTATGCTTCATAAGATTAAAAAAACTAAACTTTATAAAATTCAAGTGCAATGCAGTATAACTATTTTGCTCTTTTCTCCGCGGGCACAACCTGCTCTCTCTCTCTCCTTATTTCGCGCATTTCCATGGCAACGGCTCGCCGCTTTCCTTCTCCGTCTCCCCGCATTTCCATTCCTCACTCCGCTCTTCCAACTCTAATCCCCCCTCGAAATGCCGCCGTTTTCCGATGAGAAACCTTTTGTAAGTTCAACTGAATTCCATTTGAAACGGGCGGATTGTGTTCAGGACAGGAGCATTGCTCGAAAAGTGCTCATCGATCAGTCGAAACAGCAGCAAATCAGTCTGATAAGTGGATTTCGAGGAGTTGCGAGACATCTGAAGAGTCTTCTGAATGTGGAAATGTACGTGGAATGGGAAGGGAACGTTCTCGAAGTGTCCGTTTCAGAAACACCGAACCGATCACGCTGAACGGATTGGACGACGTGCGAATGCTCATCATTCCACAGCCAAAGTCTTCGTTCGGAACTGGTGAGGTACTGAATAAAATAGGAAAAGAAATGGATTGAAGTGAACTGTGATTCAGATCGAAACAATTTGGAAGTTCGTGGAAGAAGGCGGCGCTTTGATGATTCTGTCCGGAGAAGGAGGAGAGAGACAGTCGCTGAACGAACTGATCGGAAAGTACGGAATCACTGTCAACAAAGGCTCGTTTTTTGTTTCCCTTTTATACGTCCTCGGGTTTTCCATTCCAGATGCCGTAATCCGGACGGTCTTTCTGAAATACTTTGATCCGAAGGAGGCGCTCGTCGCCAATGGAGTCGTGAACCGATCGATTGCGGTGGCGGCGAAGAAGAACGTGAGCACGGAGCAGAAGCAGAATGCGCAGGCCCTTTCGTTCATCTACCCGTACGGTTGCACTCTGAACGTGAACAGCCGTCTCTCGACGATCGTCCTCTCGTCTGGAAGCACGAGTTTCCCGATCAGCAGACCTGTTGCTGCTTTCCATGAGACGAAACTGAATGAAATGGTGAGATGGCAGGGAGATCAATTCAAATTTTTATGGTTTTCAGAAGAAGAAAGGTCGGGTGTGCGTCATCGGATCGGTGTCAATGTTCCACGACACGTACATTGACAAGGAAGAGAACGGAAAGATATTCGTGAGTTCCATAAAAGATTATCACGAAAATCATTGTGATTTGAAGGATACATTTGTTGAATATCTGATCAACGGTTTCGATTTGAACACGATTGACTCGGCAGAACCGGAGATCAGTGACTATACGAACATTCCCGATCACATTCACATGTCTCAACAAGTGAAGGTTTGTATGTACGAAGGAGAACTCGATTCGGCGGTCAGTTCGGACTTCATGAAGATCATGGACAACTCGTTGCACTCGATCAGTTTGAAGCAGTGGCCGATGACATTACGGTATGCATCGAGCAGTGTCCTATCATTTGCCTTTTCAGTCTTTACGAGGCGCTCAATCTGTCTCCTCCCCCTCTGACTCTCGTGGAACCGCAGTTCGATCTTCCGATGCCTCCGTTTCAACCGGCTGTCTTCCCTCCGACATTCCAGGAACTTCCGATGCCTCCTCTCGAGTTGTTCGATCTTGACGAACAATTCAGTTCTCCGGAGATTCAACTGTCTCAATTGGCAAACAGAAGTCCGTTTCTTTCCGAGAGAAACCGAAAAACGCAATTGTTTCAGGCGAGGAAGAAGATTTAGTGTTCTTCATTGAGAAGGCTGCAGAAATCACCGGACTGTCCGCCGAGTTGACGAAGAGCGAACGGACTCCAAAGAAGATAATGGAGCTGGCGTTGAACAAGCTGATTCTGTTCAAGGGGTCCATGATGGGCGGAGAGCTGGAAGTGGCGTCCGCGTTCGACATCGAAGAAGAAGAAGAAGGCCACAACACGAGTTTCAACCGAGTTGACGAGATGGACGAACAATTGTATTCTGATATCGACGAATTCGATGACTTGTGAAATGAAATGAAAATAAAACACATATTAGATCATTAAGCATTCGTAGTTATTTGTATATTTAGATGTGAGATGTGGCCCACGACTTGTCGTTCGGACCGTCCTCATCCATTTTCTCGTTGTGTGCATTGAGTAAGACGGATAAGGGGACCTCTCCGAGAGGGTAGAGAAGACGATTGCACTGCAAGGAGGGATGGACCCGTACGTTAATAATATCCACCCAGTGTGCTATCCTTCTAATAGCTATGTTTTTACCAAATTTTTCTTGAATGCACGTTTAATAAATACATGCTATCCAAAACACTTACAATTCTGTATCTGACATCCTGGAGTTACAGGCCAATCTATTTTAAAACAATGAGAAACGAGACGAAATGCTCGACTTTACTGAGACTATGCTTCAAGTATTATGCACTCCGATAAATCAAATATTGATCGATATCAATGCTTTTGATGATTGGAAGTCATTGATTGAATGGACGAACCGACAACCATTCATCGAAACAGTGCGAATACTTGGATACGATTTCAATGAAGAAGATGCCAAATATGTGTTGGATAACTGTATCTAACAAAAAAAACAAATCTGAATGCTTGGAAATATTCCATTCGCATTGGTTTACACTTCTGAATGTTCTCAACTGCCACTGCTCAGATGTATTCCTCTGCAGATCTTCGTTGAGTGATAACGAAATTAGATGTATCCTGGACCTCTGGAGCGTCGGAAACATGCCGTATTTGGAGGGTTTTGAGATGAACAGGACTGAAGGTAGTTCGGAATTTGATGAAGTCATCTTATATAAGTCATCGAATGAGTGTTCATCTTTAAAAAATAAGCTTATGCTATGAAAACCTAATAAATGTTCGAACTTTCGTATTTCCCTGTTGAGGGCACTAAAAAGTGCTTGAAGAGAATCGAGCCCTTTTTTTCGGCGGTTTCAAAAACCTTGTGTAAGCATAATAAATATTTGAACATTCATATTTTTCGGTTTGTGGGCACAAAACAATTAAAGACGACCCGAAAAGGAGAAGTACGTGGTTATAATACGGGAACTAGAGAAGAAAGCGAGGAGAGAAATCTCTCAGGTGGAGCAAAAATGAAACATTTGACTAGGGTTGCAGAACAGGCGCCTGTTTTCGCCTGTTTTGCAAAATCTCCACGTTAGAATTGAATGATTTGACATAGAAGGAGAGGATGAAGTACTTGAATGGGTTACGTTTAATACCGGGTAATGTGGAGGGTGAATGTGGGACTTGGATGAACTGGGATTACCTACAGGGGAGAATGAGGGAACGGTAAAACTACAATGTGAAAAAGAAACGGCGAAAAAAGAGTGAGGAACGTGGAGAATAAAAGTCTAGGCTATCAGCTAACAAAGAAATGAAGTAAAGCGAGACGCGGGAAGTTTACTTGAACTTCTTCACGTACACGTAGTATCCGAGTCCGGCCACTCCGGCCACCGCGGCTGCCGTCGCCACTTTTCGCACTACGTCCGGATTGTTGTGGATCCACGTGGCCAGATCGCTCGACTGACGGTCCTCCGGCACGTGCTTCGACTCCTCGACCACAGTCGCCTTCGACGATGGGGCTTGATGAGCTGGAGCCGGAACGACGAACGATGGCTCCTTTTCTGGCTCGGCGGTGGCGTTTTTGTGCTCCTCTTCGACTTGAGCCTGTAAATCAGGATTCATTGACAAGCGTTTCAATGCGAATAAACTTACATTGATAATGGGAATCGCGGCAGCTAATCCGGCCACAGCTGGAGAAGTATCGGCCAGTTTTGCGGCCTCTTCCTTGTCGACTTTCTCAAAGTCTCCAGGGTCCGAATCGAGGCTTTGGCGCGTGGCCAATGGAATCAGCTTCGGCTCGTCTCCGCCGTTTCCTTCATCCGTTCCATTGTTCGAGTCGAGATCGGTGGCTGCCAGGCTGACTGGCGGGCTTGGTTCCTTCACGAATCGGGACAGATCTTCAGGTGGAGTTGGCGCCTGAACAGGTAAGATGTTGAGAGATCTGATTGACATGAAAGCTCTCACTCTTGGCTGCTCCTCGTCATGCTCGTCGCCCTTCGGAATCTCGATGTCCTCCTGGCCATAACTCTTCTCGACGACCAAATCCTTTGGTGGCACTTCTTGCTCTTCCGACATTCTGACAGCAACTGCACCAGACGTACTGTCACCCGTCTGAAAACGAAACCTTCCAGTTATGATTGAGGGGATTTCCGAAAGCATTTCTTTTTTTTAACCTTTGGTGTACGAGATATTGACCGGATCGAGAAAGGTCTACGACGTGCCACGATGGGCGAAGAATCAGAAGAGTCCGAATCGGACATAGTACAGAAAAAAGAAAATAAGTAATACGTCGACGGGTGGGAATGAAAGAGAGAGAGAGAGAGGGAGAGAAAGAGAGAGAGAGAGAGGGGCAGGTGAGATTGATATGTTGTTCAAATGGATTCAAAGACAGCGAGAGAAAGATCAGAGCAAAAAAAGAAAGAGCAAAGAGAAAGGATAGCATGTGGCGGAGAAGTCCGGGCAGAAATATGAGAAGAACGCGCGTGACTACGACAACGGATGTGATAAATGGATGCAAAGTGAGAAATGATAACAGAAATTCATTTTGGCTAGAGATCACTTTTTTGAGCAAATTTTGTGAATAAACTGTTCACGACGGAGGGAAGAAAAAAAGTCTGGTAAAAAAAACAGCTGAATTGGCTGAGAATAGGAATTTGTTCGTTCTATGGTAGATCAGATCGAACAAATGTCATCGTGCCACCATCTGACCACGGCGTGTTCCCCACTTTCGATCAGCGATCGGTTCGATTCAGTCACGCGGCAAGACGATGCTTTTCCCGTAAACACTACGTGCGTTGAGACATGAATCGACCTGATCAAGATCGCAAAAAAAGACAGGAAAAGTGTTCGCGTCTCTATTTTTGGGGCATGACAAAATTGCGAAACTCGGTGGCGAGAGCAGAAAATTGAGATGTCATAAAAGTGTGAAGCGAGAAAGAATGAGGAATTAAAAAGAGGAACAGAGAAGCGGAGAGGGAGGACGAGAAGGGTGAAGCCGCCAATTATATTGCATGGGAATTCACGTGAACAGCACGTTCAGTGCAGGAAACCAGTCGAACCAAACCGGATTGATGGGAGCTGCGGCAGTGCTCGCGGGAGCAAAAAGAACGAATAAAGTGGGAAGGAAGGAAGGGAACCGAAGGCAGGGACACCTGACCGAAACCTGAGCAAAACTGACTGACGAGGCGGGACATTGAAACGATGTGAACACTCTTGAAAACTGAGAAGTTGCGGAAAAAGTGTCGAGCGGAAGGAGACAACTGCAGTCAGCCGTTTTTTTCAGTACATTGGAAGTGAAAGCTGGCTTAGTGAATACATAATGCGAGACATGAATATCGAGTGACATACACTCGCGTGGTTGCGTACTCGTCAAGTGATAAACATGAACACAGAGACGGGCGGCTTGAACGACTCGTACTCTCTTTCTCTGCGTCTTTCCGTTTCTTACCAGTTAGACGCCGATTTCAGAAAATGAGAAGAGGACGTAAACAAGCAGAAAACGAAAGAAGAAGCGAGGAGTTCGTCCTCTGGGTGAAAGTCGATGGAAGGGACGCACGGGCGGCGCGCAACAGAGTACAAAGTACGCTCACTGACTGCCGGACGGCGGACAAGAAGGAGGCACGAGGGAGTGTATACAGAATGTTGACAGGAATGCATTGGCGCGTGCTGCCAACACTGTTCGTTCACGGGCGACACTATCGGTTTTATCAGTGAATTGGAAGAGAAGTCATATGATTTGCGGCGAAATGACAGGTGAATGGCGGACGACGACCGAAGAGTAACTCGGAATCAAAAGATGTGGGAAGGCTAAAGAGGATTGATGGATTAGAAGAGTGCCAGATGGAGAAATCCTACGACTACGGTCAGCCAACACAGCTGCAAGAATGTTTTCACCTAAATTTATAGTTTCCTCAAACAGAGAACATGTGTCGTCCTCACTTGATACATAACAAGAAAACAGAGGTTGTAAATGCTATGGCAGCCCGTTCTTTCAAAAATGAGACCTACCACCGGCGGAGTGTCTTCCCGGTCATCATCCTTGAAAACAACGTCTATCTTCTGACAGTCGCCGAAGCGCTGAATCTGTTCAACCGACTCGATCAGATCATTTTCGGGCAGCGTGAATATCATATCGACAGGTCGCCCTTTGCATGCTTTCTGGATTGTGCTCTTCAGTCTCTCGACGTCCGATCCGCCCGGCAGTGTCACTCGTTTGTACGTCTCCTTCCCTTGAGCAATACTGAAATCAAAGCATTTCTTTTTGCTCACTTTTAGAGGCGAATAAGTTCTACCTAGTTCTGACAAGCAAAAATCTGGTCCTGTTGAAAGAGTCCCGTCTTCCGTACGAATAAGTGGGCGAATTGAGTGGTCCTGGAGATCCGTTTCCGTTCGAGTTCGAAGAAGCTGGAGGGGAGGAGAAACTGTCGAACGAGTTCTTCATTGCGTACGGAAACGGCGGATTGCGCATGTAATTTGGCACGAATCCTGGCGAAGATCGTTCGCTGACATTGGAAGACCGACGGGAAGCACTGTCTGCAAGTGAAAGTTTTCACGTTATTGTAAATGTTCATCTCCCAACTGAACATGCCCGAAGTGCTCCATTTTTTGTGAAAATGTCATTCGGGGAAGGCCGTATTTCCCGAAATGTTCTCATTTTTTTACGCACAAATTCAAGACCGTTTTCCTACCTTGCACCATATTTTCTCGTTCTTCTCCGAGCTGAAGTACTGCTCGAAGTTGTTCCGAATCTTCAGGGCACACCTGAAAATCGGTGTAACATTGTGAATGAGAATAACTTTGGAATAACTAACGTCGTACGGAACTTTGTGCTTCGCGTCTTCCGTGTTGATTGCGTATCCGGCTTCGATGAGCAGAAGAGCGACGTCGTAGTGGCCTCGGCTGGCGGCCCAGTGCAGAGCGGTCCTGAGAAAATGAGAATGAGATCCTCATAAATCATGGCGATTATGAGTGTCACCATGCCTGATGGATAAACCCCTGATGTGAGACTAGCGGGAAAAGTGAAATGAACTACAAAAAAACGGCTGAGGGGCAGACAAAAACTTGTCAAAGACCAATCATCCGATTGACCGATTCGTTGACACACACCCTCAGCACATAAAAGAAACGCGAGTGGTCTGTGCAAAGTAGGCTTTTCCTCTCGGCTCCCCTCGCCGCAACAGTTGTCGACCCGGCCGTCCGATCACTCTCGTTAGCCACTCGTTTACACAAAGTCCGTGGATTTATCAGTGCTCCGTGTATTCCTCTTATCCAATCAGATGAGAAGAAGATCACACAGAATGGGAAGAAACGAGAACGACGGCTGTTCAGGACAACGGTGCGCAAGGGCCGGATGCTTCTGCACAGAGAAACAGAAGGCATGCGAAGGCAGCGATTCTTATTATTATTTATCAATTTGCAGAAAAACATACGGCGAGTATCATATTTCATACGGTGGTCAGTCAGCTGGCGTTTGCAAAAAAATGCGAGAGAAGATAAGATTTTGCGCTCACACATTTATTAACTTTCGAGATCTCACATCTTATTTTCACTCATTTTACAACTCACCATCCGTTGGATTTGTGCCGGTAGCCAATGTCGACTCTTCCGGTCAGAAGGGCTTCTCGGACCCTTTGCTCGTCTCCCAGACTGCAAATGTGCAGGAAATCCAGTTGTTGCTGCTCGTACATGTACGACAGCGACGCCGGCATAATTCTGAATGCGAATGTGCAGTTTCGGAACGGAACACGGAATTTTTAGGATTTCGAAAAAAAAACGCAATAATGGCGTGTCGTAGCATTTCTTCACACAGCGTATGCCTGTCTGCGACCTCTCCTGTTAGAAATATTGTTAGGTGACCGACGGCCGACAATTTTTAAGTTGATAGAAATTGATAGAAGAGACACATATTTCATAAAATACACGTTTTATGCGCATAGCTAAGGCTTTTAACATCGCCAAAATTTCGATTGATGAACGTCCCAGTACTAGAAAGGAATCCGAGTTCGGGCTTCTCATCATCCATTTCTGTACATGGGATTTTTATAAATATTGGGGAAGAGGAATGAGGGAGCACAATAAATAAAAAAGGAATTGGGGACATTATAAAAAGAAAGATGTACGGGGGAAAATAATAGCTTAGTGAATCATCTTCTATCTGCAATAATACTATACTTTGGACGGGCTGGTGGACGACACGATAACAAACAAAAGGAAGACGACGATTAACAGAAAAAGGGGAACATTATTAAAATTATTAAACGGTGTAGTAGAAGCTGATGCGATCGTCTCTAGCAGAAGATCGGAGAAGCAGCTTTGTGAGATTTGATCTACTTGGAAACTTTGGAGCCGCGCTTGAACAGCGAGCCGAAACCTTTCCGTTCTGAAAGTAAACTTTATGATTTGGGATTAAAGTCGAATCACTCACTCGAAGATGATTTGATCGAGTCATTGTCGTCGTATTGAGAAGGCGTAGAAACGACACTCGCGGAGGTCGATCTGCCGTCGGGAGTGTTCATCTGATTCTGCTGGTTGTTCTCGACCCAACTGATGAATTCGCCGTTCTGCTGACTACGTGGCGACATCGACCGTTCCATTGGTTGGTAGCTGGACGACGTGTGCTCTTTGTACAAGAGCGTTTCCTGAAAAAGAAACAAATTGGAAAGATGGAGATGGAGAATATTATCTCACCGTGTACCCAGAGTTTCCTGGATGATTTTGAATGGTGTGACGGAGTTCAGCATGGTCCCCTGGAAAGATTACGATTCGGTTGAGGGACAGGAAGCGGCGCTACAACGGAATAGAACTCGCACGGAATAGAAAGAACTGTTACGATTTGGAACTCGCAGTTGTATTTTAACGTTGCGAGTTCCAAATCGTAACAGTTCTATTCCGTGCGAGTTCTGTTGCGTTGTAGCGCACAGGAAGCAATTGTTAAGTGGAAGACGACACAATGTATTATTCCCAGTTAGCATGCGCATGCGGATAGCAGATTATTTCAGAATGTTAGTCGAGATGAAGTGTCGGAAGTGTCGAGTAGTCGGTGTGCATTTCAGTTGGTGCCACCAACTAACCGTTCGCGATGGCGGCTGCTCGATTCGCTTCTGCAATCGCCTGCTCCACCTCTCCATAGATGCTTTCCGCATAGACCGATTGACGTCGGCTCGCTCTCCGAACCACTCCTATCTTCCGCGTCACCAACGTCGGCAGAGCGTTCGTCATGCATGACGAAGAAGCGCTCATATTCAAAACCGACGGGGTGGCGAGTAATGGACCGGAAGGTGGGAAGAACGTCGCATGTTCGTGCACCACATCGGACCCAAATCCTCGAGGGAGGGTGGCACAATCACGAATAGTGATCTGCCCAGAATGTTTGCCCCGTGGCAATGAACTACACCCTCCTAAAGAAACCGAATAAAATAAAATGAAAGCAAAGCAAGAATGAGCTGCAACTGAACAAAGCGAACCACAAAGGGGAAACCGGAAAAGCGGAGAAAGAACAGAACCACCTACTCGAATAGTCGAGCTCATGCTGATCCAAATCGTCATGTGTTCCGAAGGCGGAGCTGGCATGGGACAGTCTGTTCTGCACTTCGTGTCCCGCGAGACCTCTTCTCGGTGCGACCATCGGTGGCTGCTCGTTACCAGTGGATTGAAGGAGATCGTCTGAAATAGAGGCATGCCAGAAAAGAAGCAACCCGAAAGAAAACGAAAAGAAAGAAAGACTACCCGTTCGTTCACTCACCATTGTAAGAATACGATTTGAGTTGATTGCTCGGAGTCAAATGAGCGTGGAACTGAATTTTGGCAACCCATTCGAGCATCTGTCGTTCGTCCGGACAAGAGAAGATGAATTCAGATCCGTCTTGACCGAGAAGTCGGAAAGCGTTCTTTCGTTTTGCGTATTCTGGATACTGCTCGCACTGTGCACCGTATATGTAGACGGGCGGAGCGGCGGCTATGTTCTCTATGAACTGTTGTTCGTCTTTGAAGAAACAGAGAAGTTGTCCGCACAGAATGCCGTAGTAGTTCTTCCACGAACGGATCGTCGCTCTCTTTCCGCCGCTTTGCTGGCATTGCTTGCGGTCGAAGAATCCCTTCATGTCGATGGCTCCCATGTCTTCCCAACGACTTCCTTTGCGAATGGATTGGGTTCGTCGAGTGTTGAACGAGGGTGTCTTGGTCATCTCAACAGTTTGACCTGGAGCGGTAGCCGTGGAGGAGGCAAGAATATCACCGATTTGAATGGCTCCTGGTGCTGAAAATGTCAAGTTAAAATAGGTAGTTTGCTTACCATTCTTACCCAGATCAGCAGTCGTCTTGGCGCGCTCTTTTCTGTCCTTTCGAGGCATGGTATGAGTGGAAAACTCTTCTCCGGACGGTGAAGGACGGAGGAGCGAAATTTCCTGGGTCTTTCTGCGCTCTCTTTCTTGTCTGCGATTCGCCAGAATGTTCCCCTTTTCGACAATCTTGATGGTATCTCTTCTCTTCTGATCTTCTTCGGCGATTCTCGATCGGTCAATCTCCTTGCTTCTGAGACGACTGAAGTTCTGTTCGACGAGCGTCAATCGCTTTACCATCTCGCACTTCTCATTTTGAGCATCAAGTGTCACCAAGAAATCGTCGAATTCACGGAGATGATTCTCAGCCATCTCGACAGAGTCCACCATTCTCCAATCGTCTCCAAGAAGTGTGGTGCGTTCTTCGAGCCACGAGTTGAGTTGATCGGCATTCTGCTTCCATCTCTGACTGTCCATGTTCTCTTCGTAAAGCTCAGCACGGTCTTTCCAGATCTCACAAAGCATCTCCCACGACTTTTCGAGGATTTCAACCTTCTCCTGGATTTCTTGCGACAGAACATGGCTGGACTGAATCATACGTCTTCCTTGGCGAGCGAAATCGTCAACAAATGGCTTTCTTCCCTGCATTTCCAGATTGTACTCGTCGTGGCGGCGAGCAAGAGATTCGCATCCGGCGACGTCGCGTGGGAGTTGCTCCGAAGTCATCGTGGTTTGCATGTTCTTCATCCACTGCATCATCTCACGATACTCCTGGAAGTAGGACTGAAGACTCTGCATGTGACGAAGTCTCTCCAGATGTTTCTTGGCGGCCTCGAGAATGTCCTTGAGCTGTTCCTCCATATCCAGTCTTCTGACTTCCAAATGATGTCTGGTGTCTGGGAACGAGTTCCAAAGTCGCTCCGCCTCATGACACAGCTCGGTCACTTGCTTCTCGACGGCCTTCATTCCATGCATAAATTCGTCGTGTCTCTGCAGCTGGGCCTTCACCGAAGCGAGGTCGGCTCTTGAGAGATCCTCCTGTTCCATGGCCACTCCAGTTGCTTCCTTGTCTTGGAGCCAATTAAGGGTCTGATCGGCTTCCTGGTCGAAGCGGTGCACTTGGCGAGCTCCGTTCAGCGCCTGCTTTCTTTCGTTGGCAACCTCGTTGACATGAGTCCACAGTCTCTGCACATCGGCTCCCTTCGCAGTGATTGATGCTCCATACGGATGTCCACTTCGCAAAAGATCTTCCTGGTTACGCTGGACGGCAGCGACACGTTCTCCGGCAGCAGCCAACTCGCGCACAGTCGACTCGAACTGTTCGATGATCTGTTGGCAGTCTTCGAGATCCTGTCCGTAGTCTTCAGCAGCAGCACTTCTCTCTTTCTCGCGCAACCAATCAGACAGGTCATCGGCTAGTCTGACGAACTTGTGATACTTAGAAGCATCGACAAGTTGCGTTCTTCTTCTGGCACACTCTCTGCAAAGATCTCCGAACAGCGCCTCCAGCTTTCTTTGTTTGGCAGCGATAGACATGGCATCGTGATGTTCCCTCGCGAGGAGACCATCAGCTCTCTTCTTCAATCTGTCCATTTCGTTCTTGAAAAGCTCAACTTCCTTGTCCAGGACAGTCAGTCGCCGCAAGTGGCTTTCAGCTCCAGCCTGATCTCTTCCCATCTCTTGACTCATTGCAAGTGGCATCTGCTCACGGAGCCACTGTTCGGCTTCGGTCTCCTCGGTGTAGTACTGATGAGCATCGATGGCTTCTTGAAGAAGATCACGTCTCAATCCACAACTCTCCTTCAGTGTCAGCATCGACGTCGACAAACGATCGAGAATTTTCTGAATGTGAACGGAAGCGAAATGGCGTTGACGGATCATGTCTTTTCCACGCTTTTCGGTCTCGCTCATAGCGGATTGACGAGTTTCAAGCTCCTAAAATGAAGCGTATGGTTGTATGATTATGATTTAGAATGAAAACTCACCTTCTCCAAAGCAGCGTGTTTCTTCTTAAGTGACAAAGCACTCTGGAGACTGTCTCCCGATTCGCTGCTTCCAGCCAAGGGCATCTTGTCGGACAGCCACTCCAGATCCTCCTCGGCCGCTTTGACCCACTCGAAGAAGGCTTGAGCATCAACGAGGTTTTCACGTCGGATCTGTACTGGCTCATCGAGCCCCGAATAACGGGCCTCCACTTGCTCAGCCTGTTTCAAGCACTCATCGGCAGCAGTGGATCCTTGCACTCTCAACTCGCGTGCTTTCTTCATCATCTCAACAACGGCGTCCGAACGCGCGGTAATCTCAGTTTGCAGAGTATCCAGCTTCTTGATGAGCAGCTGCGTGGAGAGCATGTCTCTTCCGTGGTCTTCCGAACCGAGTTCTCCTTCCACTTTGTCCAGCCACTTCTCAATGTCCTCAACCTTTCGTTGCAAAGAATGCAGTTCGAAAGCCTCGCGAAGTCGTTGAGTCTTGAGAGCCGACTTTGTTCGCAACTCGTCCCAACCGGATCGGAGCTCAACAAGCTGAGCTTTCACCTGTTCACTCATGAAGTGATTCTCGGCAACGAGTTCCTCTCCTTGCCGCTCGACGGTCGACAGTCTCTTCTCATTTTCGACGAGTTCGGAATCGAAAGCCATGTGCTTCTGCAGTTTCGAACGGAGGTTGGTGTGATCCAGAAAGCTCTCGTCATAGGCCAATTGAAGCTTAGCGGTGATCCAGATTATGAGCTCTCCGCACAGACGAATGAACTCGTGGTATCTCTTCGAATCCTCCAGCATATCCTTTCTCTTTGCCACACTCTTCAGGAGAAGAGCATGTCTCGCGGCAACTTCTTCTTTGCGAGTTCCGATATCCGCACGATAGTTGTTTCCAGAAGAAACAATCGCGTCCGCGTTTCTCGTCAGCACATCGATCTTTTCGCTCTGCTTGCGGACGGTCTCTTCGAAGGCAGTGTGTCCTTTGATGAGCATCTCCACCGCATCAGTAGTGTCTCCGAGCTCTCCACGGGCAACTTGGTTCTCCTTGTCGGCAAGCCATTGCTCGCACTGCATAGCTTCGTCGCACCACAGCATCCATTCGAGCAGCCGTTGCAGAGTTCCCTTCTCGCTCTCCCACGTTTGTCTCAGTTGATGCTCCGAGTTCTGCACACGCTTGTGCGCTCGCTGAACTTCGGCCTTGTGCTCCGGTTGCTCTTGATTCAACGCTTGACCTTCTTCGTGCAACTGGCGGAGCTCGTCTGCTCTTCCGTCGATCTCGGCCTTCCGTTCGTGGTGTTGCTCGAGCAGCTTCCGTGCTCCGCTGCTGTCTTTCGGAGTCTGGTGAGAGGTCATCTTGTTTCTGACCTGCACAGCCCACTGCTCGACCTTCTTCACATCATCAAGATACTTGTAAAGTTTGAAGGATCGGTTCAATTTGTCGTTTCTCAGCTCCGCAGTTTCGGACAGTTGTTTCCAACTCTCTTCCAATTTTTTCAGTGAGTCGAGAACAGTTTCACGAAGAGGTGGTCTCTTCTCGAGAATCTTCTGAGCATCTTTGTCGTGAGCCATGAGTTTCTGGTGAATAGCACTCATGTCTCTCTCGAGGGCAGACTGTTTGCGGACAAGAAGTTCGACGCTGAAGAGCAGAAATAATTAATCTGAAAGTGGAAAACCGATTACCTGACAAAGTCCTTTCCGAAATCATCGCTCTTCATCGCAGAAATCTTCTCGTGTATACGCTCATCGGTGTCTTCGACGTCACGGTTGAACGTGTGAACTTCCATGGCAGCCAGAAGTTCAGTTCGGTAGTGCGACAGTTGGCCAAGCAGAAGGCGCCACCTGTGAAACGGATCGATTCACGAGATTCAACACAGATTACTACACGATTACGTCTGCCACCGGGGGATGAAACAGACACCGATCTAGTTCCAGACGTATCCTTTTTTACCTCCAACTTACTTCTCATTAAGGTGTTGCTGCTCCTTCTGAACTTGATCTTTGCTGGTCCTTCCCTGCTTGACGAGCTTCTCTCCGAGGCGGTTGATCTCATCGAGAGTCTGTTCATCCACAGTCGAATCGGAACGGGTTCCATCCAGTCGCTCGAGCAACAGTCGGCAATGTTCCATGTCTCTTCCCATATCCGCAGTCGACACGAGCACTTCTTTTTCATTAATCCAAGAGAGAACATTCTCAACAAGTTGCTTGAAACGGAGCAAGTCTCTTGCTTCCTCGAGAGCTCTCGATTGGTCAGAGCACGCTCCGACAAGTTGACTCCACTTTGAACCGAGTTGACCGCAACGGTCTCCGATTTTCGGATTCCGATGAAGAGTGTTCAGATTCTGTCCACGTTGAAGAATTTGGTCGACGATGGTCTTGTTAGCGGCGACTTCCGCTTCGAGTGCTTGATGAGTCTGAAGCCGCTTCATCTTCTCCTCAATGGAGATGCTCTCGCTCGACTGATCGCGAGATTTGCGGATTCCGTTAGTTTTCTCGTCTATCCAGGCCTCAATTTGAGCAACGTCACTGTCAAACGATGCAAGAGCGAAGGCGTCTCCGAGCATTGCATGTCTCGCTTCGATATCTTCTCTCAACAACTTCAGCTCTTCATGAACCTTCGATTGCCACATTGCAATATTCTTCGACTCCATGTGACGTGCTTTCACCAGTTCGTTGGCAGTGTGGTCCAATGCGAGCGTTCTCTCGTCAAGAGTGGAGAGCGCTTTCTCGAAAGTGTCCAATCTCTTCTTCTGGCTCTCCACATCAGCCACAGATCCTCCGACGGCCAAACTGCGAAGAGTCGTTCTCTTAGATCCGATGGAAGCGATGATTTGCTTGGCTTCTCGTTGGAAGGCGTGCCACTGAACAGCTTGCGATAGGTATCCGTTTCGGAGAGTCCACTCATTCCGTAGTCTCTCGAGAGCAGTCTTCAGAAGTCTCGTCTTGTTCTTGATCTCTTCAGAAGCGTAATGCTGAGCACCAATCATCTTTTCACCATCAGAAACCAATCGTGTGAACTCTGGTTCTCTGGCGTCCATCTCGTGACTCAATCTGAAAGGATGTCATTTGAAACAGAATCACTTGAAAGCAGCTACCTGGAGTGCTCAGTTTGCAGCCATTCTGCTTGCTGGAGATCATTGATGTGCAGGTCGGATTGAATGTCGCTGATAGTCAAATCAGTCCAAGCGAGCAGGTCTCTGACTTTTCCATTGAAAGTGTGCAAATCGAACGCAGCTTTCAACATGTCCTTTCTGTCGTCAGTGGCGTTTCTCAGCTCGTCCCACTCTTCCTCCAACTGCTGCTGCCGATCTCCAATCTGCTCGGCATTTCCACCTGGATAGGTCTTCTTCAGTCTTTCCGCCTCCTCGACCAGCTTCTTGAGTCGTGGCTCCGCATTCTGTGTCTCCTTGTCGAGCGCTTCGTGCTGCTGCCAGAGAGAATGCACGTGCTTCACATCTCTTCCAAGATCACGCGGCATGTTAGCCATCTTGTCGGCCATCCATTGCTCGAACTCATCCACATCACGATGGAATCGGTGCAGTTCTTCAGCAACGGCCAACTTCGCGGTACGAGCCTCAATGTACTCGCACAGAAGATTCCATGACTTTCTCAGTTTCTCCTGTCTCTTGACAACATCTCTGGCAAATGGTGGGTTGCGTCGGAGAATGGCGTTGGCGGCAGTCTCGCAAGAAGTGAATCTCTCGCTTCCAGTCTTCACGCTTTGCTTGAACTCGTCGAACTTCGACTGCAGCTCCTTCAGATGCTCGTAATCCTCAGCAAAGTCCTCACACTCCGCAGTCTGCCGTTGCTCCTCGATCCATTGCTCCAGATCAGCGGATTCTCTCATGTATTCGTAGAGGCAAACCGCGTCTTCCAGGGCGTTTCTTCGGTCATCGGCAAGCTTGCTGAGAGCGTCGAATTCTCTCACCAACTCGTCTTGTCTCTTCTGGAATCGCTCAACATGTGGACGGTCTGAATCGACAAGCTCCGCGCATTTGGCCTCCAATTTCTCGAGCCATTGACGGTAAGTTGCCATATCTTCGCAGAGAGCTCGGTGCTTGGCAAGAAGCTTACGAGCGGCATCTTCGTCACTACCATAGTCCTCCGAAGCCAAAGCGTTTCTCTTCTCGTTCATCCACGACTCAACTTCAGCGGCATCAAACAGATATTGTTGTTCTTTCACTCCCCAATCAACAACGGCTCTTCTGGAGCGCAGAAGTCTTCTCAGTTCGCTCCATGCAGTTCCAGCTCTCCACTCTTGGCCTTGATCGGCGACGATGCCGGATGATGTCTTTTGACAAGCTCAGAAGCCTGGGCGAGAACTTTGTCGATTTGACCTCCATGCTGGTTGACTTCCGCCTCCAGTTGTTCCTGCTTCTTGACCATGTTGAGGGCCTCAGTCAGTGTGCGCCCGCAGTCTTGTGACGATGCGATTGGCTTCTTCTCGGCAATCCACTGCAGTTCGCAATCGACATCGAACACAAGTTGATGCCAGAGACGAGACTCCTCAAGATCTTCCTTTCGTCTTTTGGCTGGAACTTTCATCGCAGCGTATCGCTGGAGAAGATCATAGACAGTTGAGTGGATCTTGTCAGCATCGTAGTGTCCGTCAACTGCCATCTTCTTTCCGCGGTTTTCAATATCGCACAACTAAAAAATAAAAGACTGATTAATTTCAAAGCGCTCTTTTTCTTTACCTTGTTTCCGTACAATCCCATCTCTTGTTCAATGACCGTGTGCTTTTGGAGCAAGTCTTTGACGGATCTCAGATCGAGTCCTTGATCTTTCGAGTTGAGAGCGGCCTCCATCTCATCCAGCTTTGCATGCGCGTCTTCCAGAATTCTGTCGAGTCCCTTCTGGTCAGCAGCTTGCCTCAGTCGTTGTCCCTTGTTCCACACTTGATTCTTCAGATCTCCCCACTGACCATTGACCTGTCGAACGACTTTCTCCACATTCGGCGATTCGTAGTGCTTCTTTCCGACGAGCGCATCTCCTTCTCTGTTGATCTGTTGGATGCGCGGTTCGTTGGCAATGATCTCAGCCTCGAAAGCCTCGTGCTTTAGAAGACGGTGTGGAATGGCAGAAGGAGCCAAAGTGGCGTCGTCTCCACTGGCCACCAGCTTAGCCTTCTCGTGCATCCATCCCATCACTTCTTCCGCTTCACGACGCATCTCTTGATACTCCAAGGATGCTTCCAGTTGCTTCTTTCTCTGAGCAGCAGCACGTCGGACAGCTTCCCTCCGAGCAAGGACATCTCTTCTGCGTTGTTCGATGTAGGCAGAATCGGCATGATGAGCCTTGATCATGTCGTCAGCAGTCCGAGAGAATGCTTCTAGTCTGGCCTCTTGAGCATCGAGTTTCGCTTCCAAGTCGCGATGTCTTTTAAGAAGATTCTCGACCGATTCCACGGAATCTCCAAGATTATCGAATTCAAGGAATGCTTCATGTCCTTTGGTGGCGGCATCAATACGCTCCGATTCGCGGTTGAACAGCTGAAGATCGAGCTGCTGCTTGAGGAGAGTGTCACGACGACGATACAAGTCTCGAAGGCCGGCCATCTCGGTAACGAGGTACTGCAGTTGTTCTTCTACCTTGGGCATGCGCGGATTACGCTCCAGAAGACGACGTCCGAGTTCCTGGCAATACTCCACTTCATACTTTTTATCTTTGATCTGCTCTCCGAGTTCGTAGTGTTTCTTGAGAAGCTCCTCTGCTTCGGCTACGTCCACTGGATGCACATCCTCCAACATTCTCTTTCTCGTCTTCTCGATCCATGCATTCATGTCTTGAAGCGCGGATTCGAACATCTCCTTTCCTTGAGTCTGTTCGGCGAGCAGCATCTTCTCCTGAGCGCGTCTCAACAGATCAGCATGCAGCGCTCTTAACTCGGCAATCTTCCTCTCAATAGCCGCGGCTTCTTCTGGATGGTCTTTCTTCACAGCAGCAGCCAACTTCTCGAGAGCCGCAATTTTATCTTCCAACGGCTTCAAATCACGTTCCAAGTTTTGAAGACTTTTCACGTCATTCGGATTACGATCGAGCTGCTCAAACTTGCTGAGCATCCATTCACGAGCACTTTCGCAAGTTGTGTCAAAGTCAGCAACTCGCTCAGTGGCTTCCAATCGGACGGCGCGCTGCTTCCTCAGCTTCTCCAAATTCTCCCACATAGCGTTGATCTTTCTCTGTCGCGATTCGATCTGTCTCGATTGTCCGTGTCCTTCCGAAATCAGATCATTGGCGATGTCGTTGATGTGCTTCAATTGAGTTCCTCCATTCGTGCGCATATCCGCCTCCAGCTTGTCGAACTTTCTACGGAAAGCAGCCACGTGTTCCGGAGACGGCTCGTCCGCCAAAGACACCTCGATCTCCTTCGCCCACCGTTCAAACTCGTCACATTCGCGGTAGAAGCGGAGCAGCTTGATGTTATCAGTCAGAAGACGCCTTCGCACCTCCGCCAGTCTCTTCAACTCTCGGTAGTCTTCCGAGATCATCTGCTGCCGTTCGGCGACAACAGAGCTCTTCGCTTCGTTGCCCTCAATTGTGGTGGTCGTCTTCTGAGTTGTCTGCGTGACTGTCACAGATTCTCCGGGAATTGTCTTGCAATAGTTGGCAGGCACGTATCCCTCCATTCCGTCTCGTTTCAGAGCTCTCCACCACTCAGGGGTCGACTTCTCGAGCAATGCCAGGATCTCTCCCTTGGCGACGCGCATTCCGTTTCCTTCGTACTTGTACATCATCTCAATCTGCGGTACAGTCACTTCTTCCGTTTCCTGAACAGATTGGCTCGTGGTAGCAGTGTGGAAAGCGCTGTTGGCGAGTTGACTGCGCATTTCTTCCAGGCGCGTGATGTCATTCCTGAAAAGAATAGTTTGAATTTGGGACAAGATGTTTTGCATTGCTCACTTGTAGGCACGAATCTCCTCTTCGAGACGAGTGTGTCTCTGCAGAAGTGACTCGGCAGCTCCTTCGTCTCGTCCCAAATCATCCGATTTGACAAGTGGCATCTTCTCTCGGATCCATGATTCGGCCTCGTTCGCATCTTGAAAGTATTGCTGAGCATGGCGTGCTTCCGACAGCCAGTTTCCGAGCGCGTCGACAGCCACTCGCAATCTTTCCCATCCCTGGTTCATCAGAGTGAGGCGCTTCTGGATGTCTTCTTTTGATTGCCCGTTCTGCACCAATCGTTCTCCTCCGGCAATCATTCCTTTGCTGCGAGCCCAATGAGTTTGCATTTCCATCTCGACGTTCTTGTACAAAAGAGTGGTCTGCGGAACTGCCGAAATGTCTCCGCAGTTCAATGCTGTAGTGCAGAGCTTCTCTTTCTCGGCAAGCCAGGCCATTTCTTCCTCGTGATCCTGCACAAACTGGAACAAAGAGCGAGCACGTTCGAGAGCGAGACGACGAGAACGGCAAAGTTCGACGAGGGTGTTGTACTGAGCAGTTACTTCGTCGAGTTTTCTTTGGAGCACGTCGAACTGTTCCTCCTTGTGACGTATGTAGTTGTTGGCAGCTTGCGACAGCTTCGAGAGTAGCGATCCGTGAGCGTTTATCTGTGCATCTACCAGATCGTGCTTTTCAATAAGATCTTCGACGCCGATCAGATGTTTTCCGACGTCTCTGTTCCTGACTGCGGGCTCCAGAGTGTACAGCTCATTCGAAAGAGTGTCAATGTCACGGAGAAGTGACATCAAATCGTTGAGACTCATGAGAGCCCTCTTCCGCTGCTCCAACAACGCCAGCAGCTGTGTCCATCTGTCGATGATTTCTCTTTCCATTCCACGAATCTTGTCCGACTCGTGGTATTTCTCGGTGCAGAGCTCATTGCACATCGCCGTCAGCATCTTGAAGCGATCCTCGCGAGCAAGAATGTCGGTCGAGATGGCTTGTTGCTTCTTCAACGTCTTCTCAACCTGTGAAGCACTCCGTCCGTGTTCCATCTCCTCCAGAACTGCTTGCACTGAACGCAGCCAACTGTCTCTCAGTTTCGCTTTCTTGTGGAATCGCTGAGCAAGCTGCTCCAGTTTTTCTTGTCGTTGCATTTCCGCAATGATGGCCACTTGTCTCTCATTCTCGGCATAATCCAACTGAGCCCAGGCGGACTCGATGTCGTGCATGCACAGTCCCTGCGGTGGCTGATACTGTTTTCTGCTCATCGCCTTTCTCTTCGTCTGGATTGTGAAGAAGAGCGCCTCGAGCTCTCCTTTCTCCTTGTACTTCGGCGGCTTCTCGCTTGTCCGGAACTGATTGAACTTGGCGTGCTCATCGCGCATTCCATTCAACGAGTTCGGGAAGCGACGGGACTCCAATGTCTTGATGGTGACGCGGATCCAGTTGAGCAATTCAGAGGAAATGTGCTCATAGTCATCTTCCATTGTTTCCGAATCCATCAGTTTTCCGACAATCTGGAGAAAAACAGAGTTATCTATATAGCGACAGCGAAGAATAACTCACGTTAGCAATACGTCTGGCTCCGGTCATTTCTGTCTTTTGCTTGGCGAAGTGATGGTAGTAGAGGGACACGTAAGTGATGATGGACTTCTCATCAGGTCTAGTCACATCGACGTCTTCGGCGTCCAACAGACGTGCAATCTCCAGCTTCTTCTCGGCCACATCGAAGGCGTGATTGAGATTGGCCACGTGGTCCGTCGGATTCAGTCGATTGAAATCGACAAGATCCGGACGATGGGAATGAATGAGAGCATTGAAAGCGAGTCCATTTCTCCAGCTCGTTGTGAAGTTCTCAATGCGAACATTCGGATATCCAGCCGTCTTTCTCTGGCACCACAAGAGCAGAGCGTCTTTCGCGTGTTTCCGTTCGCCACGTTCCTCTTCATCCTGAAATACAACCGTTTTCATCACTGCTTACTCGTTTTTATGCTTACCTCAATAACAATAGTGTCAATCTGGAATCGGAGAATGATCGTCCAAATGAGACCCAGAATAAGTCTCTCGTTCCGATCCAGAATATCTTCGGCTCCAATATTTTCCAATTGGATTTTCTTTTTCTTCAAAAAGTCGAGCACTTTGTTCAAGTTCTCCACTTTCTGCACACGCATCCGGCCACGATTCGGTTTTCCGAGTTTGTCGCCAGAGATGATCTCGAGCAGCTTCATGAGCAGAATTCCATCGCCGACGTCCACGAACAAGTCGTTGATCTCCAACCTTGCCTAAAAATGCGATTCTCTTGTTCTAATAGTCTCGTTTGATGTTCGTTTCAGTTCTCAATTAATCTCCTCTTGACCTCTCTTTCATTCTCCGGACGTTCATTTCTGCAGAAAGAGAACTGATCTCATCAGGAAGATAGAAAAATCTGCCGCGCGCAAGGTCGCCCGCGTTACTTGGTCGTTGCATTCTTATTCTCCGTAAACAATTCCCCTTTTCCGCCCCCGTCTAATTGACCCCTCTTTTCTCTCGTTCGTGCTAATTATAACAATCGCACAACCACCTCTCGCCTCACGACTTACCCGATTAAGGAAGGAGTTGCACCACTTGGTGAACGTCTTCTTCTGGATGTGCACACGCTCGTCTTGCAGTGTTCGGATGCGCGATCTCTCGAAGTAGAGCGTTTCGTTGTTGAACTCATCGTTGTCTGCGGCACTGGCGTCCGCGCGGATCGGTGGTGCTCCGCTCGTCGGCACTCGTACCTGCAAAAAAAGAACGTTCGAATGCGTCGTCTTCCGGTCTCATTTCTGCTGTTTCGCTAAGGCGCCAAAATTTGGTTACAAAAAACAAATATTGGCTTGCAAATGTGAGCGCGTTTTGACAGCATAGCCTGCCTTATCGGGAAACACACGAGCCCGCCGCAATGATAATAAACAGAACGAGAGCCCGGCGTCAGCTGACTCCTCAATCCAGCTGGATTCCGCCCCGACTCTTTCATGAGTAATGCTGGAACGTGCTATGAGTCACAGGGAGGAACCAAGACGATGATAAATGAATCGGTCTGTTCAATCAGCAACCTCTGTTACCGACGTCTGCTCCTCAGTCACCGGAGACAATCTCGGCAGAGTTTTCGGTTTTTCAGCCGGCGAAAGAGACGAAGATTTCATGGAAATCGAATAAATAAGCGTTTTGGGCATTTTCGTTGAACAGCACACCGATTAGAATGGGAAATAAAGTTTAGGTCATGTAAACTTTGGGAATTTTCGAACGGCTTAGCCGGGTGGGCTGCGGTTGTTTCAAATCCGATCAACGCCAATTATAATAGGTTTAAAGAGATGTCTAGTCTTTCAATAAGATTATTTTAACCAACAAGTACTCACCTGCATTTCGTACTTTCTCATTGTTTCACTGTCTGTGTTGTCTTCCGGATTCTCGCCGGCTCCGAAAAAGTCGTGTTTCTGATGTTGATGATAGTCGCGATACTGGTACGGTTTGACGTCTCCAGCGGCACTGCTACTCGTCGTCTGATAGTCGTTCTCAGATAAATCCCGCGGTCGTCGCAAGTGTTCGAAGTCGACGTTCTCACGACTTGGCGCGATCTCCTTACGGTACCCTTCTACCTTGTCTGAAATAAAAACGGGTTTTTAGCGTCAGAAGAAAAAAAAAAGATACAAATTTGATATGTTGAGAAAGAACATTGTACTCATGAGTTTAAGGTTTTCATGCAGTGGGTGGATGGGCGTTCCCCAAGTTTATTACAACTGATAACATCGTTTTATCACAGCAAGACAAAACGAAATGAGTCATTCCAGAAAGATGCTCGGTTAGTTACTCAACTCATTAGTGACCTCGATGAGAGCGGGAAGGGATTAGGCGGGTGCTCCCAGACAGAATGTTTATTGGAAGGACCGGGGTACAACTAGAAAGACATTCCGTCCACTGGACGACTAGGTTCAACTGGTCGTGCATGCAAATGGGGAAATGCCAGAGACTCTAGCAGAGAGACAGTGATTCACCGTCGGGCACTGTCAGTCAAAAAGGAAAGAAGAAGGGGGAGAAAAGCGCGTGTTGACTCGCCAACACCAACACAACCTATCAGTGTGCCCTTTTTCCCTTTCACGGTCCTGTGCGCTCTGCTGGTATGCACTCTGTGACGGTGGTGGTATGCAATGTTGCATATTTACCCCGCTTCTCTCTCTCTCACCCTCCCAAATAAAGAAAAAAGCCACAGGCGAAGCGCGAAGGGACACACAAACACATAAACACACTAAAAATATGATGAAGAAATGATGACTTGTTGTGGCAGACATTTTTTGAGGAACAATCCGTCTTATCAGTGTTAAACTTTGGACCACCGTGCCGAAGCATTTTTAGGAATGTCCGGAATTTCAAATGTTTCGAAAGTGGAAAAAATGCACATACCGTTTAGATTTCGAACTGTTTTTCCTTCTCCGGGCGAATAACTCGCCGCAAAGGAGACGTACGACATTGTTTCTGCTGACAGAGCACGAAACAGGGACTAGAATTAGAAAGGTAGTAATACAAAGTAGTAGCCGTCTCCGCCGTTCTGACCAGTCTCGACAATCCGTTCGATTCTTGTCAGATATGGCGCAAAAGGGTCAAGGAAACACCGCGACACAGTAGCGGTTTCCTCCTCCTCCGGAGGTACCCTCTTATATAATCTTTATCTCCTCTCGGTCCGATTCGTCCGGCGTTCGTTTTGGACGCCCCGTCTTTCTCGGGTCTCTCTATACAGTAGACGATGTCCCGTCCGATTATGACGAAGAAGTAACGAAGGTGCCGACGTCTTGACGAGAACCAAATCGCATCGATCGGCGCGACGGATAAAAAGTATGGGGCGGCGGAGAGTGGACAGACGGAAAGAACGGAAGGAATGTTCGGCAACAATTGAGTGTCCGAAATGGGCGAGAAATCGAGGATTCCGGTGGTGGCGGCAGCAGCAAACACAAAAATAGCTGGCCGCCAGTGGGGGCACTCAAGTTCAAACATGTCCCTTTCGAGAGCTAGGAACACCGCTTTTTGTGCGGATCCACCCCGAATCCTTCTTTTTTGTTTCGACTAAACACCCGATAAAAGATAAGTGTTTTTTCTCGACAAACGACTTCATTCTTACAATAATTTTTGACACAGGGGGTTAGAATTGCCTTTTACATGGCATAAGGTACCTACGAAACGAAACTTTTGCCGTTTCTCTCATCCAAACACACACCCACGTTTCTTTTCGAACTTTTCGCCCCATATACATTCCTATCCGTGTATTTATGATGAGTACGCCGGTTGAGTTCGTCTGTCAACACGGATGCGTCAACTCTGACACATTTCCCGATGTACCGAATTGGTGTATACTAGACCACGGGCGGACATGATATCGGAATGATTTATGGAAGTAAATGTGGCGGAAACTGCTTTTTCGGTTGAATATACAAAGGATAAAAGAGGAGTGAAACCGAAATCATTCTCTTCAAAATTTGAACACGATGATATTTGTTTGCTATTTGAAAATGAGCAAAAGGCAGTAAGAAGTCTCTTAGTAATTTCAAAGCGACAAATGGCATAAGAATGAATGTTTTGGAGTGAATCCATAGTTTGCAATGAAACCAAAACGCAAACCGGTTACCCGAACGACGAAAAATTCAAAAGTCGACTCGAAAACTTTGTAGGCGCAACAAAGAAGAACCGAACAATACGACCATAAGAACTGGCGACAGAAAGAGAGCCAACACCGAAACGAAGACCTCGAAAAGTCGATAAAACAGTGAGAAAACACGCGTTTTTGGCAGTGAAACGGAAAATGCGCCCTCTCTCCATGGCCGCCTAATTCGGTGTATCTGGTCGGCCGATCAGTTGGACGAAATCTCGAGAAAACTGTCACCCCGCCGTTTGTCCTCCAGCCAATTCAACTTGTATTCAATTCAAAGTTGGAACAAAAACGTGATAAGTTTAGTAGTATCGGGGGTGAAGGAGGGGCGAGTGCGAGGAGGAAAGTGCGCATAACCTTGTGCCGGACAGCGAACAAAAAGTGCTAAAGGGTCGGGTATGAATCGGCGCCAGATGTGCTACAAATGGCGGAAGCGAGGAGCGGAGAAATGGATGAATGAAAGGACCGGAAGGGAACTCGCATATATTAGAGTGGGAGACGGTTGAGTTTTCACAGTTTCGCTTCGTTTGGTTTAACGTTGGAAACTGCCGATTTACATATTTCAAAAGGCCGAAACTAGATGAACCGGAGTCTATTTCAGTTGGAGAGTGCCGCTCGCAAAGCGCCAAGGACATTGGGAATTTTGAATTTCGTGAGGCGCGGGAAAAAGGAAGACAGTGACAAAACAGTAAGATGAGAAGACAGACGAGGTCGGAAAGATCGATTTCCGATGTAATTAGCTGTGTTTTGAAAAGAGCGCAGAAGAACGTTTGCTTTTTGGCATTTAAGATCAAAAGTACAAATATTTTTCGCAGAAAATGTACGACTGTGTTTAGCAGCTCCCCAAATGTAGCCACCTTGAAAATGAGTTCAAGTTAGGAACATGTTTAGAATTTGAGTATAAAAATCACAGCTCTTTTTGAAGTTGACTAATTTACGGTCGCAAATTTGAAAATGAACATGTGAAACGTGGAAAACCGCGTTGAAAAACAAATTCAAACGACGCGGCGGCATGGGAATGTGTGCATGTGCGCGTGACGGTGTTTGCGGAGTCGTGCAAGAAAATACGTGGCAACACAAAAAAATTTTTATCTAAATACGATACACCAAATGAATAACGCACTGTAAATATTTACAGAGAATAATTGATTGAACCGAATCGAAAAATGGTTTGATTGTGAATGACCCGAAAAATATAAATCTCATTTGCAAACAAGAAGAGTTCACAACAAGCGTCCGAAGAGAAAGCGAATGGAAGAGCCGGCGCGAAGAGGAGGAGGAGCACATAAAAGTGGACTGGCGCCGCTATGAATTAGCGGCTTTTATGAGTGGTCTGCAGCAGTGAGCTAGCCATCTGCCCTCGACGCACTTCGAACCGAGAGGACAGAATCTGAATGCTAGCGAACATCGGATTAGTGGAATTTGAAGGGATTACTCACTTGTGGGCGCAACTTCGGCCGAGCAGCTCTTGCTCTCCGTACCAAACGGATTCGGTCACCACCTCGTGACTCGGGATTGAGCACTTTGGATGATTCTCTTGGATCCAGGCATCTGAAAAAAGGTTATCGCAACTTGTGATTCATAGCGAGAACACTGACGAACACTCACCCTGAATCTGCTCATCGCAACACAATCCCAGTCCGAATGCCATATTTATGCATCTGGATCCCTTGGGACATGTCTTGTTTCTCTGAGAACAACTGGCGTACGCCTTCGAACCTCCTCCACAAATTCCTTTATCTGCTATCAAAAACCGAAATGTAAGAGGAAGCGCATTTCAGAGACACAAAAAGAAACCTGCTCGACATCTCAAATTGCACAATTCCGAGTCGTCGAACCGATTCGAATTTCCGCCGCATCCTTCGTATAGGAACGGAAGACACATTTCCAGTTTCTTGTCAAAGTAGTACTGTAGCAAGGGGAGCGTTGTGGTAGACATGTTGATTCACAATTATTACCTTGACTTCTTTCAGTGGTTTCGCGCACTTTGAATTTCCCCGATTCGGTGGCTCATTACAGTGTTGGCACAGTGAAAACGGAAGAAAAAGGATGGGAACTAGGAGAAGCCGAGAGGCATGCATGATTTGTACCGGAAAACTGAAAATGAGGGGAGATCGTAATGATCAACAGCAAATATCTCGGGTGAGTGCGAAGGAGGCAAACAATGTGTAGTCGTTCCTGCCTCGATGCGTCGCACAGATAATAATTCGGTAATTGGGTAGAGTAGGAAGTGGGCGATCGATTCGAATGACATGGAATCTCGCTGCCATGACGTGCCCTTTTTCTAGCTTCTTTTTCTTCTCGTGTTAATTATTACACTTATACTCTTGAGAGAAAGCGGTGAACGATCGAAAATCGAGTGCCGACGGTGTGTTCCGTGTTACGACACAATATCGGAGAAGGCGTTCACTCGGCCAGAAACTTTTGAGGTCTGAACTCTTGGTTATCCGACCGGGACCCAACTGCCAAAAGTTCGGCTTTTTCACCGGATCAGATAATCCGATCGGTCTGAAACTTGGACCCAAGATACTTTAATCCAGGTCTAAGAAGCCTGTAGTAGCACAGTGTTTTTTTTTTTGTTGAAATTTGACATAAACTTCAAATATTATTCATACAATATCATGTAACTTCTGGAAGTGTCGGCCTGAGCGGCAACTGCTTGGCCACACTCGATTCGAGGACTTCCGAAGGGAACAGAGCGTTTCTGAGAAGACTGAGCCTATCGTTGAACATAATCATGACAAAACTGAAATCCGACTTCATTGGAGTGCACGAACAGAGTAATTTACCCATCGACTACGTGCACAGTCTGCCAAACAAAAGAGCAGCAAATGAAAAACCAGAAGCGGTGGTCGGAGAGTCCGCTGAAATAAACACATTCGGTTGATTGAGCTAATTGTGGGGAACCTCATCTGAAATGTGAAAAAGTTGTCGACGAAAAAGAGAGCATCCTGAAGGACTGTCTGGCAGAAGATGTTCATGTTTTTCCGGACACGTCTCCAGTTGTCCACGTCATGTCGAGAGCCCAATATCTGCAAAACGTGCTGATTATATGTAGGAATGTTTTCAAGAAAAGTTTAGGCGCATAATTATTGCCTCGGCTGCTACTTCAACTGCTGGAATAAGCTTTTAAGACACCTACGGGTCACAATAGTTTGGCTTACCAGGTAAAAATGAGTGATTTTTCCAAACGTGCAAATGTTGGCAACAAGAGCCACGCCGAACATGAAGGCGAACTTGAGAACCATCCCATCGGCGGAAACTTCTGTACCGCCGAACATTAGGAATTCAGCAGAGAAGCTGACAAACGTCTGAAGCTCTGAAACTTGAAAGCGATAATAGTCAATTGCGAATCGTCTTACGAATTCTGTAATATGTCTCGAAAGCAGTATTCTGAAAGCGATCGGCGTAGAGGAAGAAGTGAACTAGAAAAGTGGCTCCGATTCCACACAGCTTATTGTACTTTGTCGGGAAGAAAACGGCGATAAAACGGTTGATTGAGATGTAAATGCTTTGGAATTCGTTAAAGATATAAAAGTTGAGACTGAGGCCAATGAGGAGAGATTCCAGCCAGGCGGGATAAAGAGAGAAACCTCTGGAATTGAGTGGAATCAAGAATACAAGTTCTGTGCAAGATACAGAAGAGCTCCGGGAATGAAGACGAGAAGGAATCCAGTTGTGAGCACGGCAATGTTATTGACAGCTCGAATCGCACACATCAGGTTGAAAGAAGTCGTTCTCTGTTGACTGTCAATTATGAAGATGTACAGGATGGCTCCGCCGAGCAAAATACCGAGGAAGCAATTCTGAAAGTGACGCGGTCATTTACAGTTCTAGACAAGTTTCATTCTATTCACAATGGACATCAGGAATGCCGCGAGGGTGTTTGGCCAACTTCTGTAGTCGAAATATTCGGGAGACGGGGAATTCATCCTGCCGCGAGATGTGAATAATATGTTTTTCGTTGACAAACGGAGAAAAAGGCGCACGCGGCGAGCGAAGTTAAAGGCGCAGCGACTTAGGAGGAGGCGAGGGTCTCGAAGCGAATTGCACCAAGCGGTCGCGGTAGGCGGAATTTGAATTCGAAAAGTCATTCTACGGAATTAGCAAGGTCGTTTTTCGTTTGATTTTGACAGATTTTTGTTGTGTTTGTTCTTTTTTCGAAAGTTTTGTGTTAGAAAATTGGGTATTTGACGAGAAATTCGTCGAAAATCGTGAAATTTTCCGCTAATTACGTATTCTTCGTGCGCCCGGAAGGGCAAATCAGAATTTTTAGGCACTTTTCCGCGTGGATCAGGTTGTGCGAAGATGGGAGACAATGAGGATGAGCAACGGGACCCGAGTCAGTGGATGAGAGCGTTTGGAAGAGAGATGAAGGAGGAGATGTCCAAGATGATGGCGATGATCGGATCGCAGAAGAAGGCGGAGAAAGTGGAAGAAGAAAAAGCGCCGAAGGTGTCATCGAAGGGAGTTCAGAAGAACCTCGACTTCAACTACAAGCTCAAGAACGTGCTCGCAAGAGTGACGGACGACGACGATTGGAAGGAGGCTCGGAAGGAAGTGCTGGAGATGATCAAGGTCAGAAACGCGGAACTGGTGATGCTCGCAGCGGATCCGGGAATGCTTCTGCAGAAGGAGAAACTCGATTCGCTGAAGGCAATGGCCGGAGGTGCGGACAGTGCGGACATGACGTCGCTTCTGCTGCTGTCGCAGATGAACGCCAACAAAGCCGGTGGCTCGTCGGAAGCGAAGAGGCGAAGGCTCGACTCGGACGAGGAGGAGAAGCGGCGGTGGTTTCGATATGAGGGTACCGCCAGAGGCCATGGTGGTGCCCGTCAAAGTGGAGGCCGAGGAGCGCAGAGAGGCGGAGAGCAGCCAAAGAAGTCGATCAAGTGCTTTCGGTGCAACACGTTCGGTCATTACGCCAACGAGTGTGATCAGAAAAGGTGAGGGATTCCCAGATAGGTTATCCAGGGCCATCGACTTCTGGGAGAGGAATTGCCGGACAGATTGGATTCTGAGCGTGATAGAATCCGGGTTTAGGATTCAGTTCGACGAGAGTGTGATTTTGCCGGAGCCGCAGGGCATGAGGCCGTCGGTAATGAGACACAGCGAATTCGTTTTTGCAGAAATTAAGAAGCTGATCGGCCAGAAGGTGCTCATCATGTCGGACATCGAGCCGAGATGTGTGTCGCCACTGCACGTGGTGGAACAAGGTGAGAAGAAGAGAATGATCTTGGATCTGAGTGAATTGAACAAGTGCCTGGCTCCTCCTCCTCACTTCAAGTTAGAGAACATGAAAACGGCGTGGCCTTTCCTAGAAAAAGCGAGTTTCGCAGCAACGTTTGATTTCAAATCGGGGTATCACCATGTCATGATTCATGAAGAGTCGCAAGACTTGTTAGCCTTTTCGTTATCTAATCCACCCGAGGCTCCATATTTTATGTTTAGAGGGTTACCCTTTGGGTTAGCAACCGCCCCGTGGCTGTTCACGAAACTTTTCAAAACGCTAGTGCATAAGTGGAGAGCGGGGGGCATGAAAGTGATACTGTACCTGGACGACGGTCTCATCCTAGGCGAAACGGAACGAGAAGTGGAAGAGGCGGTTGAAGTGGTGAGGAAGGACCTGGAAGAGGCAGGAGTGTGTGTAGCCGAAGAGAAATCGGTTTTGGACGCCATCGCCAGTGTTCACATGGCTGGGATACAGAGGCGATCTGTTGGCGAGAGAAGTCCGTGGGACTGAGAGAAGGATGACCGCGTGGCGGCGTGCTCTGGAGGAGCTGAGGAGGAGCCCGGCTCCGTCGGTCCTGGACCGAATGAAGTTTCTTGGATGCCTGGCATCATTTGATGTTGTTGCAGGAGATGAAGGTGTAGCCATGGCTCGGCATCTGATGCAGAAGGTCGGTGAGGCCCAGAAGAGGAGAGTGTCGATGACGACGAGGAAAAGGAAGTCGGAAGGTGAGGAGAGAGAACTGCGATTCTGGAAAGGAAGAGGTGAAGAAGTGCTGAGAAGACAAATAGAAGAGAGAGAGGTGGAAATCGATTGGTTTCTGTACACCGACGCTTCCGCTAAAGGAATCGGCGCGGTGCTGAAGGATAAGAAAAGGAGAGACAGTCTGGAAGATGACAGAGAGAGGAGACGCGGAATTCGAGAGGGAATCGAGGCGCGATGAGGGAACTGCGAGCCGTAGAGTGGGCCACGGCCAAGTTGAGAAGAGAGTTAGAAGGGAACATCCAGGTGTTGGTGGACAGTCAGGCAGCGGTCAGCATTCTGAGACGAGGTTCCATGAAACCGGAGCTGCACGCAATTGCGGAGAAAGTGTGGGAGAACCTGCAGAGAGTGGGGGGAAGCGAGTTTTTGTGGATTCCGAGGGAACAGAATTGCGAGGCCGACGAGGCAAGTAGAAATTTTGATTTCGATGATTGGGGAGTGAACGAGAGGGTGTTTAGCCTTGCACAGAGACTGTGGGGGAAGCTAGAAGTAGACTGGTTCGCGGACGCGAAGAACAGGAAGACGAGGTTGTTTTTTTCCAGATATCCAGAACCGGAAACCAGCGGAGTCGACGTCTTCGATCACATCGGAAGAGCCAAAGGAATGGGATTTTCTTGGTGGGTACCCCCTCCGGTACTCATCCCGAAATTGATGGGAGTTGCCCGAAAAGAGCGCTTGCGAGGGGTTTTGGTGGCGCCAGTCTGGAAAGTCATCCGTCTTTCCAGGCACTGGTAGATGGTAGAGGAAATTTCATCAGGGCAATTAAAGATTACCTGATTTACGAGAAAAACGACGAGATTTTCGTGCCGGGGGAAGGTTCCAGATATTGTGAAGCGACCAACTCAAAATTTTGTAGATCGAAATTCATTCTGGCTTTAGTCGACTTCAATTAAAAAAGGCCCCGGGCTTTGCAAGTTGTTTCTACCTAACTTATTCCCAAAAAACCTACTTGTTCAATAAAGGCTGTAAGATGAACCTTTTCCTTTTTCGGAGTGAGGAATCAGAAAAACATATTCTCTAGTAGCGCAGCGAAAAGAGAATAATATGTTTTTCGTTGACAAACGGAGAAAAAGGCGCACGCGGCGAGCGAAGTTAAAGGCGCAGCGACTTAGGAGGAGGCGAGGGTCTCGAAGCGAATTGCACCAAGCGGTCGCGGTAGGCGGAATTTGAATTCGAAAAGTCATTCTACGGAATTAGCAAGGTTCCCGGCCCACCCACCCAACAAGAGAATGAAAACGAGTGTAAAATGGTTGCAGAGGGCGCGAAACGACAGTATGTCAGAGATTTGGAGACGCAGGCGGGACCTCGGATGCAACATCTCATCGACGCGCTGAAGCTCGTGCCGTACGAGTCGAAAGCCACGTCCACGGCGAAGGCCTACAGAGCGGAAAAATGTCAAAAAGGAGCGCTTGGATCGAGACGATGCAGCTGCCGAAGAACGAGTCGTCGTTCCTGCTCTACCTCGTGGAGCGTGGGAAGAAGATCGGAAGCAGTGCTATGTCGAAGATCTCGGCGGCGTATCAGGTGGCCAATGAAGGTTTTTTTCCAAGATCGGCGGGACGTTTGTGACGGACATCATCAAGATGAAGAGAAGACTCGAGATTCCGATGAAAAAAAGAAGCCAGTAGAGGTGACTTTGGAGGACATTGAGACGATCACGCAGCGAGCGATGCAGTCAAACAGACCGGCGAGCGATCGGGATGCCTTGCTGGCGATCCTGTCGTTCCGCGTGATGCTGCGAGCGTCGGAGGCGGCGGAGATCAAGTGGGACGGCGTCACGCAAGCAGGAGATCTGATTGAGGTAGTTGTGGAGAAGGCGAAGAACGATCAGATGGCTCTGGGACGTCGTTCGTTTTTCAACTACGAACCGGGCAGCGATGCGGACATTCTGATGTGCAGATGGAGACTTCGCTGCAAGGAGAGGGCATGCGAGTACGTGTTCTCCAATCTGGAAGGATCCAAAAAGGCTGACGAAGCAGTCGATCTCGGCCCTGGCTTCGAAGATGCTCAAGGCGATCGGGAAGTCGGGAGCGACGCACCACGGATTCAGGAGAGCCGGAGCGAACTACTTGCGAGCGCAGGGACATTCGATGGACGAGATCAGGTGCCGAGGACGTTGGAGATCGATGGAGGGGCTGCAGCGGTACTTGAAGGATGTTCCGGAGGCGCAGGGATGCAGGCGAGCGGTCAAAGGAGTCGGAGGAGACGCAGACGAGTCCGAGTCGGACGAAGAATGAGCTCTTTCGCCAAATTTCTCGTATCTGTACAATTCGTTTGTTGTGTTCGCACATTTCGTTTGTTTTAGTTTTTGACTGAGTGAGAATATCGTGTAATATTGAGTAGTAATTGTCAATTGTTTGTGTGTTTTTTTGTGCGTGAGAGCCCAGTTGGCTCGGTTAAAACGACCTAACTTATTCCCAAAAAACCTACTTGTTCAATAAAGGCTGTAAGCTGAACCTTTTCCTTTTTCGGAGTGAGGAATCAGAAAAACATATTCTCTAGTAGCGCAGCGAAAAGAGAATGTGTATTCTGTCACGTTTTACACCAGCAAGTCTCCTTGATTACATGTTGCTCGCCAGTTCGAAAACTCAATTACAGGTTTATTTTGCTGGCAACAAGAAGAGATCATGTCTCGGGAAGGAAGCAACAAGACACTAGTTTTACTTTTTTTTTTGTGTTTCCAATGACCGCCGAACCACCGCCTCCACTCTAGCCAGTGACCGAATCCTTGCCGAACGCACAAACTGTACCCGTAGTTTTATCAAAACATAATAGATGTTACTGACACTACACTCTGATAAAACGTTTTTGTGTTGATAAGACGACAAGAGAATGTGTTATCCCACACAGATAGATCCGCCCCGAATCGTGGCCAGCACATTGTCTATAAAAGGAGGCCCACTCTGTCCGTCTGAACACTTTGCAATGACAGTTCATATTCCTACATCTCAACGTGCGCTCATCTTCGAGAACTATAACGGTCCCCTGACGATCCGGCAAGTTCCTGTGCCCGAGCCGGCCGACGATGAACTGCTGGTGAAGATCGAGTATTCCGGCATCTGTCACTCGGATCTTCATGCCTGGCTCGGTGACTTCCAGCAGAGTTGCATTTTGCCCCTGATCGGAGGTCATGAAGGTGCTGGAAGTGTCGTCAAAGTCGGCAAAAAGGTCAACGGATGGAAGATCGGAGATCGAGCTGGGATCAAGGTGATAATTGAATCGACTGCCGAAAACTTTGTTTCATTTCAAACGCATTTCCGTTTCAGCTAGTCAACTTCAACTGTCTCAACTGCGAGTTCTGTAAGAAGGGACATGAGCCGCTCTGCCACCACATCCAGAACTACGGGTTCAGCTGTCACGGAACATTCCGCGAGTACATCACAATCAGAGGAGTCGACTCGATTCGAGTGACGAACGAAATGAACTTAGCAGCCGCGGCGCCGATTCTTTGCGGAGGAGTGACTGCGTACAAAGCACTGAAGGAGACGGACGTGAAGCCGGGACAGACTGTCGTGCTGACGGGAGCCGGCGGAGGACTCGGATCTCTGGCGATCCAGTACGCGAATGCGATGGGAATGCGGGTAGTGGCAGTGGATCACAAGAGCAAGATGGAACACTGCAAGAGCCTCGGAGCCGAGTGGTTCGTCGATGCGTTCGACACTCCGAACATTGTGGAGCACATCACGAGAATCACCGAAGGAGGCCCGCACGGAGTCGTCAACTTTGCGGTCGCCAAGAAGCCGATGGAGCAGGCACTGGAATACGTGCGAAAGCGGGGAACAGTTGTGTTTGTTGGCCTTCCGAAAGACTCAAAGGTGCTCAGTTCCCTTTGCAACTTTTAACATTTCATTTCGTTTTGCAGGTCACTTTTGACACAACACCGTTCATTTTCAATGCGATCACAATGAAAGGCTCTATTGTCGGCTCGCGAATGGATGTGGACGAGGCGATGGAATTCGTGGCTCGTGGAATTGTGAAAGTCCCGTTAGAACTAGTGAAACTGGAAGACGTTCCGAGTGTGTACAAGAAGATGCAGGAGGGAAAAGTGAACTCACGAGCTGTCGTCGACTTCTCATTGTAACATTCATGTATACATCTCCTGTTTAGAAACATGTTTTCTTCAATTCAATTCGTTTGCAATGTCGCAAAATATAAGAACTTTCATACTTATACATTTATTGAGAAAGATTTATTTTCCGTTTTAGTAGGTCAGAAACAAGAACCGCGTAATCAAGCAAACTTAGTAGGTCATATTGGGATATATACAAATTGAGCAAGTGGTGGGGGTGTGGACATAAAGCTATACAATCATTTCTAGCGATTTACAAGGAGAAGTCGACGACGGCGCGAGAGGTGATCTTTCCGTCGATCATCTTTTGGTAAACAGCTGGCACGTCCTCGAGACGGACCAACTCGAGCGGCACCTTCACGATTCCGCGGGTCACGAACTCCATGGCCTCGTCGACGTCCAGGCGAGATCCGACGATGGATCCCTTGATGGTGACGGCGTTGAAGATGAACGGGGTGGTGTCGAAGGTGATCTGGAAGAAGGGAGAGATAGGCTAGAGAGCGAGAGAGCGAGAGAGCGAGAGACTCGGAATACTCACCTTGGAGTCCTTTGGAAGTCCGACGAAGACGACGGTTCCGCGCTTTCTGACGTACTCGACGGCCTGCTCCATTGGCTTTTTGGCGACGGCGAAGTTGATAACTCCGTGCGGTCCTCCATCGGTGAGCTTGGTGATGTGGGAGACAATGTCCGGGGTGTCGAAAGCATCGACGAACCACTCGGCTCCGAGGCTCTTGCAATGCTGCTGCTTGCTTCCGTGGTCCATGGCGACCACTCTCATTCCCATGGCATTAGCGTACTGGATGGCGAGCGATCCGAGACCACCTCCGGCTCCAGTGAGCACGACGATCTGTCCTGGTTTGACGTTGGACTCCTTCAGAGCCTTGTAGACGGTGACTCCGGCACAGAGGATCGGGGCGGCGGCGGCCAAGTTGGTATCCTTGTTGATCTTGGCGGCGTCGACTCCACGGATGGTCAGGTACTCTTGGAAGGTTCCGGAGCGGTCGAATCCGTAGTTCTGGATGTGGTGGCAGAGCGGCTCGTGTCCCTTCTTGCAGAATTCGCAGTTGAGGCAGTTGAAGTTCATGAGCTGCAAAGAAACATTTGATTATGAGCTGAGAGAAGCTGAGCTCTCACCTTGACTCCGGCCTTGTCTCCGAGTTCCCATCCGGTGACGTTCTTTCCGACTTGAACGACGCTTCCAGCTCCTTCGTGTCCTCCGACGAGTGGGCAGACGCTCATTCCCTTGAGGTCTCCGAGCCAGACGTGGAGGTCGGAGTGGCAGATTCCAGAGTATTCGATCTTGACGAGGATCTCATCGTCGGCTGGCGATGGCACCGGGACTTGTCTGACCTCGAGCGGTCCGTTCCAGGTGTCGAAGACGAGGGCGCGTTGGGTGGCTGGGATATCGACGGTCATGTTGAGATGAGGATGAAGAGGGCTACTTCGGATTCGGAGAGTCAGAAGCGATGAGGTGCACTGGCCGGCGGCTCCCCTTTTATACGCCACGTGTTGGCAGTGTGGTGGGCGGAGCTTCGCGGCTGCCTGAACTATTTGAACACGTGCTTACTGTGTAAAGGTGCGGAGAACGATCATGAAGATGCCCTCCGTCGGGCGCACGCTCTCTCTCGCTTATCAAAGTCGAATCAGCAGAAAGCACGTGTGGATCGGCGATGGACACGGTCAACGGAGGAGGCGCTGTGGAGGCTGATCGCATTGGACCCAAGGTGGAAAACACGCTGGAGGCGGAGCTGTGTAAACGAGATGGAGAGATGGCGAAACTAGAGAGATTCCAGGTTCGGATGATGGAATGAGTTTCGGAAGGGATCTTTGGTTGTGATTGCTTGATCCATTACGATCAGATTGTCGTCAACACTTTTTGGTCTCAAACCATACTCATGCCTTCTAAGAGAAGAATTCTGTAAACAACACGAATAATGGTCTTCTGCAAGAAATCAGTAAGAATTCAAGAGATTATGTCTGTTGTTTAAAGGATATTCGCTTTGCCTCGAATGAATCTAAAGTTGAAGGGTACGACTTTACCGTAAAAACTGTAACAGAAGGGCACCTCGAAGGGCATTGTTCATTCATGACTTTTATCTCAACTGTTTAGTTGACAACGTTTTGACATCTGTTCAGAAAACTGCTCCTTTGTTACAGTTTTTGCAGTGTGCTCTCAGTTCTAACTGGGCACATCCGATGAATTAATTTTTTCTTTTACTCATCAATCTTGTAATGCAATAGTTTTCGCTTTACGGTTGACCCAATCAGAGCACCATAGAAAGTTGTTATCAATAAAAAGTTTGTCTGACTGTGCGTAGTGCTCAAGTTCTAATTGTGTCTGACTCTTCAGGTTCGAATCGTTCTTAATACAATCCATAATTGTTCTAGCTAGAGAAATGTGCAAAAATACTGCATCCCAATCTATTCAGACTTAATTCAAGCACACTGGACCTTCTAGGTTTGTTGAAGTTTCAGGGTGAAACAGATTCCGACGCTCCAGAAGCTCCAGAAGAAGCCTGACATCATCAGGATCAAACTGTTCAATGGTCTTCTTTCACTGATTCTCCTTTTGTTCCCTATCATCTCTTTTCGTACACGGGCGGTGTCGTCGGTCGAGAAGATCCCGTTGTAACCGGCAAGACCACGTGTTTGGTCGCGCATCGGATCCCCCGCCGATATCTGTTTTTGAAAGAGGGCTGGCCTCTCGGAGAGAAGGGAGGACACACGTGTTTCGCTGGACGAACTTTGACTGTGTTTGTGTGCCCGCGGAAAACGATAAACGATAAAATGGGTGGAGGAGAAACAAACGAGCGGAGAAGCCCTGATAAGAGACGATCGGAATTAGATTGGGAAGAGCGACTTCTCGCAAGGAGAACCTGCTGCCGGAAAACAAAGGAGTCACATGGTGTTTTCGAAAGATCTAGACGGGATGGATATTGGGCAATATAATACTGTCTCGACAAAGACTGCAATTCTGCACTGCAAGTAAATAAGTCAAAACAAAGATAACCATGTACTTACTAGGGAATGACCCACACTTACCTTGGGCTTTTGGAATGGGACCAATGTGATTCGAAAGAGAATTTCACGGAGAATCCGAATCTGCTCTCCATTTTTCCTTAAGAGCACTGGCAGGCGAGAAAATCGCATCTCAAATTCCAATTCCCATTCCAAAAGTCCAAGGGAGGTGTGGGTCATTCCCTAGTTAGTCCAGAGGAGTGCGTTTTCTTACCGCGGTGGGTGAGCCGAGTTATTAGCCAAAAGAAGTCTTTCAGGAGAACTGAAAAATAACGCAAGGGCTGTCCTTTGTAGCATTCTTCTTTGTTGCTTGTAAGAAGTATTCCGAAGGTCCCATTGAATGTAAATGAATTGATCGAGAGAGAGAGAGAGAGAGAGAGAGAGAGAGAGAGAGAGAGTCGAGAGGAGAGACTGTTGCGCACTAAACTAAACTATGTTGAACGGTTCCTCCCGGTTATCTGTGCCCCTGGTTTGGTTCTCTTGATTTCCCTTAAAAAAAGTTGTTGCTTGCTTGGCCCCGCTGTTACATTTCTCAGAATCATAGAATCCGCACGACATGACCTGAAACTTTCGAATTCTTTCATAGCATGTCTATTTCAAAAATCAAAGCAGTGATTTCTGTTTTCAAGATGCTCATGGGTTTGTCTGCCCACAAAGTTCTCTTTCCTCCGGACATTTTCAGACGTGCGTCGTGTCACAAAACCAAAAGCCAGTCCGCTCGTTCTCTGTCTTCGCCAACTGTTTGTGCTCCGTCACTTATCGCCGCTATCTTTCCGAACCCAATGTGCTCGCCACCTGGAAACCACGCGACCACGCGACCCGCGGCAAACAACGTACAAACGAGAGGAGAAGAGTCAGAAGCCAACGGGAGAGATATGAAACGTTGTGCTCTCTTCTCTGTTTGCACCGCGTAGCACTGAAGAAGAAGCACTGATATCAGAGCATGACCAATGAACAGTTTCTGACACAAACTAGAAGTTATATTGGACTACAAGAATTACTGGGAGCGAAAATATTTGGAGGGGGTGGGGTCTGGAAGTGGAACAAGAACGTACGAAAGTAAACTGGTTTACAAAAGGAGCTTTTCAGTGCACACGCACCCAAATTCCAGTGACCGCTCGTACGTAATCTTCATTCCAAAACGTCCATAACCTTCCGCTTCAATCCTTTCGCTCATCAGATGAGGTGTCCACTTTGTTATTTCCAATTCTTCTACCATATTCTCTCTTCTATCTCTTTTTTGTTTTCAATCTATTTTCCACTCCAGCACACACCTCACGCACACATTTCTGCAACACCATACAATTGGAGGGAACAAAAAGATAACGATGAGAAGAAGAACCAAAAGTTAGCCGTCGTCGTTTTTATTTCCGAATCGTTCTCTGATGTGTTTTCTAATTATTTGGCAGGTTGCTGGTCACATGCGAGATCTCGTCGGACTCTGGAATCTTTGCAGTCTTAAGGAAACAGGATCTGGAAGTGGAATAAGTTAGAAAATATTGACTCGTTATGCCGTAATCGGGCAATTCGAGAAGTCAGTTCTTATCCAAGGTACTCAAATATTGAAACAGTAGAATAGTTTGACAATTCTTTATTCGTGAAAAAGATATTAAATCAATTAACTAGCTTACATAATCATTAGAATTACGAAATGAAGTTAAGAATTGTGTACTTATCAGTTAATCGTTTTCGAGAATTTCCATATTCTGAACAGCTATCCTGGGAGTATCTGGATTTGGTGTGACGAGGAAATAGAAATGCCGATAGTTCTGGAAATCGAGGAACACTCCAACCGACGCGACCTGTCCATTATGGCCGTGGAGTTCATAGTCATTGGCAAATTCGCGTGACTTGTAAGTGGTGTTGTCGGAGGATGTGCTGTTTCAAAATATTTTGTTTGAAAACGTGAAGAAAGCACTTACTATTCGTAGCGTCGTCTCTGGTTTTCTGGGTACTTTCTCACATTTAGACCCTCCAATATAACTGCTTCTCCCCCATCATCTTGACGAGGCGGAAGACGGGGAGCCCTTTCGATCAACAAACGCTCTAAGTACGGCATTTGTCCGGAACACCAGAGTTCCAGGATCGAACGTATTTCTTTGTCTTCAAGATGTGACATACCAAGGTACATGAATGCACATCTCGAATTGATCACATTCTGCATTGTGAGCCAGGAGGAATACATTATTACTAGTTGTTCAGTATCAATTATTAAACTCTTGTGACCAATTTCAGATGGCAAGTAGAAGGTGTTGATAAAGAGAGCCTTGATAGGTTTACAGTACTCCATCATAAAAATACCATCTTGTACACTCAAATTCTGTGTTTTGATTACAATTTCGTCAATAGAAGGTTGTCTTCGATTGATCCAATTGACTATCGACTTTCCATTCTCAAACATATCATAATGAATCCGTATCGATGTAATAGAGCAATGAAAAATGTCACAAATATGATCGCAGAAAGCCATCATCCCGTCCTCCTTGCTTTTTCCACCAGAAAGCATTCTTTCCTGCTCTTTGGGAGGTATTACGTTAGAATAACAATGTCTATAAAATTCTCCATCCGTGTGGATCTTCATTCCGAATGGTTCTTTGAAGAATACTTCAATTCGTTTCACCTCTTTATGCGCTTTCATTACGAGTCTTTTAGCTGTTCTGGAGCACGTTGAAAGCGAAATTCTGAATCCAAATGTATGATGAAGTACGGATTTTGAAGTACTTACAAGTCTGGCACATCCATTATGCGTAGGCATTTACGAACAGATACCCAGGGAAGTTTGAAAAAAATGAACTTATTCTCAAGTTTTTCCATTCTGAAATGGCTCAATCGCTGACAGGAAAAAGATTATCAAAATAGTAAGTGAAAAGCGAAGTGGAACTTAAATCAATAGATGTAGTGGTACTTACGCGGGTGGAGTGTGTAACGGAGGGGGGGGTGCTCAATGTGTACATTGGGCGGGGGGAGGGCATCGATAGGTCAGCTCTCTCACAAAGGGCTCCGTGCGAGGGGGTATCAGATTAACGTGGGTTCCTGGGATGAGATAGCAGAGAAAACCATTAAAGAGCCATGGAGAAGTTGAGAATTCAACGGGCAGACTCATGCTCTCCGAAAGAATAAATGACTTTGCCTACAGGTCAAATGAGAAAGAGCCTAGTTTCACAAGAAGTGGAAAGCATAGAACACAGGCTTTGACATCTTTCATACAATCGTTCTTCTTAATGTCACAAGACTCAACTGGCGGCTAACGCTGTGCTGACTGTAAAACCTGACTCGTCGCCGGTTTTCAAAACAAATCGTCCAGTGCCATACGGAGCTTTGGATCCAGTGGACAACGAGCTGAGCAGACTGGAACGTCTGAAAGTGCTCAAAAACGTGAACCACAGTGCGTGGGCGGCACCTTTGGTGTGCGTGCGGAAAGCAGATGGGAACACACGGATGTGTGCAGACTTCAAAACGGAACGAAGCTTTGGAAGATGAAGATCACCCAACTCCGACTCCAGAAGACATGTTTGCGACGTTGAACGGAGGAACAGTTTTCCTGACTTGCAACGGGCCGGGCAACCGTGCCGGCTATCCAGAAGTTGAAAGACGTCCTTTCGTCGGATCAAAACTTGTTACCAGCCGAATATTCCGATTGTTGTGGCAGCTGACGCGTGCGATTACGGAATCGGAGACGTGATAAGTCATCGCTTCGCCGATGGAACGGGAAGAAAGAAAGAAAGAAAGAAAGATACGGGCAGACCCCGTAAGCTTTTTATTAAATGAGAATGATGATGATGATAAGAATTATTTTTCTCCCACATTCTCTCTTCTATCTCTTTCATTTCAATATATTTTCCCTCTCCAGCACACACCTCGCGAATACATTTTGCAACACCATTTCAGTGAAGGGAACAACATGATAACGACGTTTTACTTCCGAAAAGTTTTCTGATATGTGTTTCAATGATTCGGCAAATTGCTGGCCAGATTCGAAATATTGTCAAACTCAGGAATCTTCGCAGTGTCCATGAAGCCGAATCTGAAAGTGGTTAGAAAAAAAAATGGTTAGAAAAAGTGGGAAAATCTCGAGGAAGACTGACTCGTTCTGTCGTAATCGGGCGATTCCAGTGGCATCTCTCAATGTTGGGTAGAAGTTTTCTTTGGATACAAACTCATAGAAGTCACATTTCTCGAACATTTCTCGAACGGGCACTGCAATTGAATAGTTACTAGAAGTTCTTATGACGATAAAATACTTTTTGTGCTCGCAAAATAGACCTGGGCTCCTTTCTTTCTCAGATCAGAAAACACTTCTTTGAGAGCACTGACACCCATCAAATCGACGGAAGAGAGGCCGGAACAGTCGATGACAAAGTGCCGCGAGAGAATGGGATCTCTGTGAACACCCGGGTGAAGTGGCTGTTCTGCCAACGGAGCAATCCGGTGCATTCCTGCGAATCCTCCGAGTGAGAATCCCGTCTCCGTCTTGTTCTGCTCCTCTTTTATTGAATGGAACTCTGGCGACTTCTTCCACTCTTCAAACGCCTTTTCCACACACTTTTTGAAGCTGAACGCTCTATTTCAGAATAGAATAGGCTGATTTTGTTTTACCATTCAACATTATGGAATAGAAGCGGCGCATCGAATCGGAAAATGCAGATTCCTTTGTAGAATATCGCTTCCTGGTATTGTTGTGTACTTCGAAACTCGTCAGTGTCTTTCACGTTTGCTAACAAATGCCACTTGGGACTAAAGATAGGAAAGATTGCACAAAGCTATTGAGAAACCTACTATTGTTCTCTCAAAATGGTTGTGAACAGTGCGAAGAAGATCGCAATGATCAGTCCCTCAGAGACATCAATCAGGACGGTTCCAACGAATGCGACTATCCAGATCCACTAGAAAACCAAAAGATTTCAGCTCTAACTCAAACAACTTAAACGTACACAGTCAATTTTTGAAAGTCTCCACAATTCCTTGAGATCGCCCAACTTCCAGAGCATGCTCTTAAGAGCGACAATGATAATAGCGGAGAGGACGCACATTGGCAGAGTCTCCAGGAACCTCCCGAAGTACAAAGTGATCGAGAAGACAAAAAGACACGAGAAGAACGTGGCGACTTGAGATTTGACGCCCGATTCCAATCCAACCATCGTTCTTCCCAATCCGATAGACGTCGGAAATGTGGGGAAGAAGCTGCCGCCGATGGCGACGAACGAGAGGGCAAAGAGTTCTTGACCGGCGTCAAGATCGTACTGATACTTCTTGGCGACCATTTTGGAGAGTGATAAGTGGACGGCGACGACGACAACGGCGATGCTGATGGCGTCCGGAAGGATGGAGGGGATGAGACTGGGACGGGGCAGGGAAAGTTCGGGGAGGCTGGAGAAGAATGGTATTGGAGGAGGGTGGAGGGGACGGAGTGCTCACCCAGTTGGAATCTTGTTCACGATTTTCACCTGATACACCTCATTCCCATTGATTAGAGCAACAAATGTTGTGGACAGAATGACCTGAAACTCTAACTTTCGCAATTTTCTGATAAATTGGCCCACCACAACAAGTTCCCAAGGAATGGGTACATTCGATCTCAGTTTTCTCTTCACAATCGGATTCAGATACACTTTCCCGCAGTGAAGAATGATCATTGTTGCCAAAGAAATCGCACAACACATCACATTCGCATTCAGCATGTTGAGAATAATATCGGTCACATTCTGAATTGAAACTACTTCTATTCTAGCCAATTCACAAAAAGGCTCACTCGGATCAAGTATCCGGGACCGCTGTGTTTGACCATTCCTCTCATTCCGAACAGTTCTTTGAACTGCGAAACGAGTACGTGCACGGATGCGCCGGTGGTGAATCCAGCGACGAGTTGATCGGAAAGGTAAGTGGTCAGAAATTGTAAACGGAAAATACCCATCAAAAACTGAAATCTCTAGATTGTTCTGGATCCTGTTGTACAACCTAAATTACCTGAACAAGTCCGACTCCGAGAACGAGTGCACAGGATATTTCGATGGGCGATGGAAGAGTCTCATCTCCGGGAAGTATTGTTGCGTTCACATTGTCGACCGGAATGTACGCTTCTCGTTCCACTGCCAATCCGGTCATCAGGGCAACAACCGCAAAGGTCCCCAGACTGGCATGTTTAGAAGTGCCGAAGAACATGTAAATGAGGACGGGGAAGATGGAAGTGTACAGGCCGACAATGGGATCCTGACGGGAGAGAATGGCGTAGGCGATTCCTGAATAAGTGGACGTAGATCACAAGAAAAGAAGATCGTACCTTGTGGAACATGAAGCACTCCCACTGTGATTCCTCCGATCACATCTGACGATAGGTCACTCTTCCAATCGTACAAAGGAAGCCATTGCACAATGGGGAACAAGTTTACGAGAAACAATTTGAAGTTGGAGACAGAAGTGAATGGCTCGTAGTACCTGTTCACTTCATTTCTCACAATCTGTTTCACTTTCGACACGACCCACATCGTGCCAAAATGTTTTCGAAATAACTAACCGACTCGCCACCTTCGTCGACCGTTTCTTGAACTTTCCCCCTTCTTTCAGTCTCTTCTGGTAACCGTATTTCTCGTCGAATTCCACCTAAGATAGCCATCTTCTGTTTGTGTTGCAGTCCCCTCCAATTCACCTGATTCATCGGCGCTCTTCTCTTTTTGTCATAATAACTACGCAGCAGATCGTACTCCTCCTCTTCCACACGGATCATGCTCGGAGTCGTCGGCATCGTGGACGGTTCCATCCTGAGCGGAGAATGTGCCTCCCACCCTCACGGACCGCCGCCTTTTATTGTCATCTTCATGAAGGATTACGTCTATGCAAATGATGTTGGCGAAAAGAACAGAACGAAAGAGTAGAGTGGAGGTGGTCGCACTGGAAATGCGGACGATTACAGCATCATAGTTCAACGAGGTCGTGAATTTTCCGGCACAAAACAGAAGAGAAACGTACACGTGTTCTGAACTACAAAATGATGACGACGATGATGATGTTCTTTGTCGGATGTTTCTTTTTCTTTCAAAGTACATAAAATGAGAGAAAATATTTATTGTGCAGACAAGATCTTCTACATCGGATGCGAACTGAGCACTTCCGTCAGTCGATCGTGCTCAGGAACGTAGCCGGTGTCCTTGAAGCCTAGTCTGAAACATTTCCTGTGAACTCTTTCGATTCTCAATTCAAGCTCACTCTAACTGTCGTTGTCGTGCAATACTCGTGGCGTCCCGCATTGTCGGATAAAAGTTTTCTTTAGGAACGAATTTGAAAAAATGGCACTTGTCGAACATGTCGCGGACCGGAGCTTTCGCGTTCGCAAAGTACACTAGAATCCCGCGTTTTCTCATATCGGAGAAAATCTGAAAATGAAATTGAATAGAGTTGAAAAGGAAAGGAAAGTGAATGTGAATGACCTCTTTCAAAGCACTGACTCCCATCAGATCAATGAATGTGAATCCGGAGCAGTCGATGACGAAATGGCGGGAGAGAATGTCGGGAGAGTGAGTGTTCAGAGTGGAATGCGCTGTTTGGAACTGGAATAAAATTATTGTATTCAAAAATAACAACTGTTTACGGTTCTCCCATCATCATTCGAATCATCGGAATCCTCCAACTTTGGATTCAGATACTGATCTCGTTCCTCGCGCAGAACGTAAAATTCGTGTGACTTCTGCCATTCGATATACGCTTTTTCCACAGACTTTTTGAAACTGAAACTTGTGTTTCAAAAAGAACACGTTTTCGATAATCTACCATTCGACGTTGTGGAAGAGCAGCGGAGCGTCGAACCGGAAGATGCAGATGCCCTGGAAATAGACGGACTCCCCGTATCTCTGCGCATCCTTGAAGTCTTGAGTTCCCTTCACAGATGCCAGAAGATGCCATTTCGGACTGAAATTGAATAGTTCCCTGCCAGTACTCACATCTGTACTCACTATTGTTCCCGGAGGATCGTTGTGAACAGCGCGAAGCCGACGGAGATGATCAATCCAGTGGAAACATCCAGAAGGACTGTGGAGACGCACGAAACCAGCCAGATTGTCTGAAAAAAGTAATCGAGAGGAATAGACGGGGAAAGTAGGTAGTACAAAGTCAATTTTGGACACTTTCCAGAGGTTTCCAAGATCCGAAAACTTTCGGAACATTCCTTGCAACGCCACGCAGATGATGGCAGCTAGGGCGGCCTAAAATGTATCGTTCGTGAAGGCGTTGTCCCCTTTTTTACCATTGGAAGCGTCTCCAAAAGTGTTGCGAGGAAAAATACGACAAGAAACACGAGAATCGAAGAGAACAATATCGATAATTGAGTTGCGCAGCCCGCTCCCACGGCCACCATAGTTCGGCTCAAGGAGCAAGAAATTGGAATGCAAGGAATGAAACTGCAGGCGATGCTCGGGACGGAAAGGGCGAACAACTCCTGGAATCAGATTGATTCTGACTGAAACTGTTATTTTTTTTCTCTCACTTGTCCCGCATCCAACTCGTAGCTCTTGCTCTTGGCGAGCATTTTACTGATTGAGAGCCAAACAGAGATTCCAACAATAGTGATACTGATCGCATCGGGAAGCACTAGAGGAATGATGTCGAATCTAGGAATTGCCATCTCCGGAGCGCCCACTGGAATCTTGTTCACAATTTGCACTTTATCGCTAGTATCCACTCCAGTAGCCGCCACGAAAATAGTCGAAACAATGACGACAATCAGTTCCCACGGGATCGGAATGCTCGATTTGGTTTTCTTTTTGAGGAAGGGGTTGATGAACTCTTTGCCCAAATGCAGGATGACAATGGAGACGAGCGAGATACCACAGCACACCAAATTCGTGCGGGGAAGTGCCAGCGCGATATCGTAGAGGTGACGGAACAGGTAGAATGCGCCACTGTAACGTGGCAATCCACGGATGCCCAGAAGAGTTTTGAGTTGGGAAACGAGCACGTGGACGGACGAGCCGACTGTGAAGCCGGCGATGACTTGATCCGAGAGGTAGGTGGTCAGAAATTGCAGACGCAGAATGCCCATCAGAAACTGAAATATGCAAACATTGACAACAATCAGTACTTTTTCCTTTTCCGTCACCAGAATCATGCCCATTGTGATCGTGAGAGTGCACGAGATCTCGGTGGGCGTTGGAAACGCGGCCCTCTCAATTTCCGTCATATTCGAAGATTCGTAATCCAGCGGGGCGGCCAATCTTTCGACGGAAAGACCTGTCATGAGGCAGAGCACGGCGAATGTTCCTGAATATTTCCGCCCGGCTCTAGCTCATTTCCGCTCTTAACTAACCCAAACTAGAGTGCCTCGATGTGCCCAAGAACATGTACATGAGCGGCGGAAACAGCGAAGTGTACAGTCCGTTTATGGCTGGCTGCTTGGCCAACAGAGCATAGGCAATGCCTGAACACATTGAGAGTCAAAGACTCATACAGAAAGATAGGAACCTTGGGGTACTTGGATCACACCGACTGTGAGCCCTCCGACCACGTCAGCCATCAGATCGGATTTCCATTTGTATTCGGGAAACCATTTCAGAATAGGAATCAGGTCGAAAATGAACATTTTGAAGGCCGCACAAGAGGTGAACGGCTCGTAGAATCGCCTGACAAATTTCTTCGACTGCTTTTTGACCTCATTTTCAATGTGCGGTTTGTTGTAATCAAATTTCTCGTCGAATTGTGCCTGAAGAAGAACTCATTCTCGGGACGTGGTTTCCCTAGAATGAACCTGATTCATGGCACCTCTTCGCACAAAACTAGGCCGTCTCTTGTCCGCTTCCGCCACATTATAAAAGTTTTCCAAGTACTTTTCGGCCTCCTCTTCGGCCTCCGACAAGTGCCTCGTCTTTGCGATCTGGCCAGGAGGATCCATTCGGACCCCTGCAACTTTCAGCGGATTTGAAATAACGGAAGAAAAGATGAGAAGAAAGGAAAGCGGCGGAATCAAAAACTTTCGGCATTGAAAGTAAGCTTTTTTCACCCGAGTCGAACATTGTGTACATGTGAAAAAAAAACATAACAAGTTATGCAAATCAAAATGTGCGTCTGTCGAAATGTAAGAGGATCAGCGAGACGCAGCACAGCTCTGTCTCTTCTTGCTGTCGGCGACACAATCACGTCACTCTGAACTGATTTTTCTCGCTACTTTCACGTAGATCCACGCGGTCTGTGGAACACAAAATCAAACTATCGAAACATCGGTGACGGGAAGTGCGCTCGATCGAAGTGAGGCGTCGGAAATCAGAAGAGGAAGTCAAATCACGTTTGCACATGGTACAAGGGCTCCAGCGCTTCTTCTGACATCTGACGTAGTGGGAAAAGATTCAAAAATAGAATGTTAGGAATATGAATCTTCTGTTTTCGTAGACATCGCACGATTGATTTATGATTCTTGTTCTGAGCACATCTGAAATCGGAATCCGACTTCTTTTCACTTCTCACTTCTCATCGTCAGAATCGCTTAGTCAAAACAATGCGACACATCTCGTCAACACAAATTCCCGTGCCAGCAGTGGTGCCAGTCCGACGACGTCTTCTCGCCCTTCTCAGATTCCCTTCCTCGCAAAAATAGCCGTCCTTTTTCATTTGGACCCGTGCAGAGCCGCCGTCGCACGTTTCTATTTGTGCGTGATTCACATGCACCCAATTTCGGAGCGGCAGCGGTCATCAGATGTCACATCAGAGGCCACGTAGTATCGAGTTTCGATAATGTTGCCGCTGCCGGAGCAAACATTGATTGGAGTAGCCTCCCGCGGATCTTCTGAAATGGGCGGGGTCTCTCTTCTATGTGCAGAAATTGCCGTTTTCCGGTGCCCTTCAACAATGCGCCGCCCCGGCCTCTTCGTCTTCATCGAAACTTTGTTACGCAGAAGGTGTGAGTGTGTGTCATTCACTTTTTTCGCCGCTTCATTGGGTTATCTGTGTAACTCATGTCACCCGCATGATCAATGCCCTCCTTCCGTGCTCCGAAATCTCAGTGCTCATTTTCGGACGCCACATGACCCGCCGTCGTTTCCTCCGCACCCACGCCTCCTTATTTAACCAATTACCGTCGATGATGATGATGACTCGTCCCGACGCGTCCTTTGAACTCTCTTTGCATTCATTTGAATTGAGGCTCTAGTACATTTGTGTGCAAATTTGCAAATTTCTTCAAAGTGCCATCCTTTTTGGAAGAAAAAGACGGGCCAGGCTTATGTGTGCATGTGTGTCATCCTCATTTTTCAAACGGAGAGCCGCGAACCAAAGCAGAGGAAATGGAAAAAGAGTTAAGGGTGGTGTCATTTTTACCTTTTTTTTCCGACTCATTCTTATAACAGAGATCATCCAACGCACTTGCTGTTATCTATTATCAATCTTGGTCGATTGGATATCTGAAAAATCCAGATCAGATTTTCCGCTTGGGTTGAAACTCAATCGAAAGTGGGCCCCGTGGTTCAAACTACGGTCACCCGATCACGAACCGATCAGCGGAGCTGTCAAATCTCGCCGGCACTTTCCTGTTGACACTTTTGCCTCGCCCACTTCTTCTTCTTCATCTTCTTCTTCCGTTTGCTCTGCCACACCTTCAATGGCTCTCGGCTCACTGACCACCACCGCCACCAAGCTCATTGTTTATTATTCATTCAACAACACCCCTCCAAACTTTATTTCGAATTCCCCTTGACAATGTGGTCATCTCATCATCAAACAAACCACTACAACCAGTTAGAAAACGGGGGAGAAGAAGAAGAAGCAGCATCTCGAACTCTAATAATCCTAATGTACACACAAGAAATTTAATCAGCGTCTGTGGATGAGAATGAAAATGAGAATGCGAATCTTTCTATTCTTGTTCCTCCCCCTCATAATACTTTTTTGCCGTCCGCTCTTCTGAATGCACCACTCCATTTGCCTATATTCTCATTTCCCGGCTGTCCGTCATCTCCAAAGCCCTCTCGGGCGCAGTTGTTTCTTCTGTTTACTTTTGCGATTTCATTTTTGGTTTCGAAACGTGCGCCCTTCTTTTCTCCATCTCCCTTTTCCTAGAACTACTTGCTTCTTTCCAGAATGGACGCTTCCGACGCGGCGGCCGGCATCTTCCTGCTCCTTTTCGGAATCGTCGGATGCGCTCTCTACGGACTGATCGTCGGTTCGATGTGGCGGATGGTCAACGAGATTGTCGGTTTTCGCTTTCTTATCTCGCAAGCGCTCACCGACATTCTGCTCATGATCCAGTTCGGCATTTGGCCGGGCATTGTGATTCTGACCCAGGATGAGATTATCAACGAATCGTGGCGCTGGAACATCCACATCTATCTCGATTTCACGTGGTGGGCCATGGTCTACCACTACACAGTTATCGCGTGGTCCCGTCTGGCGGCAGTCCAGTGGCCCAACTGGTTCCGCACTCTTCCGCATGGCACAAGCATTATGATCTGTGCGATTCCATGGTTCACTGGTCTGTTGCAGAGTCTAGTCGAGCATCAGGTTCGTGATGACGGTGATGTTGAATCATCAGAAGAAAGTGCGTTTCCAGTTCGAGTGGTTCACTCCTCTCTACTATTCTCCAACTCGGTACGGAATGCACTCTAATTGGCAGCAGTACGAACTCTCCGGGACCAACACCTATTACATGGTGTGCAATGTCATTCTGATGGTGGTCCCGTTCCCGCTCTACGTACTAGCCCTCGCCGTTCTCTTTCAAAGGCAAACGTCTCGAAATCTCCGTAAGATTAAAAGGCTTAGTTGGTCCCATCCTATTATTATTATAGAACTGCGTTCCAAGTACTCCCACGCGCCCATCTCGACCTCATCGTACGCGGCTCAACAAAGACAACTGAGCATAGAAACGCGGCTGCTCGTTCCGTGCATCATAAACACAATTCTGTTCGTGGTCGGACAAGTGTTCATCACTCAGTGCTCCAAGCACGGAAAGTGGATGAACTGGGCGGTGATGGTCGTGTTCGCCACCAATTCTTTCGTGAATCCCTTCTCTACTTGTTCTTCAGGTGCGTTTTTGGAACTCTCCAATCCTATTCCAAATTTCTCTTTACAGTAGTGTCATCCGAAAAGGAGTTCTGAGCAACTGCCGCAAAAACTTCTCCCTCTCTGCCATCTATAACGACTACGAGATGAGATCCTCTCCGCGGACCTCGAGCATCGTGATGCGGCTCAACCATCGTGACTCCACAATCACTTCGCATCTCAACTGCCGAGTCAATTCCACATCATAATCAAAAAAGAAAGCATTCCAAATCGGTCTCACTCGGGTTCTCAACATGATCTCTTTTTTGTTTGTAAATAAATGCAACTTAGCGTCTTCCTCTTGTTCTTTTTCCACGTCTTCGAATTCCAAATGACGCGAGCGCATAAACCGGACACTTCCGCTCTGTTCAACTGGCTCAGAACCATTTTATGTTGCGCACATCGTCGGATCAAGTTTCCCTTCGCAATCGTCCGAAATTCGAGCCGCCATCACAGCCGTCCACATTTTTTGCTTGCTTCGAACTTCTCGCAAACCCGTTAATGGAAAATCTGGTCATGTGCTGGTGAGAAGGAGAGAAAGAGGAAGAGGAGCCACGCGAAAACAATTTAAAGGTCCTCCGAAAGCGAAATAATTGGTGGATGTGTGTGCACTTTTTGAGATTGGAGGAATATGCAAACTTTGCAGCTGATGAGAGAGAAGTTTTTTGATATGTGAACAGTCAGACTATTTTATACTTGAAAAACAGATAGGGCAACAGCGATAATTTTGTAAAAGCAGGGCAATCATCAAATGTTTGTGAATATCATTGGATAGATCATCAAAAGTTTTATCAGAGTGTGGTACATCATTTCTGTCGAAAATTACATTTAGGGTCTCATCTCAAAGGCTCAAAGTAGTAGTAGTATAAAATGCAAAACTTGATGTTGCTAGTGTATGCCACTAACATTAATCGACGTCGTCTTCCTCGCTCTCCAGAAAAATGTGAGCGTTCGGAACGTCGGAGTTGTCAGAACAAGCACGACGGCATTGATCGAGGAATGCGTTGTGAAAATGACCAGAAGAGTTCTCGTTGCCACTGAATAACTATTATACTTTTATGATTTCCAACGTAGACTCACACTGTGCGTACTTGAACTCGACAATTAGAAAAAGAGCAAGGAAGAACGGAGGGATGATGACGATGAGAGCGGTCGCCAACTGGGCCATCAGACTGATCAATGCCATTCTCTGCTTCTTGTACGTTGTTGCTGATGTGTTCCTTCTCAGTTTTGAGAGAGTTTCGAACATTCTCTTTGTGGAGTAGGAGAATATGAAGCCGACTGAGCACGTACCGATTGTGAGGAACACCAGTAGTAGTCCCCAATAAATGTTCAAATCGTAAATGGCGAAATTGGTAAGAGATCGGAAGCTCTGTTCGTACGAAGGATACGCCTGCAAAGGGATCGGTTGCAGAATACTTGTACTTCTCAATGTGCTAATCATACTCTTCTGATCGTTTCGAACTCTTGCTCATAACTTTGTCCGCACATGTAAGCAGAAATTGACATTACTAAAAGGATAATAATGAGGTAGGTAATCAGCAACGAAAGCATCCAGACGGGCGTCTCTTCACGGAGCATTCTTTTGAACGACTGGTACTTTTTCAGGAAGCAAAGAGCCAATGAGAAAACGAGAGATGCGCAAAGAGCCGTCGCGATTGTCATCATGACGTGGCAAGAAAGAATGTTGGTAGAACCAAATGCTCCAGTGCAAAAACCGGCCGGAATCGGATGAAGTGGCTGGGGTTGCATGAGAAAAGTCATGTGGGTGTCAACAAGAATACAAAATAACTGAAAGCCCACATGGAACAGAGAATCAACTGTTCAAATACCTGAAAAGTGAATAGGAAATACTTGAAGCTGTCAAATTTCTCCGTTTTCAGAATAACTAGCGACAAGGCGTAGGAGTTCAAACAAATCGAAATCGATCCGATAGTATGGTAATAGTTCACGAGCCATCGGGGAGTTGAAAACTCAACGGGCAGATTCATGTTTCCAGAAGAAGTTAAAGGCCTTTCGCGACAGGTGAAATATCGAGTGGCTCACAAGGAGTGAAAAGCATGGAACAAAGACTTTGACAGCTTTCATGCAATAAATAAATGAAAGTATACATTATTTTACAGATAATTGAGTTAGTTGGTTTCGAGAATTCACAACAGGCTGTCGTCTTCAAAGCGGATGACTCCTGAGAACGGCGTTGACGAGTTCGGAGGAATGACGGTGGAGTCGGTGATTTCAGCGTAGAGCGGGTTTCCGTATGAAGACTAAAAAGCAAAACATTTACAAGTAGAAACAGATTGCTGTTTTTACCGGGGAGACCTGTGTACGCGCTCTTCTCTCCGCATACGTCTCGCCCGTCACGAAGTTGACGTTGGTCGCTGAGTGGCAGCCTTCCATTGGCGACTGGCTTCTGTGCACTTTCCGTAGTTTGTCGACGATTGGTCCAGCCGCATCCTCTGCCTTTCTCGCCATGTTGTCCACGTGGACACGAGCCGTCTTGATGACATCTTCGGCCAGTTCCCTCTGAGCGAACCAGAAGAAGAGTGCGACTCCGACGAGGATCAGAATGAAAAGAAAGACGAGTAGTAGAAGCACGAGAAATCCTGAGGATTCGTCTTCGTCCTCCATCGCGGCAAGCATTTCTGGGTTCAACCGCTCGCAGAATAGGCCATCAAATGGCTGCACACAGTCACACACAACACGATGAGTCCTTCCGTGCTCGTTTTGCACATCACGGCACGATCCTTCGTTCAGGCACGCTCTCCCGGCCTCACATCGTTCTGCCATGAGGGCGGCTCCGATATGAGACATATTCTTCAGTCGTTCCTGCTCCTCGATCGTCTGTGGAGGGATGCACGAGTCGTTGACTGTCGAATGCGTGTAACCATCGGGGCAGACACACTTGGCGGTCGAGACGTCTTCCGATTTGGGGATGATGATGCAGAGCCACGGGCAGTCCAGCTCCAGGCACGGATTCACCGACGGTCCCGTCTGGTAGAGCGTATGATTAATAGCAATGCCGTACGGGAAACGGTTGAATGAATGGACGACGTGCGGACTCGCGTGATGGCGGTTTAGTTCTTGCACTTTGAGTGTTTCGCTTCCCCTGAAAACAGAATCGTAAGGGAGTGAAACAGTCTCCTTCGATTCTTACATGTCCGACCAATAGAGGAGTCCGTTGTAGTAGACCATGTCGAACGGATGATGCACGCCGCTCGAGATGACGACGCGTCGTTCCTTCGTATTCATGTTGACTCGCTCAATCAGTTGACGGTCCACGTCTCCGAAGTAGATGTCGTGACGGACATAATCAATGGCTAGTGCCGATGGATTTTCCAGCTTGTTGTCGAGAAGCACTCGTGCCTGGAAGAAACAGACGTGAGAAATGAAATTTAGTTGTTCCAAGTACGTTCGATCCATCCATGCCTGCCATCATGATACGATGGAACCGCTGATACGAGTCGATCCAGATGATGGTGCCGCGCATTGGATGGGCGACGAGTCCACGATACGACTGTCCTTTTTTTTGTCCTTCGATTATTTGACGGCAGAACATGCCACTTATCGAGCAGACGGAGATTCCGACAGATGGAGATGGGGCTGAAAATCAGAACTTAAATGCGGTTACAGTCTGTTTATTACTACCTTTCTGAGTGAAGAATACGTTTCCACCGATCCAATCAACAGCGATGTGTCCAATTCCAATCACATTTTCCCGGAGAACTCGGAGCAATCCGTTTTCCGAAACTGCCAGTTCTCCCGACGGTTCACCGTGATCGTCTGAAATCGCCAAGAACATCTTGTTTCTGTGGTGCATAAAGTCGATTGATCGGATGGTTCCGTGCCCCGCGTGCTTCTGGATCGGAGCGTAGTTGTAGCCCTCCTGGTAGTCGACCAACGGCATCTGCCGGACTTCTCCACCAAGACTGATAAAGAGATATCCTTCGGAATTTGTGGTCGTCTCGTACTTGCACGAGTGCCCGTCCTCCTCCAGTTGATACCCGTTCGCACATTTGCACACGAACGATCCGGTTCGGTCTTCGCAGAAGTGCTGGCAGACATGTCCGTGTATTGCGCACTCGTCCTCGTCCTCGCATGTCAATCCGTCAGCGGCGAGTTTGTAACCATCCTGGCAGATGCATCTGGCTCCGTGCGGTGTGTTCATGCAGGTGTGATGGCATCGTGTCTTCGCGCACTCCGAGCACAGTTTCGATTCGTCATCGGCTAGTGGGCACTCCTTGATTCCGTTGCACGTGGCATTCATGGGAATGCACACAGTCATCTCTGTTCCCCTTGTTTCGCAGGCAAACTTTCCAGCTGCTTGGCAGGAATGCGCATGATCTGCTTGACCAGAGAGGAAGTCCTCCTCGCTCGGGATGCCAGCATCGCAGTTCACCTCATCAGAACCGTCTTCACAATCCGGCTCGCCGTCACAGAAGAAAGTGGTCGGGATGCAAACGTCGCTTTTGGCGCACTGAATGTAGCCTGGACGGCAGATTTCTTCCTGAAGAGAATTTATCATGACTTTTAAAGTACATTTACAAACCTCGTTGCTGGCAGGAGCAGCCGAAAGAACAACCTCCAGATGAAGAGTGTCATCTCTTTTCGGATTCACCTCGGCATGGCTCTTTGTGCAATTGACTTCGTCGTCGCCTCCAGTACAATCTGCATGTCCGTCACAAACGAGCTCAGCTAGAATGCACTGTCCGGATCTGCATCGCATTCTCGGCGGGCGACAATCCGGAGCGTTGTTTCCGACAAAAGTGTTCGGGACCGACGAGACGAAGTTATCCGTGTGCGTCTTCTGGGCTTTGTACTCGCAATGCTGCTCGTCCGATTCGTCCCCACAGTCGTCTTCGCCGTCGCACTTCATTTCTCTCGAGATGCATGTCCCCGTCTTGCAGAGCATGTCGTTATGTCGGCACTGATGAGCGTACGTGCATCCGCTCTCGTCCTTTCCGTTCGCGCAGTCATCCACGTTGTCGCATTGCCATTCGACCGGGATGCATCGCAGAGTTCCGCCGCCGCAATCGAACTCTCTCGCCACGTTGCACGTCGAATTGGCGACGGGAGCCTGGTGTGTTGCCTAAAAACGAGACGGATTATGCGGGAAGAAGAGCGAAAACGGTAATTACCTTGATTAGTAGGTGCACAATTACAGTGAGAAGCCACGCGGAACGCATGATTCTCCGGGTGAGTAAGGGGTAAGTGAGAGAATGAGCGGAACGACAGAAAATTCACTGTTATTCTCGCATATATGCGCATAGAATTCGCGCGCAAATTTGAAAATTTCCGCGCGCGCTGAATACGGTAAGTTACGGTAGTAAAGGTACATACAGCGTTTTGGAGAAAATTTAACAGAACGGGGCTACCCCGAATCAGAACTGTCCCGTATCAAGTCAGAAGTCAGATAATTAGAGTTTCTAGAATTTCAGGCTTAGATACCAGCTGAATACGAGGAGTACCCGGAATACCGAGCAGGCGAAGCCCCTGCCCGATTTTCGGCCGCCCGTGGGTCAAATGAGGGTCTCATGTGGGCCAAACGCTCATGCCGAAAGATGTACACAACTCACCGTCGCCGACCCGCCGGTGGGCCTGATTTTACCCACGCCGTTTTGCCAGCGTCGCTCCGAGAAATGATCTGAAAAGGGGTTTTGCGCAAAAGTTGCGAGTTGTCGCACCTTTCACGCAGCTTCAGGAGAAAAGTTGTGAAAAGGTTGCGGACAAGTATCCTTCCGAGTCACAGTGAAGATCAAAGTCCGTTTTGAGTTCGTGTTGACAATTCCGGAATAAGAAATCCCAAATGACTCCGGTTCACGTGCGGATACATTCTAATCACGTCTAATAGCGTTAGTCCAGCTACACTTCTCTCTAGTTGAATATCGTAAACGAAATGCTAATTGTTGAGCTCTGTCGTTGTTTTTCTGGTCAGTCCGTGTCGAGTCGAGTGTTGTTCTCTAATGAGCACTCCCATGCTTTCTTCTTTCTTCTCACACTCTTCACGTCAAACCCGTTGTCCGTTCGGATTTTGCTCTCTTTACAGGCCCAGAATGAACGCTTCCGTCATGTGCGCCTTGATGGAAGAGCTGTCTTCTTCCAGTCTTCTGGCAATCACTCTCTCGCTCACTCTCTCCAGTTGTGCTCTCCTCATTCCATTGGCTCTGTGGGCCAGTTACAGTCTCTGGTTCTCGAGACTCGCCGGCCTCTTCCACTTGAACCTTCGGATCATTCTTCAGTTTCATCTCCTCGGCTTTCTGATTCATTGCGTTGGCAGGTTGGATAAATTTGCTGTAATTCACTAACGTTCTCCTTTCAGAGCTGTTCTTCATTCCATTGATCTCTTCATTTATTGGCGATATGATCCGTGTGACATGGTTCCGGATGTTTGGAGGTTTCTTATCGGTCACTTGTTCCTGCTATTATCTCTTTCCAGATGTTTTTGGTTGCGTTTCATCTACGCAGTGGGGCTGTGGATCACTTCAACTACAGTAATCCCTTTGGTGCTCGAGCGATGGATTGCCACCACCTACAGCGATATCTACGAATCGATGGGCGTCACAATCGGCGTGATTCTTGTTCTCATTCAGGTTCATTATCCATCCCGACTCACGGGAACCACTTGTATTTTGTAGTCGGTCGTTTGTGTCATTCATCTGCTGATTCTCTACTCGGGCTCTCGGATAGAAGGCGTCGTCATGTCTTATTGCATGGTCGCTCGTGACTCTTCCGTCAATGTGGGAGAGATTAATGGATACGCGACGATCGTGGTGCAAGTGTTGGCAAGGACTGCTTTCCAGTACTTGTACAAGAAAAACGAGGTATTAGTTGAAAGTTTTTTTTTATTTTCGTAGTCCGTTTTCTTCCAGAAATTCCGCAAGGTCCAACTAGAATCTTCGCTCTCCAATAGGTTCCAATTAGAGCAGAATCTGATGTGAGACACACTAATACGTAGAGAGAGAGAGAAAGACCCCTGTTACAGCGTGATGGACATTCTGAAGGTATTCGCGAACATCTCCTCCGTCTACCTCTTCCTGCACGCCTTCTCCTTCATGGGTGTTCTCAAACTGAAGAACTCCGTCTCCCCGCCCGTCTATTTCTCGCTCGTCGAAAGTGAACGTCTCCGTTGTTCCGCCCGCTAATCTCTGATTTCCAGTCAACTCCTCCTACCCTATTTACGGAATCATCTCGATATTTCTAATGTGTCACATTCTCCAGAAGAACCGGCGAAAAGTGCACAACAGTCTGAAGGCGCACGTGAATTCGAAGTGGGAAGGCGATGCGAACAACTTTGAAATCATCTTCAAGGCTTTGAATTGATTCTAGTGGTCTTAGAATATCCGGCACGTGCCTATGAAAACACCTGCAAGTTTCAATGCTCATTGGTCTTTTCTTACATTGTTAGTTATTCATTTCAGGTCAATGAAATCATTCGAATTCCGTTTCATGTTAGGTAATTCCAAGTCAATGATATCATAAGCCTTTCCGACCCGCTCTCTCTTTCCCTTCCTTGTTGACGACCCGCTGCTGACTCGCCAATATTATCAACGCATTTAATATTTACTTTATTATGAATGAAATTAAATCACAAAACATTATCGAATATACAAACTAGACATATAAAAACCCGATTGTTTTTTTTTGTTTCCGATTCCAAGTTTGTTTTCCATGAAGATGATCAAAAGACCCGCGGAGACAGAGAGAGGCAATCAGACGAACTGTACACAGAAACGGTGAGCGAGGCGCTGAGCATTGGCCCATTTCAGGAACGGAGCCAATTTGAGCGATTGTGCCACTTGACGGCCTTTGCGGCCGGAGGACGTTTTCGTGGAGACGACGAGCCGGAAGATGTGCAGGTTGTTGGAGTCGATGAAACTGCGGTGGAAGGGGCTACGGTAGACGGGGAAGCGGCGGAGGCGACGGAGTTGTGGCACAGAGGCACGGATTGTGATCTGGAAATGGGAGCGAATGAGTGTTGGTTCGAACATAACTAGTCGGGTACCTCGGTGGCTTTCGGGAAGAGCGGTCCAATCGGAATGAGCTGCGTGCGAGGAGCCCATTGCGAGTAAGCCGTGAGCTGATCCTGTTCATATGACTGAACACTTCGGACACGGTACTCGTCCGGAATCCAGCTCGGTGCTTTCGAGGACTGACACACCGGGTCGGAAGTTCCGCTGGCCGATTGGAATGCGAACCAGAAGGCGATGTCATTTGTGCTCTGAGCAGCCACACACAGCTCGGCGAGGGAAGCGTCCAACTGAAAAAAAACAAGATTGAGATGGGATGAGATGAGATTTGAGTGTTACCGTGACAGTGTGGGCGTTCTCTCCGTAATATCTGATCGCGGCCATCATTTTGACAGCATCCGAGACGGTCCAATGAGTGTCCACGATGATCAGAACACTGCGCGCTTCCTCATGGGCCACGATTCTCGGGCTCTTTGAGAGACGGAAAAAGTCTCCGTCTCCTTGGCTCTCCGGCGGGAGTATACTGTCCACATCTGTCCTGAGGAAATCCGCGTAAAGGACTCTCTGTCTGCGCTTGTCCACGATTCCTTCAGCTTCTGATTCACTCGACGCATTTTGATGCGTTCGAACGGAGACATATTGTCGAGAATGTTGTCCCTGAAGAGCTCATTATTATTATTATTGTTTGCTTTCCATCCTAATACTCTTACCATACGGACTCTGGCAGGTTGCCAAACTTTGGCGCGCTCTTCTTCTTCCCGAACTTCAGTCTTCTGACGAGACTCGTGTTGCCGGCGCCATTCGTGGCCGTCGGGGGATGAATGTGCATCAGCGAGAGGAGACGAACAATTTGCTCATTGAGCATTCTGCCAATCTGGAAAACGACGCCGATATTATGGTGTGCTGGCGCGTGAGCCGAAAGGAAAGGGGGCGGGGTCAAGAGCTCTCGTGTGCTGAGCAAGAATGACTGGAAGTGAGACACAAGAGATGGAGAAGTTGGCCAAGGGGGACTTCCGAGAATCGTAAATTAGCTCTTACACTACTAATTGTCAGGGGGAGCGAGTGGGCAAGAAGCACCTGTTCGGGAGTAGTAAACCGAAGAAAACGAGGCGGATAATGAGGCTGATGTGTGGTGAATGAGAAAGCCGTTCGCAGTGATCACAGGTAGTGTGTGTAGTGTTATTCAGTTCGCTTAAACGGAACAAACATCAAATGCTGCGTGCGAAATAGCAGAAAAAGGCGGCGGCGGTGGAGAGTTGACTCGGAAATTCGAATTCCAAAAAAATTCCGGATGACCGCGGCGACCCGGTGATAAGCGACGAAAATGAGGCGGAGATGTTTGACGGACAGAAAAAACGGGGTCTTTTATCAGAGAATCATCGTTATCAAAGGCAGTACATGAGTTGCACCAGCAGCAGAAAACGGGCGGAGTTTAGCGGAAAACCGATTGTTTGATTTGGGTTTGGGTTGCATTTCGGTTCGCGGGTTCGGCAGACAACGGGGGACTTGCGGATGATCAATCGATGGAGGGGAGAGAAGGGCGACCAAAATAGAAGTGGACAAAGACGACAATACGAAACGACACTGCGGGGCGGAAACGAGTGACCGTCGTCAGATTTCGACACAGACAAAGCTGCAAAATGGGCTGAAGAACAGAACATGTCACGCGATTCGATTCACAAAACACTCTAGTCTTATTGTTCTAAAGCTGTATTACTGTAGTTGGGATATGACCTGTGATCTTGATCTATGACGCATCAATTACGAGCGATTTCACATGTTTTGGGCATGGAGGCCTACGTGACGGCAAAACTATTGACACGGGAGTCCAAATTAACAATGATTTGTGAGAAAAATCGTCGTCTGTTCATTAAAGCTATCTATTTCAAGCGAAAAAAGTCTCATGGGTTCATTCAGCAGGGAATTTCCATCGTATTTTTCCTGAACCATCCCTTGTATGAGCCCATCAGAAATCATGTTTGGAAATTTTGGTTTCAAAAATACGAAGACTTGATGGGTTCCCTTGTTCTCGTTATTAACCCAACAGGATCATAGAAAGCGTTCACATGTAACGAGGAAAATCAAGTGTTGGAACGAAGGGATGGAAAGAAAGAAGGACAGAAATAGAAATGAAATAGGCCCGAAATAGAAAGTGGAAGAAGGGCGAACTGGCCCGCCACGAGAAGCGATGAATGCATGTGTGTGTGCGTGTGTGTGTGTGATCATCTGATGATGGAAGTTACACAAACTGGTGAGAAAAGAGGCGGTTTGTTTGAATTTCCGGTGCGATTCGCCCCCTCACAGTACAAAGGGGGGAAAGAACAGGCCCCCGAATGTCTAGTTGTTAACCTTGTTTTGCAGGTCGTATCGCCCTTTGGGCAAATGCAAGAGGGGCCAAAACATGGCGGGGAAGAAGGTGTCCAAGAAAAGGGAAAAGCGGCCGAGTATGTGTGTGTTTTGAAATAAAATGACGTGCGTGCGAGACGGGCCGCCTCTCCCAGGACACCGATTTATTTGGAAAAGGGGAGGCACATAGACACACGGCGAGAAAAAGAAAACATTATTCACAAGTCCAGACGGCTGAAAGCTAGACGAAAACTATCGAAGTGCGGACACTTCACCTTCAGAAAGTCAACAATTTAGTCTAGGGTCTGTGCGTACAAAAAGTTTGAAGATTCCGCGATTCCCATCGCTTTTTTATGGGGACCTTCGACACGACAGCTGTTTTCGATGATCTCGAGCGAGCAAAAACTATCACGTTTCAAAGGTGACGGCGAAAAACGCATGGGAAGAAGATCGAAGAGTGAGGACGGATCACTCGGGGCTCACGGGAAAATCAAAAAGCCGAGTGATGATGGTGGGTGGTCGATCAAACATTCGATAGATAGTTGGGAACGGGGGGAGTTGAGCTTCGACTTAGAATTCGCATTTCAAATCCATTTTAATCCGCATCTAGAACATTCTCGAAAAGTGTCCAAACTGAGGGTGTTGGTGTGTAATTTCTACTCGTTTGGGACAAGCGCTAGTCACAAGGTCTTCTAAAAGCGGAAAGAGACAAGAACACAGGATATTATTTACATTTTCGCCGCTCCTCGAAATGGAGACACATAATCCGTGGAAGCATCGAAGAGTACAAGGTCTAATCTGTTCTTTTTCCCATTTCATGGGGCTATGAGAGAAAGCCAAATTCCGTGCATTCGGGTTGCTATGGTGCATTCAAGGGCAAAGAGCAAAAGGAAATGAAAAGTGAGGGGAGATAATTGAATCGGCGTTGCAAGAGAGCACTGATTGAGCTCTGACTAATGCACATTTGAAAAGAGGAAGGGTAGAGGGACGGAAGGAAGAAGATCGATATGAAGGGATGAGAGCAATTAGGAGGACACACAGGGCTACGGTAGGAAGGAAGAAGAAGACGGAGGAGGAGGCGAGTGAGTCAGAAGAGGTGGGGGGAAAGGAGCTACATTCCGCGAATTCATTTCTTTTGTGTTCCAATATTCAGAGTGAATACTCAGGGCGATATCACCAAAGGCTACGGTAGGTTCGAGAGGCCGGACCAAAACTTGAAAATAATCAACAAGAATGCGAATTTTGAAACATTTTCGGATTCCGTAAAGCCGAATCACAGAAAGTCGCGTGAATGAAAAGAATACAATAGTAGCAATCCACTTGGCCTCTGGTCACCAAGGATGACGTGTCACAAGTGTGTGTGTCGGTGGGCACAATGAGCCTAATAAGGGGAGAGCAGGGGAGAGAGGATACGCGTACTAAATAGTACTCATTAGTATTCGTTGGCAGCCAGGCATGTTTTCCGATTTTTTCTGGAAACTCGAGATATACGATACTTTTGGAGAGGAGGCACGCGATGGGTCGACCAAAAAACCATTCGGATCGAAAATCGAATGCGAGAAACGTCTATCGTAGGTGCGAAGCGGCGGAAAGTGGCAGAGAAGGCGCCGGAAAAAACATTGAGCCGAAAAGAAGAGAGGGAATCGGATGGGCGAACGGGCAGAAATGTGAAAATGATGTGATGGGGGATGTATCTGTCGGTGTGGTCCCTTTTCGACGGCTTCCAAAACAATTATGTCACGCAGAAAAGAAGAGGGAGAAGCAGCAAAAACGTAATACAACAAAGTGGAGAGAAGGGGAGTCCGTGCTGCCTAGCGGACGAGTTTGTTGCACCCGTCCACTTCCGTTTAGTACCAGCTGCCCACCCCCACTCCACCCTCACAACAATGAGCTGCGAGGGGCAGAGCCGAGTCGGCGCAACATGTTACGAATTTAAAAGTCTGAAACGGTTTTATAGCAAATTGTGCGCATAGATAAAAAAATCATAGGGGAAGAAGGCCACGTAAAAGTCGTTGTAAGTGGGGATGTGAAAATGCGATGATGGGCGGGACCTGATTGTTCAACAGTTTAAATGGGAAAGGGCGGGGTTTGCAGTATTCAGACATTTCAAAGTGAGTGCGAAAGTAAGAAATAAATAAACAAGAAAGTGTGAGTGAAGAAGGGGGGAGGCGGGGAGAAATAGGCAGAGATAACTCGGTGAGCGTGATAGTACTAGGCATACAGAAAAATACACTGTGGGGGGGGGAGGGATCCGGAAGAAGGAATAGAAGATAACTAGGATGAGTGGAGGCACTCAAGGACGTCCGTTCATTCTCGCCCTTCTCTGCTTCTGCTCCATCTCATCTTCACTACTGCTATGGCCTCCTTCTATCTCGTTACGCGTAAATTCGGCGAGCACTTTTGCAGGCTGCAAAGGTCGTCGTTCGGAAGCCCGTCTGGAAGGAAAAGAAACATTAAAGATGAGTTTCGTGAAAAAGAATAAGATCTCGGCCCTCTGGCGAAATGCAATTAGGCGGCGGAAACCGGAAACGAGCTCTCTCAATCATCGGATTCATGGAAAACGTTTAGTATGGTGTTTGAGCGTCTTGCGAGTAAAGTGTCTCCATCAGCCGACTATTCATCACTTTTTATGAACATCGTCTTTTCTTTTACGCTTTCCGATTCGCAGCGCGCAGCTAATATGCATTTCGCGAAGCACTCGAGGGACTCCGAAAAGTCACGAATATACATTTCGGGCCAAGACTCTTTCGCTTTTTTGCTTCATTGCTCGTTGTCTTGGAGGGACCGACAATGGAGCTACGTGCCATTCGGAGCACTTTCGCAGCGGCATCCGGAGCCCGCTTCCTTATGAATTATTCGTGCCACCCCTTACTTTGTGCCTTCTCAAAGGGTCAATGTGCCTGCGGGCACGGGGAAAAGGGGTCAAGATGGGCGGTTACCTGATTATAGCATTGTTCTTTTGAGGACGGACGAGTGGCTGCTTCTTGGGCGGGGCCATTCGCCATTCGACACGGACGCTGTTCGCATTAGGGCGGCGGAACTGAAAAGAATAACGAATGGGTTCGATCGGATGAGAATCTGAACTGAGGGATATCCAAGCAAAACTGCAAACAACATGAACCACCACAACAACAACAAGTAACATTTGCAATAGTATCGTCATTGACTTAGTTTTTTTCCCTTTCATTGAGAAACTACTATTCGAATATGTATGAGATATGTCGGGGGAGGCTCGAGACTCGCGGGGATCGATGTCCATACATCAGGACAAAGAAGGCAGCAAATGAAAACATTAACGGACCAAACAATGCATTTTTTGAGAGCCACAAAACTATGGAATTTTTAGTTGTTTCAGTACAGAATGTGCTAGTTGGATTGGAGGTTACGAGGGATCAAATAGAGATCGGAAGCAGCCTACCAATCAGCGGAAATATTGAAGCTGTCATCCCCTGTCGAGCCTAACAATTCAATGAACTTTTAAAAGTTTTTACCATCTTTTGAAAATCTACAAAACTTCAACAGTTTCATAACATGCTTTTTTGTTGAAAACGAAATTGATACTTCACACGACGACACGATATTCATCAGTTCACTCCAACTAGTTCTCACCGTAGTCCTCCGTCGGACCTTCATAGTTTATGGCGTCGTGCGTGGCGCCGAGAGCCACTGCCGTTTCGACTCTCGCACGTTCTCGCAGAGCACACTACAGAACGGACGTGTTTTCTTCCATTTCAAATTAAATTCCCCTCCCCCCCCCTGTGTCCCGATTTCGCAACGTTTCGTCCTTTATCAGAGGGTAAAGGGCATTTGATCTTTCCAGTCACGTGGCTCCGCGTGGGCGCTAGCCATCTGATTTTTTTTTACGTAAGCAGAGAGAGACTCCGCTTATCGGTCTGTTTTGAAACGTGATAAGCACTCCAAATAATGCGAGAAAACTATCGGGATCAAAAGTGAGAAAAAAGAGGGCAAGTACCTTCGTGCTGGCAATGTAAGCAGCCTTGACGGTCTGCACGACAGCAGTCAGCAGATTTCGGGCGGTCTGGATGAGCGACATGGCCGAATCGAGGGCCGAAACGACGAGTTCATTGCCCACTTGGGTCACGTCTGCTTTTACCTGGAAGCAAATCAATTAGTGCGAATAGATTCTGGGAGCAACGTTCTACTTACCTTACTGCAGATGTTCAGTTGCTGACAGTACAGTGTGATCTGCGAAAGATACGCGAGCAGGTCCTTTTTCGTCTGCGAATCGGCGCTCTCCTCTCCAATCTGCCGGGCCAACGCATTCAGTTTCGATCCGTTCAGAGATATTTCTTGTGCCGCACGGATCACATCCATCGTCGTCTTCAGTGGCCCGCATCCTCTCGTGAAGTCGGTCATGTTCATCATGATCTTGCACATGTTGTTCGCCAGTTGAATAATGTCGTTTCCGGTCTCATCCCACTTGGCAACTTCCCGCTCGAATCTCGTCTGTGTGACCTTGAAGATGTCGATCTGAGCCTGGATCTTCTTCTTCTCCTCTTCTGGCAGTCTTCTCATGATGATCTGCTGGTTCTCCTGATCCGGTATCGTCCTGCTCGCATCTGCATTCGCGGCTCCAACGCCATCTGCTTCGTACTCAACATCCGAATCAACATCGTTCATGCTGCGATTCATCAGAAGGGCGTGTCGGATGTCTTTGACGGCGTCGTGAACAAGAGTGCACGCATTTATGAACTCGTTCATTTCGTTCTCTTTCTGATTGTGATTCCATGAGAGTCCAGAGATTTGCTGTCGGTCCGCGAGATCCTTCGCTCTGCTTGTGAACTCTTCGACACGTTGATCCCTGAGGATTCGGACAGCTTGTTTAACCGTTTCTGTGTATTCCGAGTTCTGAATGAAGTCCATTTCAGCGTCCACGACGTCGCAGACACGAAGAGCTCTCCCACGGATCGCTCCGGCAGCGTAGTCAAAGTCGGCACAGTTTCTGGAGTTCTCGTCTTCATTCGAAGCATTCGCCTGGAACCGAATAAATTGCTGAAGACTCCACTTCAAGTCTGAACTAACCGTAATTCCCTGAATTCCTTTTTCGCAGTCCTCCACGATGTGCGCCTCACTAACAGCGAGGAAATCGTCAAGAGTCGTGATGTTATCGAGAGCCGTCGTCAGCAGATTCACTTTTTGGAACCAGAGCTTTCTGTAGGCTTCCATGTTCTCTTGAGATGTCCGCGATGTGTTGTTAGCGCAGAGCAGTAGCGCGGCTTCAATGACCTGTGGAGCCAATCTTTCGAGCTGAGAAGCCGTGTGTCGGATGACACTGACGCCTTCCACATCGGGAGAAAGACGGCACGAAAGTTTTGCGACGGTGACGATTTCATTGGCGTGAAGCTGGAACATGTGAGCACGTTGCCTCGTCGTTTCTTCGTCGCCTGTTTTGGCAGATTCGATGAGCAGAAGCAGCGGAGTTCTGGTATCGAGGAACGCGTCGCTGATGTGGTCGACGATCGCACGACGGAGATGTCTTCTGAGATCCTTCGTCTTCTTGTGAACTTCTGCGATTCCAAGTGGAATGTCATCGCTGTCGTCGTATCTTCCACGCTGAAAAAAGCGACGACTTAACTCTTTTACTAAGGAAAAAAGGAGAAAGGGTCAAGTCCCTTTCACAAACAAAAAACAGTTGTTCTCGGATACCCGGCCCGGGCGCCACACTCGAAAGAACACACGACTATTTGTTGTTTGTTCACACCGTCGCCCCTCGGATGACCGCCCGCGTCCCTTTTGAGAAGAAGCGAAAGTAAGCCAAAAAATCATCGGGAAAAAGAATACTCACGCTTTTTTCGTACTCGGTGAGCAGCTCCTGAAGTGCTTGCCGCAGGTTGTTACACTCAGCGACGATCTTCTGTTTCCGCGACTCGCGCGTGCTTCCCGCGTCCGCGATCGAAGCTGATCCACTGACGATACGTTCGGCGCGCTCTTCAAGATCCGGACGATGGAGGTCTCTTCTGTACGTCGAGGGCTCCATTTCAATCTTGTTCTGAACAAAAATATGATATCGTTGGAATTGAAAATGGAGAAATCCTACTTGGAAAGTGTCAATCTCATTGATGAGGTCGCCAATCATTCCGAACCCGGAGAATGTGAGCTGCGGTTTCTGTCCATTCAAAACGGACTGCAACGCGTCCAGAGCAGAATGCATTTCATCAGCAGTGTAATCTCGATTCCTACGGGCTTCCTCGCGCTCCGGATGCCTGACAAACGTTTTTGTAGACGTGTAAAGCAACGGAACGCTCTGAAGAAGAGCAGCTCGGGCCGCCAGCAAATCATCTCGCTGATTCGGTTTAACCAGATCGATAGCTCTTCTGCGGACCGTGATGTCGAGTTCTTCGATTTGAGAGACAAGCAGTTTGTAGAGCTCTTCGACCTCGATCTTCGATCCGGCTTCCAGCATGTGATGGACTGTTTCGCGGATTTCGTCGACTTTGTCGGTTATCACACGAACGTCAATCGAGTCGGCCAAGATGAGAAACTTCGCAACGGTCTTTAAAGAAAAGCGCTTTTTGAATGAAAAGTTACCGACTACTGTGCGCTTTACTTTTGTTTTTACTCAGAAAGTAGTCAACATCAGTAACACGACGGAAACACTCACAATTAAAAGATTCCGACCGGCAGTCGTGGCATGCGCCCTTTTGTGCAAAGACGTTGAGTCTCTCACGAAGTCCCTACCAGTTTGTGCTAATACTTGGCCTGCAAGAGTTGAAATTTAGTCAGTTTTCCAGAAGAAACTACTGACCGGTATCTTGCACTTCGTGAAGAGCCTGGAGCAGTGAATCTTGGGCTCTTTTGTCTTGGCGGGCGACCGGACAGTTTGCAACCGAATAATCGCCGACTTCGAGAAACTTGACGATGGCGGCTTCGACCTGATTGATGAGCCCTTCTGCCGTTTGGCCCTGCGCCAGCGGGTACGTTTCTGTGATGTTCGTCACCTGAAAGAAAATAAAATGAAAAGAGGAGAACTGAATGGGAAACGACTTACATCATTAATTAACTGAGTGATTTGTTTCAACACCTTTTTCGACCGGACTTCATCGATGTTAAAATAGGCTTGAGAATTGCCGTTGTTGGGCATTCTGCAATGGAAAAGAAAACTGTTTGAGCTAGACATTAAAAAAGTCACAAAAATGTGTGAAAACGAGGGGGAAATGTTTGCGGGCGAGTGAAGGAATACGGGTATGGTGAAAACGATGAAGATGATGACGCATCATCAAGGAGTCGAGAGAGCACGAACTCTGCGGAGGGCGCAGACACGCAAAGAGAGCGATGATTCGGTCGGGTGGCCGGTCGGTCAGTCAGCGGGTGACGAGTGAGCGGAGAGAGGGTAAGAACGGACGGGAGGGGCAAGGACACTGCTGGGCCCGGAGGGAGCGGAGACGCAGAGAGGAGCGAGCCTTCCGCGGAGAGAACCACGGATGAACGGTCCCCGGGATGAGCAGATGGGTAGGGGGAGAAGTGCGAGGAGGACGAATTGAGTTTGTTTGCCGACTCTCCCATGGATTATAAAATTGGGTACGTATGCGTGGCAGTGCGAGACGGACGGGGTGCCCCGGAAATGAAGGACTTTCCTCCATTTATGGCGAGATGAGGGAGCGCAACAACGAAAGTTTGGCCCGTTTTCTGTTTCTTTCTCTTTGTTTTGATGTAGTCGTGCGCGGCGGCGGAGATTTGATGGATAATTCGCGGCAAAATATGAAGAGTCATTCGGTGGAAGATGATCGGAGACCGTTTAAACGTCGAGAGGGCATTCAAACCTTCGCCCATAAATTCCTGCAACGTCAAACAATTCAGAGGGACGAATGAGTCACATTTGCATTGTGACTCAAGAAAGTCCTGAATGTAATGCTTGAGAGTTGAGAGGCCGGCAGGCGATTTTTACAACGGGATGGGAAGATTGAAAAGCTTTCGAACCTTATGCCGCGTCCAAAGTAAAAAAAAACCCGGATATCACGCTGATTTCGCTGAGATTTCCTTGAACTTTGGACGCTTCTTTTTAATTTTGGACGCGGCATAACTCAATTTTAGGAGAAAGCAGATCATCATGTGAAATCCGACAATGGACAACTGACTACACCATGCAAATATGTTCCTCCTAGCCGGAAATTAACTCAATCTTGTATCTATTGTCGTTTTCCCTGAATACGTCATCATCCCCCGTGCTCGCACTCATTCCCCCGGCCGGAAGCTAATTGGCTCTCCGTTTGTATAATCCCAGAAGGCAGTGCAGCTGGCTTGAGCACGTGTGTCCATAGCAACCGAGACTCGCACTCCCCTCCCTCCTTCTTTCTATTTCTCCTTCTGGCCATTCCATTCACTCAACTCCCTCGGATCCCGTTTTTACTTTTTCTTGATATCCATTAACTAAAGCAAAATACTAAAGTTCGTGGTGAGAAGTAGAAAGAAGAAGAAGAAGATGTCGGTCAACGACTGGTATTCATCGTTTCTCTCCAACCGACCGGTGGAAATGAAACGGAGTGTGGCGCGAGGAAAGAAGACGTCGTGCTACTCGATGTCGATTGCCAAGTTGGCATCTCCCAAGGTAAATAGAAGCAGCGAATCAGAAATGACGAATTGAGTGGCTTTTTGTAGGTGATCGACAGCACTCGATACCAGATTAGCGCCTTCTTATACGACACGAAGACGTCGCAAATGTTCGGAAGACAATGCAGGACCGAGTGGAAACGGGCGGCCAGTGACGGAGAGTGCGTGTTCAATGAGGTAGAGAACAGTCCGTGAGACGTCACTTAATAAAGAATTGAAACAGACTCTGTACTTCTACTCGGTGATCAACGACAAGGATCTTCTGCTGGTTCTGGAGTTTGTCGAGGACGGCATCGAGCACATTTGTAAGAACTTCTGTGTATTCACAGATTATCAATAAACTTCAGCCTTTCCAGCTAGCATAGGATGGTGTCAGGTAGAGGTAGAGAAGAAGCAAACAGCAGAGTTATCGGACTTCAGAACGTGAGCTCACCGTTTTCATATTATGTGCAATCGGATTATATTTCAGCACGGATGTGTTCGGAGGCACTCCCAATTTGCTGATCTTCGACAAGTCAATAGTTCATAGAGTAGTCGGACGTGTGGATTTCACCTACAAATACCACGAAATGCCGTGTGTGTTCACTCAATGTCTTCCTGAATTCTGTATCGTTTGCGATGCCGATTTCATTCCGGGAATTCAAAAAGATGATGACGATCGTGAGCACACAATATTTGTTCAATGAGCAAATCATTGTTTTCAGAATGGTGGCTGAGCACTCCAAAAGAAATGATAACGATTCCGGCGGCCATTGACTCGATCGTCATTCAATTCAAGAACAATGTGCCAGAGCTGGAGAGACAGATTACGAGCGATATTGAGAGAGAATGGGCACTGAAAGAGGGGAACGGACAGAAACCGAAAGCGGTTATTATGGAGAGAAAATTGAGGGTTTGCTATTTTGCTCGTGATCTGCAAAACTCTATGATCTCCAGATCGGAGTGCACAACAGTTATACGTACGTCACAGAGCCGTTCACAGTCGATTTGGAAATAATCGATGAGAACGCCGGAGGAACTTTGAGGTCTAGGAAGAAACCAATCGACTTCGGAAAAGGAGCCAATTGGGAAGAGTGAGCCAGACTTTCATTTTGATTTTTCATTATTGTTTTCAGAAACATCGTTTTCCAAGCAGCCGGTAATCCTCGTTTCCCGCTGCGAAATCTTTACGCCGACCCCAGAATGGCTATAGTTTTTCTGCTGGAATACACGTTTCACCGAGAAGACAATCAGAGTCTCAACCAAACAATTCTCATCGGATGGGCCGCCTGGACTCCTTTCTCGGACGGCGTCTTTTCCGGAAAGGAGATCGGCACGAGAGTTTGTGTGGTTGGAGGTCCACGGCCGAATCCAGAAGGCGTGCTCTGCTACAAAAACGTGCTGAACCAACCGGATTCTGTGAAACCATTGAGCGAGAAGCTCGAGATATTTGTCGACTTCAAGTTTTACGAGAATGGAAGAAGTGTGCACAACACACCGACACCCAGACGGACGGATTCTGCGAGGGTGTCAACGGGCAGATCGGAAGCATCTGGAAGGAAACATGTGAAGATCGAGACTCCGAAGACGTCCGAGTACTATTCTGAAGACGAACCGCAGAATTCACATCGTTTCCCGCCTCTCTTGGACACTGGAAGATCGGTGTCATCTCCGGAAGAACTGAAAGCTATCAATTCGGATCTTAACAAGTTCATTGAGCAGCCGATAGAGAATCCGGTGCCGCAGATGCAGGAGACAGTTCAGAAGGCCGTGGAAGAGCCTCGTCCGTTGACTTCTGTCTACAAAATACCGTTTTCGGACATGAAACCCTCGAACTTTCCTCGATCAGTTCACTCTCTATTTGCTCGAGAAAAGTTCATTCATCTGAAAGACAGGAATGGAACATCACCGATTACGGAAGACGTCACTCAAAAGAACCTTGTGGACATGCGGATTGAGCAGCTGGACCGACTGGATACTTCGCATATCTTCATTCAATTCATCGCATTCAAACAGTATGTTTCTTCTGAAACTGTCGTTAAATTTTCCGATCTTCAGGCTGGTTTCCTCGGATTCTTCTCAACACAGCAAACTGTTTTTCACGATAAACTTCTTCCGGTTTCCCGAGCTCAACACCGAACAAATGCTGTTGACAACGATAGAAAAAGGAGAGCCGAGTCTGTTAACGAGACTGGACAGGCATGGAAACATTGATGATTCCTCCGGTCCTGGATTCATTGTAAGAGCCTCACTACGTTCAGAACTTTAAAGTAAAACTTTGATTCAGGTAAAGTATATAATCGAAGGAGACGAGGAGAAGAACGATTTCCTCGAGTTCATGTCGAACGGCCACGCTTGCATCGATGTCTGGGACGCCGACTCTCTGATCCATGTCGGCTCAACTATCGTTCCTTTACGGAATCTGTACAGGAAAGGAAGGGAAGCCGTGCAGCTGTTCGTGCAATGTCCGATTGTGGAGACTGCTTTGGATTCGGGCGCGAAAGCTTGTGGCTTCCTCTACTTGCGGGTTGCAAATGTGGGATTCCCTTCTGTGAACATGTACGCAGGTGAGTCATTTGGAACACATTTATTAGGCAATAAATAGTGGGGAATGAATAGATTACTTAAATAGTTAGAGAAACGATTAGTGAGCCCAAGTCTCTGTGACCAGCTCGTAAACTGGCTCTGGCCATTCGGTGGCAGTCTCCACTTCCTCCGGCTTCTTCTCCTCAGAAGTCTCCTCTGGGACGACCGTCTCTGGAACCTCCTCCTCGATCTGTCTGGCTTCTCTTTGAACCTTCTCGGCCAGCTTGATCTTGAGGGTCTGAAGGGAACGGCGCTTACGTCCTCCGCCTCCGCATCCGCAGCATCCGCACCCACATCCGCATCCACAACAGCAAGGACGGCAGCAAGTGCAGCAACGGGTGCAGCAGCAGGTTCTGCAGCAAGTACAGCATCTGCGACAGCAACAGCAGCATCGAGGGCGACAACAGCAACATCCGCATCCACAACACCCGCATCCGCCCTGACGCTTCACTCTTCCGCTGGATTCTCCGAGGGTGTCGATAGCAGTAGAAGTAGAAGATTCCGGGAGAGTTGCCACTTCAGACTGCCCAGGAAGTTCCAGATTGGTAAATTCAGATTCAGCAGACCTTGAAGCATCTCTGAGAGGATGAGCATGGGCCAAGTAGGCAAATCCGAGAATGGCGATGAGGCCGAAAGTAAGACGGACTGACTGCATGATCGGATAAGTTGAGGGAACTGGCGTCGGAGGACGGCCTATTTATACAAGCGTCTGGTGCCGGAAAGCTTCCGGCAGATCTCTCTTTGTTTGCACTCGGTAATCTGTCAAAAACTTGCAGATCCCTCCTCCGCTAACGTCCTGGCTACCACGAGATCCACTGGAAACTCGCATCGTGGTACGATCGTCCGCCGACTGACGTCATCGTTCCGGTTGAACGAGGAAGGACCGCACACGTACCGGGTGCACGCGAAACCCCTTTCCGGAAACAGCGGGGCGGGGCTGGACAGATTTCTGAGCGCACAAAGATTGGATATTCAACAGAGACACGAGCAAATATTCAACGAGAACAGTCTGGAGAAGATTCGACAGTGGAACGAGTTGAAGAACGGATACGAGTTCAACAATAACAAAGAGATCGCTCAGAAGTTCATTTTCGAAGAGGAGCTGGCTGCATACAAGAAGCTGCGATACGAAAGCAAACCAGCCAGACTGCTGGAGGCAGTGTTCAGAGGAATCACCAGGTGCCATCAAATCAAACCGTCCTTCGGGGAGAAGGTATTTTTCGAGTTTCCGCTTGAGAACTCTCTCTCGGAACCTCTCAACTGCACGATCGAATTCGACGACGAAGCAATACGACCGGTGTTTGACGAGGAAGAATGGGAATTCTACAAGAAAGTGAACAAGCTGAGGACCCCCTTAGAGAGGAACATGATGAGACAAGCTGCCGAAAGAGTGGAGCTGTTCCTGCAACCGGGAGAAACTCTGTTCATTCCGTTCGTGTACGACGCCTTTTTCTTCCCGAGTGATCACTTCAACATGTACTCCACTAAAGTGGTATTCCGTCGATGGGACACCAATGAACCACTTGCCATTCTGGACCTTCATGTCCATCGTCGCAGTTTCCTCGTTCAACACGCAGTTACATTCATTTCGGAAACTTCTGGCAACTGGGAGAAACAGCTGGTTCTGCCGCCGATGGCCAGAGATCGGAGAGTTCTGTCCTGTCGGTGCTCGGATCCATCGGTAAGGACTACCATTCGGAATGCCGCTCTCCAGCAGATACTCGGATTCACAACCTATTCCGGAGAGACCAACGATCGGAAGACATTTCTTCTGCTTATGTACAGTGATCACTTTCAAACCAGGTGACTTTTCAGCTCATTCGCTTGAATCAATATCCTTCGGTTCAGATTGCTTGCCACGTGGAAGGTGACGATCCTCCCGTTCTTCAACGTCGACGTCCGAAGTATTGTCGGCCAAACAACTCGACTTCATCTTCTGGTGCACAGAAAAAGGTACCCTTGTGCAAGTTATCTTTATTTTCAATGTAAATGAATGCAAAAAGAAAGGTTCGATCGCTCGCAGAATCTATACACTAGTCACGCACGCTTAGGCCCACTGCGCAAAGTACTGACGGGTCTTGCGATCGTAGGTGGTCGGCAGGTAGAGGTCCTTGGTGGTGGTGTAGAGCTCACGCCAGTTCTTGAACCGACGATCCCAGTACTTCGGAGTCAGCCAGTAGGCATCAAGCGTCGTGTGGTTGATAAGGCCTGGAATATGAAATAGGGGAAATGCTCAGAAGACTATATAAAAGAAATGGCTCACATTATTAATATCTAGTGTAGAGATAGAGCGGCGAGAAGGGATTAGTAGTACCGTAAACTGCGGGGCTCTAAAAAGAGAAAAGGTTTGGACGGAAAGTTTGTGGGGCACTGCCCTGTCTCTACACTACCTTTGACAGTGGTCAATACCGGTACAAACCTGCCTTGTACATCGACAGTCCGCGGTTGAGCGACGTGCTCAGAGAGTCCAGCAAGTACGATCTGAACAGATTCAGTCATCGAGACTTGAGACAGAAGAGATTAGAGAAAACCTGTATGGAGTGTAAGTGTAGTTCAGGTAATTGTTGAAAGCAGAGCTGGTGTATCGGCGGTAGTAGGACGGGTAGTCGTAGTCGTACCAGTAGCCCTTGTAGCGAGTCCAGTACGAGCCGTAGTTGCTCCAGTAGTAAGGATTCGGAAGGTAATCGCTGTGGTAGTATCTTCGGCTCGGCGAGTAGGTGCTACGGTAGAGCGGCGAGAAGTAGTAGTACTTGTCGTACCAGTAGTCATCGTACTGAAACGAAATGTTCCACTGTTTCCACTTCTCCCAAAGATCCCAGTACAAACCAGATCCCAGTCACGACGCCAGCGGTAAGGGGTCGATTGCCAGACGGTGTGCCATTGTGGACGGTACTTGTCCGAGTGACGGAAATGGGCGGTCAGGTCCGGAACGGAGGAAGTGCGGGTGACCTGCAACACCAATCATTGTTGTTGTTTTTCACTTCACACGTGACCCTGAGCTGTGAAAAGACAGAAAAAGAAGAAGAAGAAGCGGGGTACCAATAAAGTGTAACATTATGAGAAAGCGGGAGAGGAGGAGAGGTTCTTGATTTCTTTACGTGATCAGTTGTTGGCAAATGAATCATTCAGCTGCCAGTGGTTTTTTGTTATCACTTACGTAGAGACGCGAAGTCGGTTCGACGGATCTGGCACGCGTGAGAGCGCTGCGAGAGCGCACCAGTGCGTAGTCGGTCATACTGAAATCAGATGGTTTGGTTGGCGAGAGAAGATGTTAGGAATTAGGAAAGTTGGGAGAAAACGGTAGTTTGAGTGTCGTTCTGTTCTAATCCCATCTCAAAGTGAGTCGAATCAAGAAAAGATTGGCAGTGAACCGAAAAGAAACTCGACCTGGAAACCATCGGGGAGGACGGGCGCAGGCGGGAATGGCAGATGTGCTCCGTGTGCTCCCTTCTCGTGCTCCTCTTTTCCCCCTCCCTCTCCGTCGGAATCCATCACGAAGAAGGCGGAGGAGGCGGCGGCAGTTGTTTGGTCCCGCGGGCAGGAGAAAGAAGAAAACAAAAATAAAAACGAGTGGGGGAGCGATGCCAACACCTGGTTTCTGTGCGAGCAACAACAGAAAGAGTTGACAATGACAACACGAATGATTCTGTTTTCAGCGAACATGATGGAATTCCCAACGATCTGCTGAATGTGTACACGAGCTCCGGATGCATGAAAGTGGTGGATGCGGTGCTAACCGAAAGGACTCCCACCGCCACGATCGACTTCACTCCGAATTTGTCGGTGAGTTGAGAGAGAAATTGAACAGTTTATTGGAAAGATAATAACAACAAAAGGATAACAGAACTGGGAAAGATACTAGATAACTGTGGACGGACGACGATGATCCGCAAACGTTGAGTGGCGTCCCACATAACTGGAAATGATAATTTGACGATCAATGGTTGAATGATGGTTACCCTACCGTCATCATTTCGGAAAGATCTGCCACTGTCATATTCACATATCCACTTGCCAATTGGGAAACTTCACAAGGTTCCGGACACCAGGGAAGAAGTACTCGGTACGGATCGGCAGTCGTTTCGTTACGGTAGTACAACTGAAAATATGTGTTTTTAAAGAGTCGTTCTCTGTTAAAATACCTCTGGATAGTACTTTCCGTTGTCAGAGTAAACGTGCATAATCAGAGCAGCCGCATAGGGAACCATCATTTCGTTAGAAGCACGGAACGCATTCAGAAGAGCCAGAAGAACTCCGTCGTGCTGAAAATGAAAATACGGTTGTAGGAGGCTCATGTTTTTTGATTTTAAGTTACCGAAGAGTACAATAGCATTCTCTGATCATTTCGGCTTTCGGTAACTGCCAACGCATTCTGAATCCAGGTATACAGAACGGATCCACCTTGAAGTCTTCCTTTTTCTTCGGAATTGAACAGATTCATCATCCGAACCGTTCTCATTTCAGTGATAATGTCCATCGAATTCCGATTATCGTACTGGCTCCAGTTCTGGTAAACCCAGTCGGGCTGCATGGCAGTCATGTTGTGAATGAGTTCTCTTTGCACGTCGAACAGACCGTTGATGTCCATGTAGGAGCAGTTCTTGAAGCCAGTCGTCTTTGAGAGTTCGCTGAAGAAGTCGGCGTACTTCGCATCGTACACGGCCTTCGATTGCTGGTCTCCCTCTGCCACGAGTGTTTCATGGCGGGAGCACTTGATTGCCGTCGGTTTGCACAGCTGAAACTCCGATAATAGTCTTATCAGCTCTTTCCTCGTTTTACCCACGCAAATCACAAAGATCAATCAACCAAAAGATGTGTACTTTGAATGGAATATTACCTACCAAGTCGGGCTGTCCGGGGGTGGATCCATGCACGGGAAGAGGTTGCCAATCAGTGTCCGCATTCCACTGATAACCTCCTGCGGCAGGGTACATTCCGTAGAGGAAGGATTGGGCCGAAACGAGAGCTCTGTCAGAATCGGACGACCGCAGATAGACTTCTTTCACGGAAAAGTTGGCAGGGATGAAGCCGGTATCCACGTATTTGTGACGGAAAAATTCGCCTAGTTCATGCAGTTGTTGCATTCCTATCTGTAAAATTTCATCTGAATCTATTTGATCGTTTCCGAATGCACCTACCGATGTCAACTGTCCCCATCCTCTGCTCCACGACTTCTCCGTATACTGGTCGTTCGGATACGGTAGGTGCAGTGGGGCGCGGTCTCCGTGCCGGAAAAGGGCCTGCGCAAATTCCAGCTTCCGAGCCTCTGCGCATTGAAAAACTGCTAGCACAAAAACCAGAGAACCGCAAAATGGGACCATATTTAGAGGAGGAAATCTGGAAAAGGAGGACAGCATGAATGACGAGAAAGTTTCGGAGTGACACCCAAAAAAAGGGACGAGTTCTCAGGCAATCTATCGGGTTACACGCAGAAATCGCACGCTATCTGATGACGGAAACTCAGATTGTGTTGACGTCGACGACCGAAACGGGCCAGTCTGTTCGAAAATAGAGCAAGAGCAAAAGAGTCTTGTTCCGAAAAGGGGCGGAGTCGGGAACTGTGCACTGGTTTGTGCTGACCCGGAAATGCGTAAACACTTCTATGTTTTGCATGTCATTTTGGAAACGAAACGACAAATGACAATGCTGAAATGAAAATGAACACACTTTCAGTGCAGTTTGTTTCAATTCATCTAATCGTCTTACCCCTATAACTAATAACATAAGTGAAACCGCAAGAATCACCACAAAAAACGATGTGCGTAAAAGTAATAAAATTGCAAAGACGTGCAAACTGGGCGCATCCGGGTGTGAAATGGTGACTTCTGAATTCGGGAATTCCAAATTGGTCCCACTCATTTCATGACCTCCCACGTGACTTCAGGCACCAAGAAGTTCGTCGTTTCCGTCGTCAACAGCAATACGCAAACGCTGGAACGGGGATTCCTCGTGTTCGGAAAGTCCGAATCGCCCAGGATCACTCAGAAGTTCGTCATCCACATTGCGGCCGGTAATGAGGCGGTGAAGAAGGTACGTGGCGTTCGGAGACAGTCGAAAAACTGGTAATATTTGCAGAACATTCCTATCAGAAACCCTTATGGACTTCCGAAGACGTTCCGGATAACTACATCTCATCCGGATATCGTAAAAATATCCGAACCGTTGATGTCGATTCCTGCGATAAGAAAACTTCCATCTGAAATGTATTTTGTGAAGACGTCACATCTTCAGAAGACTATCGAAGTAAGCATCGTTGACAAATAGTCGCTTCTATCCATTTCTGTTTTACAGACCCTCCTGTACATATCCGATGCGGAAACTTACGTCCAAGAAGAAGCCTACGCCTTGACTCTCATATTTGAAGCCTCATAGTAATTTTGATAAGTTCCGGTTGAAATGGAGTTTCGCGAATAAAAATGTTTATTTCAATATTTGCTTTGGCTCGAAATGATGACGACTCAACCGCTCGAAGGCTCGACTCAAACCCGCTGCTGCTCGATTTTTGAAAAATGCTCGAAGTGGATAAATAGTGTGAAAAATGAAAAGAGATGAAAAAGAAGTGGAGAATCAGCAAGACGCGTCTCGCTTCTACTTCTTTCCGTAGGTGTTCTGGGCGTGTCCGGTGCCGCCAGAGTATCCACCGGTTCCGGCGGAAAAGCTCGCTCCTGGGGCGTTCGACGGATTGTGCGATGGAGCGGAAGCGTAGGGGTTCTCCTGGAATTGAGAGTTTAGAAGCATTACGAAGGAAATCACTTCAAACAACCTTTGGAGCGTTTCTGTCTGGGCACGGGCAGTAGGCGGCGTCGTCTCCGATCTTTCCGGCCTCTCCCGGCTTTCCTTCCTCTCCTGGTGGACCTCCTGGTCCTTGGAATCCGTTGATTCCGTCTGGTCCTGGTGCTCCCTCGGCTCCAACTGGACCGTCCTTTCCGGCGTCTCCCTCTGGTCCTGGTGGTCCGGAATCTCCCGGTGGTCCACGTGGTCCTTTTCTTGGTGTCGGTTGCTCGACATCGTTTCCTTTCTCTCCGTTGGATCCCGGCTTTCCGTCCTCTCCCGGCGCTCCTGGTGGTCCCATCTCTCCCGGACGGCCTGGATATCCGTCAGATCCTGGAGATCCTGGGGTTCCACGTGGTCCGCGCATTCCGCGCAGTCCTGGCTTTCCGCGCTCTCCTGGAGCTCCCGGTTTTCCAGGAGCACAAGTGATGCATCCGACGAATGGAGCGTTCTGCGAGTCTTCGGCGTTCTCTCCAGGGAATCCGTCCTGTCCGTCGATTCCGGAGATTCCGTCGGGTCCTGGGGCTCCGCCTGGTCCTGGGGGACCGGCTGGGCAGCCTCCGGTTCCGAGCGCATCGTCTCCGTTTCCGTTTCCAGAGTTGCAAGAGCACGTGGGTCCTGGATTGACTCCCTGGGCTTCGTAGCCTCCGTACTGTTCCTTGCCCTGACGGCGTTGACGGTTCGAGACGGTGGCGGCTCCGAGACCCAGCATTTGGGTCCACAGATCGTCAGTGGTCACCTAAAAAGTTTACAAGAGAGGTGTCGAGTGGAAAGAGGATACGGTACCTTGAATTGATCCATTTCTTGGTCGAGTTGCGACCAAATCGACTGAACATCGGAGTAAATGGAGAAGATGGCGTATAGCGAGAGGATGAGAGTGGCCGAGGAGAGGCACAAAGCCCCGGCGGTCGCTTTAGTAACGCTCATTCGAGACGACTCTGTCTATTCCGACGGCCGCCAATCATTTTATAAGGCTGACGCGCAACTGGTTTGGAGACAAGTAGGTTACGAACGGAACAACTGGTCAGCCATGATAAGATATCTTAATTCGTCTCATCATTATCGCTTTCCCGCATTCGGCGGAACAACCAGTCGAGGAAAGTAAGTCGTTTACTAAGAAACAAGGCACTGTTTTCTGAGGGTAACCCGGGGGGAAGGAGCAGTATTTAAAGGCACACGAATGCAATAGACCTATAATCTAAATCACAGACAGACTAAATTATAAAATAAGAAAGGAGCATAGCATTAGTGGAGAACTAGTGAGCATTGGTAATTCTGAGGTAGTATCGGTAAACGAAGAGCTTCAGAAGGGACCAGTACATGTGGAAACCGAGGCGGAACTTCTCGATTCGACTGTCCGAACGACGGATTGCCAGTTCGTGAGAGCTTCGGATGACACAGCGGGACATCTGAAATAAGGAAGCTCATTTTTCGAAGTGAAAAGTTCTATTTTCTAGAATTTGTCTGCCCGAAGTTGTAACGTTCACCTGATAGATGTTTTCCTTTTTACCTCTATATGCCCATCACTGAATCCGAACACTCCCAGCTTATGCTCGATATTTCGCATCAGATCGTTCGTCTTCAGGATCAGAAGCATCTCCCGAGGCATTCGCGCCAGCACCTCGCTGATCTGAGGGATAAGGGACGACGCGTACATCCTCAACTCATCCTTTTCACTGTCATTCATTTTTGACCGATCGATTCCGCTCGTCACGGATTTCCACGAACGGCGAGTCACCATGCAAGCGAACAAACCGTACAGCTCACCGACGCCCATTTGATTGGCCACTTTCTGGAAGGAACTTTGTCTAATTCGTTACTTTGCGTAATGTCATACTCGAATTTCTTGCAGGTCTGGCTTCAGAATAGCTAGCCAGAGGTCAGAATACAGCTTTCGAATGTGATCACTGATATTCTGAATGGTTTGAATGCTTGGATGAATTCTTCATTCTCAAACTTACCAAGTACAGTCCGTGGTCGAGAAGCACTATCTCATACTTTCCGTTGCCTTGACTGTTGATCAGAACGTTTCCGGGATGTGGATCTGAATGAAGATATCCTTGCAGAAAGATCATCTCCGAAATGGTTCTTCCTATTTTCGCGCAGACATCGTGCGGATCGATTTTGTGCTGCTTCAAGTACTCCACATTATCAACGTGCGCTCCTTCGCAGAACTCCATCGTGAGCACTCTCTTTGTCGTCAGTTCGTACTTGATTTTTGGAATCCGCAGGAACTTGAGGTGCTTAAAGCGGGAAGCTGCTTCGTCGGCATTTTTGGCCTCGTGCATGAAATCCAGTTCGTTCGGCAGGTTCTTCTTTATTTCATCGACAAGCCACATGAGACGGAATTCGGGGAAGACCGCATCAGCTACATTCACGAGGAACTCCATCGTCTTCACATCCGTTCTGCTGTTCCTATACACTCTTTTGTGCTGCACTTTCACCGCCACCGTCTCTCCGGTCTCTTTCAACTTGGCTTTGTGAACTTGTGCAAGACTCGCTGCTCCGACTGGCTTGTCCGAGAACTCTGTGAATAAATCGTCGAGTTTCGCGTTCAATTCCGATTCCAACACGTAAATGACGTCTTCTTTTGATGCCTGTGGAGCCTGTGAAGTGAGCACACCGAGAGTTTCCGTGTACTCGGATGGAATGAGATACTCCATGCCGGAAATGTGCTGCCCAACCTGAAGTTTTAGTTTTTAATGTTTCTAGCACAGCTTTGGCTTCGTACCTTAATGAAGACGCCCCCATTAGTGCATGCCAGTTCCAGAAGATGTTCTGCACTTCGTTTATGACACTTTTTTATTGCGTCATCGTATTCGGCGGAGGGCTCCGGAAGACCACGCAAAGAGCTTTTGTAGTCCACTACGATCTTACCTACCTACATTAATTGCGTACTTTTCAACAAGAATTGGACGACTTACGGTTGCTGCAGCTCTTCCGAATCTTAATATTCCCAATTGTCGCAAATCTTCAGGGGAGTCAATAGAGTAGGCGGTATAAGCGGCTCCAGTACCACTTCCAACGAGTAAGACCTGAAGAATACATTGAAAATTGATATTCAAGAAAGATACTTACTTTTGTGAGAGGCTTAAGCGCCAGAAGTTTTTTAAGCATCTTTCACCGGGCTGAAAACAACTGAAAATGAAAAAAAATCATCAAATTCCTTGAAAAATGATGCAAACGCGCTCCTCTGGAGTCCGAGAGAGTGTGTCGAAAAAGGAGAGCGCAGAGAAACGTTTTTCGGTTTTGCAAATGTTAGAGAGCTTGATAAGACGCGTTCTTCAAGATATTTTTAAAACCTCTTTTTCCAGGAATTGAGCTAAATAATTTTTTTCCTTTTAGAATGAGTCTGAAGAAAATCATCGATGTAGGATCGGTGAACAACCTTTTGAAGAAAGGGATCATCAACAAAGAAGGCGTTCGACTCGTCGACTGTTCCTTTGCTATTTCCCAAAGACCTGACTGGAAAACGTTTGAAAAAGAGCAATACGGAAAGTTCGAGGAACTTCTGGCAGCACCGAGTCCGTGAGTTCGTTTATCGGCACGAATAAAAACTACAAAAACTGCAAAGGTTTCAGTTCTCGAAAACTCTACCAAAACGGCCACATTCCGGAAGCAATTCACATTGATCTCGACATTGCCACGTACCCTTCGAAGTATCAGAGATTCCAACAGTACCCCAAAGAGCTCTTCGAGCAATTTGCTCAGTTGGTCGGATTGAACAACAAAGAACACTTCATTTTCTACGGAAAAGGTGCTTTCGGAGGAATGCTTTTCGCTTCCAAAATTGCTTGGATTTTCAAGACATACGGACACGAGAATGTCTCATTGGTCGACGGAGGATTTGACGCGTGGAGAGGAAACGGATTTAAAGTGTCAACGGAAAGTGTGAAATTACCGGTAAGTTACGAAGCTCAACTACTCCTTCCGATCAATTTTGTGTTTAGCGTGGAAACTGGACTGGAGAAGATCAACTGGAGAAGTACGTGATCACGTTCGAAGATTTGGAAGCCAAAGATAGTGAAGAAAAGCAGTATATTGAAAAGACATCGGAAGTAAACTTCCTGGACACCAGAGTCCGTGCTCAGTTTGAAGGCACCCAGGAGACGGGCCTTGATCCTCATCTCGTGAACGGAACGAGAATTCCCGGATTCAAAAACGCTCCGAGCTCAGAGCTTCTGGCGAAAAACGGAACTCTGAAGAGCGAAACGGAGATTCAGTCATGTGAGAAGGCCTCCCCCTCCCCTTCTGCTGTTTTTGAATGATTGAATTCAGGGCTTGTTCAAAACGGCTACGTGGCAAATCAGCCGACAGTCACTTCCTGCAACTCCGGTGTGCAAGCAGCTCTCCTCGCCTACGTCATGGATGCCGTCGAGCCGTCTTCCGCTCCTCGGCTTTACAATGGTTCGCTAAAGGAAATGGAGTTGAGAGACCCGAAAAAGATCTCCGGCGGACCCCAACATTTGCCACATTAGTTGTTTTCTTGTAGCTCTTTTGTAGTTAGTGTGATTTACGTTGTTTGCTATTAAATGGTTTTTTTTGAAAACAGCTAAGTTAAAGCGTGTCTACGAGCGGCGGTCAGTATTACCAGATGCTTCCCATTTTATTTCTGACTTCTTATCAGCAACCTTTTTGATTTTGACCAGTGATAAGCAAGTCTATTAACTCCGATTTGAAAACTTTTCCAGTCGCATTCTTGTCACAATGAAGAAGATCTTTTCGATCGTCGAAGTCACCCCGGACCACGCTGAACAACTCATTTCGATGATCCATGTTAGTTCTTCAATTGTCTTTTATTTCCCAATCAACTTCAATTTCAGGAACTTGCCGAGTTCGAAAGAATGAAGAGCAGCGTGGTGAACACGGCGGAGAGACTGCGGAAGGACATTGAGAACAAGGCGGTTCATGGTAAAGAACGCTAAACAAAAGTGGAAGACGTTACCAGTAATTCAGGATTCATTGCGTTCGACGGAGAAGAAGTGGCTGGAATGAACCTGTACTACTACGCGTATTCCACGTGGGTCGGACAGTACATTCATATGGAGGACCTCTACATTCGTCCGCAGTTCCGTCGAAACGGACTCGCCCGCTCTCTGTGGAAGAGACTGGTCGAACTGGCCAGGGAAAAGTGTATCGTCCGGCTGGAGTGGGCCGTTTTGGACTGGAACAAGAACGCAATCGCTCTCTACGACACTGTCGATTATGTGAACATGACGAAGACGGAGGGATGGTACACGTTCCGGATGGACGGCGCCGCCATTAATAAGTTTGCCGCAGAGTGATTGCTGTTTGTTGTATTTCGAAGTTGGTAATTTATAAAAGAAAGAGTTTTCCATTTATATACTCTTCTTGCTTGATACCGGATTCATTCAACCCGTGCAAATTATTTATTCGCTTTTCAAAAAAAGCTTTTAGTAGTGACTGAAAACAAGTCTCCAGTTGCTGTCATAATCTTTGATTCATTCATGATAGATGTAAAAACAATACAGTCTCGTTATCGCATCTCTTAGGTCACGGTCAGAACACAACTGTATTTTTCCCCTCATGACCCATTTCTTCCGCTGCTATTTGTCCTTTTCTTCCTGTTTTGAAAAGAGCTTCAAAATAGTTTCTCGGTGCATCCATTCCATCCATTTTTCTCTGCGCTCTCTCAATTTACGAGCCTCTCGTGTAGCCACCTCGTGATCGGCACTGATTGTTGAAAGTGCAAAGAACGAGCAAAAGTGTAACCCTTCTGGTGGCGGCGAGATGGTTGTTACCGGTTCTTCACCGCCAGCGAGAGCGATACTGTCAGATAGCCGACTGAGCTTTTCTCATAGTGATCGGTGACTGTCTGACTCGAATTGTTCTCTGACCCGACCATTCCGTCCTTCTTTCATTTCATTACAATCTTGTTTTGTTAGTGTCCGAGTGCTGATAAAAGATGACATAAATATTAAAACTTCCCGAGAATCGGTGAGACTATTTCGAAGATTTGAATCTCCCAGATTCAGATTCATGCCAATTGGCATGCGATAAGAAAGTGACGGTCGATCGGTCGATCGTTGGGGCGGCGGCGGCGGCAAAACAGAAAGTGTTTGGTTTTCTGCAATTGTTATCGTGCACCTCTCTCCGTCTCATCTCTATCTCATAGTGTCCACCTCGGTTGACTGATAAGACAAACTGACACAAACACCGTCTCATCAGTTTGTTGTGTGTGGGTCCTCCGACCAACAGCGACCTCGCTTCTCTGTTCCCCTTGAAGAAGAACAAATGTTCGTTGAATAATTAGATAGAGCTGACTGGCTCCCTCTCTTTTTGTTGATTTCTCTGTTCCTCTCCGACCGAAAACATTGTCTTGTTGACAAGAGAAACTTTCGCGGACTCTCAACACTCGCACAGATTTGACCTCGTGTGAACCACGTGACTATTCGTTTTTTCACCGAAACAGCCACTTCTTTGCAATAACAAAGAGTTTTTCCGCTGCCTTATCACTTCATTCCTCAAAATCCTAGTTATCAGTTCGGTTCTCCTCTTCTCGAATATCACTGATATCTTTTCCGCGTGGTTCTGTGGGCACTGGTCAGTGGTCTCGCACTCTGATGAGTAGCGCCTCTTTCTTCCAAATGGCGTGACCCCTCGACATCCCTAGCTCCAAGCTCCTCCCACTTGCACGTTGGGATCGTCCATCTAGACTTCCGATTATTCTCGAAGTTTTCCCTACTTCGCGTCAGCTCATCTTCTGCCAGCAGAAAGTTACCGTAAAAAAGTAATCTTTGTCTGTCTACTCGTGATACTCAACTCAAGTTTCATTTCTATCTGATTGGTTGTATTTACCGAATCGGTTCACCGTCTCAAAACTGAAACGATTTCAGAAGAATAACAAGGATGTGGTTCGCCCGCGTCTCTCCGTTATTCGCCATCGTCGTCCGACATCGCAGTCATGGCAGTGTCGTCAAGCCGCGCGAGTTCAACAAGGTACGGAATTTGCAGATTTAGCAGAAAAAGGAAACTCGATAAACTCGGAATTTGCAGGTCATGGTGGCTAATCGTGGAGAGATTGCTATTCGCGTGTTCCGAGCACTCACTGAACTGAACAAAACGTCCGTGGCCATCTACGCCGAGCAAGACAAGAACTCGATGCACCGCCTGAAAGCCGATGAAGCCTACCTCGTCGGAAAAGGACTTCCGCCCGTCGCCGCTTATCTCACGATCGACCAGATAATTGAGACGGCTCTCAAGGTAGCCTTCATTTGCTAATCGAAATCCCATAGTTTCTAATTCCAGCACAACATTGATGCTATTCATCCCGGATACGGATTCCTTTCGGAGCGCTCCGATTTTGCAGCCGCTTGTCAGAACGCTGGAATCGTGTTCATTGGACCAAGCCCCGACGTGATGGCCAGAATGGGAGACAAGGTGGCCGCTCGTCAAGCAGCCATCGAAGCCGGCGTCCAGGTCGTTCCGGGATCTCCTGGACCAATCACATCTGCCGCAGAAGCCGTCGAATTCGCGAAACAGTACGGAACTCCGATCATTTTGAAGGCCGCTTATGGAGGAGGAGGACGTGGGATTCGTCGTGTCGATAAGCTGGAAGAGGTCGAAGAATCCTTCCGCAGATCATTCTCTGAGGCTCAAGCCGCTTTCGGAGACGGAAGTCTGTTTGTCGAAAAGTTTGTGGAGAGACCAAGACACATTGAGGTTCAGTTGCTCGGTTTGTTCATTGTTTTCAACTGGTAGTTTTCAAAAACCCTTTACAGGAGATCACCACGGAAACATCATTCATTTGTACGAGCGTGATTGCTCCGTGCAACGCCGTCACCAGAAGGTCGTCGAGATCGCCCCAGCTCCAGCTCTTCCAGAAGGCGTCCGCGAGAAGATTCTTGCCGATGCTCTCCGACTCGCCAGACACGTCGGATACCAAAACGCCGGAACAGTCGAGTTCCTTGTCGACCAGAAGGGCAACTACTACTTCATCGAAGTCAACGCTCGTCTTCAAGTGGAGCACACCGTCACCGAAGAAATCACCGGAGTCGACCTTGTCCAGGCGCAGATCCGTATTGCCGAGGGCAAATCGTTGGAGGACCTCAAACTATCCCAGGATACCATCCAACCACATGGATCGGCTATCCAGTGCCGTGTTACCACAGAAGATCCTGCCAAGGGATTCCAGCCAGACTCCGGAAGAATCGAAGTGTTCCGTTCGGGAGAGGGAATGGGTATTCGTCTCGACTCGGCCTCGGCATTTGCTGGATCCGTCATCTCCCCTCACTACGATTCTCTGATGGTGAAAGTGATCGCGTCGGCCAGAAATCACCCGAATGCAGCTGCCAAAATGATTCGTGCGCTCAAGGAATTCCGTATCAGAGGTGTGAAGGTAAGAGAAACAGATTTGCCTCACAAGTATCAAAGTACAAAGCGCACGAATCGTTGTTTATGCCGTTTTCTGCTATGATAAGAACTGATAGGAGACACCGGACGGTCCTAATGATACTATCTTTAACGAACTGGCGATGTGATCATTGAGTGAACTTTTGAGTCTTTCAGACAAATATTCCATTCTTGCTCAACGTCCTCCGCCAGCCCAGCTTCCTCGATGCCTCCGTCGACACCTACTTTATTGACGAGCACCCAGAACTCTTCCAGTTCAAACCAAGTCAAAACCGTGCTCAGAAGCTGCTCAACTATCTGGGAGAAGTGAAAGTGAACGGACCGACAACTCCTCTCGCCACCAATCTGAAGCCAGCTGTAGTCACTCCTCCGATCCCATACATCCCAGTAGGAGCTCAACCACCTGCAGGTCTCCGCGATGTTCTCGTCAAGAATGGACCAGCTGCATTCGCGAAGCAAGTTCGCCAGACCCCTGGATGTATGATCACTGATACCACCTTCAGGTCCGTTTGAGTTTCGAAACTTTCCAAAAAACGAGTGTTTCAGAGATGCTCATCAGTCTCTCCTCGCCACCCGTGTTCGTACTTACGACATGGCCGCCATCTCTCCATTTGTCTCCCAATCCTTCAACGGTCTCTTCTCGCTTGAGAACTGGGGAGGTGCCACGTTCGACGTCTCGATGAGATTCCTGCATGAATGTCCGTGGCAGCGTCTTCAGACACTCCGTCAGCTCATCCCGAACATTCCGTTCCAATGTTTGCTCCGTGGAGCCAACGCCATGGGATACTCGAACTATCCTGACAATGTAATCTACAAGTTCTGCGAACTTGCCGTCAAGAATGGAATGGATGTGTTCCGTGTGTTCGACTCTCTCAATTACCTTCCAAACCTTCTCGTCGGAATGGAAGCTGTCGGAAAGGCCGGCGGAGTCGTCGAGGCTGCTATCGCTTACACCGGAGACGTCTCTGACAAATCTCGCGACAAGTACGACCTCAAATACTACCTGAACCTGGCCGATCAGTTGGTCAAGGCACAAGCTCACATCCTTTCCATCAAGGACATGGCTGGAGTGCTGAAGCCAGAGGCAGCCAAGCTGCTCATCGGTGCTCTCCGTGACAAGTTCCCAGATATCCCAATCCACGTGCACACCCACGATACTTCCGGAGCTGGAGTTGCAGCGATGCTCGAGTGCGCGAGAGCTGGAGCTGATGTCGTCGATGCCGCCGTCGACAGCATGAGTGGAATGACTTCTCAGCCATCGATGGGAGCCATTGTGGCAAGTCTCCAAGGCACCAAGCATGACACTGGTGAGTACATTTCCCGCAAGAGTACATGAATTATGTCACCTTTCAGGTCTTTCGCTCGATGACATCTCGAAGTACTCCGCTTACTGGGAGTCCGCCCGTCAGTTCTACGCTCCATTCGAGTGTGCGACTACGATGAAGAGTGGAAACGCCGACGTCTACAAGCACGAGATTCCAGGAGGACAGTACACCAACCTCCAATTCCAAGCCTTCTCTCTCGGACTCGGACCTCAATTCGACGAAGTGAAGAGCATGTACCGCGAGGCCAACCTCGTTCTCGGAGACATTATCAAGGTGACGCCGTCGTCGAAGATTGTCGGAGATCTGGCTCAGTTCATGGTGCAGAACAAGCTGACTCGCGAGACCGTCGTCGATCGAGCTGACGATCTGTCCTTCCCGAAGAGTGTCGTCGACTTCATGCAAGGAAACGTCGGACAGCCGCCATACGGATTCCCAGAGCCGTTGAGAACTAAGGTGCTCCGCGGAAAGCCGAAGATTGACGGACGTCCGGGAGAGAATGCGAAGCCAATTGACTTGGAGGCGGTGAAGAAGGATCTCGAGGAGAAGCACGGCCGCCAACTGTCTGAGGAGGACGTGATGTCGTACTCGATGTTCCCAACCGTGTTCGACGAGTTCGAAACATTCCGTCAGCAGTACGGACCAGTGGACAAGCTGCCGACGAGACTCTTCCTGACCGGACTGGAGATTGCAGAGGAGGTCGATGTGAGTTCCGAAAAAACACAGAAATGAGCTCTTCACTTTCTAATTCAGGTGGAGATCGAAAGCGGAAAGACGCTGGCAATCCAGTTGTTGGCGGAAGGAAAGCTGAACAACCGCGGAGAGCGTGAGGTGTTCTTCGACCTGAACGGACAAATGAGAAGCATCTTTGTCACCGACAAGGAGGCCTCAAAGGAGATTGTGACCCGCCCGAAGGCCCTTCCAGGAGTACGCGGTCACATCGGAGCCCCAATGCCAGGAGATGTGCTCGAATTGAAGATCAAGGAGGGCGACAAGGTACGAAAGCAGTATAAATCATAAATCAATCATTTCCATCATTCGCTTTGTCGTTTCCAAAAAAACGTAAAGGCGTGCGGAGGAAATTATGGGGAACGGGAAGCGCCGAATTTATAGTCTTCGCTGTGCCACCCTCATATTTTTTCCAGCTACCGGTTCGCTCATTTCAGAAGGATGTGTTATGAAAAAACAACAAAATGAATAATTTGTAGGTGACGAAGAAGCAGCCGCTGTTCGTTCTGTCCGCCATGAAAATGGAAATGGTCATCGACTCGCCAATCTCTGGAACCGTGAAGAAGATCCACGCAGCGCAGGGAACCAAGTGCACCGCCGGAGACTTGGTCGTCGAAATTGAGCCATAAACTTCTCAATAAATAATTCATTCCGTCTTCGCAATTAGTTTTAGAACGTTTTCTGCCTTCTCTCCTCCCCGTTTCTATTTTCGTCTTCTCGTGCTTCCACCATTACAAATTCCATCATCAGAATTCTATTTGGCGCGTGTTATAGATTGATTAGTTTTCTCTGGACCTCCTTAATGTGTATATTTTGTATTGCATTTCCCCTCTTTTTCTCCACGTGTTTCAACTCTTCCCCCTTTTTGACTTGTTTCTTTCTCCATTGCATTTAAATAGTCTTCCGCCTCGAGAAGTATTTATTGCATCGGGTGCTCCGTGTAGAATATAACAAAAGTAAACTCGTTCATCCACTTCTCTAACTTTTGCCTCTTCCTCTTCCGATCCATTTGAGTAATTGTTAGGATGTCTTCCAATTCTCTCCGCCCATGGATTCGTACCGCCCACGCAGCCTCAAAACAACTCTTTGTTCGCCCTTGCGACAGCACCTTCTCTCCGTCTTTTTTCCAGTTTTGTTTTGAATTCCAGATCACTACTCCGGAAGGCACAATGTGGCGTTGTTTGAGTGTGCAGCAAATCATTGCAGTCCTCTTCAGGTATGTTCGTAAATTCATTCATAATCCGCAAGCAATCGCACTCTACAGCAATCCCACCTGATAGCAGTAAAGTCCGGTAGAGTGCGAATCTCAGATTCTATTAAATATCAATTGAACAGGCTGCGAACCGGCCAAGACTCATATGAGTTCGATTACTAAACGTCCAGGAGCTTAACATTTTCAGTACACTTTCGAAAGAGATCTATTTGGATGTAACGTTCTATTTCGGGGGGATTAAAAAGTGGTTTCTCCCCGTAATCTTGCATAGTCCTAACGGATTCTCTGGACTTCTTTGTGTGACTGAATAAATCCGAGTTGTGCGGATTCATCAGCACAATTATCGCACTTTCATTTCCTTGTCTTTGTCACCTCTTCTTCTTCTTCCTTTTCTTCTTCTTCTTCTTTCTTTTTCTTATCTCTCTTCTCTTCTTCTCCCTTCTTGTTGTCCGTTCTTGAGCAATTAGCGTGTTTCTTTCTTCTTTTTCGACTCAACCCTTTTGCCTCTTCGAAGCAGCCGCAGGATTTGACCGTTTCCTTCCTGTGCCGACGACGACGACGACGACGTCGGAGGGGAAACTGCCAGATGAGACCACGCCCACTTTTCGAGCACTGCTTTCCGCTCCTTCTTCTCTCATTTGGTGGAGCACTCTTAAGAGCTTCCCCCGTTTCTGTCACTGACACCACTTTCCATTCTCTGAAATGTCGACTATGGATCTGAGGTAAAACAAAACAATTTTAGCTTCTTTCTGGCCGCTTCTCGGAATTCTCCCCCAGGAAATCCACTATTATTAGACACTCTTGACAATTTTGAAATAGTTTGGTTTTCTACGAAAATCTCTAAACTTTGAGCGGTTCCCGATGAGCTCGAGCTCATTCATCCATTCCATTAATGCGGATTTCCGTAATGACCCATCTTCGGTCACAAATCGTTGGACACACAAATCCCCCTCCCCCAGAAAAGTTGAGAATCTGTGTGCTGAGCCACAAATAATAGTCTTATCTCTAAGCCTAATGCCAGTTTCAGAAGGAAGCTCAGCGACTCGCGCAGCTCTTCCGACTCGTCTTCGGATGTGAACCAGAAGACGTCGCTGGAGATTCACTCGCTTGGCGGCGCCACGTCGCCTTCGCTTCTTCCGATTTCGGTGAGCAAAACAGACAGAGTCAGCAACATATTTCGCAGTTAATCCTCTGAAATGATTGACTGCTAATTGCACTTGGAATGCGCCACTCTTCACGAAAAAAGAGAGAGAGAGAGAGACAGTCTAGGCTTCAAAGCTCAAGCAAGCGTGTTCGAAAGCAGAAATTTAGTTTTCGAAAACACTTCATTTCTTTCTTTTTGTTTTCTTTGAGCAAAGAAAGAATCAGTGAAATCACACAGAAAACTGAATTTGTGTTCTGTCTGGCCCGAAAGCTTGAACGGGAAGCGAACTCGAACTCAAACCGCAACAACCAAAAAGACAGTGTGTGTTCAGTGGGCAAACAAGACACTTTGCATGTCAAACTGGTACTAAAAGCGGTGGCCGAATGATGTCATGCCACGTGAAGCTTTGAGTTCTCTAATTGTTCTGGTGACTCGACAATTCAGCACCTTCCTCTCTCGCCTATAATTTCAGCCCACGTGCAAGTTCACCAGACAGTGACGACGTGCCACTTGAGAATTAAGAGCATAGATCGTGTTCCGTATGCTCGGCGCTCTTTAAACTTTTATAGATGTTCGTTGCACAGCTGATTGACGATTTCCGAAAGGAAACAGCCCACGTCACCCTAAAAATATAGATGAAGAGAAATATAGAGAGAGAGTGCAAAACTATCTATCCGTTTCGCCGGCGGCATACTTGCCAATTTGAGCAATTTGACAGGGAGGAGCAGGCGGGGGTGGGCCCCCGATGTGTTAGGTTCCAATTATATGGAGACGAGTGATGGCGGGTGAGGAGAGGAAGCGGATGACGTGGCCGAGGGACTGACTGACTGATGACAATCACTCGCGGCTGTTGAAAAGAACGGAAGGAGATGGGTTTCCGGTTGAGAAGACTTTTGGACTCGGCTTGAGAGAGTTGAGGACAGAAATGATGTTTGAAAGGAAAACCAAGAGCTCGAAGAATTTCGTGGGGAGATGGATGGTGAATCTATGCAGACGAATCCAGGATTCCAACCAGATTGCTTTCTTCTTCTTTGAGAGTATCAAGATTATTCTTTGAGAGTCTCAAGATTCAATCAGACTGACAATTGCCAAGTAAATACTTCGTACCAAGAATGATAATTCTGCCAAATTAGGGTCCGAAAACGAGTCGGCCAAAGGTCGAATCGGCTCCGAAGTTCTTCTTGCAAACTTCTGAAATCAGCTGTAAAGCTATGTTCAAAGCAAATATCGTTTTTCATGGTTTTTGAACGTGTACTTCATGTTCCGAAAACCAACTTCGCTCCGAAGTAAGCAATTTTCTTTACAATTGGCCAGGATCCCCACAATGGCGAATTCGCTTGCGCAACGCGAGCTAACAAACCGCGAAAACTTTTGTCTGATTTGCCAGAACGATAATCGAATTGCAATTAGGCGACGATTCGGCGCCAGAATCCACATTTATCAGAGTCCCCGCTGGTCGGACTCACAACAATCGCGCATTCATGAGCCCCATCAATCCTCCTTTTTTGATCTATGTGTCTGTGAAACGAACAATGAACACCGGAAATCTGTTCGCGATTATGGTGACGAAATACCCCGGGGACGGACTTTTTCTCTTTCTCCTATTTCTGTCTTCTTCGCATATTATGTGTTGCCTGCTTCTGCTGGCTACGCCCGCACGGATAATTGCCATAATATCTGAAAAACGGGGAAGGGAGAGAAAGAAAAAGAAAAAGAATGAATCCATGTGCAAGTCTCGAAAGTTTCGTCCGTTGTTTAGCCATTCCGATCTTCTTCCTTAAAATTTTGCGCGTATTGTTGAGTTTATCCAATTTCGTGAAGGGTTGTGTTGTCGAGACATGTGTATGTGTGTGTGTTTGTCGGATTTATATTTACGAGTATAGGAAGACATCTTCTTTTTCTTTCTTTTTTTTTGTTGAAAACTGTGAGTCCCAAATATCGGCTCCCTGACGTCTCGACACCCGCGTGAATTTTGACAGTGAAATTAATCGCTAAGTAATTCACGTTAGTTGCGAAACGTCTCGTCATTATCCCCCTTTTCTCATTTTCCACGTGCATCTCTATTGTGAAATCTGACGCGCTGACATTATATCGAAAGAAGCACGTGTGCTTGAAGCCCTATAAATAGAGTAAACGTTTCCCGAAAAAGACGCACTGTTACGTAATAGAAAGCTGAAAATATGGACTTGCTTTCCACCTGAAATTGAGTCACTTCAATAAAAAGTTCCTCCCTCTCATATTACTCCTACTACTACTAAACACTACTATAATAATGTGTGCAATTGGATATGTATGAGACCGGACTTTATCCTTTTTCGTTCTCTTTTTTGCTCGCCCACTATTCATCAGGACTCTTCTTGGTTGAATGAATGAAAATAGCAGGTGCCTTTTCCCTCTCATTCTTTTTCTAATTGGGTTTCGTTTCCATCGAGTACGCCGTATGTTGCTAGGCTCTGGCGGGTGTTTATTTCGTGTTTCACCTCATTTCTGATCTCGATTCTCTTGTTCTTCGCCGTCGTCGTCGCGACATCATCTAACGTTTCACTATGAATATTCATGAGTCCGAGGTGAGAAATGATATGAGTTTAGCGAGCGAGCGAGCGCCTAATTTATTTGATGTGACTGGTTTTCGAGCGGGAAAAAGAAAGAGTCAGGGAGATGTCTGGGCGGTTACAGTAACCAGGGGAAGGCGAAAACAAAATAATAATTGCAGATAAGAAGCCTATTCTCTTCTTCTTCTTCTTCGAAATCTTTGACGATTAGGACCTTCGGTTCTCACTCGTTCGTCTTCTTTTCTTCTTCTTCTTCTTCTTCTCCTTCTTTTCCGAACAAAAATAGAAGAGGAGGCACACAGAAGAAGCTGTTTATTTTCCAAACGGCCACATCACATCAACTCAATTTCCAATTTCAAATTGCCGCGCCATCGAGCCGGAGCCTGAGAAAAAGCGAAGAAGAAGTCGTTCGTTTTCTTGGCCATTCGATTCTATAGTCGTTCCGTGTCACTCTTCTTGACCTGGCCTCATTTGAATTCTCCATGAACTCGGAATAGGAAGAGGAGAAGAAGAGGAAGAAGAAAACAAAAAGCGTGCGGGGGGAGGGGGACCCATTAGAACATTTCCCCTTCTGCACATCGCGGCTCATTCATCCAGAAGTCATCTTCATCGTCCCCACCTTTCCCTCAGCCCATCCGACCTTTGTGTTTGTGTTTATCCTTTGGCCAGTTGGAATCCTAAAATAATCATAGTAAGGGATTATCAGACACTATGTCTGCTGATCTCTTTTTCTATCCAATTACTCGCTGTTTTCGTATCCCAAAAAGAGGTGCTCGACTCAATTATCACCGGATGATTACTGATCATTCTGTCGCGAATCTTTTCCTTTCCTCTGTTTTGTTTGACGGCAGGAAGCGAAGAGACAACACGAATTCGCATTTGAGCACGCTCCACGGATTCCGTGTCTTCTCCCGCCTTTTCTTTCGTTTTATTTCCACATCTTGCAGCCGTCAATGCACTCGAACGGTATTTCCCGCGGCCACAACGGAGACAGTCGTCGGAGCAGCATGGTCGACGCGACCGGACGCTTCTGCAGTCAGCCGACGAGCGGCTCTCCAGAGGTACCCCCGTTCCCCTTCCCTTTCACCGAAAACCCGTTCTCTTGCAGATTCTCGTGGGACTCTGCTACGACGACAAGCACGAGGTGGTGTCGGTTTGCATTGAGAAGGCGTCTTCGCTCGGCGCCGACACTGCTCATCCTCCAGACTCGTTCATCCGAATCATCGGACTGGACGAGTTCAGCACCGAGCTCTCTCGCCACAAAACGGACACGGTCAAACACTCGACGCAGCCGGTGTACAGCCATCATTGCACCATGAGGGTGAGCCCAATTTAGCCGGGGCATGTGATGCTGACTCTGCTTTGAGTCGGTCACACTTTGACGGCTAGTAACAGTGATCGAAAAGACACGGTGATTATCTGAAAGCAAAACACTCAAAATGCGGGGTAGAGACCAGAAACCAATTATTAATTATGAGAGAAACGGAGAACACTTTTAGAATCCTGAAAGCAAGAGCTTTTGAACCATGGAGGTCATGCTCACTGAAAATTCACAAAACTGATTGTATCTGAACCATTTCAGTTCTCAAAGGACAAGCTGGAGACATCGACGGTGCGTGTGGAAGTGTGGACGGTGACCGGATTGCTCCGTCGGAAGCAGCAAGTCGGCTCGATCTCCATCGGATTCGCTTCGTCGACGCCGGACGCCAACGAGCACTGGCAACAGATGATGCAGGTATATGATGACACTTTCTATCCCTTTCTTTTCCATTTCCTCTTCATTCTCGTGCCGTCGTACTCGAAAGGTATCTTTCATGGAGATATCGGCCCATCCCTTTCAATAGTTTGGTCTCTTTTGTTTACCGGTTTGACCGAAAGTCGAAATGAATGAAACGGAAAGTACAGAGAAACTTTTGAAATTAAGGACAATCGTGTGCTGGGCTGATAATTGAGACATCAGAAGTGGAGGAAAGGGGTCACAAGTTTGATTCACGTGGGTTTCAATGAACGACCATCAGTACTTGGTCGAACTTTAAGAAGTGATGAAGACTTTAATTTTTTGAAAGAAAAACACTACAGTGATCGTTTGATTTTCACCAAATTCCTAGTAAGCGTCCAAACACCATTCTCGTGTTGGCGAAGACACAGAGACTGGGCCCTAACTTTTGGGCCACTTGTAATAATTGAACTTGTAATTGTAATAACTTGTAATGTAATAATTGAACTAACATCCTAATATAATCTGAAATCGCTCATTCTCAACGGATCGAACTTCAGCACAGCCTGCAGACACTTGAAATCGCCCAATTTCAATCGAATCCTGATCATCTTCTCCAAATTCTTGCGTTTTGCAAGTGATTCGCATAAATCGTCCTCCGTCTGCCCCCCTCCCCTTATCATATTCTGGGTGCAAACCCATCCATCCCCGTCGCGTCCCTGTCTGCAACCCCGTTTTGATTCCGTCTCCTGCGACGGCGGCTGCTGCATCTTTAAAAAGTTCAATAAACCGCGACGACGACTTCCCCGTCGTCACCCTTATCAAAGATCAACGGGACTTTGCCCCTGGCCTTATCACTGTCCACGTGGACGCCACGTTCACTCTTCTTCTGAAGCGAGACGGCGTCGCGGGCAAGGCAAGCACGAGACCCCCGATCCCCTCATCTTTTGTCCCCTCAAACGACGATAAAAGATTTTCGTGGTGACGTAAGCAATCGATTTAATATTATCGTTTCAGGGCGCCGGAATCACCGTATCCAAGTGGCATGCAATCCAGTCTTCAGATGCCTGAACTCTTCACAAAACTTCACTTTCCTCTTTTTCCCCCTTTTTTTATAAATAAAGACAATCAGTCTGCTTAACGGTAATCGCCGCTTGTTAACCAGCTAGAAGATCCTTTACCCATTTCCAGATCCCGAATCTCTAGTCCCCGCCCGTCCATAACTAATTATTATATTGCGGTTTTATTTGTGATCATATTATCTCCGTCGCTAATTCGGAATTCCGGAATAAATAGCCAAACTGTCTCTAGTGTTCCTCTTATCCACTTCTGAAGATAACCGATGTTTGTTCGCGTGTGTGTGTAATCAGAAGATGTGTAAAAAATTCCGCTAATTGGTTCGAGATTAAAGGCAGCCTGTCATGTCGAATCAGTGTACTTTCCATCTGCGAATCTCTCAAAAACCGCAACAATTCGTCGGCGTCTCCGTTATCATTTTGTACCGTTAATTGATGAATGAAGGGGGGTGATACGTAACCGGGGGAGTACGGTACATTGATTGATGGTCATGCGGCGGCGGTCTGCAGAAAGAAGGCGAAATGACACGGCTTTCCTGTTTTTGTTGGTCTGTTTTGACTTGAAAACATCTCGTGCTTATCATGAGGACGATAACTTTCGTACGCTTTCAGACAAGTTCAAAGTATCATCTGAAAGTGTGTGCAAACAGAATCATGATTCATTGTCAGTTGCAACGAATTCGCCGATCACAGGGTCGTTGTATGCCGAACATTGACTGAACGTTGTGAAACAAAGAAGAAGAAGAGGGGATTGTTTATGCCTGGACCGCTGCGACTAACATGTATTCAGTGGATTCTCAAATCTTTCTCGTGGGCCTTTGTCAGAATTTACATGAAGCACTTCCATAGTTAGTAGCAAAAGTATTTCAGAAGTACACCGTAGCCTTTCAAACGATTCAAGCCTACCAAAGATCGTGCAAAGTCCACCTCGACCCCCATCCTGATCGATGAAGACTGGACTTTGATGGCGTTTTTCCCCATCGCAATTGATAAACCCGTTTCCATCCAAAGAACACTTGTAATAGTAGTAGAAGTAGAATGAACAGATTTTGAATCATTTACTCGTCAATTTTGAACTTTCCAACTTTTTCAATAGTGTACCCGATATAGTTCCGTACAAAGACATGCTAACAGTATGACGTGGCTAAAGAGACAGAAAGAATGAGCAACAGGGATGGGCAAAGAGGAAAAGAGTGACTAGAATCAGTCAGGTACCCGTAAGGGGGAGTTTCACAACCGCCGATGACGTGGCAGTCAGTCAGTCAATAAGATGGTAATCGAATGAGAGAGAAAGCGATAAGAACTCAGTGAGCCATTGGAAGCGAGATCTTGGCGTGGGTGATGTACTCGGCTGGGATAAAGTCCGGACGCTCCTCCTCTGGAAGGCTTCCGATCTTGAACTTGGTGAGCATCATGCGGGCACACATCGAGTGGCCGACCGACTCGAAAGCATCAGTGGCATCGCCTCCGGCCTGAAAGAATGGGAAAATGAGAAAATGCTCGGGGAGAGCTGAGTGGGAAACTTACGAATTCGAGAAGGATTTCCGGGCCACCTGGGTGGAGATCGACGAACTTGGTAATATCGTAAACGTAGTTGCCAACTACGATCCAACAGTCGTCCTCACAACAGTGCATCGAGACTTCGGAGCGGGAGAACACGGCGTCGGACATTTTGAAGTGGAGAGAGGGAGGTGAGAGGAGAGGCTTCTGAAAAGAACGAGAATGAGGAAACGGTAAGAAGCTGAGAATAGAAAAGAGAAGAGACGGAGAAAGGCAGACACGAAAATCGCTCTAATTCTCTATTCCTCTTTGTTCTCGTTATTCTTTGGGAAACCTTTAGAATCGAAACTCAGCTTGGGTTCATATTGGGGATGCCCCTCGTCTCTTTTATACGAGGGTTTTTGCGAAGGCGCGGCTTCAGACGTCTTCGGTCCGCCCGACAGTCTCCATCTCTGCGCATCCGGTCCACAGCACTCCCTCGCGGGATCCGTCTCGCAGCCTCCGGTCTCTTCGGTGGAAGACGGTCCCACGGACCGGCGCCACGTGAATGTGTTATGTTCTAATGATCTTGCGCCACGTGCGCGGGCGGCGTCGCGAAAGACACCCCACTTCTGCGTACAATTTTTACGATTTCGACGAAAGGGGTCTCGCCACGAAAACCAACTGCAGAGGACTAAAAGAGAGAGAGAGTGGGCCCGGAGCGGAGAGTTCCAAGGCATGTGACCATCGGATCGAGATTTATTGCCCAACGGCGGGGGGAGAAGCGTCGTGTTTCGTGTCGTGTACCAGTTCGGACACAAAGCACCCAGTGCAGAAGGATCGGATCGCCGCAAACCGTTGTTTACGACGAAGATCCCGCCGGAACAAGGTGGACATTGACTTCCACACAACGAAGATTCAGTCAGAAGGTGTTAACTGCTGATGAATCCTCGTTTGCCATTCACGAGTTGTTGTCTGTTTGTTGCAAAAATTGCAGGCGGTTAGCGTCCGGTGACCGACTCAACGAACATTGGTGGATTGTAATGCGTCCAAAGTCGCACAGTTGAACCACTGCTACCGTAGTTCATTTTTCGAAAGAATTTGAATCTTTTTCAAAAATACCGTAGTTTAACGGTGTACGATAACTTCCATGTTTTCTGTAAAACAGATTCGAACGTTAAACTGTGCGAGTTCGGACGCATCCAACAGATTTTACAGACCAACCATGTGCTCAAATTGTCGGATCTTTTAGATACTATGTAGACTTTGATTGCCAATTGATACAGTATCAGTTTGTGACGACAACCGCAGAAATTGTTTAAGAAACATCGAATCTGTCAGCGGCTGCTGGCTGCCACATTTCCCATTATTTACGACCTCATCATCAGCGCCAGCGCCAGCAGCACCGACGTCTCCGGGTCCATCGAACGAGTAGTGACCGTCGTCGCCGAAGACGTCGCTCGCGTCGTTTGGAATTCTCCTTTTCCAACGACTCCCTTCCTCTCTCTTCCGTTCTTTGCCTCTTGCAGAAAAACCACTTTTTCAAGGTGAATTGGTTGTCAACTGAAACGGAGTGTTCGAGACTGATAAGCGCGAGTCAGGTGACACTCGGCTCTGCAAGAGAAGATGAAGATGATGAAGAAGAGGAAGAAGAAGCGAATGGAATTCATTCACTCGAGGTCGTCTGGCTAGTTGGGTCCAAACAATGGTCAGTGTGGGTTCAGATGAAGTTCTCCTTAACATGTGGACATCTGACCAAAAACCATACACTCCACAATACTTTTCCACAAAACACGAAAAGTTGTGCACTTTTGTTATCCCTCCATTCTCCATTCACATGAACATCCACGGACACGGAACTGACTACCGTAACCAACGAATCACGAGCGACAGACTGGCTGGAAACAACTGTTTTTCTCTCTGCAATTACATATTGCACCCTTCAATCACACACATAAATAAGTCATTGATCAGAGTGGCAACTAACTGGTACTGTCCAGAAGGACTGGAATTCATCGGGGGTCGAAGTCGAACCAAAATGAATGATTGATTACCAAGGAAGTGTCCCATGACTTTTTTTTGGAAGAAAGTATAACGGAAGGGGGGATTCCCCCGTTTTTCCGGATCAGAGAACAATTGGGAAAGAAAAACAATGAGTGTAGTCCCTAGAGGATATTCAAGAATTGCACGATTTCTGATCGTGCCCTTTCTCCTTTTCTGTCAATACCAGACTACGTCAAAGTGTGTGTCTTCTTGCTCACCGAATCGCTTTCCGTACGTTGATCCGGTTGGTATCACTTTTTCCAAGCGATGGACAACTGCGAGAAGTAGACTCTAGCCTCCTCTTCAGCCTGTAAATCACTATTTTATTACCCCATTCTGAATCGAATCGAATCTCGTTTCTCCTAATCGTTTTCCACCCAAAAACCTTGAACTATCCGGCCATCCGACGACCGTTTCACGTGAAATCAATTCCCCCGGTTAACTTTGGTTTGGTACGTTCCAGGCCGAAACTGGTTTAGGACCAGAGATAGTAGTACTAGGAAGTGGAAGTGTTTTGCATTGACTCACCGTTCCGGCCCCGATCTCGACGTCACCGCCGTGGATACTTCGGAACTTGGTGCGCTTTTTGGTGGCGGGTGTCACTATCTGCTGATTGCATGCTGCACCTGAACAACAAAACAAACGATGAGACAAGAGCTTTAAGAAGACGTACGGATAGATGGGAACAACTTCTTCTGCAACTGATCTGGAATCAGGAACTGAAGGAAGACGCTGGTTGTGCAGGATGTTCCGACCGCGACGAGCATGTCGTACACGAATCCGTTCGTGATGGTGCTCCAGTTTTTGGACGGATCTGTCAGAGAAGCCGAGAATCGAAGCAGGAAGAAGCAGCCGAGGCCGACGAAGAAGACTCCGATTGCGAAGACTTGAAGGAGCAGCCGGGAGGTTCGGATGTTCTCGCGGACCTGAAGATGGACGTGGTTTGTGACCAGTAACATTCCACAGAGATCGATCTTTTTTATTTTCTTGAATGGGTTCATTCACATGACCATTCTCTCTTACACACCAAGCTTCATCTTCTTCTTTTTCTTCTTCTACTATTCGATTTTCTTTCAAGAATCAACCTATCAAGAACAACAAGCGTTTGGCCCGTTGCATTCACTTATTACACTGTAAAGCTGTAACATCTGGGAGGCATCACAAAGACGTCTTTGGGGGGTTTCCCCCGGGGGCACAGCATGTGAAGCGGGGGATGCCCTCACTAAGATGCTTCTGATCAGGTTTTGCGTACAGTCTGGTCGGGCTGCAACAAAGCGCTGCTACGTGATCGAGGGATTCCTTCATCTTCTCATCTCTCCGGTTGGACCCTCTGATCACAATTCACTTTGCTCGGCAAACCTCTGTAACTTTTGCGTAAGCTTTGCGCAAAAGTTACAGAGGTTTGCCGAGTATACATAATCAAATTTGGCATTTCACTGGGAAAGAGCCAACGGCGCACGAGCACACACACACACACATCAGCGCTATTATTATCACGAGACCACCTGGCAGGTGTTTAGGAATTTGGGCTTTTGCAAGCAGAAAAGCCGCAGGTGGACGTGGAGATTTCGAAAACAAAGAGAAGCCGAACTTTCAACGCAATTGGAATGTTCCAATGCTCGAGAATGATATCATCCCAGTAAAATCTGATCTCCGATATTGCGTACATTGTTGGAGAATGATAATCAAATTTTGTTCGGAGTGTCTACCTTCAAACTTTCGTTCCGATCGGCCTATCTGACCGGGAGATACCAATAAAATTGGGATTCGTTTCCAACATACTGTATTTCTATATTAGGTAAACTGTTAGTCATGTTCTGCTCAGATTGCCGTAAATACTGTAATAGAAAGGCACATAGCTGAGATATAGCGTTTGGAATGGACAATATCAGGGTGCCCTTCTACTACAGTATTTACGATGTGGGCCTCGGAAAGCACGTTTTCCCTGCTTTGGGTTCAGCAGTTCTTAAAGTGCACAGGAAGCTCCGCTCAAGTCCGCATGATGTAAGAAACTACATAATCATAATTGTACTCTGAGCAGAATGTCAAATTCAAAGTGACTCAAACCCAAAACATCTTGTTTACACAAGCGGACTTTGCTTTCGATTTTCGGCCCGTGCTTTGCACGTTTTGCCGAATACCGGAGACCAGTCCGGGTCAGATCTCCACGGTGTTTGGAATATCAATTATCAGCTGACAACGAGATATCTTGTTGACACGAAGGAGGAGAAGAAGTCACATGGGTTGCGTTGTACATATTCATCCCGCCCGTCTCACACTATCAATCTTTGCATGCATGATCCAGGGGACCCCGACTGACCTGGTACGCTTCGCTGATCGGTCCCTTCCATCTTCGATGCTTCGCCTTCTTCTTGTTGGTGACCAGGACTACGGTAGTGGTCTGAAGGCGGTGTGGTATAAAATAAAGTTATGTGGAGAAAGGAAGTACCAATAAGGAGAAGACTGAGAAGGCGACAATCATGAGCACATTGATCTCCCGTCCTTTGGTGAAACAGTACTTGGAGTAGAGTTGGAATAATGCATAGGGATACTGTAAATATGAAGGGGTGGAACAGAATAGCAAGGGATACTGTAGGCAGGACTTGAATACTCATAATTGAATTCAGCACCCCATTCTAGGAATGATTATAGTCGAGGAAAGGAAAAAAACAGAAAACAATGACGTAACCGAATTATATGATATTTTGATGAATAAAGAATGCTCACAGTGAGGGCACAGCACAGAATGATGGCCGGGAAGCACGAGTTCTGCTCGTAGCGCTTCGAGCGCCAAGTGGCGATGGCGCGTTCTGCGGAGAAGACGAAAAGATGGGCGGAAACTGGAAACAGGATGCGGTTAAATCAGAATGATGCAATACTGGCGGGACATTACTCGACGTTTGGAACACGAATCGCGAGTACATAAACACCTCCATCGTGTCGATGGGCACCCAGAACAGGTCGCAGACGAGCCACGAAAGACGGGAGATGCTCATGAGAAGACCGGCGAGCGTGTAGCTCAGGATGATGATCTGAGCATGTGTACATTAGTTCTGAGTAGTGTTCTAGAAAAATTACTTTGAGGTTAATGTTGGCAAGAGTTTTGCTGGAGAATATAAAGAACGGAGAAACCAGGAGCATGAGGATGTTGAGCACGTGGAAGGGGCATTCGGACAGCAGCAGCACCTCGTACACCTCCCGGATCTCGCCGGTTTCTCGCAAATAAAACGAACCTGAAACATGCGAAAATTGATGAAAAGTGCAAAACGAGGAAGCAAAACCTTCTGAAACGGTGGTCATTCTGTGAACCCGACTAATATATCAAAATAAGCTGGTCAGAAGCAATTGGGCAGTAGTGGGGGGAGGGCCCGAATCAGGTGTGTGTGTTTGTGCGCACGACCCGATAATTATATACTTCCGGAAGGGGTTTCAATCCCAGGGAGAAGCAGCTTTGGGTTTCGTTTTGTTTTATCTGGGAAGCACATTTCATCAAAGTCGGAAGACAACAAATGTTTGAATTTTTGGGCCTATTAATATTTCCAGCGTTAAGTACTAACAAACAATCGCTTTTCAGTTTTCAATCTCAAAGTTCCACTGAAATCAGCAATTACAAACCAGAAAATCTCATTCATGTTATTTGTGAAACTGTAGTATTGTGACTCGAGTTTTGAATTTTCTCGGATGATGTCACAGTTGGGAACTGTCCCAAAAAAGAGCTGAAACTGACCCATTGGCGACCGTGTGGCCGTTTCCATTCCTTGCCGGACCAATCACCAAACTGAAGTTTCGCAGAAAATGAAAATAAAACGATAGAATTCAGCTGCTTTCAAGAGCAAAAGACGGCTCGACGAATAACGTGTGGATCGGAAAGGTTTTGTAGGCGGAATGGAAAAACATGAGAAAATGGATATAGGTATAATTGCTGGGTACAAGGTTCCAATTTAACTCGTGTTGTACAACCAACAGAGTAGGAGAAGGAAGAGAATCGGGGGACTTTATGCGTCTTTATCTAGTGAAAAACAATCTGCAGTGAACTCTTCTAAATGTGGGAGACTGGAGGGCGGGGATAAAACGAACAAGCGATAAATAAAATTGACTTTACATTTTGAGTGATATGCAAATCACTGGCACGAGTTGAGTAAAATGGGGAAAATGGGGGAAAATAGGCGGGAATCGAGTATACGGACAAGTTATTTGTTAAGGTACGAGACGACGTCGAGCATGTCGTTGACAACCTTGCAGACAGCAACGTCGTCTGGTTCGGAGGCCGAGTAGCGGTCGGCGTCTCCGCCGAGGAAGCACCTCGGAACGATCAGCTTCGGGGGCGTGTAAGTCCATCCTTCAATGTAGTCGTACGCGACTTTCTCCAGACGACGTTCCAACATCTGAAATGTTTGAATTTTCGTAAAAAAAATTGTGTCTTTGAAACTTTTGCATACTTTGCAATGAGTGTCTATTATTTCTCGTGGTTTCATGTTAACCACGTTCAATGTCGGAAGACTCGAAGAAGACGCTTCTTTGTAGTATTCCATCGATTGGTCCTTCTCGATTGGTTCGGGCGTCTCCATTCCTCGATTCTTGCGAACTGGAAAAGACATCGAAATCGGCGACGGTGTTTGAGTTCGCACAATCTTCGGAGATACGCGCGAAACAGTCATCACCTCCTGGATGAACAAAAATTGGGAAAATCTGAATATCGGAAGAGCAAGAACGTACAGGACCATTGAAGTCGGAGTCATAATCGAAATCCGACTCTCGCTTCACCTTGCGCTTTCTTGTACTCCGGCGCAAAGTTGGGTCGCCACATTCTGTAATTATATTTGTGATTAGGAAATATGAGAAAACGCTCGCTCACCGTCTTGTTTGTTGCTTTTTCCCATCGTTCACACGTGGAACGCTTCGAGAAAGAAATAAAAAGGAAAGCTTTCGACAGTGAGATTTGGACGTGAACCACTTGCCAAAACGCACTGTCGGCTACCGTATTCACTACTGTAGTGCGTTGAAATCTAATTTTACGGCAGGAATTCCTTTTTTTTAATACATCTTCAAGTTTTAATTAAATTGGTTCTAAAATAATTCTAAAAAATGTTCGTCAATCTTGATTAAATGAAAATCAACATTTATTTGTATTTTTCAAAGTTATTGTAAAATAAATCTTGTTCAAGTTTAAAGGTACATCATAAAAATAATTTGCATGGTCTCGAACAGAATTCGAGGTTTTTTCATTGAAATTTAAATTTCGGCTCAAAATGTTCCAGCGCGAAAACAGTCGTTTTTGTGTTTCCTGACAATTCTTCCCGTCATTTCTCAAAAAACAGTTTATTCCGTTGTCTAATCACCACCCTGTAACGTACAAATGCCGCTAACGACGTCTTCGTCTATTCTAATCACTTATCACCTTGTTCACTTTCATTTTGTCTCTCTCTCAGATGGATGTGGAGACGTACTTCCCTGCCAACATATCCGCAGTCCCAAACGATGAAAACGAAGAGACTGTGACGACGGCGACAAGTGACGAGGAGGTCGGTGTCTTTTTCGTCTTTCTTTTTCTTCAGCATGCAGTTTATCTGGTCAATATAAATCAACATAAATTTGAATGAAGAATGAAACTCAAGCTTTTGAAGTGCATTTTTCAGAGAGGAACTATCGGTTCGGCCGGCAGACGACTGATGACCGCTCGGCAAAAACGGTTCGATCCGCCGCTCCTGTCTACCATTCTGGAGGTTCCGTCGACGGTAAGTGACGTCATCCTAATCCCCCGGCCAGTTCATCGAATCGAGGTCAGCGATTACTTGTTTCGATTTTTCACAAAACATTCCCTGAAATCTGTAATCCTATTCTATTTCCAGTTTAATTTTTCTTACTAGCTAATCCGAGCAAATCTCGGCTATAATCCACTGTGACAGCGCTCTGCTCTTTCTTTCCGGCGTCGCTTCTCTCCTATGTTTACTCCCTTTTCTACTGGCTTTGCCATATATCCTCACAAGTTCCACTTAACCGAAACTAATCATCGGCCCCTGTTTAGCTTCCCCGCATGTTTGCTTCTATAAAAAGTGAAGGGGAAAACGAGCCGATGCGTTCCTTTTCGGCCTATTCAACCAGAAAATGTATTCAAACGACTTTTCATTCTTTTCAATTCGATTCCTCTCATATTTCCATGTTTTCAGACGAGTATCCTGCCCGCCGATACTTCCATTCTGTGTCTTCTTTGCCTTCGAAAGATCAGCGGAGCCATTCCGAACTTTGTGAAGCCGTGCCAATGTTTGTTGTAAGTTTGCCGAATAGCCTGAGGCAAACGTGATGTCTCGTGATAATTTCTCGTCTGAAGTACACTAACTGATCGTTATCTTCTCGAAAAACCGGATTCAAGTCCCGTTTCAGGGTGTTCGTCCACACAACCTGCGCCATTGACAACGACTCGTTCTTCGGCGGCACTTGCACTCAGTGCCACACCAAATATCGGCCAGAGCAAGTACTCCGTGGCCCCGTAAATCCCACTAAGCCGCTCTTTTCAGTCCATTCCCCGCCAATCCCTGTCCCCGACGAAGAGCTCGACAAAGAAGATGTCAGCCACGAAAAAACCGCCACCGTCCGACGATTCCACGTGTGTTCTGTGCCACAATCAGAAGTATCGCAATCCGGACTGGCCACAGAAGTGCGATGCCAAGCTGATTCGTCCGTGTTTCTGCGGATTTCTGGCTCATCACGGCTGTATGATCGAGCTTCTCAAGGCCGAAAAGGCGTGCCAGTGGTGCGGAGTCAAGTACCGTTACTTCAAGTACGGCTCGTTCGGAGACTTCTGCCGGCGCTACTCCATCCAGCACGTGTGCTACGTCCTCCTCTTCGCGTTCCTCCTCTTCTTCTTCGTGCTCGCGTTCCGTGGATCCGTCATCTTCCGACCCGCTGTTTCGTTCACCCCAATCAGTGAGTCCTCTCTCATTCTTTCTCCGAATCTCTCTTTTCAGCGCTCACTGTTCTCGCCGTCTTCTTCCTGGTCATATTCGTTGGCGCATGCCTTTTCACTATCAAGCACACCGTCAAGACGCGTCTTCCTCGATTCAGAATCCGGTACGGAAAAGTGACAGTGGTTCCGTACGATCCGGATGTTCGATCGAAAAAAGAGGCACTGAAGTCGTTGAACGCCGCGAGGAGCTATCCGATCGATGAATTCGACGTGCCACTGAATCCAGTCGCAGATGTCGAGAACGTCGAATCTGTACGCGTTTTCTGTTGTTCCTTTTAAGAACAGTTTTTTTTAGAACGTGGAAGGAACGAGAACGGATCCGTCTGACCTTTCCCTCGGCCAACACATGTTCGGGATAGCGGCCAATTCCAGAATGTGCTCCTCAACTCCAGTGATTCAGAAGCCGAAAAAAACTGTATTCGATTCGAGCGAGGCATAACTCATTTAATTTGTATATTACATGTCCTCGTTTCTTTTCTCCCTTTACACTCGCATGTCAAACACGGTTCGCTAACAGGTATTAGTAGAAAAATCTCATGTCAAATATTCAGAATTCTTCTATATAAAGATAGTTTTAACTCATCATGTACTCATTTTCATATTAACCGGAGAAGTGAGAAAACAAATTATACGCGCGCCGCAGTTGCAATTCCGTATGCGGCGATTGCGAAATAGGCTCCGCCCATCTTGTTTTTCGCGCTTATTTCAAAGTTCCCATGGAATGAGCAATTACGAAGACTTGCCGTGCTCCATTTACCAATCGCGACAACCAGGTTAGAATTCAAAAGTTGTTAAAGGAGATTCTGCTAATTTCCAGTTGAGCCGCAGCCAAATCATCATCTTCCGAGAGTGGTTGAAGATCTGCCACTACAAAAACCAGTAGGAGAAGCAGCAGTTACTGAGAAGAAGAAGTCGTGTCTCACGTCGGCGAACGTGAGAAAAGAAACTCCGGTGCACCCAGCTCTCCGTCGGAAAACCGTCGCATTCGGTCGCACTGTCAACGTGTCACAGACTGTTGAGGTACACGTTTCTGTGTTCTTCCAAGTCGAAATTAGTATTCAGGGTACTTCCCGACTAGCAAGAAAAACGTCAGCTTCCTCGTCCGCAACGTCTTCTCCTGCTCAAAAAATGAACGAGAATGCTAGTGCAGAAGGTCAAGAATGGAGAAAAGTGATGGAAGAAGCAATAGAAACGAAGGCGAAGGTGGTGCAAGAAGAGACAATTCGACGGCTGGAAGAGCTGAACAACAAGAATATGAGCACGATGCAGGACATGATGTCGCAGATTATGCAGAGTGAGCCACCGTTTCAGGGGAATTTTTAATTCTTGCTTTCAGAACTGACAGTTGCACAGCGGGCCATGGAAGGGAAAGCGAAGCGACAGGAAAGACTGTCGAAGCTTTCGAGCAAAGTGATTTTCATAAAATTTAATGAAAACTATTCACATTTTACTTTTCAGGCTGCGATTGCCCGCCAAAAGATCAAGAAGGAAGGCGTCTTGCCTCCAGAAGCAATTCCGTTCCTTGAGCGACGCATTCAAACGGATCCGATTTTCAGACAACAAATTGACGACGTTCTTGCCGACGTAAGACTTTGAGAATAATTCAAAAAATGACGGGTCACCTGCAGGCAGAATATGACGAGAACGGTGGAAGGTATTCGCCAATCTCTGATGGATACACGAGAGCAGAAGGAGGGAAACAGCCGACATTACGTGAAACAGTGACTGTCGAACGGAGTATCCAGTACCCGAACGGACTGTCCTCCATCGATTCCAGACAATGGACTAAAGAACGGGACAACAGAAGTGTCTCGTGGAAAGGAGGTTTTGACGACGTTGAGGAGGTTTCCGGGGAGGGTCGATGGAGGACTTATGACGCCGGGCCGTTGCACTCGACTTATCAGCCAGGAAACAGCCTCAGTTACTACCCGTCGGCGGCTCCGATGGACAATGCGAACAACAGAGGACGAGACGGATACTACGTGGAACACTTGTCAGATCAGGAAGACGATGTTTACGAGGAAGAATATCAGGATCGACGGAAAGAGACGGCAGCTGAAAGAGAACGGCGAATCCGGGAGAAGTACGCACGCAAAAAGTGAAAACTTCCATTAATATTACTTGTACAAAGACGTGTCAAAAATATTTATTCAATGAAGAATTTTGTTCGAGAAAGCTCCGTAAGTGAGCGGCGGAATGAGGTCGGGGATGGTCTTGACGACGTACGGCGGGGCGTCACTGCTGCGAGTGAGGCCGATAACACTCAGCGGCGGATAACGGACGCCCATCTCGAGTTTGGCGGCCTGCCCACTCGGATCGGACGGGTACGTGGAGTCTTCGTAGGAGGTCAGATCCTCGACATTCTCACTGCTCAGCGAGTCGCCGTGCTGTCCGATGCGAGACGCGATGTCCATTGTGACGGCGTGGCCGACGATGAGAGCGGGCGAATCACGGTAGATGACGCAGATGCTGCAAAGGGAGGAATGGGGAGATGCAAGGGAATCGGGCGTACTTTTTGATCGTGAGCATGATTCGTTCGATGCACGAATCCTGCGGTTTCGAACTGAATTGTTCGTTCATTTCGGCCATCGAGTAGATTGGTTTACTGCAAAACGCAACATTTTCGGCTGTTTCCGGTGATTCCCAACTGACTATGTCTTGTCGATCTGCTGGAAATCGATGACGTCCTCGAAAAAGTCGGGCAGCTGCTTGGCTCCGGCTCTGCGGTACCATTCCATCGGCTCTAGAAGGCCTGGCTCCACGAGAATCCGGGATCCGGTCGATTTGGCGACGGCGGCGGCAGTCTGGAGAGTGCGGAGCGTCGGAGAGCAGAAGATGACCGCCGGCTCGATTCCCCGGTTGCCGAGAGCACGAGTGATCAGCTGGGCAGTGTACTTTCCTGCAAAATGCGAGTTCGGTCCGTTGAGAAGGGACGAGCGTACCCATGTTGGTGATGGGCGGGTTGAACTGGTAGAAGTGCGGATGGAGGACGGCTCCTTTCGGCACATTTATGTCCGTCGGATACACCTGAATTCCTCTCCGTTCCCACTGTTCTCTCGTTTCTTTCCAACCTTATCCATAAACTTTTCCGTCTGGCACCACGTTGATCCGAAGATGCGATCGACGCGCTCCGCACCGCGCATCACGACAGTCACCCGCTTCAGCATCTTCGTCGACTTGACACAGGCGCTCCATTGCGAACGGAGGTAGTTGGCCGACTCGCTCTCGTCGTCCAGGCTCAAACTTCTTCTCTGCTTCGATTGGCTCATTCTTCTAATCCCTTTATTTTCCGAAAAACGTAAAGTGTGATATAGTCAGACAACGAACCGGTTCGAACGTTGAAAAATAAACGATGAAATGATAGAAAAAGGGGGAGAAGAGTTCAGATTTCTGATAAAGTGACATTGTTTTTGTCCATGTTGTCACGGGAAATTTAACGGTGTTATACTTATTCATTTTTTGTCTTGGAATTTGCGCGTTCTCACGTGGTACAAAAACCCGGAGAGGTCATCATGATGAGCAATCTTTTCGTTGTGCAAGTAGAGCAGTGGGAAGTCCTGGAGCAGTTTCGGACGTTGGTAGATGATGGGGTTGACGAGGCAGGCGACAAGAAGGTCCGCCCAGGTCATCTGAAAGTTGAAAACAGTGCAAAAGAGCTCAGAGATCCTGGTGGACTCATCGCGGCACGGAAATTTACCGCTAACATAAGAGGTGTCAGAAGCATACACGTGCATTCATCACCGCTCGAGTGTCGAACCAACGCGAGGCAGCAGCGAGGTTTCTCTTACTGCGCGTCGCTCTAACCGCCTGCGCTGCACGCGCATAACTCACTGAATGTCCGACCAACCATGAAGACGGGGCTGCCTTCAGCACTCTCTCGAGGATAGGAAACAGTGTTTCGGTCAGCAGTTTCTCCGCGCCGTCTTCCGTGCATTCCTCCTGCAATTTCCAGCGGTTTTTCAGCGTTTTTTTTCGAAAGGAAGGGAGGGCGGCGCTTACATCGCAAGCGTGCTCAGCAGCGTGCTCAATATGATCGATCCAATTCTTGATTTTCATGCGAACTTCGAAAACTTTCTCCGCGATGTCATCCACCTGCGCATCATCGTAGGCGGTCTTTCCAGACAGATCTGAAAGTGGTTTGCTTTGTTTTTTTTAAATTAAAGATAGGATTACTGTATCTCCATGCCAAATGTCTGCAAATCGAGAGAACGCTTCCGTACTTTCGTTCGTTCATTTCGAGAGCCGGAAGGGCATAGAATGGGTAATCTGTAAAGGAATGTAATAGAAAAGAAAGAAGAAGACAGAGAAAGCGTGCCTTCGAGAATGTAGTCGTCTTTGTGAACGTGCTTGAATTGGTACGGAACTCCGGACATCTGGAAGATCATACGCACCACTTTGCACTCTTCGCCGTCGTCGAAATCGTGGAGAGTGTAATCGGGAACGAGGAATCCGTGCATCGTGTCCATCTTGCTCTTCGGAGTCTTCGGAGTCTTCTGGGTCGATGAACTGACGGACACGCTCAGATGACGTCCACCACTCGAACACTTCTGAAAACGGTTTCGTTTCGATCGGATGGAATCAGATGGATGTGAAGTGAATACCACAAACTTCGGAGAATAGATAATCGAATACTGTAGACAGATTCTCGGAGTCATTTTGTTTTTATGTTTTTAGGAAGGGCGCCGGGAAGTGGCGGGCAAGCGATTGGGAACCCATTTATCTTTGTCTGCGTCTCTCCGATCTCGACGCTCTCTTGCCGTCTTGTCAGTGGTCAGAGAGAAGAAGCGATCAAGCAAAAATGAAAGCGGCTCATTCATTCGTGTTTTGCGATTCGCGACACTTGAAACCAATTTATCAAGTTCCGACTCAAGATTCCACGTCATCCAGTGATGGGTACTGTACACCCACAGATGGTGTAAACAGTGTCAAAGAACGTTTACAAACTTCTAAATGATATATATTCCACACAAAAGAGAAAAAACTAAAAAGTCTAAGGAGTAGAAATATAACATTTCGTTCGAATCTTGGATTCTCGGATAGTGACCAAACCCACTCATCCATCAACATCAATCTAGTTTCAAAAGTGACACTCTTTTTCTCTTTTTCATTTGCAATTCAGATTCAAATGGGAAACACAAAAGAAAAAAAACGATGGGGAGAGATAGAACAACTGTTCTCTAATCAGTGATTAGCCCAGCTAATTCGAACTGATTGGCAGGTTGAGATGAAAGGAATCAAACCGAAAGAACTTTCGAGCAAAGTTAGGCCCTTCGGAAGAGATTTCCAGCGCCCGGGGGACCAGACTAAAGCGACAGCAATTTCAGCCGGAGGCCACAATTGACGGGGATAATAAAGCTGCCAACTGCGCTCAAAAAAACGCGTCTTCTCTCGGCGTCTCCAACCAAACCTTTGTACAACTGACAAAAAGTTTGACGGAAATATGAACGAAAGATCATGAAATCGGAGAGGGAATAGAAAGTGAGAGAGGGAAAAAGAGAGAGAGAGGAAGAGCGTGACGAATCGATCGGAAAAGGAAGCGACAGAATGGCAAGTTATGGGAGAACTTGCGGGGGCAAGTACGTTCAGAAGAGATCACCGAAGGGGCGGATGGATGGATGGAGAGGTGGAATAAATCAAGATGATTCAATGTGTCGAAGATGAAAACAGGTTATTGCAAATGCGACAGTTTCGGTGAAGTTCACAACTTTCTTGAATTCAAAGGCACTGTTTTTCTTTATTGGAGGGCCAACCTTTTCTTATTTCTTTCTAGAACAATATTTACGGAATGTTAAGTTTCTAAGTCACTAATACACTTCACATTGTCAACTGCTAGATTCATGCCAAGCAGATAGAATCTCCGTACATGGACAAGTTTTCGGGTCTGACTCTGACTCAAGGAGAACGTGGTTTCACAAATAAAGAACACTTTGCTGTGGAAACACTTTTGGTAGCATATGAAAACTTATTGTCGTCCGATTTTACAAAACCTTTTTGTGGAATCTTGTGTCCCGGAAATTCGAATGGCCTGCCAGAAACTGCCAGAATCTTTAAGCTCCTCTTGTGTAGCCTTCAATTCGACAGAGAGAAATTCAAAATGAACTGCTACTACATTCTTCGAAATATTTACCGACACTTTCCGCCTTCTGTGTCTGTAGAAACTCAAACAAACACTGTTTTTGTTCGGTTTCTTTCATTTAATAGTACGTCAATGGCAAATTGGCCGGTTGACACAAACAATTTCTCTTTCTCTTTCTTTCTCTCGCGGCGGTGATAAGAAGAGAGAACACGCGTCAAAAAGACATCATAGTCGAAGGTGCCGGGCGGAGAGAGTGTGGCGGATCGGGAGATTCAGAGACACGAGACGATCACCGTTTATTATCGCCACACGTACACAAACATTTTGGATTGGCGATTGGGTTTCAAATGAGAAGAGAAAACGGGTTTTTTGTTTCTTTCCGGTGCCCAAGCACGCGTCGTTTCAAAGGTCGGAAATGTTTTCTCGCAAACTCCAAAGTTTCGGCGCTCTACCGCAATTTTAATTTCACGTGAAACCCAGGTCTTAGACAACTCTTTTCGACAAAAAATGGTCCGTTTTTTGACCATTTGACAAAATCGTGAAAATTCTCCGAAAACCGTGGTTGGAAGTGCGCTCTAATGCCAAAACTCACTTCAGGGATGGTCGACAGAGAAGTGGCTTTGATTGGCGCCGCGGCCACTTTCGATTTGAGCTTCTTCTTGAAAAACATCTGAAAATCTGAAGGACTTTGGTACTTCTCAGGCGTTTCCGGAAGATTCGCCACCGGGGAAATCTTCCGGAAAAGGCAAGTTCGCTCCACTGAGAAGCTGTCTCCGAATACAATTCTCGATGGAGCGCACTTACCGCCGTTCGGATGTAATGAAACGTCGGCGAAGACGGTCTCGAAACGAGAAATCATAGTTGTTGCAGAAAAAAGAACGATTCAGTAGTGGGAGGTTGAGAGCCGGCGGCAAACAATGCGCCGCTCTCCAACAGTTTTTTCGCGTGCTCTCTCCGCAAACATCTCCTTCTCCGTGGCGCGAGAACGGTGTAATCTGCTTATCCGAACAATTTATTACATGAGACAGAAGGCAGGAATGCAAGGAAACCGAAAGAAACAAGAGAGCTGGAATCTGAATAAAAATACAAAACGACTAGAACGACTGCAATGACGATCTAGATTATATGAACAGAAACTCAAGGAATGCGAAGAAAAAGGATTACCCGAGTGTATCATTATGATGAGTCTCAAAAGTTTGTCAGATGGGTGTGCGGGTGCGGATCAGAAAAAGTGACGGGATTGACTAGAACGAACGGGGATAATGGATGAATGGAACAGATGAAAACGAGCAAGGAATGAGGACCCGTGTCAAGGAGAGGAAGAGAGATTTGGCTGATCCCTCTGCCATTTGCTAATTATGAACTTGTCGATTCCTCCGTGACGCCAATTAAGATAGGTGCTGACGATGAAAAAGTAGGCGAAACCGATCTGAAATCATCGAATGCGAACGGGGTTCGGTTGCTTTCACACCTGAAGAGTTCGCACAAAGAAGATGTGATACGCACAGAAGGAGATGACTGTTAACCAAACAGAAGAGCCGTCACTTTGACGTAGAAGTGTCGTCGAGGTTCTTTCCACTGAAATTTCGTGTTGAACAAGATTCTATTGAAGATTCGAAGGCTCACACTACGCCAAACTCCATCGCCTCGTTCAACGGGGAACCTCCTGTTTATCGGCTGTTCTTCGCTGTAGAAATCATGGAGAAGTTGCTCTTTAATCGTCCAGCGACTGTAAAAAAAATGCTATTTTTCTTTATTTGGCTGCTCTTACTCTGTGAGCCACCGACTGGCATCTGTTTCGTTGATTGGCACTTGCGAAATGGGAACTTTGCGAATGTGGAAATGAACTTCTCGAGGACTCGCCCCTTTCACAACCAGATCCACCTCAGACTGCACAATATTGTAGGGATAGGCGATTGTGATGTCGTAGATGTAATCCACGTATTCTTCTACAAAATTATGAGTTTAAATGTTGAAATGCTGAGATTCGAAAACAAAAACTCACTCTCTCGCATCTTATTGATGAGGTGGAGGAAGCCGGTCGTTCTCGGATAGAGCACGTACTCCAAGTGTCGGAGTCCGTTTTTCTTCGCGAATTCGCGGCTTTTCAGCGTCGTCCATTCGGATTTGTCAGTGCCTTCCGGAAAGAGAAGAATCTGGAGCACAATCCGTTGACATGTGTGACTGAAATTATTTCCCAAAAGTACCTGATAGGGTTTCTCTATGTTTTTGAAGTAGTCGATGGCGTCGTCGAACGACTTCTTGTCCACTTCGGCGTTCCTTTCGAGAAACACGAATTGAGCGGCGGCCATTCCGAATCCGGCGCCGGGCAGCTTTTTCAGCTGCGCTTTCAGGGAAATCTTGTTGGAAGTGATGAGCCACGGGTTGATCTGATACAGAGCGCACCACATGTACATCCAGTCGAGTCTGGAAGGGAACAATTCCGTCCGGGTGGCTCCGGGAAGGCTGCTCACCTCGTTCGATGATTCATTACAATAAGAGCAGGTCGTCCGAACTCAATCTCGTCGCCGCTGACCCGCACCCGCACACCCATCGCAAACTCGAGCAGCCCCTGAAAAAAGAATGTTCACTTCTATTTCCGTTTTGAATTCAGTCTCTTTCGCTCCCTGATCAATGTTTGCGGTTAGATATTATTCATCAAAAGGACGCCGTCCCCCGACCGAGACACATGTCCTCGTGCAGCGGCGAAAAGAGGCAAGAAGACGAGGCGCAGACGATGATGAAACAAAGCAAATTCAAAAAATTTACGAGCGCGCGCGCCGTCTGGAGACGAGGCAAAAGTGACCTCGAAAAGTAAACATACATCATCTGTCTAGTAGAATCTACAGAATATTTGCGCATTTCAATTATTCAATTAAGATACGAGCTTTTGTGTTACGGTAATTGGCGCGGCGAGAGATTGGAAGACGCAGACGGCGACGACATACCATCGGAATCATCATCCAATAGGAGATGGCACGATCCATCAGATTGCGCCATAGTTTGTGCTTGCCAAGAATAGGAATAGCCAGAAACAGAGTGATGATGTAATTACCGAAAAGAGCCGAGAACAGGATCGAAAGACCGAAGAACCATCCGAGAAGCGGCCGAAGGAGGCACGGAACCCGCATCGTTCGGGCGGTAAGGCGAGGTGTTTCCTCCTCGAATCGCCCTTCTCCCCTCAATACCGCCGATTGGCCTAGTTTGCCTCTTTCGCCAGTGTCCGTCCATCTATTCCCCTCTCCCTGGACGAATACGATTACGTAGACGCGCGGATTCGGGAGAGGATGAGAGTGAGAAAGAGACTACGTTGTTCAGATGATGTTGCGATCAGTTCCACCGTGCTGATAGGGCTACTCACCTGCCTCGCCGATTCTAACACATTTTCACGCCGAGACTCGTCCGCACCTTCTCGTAAACCACGTAACTGATGCTGACTGCTGGAATGACCTAAAAAACGTTCGGTAGACACGAAGATGCTCTAGGAGCACTCACTTTCAGAAAGTTTGGGGTGATCCCTCGGTAGAACCCGGCCAAGCCCTCGTTTTGTAATATATGCTTGAATTGCCCGAACATTGTGTGTGGTTGCGTTGAGTAGCGGGTGATCGCTGAAGAAGAATTAAAATGTTTACAGCAAACAGAGAAACTCATACTGATGGCTTGTAACCGTGTTCGAACGAGGGCAAACGGGTAGCTGGCGAGTTGCCCGCACGTGGAACTGCATGTTCCGCAGGCGAGGAGAGCCAGCACTCCGGGTTCCGAGGACTTTGGCTGAAACGATTTCTGTGAGTGAGAGGCAAAAGAGAGCAAAGACTGACGTCATAGCACCGCATGTAGGACCGTTTTAGCGTCTCATAAATGGCCAAGTCAATTCCAGCGTACGGAATGATTCCGATCAGATTCGGCAGATAACCCTTGTAGAAGCACAGGATGCCTTCTTTCGCGTACATTTTCTGAGCAAAGTGGATGATGCCTCGGTCCATCTGGCCAGTCCGTCGCAGTGCCAACCGCGTCTTCATCACTTCCATCGGGTAAATCACGGATTGCGAGATGGCGCCAGCGGCCGAACCGGCGCATAACCGTTCAAAAGTGCTGATCTCCTGACTGCCTTTCTTCTTCTGAATGAGCCGTTTCAGCTGATCGTAGCACATGAACTTGATGGCGCTCTCCGGGGCAATCTTGACCACGTTGATACCGTTTCCACGCCAAAACGACTTGATTCCTCCTTCCGCGTGCAATAATTTCAAACACGAAATCACGCCCAATCGGTTCGTTTTCGTCGAGTTCACCTGCAGATACACTTTGATCCGATCGAACGGGGCTGTGCATGTCCGAGAGACGGCTCCGGCAGATCCTCCGGCCACGAGATGTCTCCACCAGACACCTTCCTGCATCTCTTGCTGACTAAAATCCTCCGGGATCTGGCTGTCCTCCCGATGTCGATGATAAGATTGTGCCTCCAGAAGAAGACAATGTCCTTCATATCGGACGACGGATAAAGCAGCATGAAATCCTGAAACTCTTTCAAACCGACCGATTTCGAACCGGTCTGGTCCATCTTATCGACTATATCTCGTGCTTTCTGATCGTCCAACGGAACTCCGATGTCGTTGCAGTAGTTCTTCATCTCCACAACGTCGATGAGTCCGTCGTGGTTCTGATCCATTTCGGCGAACATCTCCGCAAGCTTTTGCTCGTTTTCCAGCACATAACTCGCAAAGTGATGGAATTCAACATGTCCGTCGTCGTCCGGGCTCATCTTCGACATTATCACCGGCGCCAAATTGGAAGGAATGTGCGGGGTCTCGTGCTTCAGAGCCAGGGTCAAGTCTCGAATGTCTATCGTGCCGTCGTTGTCAATATCCAGCCGGTCGTAGATTTCTCGGATTCTGGACGTTATTTTTACGTAGATTTCGGATAATGAGAACTCACTGCTGCTCTTTTTCAACCGATATTCCGCCGCGGAGTGCTGAATGCGTCGCAATCGCCGCTTCCTTCGAGACTTTTCCGAGAACGAGCGGAACATGTTTTGAGCTGAGCAACGGCGTCACTTCGTCCTTGTACTCTCCGAGATTTCCAAGTTGAACGTATTCTGAAACTTTTCACCGCTGAAAGTATCGCCGCTGGAACTAACGTTGGCCGTGCGTTTCTCTCGATGTGCTCGGACCCTCTTCCTCTTCATCACCGCTCATTCCGAATTCTGAAAAGTGATAAATTAGAAGAGAACGAAAAATAAAGCCAGATGGAAAGTGCACGGCGTGGGTGGTCTGCGGGAGATTCTATCACTAGGAGTATTTAGCAACAGGTGCGAAAAAACGGCAATAACGCTCCCAGTTCGTTTCCGAATTCCTTCATTTTTTGTTATCTGATGCCGTTGAAGGACAACTAGCACGGTTTCGCGCGTTTCCCAAGAACATTTTGCTTGAAAATCGATATAGAAAATCGCTAGAACTCGCGAAATTACAGTGTGGCCAGGGCTGCTATCATGATAAAAAGAGCACGAGCGGAGAGGCACAGATAGCGGAAACCGACGGAAAAGTTCAATTTTCAGTTTTGTATCGTAGATCGGACGGCGAGAAAAGGACGAATTGTGGCGCGAAAGTGACGAGCAATTACGTGAACTCGGCGGATTTTTTGCGTACTTTTCCGGCAACAAACTGATAAAAGCGCGAAAAGCGTTGATTTTTAAAGCTTTTCAGAAGGAAATTGTGCTAAAAAATAAGGAAAAATTGAATTTAGAGCAGAAATCAGTATTGACACCTGAAAAGTTCGAAACTTTTCCGAAAATTGAGTTTTTTGGCGAAAAGGGCCTAAAATATGATTTTTTGTCGCGTAAGGTTGTGTTCCCGACAATTCCGACCTTCTCAAACGGTTCCGCGTGGTCCAAAACGTCGAAATAATATTTTTTCTGCTGAAAATTGCCTTTTCTGTCTTAGAATTTGAATTCGAAAGGTTCGCGGTCAAAGTGGGCGGAGTTTCCCACGGCCCCGAGGCGCCGCCTACCGTCTGCGTCTCTCTCGTTTCACACGCTACAGTGCGATCTCTCGTCGAAATTCCCACCGCGTTGGCGCCTATAAAAGGGCCCGCTCGTCGCCATTCCGCCATTCTTCCGCCCTGACGACCCGATTGGCCTCTCCACTCACTTTCGTGCTGATATTCTGCCCTATCTGCGATTCTCGAGCTGGGCGTTACGGCGCTTAGTCCATTCCGGATGATGGCAATGACTAGAACCGTCGCTCAACTCGAGTCTCTGCGACTCTTTCCCTTCCCCCGCTGATATTCCTAAGGTCTTCGGACCGTGCCTGCAGTTGCCTTGTGATCCACCGACAGTAACGGATGAATCACAGTCAACTGTTGGCCTGGTTCTTGAATTCCTGTTTGTGAAGTGAAAACGGCAAGTTTATAAAATGACAAGACTTCATTGAAGACAGAAATGACAAGAAACGAACGGACTTAGGAAAAAAGGGGAGAGTGAATAAGTTACTAGACAGAATAATAGCTCTAATACACGTTTGAAACCCAAATCAACGAATAAGGAAGGAAGGGGGAGCATTAGAAGAGAATGTGGTAGAACCGAGAAAAATCACAAGAAAATACACAACGAACAGATTCATTCGGGCGGAATGACAACGGAACTATTCCTTAATACAGTTTAGGGCGACTGATTCTGCGTTTCTCCGAGGAGACGAGCCAGACGACGTTGGCGAACTTCTTCCGCTTCTGGAGTTCGCAGATTTCCTGAAGAGATGGGTGTTGGCGATGACGCTGAAGGAGTGGATGAAGAAAGCGCAGAAGAAGAGGAAGGAGTAGAAGTCGAGTTCTTGCCGAAAATAGAAGGAGGCGCGGGAGGATGTTCCGGTCGTTGAGTCTGCTCCGACGGGAGCTCGTGCACTTCGATCTCGGATTCCATCGGTTCAGTTGGGACCTCAGCGGACGCTGTCGGGGCGGATGGATCAGCTGGAGCGGGAGCAGCGGTTCCATTTGCCGGGCGGAGGCGCATGTTCGGAGTGACGGCAGCCAACTGGATCATCTGCATCTGAGCCGATTCCAGAAGCACTAAGATGTTGTCCATGGCGGCGAGACGAGCGAGAATCGCTTGTCGCGTGTCGCCTTCCATTCGGCGCAGCTCCTCAGTCGTCAGTTCGTTGTAGGAGGGAAGTTGCGGAATGAGAGGAACGTGCGATGCTCCTGGAACAGCAGATGTAGACGCCGCCGAGGTGGACGCATCGGGATCAGCGCCGTCGGCCGGAGCTTGTGGAGGTGGTGGCGGAGGCATCATCGGATACATAGCTGGTGGGCCTCCCATCGGACCGGTGGCGCGACGAGATTCTGAAGAAGCCTTCTATCATCGGAAAACGGGAGGGAGGAAGAATGGAACGTACCATGAACTCGGGTCTGTTTGGTGGAGCTGGCGCGTAGAAGATATTGTGCGGGAACGGTCCCTGATGATTGTGAGCTCCGGCGGCTGGAGGAATTTGTAGATTCTGCGGGAATCCGAACTGATGGCCGAACAATGGGACGAAAGGAGGGACTCCAGCCACAGGCGGGACGGCTGCTCCGTTCTGATCTGCTCCGTTTCTGTTCGCATCTGCTGCGTTGGCCGCTGCTCCGTTTCGACCTTCTGAAAGTCCAAGATATGCTTATGAACCCATTTTCAATTTATTTTTATCCTTACGCCAAATGTCAGTACGGCACGTGGGGCACGTCTGTTGTCTCTGGAACCAACTACGAAGGCAATGCGCGTGGAAGACGTGAGAACACGGGAGACGTTTTGGCGCCGAATCGGCAGTCATCTCTTCACGGCAGATGATGCACGTCGCGTCCATTGCGGCCAGCTCTTCGGCGGTCACCACCGGGAACTGACTGTTCATCGCATTGATTGCTCTTCGGGAGAGAATGACGTCGAGGAATGCTTTGTGGAGGGCGCGGACGGATTGGTAGAATGGACGGACGGAGAAGAGTGGGAACGTGTGCACGCGGAGCATGATGACTGCGAAGAATCCGTAGAGGAAGCAGCGGATAAGGTCTGCAATTCGGAGGGTTACGGTACGTCTCTCGGTTAATTCGAATTTTGTTGACGCGTTTTCAAAAGTTCCTATTTGAACAGACGAAAAGAGAAATGTGACCGTAGCGGTTATGTGGCCCATTATGCCGGCCTTTCACTTATCGAAATGGGTAATTTGATTGAATTGCCTCGACTTGGTGTGCTCCAAATGGGAAATTCGAAAACTCACTGATAAACAGCTCTGCGTAGAGTAGGTAGACGGCCTTGTTGTCCCAGGACTGGGGGTTTCGCAGATCGTGCATGTGCAGCAAGTACTTGAGTGTCACGTGGAGCACCAGAGCAAGAAGGATTGCGTATCTGAAAGGGGCCTTAGAAAGAATCACGGAGAAAACGGAAAGATCTCACTCGAATCCGAATACAATCTGCGCACTGGCTCCCCGATTCATTGTGGTGAAATAGGCGCTGGAGACGAAATAAGAGTCGGCAAACCCGAGCGCGGCGAGCACGGTCATCATTCTGAGATGGAAACGGAGTGTGATGACGGGACTCCGTTCCATCATGTCGACTCGATCGTCTGCCAGCCAATGGAAGCACTTTATGAAGAGGAGACCGATGAATTGGAGGACAAAGACTGCGGAGAAGTCGTCGCGGAAGACGGTGAATGCGAGACACGTCTCCAAAACTGCGTGCCACGTTCGTTCGGAAAGATGCTAAAAAGGAAGGAAGGAAGACATTGATGTGGCGGAGCTGACGTTTTTACCTCTGCCTCTGCTGCTCTCAAGTCTCCGAAGAAGATCGATTTGAGCAGTTGAAAGAGCAAGTAAATGAGTACGATTCCTTGAAAGTAGATGACTGCCATACTGCTGTTGCTTTTTGAAAGATACACAATTGCCGGATAGAACTGTTTGTTCATGAGGAACGCGTTGAGGACGGTGAACGCGGTGGCGACGATGGAGCCACCGATCATCAGACCGGCGGTGATCCTCATCTTGTATTTCCTGCAAAGAACAATGAAACAACTTCAGAGACGTTCCAAAAAAAATAATGATAAGCAAGTATCGATTGGCGAACGCAACCAATGCTAAAAACAGGTGAAATGGAATGATAAGGCGACGTGTAAATAGTTTATACTGTGGGAAAGAAGAGAAGAAAGGGAGGAACGGCTTTCAAAGAATTGACAATCACAAGCGAGAGAGGAAATACCACGAGTTATATTCGACGGGCACGTGTCTACTTCATGAATAATTTACGGGGAGAAAAAAGTAAATGTGATAATAGCTCTAACCGGAGTGTGCATTTTTTACAATAGGAGTCTGGAATAAAACATCGAAGATGTACAGAGAAAGACAGAAAATCAGGTGAGGAACATGACAAAAACGACGAAGAAAACCATGAGAACGCCAAACACTTGGAGCATCAACATTCGGTTTTTGCTAATATTTGCAAGAATCTCGTGAGCTCCGTGTGCGCCATATCGATGTTCAGCGCCGTGTCTTCCACATTAGAATCGATTCTGAAATAAGGATGAGGTTTGTGGGGAGAAACGGAACAACGTTTACCTGGTGATCATCTCTCCCTGCTCACTAACCAACGTGGCCAGTTGCGAGAAGATCTGACCGAGCTCCGAGATGGATCCTTCGATCGTCGCCATCGTATTGCTGCGAGCCTGCGCATACTCCAATGACGTGTCCCGTTGTTGCTAGAAACCGTGTTTTAAGCGAAATGGAGCAATAAATCATTTTTCAAACCATTGTTCTTTGGGTCTGAAAGTTGTCCAGAGAACCCATGTCGAGTGCAATGCTGGAGTTTCCGTGCTGTTCGTCGTCCTGGAGAAGTCTTGAGCGGACTGGAAAATGTTAATTACATTTTTGTTTCGTTCAGAAAAGGAAGCGCAAAATACCATTGGTTCCAGAAGACGAAGAAGGCAGTCCCATGGCAACGGCGGACCCGTTCGAGAATTTGTCACGACGATTCTTTTCTGCTTTCATCGTCTAAAATTTGGTACACATTTTCTTTTTTTTTTAGAAAAAACAACTCACTTCAGTGCTAATCTCGAGAACACTTTGGAAATCTTTGCTGACATTCGCTAGCTTCGATTGTAGACCGACGACGACGAGCTGACTGTGTCCGTTGTTCTGATTCTTCACATTTCCGGCACGTCTCCGCGAGAAATCTTGAAGAGCGGCGATCTGCTTGTTTAGACCCGTGATGTCTGATTTAACGATGGAGGAAAGGTGGTCGATTTGCGATCTCTCTTCGTACAGACTTTTCTTTTTTGCAAATTCGGCCAACTTCTCCATTTTTGCACAAGTTTGGCTCAATTCCCGGCCGATTCTCTTCGCCAACTGATTGAATTGCACCGACTCGGCGAGAATCTCGTGTTTCGGTTGTGGTCGGATTCCGTTCGCCGCCGCTTTCATCTACAGTTGGCTTATATTGGAACTAGTTTTAAAAGCTGTAATAATACCTCGAAGGACTTGGCGGTGGCCCGGAACTCGGAAGTGCGGTCTCTGGAGGGCATTGTGATGACGATTTGATCGAGAGGAGAGCCACAGATACTGAGAGTTTCGAGTGTCTCTGCAAATTTGGATCGATCGCTGTCGGCAGCTTCTACGCCTTCGGGTGTATCGTAAGTGGATGCAAGGGCCTCCTGAAAACGAGAAGTTGTCTCCTGGACAGATAGCCATCTCTTCTCTCGTTCCGAGACAAGCAAAAAAGGGGTGGATGTAAACCTGCGCGGAATTCCAAAGTTGCGACGCAGATGCGTTGAAGACGGTGGAGAAGGAGCTGTAGGCGATTCCGCCGTTCGCAGCGGGCTTGTGGTTCTTCTGATCGGGATCGAAGTCAAAGTCGACGGCCGAATATGCGCTGCTTTCCGGAATTCGTCGGCGAGATCTAATGTTGTGAAAGTCCGACATCCGACATTGAACTGGAACGAAACGTACGTGAATCTCGAGCTTTTTCCGACGGAAAGACTAAAAAAGAGTGCAGTGAAGACAAATAATAACCGGCCGTAGCGGCGCCGCTAAACCGGCTCGTCTTCGTGGAAACAATCAATGTGTGGTCGGCGAGTGGTGCGGAGAATTGCGTACATTGTGCGTCGCAAACACGCTCCCAAAAGCAAGCTTATTTCACATTCTCGCAACGGTTTTTGGTGTTTTTAACATGAATTCACTCAAAATCGAGTGGTAATTTTAAAAATATCTAATAAAATCTTCAAATTCACCGAAAATAGTAATTTTTTGCCGGCTAATTCGTCAATTACAGTACAAATTGGAACACGTCGTCGACGAATTACCGTAGTTTCCCCCGTAAATCTACACCAAATAAAAATAAGCTTCCACTTCACGCTTCCGTTTCTCATGTTCTGCAGAAGTTTTCAGCACATTCTAAGCTGTTTTCAGGAATGGTAACCAAGGCTCTTGTGGTTTCCTGCCTCATTCTTGGCTCCTTTGCTCACCAACCTCAACAATTTCCGAATTCTAACGCCCAACAGCAGGTGAGAAGTTGATTCGAGAAATATAAAAACTAGAAAAGCACTAGGAAACGTTCACGTTTCGTTTCTGTGCAAAAATCGATAAATAAGCAAAGAGCTTGCAGGGAGGACAGCCGGAACAAGCACATCACGGCCAGGCAGGTCAGCAACAGCAGTTTGGTGGTGAGCAAGCGAAAGATGAGCAGTAAGTCGTTGTATTGAAACCTTATGAGCAGTCTTGCTTTTCAGCCACATAAAAGAGCATTTGGACGGAAAGGTGGACCCGACCGCCAACATGACACCGGAACAACTCCAATTCCATTACTTCAACATGCATGACTTGGATAAGAACGGAAAATTGGACGGTGTTGAGCTAATCAAGGCCATCACTCATTTCCATTCCGGTCAGTTCATGTTCTTTATTTTCTTGTGAATCTAAATTCGATTTTAGAAAACCCCGGACCACAGCATACTCAAAGCAACCCGAACCACCAGCCACCACCACTTCCGAGTGAAGTCGAACTCGAAACGATGATCGACAGTATACTGAGGTAAGGAAAACCGACTTTTCTTTCTGAAATCTGTCATTTTAGAGATGACGATTTCAATGCCGACGGATTCATAGACTATGGAGAGTTCCTGAAAGCACAGAAAATTCGTGAAGATCAAGCAAGAACCCACCAGGAACAAATGGCAAAGACCGGACAACAATAATCGAGAAAACTGATTAGGATACGGAAATCTAGCCATAATAGCCGCCTATTTCAAAACTTTCATTAAAAATGGGATCAATCGGCTGCTGTAACAATTATTCTCATTCGTTTCTTTCTTTTCCACTTTCCTCTCACTTTTAACATTTTCACTGGTACACAATAGTCAGAACCTCCCGCCCCTGTCCTCTGCTACTTCTTTAGTAGTTCCTTTGCATTTTGTGATAATTACTAGCTAATTCTCGACTCCCATCATAATTCTCACCCGTTGTTTGTACTATAAAACGCATAATTTATTGAAATTTCGAAAAAATATTGGGTTGAAAATGAATATTTGCATCGATGCAACAATGGCACTCTGTTTGCACAATTGTGTGACGTTCAAAATGAGAAATATATCGATTCGGTTGGAATAAACGAGCCACACAAAAAGACGTGCCCGATAAGAAACTGATAATAAAACGCCAACTGTCGTGTCGTCTCTTCCCGCCGTTTCCACTCTATCACAATGTCTGCTCCACTTCTCGTCCTGTTTCTATTCATTTTTTCCACCGGTACGAATATCTTTCTTTCCTTGTTAGAATTAGAAGAAAGATTGGTCAATTTTACACTCGTTAATGCACCTTTAATAGTTCACAATTTCAGCCGTCGATGGAGCCACCTATACATTTGCCGACGAGAAAGAAGTACACGATGAAGGGTAAGTTGCCACATGGCAATGCATAGTAATCTAACAATATTCCCGTTCAGACATATCAAACAGCATCTGGAGAACAAAATAGAAGTGGAGAAATTGACGGAGGAGCAGCAAAGGTTCCACTACTTTTCGATGCACGATTTGAACAAGGACAACCTCATCGACGGAACCGAGATTCTGAAGGCTTTGACGCACGAGCACGGAGATCATAACGGTGAGTGAAACCAACTGTGTCGGTCATCGGAATTGTAATTATTTTGCAGATGGACGGTCACCGATGGCTGATGAGGTAGAGATTGAGCGGCTCGTGGATGCGGTGCTAGACGATTTGGATACGAACGGAGATGGAGTCATAGACTATTCAGAGTATTTGAAAAGACAGTAAAAAGAACGTTCCTTCATTGTTAAAAATCAAACTAAAAACATTCATTTCCTCGATAAACTCGAATCCTTCACGCTCCTTTGTCTTTTCGCAGCTCTTCCAGCAACTGGGCAACAGCGTTTCCTTCGCTTGCCGTCGGAATTTCATCGACGCCGAGAATCTTGCGAGCAATCTCCAGAATCGTCCAGGATTTGTTCGACTTTGGCGTTGACACGCTCTCCTCCGAATCTCGAAACAATGGAACATCTTCCGAATTCTAAAGTATTCCTAGTGATGGATCAACTTCATCTTTTCTCACTTTGACAATAGGGAATCCTTTGATTTTGGACGTGTCGTACACATTTTCCTTCTGTTTCAGATCGTTCCGTCGAAGAAGGTCTCCAATGCGCCACATCACGGGAGGGATGTTTTCGTCTGCATGAACTTCAGTCTGTTTTTGTATTCAGACGCTTGTCTCTCAAACTCACTTGGAATAGAGTTGATTAATTTCGAAGTGGAAGACGTTCCCTGGGAGGACGACGGAAGGAGGCCGTCCTGTGTGAAAGGGATCAGGTTGAATCGAGGTCCCCCGGCCACTCCCGGTCTTCCTCGAATCGATTCCAGATTGAACATTTCTGGCAGCAAGTTCTGATGGCCTTCCGAGCGGTCTTCCGCTCGTTCTTTGTGTTTCTGATGCATTTCAACAAGATGAGCAACGGAAGAAACTAATTGAGTTATCGGAGAATACTCCTGAACGCAGCACTATCATAATCGTCGTCCGAATGATAGAACTCACGATATCAAATCCCTGGTCGAACGGATTCGCAATGAATTGATACTGCATCGGCATCATCATTGGCATTCCGATGCCTATCTGAAACTGATCTAGATCATCCGATCGATCAATTTTCTAAATACTCACCGGAACTTCTTGGAATATCTGGCAAAAGCATAAATCAACGAGGAATGCTGTGAAAACGAGAGGTTGAGTCATAATGTCACGGAAATGAGGCAATTGAAAGTAACTCAAGTCGTGGGACAATGTAGGTCATCCGTGAATAAAAGAACAAAAAAGGCGTCAGATTTCCGAAGAAATACTTTACTTTCAAAAGAAAATTTATAGTTCGTTTCAATTTAGGCGGACTCGGCGTTGTTGCGAATGATGAATCCATCGAGATTGATCTTGCTCAAGAGCTCCGCTTCGATCAGACGGTGGCGGATCGCGTACTCGAGAACGGCCAACGAGAGGAAAAGGAACTGGTCGGCCTTCTGAAACGAGAGGGGTTGCAGTAGGAGTCAAACTGCACACTGACGTTGCAGGCGCCTCCGCGGAGCATTCTCAGCCTCGCAATCGTGTCGAGAATGTCGACGAATGGGGCGCCCGCGGCGTGCGACGCTTCGAGGCGCTGGCAGAGAATATCGAGGGCAGCCACCGTGCAGCTTCTTCCGAATCCATCGAAGCACACCAGAGTGATCGGGGTGCTGAAAAGATAAATGAGCAAAGAACGAGAATTCCAGCTCACTTGTGCTTCTCGTCGACCTTCTTATCCGCCACGTTCTTCTGTTTCATGATCACCTTCATGTGGTTCATGTCGGCCACCAGATCCAGAACATCGGACGGGCGTTGCGGATAGCCCATCGGTCCCCAGCCAATGTACGAGATCAAGAGCACCGTCTTCGCCGGGTGTCCTTTCGGCGTCACTTTGAGAACCGCCGAGTGACATCCTTGGCGAACTTTCCGGATATTGTCAATCTCGATGCTCATCTCTTCCAGCACCAACGGCTCACCCGTTTTTACAGGAACGAACGGCTTGCCGTGCTCGTCGGTCAGTTCGGAGAGGGTGACGAGCACAAACGAGTTGCGCTCGTAGATGCACCGCCAGAACTGATCGACGGTGTCAGCGATGGGCGACGGCGCGACGATGAACTTGCGCACGTCGCGGTATCCGTCGATCCAGCTGGCGTTCATGTAGTTGTGGCCCTGCTTGTGAGTCGCCCGGACACGTGTGCCCTCGTACACCTGAATCTCGCCGATCTTGTTGAGCGTCGGATGATCGAAGAAGGCGTCGACGGTGCGGAGACGGGACAGGGCGAGTGTGGCAAAGTTGGAGAACTCTTTGGCGACGTTCGAGGTGGAGAGGAGCTTGATGAAACTCTCCAGCGGGCGAGTGCACGAATTTTTCGTGTTCAGATCGAACAGATATTCGTTCTTTTCGAGGGAAATGCTGAAAAGAGCCGGAAGTGTTGAAGGCGTGCGCGTCTCCCTCACACATGTCCGCTGGTCAGATCGGCGGCGCTGTTGTAGGTGTGCAAGCCAGTCGAGGAGCCGGAGGATTTGCTCAGAAGATCGTCCATTTTCGGGGAATACCGTACGATGTGGCAACGCTTTATTAATTTGTTATCCGACAATCAAAGGTCACACCGGAAGTCACGTGAAAATATCAACAAGCTCTATGAATTATGCTCGATTTGAACAGAGTCTCCGAGAGAAATATGTGAATGAAAGACAAAAGAAAGAAATAGATTAGAGGGGCCCGTAGCGAAGTATTAAAAGAATGGAAAAGACGTGTCAGGCAAAGTTACTCTGGTCTCAGAATGTACAGAAATGGGTTGAGTTGATCTGGTCTTTTGGCTGGAACCCGGTTGATTTCTGGAATATTGTTGCGGATGCACTTCAAAGTGATAAAAGTGTCCAACCTTGTACAATACACTTCCGCCACTCGTCGAATGTGAGCTTCCGGTCCCTGTCCAGATCGCAAGTCTTGAACAGACTCCTCGAGCACTGTCGCACGTTCTTCCAGCCGAGCAGAACCGATTTGTACGGTTTCCACTCGACCCTTTCCAGCACGTTGTTGTGATTGACGTTCAGCTGATTGAACTTCCAGCGGATCGCCGAGTCTCTGCTCACTTTCGTCGCGTTTACCCCACTCATAATCATCTCTGACTTGAGCGAAGAAACGAGTCGGCGCAAGAATCGAGACCTCTTTTTCTCCTTGCACCGGTTGTTCCTGCGGACTCGACGGGGAGCCGGAGGGGCCGTTGTGGTCGACGAATCGTCCTGACAGTTTGGTTTTCCGCGCGATGTGGATGAGCCGATTTTGGGCTCGCCCGAGATTTCGTCGACGCACCAGCAGTACACGGACACATCGTAGCATTGAATTTTGTCATAGAGTCTGTGAGAGGGTCATTCAGTTGAAAAGCTAAAAGTTCCGAACGTACAGTGCGTTTTTGGGGGAACATGTGGGCACGTATATTCGTGAATCGCCGGCGTTCTTACGGTTCAGCGCCTTTCTCCGTTGGGATGCACAGTCCAGTCGGATAACTTCTTCGAAACGCTGACGCACGGATAAGTCGTTAGCGTCGGAGATATCCAAAACTTCTGGAGGGATGAGTTGTGAGGATGAGAAAGTGATCATCAGGTACGTACCTAATCCTCCTTTTTGTGCGATCGGATTTGAATGAACTAAGTATATCCAGGCGAGCAAGTGTATTGAAAAGTGTTCGGCCCGCATGGACGGCTGGAAGAAAATAAATGAATGAAAAGATGAGCAGAATAGAGAGTAGGAGGATAAGGGAATTGACGAAACGGGGAAGTGAGTGGGTAACCAGATTAGGCTGCACTTTTCCACTTTTCTGCAGCGCGTGTGGGCTGCATCGAGATGACGTGAGTGGGTGTTCTCTTCTGGATTTGACGGCCGAGTGAGAAAAGAATTTGGGCTGGGCAGATGGGGAAGATGGGGAGGAGAGTGCATTAGAGCCAGAGTGTTAAGGGGAAACGTCACGGCTTGTTTTTCATGTAACCGAATACATTCCATCCGATCGGCGCCCAAGAACCAGAAGACCAATCAAACACTAAAGATATTCGTGCTCCGCCCCTTTTCGCTCCAGAAATGGAAACCTCACTGATGCGTGAACATGTGCCCGATGTGCCCGAAAAAGAGCCCCGTTTCCGAGTGTGAAATCATTGCCGCCTACTTACTTTTCCGGTGCATTCAGAAATAAATGTCACAAGCACACGTTTTTTATGGAAGACAGAACTTGAGAACGAAAAGGAAACGGAGGTGATGAGGCAGAAGAACGGGTGGAGTAGGACGAGGAAGATTAGAAGTAGAAGTAGAAGGAGGAAAAGAAGGAGGAGGAGGAGGAGGAGGTCAATGCGAAGCGCTGTTTTGAGAATCTCATAAAAGTAGCCGGTCGTCGTCCCGGTGTGTTTTTACGTGTTTAATCGACGCGCCGTCCGAAGCGAATCGTAAAATTTGGAGGACTAGCAGAGAGATCCACCGCTGTTTTCGATCGCCCCCCATCATTCATGTGACTCAAATTCTAATAATATCAGCGGAGGTAAAGATGATAAGAAGAGTGCTCACTTTTAGTTATCAATGATATTCGTAATTGAGTTAGCGGGTACTCAAATGGGGGGAAACACCAGGTGCGTAAGGTTGGAAAGGAATGGTGTAAACTCTCGAAAGAAAGACTCGCGTGCCCATCAATTGAATTATAAGGTGATAAGATGGAGTGGCGGAATGTGGTGGTGGCTCCAGACAGACGTGCCAGTCTCCCGATTCCGTGGCGCCTCCGTCTTATCACTTATCACCCCCAATAGAATATTCGATATTCGGTGTGAGTCACTTGGTCTTCTTGTTTTTCCGTGCAGCGGAATGTGGGTGGAGCCCCGACTGATATGGAGAAGGCGAAGCGACTACTATAAACTCGGAGGAAGACCTGCGAGATGTAAGACAGACGACCCTTTTTGTGAAACTCGATGGAGGCACAAACTGGCGGACGGGGTAAATAATGTAATCTGTTGTGCAAACGATCACTCAAAAAATGAGCAAAACGTGGGTGAAGAGAGGGTGGAAAATTAGATTGAATAAATCCCGAAAAGGGCGAGATGAAAAGAACAACGGACTAGTAAACATGCTTGAAACCCCCCGAAAAGTGCTCGCAGACATTTCGTCTCCGGAGTCCTTTTCCATTCGTCCCGCCCCGACAAAAGTTCACAAAAAATTTGACACACTTGTCAGCTGAGACGGGCGCCGAACACTGGGAGGTCCGTGCCTGGCACTCTCGGCTGACCGCCCTCTCTTGAAGCCGACAGAAACGCATCCATTTACATATATTTATGTATTCTATTCAAAAAAAAAGCGAACGAACAAGGGAAAGAGGAGGGTATCGATATCACAGATAACATACGAAACAGTAGCGAACGGTAAATAAGTAAAGCAATCTAATTAGTTATACTGAACGGTTCCGACTGGATTCAATTGGCTGCCCAGAATGGCGTACAGCCGTCTGAATCCCTCTTCGAGCTCTTCTTTCGTGCACGCGAATACCAAACGGAACCATCCAAACACGTGGCATTTCTGGTGAATTCCTGGAGTCAACATCACTCCTTTTGAGCCCAAACGTTCAAATAATTCGAGCTCCCCGGCGCTGTCGACGGAGGAGATGTGCTGAAAGTGAAAGATTAACTTATCTATGAATTTGAATGCATTTGTGTATGTACTTGGAAAAGTCTGCGAACACAAAGATTCCAGCCTGTGCGGGAACGAAAGGAATTTCCAAAAGTTTCAAGTTATCAGCAGTGTAACGATAGTGAATAGCCATTCTCCTCGTGACTTCTGAGTGGAACTCATGGAGCCATTCTGAAAAGAGCAAAGAGTATTTTAAACATCACGCAACACCCTTCTCACCTGAATCCGAGAGTAGTTTCACGGCAAAGTTCTGAACGAATGGCGAGCAGGGATAGTACAACTGAAGCTTGGTGGCAGCCTGACGGAGTCCTTGGTTGGCAGAGTGAATGACGGCGAACTTGAGGCCGGGGAGTCCGAAATCTTTGCTGACACTCCACAGCCAGGCGATGCTCTCGGGTCGGTGAACACGATGACGGTAGGAGAGGAACGGACGGAACTTGGAAGCGGACTTGTCAAAGACACAATTGGCGAACACTTCGTCGATGACCACGCGGAGGTTCTTCGAGGCTGCCCAGTTGCAGAGATTGACGACGTCTTCCGGAGGGAATACTACTCCCAATGGGTTGTGGGGGTTGACTATGATGACTCCGCCGACTGTGTTGTCGAGTGCATTCTGACGGGCCAGCTCTTCTTCGTACTTTTTCACGTCGAGTCGTGGATTGGCAAGGTCAGTCTGAAAGGTGGTCAAGATGGAAGACACGTGGATGGACAAGATCTTACCTCTACACATTCCACGTGACATTGTGATCTTTCATGAACATTTGAAATGGTTCCAGTGTAGACCGGTCCATTCGTCAGAAGAATATCTGAAACGAAATTTGAATGAATTAGACATTCTCATCTCATCTTACCATCTTGCTCGAACAGACAGTAGCTGACGACATCGTATCCAGTTCTCGTGGAAGCCGTGAGCACGAGCTCCTCCTTGCTCACTCGTGCGCCCATGAACTCCTTGAAGTATTTCACGAGCACCTCTCTCGCCTCTGGCCATCCTCCCGCAGGCGGATATCTCACCAGGCTTTCAGTGTTCGGGAAGAACAGCTCGAGATGTTTGAACCTTTCCTCCAGAAGCGGAGTGCAGATGTTATTCTCGGCAGTACAGAAGTTAACGATGCCCCGAGGATTGCGTGTTGGCTCGAACTTGTCCGCGTTCATTCGCAAGAAAGTGGCCGAGGCATGGTCGACGGACCCTATTAAACTCTGGCCGCGAGTCGATAGGCCATCGTCTAGTGTTGACATACATTTTGAAGAGGAAGGAGACATTTGCAAACTGCCTGCTTTCTCGCGAATGCAGCTGACCAGCAACCTTTTCAGTTTTCTTGTCAACGAGAAATCGAGAGTCGCCAGCGAGTCGTGTCGCTCGCGTAACTTCTGAAAAGACGTAAACACAATGACGGACAATTGCGGCCTGTGTGCTCTGTACTCACTTGCAACATCTGGCCTAATGGATCTGTTTTGGGAATGAGAAGAGAATAGGATCCTTTGATTAGGAAGTAATCCGACTTGATCTCAATCTCAAGAAGTTCTTCGTCGCTTGGTTTGGTTGTTCCAGACTCGGACTTCGAGGTGGTGGGGGGATCGACAAACACGAGCTTCAGAATCTCCTCATGGGCCTCGTGGCTCTCGTGATCTTCATTGATAACCGATGGTTTTGATCTTTTGTCCATGGAAGTGTCGGTGCGAGTACGGTAGTACGGATGAACCTTGTCAATTGACTTTTTGCGATCGATGGAAGTATCGGTGTGATCTGGAAGTTAACAGTTTTCACAAAACAAAGAAGTTCCAATCTGACCTCTCAGCGACTTAGTGCTGCTCAAGAAGGCTGCCTCGTCCAAGCTCTTTCCGAGAATATGATCCACAAACTGCGTGACATCCAGATTCTCTCCATCCAATTCAGATCCACTTGCTTCGCCATGCTCCTCGTTGAGGGAAGTGATGTAAAAGTCATCGTAATGGGTTCTGAACTCAAAACATTGCTTTTTATTCCTAACACTTTTCAGAACTCACTGCGTCTGCTCAGGCTTCGTTTTGACTGTGGGAGTGGTCGGTTGAGCGTCGAAGATTCCTTTGAATGCCTCGTCGATTACTTGATCCGTGATGATCCTCGAAGTCCGCCTCCTTCCGCCGCCTCCCGACATCACCCCGCTGTCCTCACTTCCAATCGTATCCCATCCACTTCGATCTTCGTAAAAGTTCGAGAATCTTCGGTTTTCATTGGTGGTTGAGGACACCGGGCTGAATATCTCGTCCATCGAAATGTCGGCATCTTTCCATTGATGGGTCGTCGTCACAGTCTCCGATACTTTCGGCGAAAGATAGTACGTTTTGGAGGATTGGATTGGCGGAGAAGAGGTCGTGGGCACTTGGACGTGACCAGTTTGGATGTGAAGTGGAACTGAAAGCGAGAGCTAGAAAACGAGTAGATTCGAATGATAACTCTTACCTTCTGGATGGAAAATTGTGTCGATAGAAAACTCCGAAGGATCCTGGAATTCCACGGTCCTTCGTTTCTCGCTCTCTTCCTGCTTTAGGTGACTCTCCTCTCTCTCAACACTTTTAGACTCGATCTGAATGAACGTTTACATTGCAACAGAGTCCATTGGATGATAACTAATTGTGCTCCCCGGCAGTGAACTGATTCCCGTCCAACCCACCTGTCTCTTCCGCATCGCCTCCAACTCCTGCTCCGTGAGCCGACATGCCGAGCACTCGCACTCCTCGTCATCCTTCTTCTTCTTCTTCTTTCCCATCAGACACTCATCGAACACTCTGTCCATATCGAGTTCCTGCTCCGGCTGACTTGCTCTCAAAGTGTAGGCGCTAGTCTCTAACGTGGGCCTGTAGACCACGCTGGACACCCACGTGTTGTCGTGCTTCTGGAGATGGGCTTCGTCTGTGTGATGCGCTTCCTCTTCCTTCTCTTCTTCGACTCCGGCTAGATCTGCAACCCATTCGTATTTGATCTCCTGACTGATTCGAGTGGGCGACGGGAAGTAGGTTCCACTCTTGGGCGTCTTCGGAGTCTTCGGTGCTTCTCTCGTTGCCTCTTCTGTAGTCTTGGCAACCAAATCATCAATCCAATTGTCGACTGGAAGGCTCAACGGCTTCCGCATCTTCGGCGTGTTCATTAATAAAGCCATGGAGTTGTTAAAGGAATCGTCGAGACTGATGGTCGAAGTGGTGGACATCATGGATTCGTTCCATTTGCTCGGAACCATCAATCCGGACGAGAAATGCTTGTGAGCAGGAGCAGATGTCGACCGAGAAGCGACTTCAGGATCAGAAGTTATGGCAACAGTGGGGATGGCAGGAGGAGTGGCGGTCTGAGGGCCGAAAAGGTCTTCGAGCGTGGACTTCTTCGATGCTTGTTTTTCGGAGGGTTTGAAGATGTCGTCAATGGAGATATCGGAAGCAGGGCACACGGTCTTTCTCGTGAAGGTGTCACTCGTTGTCTCGGTCCGTGTCGTGGTTTGAGTCTTGGTTTTCTTCTCAAACTCCGAAGAAGTGTATCCGATCACATCTTCTTCATCTGGCACTACATGACTGGGTTTCTCTTGGTGTGAAGTGTTAAACACGTCATCCAAGGAGATGTCGGAGTTTTCGAAGATCTTGCTCTTTGGATGGATTTCTGATTCTTGCCCATTCCGAAGAGCCTTCTCCTGCTGATTGATTTCAAAGTCTTTGACCCGTTTTATGATTCTCTTCTCTTCTTCATCTTCCACAACTTCTCTCTGCACAGGTCCAACGAAGACATCGTCCAAGTTGATGCTTGCCGCCGACGTTCTCTTCTTCGCCTCTTCTCCGAATGATATTGCTTCTGGTTGCGTGTTCTCATTATCATTCCGAGATGGATGTACACCCGCTTGAGAAACAAAAACATCATCAAAATTGATACTGGCAGAAGAAGTTTCTGTAGGCTTCAATGGCGAAGAGACAATGGTGGCAGCCGATGTTTGCGGGATGTCAAAAGTGAGTGAGGCAGATGCTTCCGTCGGTTTTGAATGGGAAGAAGGACTGAACACATCATCCATAGAGATGTCGGATTTTTCGAAGAACTTCTCGGTCGAATGCTTTTCTGTCACAGTTTCTGTTCGAGCCGACTGCTCCTGCTTGCTCTTCTTGAACTCGGCTACCCGTCTGCGAATCTTCTCGTCTTCTTCATCTTCTTTCGGTTTTGCAATTGGAGGTTTACCTTCAGCGAAGATGTCGTCCAAGTTGATGACAGCAGTTGAAACTTCGGCAGCCGAAGGATCGAGTTCCGGTGATGTCAGTTTCTCCTCGTCTTCTCGAGACTCGGCTTGTACTCTTCTTTCCTCCTGGTTCTTTTCAAACTCCGTGATCCGTTGCTTGATCTTCTTTTCCTCTGCATCTTCTTCTGTAGAATCATCTTGTCCGACCACGAATACATCATCCAAACTGAGTTTGGCTGGAGCAGCGGAATCTTTCATGGTGGTGTCTACTTGCTCGGATGTGGTCGAAACGTTGAAAACGGCGTCCATTGAGATGTTTGACTCCTCGAGTTTCAGACGAGAAGGGTGCGATTCTTCAATAACTCCCTTCTTTTGATCTTCCTTCTCTTGTCTGCTCTTCTCAAACTCCGCAATTCTCCTACTGATCTTCTTCTCCTCATCGTCTTCAACATCTTCTTTGGAAGGGTCCTAGCTACAAACACGTCATCCAGATCGATGCAAACGGCAGATTTCCTTTTCCCCTTCTCATCATTGACGTCCTTTTCTGCGCCTTCCAGAACAATGGTAACATGTTCCTGGAGAGGGGCGACTGAAAACGTTTTCTCAGAAATAGTCCGTTCAACAGGAGCATTGAAGACGGCATCCATCGAAATGTCAGAGTCGTCGAACAGTTTCTCGGCAGTATGATGATGGGATTCTTCCTGCACTTCTTCCAGATGATGCACTTTTTCCTCTTCGTTTCTCTCGAACTCCTCAATCCGTTTTCTAATCGTTCTGTCCTCTTCAGTCTCTTCTGTAGTAGCTGGCTGACCTTGCAAGTTGACCGTAGCTGTTGAGATTTCAGTTGACTTCGGCTTCGTTCGAGAAGTATTGAAAACGTCCTCCATTGAGAAATCGGAAGTCTCGAAGATTTTTCTGCCGGAATGAGAATCTGCAACGAATCCCTTTCTTTGATCCTCCTTCTCCTGTTGAGTCCTCTCGAATTCCGCAATTCGGCGCTGAATCTCCTCCTCCTCCCTGTCGTCGTTCGTCGACCTTTCAGATCCTTCCACGAAGACATCGTCTAAGTTAATGCTGACCGCGGATGTCCGATTCTCTTCTCGTTTGACTTCCGAAGGAGTTTCTTCTGCAGCAGGTACCTCGCGTGGCCCACTCTCTTCAGTTGGTCTCATTCGAATAACAGCTGTGGAAGTGACTGACGTTTCTTTGTAGGGGATCACCACTTCCACACGTTTCTTATCCGAATTAAAGATGTCGTCAAGTGAGATGTCTGCGTCTTCCAAACTAGTTTTCCGAGCAGCAGCAACTCCTTCCGATCTTTCTCCTCTGCTCACCAACTTCTCTTGCTGACTCTTCGTGAACTCGGCGACTCTCCTTCTGATCTTCTCGTCTTCCTCGTCGACTTTATCCGTAGAAAGGGGACCGCTTCCGTTTGCAAACACGTCATCAAGACTGATGGTTGCTGTGGATGTTGTTGGACGAATCGGAGCCAAAATGACAGAAGCAGTAGATGTGACGCTCGTGTCCTCGGTCTTTTTGCTTCTCGGTGGAGCCACAGGAGTCTGACGATCCTTCTCAAAGTCAATGACGTCCACGTCTTGAGCTCTCTGTTTGCGAGTCAAAATGAAAGTTCTCTTGTCCGCAACTGAAGGAGACGTTGGCTCCTCTCTCTTCTGGGTCAAGGCTGTGAAGATATCATCAATGCTGGCATCAGACGGCGGAAGGGGAACTGCTCCTTTCGATCTTTTCTTCTCTGGCTTCGTCAACTCATCCACACTAATCCTTCTCGCGACGGACATCTTCCGGGCAGCCGAAGACGCCGTCGACGACTTGCGACTCGACGTCTTCTGTTCCCATTCGCTCGCCTCGTGCATCATCTGCCCAACCCAATCCACGTGTTCCGTAGTGGAAGAAATCAACTGATTGCGTGCGTTCAACTGAGAATCCCTCGAGTTAGTAGTCACCGGCGTCACCTGGCTACGATCGATGAAAGCGGGGACGGCATGAAGCGGCAGTGACTCATCGGCGACGGATGATGGAGGCGCGACTGCAGAGGACTGAGGAGCAGCTGGACGACGACGGTTTGGAGGCGTCGGAGGTTTGGATTGGACGGGAGAAGTCGGAGATTGAGGAGATTTCGGATTGAAGACGTCCTCGAGATGGATCTCGACGGGAGCTGTCCGATGTCGGGATGGCAGTGTGCTCGAACGAACTTCCTGCAAACAAATGCTGAGAACGGTAGCAAACGAGAATCTTTACGTAATTGGAGGTTCTGGTGTAAGATCTGCTCTGCCGAGTACTGGTCTTTCGAACGAATCTCAAAGCTCGTTCCGCTTCGGACATTCGAATAAGACGACACGAATTGCACTGACACTTCTCATCTTTTTCGATCCGAGGGGCAGTACAAATGAAGATTTGATTGAGATCGATATCGGCAGGCGGAATGCCAATCATGGAGGAGTCTGAGGCTCTTCTCCGGACATCCTTTGAACTTTTTCTCTCGTCCCCATGCACTCCAAACGGTGGTCGGACAGGCTTAGTAGGAGAGGATGGGTCCTGAAAAGAAAAGGATGACGTGGCTGAAGGAAGATGATCCCGATGAACCTTCTCTTTCTTTTTCTTCTTTTTCTTGAATAGGTTTACAAATTTTGAAAGGTCGAACACCATGAATAGAGGAGAAAGGGAAAATGAAAACCCTTTTTGTGAGGTGAGAACGAAACGACGCGACAATAATCCCAGCCATTCTATTATCCGGTTTGTAAACCGGCAGACTTACTTTCATGTTGAACGCGGCATACCAATCGATGTCGGTCACTGTGCTCTTCCGACGCCGTTGTGCCGGATCCCCGAGCAAATCCTGCGAGCTGCGACGAGAAGAAGGCGTCTGATTGATGACGACGATGGGTGTGGCCGGGGTACGAGCAGGTGAACGGGTCTCCCGAAGGAAAGACTCGCACTCGATGATGTTGATGTCCGGGGGACGGGCGCTCCGGGTGCTCTTCCTGCTCGATTGCCCACTTTCCACCGAGACTCTCTCCTCCCTCGTCTGCTTTCTTTCGATCGTTGTCATCGGAGTCGACGTGGCGATCGGCTCCCCGATTATGTGATTATCTTCCCACTTCGATCGTCGTGGCGGCTTCGGTGGTGCTTCTACGGATGCTCGTCGACTGCTCGATGCTGATCTATGTCTGCGCTCGTCAATGAAAAAGTCCATTGTGACGTCGTCTCCAACTCTTCCGACCACTGGATGTCTCATTTCAGTTTCTCGAGTCACTGTTGGTCCAACGACTTTGACGTGGATGTGATTGACTCGGTGACTTCCAGGAGGCGAGCTTCGAGCTCTCGGAATCGTGGAGAACCTCGACTCAAACGAAGTGTCCGTGCAGGAATTGTTCATCGAAATGGAAGTGATTCCGGCGGTGATGTTCCGATGATCGGAGGAGTCATTCATGGAAACCGAAGTGTTTCCCGGTTCCGGAGACTTTACAGTCACCTTCCTCTCCTTCTCCATCTGCTCGATCATTTCGTCGTCGTCTCTGTAGTAATGCAATGATTCTTCTCTTCCTAACCGTTTCCGAGGCGGTGCCACAGGTGACATTGTCGGCGAATGACGGAGAGGATCGGCCGATTGGGAACGACGAGTTGCCGAGTCCCGGTGGATGATGACACTTCCGGAATCACTTCTAGAATCGTCTCCCTTCTTCGTGTCTTCTTCCACAAACTTTCGATAGTAGAGAGTGTGCACTTCCGGCGGTCCATAACTTCTGAAACATCATTCCTTTTCACCAACTCTTCCACCGACCCCTACCTTTTCGAAGAAGTGCTGTGCGCACTGCTGCTCCTCCTCGTCGTCGTCACTTTCTCCGTTTCGGTCGTCGAAGTCTTTGTAGTCGTCGACACCTTCTTCCTTAAATCCGCAAATCGGCGCCTAGTTCCATTGCCATTGTTCATTTTCTGCTCCGATGTTTCCACAAGGATGGGATGTCTAAACTCTAGATCTATTATGTTATCGCTAGACCGATTGAACAGTGGACTATTTCTTAGCGGAGGCTGACGCGATTTTTCAGACCTATCCACCTGCAAAAACACAACAATTTGATTGAACACTTCAGAGGAATGATGACCTTTGTGGAGACTACGTCCTCATAAACAAATCTATTTTGCTTCTGCTTCTTCGGGGTGTAGTTGAATGGCTTGTGCGTTTCGTGGATATGAATGATGGTCCCTTTTCCCAAGTCCGACCCGTCCAATTCTTCACAAGAATGCCATTTCTCGTGCAAGTGCTTGATGGAGACGTTGACCGGATGAGGTCCTGCTGGCGCCACGTTCGTCACTTTCACTTCACAGGAGGACGGATGTTTGTCCGGTGCTCCGTTGACTATCTGAACACACAACATTACTGTACTTTGATATAGGCTGTAAAGTTTTCTAAATATCAGCTTAATAGTTTTCTCGTCTCTTCCGCTCTGAAAAGAGACGGCGAGAAAGAGAGATGCGCGAAAATTGATCACCTGCGGGTGAAAGTTCAGTTGTCGGTTCTTGATTGGTTTCGAAGATAGTCAAAGAATAGGTATCAAGACGAAAGGGAAGGCGAAAAATGAAAAGAAATGGAAAAGTGAAGTGTGTGTGTGTGTCGGGAAGAAGAACGAACGAATGGGAAGGGAAAAATGACATTAATCAAGTGATGGACAGTAGTTAAATGAAAACAAACCTCGGTGACGGTGACAGTCTTTGTGATCTCAACAAACTTTTCTCTTCGACGTGGCATCAGATTCTGATAATCGGGTGTCAGAATGTTACGTAGAAACTTCTGAAAGCCTCACATTTATAAAGTGCAGAATAATCTCTGTCGGTTACCTCAGAAAACGATTCGTGATCGTCGGGCAGCTGATGACTCAGAAACGGCGCGTCGTCGAGCTGCTCGTCATCAGAGTTGAGTGGCGGTGAATCTGCTGAGAAGTTGCCGCCGTCTTCGACGCTTTCGGGCGATCTCGGAGCTGCGGTCAACATGGTTACGACAACGATAATGCCATATAGAATAAGAGAATAAGCGGAGAGAACGAGGCGACAGGGGGCGAATAAATCGGGGGCTATCAGCACGTACTACACACTCCACCCATCACCCGAATTCTTATTAACAACACGATATCTTCTCTCTATCGCGTCCTCCTCTTTTTGCTGATGCTTGCGGATTGTCACACCTATTTCAAGAACGCGCGACGCCAGTTTGGTTTTTGATTTATCGTCGAAAAAAGGAAGGACGAGTAGTGATCCGATGATAGGATTAGGAAGAAAGATCAGGTTAGATAGATACCCGGAAGGAGTACTGTAGGTAAGAAAAGGACGAAGAGGTTTGAATGGAAGAGTTTTGAATTCAAAAGCAGCGTGGGAAAGTTGTGACGTGGAAGCAAGCATCTATTGTCAAAAAAAAAGAGAGAGAGAGACGGAGAACGTGTTTGATCTTGGCATTGTGTCTCTAAAAACAACACACAGATTTGTTGGAAGTTGAAACGATGGCGCGTGTTTGTGTTCCTCGCCCCGTCCTTCTGACTAACTATTACTTGTTTGATTTTGAGATGATCGCAATTGTGTAAGATCATGGCGGAAACAGAAGCAAAGCAGAGAAAGCAAGCGTTTTCTTTTCCATTTCCAATTTTGCAACACAGAAGAAGAAGAACGATCGAGAAAAAAGCGGAGAGGAATGTTGACTTGTTGACCGTTGGAAACAGGTTACAGCACCGGGTTGGATGACACAACGGTGCGGCGAAAGTCACTCGAAAAGCGATAAAAAGTGCGGAAACAGAGGCAAAACGGTGCCTAATTAAACGGCAGGGGCAGAAGTTACGCGGTGCGGATGGCTTCACTAATTCATAATTGGTCAACCTGACGGGAGCCCTCTTTTCGGGGCTTTTCTAAACGTGAAAAATAGTCTGATCGGACCCGCCTTGAAAGCTCCAGCCTGATCGGATCATTTAAAATTAAATAAAGAAGGTTTACTTTCTCGCAAAAACCAGGTCTTACAGATAATCCTTCCAGACTGAAACTTTCCAGGTAGAGGCTCCGAACCAAGACTGCTGATCGTGCAAAGTAATCGCATAATAGATGATAGAAAGCTGAACGTAATGGAAGAAAAGAGAATTGATCGAATTACAAAAGTGAACTCCTTTGTGAGTAGTACCTATTAGGGGTGAACTATCAATTGAATCAGGGTCAACGATGAAAGGTCCACAACTGAGGGGCGAATAGAACAAAATGGGATTGACGATTGGCAGAAAAAAAACGACTGTGTGCAGATCGGAAACCAGTCAGTCGGTGCGTGGAAATCGGTGGGTTTCACACACCACCAAATATGTATATCCTTTTGTGTCTGTCTCTCGGAAGAACATTATATCGTCGACGACACGACGATATTTTTTGTGCCTCTCCCCACCTCCTATATACTTTTTTATAGCAGCAAGAGGAGGAGGCTGTATACAGTTGAGGTGATGAGCCATCGTTTGTTTTGTCATCTTTTTGTATCTTTGTTTCAAAGGCTCGGGAAAATGGGAACAGAAAAGAACAGAAGCCCCCGGTGATACAATAGCATTCTGAAGGCGGCGGGGGGAAGAACGAATTCTTGGGCGACTGAAAATGTGTTCGACACCACACCCAACTGGACGGAGGAAGTTTGGATCATAAAGAAGACGACTGTGAATAGGTGTTCTTTATGGCGGATTGACCCAAATCGCCGACAAAAGAAAAAAAGAAAGAGAGAGAGATAGAGAGAGACGAAATGGATACGGATTGATATGATAGCGAAGCAAGATGTGATAAGCAACTCGTTTTTTTCCATAAGAACGTGTGTTCGCATTGCCCTTTTCGGAGTGAACCCAAAACGGTCTCTTCATGACGAAAGCCATGACGCCTTCGAAAAGTGAAGTTTTTATGCCCCTCCTCTTCTTTTCGCTACTTTAACTGTCGACATAAAAGGGAAAAAGTGTGTCAGTGTTCACAGGTCACGGTCATGAAGTTGTCAGAAGGATAGACGTGAACTTCCAGTGCAGTCGGATGCCCGGCCGAGGACATTTCCTGTTTCTTTTTTCTAGAGATTTCACGTGGTCAATGGGTCTAATTGGATTATGGAATGTAAAGCGGAGAGCTCGGCGCGCAGTCGACAACTTTCAGTTTGTGATTAATAACGTTAGACGGTGAGGATGAGACGAGAACGATTGAGAAATCTGAAATTGTTTCAAGAGAGAAATCGGGTCAGAATCGAGTTTTGAAAAGGTCGGAACGGATCAAGCAGTGGTTGTCGGCCGTTTATCCGCCGTGGAAAAAAGAAGAAGAAAGGTCCGATGGAATGTACGATCAACTGTTTAAGGACGGAACTCGAGCCAACTCGATCGTCCTCTTGTTCCGCAACATTTTCATGATCGAACTTTTCGGAGTGCTCATGTATCTTTTGTTGTCTTTCAAATACTCCCAGTACCCTGAATTGTAAGCTAGCATCCCAAAAACCCTATGGTGACTTTTTATTCCAGAATCGGCACGTCTATTTCCATCGTGATCCATGTGTTTCTCATCTTCACTCTCCTGTTCCCAAAGGTATGTTTATCTTCGCAAAGATTGCCAATCAAAAAGCTTCAGATGATGACGTATTTCATGATATCAATACATGTTATGCTGACGACCAAAATCAAAAATATCATTTTAATTCTGCTGGTGACCATGGCATTCGAGGTTTTGCAACAACAACAAAATAGTACAGTTTTGATTTGATCTAGGGCCCTGCGATGAATGTGATCGGAAACATTCATCAGGTGGCTTCTGGAGTAGCGTGCGTGCAAGTCGATGTGATGAGCTCTCGGAATGACGTGGAAGGCAATGTGATGGATAAGGGCGCGATGCTGGTCTCCCGGTTCCGGGCGGTCCTCCAGAATGTGGCGGGTCCGATGAACAAGGTGAAGAACATGCTTCTCGTGCTGGATGAGAAAATGACAAAGTAAGGGCTCTGGTCAACCATTCTAGCCGCCCATTCCAGATTTGTGGACATCATGCGTCGGCACTATCAGGTCATTGCTGGTTTGTCGAATCAATGCAGGAACATGCTGCACACTCCGTACACAAAGTGCCTTGACATATTTGACGACGCCTACGTCTTCTGCAAAGGCAAAGCTCGCTTCCTGGGCAGTCACGGAGACGCCTGTGACATGATTCAGAAAACTGCGAAGGTAACCGCTTCACATGAACTGATTCTTTATTCTCGTCTTTGATCCCTTCAGATTTGTCATCAAGCGAAGGGATTCTCGACGGAAGTGTGCTCTCTGCCCGCAATAATCGGAAAAGGAGTGAAGGGCGCCGCTGTTCCGTTCTATTTCGCCTACTTTCAAGCCATCGAATTCGCAGTCAAGAAGATATTTTACGTGCACATCGAGGCAGCGAAATGGGCGATGAACAAGGTTCAGCCGGTGATTGAGGAGATGAAGAAGGCAAAGACGATTCGAGTGGAGTACGACTCTTCGGACGACGGGAAACCGAATGCGGCGGACGACACGACTGCCAACCTGAGGGCGAGCATCAAGAGAAGTCTCATGAACATCGTCAACGTCTACATCCGAATCATCAACGTCATCTCGTTCGTTCTTCGCTACTGTATCATGCCGTGTATTCTCATTTGGCCGTTCATCTACGTGAGTTCTTGCAACATTCCAATGCGAAAGTCTATATTCAGACTCTCCGTTTCATGTACAGTTACAACTACAATGACGATTACAAAAACAAGTTCATCACGAAGGAATTCATGAAAATCGATCAGGACTGTGCGTTGCGAAGTGCCCGAAAGCAATGCCTCTGACATCTGAAGAAGCCAAAACGGTTGGTGAATAAAAGACAATTGAGAGGTTAAAAAAGAGTTGGTTTCAGTACTTGTGGCGTACGAATTGGAAGATGACAGAAAGTGAGCGACCTCGTTACCGTCTTGACATTTTCATCACCGTCGTCACTTGCGTCACTCCATTCCTCATGTGTCTTCTGGATTACGGAGTCTTCACGGTCAGAATCGGGCGCTCTTCCTCTTCCAATCGAATTCCCAATTCAGACCCTCTCCACTGTGCACACTCTCATGAATCGGACGAACATCGACACGCCGGCGCACTACGAACTCAAAGTGGCCGGAAATGGATCGATGTCGGAGGTGATGAACGAGTTTCTCGACATTTTCTCGCCGTTCACAAAGAGCATTCGAGAACGGGAGAACCGATGGAGACGGTGCTTTCGGGAGCCAGACCCGCCCAATTATCCGGAGAACTCTTTGATGCTCTGCATGTTCATCACTGCTCTCTTCCTTTGTCGGTTGAAGGTGATCCCATCGAATGGATCTCAGCTGAAAATGTGAAAATATTTTTACAGGCGTATTTTGGCAGGCAGAGCCTCGCATTGGCCGATCATTTCTATCCGAACCGCGTCCGCATTCGGGCCCTCAGCTTGTACAATAAAATTCTGCAGAGCCGAAGGAACTTGCTCACCGAAATGCTCGGAAACTCGAAGGTTAGCCTCAAAATCAGCCTTGAACTGGGGAACGAAAGTTTCAGAAGGAGGTGTTGGGCAGTGAAGACGTCGTAATCCGAAGATCAATGCAGAGCAGAGGCTATTTGAGTTCCGATTGTGCAAAGTGCGACAAGTACAACATGAAAGTGTCGGATCAAGAGTGGGAAAGCGAGAGTACGAGAGATGAGTGCGAGATTTCAGGAACGTGCGGGTCTGTATCCACTGCAGTGCATTCTATTGCATCAACTGTTTTTGCCTGACTCTGTTTTGTGTTCAATGCGACGAAGAAATGCAAACAGTCAACAAAATAGAGCTTTATTACGAAGATGATCACGAAATTATCGAAGAATCTGGTTATATCGTATTTTCAGTTATATTTTTTGATTTCAATATTTTCAGAAACTCTTTCGAGCGAATCTGAAGAGCAAGAGCAGAATTTGGACGAAACGACGGCTTCGAAAGCGCCTTCCGACAGCACAAACACGTCGGCAGTTTGAATTTTCGACACTCCCGCCAATAATGCAAACACGCCCCACTGATAATTATGTTTGTCGCTTTCGAATTCATGCGGCTTTTTGGCGCAGTTTTCGAAATTCCTTCGCATTCTTCTCGTTTCAAGCATCTTTTTCATTGTTTTTTAGTTATAAAAAGTGTGAATTTACATTTGTCTCTGAAAATATTCTGTATGAATCCGTGTTTCACCTTTACCGCAGTATTTCTCATTTTTTCTTTCGAAAATAGCCGATTTATCTCAAAAAAAAAAGAAATTTCAGCAATGATGGGGGACAATCCGTCCTCGTTTGCACCTCTTGCTGACGAAAATTTGTACAATCAGTTCTCGCCGGGCAGAAGGAAAAGCGATTTTCCGCCGGTGGCCAGTCCGTCGTCGTCGCCAAGTTTGATGAGATCACCGAATCGTGCATTCAGCACTCCACACACTGAGCAAAAAGCCGTCACGATTTTCGACCAGATCGTCGATTGGTTCCACGCTGAAATTAATCGACGAAAGCGAGTAGCCGCCGCCGTCTGTGGCTATTTTGCCGTTTTCACGTTTGTGGTCACAGTTTCCGTACTGAAACTCTCGATTTGGGCTCCGTTCAGTTCTGTTCAAGGTATAATTATTCCACAATTGCGAACGGATATTGCAAATTCATCCTTCAGATTCGCTTACGTGGTTCCTGTACCCCAGCCAATGGGTTTCAATGATTCTGACAGGGCTTGCTTCCGTCGCTACGACGATCGTTATCATTCAACAGTTCTGCCGAGGTAAGGAATTGCCACGAAACCTCGTTATATCAAATGTTTCAGTGAATCAGTTGCCGAGAATTCCAGTCACGGACACGTGGGCCTGGGTGGGAGTAGCTGCCGAGTTCTTGCATCGTTTTTTCTTCGTCTACGCCGCTTTCCTCGTCTCTGACTCCTCACTTCTGCATGACTTCGCATGGGTGACGGTCTCGTTCGGAATCGCTGTTTCGTCGGCGCTAGTCGTGTTTCGAAATGATTTCCATTTCAACTTTTCGAGCGTTCAAGTGGTAAGTGCGCATTTGCGACTTTTTTTGGTCATAAAAATATACTTCAGAATTCGTTTAATACGTTTGTTGAATTCGTAAAAGCACTTCCGTACAAGGCTCTGGCCGAGACGTCTGCTATCGAAGCTGGAATCGCCTACGCCGCTTCTCTCCTTTTCATCATTATTATTGCGCCTGTATTCTGGGGATTCTCCTCTTGGTGGCTGCTTCTGAATCTTCCATTCCACGCTGTTCTCTTTGCACTGTGCTTCACTCAACATTTCTATTCCAAAATTGCAATGAAACTTGTCAACCAAATTGTAATGAAGGTAGGACTGAGATCTTCAATTATGAAAGACTGATCCTCCTTTTGCAGCCTATCCAATTCCCATTCCCACCTCCGTACACTGTGCACTCCCCGACTCCGGAACAGACGAGAACTCTTCCAAACGTCATCGACACAGAAGATCCTATCTTGAAAATGTTCGCCTTCCATGACCTCCGCACGCTTGCCTGGAGTGACGAAAAGAGACGTGCCGATGTGTTTGCGCTTTCGCAACCTGGAAAACACCCGCGCAACTGGAAAGCTGTTTCTATGCCCTGTGTGCGAATGCTCGACGAGCTCTGCTCAAAGATGACCATTTCTGCCGCCCGACTGGTTGGCTACTCGTGGGACGATCACGAAGGAGACGAAGAAATGCCACGCGACGCTATTATGATGCCTAGAAAGATGCGGGAGATGGCGTTCCGCGGAGCCGGTACCAGTCGTCAACAGAGGAACATGGCCCCAATCCGAACTCTAAACACTCAGTCGGGAGGCTTGGTGTCCAGAATTACCAAAATGCTTGGATTGGGAACTGGCGAGAAGCTGGTAATGTCTCGGTTCGAGGCGCAACTGTACGCATACGCCGCTGAGGCTCTCTACATGCTTGTCGTCGATTCAATGGGAGAAGATCGGTTCGGTGTTGCGCAGAGGGATCTGAAGGATCTGATGACTCTTCTCTGCAAGCTCATCGCTGCCATCGACACTTTTGATAGAGCCAGAGCGGTACGTTTCTTTTCATTATCACGAAAATTAACATTTTATTAAAACAATATAAAAATGTTATCATTTCAGTCGGTCGCTGACAAATCAGATGTGACATTTCTGCGCATCGTCGATTCGTCACTCAAGTCTAGTCTTCAACGCGTTGTCACTACGTTCGGCGGTCATCTGAGGTAACTAATAATCCCTCTAATCGAAACAAACACATTGACTAAAGATCCCTGAACCTGCCCGAAGAACACATCCGCACCATTCGGCTCGTCTGCCTTATCGACGATGTGTAATGATCTCACCTCCAATCTCGCTGTTTCTCTCTCATGTTATCATTTTCACCACATCCCTGTTACTTTGGCCACTCGCTCCCATCCATCATCCCTGACACAATTATCATTTTTTTTTGAATTCCTTCATTTCTCTGTTCTATTTTCTTCGGCCCCAAAAGTCACCCTAGTGAATGAACGAATCGCGTGTCTTTTGTGTGGGTGTGTGTGTGCGGCCAAAAAGCGGAGACTGAGACACAAGATTGATAGGCAGTAACAGAAGAGGTGGCGGGTGAAGACGGGGGGACGAAACAGTACACAGTATCGATTACCTGATAGGGAAGAAGAAAAAGGGGAAGTCGACGGTTTGGCATTCGAACGAAAGCGGCGACGGAGAGATGTGGTCGGTGCTGCACAGGCGCCAGTTCGCGCTCATCGCCGGCTTCATGCAGCTCGTCTTCATTGCTCTCTTCGCCAAATACGTCAAGTACATCGATCCGCTCGACGACTCGCGACGCGTTTATTCCGGAACCGACTACCCCCGTGAGTGCGACGGAGCGCGCTCTCTTCCCCAGCAAACGCGTCGTTTCAGTGTTCCAGGATGTCCATCTCATGATCTTCGTCGGATTCGGCTTTCTGATGGCCTTTTTAAAGGTGAGTCATGGGTCCAAGTGGGTCCTAGGGAATCGTAAGTTGGCCATTCGGAACAGTTCTCCGTGTCAGAGTTCCAAACGTTTGCATTTGAGCCCTCATTTTTGACTGATATCCATGTGAGCAAAAGAATGGAACTTCAAATTCAAAACGTTCACGAGATCCAAAGTGGTTTTGCAAGAACGGAGAACACGTTTCGAATGATGTACTTAGGTCGCGTTTCGAATGGCCAACTTGAGGAACCAAGAAAGAAAATGAAAATGTCCCCTGGTCCTTTAAGTGTGTACGGTTACCTAATAGTGGGCAAGAGCATAGCAACCATTATCCAGATTAGTGCTCTACCGTTATTCACGCAGAGTACGGAAGAGCCTATCTTCCAACTACATTCTTTTTCAGAGATACGGTTTCTCTGCGGTCTCTGTCAATCTTCTCCTTTCGGCGTTCGTTATCCAATTCGCAATGCTTTTGCGTGGATTTCTGACAGTCGCATTCCAAGAGACTGGATGTTTCAGCATTGGAATCCCGGAGTGAGTTCACCCATTCGCTCCTATTCTCCTCAATTATCCCTTGTCAGAATGCTCGCCGCAGAGAGTTCGTGTGCCGCCGTACTCATCACAATGGGAGTGCTGCTCGGCCGATTGACGCCCGTCCAGTTCCTCCTTCTCGCCTTTTTCGAGACTGCGATCAATGTGGTCGTGGAGCATTATGTGTTCAATATCCTTCATGTATGACTGATTTCGTGGCATGATAGAAGTGAACGTTTTGCAGGTGAATGACAGTGGCCGATCCCTTTCCGTTCACACTTTCGGTGCCTATTTCGGACTGGCTGCAGCGGTGGTCGGACACAAAAAGAACGTGATGGAAATGGACGAGCACGGCGGAATCCATCATTCGGATCTCTTTTCCATGATCGGAACTCTTCTTCTCTGGGTCTTCTTCCCCTCGTTCAATGCGGCCATACAAGAGCCAGAAGATGCTCGGCACAGAGCCATCATGAACACGTACTTGGCGATGGCCTCCGGAACAGTCACCACTTTCATGCTCTCTTCCTGGGTCGACACTCTCGGCCGATTCAATATGATTCACATTCAGAGTTCCACACTTGCCGGAGGTGTTGCTATTGGTAAACTTGCTCCGTAATCTGAAAATAAGTGCGTACTGTACAGGATCTGCTGCGAATGCCGTTCTCTACCCGTACCACGCAGTCTGCGTCGGAACCATCGCCTCGGTTCTCTCCGTGATCGGTCATGCATGGATCAGTGTGTGTCGACCCCATTTCTTTTTCAAATTCATTCATTAGTTCAGCCTCGACTTGAGCGGACATTCCACATCTTCGACACTTGCGGAGTGCACAACCTCCACGGAATGCCCGGCATTTTGGCGGGCCTCCTGAGCATCGGATTCGCCTATTTCTACGAACCGAAAAGCTACGGCAAAACGTGAGTTGTTTGGTGTGGCAATCTAGACGAACAGAACAGAACCAGTAGGCGTTGGCACGAATTCTCGGCGGAGAACGGCACTTGAGTAGTGCTCTGGCAGTGCCCAAATTAGGCCATACATAAGAACTTCCAAAATTAACAGATTGTACCATATATATCCGTATTGGCAAGGCGGCGAAATGGGCGGAAACCGGGAGAATGTTTCACAGGCCAAGTACCAAGCCTACGGGCTCGCCGTGATTCTGTTGTCCGCAATCGCTGGAGGTCTTGTTACTGGTGAGCGCTTTTCCTTTTTTGTCCTTTTTAACTCATTACACTTCCAGGTTTGATCTTAAAGATCAGAGTCTGGAATCAAGTGGATGATCCTCGATTCCCGCATGGCGAAATGAACTACTACGCGCAGTCGGACGTGAATTTCCTGAGCAAAGTGAGTAGTTCCGGAGCGCCCGCCCACGCACATAAATCCTTTCAGTACAAACATGCGCAGGAGCAACAACAACTCCGGGAAAGGGAGCTGATGCACGAGATCTATTGATAATCAGTATAGAATTGATAAAGAGAGAGAGAGAGAGAGAGAGAAAAAGAGAATAAAATATTATAGAACCATGAAAAGGGTGTACACATTGCATAATCCAGAAGCTTACCGTATACCTAGATGAACAATAGACGGATAATCGAGGTGGGATCTGAATTGTTATGAGACATCCCGAAAGCTTCTTCTTCTCGGATATATATACGCCCCGTGTCGCAATGATAAATAGGGGTCTAATTGAAGGGTGGATGAGTGAACGAGTGTTGTCGGGGAGACGGCGAGGAGGCGGTCCCTCTGGGCGGATGACTGCCACGGCTCGCCGACTTTCTGCTTCTGCTCATCCCCCCTTTGATCTCCGGTTCATATCATTTGTAAAACAAGAAGAAAAGGCTCTAACTGGTCCCTCGGGGCCAATTTCACTCATTCTGGGAAGTGCCATTATCCACAAAAAGTTCAATCAGAATCGTTCGGTCACAACTCCACTCACCCAGTCATTATCCTTCTCGCCCCTCCGCCACCTCCACCCAAAAAAGTTTGCGCACTCTTTCTCTTTCTCTTGAGAGTTTTCTCTTCTCTTCTCTGTCGCCTGTTCCTTCATCTGTTCATTACCTGAAAGAGAGCACACCCAAAAAAATGCATCTTCTTCGTATATTTCTTCTCTCTTTTCGCAGCAATTTCCGTTTCTTCCAAATTTCCGTTGTCGCCTCTTACTATTTGTTTTTACCGGACTTCTGGTTATTATCTGTCTGTGGAGATTTGCGAATGCGAAAAAATGCCAGTCTGAGCACGAATCTAAACAAAACGATCTGCCATTATGTTTGTAGATTTTCTACTTTTGTTGTGCTCAAACATCGAGTTGCCCATCCTTTTTGTAATCGTGATTACTGTATTCACTGCTTTTATTCAAGACGATATATTTCAACTGCCGATGGATATATCAAAAAGTGGTCAACTGATAAAAATGAACAATTTGTTGGTTGACAACTTTTTGATACTTTTACCAGCAGTTGCGACACATCGTCTTGAATAAACGGAAATGTGGTGTCCTTCTATTACATTGTTTACAGTCACCTACAGTACTCGCAATACTATTAAAGGCGCAGGGTAGTTTTTGGAGATAAAATACTTCTTATTCTATATTCTGCATTTATTTGCGCTCTGGTTCTTTCATCTGAAAACGGCATGCGCACCCGTCCGAACCGATGTCATTTCGAACAGCAGCACGTATCGGTTTTCTTTTCAGATCCGTCAGCTCCTCACTCAACCCTGGTCGTCCAAAGTGTCGCCCGAGCAGCCGGCCCTCTCAGCTGGCCCTCGTCATGACGGTCCCTTCCGAATCTTCATTTTCTTCGTCTCAATTATTATTCTGGAGACATCGAAGAAGAGTTGGGTGCACGCGACGAGTGTGCCGGTCACTGTGTTCACTGATTCCACCATCAGAAATGCCGACGCGATATTCGCTCAAGCTCAGCAAGAGATTCTTCTCTTTTCGCCCAACGTCACTTTAGAGTAAGAGCACATTATACAGTCATGGTGAACTGGGTGATTGCAGAAATGTAGTGTACACTAGTGGATCGTGCGAGGGCGCCGAGTCAGATACCAAAGATATTTTCGCTTATTTTCAAAATTATCACTCTAAAAACTATCGAATTACAATGGGTCCTACATGTCTGAACAGTGAGTTCCAGCTATTGTCCTTCACTTTCATTTTCTTTCCAGATTTTCTCCGTTTTGCTAACCTAACTGCCGAAATCCAGTCATTGCAAATCAATATTCTAGCCGGTTATGCTCACGATCATCCCACAATGATTGACGTGAGTCTTACAATTCTTATGAGAATCCTTCCTTCTGATCTTCTCTGATTTCAGATGGTCACCCGATCTCCTCAGAATTTAGGTGAGAATCTGGTTGCCGTGCTCAGAGGTTTCGAATGGACACAGGTTCGGTTCCTTCTAGTCATTCAAACAATTCATTTCTGTTTCAGGTTGGTGTCGTGCTTTGCGATGAGTGCTATTCCGATGACATTCTGGCCAGTGAGCGGGACTTTGGAATAGTTGAGAACATTTTCAAAGAGAACAATTTGGCGACGAAAGAAATTGTGAAATTGAAGAAAGGAGCGATGAGAGAGATTATTTCCGAGGAGATTAGTGTCTTCGAGCCAATCGCGAGAGGTTTTACTTACAGAACTTGGTAATCCGATGATAACTCAAATTACAGTAATCCTATTGTTCCTCGGGAATAATCTAAATGACTACGTCGAGTTTCTGTCTGCGATGGCTCTCAAGAACTATACGACGGATGAGTACACCCCGGTTATTGTCATTTCGAAGTATGCATTGGGTGGTATGGCGCTTCCGTGGCTGACGGACTCTTCGCTCACCGACATCTTCCAAAGCACTATAATTGTGAGTCAAAGGGCATTGACATTTCAAAGGAAATTATTGAACATTGAAACGGGAAGCTTCTAAAAAGCAAACAACTCTCTTCGGGGAACTCGAAATCCCTGGACAGACTTAATGATCTTCCAGGTGTACAACAATTGCTATGAGCAATCAAAGATCTCTTCGTTCCTCGCCAAGTACTCGTTTTCTTCGCTCGATGAGACGCTCATCTCTTTGCAAATGTACGAAGGCTATCATCTTCTCGGTTATTACCTCGATTCTGCTATCACCGACACCGCACTCTTCAATTATGTCCAGCCGGAAAAGGCCATCGCTGCCATGAACATTCCGGGTCCTTTCGGACCGATTTTCATCACCACTACCGGACAGAGACTTGCAGGTCATTCATGAGCATGGAAACTTACTCGTTGTTCCATTTTAGGCTACGACGTCATGGTTGTCGACAGAAACCAAACCACGACGAACGGTGTTCGGCAGTTGGGGACCGTCTTGGCGGACAAGAAGTGTCCTCGGCTGGCGTGCCTCAATCTGGCGCTGAACACGACGTACTTCGAACCGCCGAAAGATGTGCCGTTGTGCGGTTTCCATGGAGAGATATGCGATCAGACCGGGTTTGTGAGAGCAGGCGTCTCATTAGTCCTCCCCCTCCAGCCTTCTTCTTCTGCTTCTTCTTCTGCTTCTTATTCTCCTTCTTCTCCCCGTTGTCTTCCCATTTCGAATAGCGCGCGTGTTAACCACAGAGATTCATGAAGTAGAGGCTTATTCTCCGTTCGGCTCATGAACAGTGGAGAGACGAATGTCGATTCGTCTGATTACAGTGTCATCTACGCGATCCTCATTGTTGCTGGAGGCTTGGTAATCGTCGGAATTGTTGTTACTGTTGTGAAGAGGATGTGAGTTGAATCCGTACTTTAAACTTTACACCCAATGATATTGAATTCAGGATTGCCAGCGGAAAAGGCCGATCTATCAGTAATCCATGGCTTATCCCTTTTACCGACCTCAAATTCATTGATCTCAGGAATACTGACGGGGTAATCTCTTTCGAGAAATATCACTTTGAACTCAATAATCTTCCGATTTTCCAGAGTCAGCACATGTCAATTCAAAGTCTCCAGAGGAACTTTGAGGAAAGGAAAAAGATGCAGTCTCTGGCTCGTTCCAGTCAAATCGCAACTGTTGATCAATCGTTCGTGCTTGTCGACAAGTTTGTGTTGAGAGATAAGATAAAGTTTGACAAGACGGACACGAACATGCTATACCCGGTGAGAGAGATGAGATCATGCACTATGGCTGACTCATTACTCGCTTATGCGTATGACGCTCAACTTTCCAGATGAAATCACATTTGCAACATGACAATCTGAACGGATTCGTCGGGCTCTCCATCGACTACAAGTCGTCATTCATTCACATTATTTGGACTCAATGCTTCCGGTAACGAGCATGTTTTCTCAAGGCTCAGAAGTCAAAACAAGACCTCATTTGCAGAGGAAGTCTTCACGATCACATCTTCACGAAAGAACGGCAGCGGGGCACGGCGAACAACTTCGAAGGCGCCTTTTTGAGGGATATCCTGAAGGGACTCGAGTACCTCCACTCGAGCACCCTCAATTATCACGGCAATATGACACTCCATAATTGCATGTTGGACTCTCATTGGATCGTGAAACTCAGCGGATTCGGAGTGAATAGATTGCTGGTAAAATGGAAGTCGGGCGGCCTCATATTCACAGAGGACCACACTCCGATAATCAAGTCGGAAGGTTTGTTGTTGAAAAGAAAGGAACACCATTTCTCACTTCGTTGATTCAGAATTGCACTATTTCGATCCGGCTATCAAGAATCTCTGGAAGTCTGTCTGCAGTGCTAACACTAACATTCCGGCGATTACCAGCAAAAATACAAAGCAAAACGTGCTGGTGACTCCGGAAATGGGAAGAAAAGGCGACATGTACTCTTTCGGAGTGATTCTTTATGAGATCTACTTCAAAAGAAAGTTCGTGGAGCCATTGGAAGATTACGCGAGAGGTCTGTTTCTGCCGAATAACTGCCAACTCTCAATTATTCCGTTTTCAGGCGAAGACGACACCGTTCTTATCGATGAGGAGAATGATAAAAAAGCGAGCAACTTCCCGTTGCCATTGGTCGTTCCGGAAGGCTTCGAGATGCACAACGACCTCGTGAAGCTGCTCGAGAACTGTTTCGGTGCTCCCCGACCCGACGTGGCGCTCGCCAGAAAGATCACGGATACCGTTCTCAAGATGTCCGGATCGCTGGTCGATTTGATGATCAAGAACCTGACGGCGTACACTCAAGGACTGAACGAAACGGTGAAGCAGAGGACGCTGCAGTTGGAAGTGGAGCAGGATAAGAGCGATCAACTGCTAGAGGAGCTGCTGCCGAGCAGCATTGCAAAGAATTGAAGACGGGAACGAGAGTGGAGGCGAAGAGGTATAAGAATGTCACGATTCTCTACTCGGATATCGTTGGATTCACTTCGCTTTGTTCGGAAAGTGAGCCGATGGAAGTGGTCACTCTGCTGTCCGGAATGTACCAGAGATTCGATCTGATCATCAGTCAGCAAGGAGGATATAAGGTGGGCGGGGGAATCGATTCCGAACCAATGCTATTATTCAGATGGAAACGATCGGAGACGCCTATTGTGTGGCCGCCGGATTGCCGGCTGAAATAGTTACCGAACACGTCAAAAGTATCAGCATGATAGCTCTTCTTCAAAGAGAAGTAAGGACTTTTCGAAAGTGTTGAGCGTTTGCTTAATGCTTAATCATTCTGTTTTCCAGTCTCTTCATCAGTTTGAAATCCCTCACCGACCTGGGAAATATCTGAACTGTCGATGGGGATTCAATTCTGGAGAAGTGTTCTCTGGAGTCATCGGACAGAGGGCTCCCCGCTACGCTTGTTTTGGAGAGGCGGTGACGTTGGCATCGAAAATGGAGAGCAACGGGAAAGAGGACCGGATTCAGATGACGTTACAGAGCCAACAGCTTCTCGCTGAGCACTACCCACACTTCATTACCAATCCGAGAGGTGGAGTCACAATTGATGTGAGTGAATTTAGGAGAATTATCTGAAAAACGAAGAGATTTCAGGGATACGGACATCTGCTGACATATTGGCTTGAAGGAACTGTTGAGGAGAAGATGATCGAGTACCGAGACGAGTTGCAGGGAGAGATCCACAAGTTGACTCAGGGAACAAATGGTCCCGACGGTGGAGGAGAGAGCTCATCGGCCAAGCCAAGGGACAAGAGAACAGTTGCGTTGGAGAGAGCGATGCTGGACAAACAACAGATGAGCGAGGAGCTGAAAAAAGAGCAGACGATCCAAGAAGCGTTGAAAGATCACGAGGAGAAGGTGGAGATGGCCGAGGTGCTCGTGGACGAGCAGGATCCACGTGGCGACGCCGACCTGATCAGCGTGATCAGCAGTCCCCTGATGGACGACGACGACGAGGACGGGGCCGGAGTTCGGACGATCGGACACGGCCGGCTGGACAGTCAGGCGTCCACCATTCCCGAGAACTGAAAACTGAACACATTTCCCATTCTCTCTCTCTCTCTCTCCTGCCTATTCGCTTCATTTCATATTCCGATTCCACCGAAAAAAAATAACAAAAACGGGTTTTCAAAAACCACTTTAGTGCTACAATATAATATCTTTTCCCCAGTATTGATAATGCTCACTTTTTGTTCATTTCTCGCCCCTTCTTTTTATTTGTTCCTCATGCCCAAGTACTTTCGTACCGCGATAATCTTCGAAGCCTTAGCACTCGCCGCATCTGTTTCTTCCCCTCCCCATTTGCCCCCGTTTGTCTGGTGCTATGAGTCTTTTGTGGGTGCACGTTTATCACACATTTCTATGATGAATTTATTTGGTATCGAAAGCGTTTTCTTCTTCTGTTTCTATGTAGCCAGCTCTCGGAAGTAATCCGAATCAGGTGCGTGCGTGCCGTCAGATACGCGGAAACTGAGAGCGAGTTTCTCGAGCTTTTTGGTGTGTACGAATCATGGCCAGGTTCCCATCGAAAGTGAAAACCTTGCTGGAAATGTTTGCAGTCGGGGGTGTGTTTCTTTTGCACTTTGAATAGTACAAAAGTCCCTTTTGCCATCGTTATTTTCAGTCTGCCATTTTCCATTTGCATTCATGTCTAGGTCAGTGCGATCAAAAGTATTAAATGCCGCATGGCTGCCACGTGGAAGTTCTTCCTCTTATCATCATCACAAAAGTCGTCCGCTTTATCAGTGAGCCGGCAGTCTCTATTCCATTTTGCTCTTCGCAAACTTCTCGTCATTGTTTTTTCTTTTTCTCAGAAACTTTCCCACCTGGTCACGGCTCACGGCTCCCGCCGCTCTTTGCTCTCATGCAAATGGGTTTCTGCGGCTGCGGCGGCGGCGGCGGCCAAAAGTCAGTCGGATACCTTTGCTCCGGATTATGAAAGAAAAAAGAAGAAGAGATGCGTTACGTTCTCTCGAAACCAGACACCCTCACTTCCACCCTCCCGGCCGTCTTCTTTTCCGAACTCAAAAAACGCTCGGAATTTCATCGAATCGCTTTTCCGTCATTGATTTTGTGATCCGAAGTTTTCAGAGGACTTTGGACTTTCTGAGTTTGTGACACTCTGATTCTTGAGACCTAGTCAAAATCCTGGAAAGAATGCTCTTACCCTACCCTTCTTATCATCAATTTCTGATCGTCTTTGAAAGTGATCATACCCTCAAGCAACACTCTTTTTTAAGAAGACTTATCGTTTTTCCATTCTGCAGCACACACATTTTCGTTTCTCATTTGACTTTCGCTTTCGTTTTTCCAGAAGATTGTGTTCGCAGGCACACGTGGCGGAAAGTGCCCATTAGGTTCGACTGTTTGCTCACCGCTTTTCGTGTGTCTCTGAAAACGACAATAATCCAGAAGGCAGAGAGACCAATGTTCCTGCTCCATTCTCTTCTCGCCGTCTGCTTTGTTCTTCTGATCCCCAATGGATCGAATCAAGTGGAAGTGAGACTTCTCGCTCATCACTGTTTTGTAACTTTTCAATTATAGGTTCATGTGTGCGACACCACCAACTCAAACAACTCGTAAGTGACTTGCCACGTCATCATTACACCAACTCGCCCTTTCACAGGTTCATCTACTGCAACGGGCCGATATTGGACGCTGTAAACTATCATGCATTGTACAATGATTCGAAAGAGTTTGTCGATATGCCGTTAAAGGCCGAACCACGTAAGGAGTCCTTGCGGTGCCACGTCATTATGTTTTCATTTTCCAGTTGATGTTTACAACGCGTGGCTCGCAAAGTTCGGAAATTCTTCAGCCGCCAGTCTCAACAAAACAGACGTGCAATCGTTCGTAGATCAGTACTTTAGGTATACGGTATTCCCTTTGTCACATGGAAAACAGTGTGTGTTCCAGTGCGGCCGGCACGGAACTGATCACGTGTACTCCGGACGATTGGCAGGAGAAACCGCCGAAGCTGGCGAGCATTGCGGACCCGCAGCTGAGAGAATGGGCGTATAAACTGAACGGAATCTGGAAACAGTTGTGCAGACAGATCGACCCGACGATCGGACAGCACTCCTCCAGATACTCCCTTCTTTACGTCCCCCATCCTTTCATAGTCCCTGGAGGAAGATTCAGAGAGTTTTACTACTGGGATGCTTACTGGATTATCAAAGTAACTTTAACTTAGACCTAAAATTAACCTTACCAATTGACTCATTCATTTAGGGTTTGATTGCATGTGAAATGTACAATACCACGAGAAGCATGATCAGAAACCTGGCCACGATGGTCGAGCAACACGGATTCGTGCCGAACGGAGGACGCGTTTATTATCTGCAGAGGAGCCAGCCGCCCCTTCTCTCCGCAATGGTCTATGAACTTTATGAAGCAACCAATGATAAGACATTCATTGCGGAGCTCCTGCCGACTCTTTTGAAAGAGCTCAGCTTCTGGAATCAACAAAGAATGGTGAATGTGACGATGAACGGGAAGGACTACCAAGTGTATCAGTACAAGACGCAGAGCAACGTGCCGAGGCCGGAATCATATCGGGTCGACACACAAAACTCGGCCAAGTTGGCCAACGGGGCCAGTACCCAACAGTTTTACCAGGTTTTGCCGGATTATTTAGAAATTCGGATTAACTTTTATTGTTTTTTTTTCAGGATCTTGCCAGTGCGGCCGAATCGGGATGGGACTTTTCCACTAGATGGTTTTCTGATTATAAGAATCTCACGACAATCGAAACAACCAAGGTGCTTCCGGTTGATTTGAACGGTCTTCTCTGCTGGAACATGGATATAATGGAGTACCTTTACGAACAAATCGGCGACACGAACAGCTCGCAGATCTTCCGCAACCGAAGGGCCGAATTCCGGGACACCGTGCAGAATGTGTTCTACAATAGAACAGACGGCACGTGGTACGACTACAATTTGCGTACCCAATCCCACAATCCGAGGTTCTATACGAGCACTGCCGTTCCGCTTTTCACCAACTGCTATAACACTTTGAATACTGGAAAATCACAAAAAGTGTTCGATTATATGGATGTAATTGAAACTTTACAATTTTATTTATTCCATCTATGTTCAGAAAATGGGAGTGTTCAACTATCCGGGCGGAATTCCGTCGTCGATGTCGCAAGAGAGCGACCAGCAATGGGACTTTCCGAACGGATGGAGTCCCAACAATCACATGATCATTGAGGGGCTCAGAAAGTCGGCGAATCCCGAGATGCAGGACAAGGTAATTGGAGGTTCCCAGGGTCAGAAGAGCACTTGAAATGAGTAGCCATCGAGCAAAAGGGTTACTTGTTTCTTTGGCAAACAGTTCTCTCAGGTACACAAAAAGTTCTGTTTTTTTGCTGTTGTTTGCTTGTTGATCTGTGGTTTGTTTGAAAATATCATCCGATCCCCAAACCTAAACATTTTCCCTCAAAGGATCCTTCTGTAGTCGTCTCAACATCACCCACTTGTACTATGAGCACACAATTATATGCATTGTAACTGTAAGAGCTCACCAACTGCTGACCCGCACTAGAGTGTGAAAACCAATCTGTTTCTTCGGTTTGCCGTCTTCCCTTCTCACCTCGTTACAACCGGAAGAGCACACGCGGCGAAGGGAAGGCGGCAGACAGAAAGAGTCCGAACGAGGAGATAATCGATGACACCTTCTGTTCGGATCCATCTGACGCATATTCTGTTTTCAGGGATTCCTCATCGCCTCCAAATGGGTGCTCGGCAACTTCCGAGTGTTCTACGAGACTGGTCACATGTGGGAGAAGGTGAGCGAAATCCCTTTCGTGTGAAACTCGTCATGTATTCACTCCTTTTCGCGCGGGAAAACGGGACCATCATAATCATAATCATCACTATACATCCTTCTCTTCTTTTCTATTTTCCCACTCCAAATCATATGTAAATATGATTTTAAGAGGGTCCGCCGCTCCACATAAGCTCTTCACATGCATCTTCCGCCCGCGGATTCGCTATTCTTGCGGTTATTATGCAGATTGTGTTAAATCGCGTGCCCTGGAGCGGAGGACTTAGTAGGCCCCGTATCTACTACGGTAGACGCCGCTGAGCCACTGGGAGCGGGCCAAGCATCGTCCACGGGCCAGCAATTGTCGACAAAGTAGGTGGTAACAGGTGTACAAAGGAAAAACATGACCGTAAGGACCCATTATGTCGCGTGTTGACTTGTGGTTACCTCACTCTCGTCACTAATCCGCCATGGCCTCAATCCTGATAGTGGCCAACCGTTAATGGTAGTTGCTGCTGCTGCAGCGTGTAGATGTTTATCTTGGCGCTTAGCGAGATGATATAACTGCGGACAGGTGACGACGAATCCCTTCTCCGGGGAACACCCGCAATCGGTCAGTCAGACTTTTTCGGGCGGGAGAAAGAGAGGATGAGAAAGACGGTGTTTTGGCAGCGACAAGGGTGAAGTATACACTTGACTAAAGCGTTTCTTTTCCGTCTGCCTACAGTACCACAATGGGTCTCGATGCGCGAAAGGCAAGAATGGCATTGGTTTGATTGGCACCACTTATCGGTGATCATGACCTTCTCAGTCTTGTTCATCATCATCGTTTTGTGATTTCACTCTCCTATGATCTTTGGGATGTTTGGGGGAAAGTAGGAGGAAAGTGTTAAGAAGCGTTGAGACAGGTGTTCTGGTCTCGATTACACCAAGTCAGACTTGCAGTACAAACACAGTTAGCAAAACACTGTGAAACACTTCACACCTCGAGGACAATAGACAGTCGCTCCACTCGCGAATGGGTGTGATTCACACTTTGGCATGCGTCTTCACCGTTTTGAAATCGTAAACACACGTGGCAGGACATGAACAAACTGATAGGATCGGGCTCAGATGGGGTGCAAACATGTGACCCATCCTCTTCTACCGTAGTCCTCTGTGTCAATTATTGAAGCACTTATCGCGCGTGTGTCTATTGGAGCCCCCGTCTGTCACCAACTCTTGAGAGTCCTGTGCCCATCTAAATTCTAGTGTCGCACAAAAGAAGCGCGAGTTGTTAGGAGTACAAATTAGCATAAATCTGTGCTGACAGCTTGCTTGCAAATGGAATCATTGCAATTATGTCTTTCAGTACAACGTCATCGGAAGCTATCCAATGCCCGGATCTGGAGGAGAGTATGATGTGCAGGTTGGGTGGAGGGTGAATTCCATTTAGATGGTTTACTTTCAGGATGGATTCGGATGGACGAACGGCGCGATTCTGGACCTTCTCCTGACCTACAACGACAGACTCTTCGTGCCTGAGAACTTTATCAACGCGACGAGCACGACGGCTTCTTCTTCCGGCCTGGAAACTACGACTCGTTCTGCTCCCGGCCTTTTCTCCGCTTCATGGGTCTTCTTGTTCACTATCTTAATTTATCACCTCACCCAACCATCCTCATCATAATATTTCAATGCCTTTGTACATACATATATTTGGCTCCCCTTATTTTCGCGCGCTCTTCCGTTCCGTGCCGATGAATCAGAAGGGGGGGCCGAAGAAAAGGTGGAAAGGAGACTGAAAGCCGCCGGTTTCCTTCTGCTTTCTTTTGGTGTACACCGCCGGAAGTTGTATTAACAATGGGCAATAGGTTGGGGAGAGCCGCGCGACGATGAATGAAATGAATAGAGGACCTCTCCATAAATGGAATGACTCCTGGATGAGAAAAGGAGCCCACGACACGTCACGAGACGGGTTAGTTCGACACCAAAGTACTATCAGGTGATATTTGTCGATCGACAGCGAGAACAATCAGTCCCCGCTGCTTCTGCCTCTCTCGCTTTCCCTTGTTCTTCACTTGAAACCGGCGGCTCGTATAGTAGTCGCAATTGCCGAAAGAGAGAAGGATACGGTAGGGGTGATGTGTGTGGAGGAGCAACAAATACGACACTTGTTATATCACTGCTCTAGTGTGCTTCTTCTTCATCTTCTTCTTCTTCCTCCTCCTCCTCTCGCCCAATTGCCTCAAGTTGTGTTTGTCTTTTTAGAGGCCCAATGACAGAGAGCCGCGCGCGAAGTGGAGGCGCGGGTGGTCTCTATGAGCAGCATTCAATTACCGTAGCACATTTGGAGCGACGACGGGGCTCTCAAATTTCCAGATGCGCACGACAACGCAACGCGCATCTCACCTGTCCAAAACGATCAAGATACAATCTGGGATGGCTGCTCCACAGGGGAGCTTGTTATTCTAGCCTAATCCTCGTGCCGTGCCTATCTATCTTGATCGACAATTACATGCGCATCTCCTGTAGCGCAATACAATAGTCAGAGTAAACTACGCGGCTGAGGTCAAGCTTCTGAGCCGGATAATAGTTTCCGGTGCAGTTTTGAAACTCCCCACCACCTTTGAAACGGCAGCCCATTGTACTTTCGAAGAGCTATTAGTCGGAAGGGACCGGAAGTTGACACGGATTATTAGACTGATCGGGAGGCTGCACAAATAGGTTGATCGGAAGAACTATGTATCAATAATCAGGAGGTCCCTCACCGTCGGATGCACACAAATACCTTAGGCACACTTGTTCCGCGCACTACTTCTAGCCTCGGTGATATCTGTTTGCAAGTGTGTGTGCCTCGGAAGTTTATGCTCAGAGCATACATATAAGTACCATCAGATGATGATGATGCTCGTGTTCTTGTTCGGCACGCGAGGCTTCTCGTAAACCGAGATTCCTGACTTTCTCGAATTTCTCTTGCTCAAGACTCTCTAATCCGATGGCACAGAGTCAATTGTAACCAATTAAACTGGATGAGAGAGAGAGAGAGAGGCTTAGGCTTATGGCGTAATATTTGGATAACAGGAGGATAAGGGTGTGCTTGCTACAAATTGAAACATGGTGACACCGATGTCGAGTGGCCCAAAGACCGGTGGCTCCAAGTATTACGCAACAATGAAGGATGCAGATGACGATTAGTGTGGTAGTCATGTCACTAATTGAGCGCTTCGATTGGCTTCTCCTTCTTCTTCTTCTTCTTCTTCTGACTATCGCTAATTGAGATTCCGTCTGACCCAACAAATGTCTAGCCCGAGCGTTTTAGCCTTTTAAATGATACTGTAACACGAACCGAATCTGGATTTTCTCTAGTCGCTCCTAATCCGCGCCATTTTACGTAACACTATCGAATTTCTCGGATGGATTACGGTAGTGAGGCGAGGGAGCAAACAAAACGACGGACACCGAACTGATACAATGTGTATGTGTCGAGCGATTTGATTGTGATGGAAAAAGAGAAGACGGGGCATATCGTAAGAATGCGATCGGCCACATGATTCTTAATCCTGGTATCGTTGGCGCGCGCTAAAAGGCTTAGCGGTGACGGTCAAGGATGGTGGCTGATCAGGACATACCCGACCGTACACTGATACAACCACCCCTCCGACTCTTTCAGAATCCGTCCGACGATGGTCTTCTTCTTCCCGTGCCTCGTCGCCTTCTCCTATTGCCACACTAATCAATTAATCACTCAAGCGAGCTGTCATCGCCACTTATAGGGTCCGAAATTGACTGAAAACAACTAATGGGGCAGAGGAAACGAATGAAGAGTGAGAGAAGAGAAGTTTTGTGTCGGTGTGAGGAGGCGAATGGTTAAGAGAAGTGGGGGGAAACACTAAATAAATGCCATTAGCGAGAAGGGGAGCGAGGCGTCTTTCAAATCATCCATCGAGACCCGAGAGTACTCGTTTTTTCATCAGCAACTTCTTCTCAATGCCACAATAACGAGGTTTACGGTAGTATCAGAATGCAGAAGACACGCGCGAAACGGAGAGGGAGCACTTCGCACCCATCCGAATTGGCGAAGGTCTCACATGGGTGTGAACAGGGGTGTTAAGTGAGAACGGAACGGAAGGCTCTGGAGCTCGAATGGCTCGGAATCGATTCGATTCTATCATTAGTGCCTTTCGATTTCAGTGCCCTGTGCCTAATTGAACGAAGCGCCGGCCTCTCCACATCATCAGCTGCTGCTGCTGCTGCTTCGACGTCGTCTCCTTATCCTCACTCCTCCGCCGACGCGGTCGCCGTCCCCCCCTCCCCTGATTAGTTTCGTAGTTAAACAAAAGCTTCCTAATGATACTCACTTACCCACCCCAGGGACAAGGGCGCCGAGAAGTATCGTGTCTTACCCGCATCTTCGCCGATTCCTTCCCCAACGTGGGCGGGGCCTAGCCAACCAACCAACCGCCGTGCGCCCACCAAACCCCGCCCAGTATCATTAGAGAGATTCGTTGCGAGCGCATACACAACCACACCATTCGATTCGATTCCGACCTCTTCCCAATCTGAATCCGAACCTTTCCACTCTGACTCGCTCACTCGTTTCCGTTGCTCCTCCTCACCCCTCGAACATGTTCTCTCCGGAACAGTTCCAGAAGGTGATGTCCCAACTGGGTAACTTCTCACAGTTGGGGCAGATGTTCCAGCCTGGCAACATGGCCATGCTTCAAGCCCTTCAGTCGACGGGCGCTGCTCCCAATCCGTCTCTCTTCCCGAGCATTCCGCCCGGCATTCCGACGCTCGCCGCTCCATCGTCGCCCACCACCTCGAATCTGAATTCCGACCAGGTCAGTTATGTTTGATTAGTAAGTTGTCATGAGTCCTATCGATAGTACCTTGGCTTCTTGGCGCCAGGGTGCGTCATTAAGGGAGGGGTACTGGTGAGCCATCAAAGGGTTTCGCCGCTGTGCGAGAATGTATGAAAAGAAAAAGAAGAAGAAGAATGGGATGGGCGGGAGGCAAAAAGAGTCTAAAACGATTTGAAACGTATCTTTTCCTCTTTCTCCTTCTCACTTCCGCCACTCAATCCAATCATGCTCCTTGTCTTCTCATAACTTTATTGCTTTTTGTCTCCTCTTTTCTCGCCTTTTGCAACAAAGTGCAAAACCAAATTCCGTCGCCATCCATTCTCTTCTTACACAAAAATAATTGAAACTTCTCTGTGTGAGATGATGGGAGCCAGAGTGAAAGTTATAAGAGGGGTTCAGCTGTGAATTGTTCTATTTTCAGATAGTCAAAACATGCGAACAGCTGGAAGTGGACGGAGACGTTGACCGGCTCGCCAGGTTCCTCTGGACGATCCCACCCCAACAGGCCCAGGAGGTACAGAGCAATGAAGTCGTTCTGCGGGCGCGAGCACTCGTCTGCTTCCACATGGGCAACTTCCGCGAGCTGTATTCGATTCTCGAGAACAACAAGTTCTCGCAAAAGAGTCATCCGAAACTGCAGGAGATGTGGCACGAGGCGCACTATCGGGAACAAGAGAAGAACCGCGGAAAGTGAGTTTGTTTTCCTCTCATTGTTCGCAGCTATCATTAATGAGCCTTGCCTACCGTAACACGCTCTCCGGGCGCGAGTGAGAAGAAGAAAGGAGCCGGCTCCTTTCGCTTTCAATCTTGTCGGACAATATTTGCGCTGGGGGAGCGGAGGGTCTTTCTCGCTTCTCCCTCGTTTCGTTGTTACACCGATAGGACGCGATAGGATACCCGATGATTCTAAATGATTACGGTAGTCAGTCTCTTTCGCCTTCCTTTTGAAGTAGCGCTACGCCGATTAGCCACAATCAAGAAGGCAGGGGCGAGGAACGGTAAATGCGTGCTAATCGGGTGGGTTGCCCCCGCAACCGAATGAACCGACGACAAATTTGACACCGAAAAAGGAAGGAGGAGGTGGCTTTTAGAGCTGCCACCACCACCATCGCTGCCCGTCTGTCGTGTCGCACGGATGCGCCCTCTAATTAGATGATTGGCGTTGATTTTTGCGGCTAACGGACTGACTAAAGGGCTAAAGAGCTAAAGAACATGACCATATGCGCACCGTGTTAATCTGTCGGATTGACTGCGAGCAGAACAAGACGGTGTTTATAAACACAAGAGATAATCCCCTTTCTTCCAGGTCCCTTTGTGCCGTCGACAAGTACCGTGTCCGCAAGAAGTTCCCAATGCCAAGAACCATCTGGGACGGAGAGCAGAAGACGCACTGTTTCAAAGAACGGACCCGGTCACTTCTCCGCGAGTGGTACCTCAAGGACCCGTATCCGAACCCGCCGAAGAAGAAGGAGCTGGCCAACGCGACGGGACTCACTCAGATGCAAGTTGGCAACTGGTTCAAGAACCGAAGACAGCGAGATCGAGCAGCGGCTGCCAAGAACAAGTGAGTGCGGGTGGCAGGAGGGCAATTAAAAAGGGATCAGGGCAGGAAGTTTCTCCATTTCTCGACCTTACGTGTAATCGGTTAATCTGGAAATGAGAAAATAATTGCCTAGATGCATTTCATTCACAATCTTCCTTCTTTTAGACAAAACATCATCGGTGTGGAACTGAAGAAGACTGCCTCGGATATGTCTGACTCGGACGAGGATTTTGAGGACTCCATGACCGACTCGCCGAGTCCGATTGACGAACCGAAGGATCTGAGCAAGAATCCGATGCCGAAGATGCCGCCGACAATGCTGCCGAAGATGGCGTCTCCTTTCGACATGTTTGCCGCTGTCAACCCAATGAATACAATGAATCCGCTGCTTCTGATGAATCTGAATCCGGCACTCTACATGCAGTTTCACAACTTCTTCAGCGCCGTGAAACATTGTCAAGAAGAAGAGGAGAATGTGGAGACCAATGTGGAAGCGGAGGCCGAGACTGAAGTGGGTCAGAAGAAGCGATCAAAGCTGAGCATTGATGAGATTCTCAACATCAAATCCGAAGTGTCTCCGTCACAATGCTCGCCGTGCTCTAATGAATCGTTGTCGCCGAAGCAAGTGAAGTTGGAAGAAGCGACCGTCATTCGGGTGAAAAAGGAGGAAGATGAGGCGGAAGAGGATGCTCGCAGTGAGAAGAGTTCGAAGCCGCCCAGTCCGAAGTTGGAACCGTCTGAGGATCCGAAAGATTCGACCAATTGCTCACCCAAATCGACTACGTCTCAGTCAGAATGATCTTCTTTTTCATTTGTATGTAGATTTCCCCATTTTCCAGCACCATCTCAGTCAACATCTTCATGATCGTTCCGTATTCGTTCCCTTCCAATGTCCGTCCTAATTCCGGTACCACATCTCCCTTTCTGTACCTTTTGAGGAGGTCCGCCTCATCCCTTTCTCTCTCTCTCTCTGATTTGCCACTCATTTCGAACCTCAGATGCATTTTTCCTTTCTCCAGTTCAATTACCACCACAATCTTCAGATGACTGCTACACCGCTTCCCTGTCGAACTCCTTCTTGCATTCCTCCCATTAGCGGTGTTCGAGCACTCATCTGCTAGACATTTCTTACCCAAATGTATTATTTTTATTATATTTAAGAAGACCATGCGAGAGATCTAATAAATAGTATTCAAGTACAAACTCTTTTCGCTTTCCAGTAATTACGATACTGTATGTGCATTACGCAACGAGGTGTGTAGCAGTTGAATAACCCTTGAACCTTGATAGTCTGGATTGGGTGTCAACTCAGAAGATACCTGCTTATTTGTGCTCTCACTCGACAAACCCATGTACCCAGTGCAAGTGTTTGCTCCCCGACCCGACCGGTAATTGGAGCAACTTGCATCGATGTCCTCGTGCTACCGTAGTCCCTACTTCCACTTCCACGTCATCTACCGCATCATCAGGTATTCAGGGCAAGCACATCCATATCGCTTATTGGTTTGATGTCGAATTACACGCTCATTAAACTGAGTGAGTGGTTGGTTTGTGTATGGAAAGCTCTTTGTGGAGCCGTGGGCTCGTATCCAATATCTACCTGGTTGGCTCTCGGATGCAGTCATCCAAAAATTGCGTCCTCTTCTTCTATTCTTCTTTTTCTTGTTTCACTTAAAAGCGGGGATCTGGGGGGACACACTACAACAGATCGACCAACTTTATCCCTTCATCACCGCCACTAATTCGGATCTTACAACGCCCATTAAGGGGGCGAGCGGAGTGATACGGTAGATCAGAGGAGTCGGAATGAATCCATTAGCGATTTATCGACACCTTCTTCTTCTTCTTCGGTCACCGATGTCTAATCACTCGAACACGACAGACACCTTGATACACAACACAACACAAAAGAAGAAGGATTCGCTGAGTAGCTTCGTTTTGGATACGGTACCTGGAGAAGAAGGCAACTTCTGTGCTGAGGTCACTGATCTCCGAGGATCCGAAGCATTGTCCGTGCCTATTGAAGCCGTTCTAATAGTTGTCAATTAGTGGCCAACACCTCCTGACGACGCCCTGCGGGGGAGCAAAATGGTCAATCGGGTGTCGTCCTCGTCGCCAATTATCGCTGCCCTTTGCCTCTCTCTTCCACGATTTGTTTGATACCCTACCTGACACACGGCTATTATCTCTATTATGTTTAGACACCCCTGTGGGTTCTATGTACTACATCTAGTTTTGATTTCACACTTTTAATTGCGCCGCGCTCGGCTTCCTTCCTGAAATTTGATACATTCGGTCACTCGGATCGGACTGTACTCAGGGGCCGAAACGAAAGAAAGAAGATGCAGAGGAGCATGTTGGTTTAGCAGAAAAGAGCAGGTTAGGTGCGATACGGTGGCAAGAGAGGAATGCGATACGAGTTATGCAATCAGAGCGAACATACGGCGAGCACAGGTAATCATTACCGGAGGGAGTGCGGCTTCCGACACGCTCTTCGGGGAATACCTTATGCTGCTCAATTAGAAGCGGCTCGCAGATGGTAGCAGCAGAGGGATGGGCAGAAACAAAAGAGGACATTTGAATTCAGGTTTGAGGGATACGGTTTGTTCTGGAAAAGTGTATTTTCCGGAGGAAGTGTGTACATTCCCACCCATCGATAATATCTAATCACTTTTCCATCCGTGTCACCCTAATGAGATGATCATCAGATTATCATCGTTCATCTGAAGTGCATCAGCATCAGCATCATCGTCATCATCGCCATCATCGCCGTCGTCGTTGTTGCCGTGTCCTCGGTTGGCGCATGTCCAATTTCATGCCTCATCAGCTACGTGCGACTCTCACACCTCTCTGTGCCTCTTAATATTTATCTCTCTCATCTCTCTCTCTCTCGATCCAAAGTTTGTTTTATTCATGCCATTTCATCCATCCGGACGAGGAGCTCTTCTCGAGTAGAATGGACACGTGTCAGAGAGATTGGAGTAACAATGGGATGTCCTCACAGCCTGATACCGTACTCAATTGGCAGAGTGTCAATCGTTTGTGTGCTCACTTGGGGATGAAGAGGAGAAAGGTGCCAACAGGTGCCACGTGGCAGACACCTGTGCTAACTTGTTCAGATACATTAACGCATTAAGAAAAGGAATAGTAAAAAGTGGGTGTGCAGGTGAGCTGAACTGTTGGGACACGTGAAGAGCTGTGAGTAAGTTTCAGACCGAACGGATGATTTAATCTCGAAATATGTGGTTAGGAAGCCTAAAAGAAAAGAGTTTTTGTGAAAAAAAAACGGTTATTTCGCCATCGACTTCATACATTTCCAGATCAGATAGTTCAATCGGTCTGAAACGTTAACCCAAAACACTTCAATCCATGTGTCTAACTGTCGGAAAGTCTGGGCTCGTCCCTCGCGCACACACTTTATTCCTTTTTCAGAATGGAACGGCAAAACGAATTTCAGAATTCTTCCCGGAAAGTGTTCGAAGTAAAGTGATTCTCAGAAAACCGAAAAAACCAACAAACAACAGAATTCTTTTCAATTCTCAAATTGTGCGGGAAAGTCACAAGTGTTTTCCCTCTCACTTTTTCCATTTATTTTCTCGCCCTGTTCTCCAGCTACTTCCCATTTTTCAGTCACTTCAGCCCATATTTTCAATTGCTCTCTTCCTTATGAGTCGGCCGCCCATTTATTTCCAGTCAAATGGTTCTTCTTCTTCTTCTTCCAAATGCCCGTGTGGCGCGAGTGCAAATCTGATTATCAGTGCCACGTCATCAGCGTCTTTCTGTTTCTCAAAGTGCGAACATGGCCTCAATTCAATTGTTTCGCCCGTCGTCGTCTTTCCGCGGCTTCTCGCCTCCCCAAAGAGTCGTGTGTGTCGTCTTATTTTGCAGAATTCCGAATCTTCGTTGTTTTGTGCTCCGTCTTCATTGTCGCAACAACACTGGCCTTCCTTCCTTCCCCTTCCTCTTCATTTTTTGTTCTCTTCTTCTTCTTCTGCCACACGACATCACACAATTGACCCATCCGTCGTCGTGCCCCCCTCTTTCCATGTCAAACTCCCGAGCACAAATTTTTATTAGTTAGAGCCCCCTCGACGAAAAATTCGCTTCATTTTCTTCACCAAATGTTTCGATTTGGCGCTGCCTCAACACATTTGCACTTGAGGCACGTGCTTCTATCCTCGCCTCAAAAACTTCATTAAACTCACAAAGTTTCAAAGTGAAAATGAAACGAGATGAGATGAGAGTACACTTTGATCCCTTAAATTCCTCTTCTTTTGACTTGCGATCCTTTTGGAACCGCTACAGTTGAGTGTTTCGAAATCACTGAAAAGTTCTGTGAGTGCTAACCTCGTCTACAGACGTCACACCCACCTAAATTTTATGCTCTTCCGTGACGCAAAGTCCGAAAAGAGAAGTGGACCGAATCGAGTCATCTTCGTGGCTGCTCATAAAACCTAGGCTCACATTCATTTTACGACTTTTCCCTACTTGCCTGGTTTCATCCGTCCTTCCCCCTTTTCGCATGGGACAAATAGGGGCGCCATCGGGCACCCGAATAAATCTTTTCATCCGGAGGAGCAGCCCCCCAACCTACTTTTTTCTACTTTTCGCCCGTTCGTAAGTAAGTCACTTGACCGCGTATGGCTTAGCAGAGCGCTTATCAACTCGACGGCCGTCCCTATTTGTCTTCTTCTTCTTCTTCTTCTTCTTTTTCCCTTTCCAATCGTTCTTTTTCTTACTTTTTGCGAACAGATTTGCAGAGCCGATACGGCGGTCCGCAGGGGCCTATTCGAAACGAGTTCATTTTGCATCAACATGTCACGCTACTGCCACACTTCTTCTGCCGCACAGCATCACGTTCAATCGACGTCTATGGCGACAAGCGCGACTAGTAATTCCGAAGATCCGAATGGTGAGGATCATCCGTTCATCTGTCCATTTTGTCATTCCAATGAGTCACTGCACCAAAGATCTGTTCTAAATACACTGTCAGAGGAAAAATAACCAATCGTTTCATTTCGTTCGAACCCTAAAAAAAAGACTAGTGATTCTTCTTGTGAATCTCTGAAAAACGTCAGTTACAGGCGGTCACTGTGCGTCTCCGTACCTTCGTCGTTTCCGTATTCCCAAACTGAACACGTATCGTCAACATTTGGAGGAAGACGAAGACGACGATGAGTGGTTCGAAATGCAAATAGCGAAGAAAGATCTGATTCGATTGAGAATGGTAAGCGGGGGGTTTACCAACTGAAACTGAACTAATCTTCAGAACGAAATGAAAAACAGTCGGCTGAAGGATCGGACGAACAATAACAATAGCACTAGCCATAACAACTGCAAAAGTTCATCCACGAACCATGCACAACAGCAGAACAGTGAACGTTCAGATGACGTCGAGTCTCGGTACGATTTCATGCAATTAATCCTTCGGTGGACGGGGATGTCACCCTCTCTCTCTCTCTCTCTCTCTCTCTGTCTCTCTCTCTCTCTTTCTTTCCATTTCTCTCACTTTCATCACAAGTTCATATTGCAGTAATGGCAACAGATGCCCGGCGGCCGAGGAGAACAGCGAAGAGATTGGCGAGACGGAGGCGACTATGCGAAGTCTCTGGTTCCATCCCAAACATCTTTTTGCTCCGTCGCCGACGAAAACGAAAACAGCTTCTGCGGCGAATTCGTGAATTCGTTCTCACGCCCTTTCTGTCCCTCACCTGACCAACTCAGAACACTTGGAATAAGTGAAAACAATCTCACTTTTCAATCTCTCTCTCTCTCTCTATCTATCTCTCTCTTTCTCTTTCTTTTGGCCATACGAATAAACTCGTATTTCATCTGAATCTGTTCTCCGGTATACCTGTTACTATTTCTTCTTCTTCAAAACAAATGATTAGACTGGAAGACTGGAACGAAATGGAATAGAACACAGACAGACAGACACTGATCCGGCAAACAAGAAGATACGAGAAGCTTCTTCTTTTTCTTTCCCTCTTCCCTTTCTCAAGACTCTCAATCACTTTTTCATGCGTTTCCAACACAACAATCTTTCCGATTATTTGCTCAAAGTGACCCATGTTCCCGTGTTGTTTACCTCCAAAAACTGTCTGTGAATGACCTCCAGTTAGACCTTCCCTCGCCACCGTTTTTCAGTAATCTTTGCACTGTTTTTATTTTTATACATATTTTTATGTTTCGAGTGTCATTTTTGTCATCATCTGCCGCGAAAAAAACCTATAAATTTTCCGCTCAATTTCTGACCTGAAACTCCGTTATCAATTTAATCCAGTCGAGCCGCTCCGCCATCACTCCCAACTTTATCATTTCTCATTCTATCGAAACAGTTCAGATTGTGTAATTAATTACGAGAGAGTGCGCTATAAAGTACTCCTTCGGATGGTCTGAACAAGAATGCATCCGTCGGCTGACTTTGACTCGGGCTCCCTCAAATCTTTCACAGTCTCCAGTTCACAGTAAGTTACCATCGTCCTCTTTCTGTTTCGATTCTCATCATTTAGCACCAATTTGGATACCCGCAAATCCAACTGGACTTCATTATGGTTTGCCAATCTGATACAGTACTTCTGTGGCCTTCAGATGTCGCTTTACTTCACCTCCATGTGGCCGTATCTTCTGAAAGTGAGCATTTCTCCAAGTCTTCCAATGAACTTCTGAAGTTTCAGTTAGATCCAACAGCCGAGCTTCCCTTCTTCGGCATCATCCTCGCCAGTTTTAGCATAGGTCAAGCGGTCGGATCTCCAATTTTCGGCACGTGGACCCAGAAGACAGAGTCGTTCAAAGTGCCAGTTGCCACCGGACTCGTCTTTTGTTGCATAGGTAAGAAGTTCTGTGAATGATCATATAACAATGAAAAAGTATTGCAGGAAACATTCTCTACGGCATTTTGCCAACAATTAACTGGGAAGTTCAATGGTTGATGCTGATTTCGCGAGTGCTAATCGGATTCGGAGCAGGAAACCTGTCTGCTCTCCGAGCTTATGTGGCTGCAAGTTCGACTTTGGAGGACAGGAATACGGCTGTGTCTCTGGCCACAGGCAGTCAGGTCACTGGAATGCTCACCGGCCCGATTCTGCAGGTGAGAGGAGAGGAAAAAGAAAAAAAACATGCATGTTTTCTCATGATAAGAAGTACTTTCAATCTGATGTTTACCAACTGGACTGTTTTCCCTTCCACTTTCCAGACGGCCTTTGCATTCATCGGAGATGGTGTTCGTGTCTTCAACGCCATCGACTTGGACGCCTACACCTCGCCCGCGTTTGTCATGGCCATCGTGCTCGCGGTCATGTCTGTCATGATCTTCTTCTATTTCTCCGAAGAATACGCCGGAGTCATAGACGAGAAGAAGCCGGACTCGGACGTCGTGATTCCTCCGTTTGACCGTCGCGCGGCGATTGCCTGCATTTACCTGTGGTTCGTCATCCAAACGATCGCCGTCAACATCGAATCGCTGTGCTCCGTCTTCACAATCGCCATGTACAACTGGACTTCGCACCAGGCCATCGTGTACGGAGGCTACATCGAAACGTGCTCGTGTGCTCTTTCCGTATCTCAATATCTTCTGATCGGATTGACACGGATCGGCAAAATGTGAGTTTGTCGTTACAATTTTTTAAAAAGACTTTTGACTCGTGAATTTGTTCAGTGACAAACGAATCCAAATTCTGTTTGGATGCATTGTTTTCTCTATTTATTACGTCGTCCTTCTGCCCTGGCCGTTCTACTCGGAAAGTCTTCTTTACAATCCAAACGGTAATCGCATCGCATATTGCATGCTCCAGAATCCAATATTTTTCAGTGACCGACGGTGCTTGCACTTACGAATGGTGTCAATACGTTCCAAAGTGAGACTCATCTACCTTACCACGTTAAACGAGTGATTTCAGAATCCCTTTCATCGCCTACATTCTCGTCTACGTTCTCTGCTTCGGAATTGCCTTTCCGTACATTGGAAACTCTATCGGAACGCTCTTTTCGGAAGTGCTCGGACCCCGCCAACAGGGCACAATGCAAGGAGTTTTCGCCTTTTTCGGAAGCGTCGGAAGGTGTCTGGCTCCATTGGTTACAACGTCAGTCACATCCCATTCTCCGCCCAAATACCTCATATTTCATTTTCAGGTTCTTCTTCAACTCTTCGGGATACACATGGGTCAGTGTGGAGATGCTCTCCTTCCTCGTCCTCGGCGCCGTTTCCACGTGTTTCTTCTGGAAACGAATGGTTCCTCTTCAGCTGATTCAAGTGGACAAGGAGAGTATCACAAACAACAATCAGAAAGTGTGATGACATTGCGCATTCCTCCCTACTTTTCACTTAATTTGTCATTGTTCCGGGTATTTTCCACTCATCGCAGCGACTTTTACTATGACATATAATGAACAGAGGTTGCTTTATGATTGTCATCAGTGTTGCATCATCGAGGCAATCTGACGAGAGTTTCCAGTGAGAAACGCGGTGACTAGCACGTGGGATCGACCACGAATTCAAAGAATTGACGCTTCTGAAAGATGCTTCAAAAATTCTTACAAGAAGAAGCTAGCGAGAAGAACACGTAAATACGTCCAAAGCGTCTTATTTTCTTAAATTCGAATGTGTAACGTGACCACCAGAAATGGGGCGCTTGCCTTAAAATTCTCCCCAAAGTTTATGCGTTTTATTAGTTACGTAAAGTTAAATTCAAACAGTGTGTTAAGCAACCGAATATCGAACGTGTCCTCGTGTTCCCTTTGTTGAAATCGCTCGTCTGTTAAAGTTGTCGATCGTTTCGTGGTCCTGCAAAACATAACTTTTTAGAATTTTAAATTGCAAAGTAGCTCACTTTTCCAGCAGTTTCCGGGAACTTTTTCGAGTAATTATAGCATATTTTGACGGCGATCACTAGAAAAGCGACGCAAATGGCGCAGATGATGCCGGCGAGTATCCAATCCCTGGAAATTGGTGAAAGATGGATTAGTCTGCGTTGGAGCGGAGAAAAAGAAACGCTCACAACTTTCCATTCGGCTCTTCCTCGCCTTCTTGTCCTTTGTTCAGCACGATGTCAGTTAGTTTGTCCATTCGCGACGATTCCTCGGAGTTGGCAACTCGGAAGATGTGCGGCGAGTGAATGAGATCCGAGTAGTGGGCACGATGTCTGGTCGTCAGAGCGGCTGGAATATGGGGGAACTCTTCGGCTGCTTTCTCACGCTCCGTTCATGAAAACAATCATTCGTGTTGGCTGCTCTCCCCGCACCCGTGAAAAGGAATATTCTTACGACAAGCGTTGTAGGATCGGCTCAATTTCATTACACCATAATTTTTTTGTTTTCCATCGTTCAATTCAAGTCAACCATATTTCTAAATGGGGTTCTGGCTCTGGTCTGGTCCTTTTAGCTTAATGCCTTAAGATAGGGGATTCAAATTTCAAATGTACCCGTCCCTACTCACATGAGTTAATCTGTCCGAAAGATGTGGAAGTCATTGATTGAAAATAGAGCAGAAGAGAATGGCTGATATTATGTGTATTATCTGTGAGAGAAGCTCAACATAAATTCGAATTGAATCACCCCGCCCCCTTTTTGGTTGTCAGTGACAACGTGGGAAACTGAAAATGGGAAGTCTGGAAACAAGGCGAGGGAAAACGGGGAAAAGGGGCCTTCTGCTTGTGAATAAACGCAATTTGATGGTGTCTCGAGGAGAAAGAAAAAGGGAGAGAGCACTATAAACGGACGGCTCGAAACAACATGATGTGTGCTCATTCCACTCCCCTTTTCGGCTTCTGACCCCCGACTGAGAACACAAGTGTCATCGGAGTGAAACCCGCCAAAAAACGAAGTAAGATCAGCCGTAATCCGTTCCTTTTTTGTGTCAATTTTTAAAACGGAAAACAGAAGCGGTAAAGCGGAGGAAGAAGCCATTAAAAATGGGAAAATTGAAGTCGGTACAAGTGCTTCTTCCTGCTTCCGTCCCTTTTCGAATATAAATCTGAAAGGAGGGGATGAGCCGTCCGCATGCCTGAATTATGCATACTTTTGTCAACGAAAATGTATTACATCCGGACGTATTACTTTGGCTATGAAAAGAGGAAAAAGGCAGAAACAAGACAACAAGACGAGGGCAGATGAGCTCGCGAGAGCACTACGTGAGAACCTTGGAATGCGAGCCTCATTGCCTCAATCAGGCGCACTTGTACTTGCTTACATAGAATGTTAATTTCAGATTTATGCGCAGTGTGTGAAAGAAATAGGTGGGCGAAGGAGCAGAGATAATTCAAAATAATACACGAATAGGGAAAACAGAAAGGCACTATAACAGCGGGGGGGGGGAGGGGGGCACAGTCACCGATAAGTACGAAAGACGAGAGATAAGATAGTCGAAAATGAGCATGAGATGGCAAGCTGAACGGGAAAAGGCTTGCTGGGAAGCTACACGAGAAGAGGTGGGGAACGGAAAGGGAGGAGGTATCAGTGAGGGGGAGAATTGAGTCTACCAACTAGAAACCCGGAACAACTAGATGTCTATTTCGACGGTCATCGTGACTACTCGAAGTTGTTGTTCGACTCCAACGGAAGATCGAACATCATGAAGTTGAGCCTGCAGAAAAGTAGTTTAGAGGAAGCTAAACATCAATTGAAACTCACTTCTTTCTGTACTTCAGTGCGGGGTACAACGCGAGATAGGTCCTCGGAACCTGCCCTTTCTCTCCGTTCGCCTTCTTGCACGTCCACCAGTTCTTGTCGACTGCGTCCTTTTCGAGAACTGTCAGCTGGTCGCCCGCATCGAAACTGAGCTCGTCCTCGAGTTCCGCCTCATATCCGTACGCAGCGTACACTTTTCCTCCGTTGATTGTGCCCGTCGAGTTGTGCGCTGCCAGCAGGTACTTCAAGCACCCATCGTAGCCATCCTCATCCTCTTCACACTTCTCCACTGGAGTTTCCATATCTGAAAGAGTAGAGGCGAGCACGCATCCTCCTCCTTCTACCAGCTGCCGGACCATCGGAAGATTGTTGCAGGAGGCAGCACAGTGCAGGGGAGTCCATCCGTCAGAGTCCTGAGCATTCACATCGGCATCGCTTTCTATCAGGAATCGAACGATTTCGTAATGGCCGGCACAGATTGCGTTGTGCAGCGCAGTGATTCCTTCGTCGTTGGCTTGGGAGACGTCGGCCAACTTCTTCGCACTGCTTCTGACGAGGTCCAGTTCTCCTTCGAGGGCCGCGTCGAGCAGAAGAGCCAGCGGATCAAACTCAATGCTTCCTTTGTTCATCTTCTCGTTCGGTCTTCTCAGAATTCCCTTCACAGTTCTCTTCTCCGGTGTCACTTCCATCTCGAGATTGTGTCCGTCGTCGGAGCGCGTCGAGCACGAGCTGGCGTCCTCTTCCGTCGTAGTATCACTACCCAGAGCCATCTGCTCAATTGACAGTTCCAAGTGAGCAGGAACTTCTTGTTTCTGCTCATTCACCGAACTTCCATCATCAGCAGACAATCCCAAAGCTTCGGACGTCGAAGATACAGGTTCCTCCTGCGAAGTTGGAAGCTGTGGAATAAAGTGCGAGCGTCCGCGACGTTGCTCATCGAGCAGTCTGTGAATCATTTCCGCTTCGGACATCGACGTTCCTTCCGAGGCTGCCCACGATCTTCTCTTCGTCGCTTTCAGTGAGTCCGATCTCAACGAAACCAGGTCGGTTTTTCCGCTGCGAAGACGTGACTCGTCGAGACTGTCTCCAAAAGATGTTGGCCTTTCAACGGACGGCGAATCTCTCGTCTGTAAACAGAAAGCAATAAGAAATGAAATAAAAGTGGGAGGAAAACGAATAATCAATGTGGTGATTGGATTCGAAAGATGGGTGAGTCATCGCTGACAAAATGTTGAATTCTTTACGTACCATGGTAGAAGAGTTGATTTTCTGTTCAAAAGTCGGTGGAGCAAATGTAATGAGGCACGGAGCGGCCTTCTGCGACGAAGACGGACTGCTCGGGTGCGGATCCTTCGGCGGGGAAGGGCTCAATTCGGCGTGCTGCTTGTCCTTGCTCGGCGCCAGATATGCGGGCTCGGCTGGGATCTTGGTCAGTCCGGAACCGTCGATGGAATCGTAGCTGCTGCAAAAAGAACAGATCATATAGTTGTTGCATCGTAAACAACGCAATATTTCATGCGCGTTTGCTGTTTCACAGGATTTGATAAGATATACGAAAAGGGGTTCGCTGCCCAAATTTCAACCGGTTTTAGACCAGAAAACAACAAAATTGCGACAAGTACACAAGTCCAAATCTACCCTCTCCCAGACGAAAAAAACCAGTTTTTGAGTGAGTAAGCGATAGGAGAATCGGTTTCAAAGAAACGATAACTTTTCGTTAATTGAAATGTAACGAGTGTCACCACTCAACTATATTGTTCTCGACGATCTCTGCAACTGCTGCCATATGGTATCTCTTCACTATATTAGGTCCTACAGTAATCCCGTCTACTCACCTATCCAGGTCTCTTTTCTTCTCTCCAAACTCTTCCGATTTCACCAGCTGTGGAGAATGTTGTTGCTGAGTGTTGACAACCTGGAACGGCTCGACGGATGCTCGCGGGCGCACCACTTCTGGAGGCGCCGCCTGATTCTGATTCGCTGCTCTCGCCAATACCGTCTGTTGTTGCTGCATCTTTCGTTGCTCAACAAGAGCCGCAGCGGCCGCAGTTTGTCGTCTTCTGTACATTTCTTCCAGCTGAAACATTTCATAAAATGATGTGTGCTAAGAAATTCATTTATTCTTACATGTCGATTTAATGATTGTGCCCTCATCGACGCATTCCTCAACTCGAATTGAGCGTCTTTTAGCGTTGAGCTCTGCGCCGTCAGTTCCCTTTCCCTTCCGTGATTCTTGTCGCGGAGCTGCGTCGTCTCGTGCTCCAGTTCCCTGAGCCTTCGCAGTTCTGTCTCTTCGTCGGCGACTTGCCGTCGTACTGCACGCACTCGTTGCACCATCTCCGCAGATTGTGGTTTCACCCCGTAATCGGTGGTGGTTTCAGAAGTACTGAAAAGAGGAAAGCCGAATAAATGAATTCTCACGTCAAAACTCACGTCTGAAACTGTGAATTTACTGGAGTGTTTCGTTTGATTTGCGAAGAAGCCATCTGCGTTGGCTGTACCTGCATCGTCGGAATGACATGCTGTCTCGAAGGGGGCGCCGAGAACATCATCGGATTCTGATGATACGAAGGCTGATACTGATGATGGGACGACGTCTGAGACTGCGGCGGTTGAGCGACCACCCGAACCGGCGGTTTCGACATCTGCAAAACGGAGCGGTTGTTGAGGCGGTTGGTTGATTCATCAGAAAAGGGACTGGAACGAAGGACACACGTCTTCTTTCCGACGACTACGAAGGCTACTGATAAATTGATATCAGAAGGTCAAAAAGGAGGCGGACGCGCATTCCGATGATGATAAAGTGGAAACACTATTGGTAGAGTGCGAGGACAGCATGAGCAGCTGCCAACTTCCACTATGTCTTCCGGACTAATAAATCAGAGGGGAACACGGAGGGAGAGCACATGTGTATTAGTTCCGAAAAATGAGAAATGTTATGAGCACAACGGATCAATATGTGTGAAAAAAGGTATCAAAGGGAGTGCGTGTGTCTCAAAAGTTTTCTTGTCAATCACAGGCGCATCTGTCCGGAGTGACAAGTATGAAGGAATGAAAAACGAAGAAGAGAAGAAGTTTCGAAAACGCGCACGAGGGGCGGAGTCAACTGGGTTCTCGGAAAAACAGCTAGAAAATTTGAAGAGAAAGAAAAGGAAGAGGAAGAGATCTTGTGATAAGTTTAGGTGATAATGAAGATGGAGATGGCGGTGACAGACGATGAAAGTGAACTTTTACGATCACTCTCTCCTTCTCTTCCTAATAAATTTGTCGTTTTCAGTTTAAGTGGCATCTTTTTCGACTGTTACGTCAGTGCGGTGAACAAGAAGAGGACATTCGGACGGAACAAATTCATCTGAACTAGGGCACACCGAACGATCGTTTCTTCGACACGCTTCATCACCTCCAGAGGGTAGCGTCTTGCGTAATCGGAGGAGGCAGAAGAAGCGATGCAAAATACCCCTAGCAGTTTTATTATTTCCTCTTCCTCTCCTCCACCACATGCGCATATCTATCTATTTCCTATCGTTTGTGGACTGGCGCGTAGCAGCAGCCAGCATCAGCAAAAGCAACAGGTTTACGAACAGTGTGAGGCGATTGGAGGAAGCGAGGAAAAGCCGAGTGTGTGTTTATATCTAATCAAATTAGTTCGAAACTGAAATCCGATTGGCAGACAGCCCGACAGACTACTCGGTGATCGATTTGGCCTCTTGACGGCGCCTTCCGCTGAATCGGGGTCGAGCCGCAAAAAAGACAAGAGGGAAATGACCGAAAGAGTCAAAAAAGATTGCGCGAAGCGATAGACGCATGAAAGACCTTCCCCCGCCATCATCGTTTTTTTGGCGTTGTTTCGGGACGTCTTCTCGTGCAACCACCATTATGTATTACTAAGAAAAGAGCGATGTAGGACAACTTCTTAGTAAACACTTGGCATTTTAATAGAAGAAAAGTAGTTCGGCTAAAATGATCGATCGATAATTGACTGCCAACGTGCGAGTGCCGCGCGGGTATTGCCGGGTTGGTGCGAGCCGCCGACGGGACGAAACGCGTAAAAAACAGTCGGTGAGCGCGGAACGCGGCACAAATATCGTCTCCGCCGTGCGCGAGCTTGCGGCAAACGGCTCACTAGACAATCAAAACAAAAAACAGTGAGAGCCAGGATGGGGGGGAGGGATGCCGGGCGGCGCACTCAAGAAATCGAGATCCATATTGCGAGAAAAAGCACTAGGAGGGATATAGTGGATGCGCGAAGAGAAAGAGCAAAAAGATCAACTTGGAGCATGGAGGCAATGGGCCTTGAAGAGAAAGAGGGCAAGGAAGGGTTGAAACTATAAGAATCGTGCGGACGGCGGACAGATGCAATTATTGGATTCTGAACGTATAATCGTCTTATTGCATACTTCAGTACTAGGTTAATAGATCAACACTAAGAACTTCTTTCTTAGTAAGAAAATGTCAAGGTGAGGAAGCCACGTCATATATCTTCGTAGTAAACTGAACTAAATAGTGAGAATTCGTCATGGCAGATGACATTAGTGAATCACCGATTAAATTGCAGCAAAGAATAATTTGGCGACTAAAAGGAAAGCTTTGTTGGCAGAAAGTGAAGAAGCTTCATCACTTTGCAGCGCAAAAACTCAGCAGGAGGTCTACGAGGAACAAGTCCGAACAAGCAAAGTGGGTGGATGCGTGGGGGCACGCCGATAGTCGGGCGTTCTGTTCGAAATCCCGAAAGTGAAACATGTCGTAAAATCGTTGTGCTGGCTGGCTGGATACATCGCCTCGACGACATCTCTCCTTCACCCAAATTGATAGTATTGTTGGCGGGGATCACTTTCGCGCATGTGACATTACGTGGCGTAAAGGATAAAGAAGACAATTCAATTATTCCGTGTTGTTCGGTTGAAAGCTAAAAGCATTGACGAGAAAAGAAAGAAAAGCTAACATCACAGTCGACTTTAAGCTTGGTTTCGCATCAAATCGCATACCAAACCAAGCGATTCGGACAGCGATTGTGTGTCGAATTATAAGACGGATTCAACGGATTCAACTGGTTACTCTTGTTGATTCGACGGAAGATAGACTTAGAGTCGTAGAACACGAAGCGATATGAGCGTAATTGCACTTAGAAGCCGAAACTTCGGCGGTTTTATGTTACCATCTGGCTCCTCCTGCCAGAAAGCTAGGGAAAGGTCGAGTTACTCGACGAAAACAAATAATTTTGAAGTAATGATATCACAAGTCAAGTCTATTGGAAAGTGGACCACCGGAAACGGAAGGAACATCCGAAACAACATTAGAGAACTTTCGCCGAATGGCCAGCGGTCATTTGATCAATGGGGGAAGAGGCTCATAAAAGACGGCGGGGGGAAGACGAGAGTAACTAATCTGTTAGTGATCATCAATTTTGATTGTATAACATCTCGCATACTGGTTACGAAAGAAGACACGAAAGAAGATTTACGAAACATCGAAGATTTGCATTGTACAATTTCAGAAGCTTTCTTCACACGTATCATTATGCATAATGAGTAGAAGAAAAAGAGGGCGACAGTCTCGATTACACAGCAGAAATAAAAACTACAACTTCAAAGTGTCGGCATTATGCGACGGCGGGAATACGAGGAGGATGGAGTAGAAGAAGAAAAAGAAGAAGCAGGAGGAAAACGCACACACACACACACACACACATGTGTTCACTCTCACGATTGCGCAATTAATTTAGTTGTAATACGCGCAGCAAGACGATGATGAGACTATGGAGAAGAAGAAGAAGGCGGGACGAGAAGGGAAATGGAGGGAAGCAAAATTTAATCGAAGATTAATTAGTTGTCTAGTTTCGCTCTTTTCTACTCGTGTCACTTCTGTCTTTGATCAAACAGAGACAAACATTGACACAGTCTAGGTGGTCTGGCGTGGGTACGAATTGGAAGGAGCGAAGACGATGAAAAAAGGGAGACAAGTGGTCGGAAGACGGACGAGGGAAGGGCGGGGATCCCGAAAGCTTGAATGATAAATCGAGGTTAATCGGCGACGCGACGCACGCTGTGCCTCTAGCCGTCTGCGCCATCTTTTAGCAAAGGTCAGTCTGCACAGAAAATTGTTTCAATTCGAAGCGGAGAACGCCAATTGGCATGTCTTCTTTTCATTCGGCCGCTTCAAATGAGTGCTCCGCTATCAGTGAAATTTGATTAGTGGCAGGGGACTACTATGCGACAGCGGTGGCACTGCCAGAGAACCGGCGATTTGATTGGTCAGGAGATCACGAACTCTTTCGGAAGGGGACATTGAGAATACGCTTAACCTACTGCCCCCAAGACAGACTTTTGTCGGGTCAGCGGAAGTTACTCATTTTCACAGTAACTTCTTGTTTACTTGTTTGAAAATACAAAGTTGTACAATTACGAAGGGAATTCAACTAGCCCATTAAACCCGATCGCTCTCCAATTTGCAAAAAGTTTAGCACTCTCACGTACAACTGATAAGCGTTAGGCAGGAATGCGTTCTGACCTTTACCTTCAACCAAGGAAGTAGAGAAATTCATCGACTCAGTTTCAAGTCAACAGCCTTTTCTTCAGTCATCTCTGATGCATTCCTATCCGTTTGCGATCTTCCAACCCAGTCAAACTTACACTCTTCGACCGCCCAGACCCGATTTTCTCCATGTTTATCATAGTGTCATCTGATTTCTGACCAGAGGATTCAACGTGACACTTCGTCAGTGTTCTTACTTTTCCTAAAAAAGAAATGATCGCGGCGAGTGCGATCGAAAACGGACCGGGGAGAAAAAATTCAAAGAATTCCGCAGGAACTACAAATTATCACAAGCAATCTATGAAAGGGATAGCTGACGAAGCGAAATGAAAAAAGAACGAGAGATGCAAAGATTTCCGCTATCGAGTTTCCTTCCTTTCTTGCCGTGGCATTCAGTAGACGGCGAGGCGGTACGGGTTTGGGGCGCACGCGGACGTTCCGCGCGGAAAAAGGAAACTCACCCTGTTGATTGTGGGGGCGGCGGAGACGAACGGAGCACTCGTCGACGGGATTGTCGTCACGTGGGACGACTTTTTGGCCGACAAGGAAGACGCCGGACGGTAGGACGGCAGCGATGTCATAACAGTTCGGACGGAATCTGACGAGTGAATCAGAGACACCTGGAATCAGAAGAGAAAGTGTCACAAGTTCGGGGGCAATCAGCCAGTTCCCAATTTAGAAATGTGAAACGGCGGTGGTTTGGAACTAACCGGTGCTACGCCGTTTTTGTTGTAGGATCCTCCTCCTCCGCTGGTCGTGACCATAGTTGAGAATCGTAGTCTGGAAATGAGATACTCTTGAGAAAGGCGGCCAAGATTTCAGGCAATTTGAGGCGAAAATATGAGGCAATTGGTGGAAAAGGGGAAAAAGTAGCGTGGCAGATGTTTATCGGATGGTCAACAGAACTTCCAAAGCGATTCATAAACAAATAATTCGAATCTTTTCAGAAACAATTAATCGTATTTTCTTGCCACCCTTTTAGGACGACGTCGTCTTATCAGTAAAGGTAGTAAACGTATAGCTTACAACACATTTTCCCATCAAAATGTGTGTTGGATTCCTGTTGATAACAATTGATAGTATGCAAAAGAGGACGAGCAGAAAGCTGAGGGACCCGTAGGAGTGATGAGGCGCACGCGCGCATGTTGGTTCGAAAGATGACGACGAGCCAATGCAAACACAACCTCAGAACGGGGTCGACTCGCTCCCCCAATTTTATCACCATAACTGTTTGCTCGTCGTCGGTCGGCGTCCCTCTCAATCGGGGGAAGTACCATCATGTCGGAGGACTTGGCACGATGCCAACTTGAAAAAGAGAGAGATAGAGAAGAAGAGAACGGACAGCAGCCTTGAAACGGATCACAAGTTGATATATGAGCGAAGGCGAACAGTACCGGTGCTAATATGGTCAGTAAGAAGTGTAAAGTTGCGGAATGCGTCCGTCAATTTCTTGGTGATCAATGTGGGTGAATAGGGAAGCGGCCAGAAGTGCATGAATAGAGGAGGTCCACTTGAAATAATTCCGAAAGTGGCCTATTCAGTCGAGAATTGGGCGCTTCGACGACAAGCACGGAAGAGGGGGAAAACTCAATTTGGGCGTCCTTCCCTTGTCACTAGACCCTGACTTTTCGGTTCACCGCGGACAGATGACGGGCTCGGAACGAAATTTTTTTTCGAGCAAAAAAAGTGGCAAAGAGAATTGGGCAGATCAAGTTTGGGAAGCAAAAAGCAGTGCACTGCCTTGCGAGCAGCAGTGTTTTGTTCGGCACAGAGCGAACCAGAAGAGAAGCTGCTTCTTCCCGCACATTTCGATTGTTTGAAGTGGCGAGTGCACTTTCGATGCCCCCGGTCCTGCACATCGATTGTTTTCTCTTTCTCGCACTATAATACAGGAGCCCCGGGTAAGGGGATGAAGCGCATTAGTGTGAACATTTGGAGAGAGAAATCGAAATCGGCGCACACACATAAATAGAAAACAGAGAGAAGCGGACAGACGTCTGAACGGTCCGTTTGACCGTTCATTCGGCGTACGTGTGTCTACAGGAATGGGAGGAAAAGGTGAGCACGGGAACATGGGTGAGGGCAGACGGCGAGACGGGGGAGAAGCAGACGGCAAAAGGGAGCGAGGCAGCGGGATGATCAGAGAGACGGAGAGCATAATCGGTTGGGTTGTGTACAGGAGACGGAAGGATATTGGGAGAGAATGGAAGGTCGGAGCGAACGACCGTTATTCTAATGAGACGGTGCGTGTAGGGAGGAGACGCAGCGGCCAGAGACAAAATATGAAATAAGAAGTACGTCATTCATTTAGGATCGGATCGGCGGAAGTGAGATTGTTATCGAAATGAACCATCAGCCACAAGAACTCAGGCTTCCAAAAATTAAACAAACACTTGTCTGCGTCTGCTGATTGCTTCTTTTCTCTTTTTCGGAGAGTCGCGCGCCACAGAAAATTTCCACAGAAAGCTCATCGCTTTGCCCCACAAAGGTGCGGACACGTTTCGTTTCGCACCGAAGAAGAAGAAAAAGAAGCACCAAGAAAGAGAACAGTGTTTGTTTTTCAGCTATTGTTGGCGTCACGCGCAGAAAAAAATCAGCTGGACAGATGAGCGCAAAGACGGCTGGAAACAATGCGAAAAGCGTGCGAGAAATTTCAATTTTCCAAATTAGCGGCGCAAATAATTAGCGAAAGGGCGCGCTTGCAACATTTCGCATTTGACGCCAATTTAGTGACGGAAATTAGAGAATACCGTCCTAATTCGTAAAGTACTTTTCTGAGTACGATTGGAAAAATTCTGGAAAAAAATTGGATGGCTTAGTAAAAAGCAATCTCAAAACAAAAAATTACAAGTCGCTTGTCATGACTCACATTACTGTTGGCACTGGGAACAAATGGAGAGTATTAGATCTTTGTTATTGTTGTTTGGACGATTCAAAATGGGACACTGAAATGGAAAAAAAAACAGGAATTCAAGTCGAAAGGACGAAATCACAAATCAAAGACAGGTCGTCGTCCATCTAATTAGCAGAAACAAACACAACTTCTTCTCTTCTCTTCCCCTCTCTCTCTCTTTCCGATTCCAATGCAGAAGACATCAATCGATGTCCTCTTTCCCTTTTCTTTATCTTTTTTTCCTCTTTTCTCACCTCCCCTCGCTCTCGGAAAGCTCGGCGTTCCTTGACATTACCACCACTTACCAAGCCGTCGAATACGGTATCGCCACCGATCAGCACCAGCAATGTTTGGCGTGGAAGCTGTGGTGGAAGACGCAGAATTCGGTGAAGGATCCGTCGACGGCCGACATCGATTTGCTGGCGATCAGACGGGCGGAAGTATGGGTGCGCAACGATCACGACGCGGTGAAGTACGGGGTGCCAGTCGAGTTACTCGCAAACTTCTCAGTTAGTGAAACAGAATCGGATTGAAAGTGTTGGAATTGTTTGCAGACAATCCGGATCGTTTTCAAGAATGTTTGCCGTCTTCTGCCGCGTGTCCTTCAGATATCCTCGCCTCTGGCCGCACGTAGAAGCCGAATCAATCTCGACGTCTTCTGTAAGACGTACAATTATTCGGATCCAGAAGCCAGTGAACTCGTTCTCGCCAACTACGAAGAGGCGCAAACGAACGGCATCGGCATAGATCAATTTCTTTTTCTCGACCATCACTCGGTGACGATAGTGATGCCGTCCGCGTGTATTTCGAGTGAGAACGACGAGAAAGAGATTGCCAAGCAGTATTATATTGGTGATTCGGAAAAGGGAATCTCTTTTTGTATACTGATAACTTCAGAAAAGTATGGAGACTTCTCATTCAACGTCAGTAATCTGAACATTGAAATGGACAAACTGCACGAGATGGTTCACGACTTGAAACCGTTGGACGAGATTATGCAGTGAGTCATTCAGAATACATTCTCGTCACATTTATTTTTTGAGTGAACATTTGGAACTTGACTATCAGCGCCCCCTCCCCTCTTCCACAATCCTTCCGTTTCTTCGCAAGATCCAATACGACGCTCGTCAGCCGCCGACACTCCACGTCAGTGATACGGTCACCGTCAAAGTGGGCATATCCGTACAGTCGATGAGTAACTTCGAGCTGTCCACAATGGTTTGACATCTCTCTTTGATCTGTTATTGTTACCCTTCAGGACTATGACCTGGACGCGTGGGTCCGGATGTCTTGGATCGACCCTCGGCTCCGTCACGATCTCTCCCGTCCGATTCTCGTCAACGACTACACTTTTCTCAAAATGATTTGGAGACCCGATCCAATATTCACCAACTCCAAGTATTCCACTTTCCACAAAGTCACTTACCTCAACTTCTATCTGTTCATCTTCCCCGACGGAAAGATCTTCATGGACATAAGGGTGTACCTAAAGCCGACGGCAGCTCAAATTGTGCTTTGCAAATATCCTCACGACAATCCGGCAGTTTCACTCAAAATCAGTTCTAGTTAGTTTTCCTTTTATTACAAAAATGGAGCATTCTTTCAGTGGGTTTCACTCAAGACGTCGTGAAGCTCGAGTGGTTTTCGGCGCATCACGATGCTATCCGAGTGAGCTTCGGCTTGAGTACGTCTCAGAAGTTTCCTGTTTCAGATAGAGAAGAACGTGAAGATTCCCGAGTTGACAATCCGTCATCTGCATCCGGATACGTGCAACGGGGTCCGCAAGTCGGGCGTCTACTCTTGTCTCGAAGCAAAGTTTTTCATGCATCGCGAGGTAGGATATCACATTGCGAACACTTATATTCCGACGGCGATCTGTGTCGTGTTCTCGTGGATTTCAGTATGGTTACCGGAAGAATTCGTGGAAGGTATCTAAATATGTGCACAAAACAGAGCAAAAAGCACGAGTCTTTGACAGGCCGAATATTCGTCTCGCTCACCGTGTTCCTCACGCTTTCCGCTGAAAACAACTCGGCGAAAGAGGAGCTGCCGAAAGTTTCGTATGTGAAAGCGATCGATATCTGGTTCGGGTTCACTTCCACTTTTGTGTTCCTCACTATGCTCCAGGCACTCGTCGTCATTTCTTTAGAGCACAATAGCAAACGACTCGTATGTTCTCATTCACTCTTTCTCACAATCAAACAATTTTCAGAAGAATAAAGTCGAGAAAAACCTTGACGGTTATAGTAAGTATCAAATGACAAAATCGATGCTTCTCAGCCGCTATTATCATCGAATGGCACGTCAGATTGACACACTTTGCAAAGTGAGAATATCACGCTCTACTCTAATTTCATTAAATTTCAGGTAATGTACCCAGTGATCTTCCTTCTCTTTCTCATGTTTTACTCGTTCGTCATCACTCAGGGCGACGAAAAGAAGTGCATTCAGAACTGATTTCAATGAAATTTTTATCGCTAACTTTTACGCACAAAATTAATATGAGGAGTTCATTTCTCCTTATAACAGGTGGAATTATATTTCGTTCTTGGAATCAAACGAACACTGAATTGAGCATTTGAACATTCATTGCCTCAGGACTTGCTGACGACAAGAGGCGTGGTTTTTCTGAAAACGTCTCAAACATGATAGCTACGAAAACGGTTTTGTGACCTGTTCCTCCAGAAAAAAGTGAATTTTCTGAATGGCGGAGAAGTTATAATGAGGACAATCACATTGATGGAAGCGTGCGAAGTGAACGCGACCAGAAGCCAGCGGGTGATCTTTTGTGCGTAGGTGAACTTTATAATAATCAGAAGAGCGAGGAGTCCTGGAGGAATAATCACAATGATTGAAGTGGCCAACTGAGCGATCAGACTGATCAATGCCATCCTTTGCTTTTTATAGTTAACCGCCGATGTTTTCGATCTCAATTTCAGCAGAGTGTCAAACATTCCTTTGGTCGTGAACGCGTAAACGGATATGGTGAACGAGGATCCGATCATTGTGATTATCGTTACGGCCACCCAATACGTATCCAATTCATACAGAGCAAAGTTTGTCAAACTCAGGAAACCTTGCTCATAATTGAGATATTCCTGAAATGAGACCATGTTGAAACCCTTTGGAAGTGTGCCAGTTACTCTTCGGATAAGATCCATTTCCTGTTCGTAATTCTTTCCGCACAAATACATAGAAACGGATACAGATATTAGTAGAGTAGTGAAAATGATAAAGAACGGAACCATCCGAAATCGTGATCTTCTGTTGAGCATTGCTTGGAAAGAAAAGTATTTTTTGAGAAAACAAAGGGCCAATGAAAGAACTGTAGACGAACAGATCACGATGGCAATTACCATCAAGTTGTGGCAGGATATTATGTTTCTGGTAGCTAGTATTCCGGTACAAAATCCACCTGGAATCGGAAAAAGAGGCTGCGGTTGCATTAGAAAAGTCATGTGGAAATCGACGAGAATGCAAATTAGCTGAAAAAAAAGACGAATGGATAACTAACGTATACACAACTTCCTCATCTTACCTGAAAACTGAGCAAGAAATATTTGAAGCTGTCGAGTTTGTCTGTTTTGAAAATGACTAAAAACAGTGCGTAAGAGTTGAGTACAATAGAAATTGTTCCGATTATGTGATAATAGTTCACGAGCCATGTGGAAGAGCCGAATTCAACCGGGGCATTCATGAATGACTATAAATTATGGCTAGGAGAGTGTTTGAGCTTCACTGAAAGAAGCGGTGGGCAGGTGAAAAAAATCATGAACGAAAAATCTTTAGCAAGTCGGAAATGTGTAGTACTCGGAAGATAAAGTTTGACTTTTTTCAGAAGAGCCGAAGAACAGCAGGATTTAGATTTGTCTTGAGTACGGGGCGAAAAAATGCTGAAGCTGTTATCAGTATCAAAGGTTTTGAGAAGCGACGCAGCCAAATCGGCAGAATTGGATCAACTTTATTAATTATTAATAATACGTACACCACAAGATACGAAAATCGCCTATCGCTTTCCGAACGGTCTGTTCATGTAACCCAACTTGGCTCCGGCCGGTTCCACTCCTCCGTACATGGATCCGCCGACCGAGTAGAGCGGAGTGTCGCCTTCTGATGAGTCGGGCAGCACGTGCAAATACTGTCCCATTCCCTGGAAAATACAAAGTTCATTCGTCTCCTCTTCAAGTGTTCTTTGCCAACAACTCACTTGCTTGTTTCCGTTGGCGGTCATCTCGACCATCGAATAGTAGGGACGGAGGATGCCGAGAAGGTCGGAATCTCCTCCTCCGACGAGGCCGCCGACCTGCGAATGAAGTAGATGTTTTCGACGGTTTTGATTGGTTGGCAAACAACAGAGAATCCGCTAATATTTCGAGAAAAATATGCTCAAACTTCCTGGATGTTCTCCGGTCAAGTTCGTGCAAAACATGCAATTATCAGGTAGTTTGGCAGACTGACACCGTATGTTCATCCCATATCATTCGTCCCCCACCCAAAACATATGGTGTAATTGACACCCAATCACTGAAGTGTGAGGTGCTCACCTCGTCCAGATCCTTCATTCCTTGCTCGCTGAAGCCGAAATTGTTGTTCTTGGTCACATCTTGCTCTCCGGATCCCGACAACGTGTGGACTCTTTTGTACTCGCGGGGAATGAACTTGTCCATCCATTCATTGTCCACCATCTTCATGAGGCTTTCGTTGTGGTTTCGGACGGACGTGCAACTGAATAATATTCAAGTGCGAGCATAGGAAGAAGAAGACTTACATGCGGAACTGGCGAGAATCCAAATCGAACAGATCAGGAGAAGCATATCGGCTAAGAAGGGAAGAATGATAGTGATAAGAGAAGGGTGACACCCCCATCGGTGTCCTCGTTTCCTTTCTCCTTCCATTCTCGTTTTCACCCCCGTCTGAACCTTGAACTGTCAAGCAGAACCGGATCCGATTCTCGATGAACTTCTTCTTCTTCTTCTTCTCTCTCCTTCTTCAAGAGAATCGCTTTCAGTGGGAAGGGTGGGAAGGTGTGAAGAATCGGAACGAAGCGAAACGAAAGGGAAGTGCTGTTTGCTCTTCGTTTTCTCACTATGCCAATGGAATGGCGGTGTCGCCCATCCGCCAAAGGTCTCCGTTTCTTCCTGTTCGTCCGAGCAGGTGTATGTCACCGCACCGACAATGGAATTAGTATTTTGTCGGGAAGAGTGACTGTGACAACCGGACGGCACCCAGTGAAATATGGGAAACGACGCCGTCGTGGAAACGCGTCGCTCGACACGTTTTTGCTCTTCCTCCCCTCTCGGCCTGAGCTGTGAACGTTGTTGCAGGGACACTTCAGTCTTTTTCAAGTTTGTTTGAGTTTATAATCAGTTTAGAATCAGTTTTCACACGGTCATTTGCTCATATGCATGTTGCCTCAACTATTGACTTTACCAGAATGGAGACATTGAAACGATCCAGACAAACAGTTTCGTTCTTCTTTTTCCTTTTCTCTGCTATGCTTTCTGCAACATTCACCGCAAAGATCAACATTCTTCTTCGCAAATCGGAAATTAGTTCCATCACAGGACGCCTTCAGAATCACGCGTCTTTTTCCTTCCCGCCCTGACTCATCTCCTCAAGCTTCCTACTTCGTTTTCCGAAATTTGTGCGGCTCCTCCGATCGGTTGGCATATCCAAATTGTCAATTAGGTTTCAAGTGTCTCCTCTTCCTTCTCCTTCCCTTTTTTTGATTTCAACCGCACTACCTCTCGCCTGTACCCTCGTTTGTCCGTCTTCCGCCGCCCCGCCTTCCCCCAGCCTATCCAATGATCGTGGGTGTGGGCGGAGCGTGGCGAGAGGCTGGGTTGCGAGGCGCACGGACACGCACACGGTGAACGATCCTCCACAAGCACTCATATAAGAGGTAAATGAGCTCTAAGAGATTCTCTCGGTTTACTTGAAGGGCCACTTTGGCCGTCTCTCCATGACTTTTCAAGTTTTTAACTTAAGTGAGTTTTGAGTAGTTTTCGGGACGGACGCCACTTCCCTCCGCATCCTTCACATTGCGCCCAACCCATCATCACCCGGGGCACTGGAGCAGTCTTCAGTGCCTGCCACAATGTTCGAAATACCCGGCCGTCCTACCTGCCTACTCCCAATTCTAGACACAAGTAGTGTTAAGCTAAGATACTTGAAAAGTCATGGTGAGTCTTCCCTTACATCTTCTTCTTCTTCTTCTCCTTCTTTTTGTTTTCTATTCTCAGTCTTAAACAAAACTTGCTGATTTTGTAGCATGTCCAGTGGCTCCTCCAGTTCTTCGACAAACGACTCAGCCCCCGATTCAGTGACGCCCACGTCGGAAACCTTCCAATCTCTTGCTCTGACCACTCCGTCATCCGCCACTGCTCACATGCCGTACTTTGGATTCCAGACGCAGCAGTACACGAACGACTTCTCCAGGTAACCCTTCCCTCTCGCCCGATCCTCTCTCAATCCTTCCGTTTCCAGTTACACTCCGTCAGCCGCCACCTACGCCGCTCCTTACCCACTCGCCACTCATTCGCAACTGGCCAACTGTAAGTTTTTGTCTCGAATTGAGATTTTCTCACTTTCCGTTCCTTCTTCTTCTTCTTCTTTTTCTTTTTCCTCGCTTGCTTCCCAATAATTACAGCCCGGTCAATTGAGTTGCGCGCGCGTGCTTTTCGTCGCCTTCGCAACAATTATTTCGTATTACTTTCTTGAGGGAGAGAGAGAGAGAGAGAAAGAGAAAGACGCCTAGATTCGGTTTATTATTATTATATAACACATATATAAAACACTCGTTGTTCCCCCTTATAATTGTCCCGAGAAAAAAGAGTTTGGTGTGATCTGGTCTGGCAGAAGAGTTACCGTAGTCTGACTTGAGTCACTTCTTTTTCCCACACCGGCTTCGCTTCCTTCCTGCAAAACATATATAATCCTTCCCTTTCCGAATGTTTGTCTTTCAAAAAAACTCGTCCTACAGTACCACACATTTAGCAATGAACAAGTTTGCCAACCAACCAACCCGCGCGTTTCCTTATTTTCCTCCTTTGTTGGACAACAAACACCTCACGGTTTGATAGCAATAAGGGCAATGAAGTTGCGTCGGAAGTGACGTAACATCAGTAATCTACAACACCTACTTCAAACCGTGGAAGAGTTGCGTGGGAGTAGGAACGGACTACTGTAGGGGGAGGAACATGTGACTGACTGACTGACTGACAAAACTGGTTGCCAAATTTGAGGCAGGGTCATTAAGGGACGAAGAAAAAAACTTCTGTAGATATACGGACAACCTATTTAGTTACCGCACAACGGGGAGCCACAAACCAATTGACGACCTGTGGTCCTCAGGTTAATATTTGCCCAATAAAACAGTTAGTGCGATTTTGTGTCGTCGTTGAGATCGGACAAGTGTTAGCACAAACACGCATGGTCCCTTCCCCTGTGTACTTTTACCATTGTTTTTCGGGGACAGGAAGGAAATGCCCAATTGGCTGTTTCCGTTGGTTCTCCCGGATTTTCGCGGATCCGCATAAGGGCAAATAGAGTGTTCATTTCAGTCAATCGCTTTGGACCAACAAATCAACTGAGTCTCTCCGGACTGGCCTCTCAGCAGAACCTCATGATAAATGGCATCGGACGACGGAAACGACGGGTGCTCTTCTCTCCGCAGCAAGTGAACGTGCTCGAGAATAAGTTCCGTAGCAACCGATATCTAAGCGCCGCCGACCGGGAGTCTCTCGCTCGCAGCATCAATTTGACGCCGACGCAGGTACTTCGTAATTCCAGCCAATTAATCTGTTTCATCTCGCTCTTATTCAGGTGAAAATCTGGTTCCAAAATCAGCGTTACAAGCACAAGAGACAGGAAAAAGAGAAGAAGATGGACGGAGGACGGTACCCGGACACTGACAGGGACAGCGATTCTGACGGAGGCAACGGGAGCCACGGATCGCTTGCCTGCTCTCCAGTGCTCATCAAGAAAGAAGACGACGACGAACGGAAGCCGGCGTACATCGGAACGACGGTGCCAGTCGACAACACGGCATGTCTACCTGATATTCCACCACAGACGTTCCCATATCAGGTTGGTTTTCATTTGAATCATGCACTGGAGGTAATCCAATCGGATTATCCACTTGAGGATCTTCAGCGCCAATCCAATTTGTCGGTGTCACCTGGCAGATGCTGCTGGCCCACTGATCTTTGAAGAGCCTCTTCTGCGCTCCCGCAGCTGTCCTTTCCCACTTGTGCTCATATTCCGTTTTCAGGTGTACCCGGCCAATGGATACATGCCCCAGTTCTTTGCCTATCCGACGCCTCCGTCCAGCTACACTCAGCAACCATACCTTCATCAATTTCAGGCCCTTTAGGCTTCAGCTTGAGCTTTAGTTTTTTCTTTTCAATTTCGTATTTCGAATGCTCAATTTCCCACTTCTTCTCCTGACAATGTTCTCTTCTTTTCGCCCCTTCCAATGAGCTTTTCCCCTCCTCTTCTTCCCCATCCCAAAACTAAACTGGTATCTATTTATGTACGTCGTTTTTTCTTTTTCTCTTCCCATTTGTTCTGTAAATCGAAAAAGTTTATCCATAATCTGTTCACAAATAAATGTTCGTCATGTCTCCCTCTCAACCACTCTTTTACCGTAATCATCAAAGTGAGAGTGCCATTCTCTTCCATTCATTCAACATGATGATGAACATGAAGAGGCGCATATTCTATAGAAAACGAAGGCGACGACGACGCGTCGTATATTGTTTTGTAGCAGCAGAAAACGGAGAGGTACTTGAAGAAACAGAAGGCGTCGAGGGCGAGCGCGACGACATCATCAGCCAGTAGCACCCGGCAGCACCCAGCAGCAGCAGTCTCTTCATTTCACACCTCCGATGTGCACAGCCGGATAATCCATGTCTTGATGACAGACAGGCGTGTGTTGCGTCACACCTGTATATACAAAGCTCCTGACTCGAGGCTCCTTTTCTTCTCGAAAAGGCACCTCCCTCTAATTACGAGATTGGGGGATACGCGTGAGGACGGCTAACTGCCCATTATAGGTCATCAAAGGTTACCGTAACGGACACAAAACTCGGAAGTGATGATGAATTCATAGTGGGTCTCGGTGTCAACGTCGGTGCCAGGCTCAACTGTTTGCTCATTGTGGACATACTTGTGCGTGACTATATACCGTATTCTTTCTTGCACACACCTGTAAAAGGCGCGGAGCTCAAGTGCTTTTCAGGAAGAATGCGCGAGTGTGGAACGGTGTGACCAGTGCACATTCGCTCGCAAAGGGACTGGACTCAACTGAAATCACTGGCAATTAGGAACCGCTTGCTCGCAGCCGATTGTCTCCTCCGGGTCTGTATGATAAGTGCATCGGCGGCGGCACCAAAAAAGGCGACCCGTTTAATAGACTAAGTGTGCGTTGACCTCTGGCGGTCCGATGCACATTATAGGGGAACAAGATGACATAAAAAAGGAAGAGCACTTACTTTGGAGGGCAGGATGAGCGCCCGCCGAACACATTAACCAGTGTGAGTCAATATTGTAATTGAGCTTCTTTTGTGATCAAAGCCTTTGGCAGAACGAGCGACAAAAAGGGAAGGGAACAGTAACTCATAGTTGCTCATCAATCTCTATCAACTTCTGACCGTCTGCCGTTCAATCCCCTCACAATCCATCATTATTTCCCTCAAAACAGTTCACACCTTCTCCTCGCCGTATGTTCTCTAAATTTGGACAGTATTCCCCACAATTAGAAAGAATCCTTCAAGTAATTTGTATGCACAACCTCCGTTTCTCTCTTCATTATCTAGGTGCCACTTGAGTTGTGCAATAGGTAAAATGTATCGAGTTGCAGAAGCCGACAGACGCATGATATCTTTGCCTGGAATCGGTTTGGCGTCAAGTGTTTGTGTTGTGCCGGACTACGGTAGAAGGTGAGCAGTTTGTGTGTAAAAGAGACGGAGGAGGAAGGGGGCTGAAGTGGTTCACATGCTTAATGGGATAAACGAGTAAGTGAGTCGGCGGATGAACTCAAAACACGTCGAAATTCTTGACTCCCAGAACTCGAGGGCCGTATGGCTCGTGTTGACGTGTCCTGACAAAAAGGTGTGACCGTCTGTCATAATGTTACAGTCGCACATGTTCCCAACAAATATGAATACTACTGTATGCAGGTGATCAACCACGGACCATTCATCTCGCCATTCATCGCACGGGGGACCTTCACTCATTCCAATTCACGATCCGATAGCATTTGCATACTCATTTGTTCTAACATTCGTTTCACTGAACACTGGTTGAGAGATAACGGCGGCTAAAAGGGACCGCGCCGGAACAAACCAATCTAGCTGATCTGCTCTGCGGAAATGCTCGATCTAGCCAGCCGAGTGTGTTGTTTCTAGACTAATCTCCTTGGCAAATACGTAGATCGGTGTCTTCCGTTTACCGCAAAGGAGATCCGTTCCATTCGCACCAGATCCGCTGCCTTTGTTAGTGAATAACTTTGCTTCTGGGATCAGGCGGTCGTTTTGATACGGCGGAAGCCAATATGACGTGGATTACTACTGGTTAGGGGGCAGGTGGACACGGTTTGACACTGATCAGCAACCGGATTTAGGGCAACAAGGGGAGGTTTTGAGCCAATTAAGGGAATTCAGAAATTTGGAATTCAAAACGGTTACGGTACAAATCCAATATTATCCGGTCAGTTCTATTTGCATCCCTATTACGCCATTCTCGATTGGAGCATGATTAATGACTACTTGTAGGGGTGACAATGTTTAAACATATTCATGGCAGTCGAGTTGACAAACTTACGTCAGAAGTGTGTGGGACAGTTCACTGAAATTGAATTCTTTCTCAAACAAGGCTACTGTGAAAGGGAACAGTTAATGAAGAACTACAGTAATAAGCTTAAAGACACAGTCTCATGTGTGAGCATGTGCAACCTGATATTGTCGGTCGGGCGGTTTTCTGTTCTCTCACAAATACTGTCAGTAGAGCATGTCCTTCTCAAAAGAGACCGCGATTTCACAGGCTTATTGTCGCGTTATCAGTGCGCCAAACCGAGCCGCGCAAACATTTATTGCATGCACACACAATCGAGAGACTTTGAGGCGAACGACTGTGAGAACGGAAAGGGATCAGGAATAGGAGCAGATTGACGGGAGGGGACAAATCCTTCTGTCGGATTGCGAAAGACGTTTTCTTTGCGGCTGCGCTCAAGAGCTCGGCTCCGGCATTCGTGATTGCGTCGTTTTGAAGTGCCCTCCGAGACAGGTGGTTTTCAGAAGACAGCTGCAGAAGAAGTGGAACAGACTACAGTATGCCTCTCTCCACTTGACGGAACCGACCGCAAAAGGAAAGAGAAACAAAGAGGAGCGAGTTATTCTTGACATCCTTAACGACAAAACGGCCGGATGACGACTGCGGAGGTGTGTATGAAAAGAAGTGCACTGAAAGGGGGATGAAAGTAGGACAACACGAGTCGAGGGACTTCTTCCCAGAAGCGGTCCGTTCCCACCAAATCCTCCGGACATCCCTTTCAAGTAAAACCAACTAAAGATCCGATTTGCTCCTGGGGAAGCGGGATGCTATTGGCGGAACAGAGAATCGAGGTGCGAATGAATGAACACCCGTTTCTGGTGTTGACTTTGTTAAGAACAGTATGAGAACCATATCCTGTCATCTTACTCTTCGTACATTCTGAAAACTCTTTAATATTATTCTATATCGCCGAATTTCACAACATTACAGAAATAGTTGGATCCTAACTTTACAGAATTGTCAGTCATGGTTTTAAGTGTCAACCTTTAAAGCTACAGCCTGATCGGATTATCTGATCTGGCGATGAATTTAAAAAGTGCTCGTGTTAATATATGTCCGGAGATTCCAATGCAACTGAAACGTTCAGGATAGATACTCCAGAGACCCAAGCCTGATAATCATGCCAAGTTATGACCGAATCATGTAGAGAAACTTCTTAAACAGATGGTTTATCCGAAAAACGTTGAACACAGATGCTCAATCAGTTATTTTCGTCTCTTTTCATCGCGACCTCATCGTTTCCCATCAGAGCTTCAAGTGCTCCTTCTCTCGGCTAAATGCTAATTACGTGAGAGCCTCCGCTCTCGCATCCGACGCCTTCGAACAATGGCGTGACATACAACATATTGCCCCGGCACATCATCATCATCCACTTCAGATTCTGTGCGGACCGAAATTGGTTTTTAGTGAGTCGTCGGCAAAACAATGAAAACGGCCGGATGAAGAAGACGCAAATCTGAGGGATGCTCCGAGCAGAAGCAGCTGTACAGTGTCTCGGATTACGTGCTCCAAATGTGCGCCCACAATGACTCAACTCCCCTTATCGAATGCTCTTCTCGTCGTCGTTTCCGATTTTGTAAGTCTGGCGCCGGTCGACTGCAATCAAACTGTTTTTGTGTGTGTGTGTGTGTGCTCATTTTGAGAGGGTAGTCTGCTCACCGGAAACCGCCGACTCATGGCGATGAATAATTGAATTCACATCACTAACTGATAACGAAAACGAACTAAAAGAGGAAGAGAGAGAGAGAGAAGGTCGCGATGTTTCCAACGAAATCGGACACCAGAAGGGAAAGGGGGAAGCTGTCGACGAGAAGAGGATAGGCAAGCAGTGAGTGACAACAAGGTACATACTTCACGTGTACTTGATTAGACATGATGTGCTACCAAAAACGGGGGAGGAGGAGGGGGAGATGAGTCAATGTTTTGATACTATTTGCAAACAGTTTTTGGAGTTTGTTAACAAACGGAAATGGCATCGCGAAGACTTCTGTAGAAGGATGGATTAGGGGATTGCGGGAAACTGAACAGCTTATTCCAAAGTTTGGCAGACGGAAAGTGTGGAAAGGTCAAACTAGAAGGTCGGGAATTCCTAGTTCATGCCGATGAATCATTCGGTACAGTGGAAACGGAAAAATTAAATAAACTCGTTGATTATTATAGTCTATGCAATATCTCAATTTGTCGTGAAATCATGTGAGGAACTGACAATATCGTCTTTTCTCAGTTTTAGATACTGTCTATTCTCGTCCGCTGTCCACAGTATGCGCAAGAGCATTTCAAGGCACTGTGAAACTTTTTACGCGTCAAGGTCCGCAGAACCCAAAATATTGTCACTTCACAAATCGGACTAACGTGAAATTTCGAAACTTCGTTGCAGAGTTTTTGAAGATTCGCATGCGGTTGGCGCCGTACCAATGTTGAATTAGAATTGAGAAAAGGCGGCCGAGTCGCTACGCAGCCAATTGCAAAAACAGTGGAATAGTCTTCAAAATCCCATGTCAGCTACATTTGTGTGATGACTTCAAACTGCGGCCATTGTCGCCGCTACCTCCCCGAACCCTCCCCGAGTTGATTCTCCACTCATTTTCTCTCCGTTCGTCGCTCCGCTCGACACAAAACTCCGCGGCCGCACCCCACGGAAGTCACTTCGTAGAACCACGTCACCGCTCTTTCGATGCCCGTCCGTCGCGTCTCAAAACTGATAACAGGCATGGCTCGTACACTCACACAACAAAGTCACAAATTGCGAAAAAACGGTGAAATGCGGGGGAGGGGCCGAAAGGGGCGGAGCGTCCGTCCGAAATTACCAACCTGAAATTGGTTGATAAGAAGAGTTGGGGCGAGTTTCCGTCTATAAAAGGGCGACGGTGCGACCGTTCGTCACTCCCAGAATGAGTTCCTCTCCGGCTTCTACTTCTTGCTCGGCCGTGCTCTCGGCTCCGATTTTCCGTCCGATTGCCATCAATCCGACGCTTTTTCCGCTCAAAATGGAACTTCCGGTCGCTTCGTTCGAAGACGTGGCCCACGTTTCCCTCGGTTCCTCCACCACTTCCAGCTCGGTAAGCCCATTTGTGATCATCTTGAATTCATTTATTCGTTTTCAGAGATGCTCCTCGACGGAAAGCTCTTCCGCTCCCGGAAAGATCCGCCGCGGCCGTCCGCAGCAAGAAATCGCCGACGGACAAGACGCGCACAGCCAGAAGAAGAGACATCGCCGTCTTTATGCCCGTCAGTACCGTGCTCAGATGAGACAAAAGGTCGAGAATGTGAAGAATCTGCACGATGAGAAGGAGCAGTTGGAGATGGAAGTTAAGGCTCTCCGCCAGATTGTGAGCACGCTCCAGAACGAAGTCGCCCAGAAGGACTTCCTCATCGGCCTGCTCAATTTGAATCGTGTCAATCTCTCCTAAATATTTGTTTCTTTTTGTCCCCCACTTTCTACTCAATCCACATGCCATAATTCCCTTTTGCTCATTTTTTTGCTGACATAATTTATTTTGCTTCTCAAAAGTATTAATGAATTTGGAAATTTATTGATTGAATGTTTTGCATGGAAATAACGAAAAGAGAGAGAGAGAGAGAGAACGATCAAGAGATGAAACTTTCAAGAAACAACCACAAAAGACAGATGAAAAAAATACAGTGATCAGTCGCGTCGAGACCGTTTCGAGTCGTCGCGCGATTCGCCCTCTCCGCCTCGCTTCTTCTCCTTGGCTTGTTGGAAAAGAGAGGACAATCCGAACACGTCTTGATCCTTCTCGAACTGAAAAAAGACATTTTAAGAGTGAATGAGTCATGACGGCATTTGTATTCTAGTGATTCATCATAAGTAAACTGTGCGCGTTGTGACTGTATTCCATGGTGCACTCTTCATCATTTTTGGCATGTTTTGCTGTTATCACATTATGAAATTGTTAGCAATTCGACCGAGCGTCGCATTCCGTGACCATTTCACAACACTACGTGGTTATCATACGCGCGGAGAAACACAAATTTAGACAGCAGTCGAGCAGGCCCGGCAATGATTTCAACGAAAAACACAGTGCCCAACCGCACTTTGCCCATTTGAGAGGATTTTAACGAGTGTGCAAGTTTCCATCGGCACGTCAACCCGGCCGCCGCAGTGTCTGACCAGGTCTTTCTTGTCATCGACATTTCGTTGATAAGTTCGCAGGAAACCCGGACAAAACTTTCGCAACCTATCAACCATCGCAATCACAGAAATCTTCTTTTTCAGCGCAGTGATGCAAGACGACCAATCATCATCGTCGAGCGAGTGTTTTACCCTTTGAACTGCGCTCCAGAACCATGCTACAAACCGACACGGATGCTCGACTCACAATGATTCTTTGCGAGGGTGCAGTGAGGAGAAGGAGAAAGTTCGGCTCCCGTCCCGTGAACTGTCGGCTGCTTATTTCGTCGGCCGGCGGCGCACCCCCCAACCCTTTTTCCGTGCGGCAAAACTTCAGATGCCTGCCGTCGGACGAATACTGATTCATCTTTCCTAATGTTTTTGGGGAATGTGTTCATTATGATTGAAACTGGAAAGCAGCGACGAGAAACTCGCAGAAATGTCTAGGGGTCACTGCCAAAACAGCTTTTCTCGAAATATGACTGCTCGTGGGTGCTCTTTGTGTCTCTTTGCTAGTTTACATCATAATTAACTCATTCCCAAAAAAAATCGAGTGAAATGAAATCAGTATTGATCCGACGGAACGCATCTTAAGTCTCAGAACAGCAAAGGAACGCGCGGGCGGCGGACGACGGCGTGTTCTGCAAGCTTTTTCTGTGCGCCAAAGCTTGAAATGCGCGCTGTCGGAAGAGTTCTGATTCATTTTTCCTAATTTTTTGTTTTCAGCTGACTTTTCCGAAGAAAAACCGTCTCTGATGTAGGAGATTAATCTAAAAATAGGCACACTCCGACGGTCGCCGCACCAGTTCTTTCTAGTTTCCTCGTCACCTTCCAGAACAAATCACATGCGGGGTTTTTCGTCGATAAGACGTGATATTTCGTAAGTAGTGATAAAATGTGTGGTGGTTTCGAAAGACAAGAGCAGTCTGAGCGGACGCAAGACTTCGTAGTGATAAGATTGATCGTTCGGCTCGAAATGTTACGTGGAAGGAGGTCACAAATCTGTTACAAACTGCAAGTTGAGGGGTTGCTGAGAAGAAATACACGCCATTCTCGAGAATGATCAGCCTCCGCTTCAAAGGAGCATTCCTTCTCAGAAAGGAGATGATAACAGAGTTAATCCTGTCAAGGGAATTATTATTATTATCTTCCCGGACGCAGCTCAATAATCAAAAATGTCAAGCATCTTTCCACTCCCAAAACACACATTTTGTCTTCGCGGTAATGACGCAAGCACACCTGCGAATGATCCAATTTTGATAAAGAGCACACGCACAAATCAACGAATCGTCCAGTTCGTAGCTTATCAGTCAGTGCTCGTCAACACAGAGCCAGCGCCCGAATTCTCCAAATTCCGCACTGTGTTCGGTCATCAAAATACTCCAAAAAGGCGTAAAGGACAGAAAAAAAAACCTGCACGGGTCCGGATCCACGGCTCGAGCCCTCGGCTCCAGAGAATCCCTTGTCGGCCACAAATCTCTTCTGGCTCATGATCTTGTCCAAATCGTCGCCGTAAACGTCCTTGTCGATATTCTTGCCTGCAAAAAACTCTCGTCATTTGTTCCTGTTTGCGTGCGTGTGTGTGCGTGTGTGTGCGTGTGTGCGCGTGCATGTGTGCTCTGTCATGTTTTGACACCCAATGGCTCCAACAGTTCGTGCTCCTGGTCAGTCTGACGTCACCCACTCGTTCACCGGTTGCAGCACTATTGGTATCAACGATAGGCCGCTAACTAAGACGCTGCGCTATTTTTGACGATTGAACCGGGACGGGGTGCAGTCGGTCGTAATGAATATTGTTGTTGGGAGTGCTCCGTGATAACGGCGAAAAACGAGGCCACTGGTCACCTTCCGCCGAGATGCTTCGAATACCAGAAACACTTACTCGGACGGTAAATATGCTGCTGGACATTGTCGCCTCCGCGCCACGCCTGATCATACGGATTGTAGGTGTCGTCGTCCATGGCTCCGCTGTCGAGACCCTGAAATCAAAAGTAACCGTAAATTTTACAGGGAAAATACGAGGAACCTTAGTTTTATCGAACAATCGCTGATCGAATTGTGGTTCTCCGGTGCGCTTCTGGTTGCTGTCAGGCAATCCGAGCACGATCTTCTCGGAGATGTCTCTCTCGCGCTCTCTCCGCAGCTTGTCTGCCTTGTCTGGCCGGGCACGCGCAATATTGCGTTCCTTGCGAATGTCGTCAAGACGGTCTCGTCGGATTTCGTCACGTGCTTTCGCTTGGTCATCTTCATCATCCTCCTTCTTCCGAATAGCCGTCCTTTCTTGACGAGCCTTCGCAGCCGCGTCGGCCATCTTCGCTTCTTGTTCGGATTTCTTATTCTGTGCGACACGACGCTCGAGCTGAGCACGCGTCTCCACTTCTTCTCGGGCCTTTCTGTCGGCTATGTACAGCGCGTCAGCGAGTTTGGCAAAGTTCTCGTTGATATGAGTCTGCTGGAGACCACGTCCGTCAGCCGCCAATCTCTTATCGAGTCCGACCGTGAATCCTTTCGGGTTTTTCCAATTGGAAATGCACGGAGGAATTTTCCAGTCGTTCTGATCCTTCGCGGTCATTTTTCTGGGAGGCGAGTGCATGACCGGAGCTGGAGGCGATGGCGGTGCACGCGGAATCTTCTGGTTAATCTTGAATTTTGGCGGTTCCATAGGATCCTTCTGCTCTTCGACCATTCGAATTATTCTCTGCTGCGATCCGGCGGCACCGTTCTGTTGACTCGGTGTGTACCGGATGTACTGCGCGGGGGCCAGCTTCTCGGCGTGCCGTACCGGAAGAGCAGATGCCACTTTTGAGTTCACAATCTTCTCAAGCGCCAGCCGCGTCTTTTCGGTCGCGTCGATGACTGCGTCGTCGTCGGGCTTCTGAATGTCATCGTCGTCCTCGTTCCACGTTTCGCTTTCATGTCATTCAACTTTGAGTACACAATCTTGTCCTTTGCGTGTCCGATTCTCGCGATCGCATCGTGCTGCAGCTTTCCGTCGGTTCCGTATTGCAGTGCCAAAGTGTTCTCCGGCTTTCCCTTCATATCTCCGATTCCAAGACCCAGAGGGAACTGGGCCACGTGAATTTCTGGAAACGCTCCTCCGTCTCCATAGTCCTGAAATGAAATGAACACGGGTTAAACAATCGAATCTTGTTCTATCGCACCTCGGGTCCTCTAGGCCTGAAGCTGGCCCGTTTTCCATACGGCGGCGGTTCTTTAGAGACGAGAGCCGTCGATTGTTCCTCGCCGCGCCCTCCGAACCACGGATCACGACGAATCTGAGAAGCTGCAGCATCTCCTGCTACCGGAGCCGGAAGAAGACTGAAAAAAATCTAATGAATGAAATTTAGAAAATGGAACTTACTCTTTCAGTTTCATAGACATTTTGTGACAATCGTCTGAAACAATTAGTAATTTCAAATAAAACAAACATAAAACCAGGTAAAGTAAGGTGAATTAGAACACCAAATAGAGAAGCAAAAACAGAAAATTATTGATAAAACCAACAATGCGTTTATTGATTGAGGATAGAATTGGAAATCGAATGAGTCTTTAAGAGATCAGTTAGGGTAAGTTAAATCGAAATGATATTCACATGAAAATTGATAGAAAATATTTTTTATTTGGTCCGAGTGCCAGTTTTCGGTTTCGGCGTCGCAGTCATCAGTTTAGTGAGCTGCTCGGCCATCGTGTCGTGATTCAAATTCTTTCTCCACTCCTCGAGAAGTGCCACATGTTGTTCGTATTTGGCCATGGCGACGCTGCGAGTGGCAAGACGGATAACGTCTTCGACGGTGAGCTTCGTGTCGTCGGGCTTTCCGATTTTCACAAATTCACAGTTCACTCCGCGCTGCTTGTGCTCCGACCATGCATCGTCTTCTGGTTCGAAATCGAGCTCTTTGAGGCAGAACGGACACTTGGCCGACTCTATGCCAGTGCAGTAGAATCCTGCGCGCGCGAGCTGAACGATTGACCGTAAAAGAGAGACAAAGGTGAAAGAATCAATGAACACACCTCGTCCGACGTGCACCTTGCGTCTTCGATTTTGTCGAGCGAGAAATTTTTGAACGTGGCGAGTCGGTCTTTGGCGAACAAGTACGGAGCTGTCTCGCTCATCTCGCGAAGTTTATCTTTGCCTGCGGGTCTTCCAGGAGGCATTTTCTGAAATAAAAACAGGTCGATTAACTAGAAATGCGTTAAGACAAGAATTAGCGGATAACCAAGCAGCGTTTTGAAGCTTTGTTTGAGAAAATCAATAAAACGTAAGATTCTAATTGTTTTTTAATGTTTAAAAAGAAACTGCTTCAGAAGTTTGCGGAGCAATTCAAAACAATCAAGATGAAATTTTGGACGAAAATGTGAGGAACGCAATTCGCGCGCAAAACCTAGGCCATCAAAGCGCGGCCATTTCTCAATAGAGCGCACTTGCACCAAGTGCCACTAAATTCATTTTAGCAAAATAAATTTAGAGAAAACGGGAATCAAAGTGAAATGCAACAATTAAATAAAGTAAACGCAAAAATAAAATCTTTATTAATCCAATAAAAATAAAAAAAACAAAGTTGACCTTAAAAATGGAAGAGAAAACAGATTTCATTTGAAGCACTAAATTGGTCGTCGTTGGGCTGACATAATATCGGAATCAGTGTTCAATACTCTTAATTGCAGAACCTATGAAACATCGAAGTAATCTAAACAAATACACTTGCCAACTTCTAGTAACTCTCATTGTTTCAGAGGTTTTCCTTTTCAGACTTTCATCGTTTTTCCGTCGAATCCCCCTCAATCTTTTCGGCCGACCGAAAATCCGGAGTCGTCGCAATGTGCTCGTGCGCGCATATGGCTCCATTGTCCTCTCTGCTGATGCATGCGCGATTCACTCCGTCCTCGTCGTCGTCGTCGTCGTCGCGTTCACGGTGAACACGCGAAAATTATTTGAATTTCTGAAAAACTCCGAAAAGTCAGCCTATTTGACTTCATACTGATGCTTTCGGAGCTTTTGCGAAACGAAGACATGATTTTGTGTGTAAAGAAATGAAGTTAGACTCAACGCGATATCCTCTAAAAAATTTGAGTGCGTCAGAGCGAATGCTCGCAAATGTTCGTCGTGAGCTGTTTTGAATCCTTCTTGAGGGGCTCAAGCTCCACGAGAGAAGGGAGGAGAAAGGGAGAGACGGGCGGTGCCCAAAAGGGGAGCGTGTGTGCGCCGCGCATCGAGGAGTACTAATTAAATTGGACGGCGTCGTCTTCTCTCGACAAAACGTACACTCTAAATTCACGAATCATATCGCTATGTAGTTGTGCTCGCGCGCGCCGCGTATGTGTGTCGGGGGCTACTGCCAGCTTGGGGACTGCGCACGCTCACGCGTTTTTCGTCGCCGCCGCCACCGTCTAAATGCATGCGACGTGAAGCTGCGTGAAGCCGCGTGAGCCCGTGTGTGTGAGCTCGGCATGCTCTCACACTCACACACAGGAGAAGGAGGGCGAGAGAAAGAGAGGGAGAAGCAGAAGAAGAGGCCAGAAGACGAAGGAGCAGAAGAAGAAGAAGAAGAAGAAGAGGAAGAAGAAGAAGCGCCTTCTTCTCTTCTCGCGATGAGGGCAGTCAGCAGTAGACGGCCAGAAACATGGCTCCCCCACTAGTTGAACATGTGCGAGAGGAGCAGCGACTCGGCCGCTACGCTTCGACCGCGTCGCACCCGTCTGATCACCTCTCCGAATAAGTGAACAATCCCCCTCTCGCCTCATAATCCGACTATAAGTCCTCGTAAGCTGCATCTTTCCATCGTGAACCCCCGTCTTCTTACCTTCTCTTTTTTTTGTATCTGTTCGTACTTTCACGTCAGTTTATAGCTTGCCACTGACCTTCGCGTTGCAATATTGTTCTGACTTCTGACTTTGCACATTCTTCTCGACTACATTAACATTCAGAGATCAAAACATATCATCAGAATAGAGTCAGTGTCTCGTCGCCTACAGTAATCAATGTTTTCAATTCCATTCATGTGGCACAATGTGCACGCGCTTCACTGATTTCATTTGCATTAAGGGGCGCTGAGAGTACGGTAGATCATCTCCCGCCTCCGCCAGCTCAAGATGTTCGCTCATTTCGAGAGTCTTGTTCTGCGAGCACGTGGCTTCAGAAGCAGCCCTCAATTTGCATGACATGGCTTTTCGGAGCAAATCAATCAGAGCAGGTGATGTATCCTCTCCATTCATTCCCATTCATTTCAATTAAGCCCTCTGCGAGCGGAGCACATGCTCCCGCTTATCAATCTCTTTTTCTCTCTCCTCCATTCATTCTAATCCGTTTTTTCCTCACTTTCCCAGATATCTTTATTCTCTGAAAATTATTTCTCGGCCGCCGAAAAAGAAGGAGAGACCTTCTTCTCCTTCTTCTCCTTCTTCTTCTTCTTCTTCTTCTTCGGCGTCCCCTAGTATTTCTGTGCTGTGCCCCGGGGTATCCGATGTTTACAAAGTAAATGACACACACACATACACATTTTGAAGAGCCCCTTCCTCCTCTCGCTTTCACTTTCACCCCCCGTTTTTTGCCCGCTTTCGTTATCTCCGTCTCGCCACTTTTGTGCGCTATTTCGCACTTCTCACACGCATAAAAAAGTTCAGTTTCAATGTCTTTCGCCTCTTTTCCCCCCACACACACACCCCGTTTACTCGCCGACGACATCCCACACTATTATATTAACAAGCAAGCAAAAATGGATAGATGGAAACGGGACAAAGTGTCTGTCTTTGCGAACACTTTCGGGTCACTTGCATTGCATTTTTGGGCGGGATTCAGAAGACCAGATGCTGCTTCTCACTTCCCTTCCGATCGTACGGAACCGTCTACGAAAACAGAAAGCGAGTTCTCATTTCGTGCCCATATATATACTATCCAGGGAATTCGTTTCTCCGAATAGCTTTATTACGATTGACTCATTCTCTTTATTCCATTACAAAACAATGTAAAAATAGAAAAGGCATGACACCCGCGGCCGATCTGAATCATCATCCATTGTTGTACTTTTCAGCACATTATTCCCCTTTTCTTCTTTTTCTTTTCTCTGAAAACTCTCTGAAAATCCGTGATATATTTGCAGATTTGTCCTCACTCTTGGCCCCCGAGCATCTGCCCACCCACTCCGATTTTGCCTAAAATGCGAATGTCCGATGTCGTCGACGACGTCGTCGGTGAGATCAGCTAATCGGACGCGTTCGCTGTGCCACCACCTCCACCACCAACCGCTGCTCGTCTCTGCCTCCTCGGGCTCCTCCACGATCGGCGGCTCAATGGATGAGGGCTCCGGCACTTCCGCCGCGTCGACGTCTTCGTCGGCGACCGCGCGTGCTCTCGACATGTTCAATCGGCGAGGTTCCGTGCTTGCTGTCGTTATTGCAGGTTTTGTTGTGCTCTTCTTTGCTCACCCCCACACCCCAGACTAACCTAACCTATTCGATGTCCCACTCACTCGGTCAGGTCCGACGGTAGCGTGTGGGCGTTGTGTACATGTCGAAAACTATCGCATCATCATAATCATCCAATTCCCAAACTCCCAGTTCGGATTCAAATTAAGAGGCAGAGGGGGGGAGAGAGAGAGACTCCTGCCCGCCTTCCACGCCGCACTATTTTTCTGGCTCTTGCAAGATTACTAACAGTTTCTGCTCCCACACATTTCCCCGCTTCCCACACCTCAGCTAACCCTTTCGAATCATGGACCATCCGTTCGTTGCCAAGTTCTGTGGACTTATCAACAAAGCGTTGAGCAAGTCGCCACGAGGTGACGATGACTTCGATGTGATGATAGTGTTCGGACAGTGTGCAGTGGTTTTGCAGTGATATCCTTTTGATCGAATGGCTTTTGTCCATTCTGAAATTGAAGTGAAACGATAAATGATGACGTCAGTTGGGAACAGAGACAGACCAGTATTTTTCGATTCTTTTCTTACAAAAAGTCACTCTGATAATTGGCGTAGTATCTGTCTGATGAATCAAAGAGCATAAAAACACGACGCCATAGAACAGAGAGGAATAACAAAAACCTGATTCTCCCCAGAGAGCCGTGAATGCCTCTGCTCGGTTGCCAACTGCCGCCATCACCTTCCCGCACACGCAGCGCGTGCTCAGCCAACAGTTCTCTTTCAGGCAACACGGCCGCCGACGTCCTTCCTCCGAGTGCCGGCGTTCCGAGCACTGCGGCGGCGGTGGCCACGTCGAGCGCAGTCATTAGTGCCGACCAGCCCTCTTCGACCAACTCGGACAACGACGGCGAGCCGTACGGGGAATGGCGACCCCCCTTCCCCCGCCTCACCGCCTATCAGGACTGTCTTTCGCTCGCGGCCGCCTGGGGTCTTGGCATGCATCCGAACGGTTTGGACGACAAACCGACGGGTGCCAGCCAGGCCCAGTCTCCCAGCGAAGACGATTCGGGAGACGGAAAGTGCAACGAACTGCTCGCCAGTTGTCCGGCGTTTAGGAACGAATTGGGCTGGGAGCCGACGCGGCGACTTGCTCTTTCCCGGCACACCTACGACATGGCGTACCTGGATGCGCACGAGTGTGAGACGTGGATGCGAGAGCATTCGGCGTCGGAAGCCGGAATTCTGGAAGATGTCTCGAATGTCTATCTGGGAGGAAGACTGTGCGCCGCTCGTCAACCGAAGACCGTGATCGAGCCACAAGACATTGGGTCCTACTATTATCGCCACTGTTTCATGTCGAGAAGTGAGAATACACCTCGGCAAGCGTCGCAAGACTTCCTTTCAGTTCACACTGAATATCTCGGAATGGACGACATCTTGGGTCCTATATCTGTGTCAATGGTCAGGGAAAACAACGTTGATCGCAAGGAAACCTACTCTATTTATCGTATGATTGTTCGAATCTCTGATGTAGGTACATCACTCCGAATTGATATAATCATTTCTGTTTCAGCAAAAAACTATCCGAGTAGCTATTCCAGAAGAAGCTCTTTCGACTCCCGAAGGCACTGACAGAGCCACTCGGCCATTAATGAGGGAGCTGCTCGATATTGTGTGCCCGCGGGTTAGCTTCGGAACTCTGAGGCCAGCGGTGAACTCGCCGCGAGTTGAAGAGCTTTTGATGAAAATAGATGAGCAACCAATTTATACAAGATACAAAGTTGGTATTATGCTGTGCAAAAATGGCCAGAGCACCGAGGAACAAATGTATAATAACGGTAGGAGCATATCTGAAAGCAGATAATATATATATTTACTCGGGTTTCAGAGCACTCGACGCCCTCCTTCGATGAGTTCCTCGACTTTCTGGGTTCACGGGTTCTTCTCAAAGGTTTCGAAGCGTATAAGGGAGGACTGGACACCCGGGGAGACACCACTGGAACCCATTCAGTTTATGCGGAATATCAGGCGCACGAAATCATGTTCCACGTGTCCACACTTCTTCCGTTCACTCCCAGTAACCGACAACAACTGTCACGGAAGAGACACATTGGGAACGATATGGTCACGATCGTTTTCCAAGAACCGGGAGCCCTGCCGTTTTCGCCGATAACTGTACGAAGTCACTTCCAACACGTCTTCATCATCGTTCGGGTGCACAACGAGTGCTCGGAGAATGTGACCTATAGCGTCGCAGTCAGCCGATCGAAGGACGTCCCTCCGTTCGGACCTCCCGTGCCGAAAGGAGCTTGCTTTAGCAAATGCGCTGAGTTCCATGATTGGTTGCTGACAAAAAGTTGGTTCTAGTCCTCCGTTTTATATCACCGACATCTTTTTTTTTTCAGTTATCAACGCCGAGAACGCGGTGCATCGTTCGAAAAAGTTCGCAACAATGGCTGCGCGCACCCGTCGAGAAGCTCTCCGAGATCTGGTTGAGAACTACGTGGGACCGCATCAGAATGAAGGCGCGAGCAAGATTGCTAGTGAGTTGAAAGCAAATTGCATTGAAAAAGCACTCTACTCGACTCTTTAGGCCGATTCCTGGGTGGTAGTGTGAAACGAAAAGAAAGGCACAATCCAAAACCGACTAATCACGTGATGAGAGGAGCTCTCTCCTGGCTCGTCGACGTGCATGACTACTCGACCAATCAGAGAGTCAGCTGCGTGCTCGGGGTCGCCCAGGACTGGATCGTTCTTCTTGAGAGACCTTCGGGAGTTGTTCTGTTTAGCACTCCTACGCATTCGATAATCGGATGGGCGACAAGCGACACCGGGTTTGTGTCCGATGCACCATTCCGTTCTGCAACAGTTTTGTTCAGATTAAAACTCTACTACGACCACGGTGACCAGCTTCTCCTCCGTTGTTATTCCGAAACTTGCACCGATTCTGAGCTCAACGAACTAATCCGTCGGCTCGAAGCGGTGACAAAGGGCGACGAAGCGAAGGAAGTGGTGCTGCGGAGGTCGAAAACGACGGATAACTGGGGATTCCACGTGCAAGACGAGGGCGTCGTGACGGATGTTGAGATGTACCAGCTGGCCTGGAAAGCTGGCATCCGTCAGGGAAGTCGGATAGTCGAGATGGATTCGATGCCGATCAGCACGCTGTCCTTTGACAAGATATGCGACCAGTTGGCCGTGTCCGAGTGCGTCCGCTTACTGATGATCTCGCCGTCGTCCGACGGAAGTCCTCGTCGAGGATGTGAGGATCCGAACTGTCCGGCCGTGAAGGGCACCGAGCAGATGCTGACTCCGGACGCGTTCGCAAAGCAGCCAATCACGTAAGTTGTCTCGGGCGCGTTGCAAACATTCATCGCGTGCAGTATCGGCAGGTACCACGAGATGTTCCGCCAGAAGAAGTTCGAGTACGCGACGAACAGCGCGAGCAGCAGTCCGGCCTCCTCTTTCGACGAACGCACTTTCAGTTTCACCACCAGCAAAAAGAGCGTTGAACAGCGAGCCAATAATATGTGAGCGTTGCCGAGAAATGCGTGAGCGTGGATAGTCGAGCAATGAATGCCTGTTTCAGGCCTAACAACCGTCCGAGCACACTCTCCAGCGCCAGCGTCCATGACAACATGTGCACACTGCTCAATCCGCCCAAATGCCTCAATCGAGCTCAATCAGACGAGCAATTGAGATCCCCACTAATGGACGAGCTCAACCGGAAGGCCCGTCTCTTTCTCTTGTTCTCCCTAAGTTCCCAATTTGCAGGCACCGTTATCAGCCCGCGAGTCGACGAACGAACGGGAATCCAGTGAACTCGTCCGCATCCAGTCCCATCTGGAACGGACGGTTCAGGAGAAGCGAGCACTCGAAATGCTCGCGCAGCAACTCAGGAAACAATTGATTCAGGTATTAGATGGCGTCGTGCACGAGTGAAACCTGAAAAGCCAACTTGTTTTGTAGGAACGTCAAGCTCACGAGAACACCAAACGAGAGATGGAGCGTCTGAAAAAGTTGTACGAAAAGAAATAAACCCCTCTCAATTTTTCCGTGTTATTGTGATAGTTGGTTGTGAGCTAGTGTATTGTATATTTCCCCCCATTTCCTTTCCTCTCCTTTCCCTTTCTTCCCAGTCTTCATTTTCTCCCTTTGATCTCATCGCGTTGACCGTATTTTTTTTATTTTTATCATTCTTCATGTGATTGCACTTTTCCCGCTCTCTAGTCATTTCACTCCTTCCGTTCTCGAGCTTGCCTCCCGAGCTCCAGTGCCAATTTGTTCTTCCCGTTCTTTTAGTTTCAATCTTTCTCTCTCTCTCTCTCGCTCTCTCTCTCTCTCTCACCAATGCCACGTCATCCAGCGATTCCTCCCTATGTGTTCAGATTCATTCATCTTCTCGTTTCGTACTGTACCAGTGAAGTCTTCTTCTTTTCCTCTTCATCTCATCCCTTTTGAACAAAGAAGAGAGCTCCGAGGGGAACTTTGAAAAGTCGGCGAGGGTATTTCGCAACCCTTTCGGCTGTTTACATCATATAAATAGAATTAGATGAGCTAATTGGTTGAATAATTTAGACCGGGGCCAAAAGTACGGGCTGATGGGCGGCGGGGAGCAGGAAGCTGACCCGCCGACTCTTCCGGGAAATGACGCCAGTTCCAAGAGCCGCCAGCAGAGAAGGCTTCGGAATCGAGAAGGATCTCATTTCGACAAAGGTTAGGTGATCACAAATTAAAGAGACGACGGCACTTGGAATGCACTTTGGATACTTCCTGGAAGAGGCCCTAATCGAACTAGTTGCTATTTGTTTCGAGTTCATTAAACATTCAAGTAATAAAATGCTCGGTAGGGCAAAGTTTCAGAGTTATTTTAATGGCCGGGAGGGGAAGGGAAAGAGAGAAAGATTGTTTGCTGTCGAGGGTAGAATGTAGATTAAAAAGTTGCAAAGAAACTCGGAACATGTCTTATCTTCTTCAACATTCGGCACAGGAAGTTTCATTTCTCGGTTGCAGAAAAGCGCAGTACTTTGCGCAATCTTGAACCAATTTATTTTTCTGAGCATTTCTCGGAAACAAATAATGCTCTTATACTCCACATCATTCGAACCAATTCCAGGTGGAGCAGGAAGTGTGGAATCAGGCATCACGCGCTCTTAAAGTGGACAAAAAGTCTAATCAAATGGTGTTTTACGTCAACGCGGAATTGGCGAAACTGAATGAAAAAGGCTCGGAAGGCCGATAGGGAGAGCGCTCATAAAAATTTCACGACTTCATTTCTTATCACGCGTTTAATTGCAATTAGGGAGAGAAGAGAAGAGGAAAAAAACGGGAGCGCAACCATAAAAGGTCAGTCAGCGGGAAGGAAAACGAGATGGAATGGAATGCATCAACATCGGGGAATCGCCGCGTGTCTCCTGCACACCCTGCAGTCCGAGCACCGATTCGGTGGCGTCTGCGAGACGGGGCTCTGCTCTTCTGCGGCGCGCTATCTTCCTTCTCACCGTCGCCGCTCACTGATAGCGCGACGGTCGAAATATGCGTGGTGGTGCATGTGTGTATGTGTGTGTGTGACAGTTTTCTCCTCCCGACCGCTGCTCTTCGCTTCTCCTTCCCCCTCCCCCGTTTCTTCCTTTTTTCCAATATCGATTGATTCGACGAACACGGCGGCAAATCCCAGACGCCCTTCTCTGTTTCATGATCGATCAATAGAGAGGGACGAGCAGAAGTCTGTGTGCAAACCAAACTCCCCCTCCCCAACTACGATGCTCGCAGCGAATGGGCGTGGCCGGCAGCGCCGCCGCCGCCTCCGAACCGAGGATAACAAGGACAACGACGACAGCGAGAGGAGCGGGTGCAGCGGACAACGAGAGCAGCACGAGCCGCAACTCGACGAGTCGCCAGTACCGACATCGAACGACGAAGCAGCGCCGCCGCCACAGCCGACGGCCATGACGAACGAGCGACGAGCCCCACGATCACGACGATCACGACGAACCAAACCAACATTTCTATTATCACTATCATCATTACCATTATCATTATCCTGGCGGCATATGTACTATGCGGTTTTCACGATATGCTGGATGGCAAACGGTGCGTCGGCGGCGCCCACAGACCGGCACGAACGACAGCCGACACTGGAGATCCTCGACGGATACGTCAACTATTCCATAGGTACGTTGCTAACCGGACCCTCCCTCTGCATCCATCGGTTCATGCTCTCAGGAAACGGAAGTTCGACCAATCCGAATTTCCATGACATCTCGAAGAACGCGTTCCTTTCCCTGCAAGGAACTCCCGTAGAGGCCAGATTCCGACTCGGAACCGCCTATCAACTTGAGAGCAGCGAGAAGGAGCACTCGATTCATGTGAACCACGTCGAGCATCAGGCTCATGTTGATCATTTGACCCGGCATCATCGGAAAAAGAATCGGAAGCCGGTGGGCAAGTTGAAGAAAATAGAGACAGGTTGGTTTCTGCGAAGGGCGGGCGGGCGGGCTAGTGAGTTGTGTTTCGTGTTCTCGAGTTACCTGATATCATCGTGGCGCACCATGTCTTGTGCTCCGCGGCGAGCTGGCTCATCCCGCTCACTCACTCACACCCACGCCACAAACCGGCAATCACGGTCATAAATACGAAATGATCGTTTTGTCGCCAAAAGTGCACTGTGTGGAGGGGGAGTGAAGGTGTTTGAATTCAAATTCAAATTCAAATTCGAATTCATGCAGATGTTCACGGAGAAACAGTACTGGACGGCCGCAAGCATGCTCTTCTTCAACTCGCCGATCCAGACGCCCTCAATATGAATCAACGATGCGACGGACAAAAGTTCAAACAGAGGATCCGGGTGGACGGATGTTTGACGAAAGTGGTCGTGAACCGGTGAGTCGATTATCCTCTCCTTTTCGTATTCTTTGATCTACAAAAATAGTTATCATTTTGCTCCGAGAAAAGAGGATCGTGTAATAATTTTAGAGTTAGGGTCTAAGTTCATGTGCAAACATTTCCTCCCCTAAAGACGCTGCGAATCTCTTTCCAGACTTTGTCATGGAACTTGTGCGAGCATTTTCATTCCGAGAATGCACTCGAAAAAGCTGAAAGCGGCGTTCCGAAGTTGTGCGGCGTGCGCTCCGGCCGAGTACGACTTTGTGGATATCACCCTCGACTGCCCGGGCAGAAACCCGCCCACCGCCACAAAGACTATTGTGAAGGCAAGTTTCGGTGTTTTTTAACTTTCACTGACTCGATTCGTTTTCAGGTGAAGAGTTGCAAGTGCAGAGAAGTGAGGATATCCCCGCTCTGATAGATACCGAATCCGCCTCGTGTTTTTTTCTTTTCTAGCAACTAGCTGATGTGTGTGCCCAAGCCGATCTCCTTCCTCACCTTCCTTCTCCGATGCACAAATGATAATCGAGCACTCTCTCTCTCTCTCTCTCTCTCTCTCTCTCTCTCTCTCCAAACTATTTTGATTGCTGACACGTGTAAACTCGACAACAAAGGCTTCTAGGGGTAGTTGATAGATTCCCTGATACTTTACTTCTTCACGGGTCCAATGCTTTTCATTTTTTCTTCTTCTTCTGTTTCTCTCTCGCCTTTTCTATTCGCACAGTCTCTCTCTCTCTCTCTCATTTGACATTTTTGTAAGTACTATTCGATGTTTACGAGTGTCTCTCCAGTGCAAAATAAGTTGTATTGTCTGAAAATAAATGATTCAAAGTTGAATGTGCCGGAAGCGGAGTTCTAAACTGTTGTAGTTCTGGAATCAGCAGATATAGAATATAGAATAGAATGAGTTGAGGGTTAGTCCTCAGAGGGAGGGCGACCCGAATGATGACAAATAAGCGAGACACACACATAACCTAGAGGGTAGATCACAGGTAGATCATTTAGCATTATCCTACACTTATCATACGTCTAGAACGACGTAACATAAACAATACTGGTAAATACGTGACAGATTACGGGAAAAATGAGAAGGCCGGCCCGATTTAGAATGGTGAAGCCATCCGATCATAAGATCCGATCACTTCCTCCTAATAATCCCCCTTTCAATTTCTCTAAGCTCATTCGCTCGAGCTCAAATCTCCCTTTTCACCTCCAAAACAGCGGCAACTTCTCAGGAGTGATGAGCTCGGCAATTCGAGACACAATCAGATAATCCGATTACTTTCCGACGGCTCCTTCTCGAATATCCGTTACTCCTCTTTCCTTTCCAACCGAAAATAGCGAGTCAGAAGGCAGTCGCCATTCTGTTCTTTGTCATCAAACACACTCACAAAAACACGTCACTTGTGCAGAATCAGAATCCGCTCCGAAATCAACTGTGAATCCGCTTTGGGATCACTTCTGTTTTCGGTTCTCTTAGACAATCCTAACAGTAGCTTGATGAACGACTTTAAGATGAACTTCTCTTGTGATCGAAAGTTTCGAGGCTTATGTGACGCGCCAAAACATACAGACTTACTCGGATCTCTGCTTCACTCTCGGATTAAAAAGTTTGAAAGGAACAATGTCCGCCCACTCGCGTTCCTCTTTCCGGGTCCTCTCCGACTATCATGTTGTTGTGCTCCCTTCCGCCGCAATCTTCGTGTCCAATTAGCCACTCCATCATCCCATTACGCGAGGCTCTTTCTTTCCATTTTCCGCCAACTTTTCCCCGCCTCCGTCTAATTACTTGTTTTGGCAGTTCCTTCCCGTCGTCGCTTCTTCCTGGTTACTCGGTGCACTATTCTCATTCCGATTTCCTTGTCATGTGCAAGAAAAAGACAACACAAAAGGATGGGGCTCTTTTTCTTTTTGCTCGATTTGTAGAAGTGCGTTTAGACTTGCTCCTCCAGCAGCCGGATGGGTTACCCACTTGGTTTACCACTGCTGCTCCTCCGCAATCCCCATTTCATCACAAAACGAGCGAGAAGAGAATGTGAAATGAATGGAGACGGAGTGAAAAATAGTTTCCGGGTGGCCCACTCTTCTCCGCCCACTCACAAACTATTTCCTTTTTCATTTTCCTCTCGCTTTCTCCTGGTTTTTTTTCAGATTCTGAAAGGGACCAAATCGAATCAGTCTCCGTTTTCATTCGATTTCGTATTGTTTTGTGTTTGTTTGTCTCGCGGTCATCGGCCAACCAGCACGTGTCCCGCCAAGCATCAAAACGCGCGATTTGTCAGAGCGAGAAGTAGGCGGGAAGACGTGTTCTGCCGACTGCTGCCGGACGGACGGACTTCAATACGTCCCTCGAGACGCCCGCACTATATTTATGGCTCGTCGTCATTCCGATTCTTTCGCAGCGATTCTTTTCTGTCGTTCCGAGTATCCGTACCTTCACGTGACTCGTAAATAGGCGATTATTCCAATCGAGTTTGGCGCTAGTCTGCGCGAGCTCGCTCAGCTTTCACGAGTCATAAATCTTCAAGTCTGCCAGGAAAGCACTCAATCTGCACTCAAAACGAGAAACAGTTATCATCAATACGCTCGCATTGAATGTGTGAATCCCCAGAAGACTGCCGCTCAAGAGTGTATCAAACTTGTACTAACTCCCGAAAACATCCATCCTCTCCCCCTCTCCTCCTCCGCCAAAATCCCTCATTCTTCTCGTTTCCTTTCCTCCCAATCACTTCGTTTCGCATAACCCATTATATTCTAATCCTAACGTCTCCCCGTCCGTCTTAAAGGACTCCGAGTCCACGAGCAACCACCAGAAGCCATCCCATAAACGCAGAATGGGACCACTGTTTCGAAGGCTCTCGCCCATAAATACACATTCTTGCTGCTTCTTGCTTCTTTCGGCGGCTCACAAAACTCTTCCCAAACAGCCCACTTCCTCTTATCCGCCGTCGAAATCAAGAAGAATGAGCTTCGATCTTTCAACATTGCGTCTCGCATATATTTTGCGGTCCCACCCAAACCGACCAACACAAAACTTTTGAAACTGCACATGAACGTGTATTTGTCGACTGCCAACCATTCTCCGTCTTGTTTTCGGCTCTCTTGTGACTTTGAAGCGTTCGAAATCTGAAAAAGTGGTTGAGCGCTTCGTTTGCTCAAATATGAGTTTGCTCTCTTCTCAGTGAGCGCAGGAAATAGCAACACTGCTCCCGCCAGAATCAGAATGATGATTCACAGTTCCATAATGAATAATGGACCCCCGAGAACTTGTCTGTCCGAATTGAGTGAATATCCGAATTGAGTGATTCACCCCAAAACATCACCGGTCCGCCCGCCCACCTGTGCCCGATTCTCGCTTCCTCTCCTCCTCGTTTCCACTGTCTTCTCTTGCTTGCTTTCTACAAATAAACAAGGCAGAGCGTCAGAAGAAGTGGTGTGCCTCTCATGAATATTGCATCCCATCAGTCGGGGCAGATCATCACTCTCCGCATCATTATCATCATCGTCTCCATCCTTTCCTGTCGTTTTTATGACCACGCTTCCTTCAAAGTTCATCATCCGTTCCTCCCCCAAACGTTTTGTTTTCGTTCTAGAAGTTCACAATCCGATAATTGTCTGGACAGAAAACTAGTCCCTTAATGGCACCAATGTTTGCTTTGCCACGTCTGCTCTCGCAAATGTTCGTAAATGACTTCTGTTCCTTTTCCCCGCAGAAAAAAACTGAAATAGTTTGCCTTCCGTTTCAGAAGAATGCATTCAGCTCGCATCCAACAGTTTGTCCGTCGGCTCCAACGGCCGTCGCTCCAAGGCGATCACGTTTTCATTTCCAGCAAGTGAGTCTTGAATATTATGAATCATCACCATCGGCAATTATTCAGATACACAGGACGTTTGTTCATTTGTGAGCAAGAAGATGTCAATAAAATGATAGAGTCATATCAGAAGATAGATGATAAGTATGCGATATTCGAACAGATGTTTCTCACCATATTCCTGGTTTGTTTAATGCTTTTGGAAAGTTTTGAAAATAGATTGTTTAGGAGCAAGAAGTGGAAATGGCGTACAGTTTCGGACTGGAGAACTTGAATGAGCAGCAGTTGAAAGCGGAGCAGAAGTTCAGAACGCACGTGGGCAAGTTCCAGAGATTTATCACCGGAATCATTGACATGCTCTCGAAAGGAGTGGAGAGCTCCGATCAAATCGTCGAGATTCTCAGGTATTCCGCTCTTTCGCATGACCCCCCCCCCCAATGCATGACTGACCTCCTTTCTTTTCAGAATCGTGGGTCGCCAGCACGGCAATGTGCGGACGATGAGTTTCACCGCCGAGAAATGGCTCATTTTCAAGAACGTGCTCCTTGACCTTCTCTGCAAGGATGCAAATGTGGGTGTAATCCTAGAAGGCAAATGAGAAAAAGAGAAAAAAGAAGGGCGCCCATGAGATGAGTGCGTAATGAGATGTTTTCAGGAAAAAGCGAGTGGCACTTGGAATAAACTCATCAGTTTCATGATTTCCGAGGTCAAAGACAGCTACCTGGAACATGTGAGTTTGCAAGGGATCGGATGATATCCAAAAAGATCTATTACAGGTCCGTCATGCCCGTTCCTCTTCCTGCCCTCAGATCAACTCGTACCGCTTCATCGCCTCTCGATCGAAACGTCTTCGCTCTCGGAAACACTCAGAATCGGCCAACAAACTGGGACGAATCGAGTCGGGAAAGGCGCTCGACGGGTGAATCCACACTCATATCCGATCCGTTTCATTTCGTTCACTACCAATCATTCCCGCCGCTCTTCTGATTGTACATAAGATGACGATAGGCTCATAGAGACAGTTAATAACACTTTATTATTCTCGTTGTTGTTTTTTTGTGTTCACGGATTGCGGTTTGTACTTATTACAAGTTACAAGTCAGAAGAGTATCAAAATGGCACTAACAACTGATGAGATGGGTGTGGCGACTTATCCGACGAGGGCTCCGAGAAGTCCTGGGCCGTATCCGTAGCCTGAAATGAATGGTTATTCAGAATTGAGAGGGATCAGAGGGACTCACGAGGTCCGTATCCGTATCCTCCGCGTCCGTATCCGCCTCCGTATCCTCCACGTCCGTACGGTCCGTATCCTCCGTATCCACGTCCTCCGTATGCTCCTCCTCCGTATGGTCCTCCTCCGTATGGTCCTCCTCCGTATGGGCCACCACCGCCCCATTGAGCAGTAGCCATGGTAATGACGGCGATCACGAAGATGAGCAGGAGCTTGTTCATTCTGAAAAGAAGCGACTTTTGGAAAACAAAAAAGGAAGTAGATTGTCAAGTACGGAAGAAGGAGAGGGAGAATATAAGAGAACAGGGATGTGGAATCCCCCGATCTTTTGCCTCGAAAATTCGCGTTTATATACCACCGGCGACAACCTGTTTCGCGCTATCAAATCGTCGAATGGGCGGGAGGGAGGTGCGCTGGACCCAATAGGTCATCGCTTTTCTCTTTGTTTCTGTCTTAACCTTGGAAACGGCCTTCTTGAAAGACCGCGAGACACATTTTCGTGACCATAAGTTCAGTTATTTCAGCCCTCTTCCCCCGCTTATCGCAGGCTGTGATCATCTTGTTCTTTCTGAATCATCGACGGCTTTTGCGTGTGGCGTGGTGTGAAATGATGTCATTCGGTTGCGATCTGGCAAGATATGCGCAAAATGTACATACGCACGTGGGCAGAAAATGAACTGACACCCTTCAATCTAGGGAATGAGTCATTTCATTTCTTCTAAATTGGCAAAAGCTTAAATTACCGCCAACTTGATTACGTAGAGACTCGAAATCGTTGCGGTGATACGGAGTTTCGCTGTTTTCCATCAAATTGGCACTTTTCTAGGCTCGAAAGATATTGGCTGCCAGACTTCAGTGTCTTCTGATGTTCTTTGATAGTTTTCAGGTGAAAAAGTCATCGCGATTGCATCAGTCGTGATTTGATTCGTACTCTCGATCTTCATTTCCTCTCTCTCTCTCTCTCTTTTTCTCTGACTCGTTGTTCTTTCGATTTCCGCGAGGCGATCATCTAAAGTTTGGTCAAAAGACATCAATAAAGATCTAAAGGAAAGGAAGCAAAAAAGGTAACGTCTTCTTCTTTTTCTTCTTCTCGCCAACGCATTCCATGTCTCACAGATCACTAGAAAGTGACGTCTCCGATCTATTCGCCAAAACAGATTTGTTTCCGAGAGAGAGAGAGAGAGAGAGAGAGAGAGAGAGAGAGAGAGAGAGAGAGAGAGAGAGAAAGTCCTTACAGACGAACACATCAGTTCCATTACAATCACCCGATTTATTCAGGGCGCAAGTAATCAATCAAACGAGAGACATTAAAGCTATGAAAACACGAAAACCGGGGGGGGAGTCTACATGAAACATGTCTACAATTCGATTTTGCTAGAGTCTTGGCAGTATTTCATACACGACTGGAAGTTCGGGAAGTTGTTGTAGTTCCCGTTTGCTCCGTAGTAACTCCAGCGGGTGCAACTGTGCATGTCGTGGTTCCACGAGAACCTCGGGCGGTCCTCGACGCCGTCCGTGAAGCTTCCGTTGTCGTCTCTCAGAGAGCAGACGTAGTCCTTCGAGGGGCAGCAGGCTCCGTTGACGCACGAATGGAACTTGGGGCAAGATCGGTTCGCTGAGCACAGGATGTACTTTCCGTTGGGAATCAAGTAGTTGGATCCGCAGATTTCCGCCTTCCTCCATTGATCGTGAGAGTTTCCTTTCGGCACAAATGGCGGAGAGTTTGGAGATGTGGAAGAATCGGAGTCGTCGGAGATGGTATTGTTGGAGGATTGAGAGGCTGGAATCGAAGTGGTCGGCTTCTTGTTCTGACACGAATCACGGCACTCTTTAGAAGTCGCGAACCGATTATCGTTTCCTCCGCATCCAGAATAAAGGAATGGCTGGCACACTTCTGAAAACGTTAATTTTTCATTAGAATGGACAGAAAAAGAAAGCGTAGAACTAACTTGTTCTGGAATCAAAGTAGAAGGCTCTCGCGGCCGTTCCATCACTGCACGCACTCCCCGTGTCTTTTGGTTGACTGCAATCGAATCCGTTCACAGGAACGGAAAGGAACCAAACGAACACGAGAATCTGCCACATGACGGCTGAAAAATGATTGAGAAATCACAAAAGGAATGACAGTTTTAAGCGAGAAAAATGACAATGGGAAGGCTCTCCCGAACTTTGCCAGCCAACCAAAATATTTGATGTCTTGGGGCGCGCGGGGGCACACCCACTAATCATTCCCGGAATATTTGCACAAATATTTGTTCGAAATTTACTTTTTAGATGTTTAATTTCGAAGAGAAAATAAATGCAAACAAACAAGAAGAGAACTAAAGGACGAATAGTTCAAAGGCAGACAGACGATTGATTGGATATGAAAAAGTGAAAGGGAAGGCGAAGTTTCTGCGGTTTGACTGCCCACTTTCGACGGTGTTTTATAGGAACAGAACGGAGAAGTGAACAGGTCAGTACTGTTTTGAAATGGTGTGTAAAAATTCGAGGAAAGAGTCACGTACTTGCTGCCCCCCAACACTTGTTTCGGTGGAGTTTTAGGCAGGGGAAAGGTCAAGAAGGCACTTGTCAGGTGACCGCCAAACACTGAAACAAAAAACAAACGAATTCAACTGGAAGGAGAGAATCATTCTCACGTGGGAACATGAACAAATCCACATGGACGTAACTTGGAACCGCAGCGCAGGAGCCAAGCAGCTGCCTGACTTCTTCGAGTACGTCCTCGATTTCCAGCACGCCCGCTCGACATCGCGTCCCGCATTGGACAGCACGGCGACTCTCTGAGCAGTGAGAATGTCGAGGATCCGACCTCCTACGAAGACTCCGCGTACCCGTCCGATCCGAGTGGGAAGGCCGCCCCGCCGTACGTCGTCAAGACCATCCCCAACCTCATTCCGCCGCTCACTTACGGAGCTTTCTCGAACAAAATTCTTCATTGAATAAATATTTCAAACACATAATTGTACAAGTAATATGAATGGAAGTTTTCACTTTTTGCGTGCGTACTTCTCCCGGATTCGCCGTTCTCTTTCAGCTGCCGTCTCTTTCCGTCGATCCTGATATTCTTCCTCGTAAACATCGTCTTCCTGATCCGACAAGTGTTCCACGTAGTATCCGTCTCGTCCTCTGTTGTTCGCATTTTCCATCGGTGCCGCCGACGGATAGTAACTGAGGCTGTTTCCTGGCTGATAAGTCGAGTGCAACGGCCCGGCGTCATAAGTCCTCCATCGGCCCTCCCCGGAAACCTCCTCAACGTCGTCAAAACCTCCTTTCCACGAGACACTTCTGTTGTCCCGTTCTTTAGTCCATTGTCTGGAATCGATGGAGGACAGTCCGTTCGGGTACTGGATACTCCGTTCGACAGTCACTGTTTCACGTAATGTCGGCTGTTTCCCTCCATTTGCTCTCGTGTATCCATCAGAGATTGGCGAATACCTTCCACCGTTCTCGTCGTATTCTGCCTGCAAGTGACCCGTCATTTTTTGAATTATTTCAAAGTCTTACGTCGGCAAGAACGTCGTCAATTTGTTGTCTGAAAATCGGATCCGTTTGAATGCGTCGCTCAAGGAACGGAATTGCTTCTGGGGGCAAGACGCCTTCCTTCTTGATCTTTTGGCGGGCAATCGCAGCCTGAAAATTAAAGGGCGGATAGTTTTCACTAAATTATATGAAATTCACTTTGCTCGGAGGCTTCGACAATCTTTCCTGTCGCTTCGCTTTCCCTTCGATGGCCGGCTGTGCAACTGTCAGTTCTGAAAGCAAGAATTAAAAATTCCCCCTGAAACCGTGGCTCACTCTGCATAATCTGCGACATCATGTCCTGCATCGTGCTCATATTCTTGTTGTTCAGCTCTTCCAGCCGTCGAATTGTCTCTTCTTGCACCACTTTCGCCTTCGTTTCTATTGCTTCTTCCATCACTTTTCTCCATTCTTGACCTTCTGCACTCGCATTCTCGTTCATTTTTTGAGCAGGAGAAGACGTTGCGGACGAGGAAGCCGACGTTTTTCTTGCTAGTCGGGAAGTACCCTGAATACTAATTTCGACGTGGAAGAACACAGAAATGTATACCTCAACAGTCTGTGACACGTTGACAGTGCGACCGAATGCGACGGTTTTCCGACGGAGAGCTGGGTGCACCGGAGTTTCTTTTCTCAAGTTCGCCGACGTGAGACACGACTTCTTTTTTGCAGTAAATGCTGCTTCTCCTGCTGGTTTTTGTGGAGGCAAATCTTCGACGACTCTCGGTAAATGATGATTTTGCTGCGATTCAACTGTAATTTATTCTGTGGTCTGTTTGAAAATGCCAAATCAATATACCTGTCTTCTGCCCTGGTATGTGGATTGAACACGGCAAATTTTCGTAATTATCCATTCACTCTCATCGGGTCATTTCCGAGAGAAAAAGTGAGAAAAACGGTTTGAAATTTGAAATTCGCGCAAGGAAAAAAGAGGCGTGGCCTGTTATGCAACTGCCGCGCGCGAAATTGCAACCCACGGGCATGGAGTTTTTGATGTTTCTGCAGATTCTGTACAAGCTGTACAAGGAAAAAACAACATTTGAGATCAGAAAGTTTCCGAATGTTCGAGATCATTTGGTCTCTAAAAATGTTTCCGATCGGTTCCGAAAATAATGAGCTCCTCCTCCTCTACAGCTAAAAAAACAAGTAAACATAACTGACTGGTTAGAGTTTCTATCTGAATTCCTCAAAAACCCTGCGAGCACACAAGAAATGTCTCAAAATAAAACAGTGTGTCAATGCGGAGCCGCTCGGCAGTACAATATACAATGTTTGCTCCGTGGGGTCAGATTAAAACTGGATTCGTCTCTGTACCAGCAGCCTTTCTCTTCTTTTTAGTCTCTATACCAGTAAGTGGGCGGGAATGTGCTTGGACTATATAACTGGGAGCCCGGAGCCAAGTGCAACATTTTGAGACCCAACATGATAGTCGCATTGGTAAGTTATCAATCGACCGTTCGAAACCCGATCGATCGTCTCTCTTCTAGATTCTGGCTCTGTCTGCTGGCTCCGTGCTCTCTGCCGACGTGGACTGTTTTGCGGAGAGAGACACTGGAAGTACTTGCTCGGAGAACAGTGCTTCCAGAATGTTCTACTACCTTCCGAGACTCGGCACGTGCCAACCGTTCATGTACCAGGGATGCGGGGGAAACACAAACCGGTTCAGCACGGCTCAAGAGTGCAGAACGGCTTGTGCCAATGCCCAGGAACAGAAGGACTCCACGTCGACCGACGAGACTGTGCAGATGAAGAGTGAGTTCGAAAGAGTGTCTGAATCGTCCGAGTATGTTCCCATCTTCAGCCGCCTGCTCAGCCAAGTACGACACCGACCATCTGACTCCAGTCCGTTGCTCCTCCGCCGAATCCACATGTCCTCAGGGGTACAACTGCACCGAATCCTTCTGCTGTCCAACTGCCAGTAAGCACCCTAGTATCTCGAACTATTCCTAATCTCCCGATTTCAGACTATTTGTGCAACCTGACCTATGATTCTGGAAAGTTTGCCATCGGCGGTGAGAAGAGTGACAAGTACTTCTGGGTGCCCAAGTACACCACTTGCATGCGCTTCTCTTTCTACGGCACGCTCGGCAACGCCAACAACTTCCCGAACTACAACTCGTGCATGGCCACGTGCGGCAACCAGACCAGCAGTGCTCAGTAGCAGAAGAAGAAGTGCTTCCTGTTTGTACCTTTGAATCTATTCACTATTAAGATTTTTCTTGTCGGGTTTTTGTGCATTTCGTAGTATTCGACCATGACAGAATGAAATCTTTTTAACAATTAAAGTTCTCCTAATTGCGACAGTGATTCAGGTGTTTGTTCTTCAAAGCAAACACCTAAAACGATGATATTCTTTATGTTTTCTTTTGAGCTTACATTGAAGGTTCATAGCACAGAAAAACCGTTCATTTAAAGTAATGTATCTCAGGAGATTGTCAAGAAGTGGTCGACTAATAAATTGTACAAAATGTTTCAATGAAAATATTATTAGTTGACAATTTGTTGATATCTATAACAGTGGCTGACATATATCGTCATGAACAGACATAAAGGTACTTTCGAGCAACTATCATGCATTTCCTGACACGGCAGAAATAGGCCATCTTTGTCACAGTCTGTTTCATTGATGTTGATTCTTAAAACGTTCAGAGCGAAACCAAACGAAAGTGATGAACACAAGTAACCGATGAATTTCTGAGGGAGGAAACCGAGGAAAAGTTAAAAGGGGCGAATGTTTGGGTACGCGAGAACTGTGTTGTGTCTCGAGCAAATAATATAAAAGAAAGACGGGCCACGGCTCTTACCTAACTTTGCCAACTCTTTTCATTTTCATTCGCTGGCGATGCTCTCGGTTGTGATTCTTTGGCTTCCCTCGCCGTTCTGGCGATTTCCTATCCTTCCTACGGACAGTATAGCGGCTACAATCAACAATATCAGCAGCAGCAGCAGTATGGTCCTCAGTATTATCCGCAAGGTGGTCAGGGAGGATATCAGGGAGTATACCAAGGAGATCAGGGAGGCTATCAAAGTTATCAAGGAGGTAACAATGGATACAGTTATTACCCTGCAATGGATCTGACGAGCTACTATGGTTCTCAGGGAACTCCACAGTATTATGGGTGAGCTTTGATCCGAATCGATTCAAAGAAGATCTTTCATTTTCTAAACTTCAGATACCCATCATCCGCCTCGTACCAAATGAGCCCGTACTACCAGAATCAGAACCAGAACCAGCAGTACATGCAGCAACAGTACAGCACTCCTTCGCAGTCCGCGTGGTCCTCTCTTTATTACGGCGGACAGCAGCAGTCGGCCCCCATGAACTTCGGAACTCCGCAGCAAAACTCGTGGAGCCAGAGCCAGAGCAACTGGGCAAGTCCGTATCAGTTCACCAAAGTGAACGCGCAAGTGAACGCTTCCCAGGACAACGACGATAACGACGACGGATCGGGCTCCGGAATGGACTCGGCAGAGTGAGTTGTTGACCGAACTTTGACAAACCAAGAAAACAGTAGGAAAGCTTTTTATTGTTTGCATTTGCACAGTGACAAATCGAATGTGTGTGTGTGGATTTTTGGACAGAAGAAAGACAGTTGAGAAGTTGGAAGTAGGCAAACAGATAAGAGAGCGAGCAGAAAAGAATAGTTTCTAGCCAGGCTAGAAAGTATTTGGTCATTCAAGCGTTGACTGATAAAGGACACCAGTATAAGATTGTGATCATTTCAGACAAACAACGGGCAACGACGACTCTCAGATGGTGACCAACGACGACTAGTCTTTTCATTTTGTACAAACCAAACCAAAAAACGAATTTTTTGCTTTACTGAAAAAATAAATTGTTTTGCCATTGCATTCCATTTCTGAAGCAGAACTGGTATTTGGTCGGCAACTTGCCAAATGGGTGAGATTGCTGAAATAACCTTGAATTCGTTCTCCTTCTCTCCGTCTCTTTCCCACGCCCTTCGTGTTTTCTGATGCTTCCACCACTTCAACTTCTTTCCAATTGTCACCCAATTTCAGAATTCAGATGGTTCTCTGCTGTCTCTGCACCCTTTTCACCTGGGTTTTCTACTTTTTCGCCCTCGTCGTCGTCTGGAATATAGTCAGGTATCCAAAGGGAAAACTTGAACTTATTGGCCATGTTTGCCAACAGATACGTTTTGGAACTGATACCGGAGGGCGGCTCGCATCACGACCGGGCAGTGTTTATTACTGGGTGCGACACTGGATTCGGACGGGAATTGGCGAAGAAGTGCGTGAAGAATGGCTTCCTCGTGTTCGCCGGATGTCTTACCACGCAAGGAGCCTCTTCTCTGGAAGTGGAAGCCGCCAATCCACGTCTTCATACCGTTTCGTTGGACGTCAGCAAAGACGAGTCGGTTGAAAAGGCGGCCGAGTACGTGAAGAAGAACTTGGGCAACCACAGTGAGTTTACTTTTCAATTCGCCGAAACCTGAAACGGTCTTCCATTTGAGAACTGTGGGGAGTGGTCAACAATGCGGGTATCTTCTCGTGCTACGGTCCCGATGATTGGTGCCGAATGAACGACTACAAACTGGCGTTGGAGGTGAACTGTCTCGGAGTCGTACGCGTCACGCAGGCCTTCAAGAAGCTCGTGAAGGCGGCGAAGGGGAGAATTGTGACGGTGACGTCCGTCAACGGAAGACTCTCCACCCCCGCAGCCGGTCCGTATGTTGTCTCCAAGTTCGGAGCGGCGGCCTACATGGATTGTCTGAGGTAAGTTAGCGCGAACGTCGTTGGTATCAATTTTTTATTCAGACAAGAACTGTACAACTTCGACGTGAAAGTGAGCATCGTCGAGCCCGGAATCTTCAAAACTCCACTGCTTGACGAGGACGCAATGCTGAAGAGAGTGGAGCACGTGTGGACCCAGATTGACGACGAATCGAGGGCCGAGTACGGAGAGACATTCAAAAACTATTGTAAGTCTCTAGATGCAAGGTTTCTAAACCATAATTACTATGTATTTTCAGTCGCAAAGATGTGGAACAAGACTTACATCGCGCTGAGCACCACCAAAATCCACTACGTCGTGGACAACTACTATCATGCTCTCACTGCCAAGTATCCACGACATCGTTATTATTGCGGATGGGATGCCATTTTCGTATACGTTCCGCTGTCCCTTCTGCCCACCTGGTTCACCGATTACGTCATCAGAAACCTCGGAAAGCAGGAGGTTCTTCCGGCGTGCCTGGAAAAGGACAAGCGCCAGTGAGAGAGAGCGGAGCTATAATAACAGATTTATTGATGGATAGACGGTATATAAAAACATCAGAAATTCATTTATTTACTGCGGGATTTTCTTCGAGGTGGTCTCAACGGCTACTGTAGACGGGGTGTACGTGGGCGGAAGAGTTGTCGGCAACTGTGGAGCCACTTGCTTCCTGGAATGGAGAATAAGTGTGCAGACACGGATTTTGAAAGGACATACTTTGGGAAACAACGGCTGTACGCCTTCTTGATGGCAAAAAGGAAGGCAGCGACGAGAGCAATAAGGATCGCGACGTCAGTCATGTTCAGGTTCAAGTAGAGGTACTTGGAAGTGGTGACTGGCTCGGAGAAGTGGTAGGCAGGGGCCATCGGAAGTGGTTCCGGCTCGCGGCGGAGCTCTGATGGCTTCTTGTCGTCCTTGGCAGGAACGTGGAGGACGTTGGAGTTCACCTGGAGACCACCGTTTCTGTGCTGACTCAACTTATTTTCGACAAACCTGGACATGGTTCACATTGACGTGCACATTGTTGTTTCCATTGTTGTTCGACTCTTTTTTGCCAGGCTCCTCATACGGAACGTAGAAATAATCGATGTCGAGTGGAGGTCCGGGCGGTCCCATTGGCCCAGCTGGCGCCGGGAAGCGGTCTCTTTCGCGAGACTCGTCGTCCACCTTCTGCAGGTAGATCTCTCCGAGCGCCTCCATGAACATCTTCGCGTCGGCATCGTCCAATTTCTGCTTTCTCTGCATCTCCGGATCCACTGGTCCTTGGACGATCACTGGTTGCTCATTGATCATCACCGAAGCGTCGTTTGGTCGCACACGGTTCTTGTTCTGGCGCTGAACCTTCTCTTCGTAAGCTTCAAGCTCTTCCGAGGACGGACGATCGAAGAATTTGTTTTTCATTCCTTCCGGTTGCTTTGGTGGCTGCGGCTTCGGCTGAGGCTGTTGCTTCTTCTGAGTCTCAAGCATCTCATCCGGAGAAACGAACTTCTTTCTATTGATCATTTGCTCGAACGAGTCCTCCTCGGAGCTCATGGATGAGCTGTCAGAAGAGGAGAAACGTGGCGGCGGATGGGGAGGAGCATGCTGGCGGAACGATTGCACAGACTGCAGAGCCAGGAAGGAGAATAGAATCAGCGCTCGTTTCATTTCTGTCGAATGACAAAAAATGAAATCGGCGGAGCGAGGACGAACCCAATTCAGGCGGCCCGTTTTGGGGATTATAGAGGATCAGCGCGGATGTGGATGTATGGAGTATCGAGTAGAAGTGGCAGTAGGCCCGTAACGAGGTGGTTAACGGAACCGGTCGAATGGGATGACGTGGAAAGAGGAACACTTTCGTGTGTTGACACAATCACGAACCTGTGATCACTTGGTTTGACGGGACAACGAGCATAGACTGCGCCGGAAACGAAACGAAAAGGTTCTCATTGAACATTATCATAATTAGTCTGAAAGGAAATATACTGGAATTCCAACCGAATTGCATGAAACAGTAAACCCGTCCAATGGATGCACAAACTGCCAGATCAGTGTGCCACAGAAGAACGACCGCCATCCTTCGTTGCTCAACAAACTGCACTCAAAACTCACATGCTTCTTGAGATCAATCCTAGTTTACCTGAGCTGAAATGTGAACACCATAGCGATGAAAGTGATAGTCCTGAATGAGGGTCTGGAGGAACAGAGCTCTGTTCTTTTTGATCTTGTCCTTAAATTCTGGCTTGCCGATTCGGATGACTTAAAAAAAAATAAATTTTCGAGAAAGTGGCACAGTTCAGTGCTTCCATGATAATTGTTGTGTATTTACGTGACCTTTTGACGTGGTTACTGAGTGTTCTCATAATCGAGAGTTCACTTTGGTGATACTCGTCAGTTCTTAATAAACTCTCTAAATAGAAGCCCGAGCTTCCTCAAAGAGTCGTCCCTACGGACACTACAACTGGCGATCAGGAAACCAACAATCTGACTGCGGAGAATCATGATGAGCGAAGAACAGTTCAACAAGCTGCTCGAACGGCTGACTGGCAAGGGGGAGAGCGTCGGTGGAAGAGAGAAGAACTCAGAAGATAGACTCGATCACGGCACTACTGAAGAGATTCGAGTATGACCCGGAGAATGGGATCACCTTCAGTCACTGGTACGATCGGTACGGAGAGATGCTGACGGAAGAAGGTGCGGATCTGAACGAGGCGACCCGACGACGACTTCTCATTGGCGCTCTGGGCGAGATGGAGTACAACCGGTTTGCGAATCGTGTGCTGCCGAAGAAGGTGAACGAGCTATCTTGGAACGAAACCGTAAAAGCGCTGAAGACGTGTTTCGCTGCCACGAAGTCAGTGTTCCAAGAACGTTTCGAGTTCTTGCGAATGTCGTATTCCGGAGGTACGTTGAGCGAGTACACGGAATTTGTGAAGGAGAAGTTCGTGAGGTCGCAGGTTGGCAAATTGACGGATGAGCAGATGTGCTGCCTGGTGTGGACGCTGGGACTGAGGACCGACGAAACTGAGGTGAGAGTCAGAGCTCTACAAACTCTCGAGACTAAGCCGGATACGACGCTGGTGCAACTGGAAGAGCAAGTGACGAGATTCCTGACAATCAAGGCCGATGCGAAGGCGATCGGTGGCGTCACAGGGTCCCGCTACAACTTCGAGGTCAACGCGGTGAGAGCGAAACCGAGGGACAATGGTGTCCAGTCGGGGACATCGGCTGCCAGCGGAAGTGCGACAACGTCGAAGTCCAGCTCGAAAAGTCGCTCGAAGAGGTGTGACAGGTGCGGCTGGAGGCACAATCGAGGGAGTTGTTCCGCTAAGAACGCTAGGTGTTTCGGGTGCAACGAAAAAGGACATTTTGTTAGATTCTGCCCGAATTCGAGGGAAGCGAACGGTCAAGCTTTGGTGCACGCGAGTAAGGAATCGGTGAAGATTCGGGAGATGGTGAAGATCAAGACCGTGCCTATCGAGATGATGGTGGACACGGGTTCCGAAGTCACGATGCTGAGCGTCAGCGACTGGGAGAAGATCGGGAAGCCACAACTGAAAGCGGCGAGAGAGAAGATCCTCACGGTCGACAAGAAGCCGATGAAGATTATGGGAAGTTTCGAGTGCAACTTCAAATGGAGAGGCTACGTGTATCGTGGAAGAGCGTATGTCGGCGCCACGGCTTCGATTCTGGGACTCGATTGGATCAACATGAATGGACCCTGGTTGCAAGCGTTCATGGAAGGAATCCCGGAAGATCCTGTGCCAAAGGAGAAGTCTCCAAAGAAGAACTTTAAAGGGAGAGAGATGTTGTGTATTTACGTGACCTTTTGACGTGGTTACTCAGTGCTCTCATAATCGAGAGTTCACTTTGGTGATACTCGTCAGTTCTTAATAAACTCTCTAAATAGAAGTCCGAGCTTCCTCAAAGAGTCGTCCCTACGGACACTACAATAATCAGAAAGAGCGTAAACGTAATAAGAGTTGTTCTCGTCGTAGTTTTTATCCAGATTCGGATACCAAGTGAGATCAAACGACGAAAGGGTTATGAAGCACTCGAGGGCTGTAATTTAAGATAGAGAAGACCCTAGAAAACACTTCAAAACTCACGTATTTAGCTGAAGAACTCGATTGAAACCAAGATGAGAGAGATCCTTTGAAATTTAATAGCTTCGAATCGAAAATCGGAAAGAAGATGGCACAGAAGCGGTTGAATGCGATGAGGATCCCGTGTCTTAAAGGCCAGAGTATAGCGAGTTTGAGTTTGCGATCACAAACGTTTCATAGAACTGAGAAAATTGCGGTTCGCCTCTGTAATGTACAAACTTCATTTCTGGCTAGTTTCCACCACGTTCATAACGATAATGGGTAAAAAAGTGGCGAGAAATGTCGACGGCAGAATGATGGTATGCCGACGTCGATACGGAAACAGCAAACCTGGTTGAAGGAGGTCGTTTCCGATGAATCTCTGACGAAAACGTACGCTATGAGCACATTGCAAACGATTAGTTTTATTACACGATAGAAAATGTGCATTCTGGTTTTGGATCAAGTTCGTGACATATGATTTATTGGGAGAAATATCATCTGTCACGTGTAAACGGAAATATCCGTCTCTTCTTCTTTTTAGGGAACGACAACTGCTGGGGACCGGCTCGCGAAGGAATCGTCGACACGAACATCATGCTGTTCTGATTGGACGGATGCGCGGACGAGGAGAACAGAGATCGTTTGAGGAAAGTGAGCCGTTCGTTGAACATAATCATGATGAACCTGATGCTGATCTGAGATTACTGCTAAACGGGAAAGGGCGCTTACCCGTCGGAGGAGTGCACTATTTCCCATATCAAACTGCCACTTATGAACGTCCAGTACCTTTCCGAGCTCAGAAGACTGAAATGCACATTTTAGACAATCGGGGAAAGGTGTTACTGAGATACCTCAAACGGTACGTGAAAATCATGTCCACGAGCTGAATCGAATCTTGGATCAGCGTTTGAAGGAACATTATCCGATTCTTCCTCATCTTTATTTGAACTCGATCCGCTTCTAGCATTGTGTTTTTGTAGAAATGGTAGAGTTTGACGAGAGTGCAAAGGTTGAGGACAATTATGATGACGAGGTAGAGTAATGACGAGTTGATCACTTCCGTCGAGTCTTCGTCGCACTTTTCCTCCATATTCGGATACCAAGTCAGATCGGTAATGGAGAAGGTCATGAAGCATTCGATAGCTGCAATTAGAACGGGTTTCGAAGGGACAAAAGAACGGAAAAGGGAACGTACGGATGAATTGAATGAATTGCATTGTTATTCTGTAAACTCTTTGGGCGAAGATGGCAGTTGATATCACCTAAAACAGTAAGTTTAGTTGAATCTGAGAGGAAATAAACTCACAAAAGTCATTTTTACGCTGAACATGGTGAAATAAAGTTTAGGAAAGAAGATGGCAGCGAAGCGGTTGACGGCAATGAGTACACCTGTCCATTGGATTCCGGCGTACGCAGAGTTAGCAATGCCAATCACAAGAGTCTGATAGAGAGGCGAGAAAAAAGTGTCGCCGCTGAGAGAGAAATGGGGTCAAATGGGACAACATTCTAGCCTTACAAAAGTGCCATTGGCACGAACGTTCCGACAAAAGCCCATCCCAATATCAGTGTGTTCGCGAAGCCTCTGTACACACAAATCAAGTTGAACGAGGTCCGTTCCGTGGGTGCTCGGATGAAAATGTACACGACTGCCAGGTTGCAACCAACGCCGAACACTCCGACCTTCAAGAGACCTGCTCTTTTGAACTAAAGAAAAAATGACCGACTCACCACTATCATAATAAGCGAGGCCACCAGGTTCAAAGGGTCCGTGAAATTGTGTCTATCGCTCTCCATGGCTTTGCGATATGCGGAAGAGGAAGAACAAGGAAGGGGAGAAGAAGAAGAAGAAGCCGTGTTGTGAGACAGCCATAGTACTATAATATCTGGTTAGCCGCTACTTCATTGGAAAAGGTTAGAGCCGCGCGTGTTTTCCTGCCCACGCCATTTATCCATTTTTGTTTCTTTGCGATTAGTTTCCTGGACTCCGGGCGGCAAAGCAGGTGTATACTTTACATCGACTGATGTCAGCCTGTTTGATCAAAAAGAGTTGAGGACAAGCCATACAGAAATAACGGAAAAAGTCACACACTTTTCGTAAAACTGCTGCTGATGTGTGTGGTGAATCCCAAATCAAAAGATCCATCTTGTTTTCTGACGTCTTCCGGGTAAAAAACATTGGAGACAGCGTTGGGTTTTGAGAGAATTTATGACATTTCCAACTTGAAAGTTTACGTCATTTGTTTGGTTATTGACAGAAAGGAAAGGCAGGAGATATGCATCAGAAGCTACCGTAAACCGTTTAGAAATCAACTGTTGACTGGCGACAAGTTGGTTGTTCTCGGTGAACAACCAAGAAGGACGGTAGCGAGACTGGGGCGCACCTGTGGCAAGAACCTTCCTTGAAGGACCACTACGCGCTTGGGATTCACTTAGGGAAATGTAGATGCCCTTAGGGCGTCACATTTCGACAGGTCAAGTGCTAAGAAACACATCATTCCGGCGAGATCCACCCGCTGTGCCATTGGTTTGAATGGCCGCATGACGGTGGACCGGAATTCAGCTGTCTCAACACCAGCCCAACATCCTCTTAACTTTGACTTTAATGACAGAAGCCGGGGTGGTGAAAGAATTGAAGACCTTCTTGAGAACATGTTGAACGTGATCATCACAATTCTGAAGAGGGTGGATCCAAGGAGAAATGTGGAATAGTGCGTACCCGTCGAGCACATGAACGTGCCGCAGAAGAACATCCAAATGCGTGCTTCGCTCAGGAAACTGAAATGAATCTGCGATTAATTAATCACCAGTATCTATTCTATGAGAACCTGAGTGTGAATGTGAACAGCATGGATGATTGCGTCTTGGAGCACTGACAATCATGATCACTGTTCCGCAGATGTTGAGAGGATCGTCCAAATGGAAAGTTGAGTTGGACATTGGCGGGTGAGCAGTGATTGAACTGAGAGAAGTGGGCTGGATTACAACTTTCACACTGTAATCATTGGGTTCTGCAGGTTTTTCTGCCATTTTCAGAGTCGGAAAACATTGGAAATACCATTGGGCACCGACCATCATGTTGGTCAACTTGTCTTTTCGTCTATATTGCAGAACATAAACTGGCCCCGGCTTTTTGAGGACTTTACCTATGGCTCAGTTGAGTCATAATGATCGAACCCGAAACTTTGAAGGCTTCTGACCTGGAGATATAATGTTTCAAAGCCGGAAGTTTCGATCATTGAATTCTTTATTGGTGACGAACTAGACGGAAAATCAACGTAAAAGTAACACTGGAATCTAATCGATCCGTGACAAGTAGCTCCTCGACTGAACCACCGACACGGTTCCCGTGATCTTGAGCTGCCCTCCGACGAATGATGGATTCGAGGAAGAAGTAGAGAAGAGGTTTCTCTTGAGAAAAGTGAGCCGCTCGTTGAACATTAGCATGATTAAACTAGAAATAAAAAATATGTTAGAAAATGCGAAATGTCTTCTCACCCATCCAAGGAGTGCACACTTTGCCAAATGAAACTGCCACTTATGAATGTCCAATACCTTTCGGAGATCAAACCACTAAACATGTTGCATGAGGTACGGTAACGGAGGGTTTGGAGTATTTACCTCAGTTTGAATGTGAACAGCATGTCGATGAGATAGAAGACATCTTGGATGATCGTCTGAGTGAACAGGATCTTGTTCTTTCGCATCTTCTTCTTCACTTCTTTCTCGTCCATCTCAGTTTCTTTGTAGAAAATGTAGATTTTAATGAAAGTGGCAATGTTCAACAAGAGCAGAGCACCCAGAAAGATCGCCGTATTATCCACGATTGTTCCGGTATTGTCGTTGCATTTCGGATCGAAATCCGGGGACCAGGCAAGATCATAGGAGGAGAAAGTTGAGAAACATTGCAGAGCTGAAATGAATAGACATTCCACAACCGCTGATTTGTGTTTACGTATGCTCGTTGATGCTTCGTAGAATATTTTGGAAATTCTCAAGCCAAGTAGTAGGATCAGGATAACCTGAAGGACAATTTCATGATAAGTACTCAATAATGCAATTACCGCGGTTGATTTGATACTGAAAAGTTTCGAGTAGAACAACGGAACGAACATGGCACAGAAGCGATTGAGAGCGATGATAGTGCCACTGTACTGGAGAGCCGTGTAGATGCTGTTCACCGAGGTGATTACTACGTATTGATAAACCGGAGGGAACAGGGAATCTCCACTGAAGAAGCCACAATTTACTAACGAACTCTCTATATAGTAACTAACGCAAGAGTCATTGGAATGAACGTTCCCAGAAAAGCCCAGCTCAGAATGAAGATGTTTCCAGCGGCCCGAAAGACACAAATCAGATTGAATGACGTCCTTTCGCTAGGAGCTCGGACGAAAATATAGACAATTAACAGGTTGCAAGCGATTCCGAAAAGAGAGTTCTGCGCAAAAATATGAATTACGGACACACTGAAACCATTGAACCTACCACAAGCATGAGTGCAGAAGCGATCAAATTTAGCGGATCAGTGAAATCGGTGCTATTCATGGCTGTTTGTGGTCGAATGTATGTAATGAATGTTTGTGTTGAGTTGAGCTTCTCTGAGTCTCAGGCTCCGTAATTGGCACTTTGAGCCGTTGTTTTCGTCATTTCACAATTCGAGTGTCTGCGATATTCCGAATATGCAAAGGTGTGTACTACTAAAAGGATGTTTAGAATGAAGTTGATCTTTGAACATCAACAAAAATGTTGATTACGAAAAGGAAAACTTCCGGGTAACCACTTCTTGCACTTTGTGACCTAGGTTTCACAACAATTCACTCAGGAATATGCCGGAGTAATGGCGGTCGTGAAGATGTTGGTGTGTTGCTCGGTCGAAGTGCTGGGAGAAGCGAAAAATGTCTTTTTGAGAAACGTCAATCTCTCGTTGAACATTATCATTATCAACCTGAATTGGAACTTTGGTCAAAGACACTTTTTCTACAAATGACCCGTCACAAGAGTGAACGGACTGCCAAACGAACGATCCGCTGAGGAACGTCCAGTACCTTTCGTCGCTGAGAGAACTGAAATACGTGGATCTCTAGTTTAATTCAACATGTTAACAACCTGAGACGAAATGTGAATAGCATGTCAATCAGCATGATGGCGTCTTGAAATAGAGTTTGAAAAAAGAGCATTTTGTTTTTTCGTGTCTTCTTTTTCAATTCTTCGCTGTCACTTTCGGTTGACTTGTAGAAAATGAGGACTTTTGAGAACGTTGCAATATTCAGAATAACCATGAGTGCCAGGAAAACAGCGGTCCCGTTGACCGGACTGGGAACGGACGAATAGCATAGCGGATTCATGTTGGGAACCCACAGAAGGTACTTTGCCGAGTATTGTACGAAGCAGCCGGGTCCTGAAGGTTAGAAGTTGAAAGATCATGAATCATTAGATACTATTACCGAGATAGTCGAAGAAATACACTATCATATCTGCGAATTTCCAAACAATGAAAGAAGTTGAGATGAAAGCAGTTATCTTCAGACTAAAATACTTTGAGTAGATCAGAGGCAAAAACACTGCACAGGAGCGATTGATTGCGATGAGCATTCCACTGTACTGAACGAGTGTGTATATTGTGTTACAAGTCCAAATGACGATTGTTTCGTAGTATTCGTTAAACGGAGAAGAGCCTCTTAAATAAACATTCGGAGGGAATACATATGAGAAAAGTTGGCTCACAGAAAAATGGTGGGCAAAAAAGTTCCTAAAAACGCCCAAATGAGAATGATAGAGTTGCAGACTCCTCTCAGAAAACAAATCAAGTTGAAGGCAGTCCTTTCAGATGAGAAACAGACGAATATGTGAATGATAGAACAGTTGCAAGCTACCCCGAATATTCCATTCTGAAAGGATTTTAATAAATGGGCGAGAAGATTGAGTGTATCGTTACTGTGAACAAGAGTGTGGCCGCCAGCATGTTTAGCGGGCTCCGGAAGTCGTGATAGTCGGCAGTCGAGTTCATGTTCCGAGGGAGAGCAAAAGGAACAAATGCTCCTTTGTGATGGAGCTCGTGCTGTGATGCTATAATTGACACTTCCCCCCGTTTATCTTCTAATTGTGAATTCTTAATGTCCCTTGTCTGTCTGATGGTTTCTTCATATTCCACTCAATTATCAGATTCAAAGTGTTCAACCGATGCAACAAGTGATTCATACTTTTCAGTTTGAGCAGTTTCATGTGGGTCTGCGGTTGAGTACAAGAGCCAAAAGTGTATGCAAGTTGATGTTACGAGTAAAACTAAAATTCAAATTGCGTAAGTTTCCGTACAACTGGCGCCAATGCTTATCTTTGTGAGAAACAAAATTGCCAATTGTTTTGATCTCCGTACTTTCATAATTGCTATCACAAAGGTTTGCCTTTAAAAAGGATGTGGGTGTAACATCTCGTCATTTCCTCCGAAATGTTGCATTTTCTGATACTTGTTTTCTGGCTGACCGGCACGGAATCAACCGATTTCAACTGTCCTACCTCAGTTATTACAATGAACACTAAATCGAACACTTTCCCCCCCAGATGCCAAACAAGCGGAGACATTTCCGCAGTATTACAATTGTGAAATAAGGGTACTAATAGATGTCTCTTGACAGATAACATTGGAGCGTTTTTCAGTTTGACATTCCGGTCGGCTACATAATTCAGTTCAAAGCGACGACTGTCACCCCGACGAATGAGGACAGTATGGTCATCTACGACACACTTTCGAAGGAGTACATGTACAATAATATGAACTATCCGATTATGAGCAAAACAGTGAATTCAGAATTAGCAGTTTCGCTCAAATCGTGATTGCCCCCGCAGTTACTGCAAGAGCCGTAATAACAACTGGTCAGAGTTTTTCGCAATTTTTGCTCCAATGGACGTATGTTCATGGTTAGTCACAACTATCAAGCGTATTATTCGAAAGAACGTTTCCAGTTGCTTCTCACAAACCTCAACAATCGTCTACGTTCGTACCTCTATTGCTCAATCTGAAGACAATGAGCCCAATTTGTTTCTCGACTGGCGGCCAAACAAACGTCGCTTTCCACACTACCTCCTCAGCAGACACTGACGGAATTTCAGTTTACGACGGAGCCGATCTTACTGGAACCTATTTGGACCCTCTTTCCAGTTTCAGCGATCAGCTCTTGAAAACGGAGAGCGCCTCTTTGACACTCGTTGTGTTTGGTACCACTATCAGAGATAGCAACACGTATGGACTGGCTCAGGATTATACGCGTGATTTCCTTTTCAATTCTCGGTAAATTCACAGTATTATTCAGGTATCAAAGATTACAACACGTACAGTTTTCAAATGCTGGATGATGAGGAAACATTGAGTATGTCAGCAGGATCAGCGATTTCCTATTTGCGATTGAATGAATTGATCTACCTCACGAGCATTCAAGGCGATGAAAATACGGATATCCTTTAAAGGAAATTTGGACGATGAACCAGTTCTGAGATACAGGTACAACCAACTTATCTTTTCAGTTTCTACAAATTTTATATTTTATTGCAGTGGTACCGTCTTCGAAAGCAATTTGCCTCAAGAGATTGCGGCCAAGTTGTTCACAGTCTATGTCCTTGGCGGCGCTCCGAAAATGCATTTTGCCAGTGAATCGGACAGTTGGGAAATCGTGGAACCCGGCAGAAACGGAATGATTGTTTCTCCTTCCTTCTGGGATATCTCCCAGTTATCTCCTGCACATTACACAACACTCAGCTACGCCGAAGAACTCGCAACTTTCACATTTGATTTGAAATCGGTCCATATCGTCGGAAAGGGAGAATACCTGGAGGTAACGGTAGGAAACGCCCACACAAATGAACAAATCCCTGTGAGATTCAATGAAGATGCGTATGGACAGAACCGGACGATAAACGGAACTTGGATGACTGTTCATTATAATGGAAAGAATCCGAGTTCTACGTTCCATCTCCTCTTCAACGTGACGGTTTGACACTTTGAATCTCATGAGAATAAACCCGTATTGTAGAGTGCTGTGCCTCTCCCGAGCACTGTGAGCCCGCCGACCACGCAACAGCTGACAACTGGCCACGTCACAGGCGGCACAGCGACATCAACGACTCCAGCGAGGCACGCTTCCAACACTTCGGTGCAACCTCCGAGCACTACCACTCAGGCAGCACTCGTCATTTTCAACCCTTTCACCGTTTCTCTTTCGACGATCGCGTTGATTCTCTTTGTTGACTTTATTTGGTAACGAAAATTTAATTTTTGAGCCGAGATCATGATATCATGAGTGCGGTTGCAATTACGTTTGCGTTGCGACGGAAGAAACGCTTGTAATCATGTTCTCCTTATCATTTTTCTCACTTCTCCCTTGGTTTTATTGAAATGATTTCAGCGGAAGCATATTTAGTTAGCTCACGGAACCAAGTGGAGCGATTTGAGATCTGCGAGAATGGCCAATCGAATTGGATGGAGAAGAGTTCGAGGAAAGTAGAAGGGTCAGGCGGTTACTGAATAACAACATTATGAATCTGAAAACATATCGTAATCAGGGGTTTTTTTCTCATTCATACCCATCGAAAGAATGGAGACACTCCCAGACGAGTGTCCCACTGATGAATGTCCAGAATCGGTGATTGCTGAGGGAGCTCAGCTTATAAGTAAACGAAAGATCGATTATGTAGAGAGAGTCTTGGAGAACGGTTTGCAAAAAGAGGACCGCATTCTTATGAACTCTTTTTTGCGTTTCCTTGTCGTGACTGTTCAGTGACTGAAATATTATGCTATTTTGCGAATTTCTACACAACAAACTCTGTAGAACTTGATTATTCGGGCAAATGTGACCAGATTGATAAAGGTCATAGAAACGAAGGTGACAAATATTATGACGACAATGTGATCTTCGAACCAACAAACTGGATCAAGTGGATAGGACCACGAGAGGGCGACTGGCGAGTAGAAATAGAAACAACCACGGGCTGGAAGTTTGAATTAAGTTCTAGATATGAGGTTTGACTTTGAGTTAAACTGACCGACGTCTTCGGCTGTCATGTAAATAACAATAGCGAGACGATAGATGTAAATGATGGCAAGGGCGAGAAAAGTTTGACGAATTGCAAATATCTTTGGGTAATAGACTGGGAAGAATAGGGCACAGAAGCGATTCAATGCGACTAGAACAATCTGATATTCATTGCCGAGGTACAGAGACATGCTCAGATTCAAGACCCAAGACTCGATCGCATTTGAGTACATCGAATAGCCCCTGCAAAAGATTGATGATAAAAGTGGTAGGTCTAAGGCTCACAGTATTGTCGAAGGTAGGAAAATCCCTAGGAATAAAGTGATTAAAATGAAAAAGTTAACAACTGCCCGACAGAAACAAATTAAATTGAAGGATGTCTTGTCGGAATCCATAAGGAACACGTAGATTATGAAGAAGTTGGAGACGACCCCGAATACACCAATCTGAAAAAGAATTCCGACGTTTATGTATGTGCAAACGAAGAATGAAATATTTACCAGAAAGATGAGAATGGCAGCCACGAGATTGACTTCATTTGCATAATCATAGATAACTGTCGAGTTGGCACTCATTCCGAACTTAGACCGGAATATTCTGGCACTGAACTTCTCGGACCGGGTGTATGCAAACAAAGTTTGCTCATGAAATGTTGTTTATGGCGATTAAGTTATTTGATTACATCAAAAACAGCATAGGCACTAAGCGCTTACGTGAGTTGAAACATTTCTTCCGACTTCTGACTTTCGACTCCGACTGCCGACTCAAGCGACGTTGGTCAGCGTGGAGCGAATGTTTGAAGTGTTCTGCACGACTAAGCTGGCCGATGGGCTCTTGAAGCGTTTTTTTTTTTAATAAAGATAGACGTTCATTGAACATTATAGGTTTTGCGAGCAGACAAGAGATCATTTGTTCGACGCCTGTGTGAAAGCAGAGATCGTGCTTTGTCGCGCATTTGGGACAATTGGGATGACGGAAGAGTTGGTCAGCTTCTTCTTGAAATACGAGAGACGCTCGTTGAACATCACCATTATGAACCTAAACGGATTTTCGAGTTCTGAAGAAGTTCTGGAGAAGAACTAACCCGTCCACAGAGTGCAAACACTCCCAAATGAACGTGCCGCTGATGTAGGTCCACAGTCGATGGTTGCTCCATGAGCTGCAATATTCAGATGATCCCTTCGGGTCGGATGAACAAATGAACTCACCTGAGCTTGAATGTGAAAGTCAAATCAACGAGATAAAGAGAGTCTTGCAGCATTGTCTGCGCGAAATGAATCGTGTTCTTCCGCATTCGTTTTCTTGTCTCTTTGTCGCTATTGTTGCCTCTTTTCTGAAAGATATCAGCGTCACGAAAAAGGCGCCTAGCTTGCCCACCTTATAGAACATTATAATTTTGACAAATGTGATCAGGTTCAGAACGGTCATTGCGATGAACGTGTAAAGGATTACTGTAAGGGCGTCGTCGACAAAATCGCATTGCGGCGAGTCGTCGTAGTACCAGGCGAGAGCGTTCACTGAGAAAATGGCATGACATCCTTTGGCTGAAATTAAAGGATTTCTTGGGATTTTCAAAAAAGAACTTGCCTTCTTGAGGAGCATTCTCATATATTTTCTTGGCGATACGGTAAACATAGATGAGAATGAGCACTGCAGCCGTCTGAGGAACGGCGAAGATTTTCGAGTATTCCATGGGAAAGAAGAGAGCGCAGAATCTGTTGAGGGCCACCAGAACAATTTGATACTCATTTCCAAGGTACAGAGTGTTCGAGATGTTGATGAGCCACGATTCGAGTATTGGAGGATACGGAGAGAAGCCACTGAACGAGGAAAATCGGAAGAAGAGGGGAAGTACGCATCACTTACAGTAATGTTTTCGGGAAGAAAGTGATGATGAAGACAAGGGTCAGAATGATAATATTGGAAATGGCACGGAAGAAGCAAATCAAGTTGAACGCAGTCTTTTCGGAACGTTCTTTCAGAAACACAAACGCCACGAGAAAGTTGCAGACGACTCCGAACAATCCGATCTGATTGGAAGAAGTCACTAGAAGTCAATTGGGATGATAGGGACTTACTGTGATTATCAGAAACGCTGTCAGAAGATTCAATGAGTTCGTGAAATTGAACTCTTCACTCATTTCTCAGCCAAGTACGTGAAAATGCTGAAAGTTTATTTTGAAAAATTCAGGAAACTCGCATGCCATTTCGTGAGTTTCTGTGACGTTTCAGTGGGAGAAACTTGTTAAAAGGCTAATTGAACTCATAATTCATTCGGGAAACGTTAGGATATTAGGGATGAAGAGAGTGATCACCCGAGTCTGGGGCGTTGCTGAATCTCAAAGGTGAAAGCAGAAATTTGAGATCAAAGTAGAAAAAAAGTTTGAGCAGAATTTGAAAATTGTTTTGCTCTGAAAAAAGCCGTGAATGTTGAGCAATCAGTGGTCATCCGACGGACGGCAGCGTGTTAGAGACGGCGACCGTTTTGAGACGGCCGGCGAGCGAGATCGAGGGCGTCGGTTGCTGAAAGCGCTTCTTCAGGAATGAGAGACGTTCGTTGAACATTATCATGATGAATCTGAAGAAATAGTTTCAAAGGACTAGGGAATCTGTCTGTTATTCCCACATAAGTTGACCCAACGCCCTTGAACGAAACAGCGGGCCGTTGCAGTGACCGAGGAAATTCAGACGAAGCTCTTCACTGTGAGCTAGATGCACTATGTTTATTTCTGTACTGATTTGTATTTACAAATGGCTAAATTTTTGTAAACGTGCGTCAAGTCCAAGGATTTTTCCAGACCACGGCAACAACTTCGACAGCGCACTGTCCCGCTCGAAGGCATTTCTTGTGATTAGGAGGAAATTCAAATTGGTGGATATTTGAAGATGTATTCAATTTGAAATCAACGTTTTTCGAACGGCATGATCATGGCTCAGTTTGTCGCATTTTGCCTAACTCGTATTTGCTTGATTTCTTGAAGTTTTCTTGGCCTATGCAATTTTCGGACCAAACATTTAATTTTTGAGCGAGGCATGTAAATTAGAGCCTCTTTCAAATTGCTTTGTTGTTGGTTGGTGAAAACAAGAGAAGAAGTGAATAATATGCGTAGTGTGCTCACCCACCCATCAATCGAATGAATGCATTCCCACACAAACGTTCCGCTGACAAACGTCCAGAAGCGATGAGTGCTCAGACCACTGAAAACATACCGCTTTATGAGTGGAAACAAAGCAGCAAAACCTCAATTTGAAGGTGAATGTGAGGTCGATAAGGTAAAGAGAGTCTTGCAAAATAGTCTGGAAGAAGAGCAAGATGTTCCTTCTGATCCTTTTCCCGTTTCCCTTTCCATTATACTCCTTTGGTTGGAATTCTGAAAAATTTAATAAATTATGGAAACTATATGAATCTAACCAGATAGAAACTGATAATTTTGAGAAAAGTGACAACGTTAATGAATGTCATAGTGATGAAAGTGTATAATATCACTTGGAGAATGTCATCTTCGAATGCACAGTCCGGATTAGGATCGTAGACCCACGAGAGGAGCTCCGTGGAGAAACAAGTGTAGCAGTTCTTTGCAGTTTGGGGAATCAACTCGACAATTAGTTTGAAGATACGGTAGGAATACATGAGAATGAGAGCAATCAAAGTAGGGGAGAGACCACAGATTCGAGCATAATAAGTGGGTGCAAACAGAGCACAGAAGCGGTTTAGGGCAACCAGAATGATCTGGTACTCGTTGCCGAGATAGAGGGAAAGACTGAGGTGGATCAGCCAGGATTCCAGAGCTGGCGGGTAGAGGGAAGAACCACTGGAATGGAGATTTATAATATTTGAAGAGGAAATTGAACTCTTACATGATGATTTTCGGAAAGAAAACAAAGAGGAACGTGGCAGTCAGTATGATCACATTGGAGACGGATCGGAAGACACAAATCAGATTGAACGCACTTCGTTCCGACTTTTCCTTGTAAAATATATAGGCAATTGATGAATTGGTGATTACTCCGAAGATTCCAACCTAAAAGCAGAAAGTCTCTTGATAATACAGCCCTAGAGTCAGTTACAATCGCAATGAGAACTGCCGCGATGAAGCTCAGTCCGTTCGAAAAGTTATAGTCAGTTGAAATTGAAGAATTGGAGCTCATATGTTAAGTTTTAGAAAGTTTGAAGAAAACTAAAATCAGCGAACAGAAAAGGATTGTCGGAAGTCTAATCATAGGGTGTCAAAATTGTTGAGTTCTTTTTTTTCATCGATGGTTATGATGTGGATGAACTTTTGGAGCGTCATTTCTTCAACAAACACATTTATGAAAGACATGTCAATGAGATCAATTGCAATGATACAATTCACTAATTCTCTAAACTTTCTCCGAAAAACATCTCCTTTGCGAAAGAAGTGAAGCCGATGTTTTCGAAGAAATCGGCAATCCAAACAGCTTCTTTCGACTCACATGCCATCTTCGACATTGACGTTCCCATCAGAATCAGTCGACCGAACCTTGAGACAGAATGTTTTCGGTGTGACTCTCTCGTCTGTTACCTGTAAATGGCCTTCTCCAGTCCGTCCTTCTTCAGCATATAGGCGTACAATTGTTTCGTGATGAGCACTCTTTCGTCGTTAATTGCCTGTTTCGCTTCCAGTGAAATGTCCGCATCTGACGAAAAAAACACAAAAACAGTGGAATGACAGGATATCAGAGTTACCTGGATTCAGGAAAGTGATCGCTTTGAACGCCGCGAACTCGTAGAAGTTAATTTCCATTTCTCGGAATGGCTTGAGCACCAAATCGAGTACTTGGTACTTTTTCCTGTTGAGTCCGGCAGGTCTTGTCGGCTCATGCGTCCGATCGTAATAGGTTCCATCCGGAAAGACGACAGTATCAAGTCCGTGGTCTGGAGAATTGTAAACCTGATTGAGGACTGGGATAACAATCGCTGCGTGGCGAACGAGTTCAGTCTGAATTGAAATGAAATATGCGAGGGACCGCCCGAGATATATTGTCGGTACCTTGTCGTGATATGAAAGTGAAGTGAAGACTTTGAACGTCTTCGCGTACTCCGTGAGCACAAACCAGTCCCGTTCGTGCCAATAATGATAATCGTCTTGAGTAATGAAACGGAGTTCCGTGTAAGAGTGTCGAGGACTCTGAAGTTTGGAAAGTGGAACTATGAACGAAAGTTCAACCTGAACACGTACCACAGTTGCATGTTTTGCCATGAAAATCGAATCATTGAGAAGAGGTTTCGAGCAAAGAGCCTGTTTGAGACTTCTTTTCGGCAGGTACGAAGAGAGGCGGAGTTCGTTCGCTCTGAAATGATGATTTGTAAGAATGCTAGAAGCTTTTGGGAAAAACTTACGATTTCTCCCGGGACGCCAGCAAACTAAGGTAGTTCTCAAATGATCTTGAGGGTGAATCTTGTCTGTCTGGAGAGCTTTCTCCCGATTCATCACTTCGAATCTCTTTCCTCGGCCGTCTTTCCGTCTTTTTCGTTCTTTTCGTGTAGCCGATGGGATCTCTCGATGCCTGCAGAGCCGATTTGTCCATTCCCACTTGGAGACACTTCTCGAATCGGCAAAAGCGGCACGCACATCGGATGCTCTTGTCGACGGGACAATTCTGATCGAATTGACACACAAACTTCTGCTTTTTCATGACAGTTCGACGGAAAAACGTTTTACTGAATAGAATAACCTTATTACACAGTTTCCTCAAAAATCAATACGTACCAGCCATTGCACGAAGGCACTCCGTAGTGGTATCCACTTGAATAATCTTGACATACAAAACAGAGCGTCTCGTTTTCCATGAAACTGCAAAAAAGAAAGAATTTTGTGTTGACTACGTTAAAAAGAAAGACTACAAAGATAGAAACGAATCGTTTCGATGATGCAGAACTGCTATCAGCTGCCTCGACTAAAATGGAGGCTGGAATTAGAAGAAATCAAAGAGTTAATAGTCAATAAGCACGGAGGAATATGCCTGATACACTGAAAAGGCGTGTTTGACACATGTGCCCGGACGAGGGAATTCAGTGACCAAAAAGTGAACTGTGATCATGTTCTCCCGTCGGAGAAACGCAGACGGGCGCACGTGTTCCTTATCTCTCCCGGGGCACAGCGAACCAAACACCGGTGCATTTTGGGTCCGTATCTCCCGAGAAATCAATAAGATGAACAAATCTTCTGGTTTCTTTTATACTTTTTGAAAAACTAATAAGAGAGATCAATAGTTATGGACACGATTTTCGGGATAAATGGCTTTTGGATGGATTCTTGCAGTTGATAAACGTAAATATTAGTGCTTGACTACACAGACTACACAGCGTCAAACGGTTTATTCACAATACGTATCATCATGAGATCGAGTAAGTTAATCAAATTACATATCAATTACTGGTATCCCCGAAAAACAGTTCTTTTGCGAAACTGGTGTATCCGATGTTTTCGAAGAAATCGGCAATCCAAACGGCTTCCTTCGACTCGCAAGCCATTTTGACATTGACGTTCCCATCAGAATCAGCCGACTGAATCTGAAAATCTCCGTTCCTTTCTTTGGCTATTTCGGCCTCTGGACTACCTTTTCACCGCCTTCTCCACTTTATCTTTTCTCATCATATAGTCGTACAACTGTTTCGTAACACCGATCCTTTCCTCGTTGATTGCCAGTTTTGCAGAAGGCGAAACATCAGCATCTAAACGGTTAAATGACTCTCATTGTGTCCTACAGAAAAAATGTTACCTGGGTTCAGGAAAGTGATCGCTTTGAATGCTGCGAACTCGTTGAAATTGATGTCGATCTCTCGGAATGGCTTGAGCACCAAATCGAGTACTTGGTACTTTTTCCTGTTGAGTCCGGCAGGTCTTGTCGGCTCATGCGTCCGATCGTAATAAGTTCCATCCGGAAAAACCACAGTATCTGGACCATAGTCCGGAGAATGGTACGCCTGATTGAGAGCGGGGAGCACGATTGCTGCGTGACGGACTAGTTCGGCCTACAAAAACAATGATTGCAAGTGAAATACAGTTTTTTTCAGTCTTGACCTACTTTATCTGCGTAGGACAGTAATTCAAAGACTTTGAACGTCTTCGCGTATTCCGTGAGCACGAACCATTCTCTCTCGTGCCAATAATGATAGTCTGCCTGAGTGATGAATCGGAGCTCCGTGAAAGTGTGTTTGGGGCTCTGTTGTCATTTAACATTGGTTTTTCAATCTTTTGAGAAATAAACTCACGGGCACTGCGTACTTGTTCATGAATATCGGATCGTTCAGAAGGGATTTCGAACACAGCGCCTCTCGGAAACTTCTTTTTGGCAAATAATCCGAGAGACGCATATCGTTGCACCTGAATTCATACATATTTTGTAAGCAGCACTTCTGGTTGATTTCACTAACACTTTTTCTCTGTTCGCCACGTAACTCCAGTAGGTTTCGAGCGGTTTTGCGGGAGAGACTGGCGAGGGAAGGCAGCATTCTCCGGGTGACATTTCACTCGAACTGCCCGGTGAAATCTCTTGCACTTTTGATTTTCGGTTCCGTTTCGTGTAGCCGATACGGTCTCTCGATGCTTGAAGAGCCGACCGATCCATTCCCACTTGGAGACACTTCTCGAATCGGCAGAATCTGCACGCGCATCGGATACTCTTGTCGACGGGACAGTTCTTTTCGTGTTGGCAGATGAACAACTGCTTCTTCATTATTGTTCGTCGAAAGAACGTTTTGCTGCAATCATTTGGTACATTTATAATATTTTAAACATTATGCAGTTCAGAAAAGAACTTTCGTACTCTTTATTTAAGAAAACTCACATATAAGGACTCACCATCCGTTGCAAGAAGGAACTCCGTAATGATAGCCACTGGAGACATCTTGACAGACAAGGCACATTTCTTCCGAATCCATTTGAACACGGAAAATCAATGGGAAACGTGTGTGACACGAGGGCAAACAGATGCAACTGACGGAGAGGGAGAAGAAAGAAACGGAAGGGATCACAGGGTTCACACGGACTATCACACTTCGATTCCTCTCTTTCGAAATCGATCTCAGAAGAGAATCAGATGCGATTGGAGGCTAAATATGACAGCATGATAGTTGTGAAATTGTGAAGAGTAAAAGAACGAATTGAACGGAGGGGTCATAAAATTAGTGCACTTGAGAAGCCACGTGAAAAAGAAAGTGAAAGAAATAAATAGAAAGAGAGAAGAAAGAAAAAGTGCTTAGTGATCGCAAACTGAACTGTGATCATGACTCTTTTCCTTTTCATTTGAACTTTTCCACGTGGAAAATATGACTCGAAAACATTCGGAAACTGTTCAAAAAGTGGTTGAGCGCGCGTCTCGGTATCCGCGGCGCCTTTGCGGAAAAGAGCGAAAAGGCTACTCGAGGCGCTTGTTTCTCATCCAACAGCAAAAATTAGAATTTCCAAAAGAGGGAATTTTGATCGTCAAGATATTTCAAAGCATTCAACGATTTTTCATTTCAAATTTGAGTCCGGCTTCAAAATATCATTGCAAAACATCATTGTTTGGTGGTGTTTGAAAGTCATTTTATTCGGTATTCGGAACAAAAACAACACGAGTGATGATGATAAATATCGGGAATAAATCAAGTTCGGGCACAAAGAACAGTTCTCTCAGCCGACTTCTGGCATCGCCGAAATTGTCATTTTGGGCGGAGCCGCACTCGTTTGTGACGAAGCCAAAAACTGTTTTTTGAGCAGTGAAAGTCGCTCGTTGAACATTATCATGATGAACCTGAAAATTACAGACGAAAAGAAAACGGCCAAAAGTTATGGAGCCATTTTGGACTCAAAGTCTACATATTTTCTATTGGTAACGCATAATTAGAAATTGGTCCCATAACAAAATAACATCAGAATTGGAGGGAGCATTAGTCAGTGGAAGCAAAAAACAAACTTACCCGTCAATGGAATGAAGGCATTGCCAAACAAAGTTGCCGCTGATATACGACCAGAAACGGGCGTCGCTCAGTTGGCTGAGTTTGATCATAAACGAAAGGTCGATGAGGTAGAGGGAGTCCTGAAGAGCTGTCTGGATAAACAGAAACACGTTCCGGCGGATCCGCTTTTTCGTTTCTCGGTCTTCGATTTGTTTTGACTGAAAGTACATTGACAGTAAAATAGTAGGACACTTTTTCAAAGGAATATATTTGAGTTGCCGGCGGAGATGTCAACTTAAAAGTTGTTCACTAAGACATTTTGTACATTTTATGCGTTGACAACTTTTTGATATCTCAACAGGCAGCTGAGATACATCGCCTTAAACTTTGTTCTCCAATCTGAATCTCTTACCCTGTAAAATCTGATAATTTTTATCAAAGTAGACACGTTGATAGCAGTCATAATAACGAAAGTGGCTGATATCACAGTTAAGATATTGTCCTCTACATAACATCTTGGTTCTGGACTATAGACCCACGCAAGAGCATCGATTGAGTAGAATGTGTAACATTCCTCTCCTTGAAAAAGTGATGGGAACTATGTTTATGAAAAAGATGCGAACTGACCGACTTGTGGAGCAGTTTCGTAGATAACGATAGCAATCCGGAAGATGTAAATAGCCAGAAGAATGAACTGAAAATGAAGAAGTGATCAAACGATTTTTAGAGTTTAAAATCTACGAACGAGTGTGGTGAAGAAGCCGCACAGTTTGTGATAATAGAACGGAAGAAACATGGCAATGAACCGATTGCAGGCCACCAGAATGATTTGATACTCATTGCCCATGTACAGAGTGTTGGAAATGTGAATGAGCCAGCACTCCAATGCGGGAGAGTACGGGGAGAAACCTCTGAGATAATTGAATTGCAAAAAGATTAGGTCAGAGAAATATCAACTAACAAAAGGGTTTTCGGAAGGAAAAGCGCCAGAAACGTGGTGGCCAAGATGTAAATATTGGAGAGAGCTCTGAAGACGCAAATCAGATTAAACGAGGTCCGTTCGGATCGTTCTTTGTAGAAAACGAGCACAATTGAGCTGTTGCAAACCACTCCGAACACTCCGATCTTAAAAAAATTAAGGTGTTCTGTAATCTGAGCGAAACTCACGACAAGCAGGATACACGAAACCGTCATGTTCAGCGGGTCTTTGTAGTTCAGAGAAGCGGTCACGTTAGCCATGTCTTGTAGGAAGTGAAAATGGAAGTAAGATTGAGAGCTACCTTTCTTACTTAATCCCAACGGACCAAATCAGCGGATGACATTGCAATTCGAATCATGAATGTCTTGACTAGAAAAGATTAGAATGGGAGCAAAATTTTCGGTTGAATTTCTGACCACGCTTTTGGTATTTCTGTTGATAATTGCGGGGTTGGAAGTTCTCTGAAAGCAGCACTCCGTGACATCAATCCACTCCCGGATAGATGCTTCCCGTGGTCTGCCGTCTCTCTCTTTTCGGGGGCACCTGGCTGAGTGCGGACGATGACTGCTGGAGGTATGACTTGAGGAAGGCAAGTCGTTCATTGAACATTATCATAATGAATCTGGAAACAGAGTACTCTCAGTCTTATTAAGTTCAAAATACCCGTCGATAGAGTGTAGTGTCTGCCAGATTAGTGTTCCCGAGATGAATGTCCACAGTCTGTGCTCGAACATTTCACTGCAAAAAGAGTTTAAACGCGGAACTGATCGTCAGTAAACTTTAAATAAAACGTGAATGTCAGATCGATTATGTAGAGGGAATCTTGTAGAACTGTCTGGAAGAACAGTCGGATGTTCTTCTTTTGTTTGATTCTCGAAGTTGAATCAAACTGAAACTTCTCCTGAAAACTGCGTGGATCGATTAGCTGATTAACATTTTGTTCTTATTTACCCTGTAGAAGCACATAATTTTCAAGAAAATCGCGATATTCAATGCAGTGGTTATCATGAAAATGGCTGCGTAAACAGTGATATCGTCATCGAAAGGATCGCAATTCTCATTTGTGGTCACTTGGAAAATGAGCAACTTTGGAGAGAAATAAATCCAACAATATCTGCTCGTGAGCGACAGAACCAGTTCATAACTGATTTGAACTACACGCAATCCGTAGAACAGGAGAAGAATAGTCTGCCACAGTCAAATTTGGTTTTTCTTTAGTTTATAATGTCTCACTGCAGTCAGTTTCATGCCGCACCACCCGGAATAACGGATTGGAAAGTAAATGGCCCATAATCTGTTTAGTGATGTTAACAAAGTGAGATTCTGATTGGAAACGTAGCCTGCTATGGAAGTTGCAATCAGCACTGACGTCATTGGAATTGAAAATATCGGGGTGTAACCTCTGAAGAATACGATATCAACAGAAAGTTAAACGTATGTACAAAAGTGTGGTTGGTAGGAAGACACATCCAAATATTGCCACGAGAATGTACAGGTTCACGGCGGCTCTTATCATACAAATTGCATTAAAGGATGTCCGTTCTGATCTATTCGTGAAGAATATGACAAGCATTGTCAGGTTGCAAATGGCTCCGAATACGTCTATCTGAAAAGGTACTTCCCAATTGAGTTCAATCGCAGTTTCAGCCCGACCGTACCATGCTCATAGAAATACCAGCAACCAGATTGTTCGGATTGTGAAAGTTGTAGTTAGATTCATTTGGAATACTCATGACAAGATCGGAGAAGAAAAAAAAAAGAAATGTTGACAAGAAACTGGAGGTTACTTGCTGTGTACACCTTGAATAAAGTAATCAAGCGGAAAATTTTCAGATGGGTGCTTCTGATTAGATCAGTCGATTCGCGGAAGAGGTGTAACTGCCGACGGAGCAGTTTCAGAAACGGGAAACGACGGCGTTGAGCGGAAGAGCGATCGGAGGAACGAGAGACGTTCGTTGAAGAGAATCATGATGAATCTGGAAAGGAAAGAGCCTTCTCGATGAGGGAAGAGACGGACTGACCCGTCGAGCGAATGCAAGCTCTCCCACACAAGTGTTCCGCTGATGAACGTCCAGAGCCGCGCGTTCGAGAGTCCGCTCAGTTTGAATGTGAAAGTGAGGTCAATGACGTACAATGAGTCCTGCAACACTGTCTGCAGAAATAGCATGATGTTCCTCCTCTCCGCCGATGTTATCCTTCTTCCTTCTCGTGCCGTTGACTGGAAAACTACTCGTACAACAATGTATCTCTGACACAAAAACTGGGTAAAATGCTTTACGATCACCTACTAAGACCTGGACTTTTGTTCATAACTCCGAACCCAGAATCATAGTTGGGCAAGTTTGGGTCTGATCGGACATCGACAAGTCATTTGCTTGGCCGTCAGCATTACTCACCTTCTGGTACAGTATGATTTTGGTGAAAATCGCAATGTTCAAACATAGAACAGTGACGAAAGTGATAGAAACCACGAGAAGAATATTGTCGTCTTCAGAGCAAGCCGGGTCTTCTGTTAATGTCCAACTCAGCTTTTCAGGCGAAAAAAATATGAAACACTGGACATCTGTTGGAGTATCTTCTTTGAAATAAAAGAACGATTGGATGAAAAGCGACACGAAGCGGTAGCCGTAAATCATGCAAAGGGCAACCTGAAACGGTTTCTGATCATTTAGATCTTTGGTTTCTGATTGTGTCTCACTAAAGTGGGTCGGAATCCGAAGAACTTTGAGTAATAGAGAGGTTTAAAAAGAGCGCAGAATCTGTTGACAGCGACCAGAATGGTCTGGTACTCGTTTCCAAGGTAAAACGTGTTTGAGAAGATGATCAGGAAGGCTTCGACGACAGGATTGTAAAGCGAATAGCCACTGAACATGCATTTAGAGCCTGAATTGGTTTCAGAACACTTACAGAAAAGCGGTTGGTAGGAAGTAAATCAGAAAAGTAGTGATGAGCACGTAGAGATTGATGCACGCCCGGAACAAACAAATGAGATTGAAAGAGCTGCGGCTTGCTTTGTCTTTTTTGAACGCGTAAATGATGAGACTATTGCAAGTGACTCCGAACAAACCCATCTGAAGAGAAAGTACGTTGAAACTGAGAAGAAAGAATGAAACTGACTGAGAGCAGACAGATTGAAGCGATAAGATTGATGAAATTCCGATGATCTTCCATCCGAATCCAACTGAATTCAGTTGTCAACGACCGAGACAAAGCCGTCACCTAGCAATTATACGGAAATTTTTGGCAGTTTGAACACTTAGAAGTACATCTTTTTTTATGTCGGATAACAATAACAAACAGTCAAGAAATACGATTCATTTTTCGATGTTGGAATGGGGACCAGTCGACGCTTGCGACACACGGATGAAGGAAACTTTGGAGGCGAGTGGCTGGAACAGTTGCTTTTTGAGGAACGAGAGACGTTCGTTGAACATGATCATTATGAATCTGAAAAAGGGAAAAAAGGGAAAAGATGAGAGTGGTCCGAGCGGGTTACCCATCGAGAGAATGAAGGGATTCCCAGACGAAAGTGCCGCTGAAGAACGTCCAGAAACGGTTGTCGAAGAAGGAGAAGAAGTAGAAAGTGAAGGAAATGTCGATGAGATATAAAGAGTCTTGCATGAGAGTTTGGATGAACAGGTACGCGTTCTTCTTTATTCGTTTTCGGGATTCTCGGCCTTCTCGCTTTTGATTCTGTCACGAAATCATATAGAAAGGCACCCAATACCGATCATTGAAAACGATGTATCGCTGCTGCCAATGGAGATATCAAGAAGTTGACAACTGACAAAATATTCACTGAACATTTGTACACTTTATCAGTAGACCACATTCTGATAACTCTACTTGCAGCTGAAATACGTCGTTTTAAATGAATCCTTATACATACTACGGTTAACCTTAACTTACTCACTCTGTAAAACGAGAAAACTTTTCCGAAAGTTGCCATATTGAAGATGGAAACAATTGTGAAGTTGATGGCCATGAACAGAAGTATTCCACTGTTACTTTCACACTCCAGAGAGAAATCGGGCAACCAGGATAGGTACTCCACGTAGTAAAGGACCGAACAGCCCAGAGCTGAAAGGGTTTTAATGGATAATCAAAGGGGAGCTTCCTGAATACCGGTGTAATTGATAATCTCTCTAGTGACCGCAAGGATACGGTACGCATAAACCAAAGATACTGCTAGCAAGGTCTTCTTAATCTCGAATATCATCGAGTAGTGAACCGGGAAGAAAAGTGAGACGAAGCGGTTGACGGCGATCACGATCGTCATGTATTCATTGGCTATGTAGAGCGAGTTGGCCATGCAAATCGCCCACGTCTCCAGAGTCTTACTGTACACTTGCACTCCCCTGAACACACGCGAATTGCCACGTCACAAGAGGAGAATGATGTACGTGAGAGTGATGGGAATGAAGAGAAACAAATGATTCGTGAGCAGGATGTAGATGTTGATGACGGCTCGGAACACACAGATCACGTTGAACGAGGACCTCTCTTTCGTTTCGCTCACAAAAATGTAAACGATCAAAGAGTTGCAGATCACTCCGAACACTCCGTTCTGAATGGACATTGTGTGAGGATCGGACTAAATTCGACCCACCAGAAGCATCAAAACGGAGGCGACGAGCGAAGTGGGATCTTCATAGTTGTAAAATAAAGGAGCTTTCTCGTCTGTCGAATTGGAAGCCATGCGGAACTAAAAAGGAAACGAAAATTGTGTGTCTGGACAGGTCCCTGAAGGCGAGGAGTCAATCCGTGAAAAAAGAGCCGGATGTTGCACACTCATTTAAAGTACACGTTCATGTCCGAATTGAGGAAAATGCGATCAGCAAAATAAACTCTAACGTATTCATTTTTCTGAGAAGCGCGTGACTCCCGTCACTAATGGCATCCTTCAAGAACTTTGCGAGAAGCCAAATGACAGAGTCTGGCTGAAATTCTGAAAAGGAGGGAAAACCAAAACTCAGATGGAAACAGAGACCGCCGAAGAAGCTGACTAACGTCCTAAATAGCACCTGCCGGTGGGCTCTCGGACAGAGTGAAACCTATCAGAGTATTTATGGATCTACGTATGTAGAAAAACATCTGGATTTTGAATCACCCACCGCGCGAAGCAAACGCGCCCCGCTGGACTCAGTACTTTGCATTTTGTTGGTGAAATTTCACGAAAAATGCATTTGGAGACGGAAAAGTACCGAGTCCTGCGGAGCGCGTTTGCCTATCGCGGCGGTTGAGCAAAAAGCCAGTTGAAGAGCTCACCTTTTGTGATGAAAATAGAGAAATTAGCATCATCAGAAGTTCTTCTCATCAGAACTCTATTTCATTTCGTGGCCTTCAATCCCACGCATCCGAATAGCAATGAACAAGTTGGAGATGGTCTCAGCCGAGACCCAAGTCGCGATCTTTCGGGATCACAAACCTTATGAGACTAATATGAGTGGACTGAGGGAATGTAGAGAAAAGGAAATTAATATTTTTGTTATGGCGGAGATATCTGATTGCTGTTGTAGTTGCTGTCAATGAAAACGAATGGCGCAAACTGTGCTGATAAAGCGAGTAAGTAGCAAATTGAGAAAAGCGTTTAGAATTATCAATAGTCGCCGCCGCCGAAGTCGCCGCCACCGTAATCGCCTCCTCCGTAGTCCCCTCCGTCGTACGCTCCGTCGTCGTATCCGCCACTACCGTAATCCATCCCACCGTAGTCGTCATTGGCGTTTCCGTAGTCGTAACTGTCATTGTTCTGATCCCACGAGTTCTCGTTCGCATTTCCATAGTTATTGTCAGATTGTTGGTGAGACTGATCGCCGGCATTCTGAAAAAGATGATGATTATGCTGAGCCTGTTCGTAGACGAGCTTACTCCAGGATTATCGGTGTTAGTGTTGCTTGGGTTGTTCTCTCCGCTATTCCCTCCGTTGTTGCCGCCGTCTCCAGTGTTGTAGTAGTTGTTTGTGATGTTTGTGTCGTTATCCGAGTAGTATCCTCCGCCCATACCGTATCCTCCACCGTATCCTCCACCGTACCCACCGCCATATCCATGATGTCCTCCCCACATGGATCCCAAGCCGTAACCGAGAAGACTTCCCGCCAGATTCCGCCTCCGAAGCCCAGTCCAGTGCTTCCGAATCCACCGCTGCCGCCGCCGTAACCACCACTTCCGTATCCGCCGTCTCGCACGATGACAGTGGTATGCGATGGAGCCGCCGCTCCGATTGGCTGTTGCGGATATCCACCGTACGGCGGCGGAGCTCCGGCTCCTCCTTGAGGGTAAGTGGGTCCGTTGGGCGGACGATATCCTCCGACGGTTTGTACTGGGGGAGGCGCGCTCGGGTAGACTGCGGGAGGCACTGAAAAACTCACTTTACTCTTCTATCTCTCAGTTGTGCCACTCACCGTATCCGCTGTTGTTTCCTATTGGTTGTTGTGGTGGTGGTGGGCCCGTCGGCGGTCCTTGCTGACCATCCGTCGAAGGTGGAGTTGCCGGCTTCGGCAGTGTCTTGGTGATTTCTGTGAACCATGATCTGGAAGAAAGAGGAGTCAGACATGATCTAGTCAGGACTGAAACTATAGTAACTTACTCGATGTCCGAATCGGAAGAGAAGAGAATCCAGTGGACCGGATCGGCGCGCGGGTTCATTCCGATTCCGACGAGGTGGTGCACAGAGTTTCCGTCGGGCACATTCGGTCTTTTGACTGAGATTGAATTCCGTTTAGTCTGAGTCGGACTTTTCTGTTACCTGGCATTCTATCCGTCATCAGGCCGACGCAAATGTATGGAATGACATCTTTAAGAAGGACACTTCCTTTCGGCTTGCGGTCTCCCTGAACAACTGACAATAAGTTCAATTTTTCTAGGATGATTTTTCAGCCTCACCTTTTGGTCATACCAGCAGAGTCGCGAGTCACTAAACAGGATCGCGTACACTTTCTTCCATTTCGACGAGAAGAATCCAGAACTGTATTTGAGAATATCTCCGTCTTTGAGACGACGAATGTCTCCTCTTGCGCTAGCTGAAATTGGAAATTTCAACAAGTTTTATCAAACTCAGAAGAACTTACCCATATCGACAGCAGCCTCAGAGGTGCAGAACATAAAATAGAAATACTATTTTGAGTACTGAAAAGCGAAAATGAGGGCGAATATAAGGGTGGCAGAGAGAAAGGAGCGGAGAGAGAAGAGACGCAGAGAGGAGGAGGGCGGCGAGAGAGTGTGCGGAGGAAGGAGGGGGCAGACGAGGAGAGGAAAGCACACAACCACGAGACAACAAACGAAAGGAAACGGCACGTTGCCAGGGGAAATTGTGGAGTGTGATGGGAAAAATAAAGGCACTACTAGGTGAGAGGGTATCGATCCGCCTCCGAACAAAGCCCGCAGCAGGTTCTCATTGAAAGCTCGAATTTCCAGAAGCGACGTCATCGCGTATTGCGAAATACTTGTTTTTTGTGAAGAATGAGTCATCCATACAAAGTTGAACTCGCGACCGACTCTTATTAGAAAAAGACGGAGAAACTATTGTTAACAAGGGCAACAGAATGTTTATTGAAATGACAAAAGTTAGTCACGTTTGATGTAATACATTGCAACCGTGGAGCAACTAGAAGAATGTTCGGGTTGAACATGAAAAGTGGGGAAGAAATGTTATTTTTATTTAGGAACCAAAATCGCGAACATTTGTGAACATGGTTCGAATTTCCCGCTCATATTTTGTCGCTGCCTAGCGACTCTCTTCCTTGCTATTTGAAGGGGCCGGTGCGATTCGGAGCAATGAAAACGACTGGGAGCATAGTTGATCCAACATCAGAAAATCGAATTTATATCCCTTGCTGACCATGAGCGTTTACTAAAGCACTAAATGTTAAGCACTCTGTGTTGATGTGCAAGCCTGAAGAATGGAACACCAAAAATTTCTGCGGTAGCGTAGTAATCGCTATGACGCAGAGAGAAAGATACAATAGAGACAATGACGCACTATTGACTCTCTTTCTCTCTCAGCTTCCTACTTTGTGTTCTGCTTTCAAATTGTGATGTTATGATTGAGTTCCTTGTCTGATGGCACACATCATAGTCTTCAAACCTCCTCACAATTACTTGTTATGCGATGCGAAAACAGCTCTATTTCAGCAATATTCATCCTTATAAAATTGCACCCTGACAAGTGATAAAGAAGAAAAATTAGAAAGAGGGAACGATATAAGTAACGTTTCCGGAGACTACGGTTTCATAGGGAGGGGGCGACGGGCATCTCATCACGGAATTGTACGAGGGAGGCGAATCGGGGTTCCGTGGAGGGACCGTGTTGTGCTGGAGCTGTGGAAGCGGCCGACGGAGCTTCTCTCGCAGCCGCCATGCGTCCTCGAACTCTTTGCGCATTCGGTTTTTGGCATAGACAAGCAGCCACATGAGGAGGAAGATGATTCTGGAAACATCAGAGTTCATGACAGGATGACTACGATGGCTTACATCAAGAAGTAGGGGAATCTGGGGAGGTTGTAAGTACACTCCAGGCCTCTGCAGGATTGTCCCCAGGAACACGTGTACAGCAGAGATCTGACTTGTGTGCCATTGCGGTAAAAGGTCTGAAAGTTAATGTTTCTCGGTTCTACTAAATTCGCTCTCACATTATCGAGTTCGCCATCCAACATACTGATGCGATATTCACAGAGATTGGACACCTCCTCCAAGTCCATAAAAGTCTCATTCCAGTAGTATTTCATGCGATTGTATTCGATCGGAACACTAGGGCCTACGATGTAGTACTTGTTCTGTTTGAAGTCGGCGGAGTCGAAGAAGGGCATGTTCTTCGAGTAGACGACACGCAAGAATCGGTCGTGGTGGTCTTGTGAGGCTTCCCTACAAAAAGTTGCATGTTATGAAGCGATGTTGGAACAACTGGAACCCGATGGCTAGTTACGAATTGTAGGTGCTTTCAACTCCATCAACTAATTTCAAGTGACCAATCCGAGCCACAAGAATTCGATTACTTACGAGTAGTACGTGATGGCCCTGGCAGGCTCGGCGACAGCGCATGACTGGATGAAGAGGAAGAACAAAGCGACGAACATCATCGTGAATGATGCAATCAGAAGACTGGGCGAGCGAGAAGAGCTCTCTAGGATAGACGAGAAACAGAATGCGCAGAGAAAGCGCCTCCGCCCGTTGCCCGGGTATTCCACCTGAAGTCATAACATTTCTTGACTCGCTGACGTCAAATTGAGATCAAACTGCACGCGGAACATTTGATGAAATCATTGATGAAAAGTTGGAAAATTAGGAGATGGGAGGTCGGGGGAAACAAAGTGACATCACTCATTTTCGACGGGGTTACTGCAAACCGGTACTTTTCGGCCTTTGGGTTCGAATTGAGTGACATGAAAGGAAGCGACATCTCGAGAATGTTCTAATTGAAATCTGTTTTGTTGGATATGGAAAACAGCCGTGTAGTTGGCATGGGAACGTGAGATTTTTTGATTCCGGAAACAGTCTCTGGAGACATTGAAAGAGCTTGAAACCAAGAAGGAAGTGATAGAAAGGATATTGACTCTCCATTCGCACTCCACATAATCCGCCACATTTGCTCGTGAATTGGACACACCTTCCATCAAAAGAATGACTGAGAAGAATGAGAAATTGGAATGAGGTTTATTCACTTCTCAGGTCACATGCTCTCGAATGTGGGCAGAAGGTGACAAATAAATCTGCGAGTCTATAACATTTTATACCGAAACACAGAGAAGAATCATAACTCCCTCTTTCAATCCCTCGAGCCGGACGGCGTGCGCAGTGCGCAACGACAATCGATCGGCTGTGATCTGGACAGAAGAAATAGCCTTACCACATCCTAATCTCTGAAAAGAAAGAAACTTAAATGGTTTTACTCGCTTCTCAAGTCACATTAGCATGCATTTGAAAGTGATTCAAGGGACGAATACCTATTTCTGGGAGTTCATAAAAATTTATACTTAACAAAGAAAAGAAAGATTGAAGAATCATTAGTTAATTATCAACGATAGATGGATGGATGAAACTCACAGATTAGAGAAGCAGAGAACATTATTCGGATGGGGGAGATACGATGGAAATGTACCCGTGGTACACGAAGAAAGTGAGAGGGGTTCATTGGGGAAGCAACTAGACGACTATTAGGGTTAGAATGTCATAAATGAAGGGGAAAAGGGAGGCAACTTTGAGAGCATTGTACAAATTGACGGAAGGTTAGAATTAACATTTGTAGATCTACAGAAAAACGATACGATGAGAAGCCCGGCGGGTTTCTAGAGAACCATGGCGGTGACAGCCCCGAGTTTAAAGTCATCGTCGGATTCGGATGACGAAACGGAGACGGAAGAAAAGGAAAGGACGGTCGAGGAAGACGTTATCGACTGCGTTTCTTCGTCAGTCTCGTCCGCATTCGAAGAAACATCGACTTCGGTGAGCGACACTTTCTTCTTTGGCATCAATTTCTCGACCAGCTTTTTGATATTTTCGTCTTCCCCTTCCTCCTCGCCAATCTCCTTGATTCCGGCCTTTTCGAACAATTCCAGAAGTGCCGGGAACATCTCAGTGTACTCGTGACAATCGCAATCGAGGGCCGAATCAATCTGCATTAAAAATTACGATTTTCACGATGATTCCGTTGCTCACCGTGATATCCGTCTGATCGTTTTCCACATGCACCGTACTCTCTGAAGGGCCTTCCGGCTGTTCGTCAATGTGATAAGAGAGCTGCAACGGAACCTCCTCGTCGTCGACGATCATCTGACGATCAGTAACGATGGTTCTGATGGGGAGAGTGGTTCGTTCAATCGGTGGGACAGCCTCAACCGGCACTTCGAGACATTCGCACGCAATTCCATCGAACCGTATCGCCTCGTTCATTTCCATATTTGGATGTCCGGTCAGATGATCAACTTGGACCGACTGTAAAATAAAGAGAACGATGCTTTCAAATTTGAATCGAACACACAATTTGAACGTTTTTCTTCCCTTTCTCGAAGTTGCATGGCTTTGAGCAGCAAAATCGAACGACAACAGTCACATTAGGAGTGTGTGGAGAGTTGAGAATGAACGTGGAAGTGTACGAGATGCGCGCTTTTCGCACTCTCGCCTCCACCTCGACAAACGGTTCGATTTCGCCTCGCAGCTTTCTCTCCAACGACGCCTAAAGCTTGATAATCACTTGCGAGCCCCCCGCTGTTTTATTCAACAACCTTTCTGGAGTGAATGGTGGCGTAGACGTAGTCAGTTTTGACTTTCACCCCTTTGAAAGCGGCATACTCCTCAATGAACTGGTGCAAGTATCCGAGAGAGACGACACAGTTCCGGAATTCGATGCTCAGTAGGGACTCTCTGACACAATCTTCGCCGCTTCTGATGATGTACTTGAAAAGAGCCTCGAAGTTGTCGACAGTCCAACCGTTCGTCAGATAGTACATATTCGGTGGTCGAGTCTCCACTTTCTTCAAACATTGCTTCAGGAACATCATCTGTTGGTCTGAAACGAATATTTCATTTGTAAAATGTCAAATTGAATCGCACCGGTCGGATAAAAAGGTCCCGGTTTGAAGCACGCCTTTTCGACCCCATTCTCCTCGTCGGTTTCGCCGGTGATCTCATTTCCATCGTAAATCACATTCTGCAACTTCATTTCGAAATGTCGGATTAGTCGGAACAGTTTATCAACCTTCAGATCAAAATTGATTTCCTCAGTCATTCTTCGAATTACATTCAAGTCGCCAGACGACAATCTTCGAAAACGATGGCTTGGAGTTATTTTTCGAACGGGTTTCTGAATTTGGAAGTGAATTTTCGTTCGCATCACATTCAAATACCACAGGCGCGACTGGCTCTTCTTCGTAAACCGTCGTCTCTTGAATGAGAGCTATTCCGCCGCCGTTGGGAAGATTGATCGGCTCGACAGTGGCCTGAGCAAGGATCGTTCCGATTTGTTCGTTCGGGTCCGATAGAATCCGTTCGAACGTAAGCCTGTTGCAGTCGCGAATCTTCACTGGATTTGCTTTCTGAAACAGAAAAGGAACAATTTCGGCTAAGAACAACGGGCGAAACCTTTGAGAAAATGCTTCTCCAGCGTGATCGGACACGCGAAAACACGCCGTTCTTCTCCATTTAACCTGAAAAGAGTTTAGAACAAAAATTTAAACGAAAATGAGGCGGTGAGTCATAAAAACAAAGGTTTCGTCCGTTTTCGCGGGAAAATCAGAGATCAGACCGAAAGAGTCGTTTTATTTGACACTTTGAAAAAAAAAGAACAATCTTAAAAGAGTAAACACTGAGAAAAACATTAGAAAACTGTGCTGTCTCACAAAAAAAGTGAAGATAATCGGGAACTTCTGAGGAAATTTTAAAAGAGATTTTACGTGTCGTGAAATGCGTCGCATTTCCCGTAGTTTGTGAATGCACCGTTGTCTACCGTACTTTTAATTTCAGGAAAATTGTGAGACTGAATTCAGCGCTGATGCCATTCAAAACATGAAGAAATGGAAAGCAAAACAGAAAAAATATTATTATAACTTTATTCAGTAAACAACGCAGGATTTTCGTATGTGTGGCCCTAAAGAGGGCAGTTGGGCTCTGTGGGTTAGCGTTCAGCTCGAGAGCTTACTTGCTGGAGGTGTACTTGCTTGATTCGCTCGGAGACGGCGTGCTTGGCGAGCACTCCCGGAAGGATCAGACGGACGTCCGTCTGGATTCCGCGGGAAAGATCGTCGAGGGCTTGTTGTAGTGGGCAAGATGAGAGGCCTCGGTGGCGATGCGCTCGAACACGTCGTTGACGAAAGATCGAGTTTATGATGAACATGGCTTTGGAAGAGACTCTCGTGTCGGGGTGGACCTGCTTGAGCACACGGTAGATGTACACAGATGTGATAATGCACTTTTGAAATTCGCTTAATAAAGTAAATTTGTTTTTCACTGCATTCTAGGTCAGTACTCTTAACTGCCGCGGACACCCCTTGCTTTCCACTTCGTGCTCCCGTCCAGTGCCATTTGGTTTATATTTCCGCGGGTTGATCTAAAGTTGCTCCGATGACGTCATTCTTGACTCGCTTGTGACGCACACGGGACTCGGTGTGACTCGTTGACCTAGTTTCTGCAAAGCAGCTGCTCGTCAGATCACGCAACAGCAGTTGTCTATTTTTAAATTTACACTGATTTACACTGAAGAGGTGGATAACAGGATACGGTATCGCATGACAGGACTTTCGAAATCGAAGTTACATTGAACGAATTTATTACGGGGTCAATTGAAAAGGTTATTAAAAGTGGATGTCAGGATTGCGTTCTATCACTCCAAACGTTTTTGAACCAATTCGGTAAAAGTCCAAAACTTTTACGCAAAAGCCTCACAGCTTTGCGTGCACAAGTTTTCAAACTTTCAGAAGAGAAGCGGAAGTTTTACATGAAAGTTGGTGCCTACCGAACTGGAGAATTTCAAATTTAGGTCCTGTCTATTGCAAGTATGTTAAAAAGTAATAATAAGTTCAATATACAACGCGCATACATTTATTAATTCACACAATAATATTGTTGGATTCATATAATTGTGGCCCTAAAGAGGGCCGTTGGGTTCGGTTAGCGGCGAATTGAAACGTACTCAAACATCTAGAAGCCTAGAAATTTAAGCGCGCTCTCCTCGAATGCGTCTGGCCAGCTGGATGTCCTTTGGCATGATCGTGACTCGCTTGGCGTGAATGGCGCACAAGTTGGTGTCCTCGAAAAGTCCGACGAGGTAAGCCTCAGCTGACTCCTGGAGGGCCATGACGGCGGACGACTGGAAGCGGAGATCCGTCTTGAAGTCCTGGGCGATCTCACGGACAAGGCGCTGGAATGGCAGCTTGCGGATGAGAAGCTCGGTGGACTTCTGGTAACGTCTGATGGAGCGCATTCGGATGACTAGACAGCTGTCTAGATGTGTCCCCGCAGAGGGGTTCAATCTGACTCCGCCCCTTGCACCGGAGAATACAGGTGACGCGCATGTAAGCGGCCGCAACGACGTCATTCTCATCTCACTTGTGAGTCTTCATTAATCGCTGCAACAATGTCCGGACGTGGAAAGGGAGGAAAAGGTCTCGGAAAAGGAGGAGCCAAGCGCCATCGCAAGGTCCTTCGTGACAACATCCAAGGAATCACGAAGCCGGCCATCCGCCGTCTCGCCAGAAGAGGAGGAGTCAAGCGCATCTCCGGACTCATCTACGAGGAAACCCGTGGAGTCCTGAAGGTGTTCCTTGAGAACGTCATCCGTGACGCCGTTACCTACTGCGAGCACGCCAAGAGAAAGACCGTCACCGCCATGGACGTCGTCTACGCTTTGAAGCGACAAGGAAGAACCCTGTACGGTTTCGGAGGATAATTTCGATTATCTCTTCGTTGCCTACGACAACCAACCGAACCCAACGGCCCTCTTTAGGGCCACAATTACCAAAAATCCTATCTTTCCTCGCCACTTGATAATAAAGTTTTATGTACGTACGTTTGATTATATTTGATTATTATTATAGATTTAAATGAAGCAAAGTTTAGCGTGACTCCTTTGTCTTGAGTATCTTAACATCGCCCGATGTTTTCTGTAACACCCACTTAAAAGGTTCCCTTGTTGTGAGCCTTCCTTGTTTTCTGTTTCCGATGATATCTTGACCACAATCTGATTAGCTGTACTGATACCAAAGTGAGTATCAGCCATTGTTTCCCGAATGCTTTCTCAAATCATGATTTCAACTAACTTCAGTGGTGTTGACACATTTCAAATATCGTAAAACACCGCGTATCCAGAATTCCAGTACTTTCCGATGACAAATCGTTTGTGTCACAGCGAGATAATAGGTTCTCGTGACATCACTGAAATTGAGCAGACGCCCATGAAAGTATGTGTATGAAATCTACTTACGAATACTTTGTGGTCTCTGTTCTCACTTCCATAACCGCTTGTTTAGAGTTGAATAAAAGTATCGCAAGTTGCGGCGGAATCATGAGAGCACCGAATCCCACCTAATCACTGGTTGTGCTTCTCGAAATCAAACAAACAAAACGGACTGGCTCGGTAATTTATTATTCGCCTCAGAGTAATCACAGATATCAGAAGGGAAATAGCATCAACATCAGAGCTCATTTTTTGAAAGTGGTGTGAATTTGACTGGAACTGAGTGGCGTGAATCGTACGGCGAGTTGTGCTCGTATTGATTGTACTGCGGGGGCGCGGAATAAACGGGCGGTACATTTGGATTGGACGAACGGTTGGAAGCCAGGCGGTGGTGGCGGAGCGGAGGGAACACTGTACGAGTGGGTAGTGGTGGTGGTGGTTGCGATGACTGGGACGGAAGTGACGACGGTCTCCGTCTCGCAGAGTCCCTTCTTGCTGCACCACGAGCAGAAGCAGAAGAGCAGGCCGAGGGCGCAGATGATTGCACTGAAGAGATGAACGATTATCAATGGAGCTAGTCTTGCTTACATGAGTATAACCCATGTTGATGCGCTGTTGGAGCAGCACTCGAGACCACAGCATTCTTCGTTGTTCTTACATCCAAATGTCAGTGTAGTCGGTTTGGTGCCATTTGAGAACGTCACCTACAATCATTATTTATGAACTATTGAACCCGAAAGACTAGACTATAAACTCACATTTCTCAACTCTTCATCTTCATCGCTGATTTCATATTCGCACTTTTGAGGTCTCTGGTAATCGGACACATAGTGACCTCCCCAGTAATAGTGATAGCTGCCAAAACTGAAAAATATGTTAGGAAAGGAAAGTTTGAGATAATCAGGTTGAGTTCCGTACTAGAGTGGAGTGACGGGCGAGATGATGACGTGCGAATGCATCATGGGAGAATACATGAAAGTGGTGCTGGTGGAAGTGGTGTGGAACACATTTTGACGGAAGTTGGAGTTGTATTGAGCTGAGCCGGACCTTGAAATTTTCATATTAAGGCGAATCTAACTAAAGGTGACGGAGGAGTTACCGGAAGCTGCTAGTGCCCGAAGAGGAACCGGAGCGGGAGCCCGAGAAGGACGATGACGAAGAAGAAGAAGAGCCTCTGGAGCTGGAGAAAGAGCTGCTGCTCCTGGCTCCGCTCGATCCTCGACCCCCTCCGAAGCTTCCTTTTGCGTCGAGAAGCTGCCCAAAGAGGACCAGGAAGAAGAAAGAGCTCAGAAAGCGCCGACTCATTCGGCGGAAAAGAGAATGCGAAACTGAAAATCAGCTGAGCTGTTATCAAAGGGAAAAAAGAGTGACGGTCGTCGTGGCAACCGGCAAACAGAGAGAGAGTGGCAGATGAAGAGCCGCTTTTTTCGCTCGGTGAGAAAGTCAGAAGAGCAACAGAAGACTGATTTGATTATCAGACAACACTTAGCCATTGACGCAGGTGACAAAAATATGAAGTTTGATGACGGGAAAAAGCGAGTACAACTGAATGAAAGTTTATTTGAAGAAAAAAGACAAATGAAAGCTAATTGTTCAAATTCCACCCGATTGTTGGAGGTTTCGCCTGAGTTGCATTGGTGAGAGGTTTCTGTGATTGAGGTGGTTTCGCTGATTTGGGAGCAGGTTTCGCAGTGCTCGGTTTCGGCGACTTCTCGCGCAAAGGGACCGTGTCGCTCTTCTTGTCTCGCACTGGCTCGCGACGTTTTGCGTAGTAGGCTATCCCTAAGAAGATGAGGCAGAATCCGAAGAGGAAGAGTCTGAATACGTGTTGGATTACGGGCAAAAGAGAGAGAGAGAGGGAGAGGGAGATAGGCGGCTTACAGCTCAAAGTACTGATGGAAGTCGTGACAGCAGTACATTCCGCAGCAATCGACCATTCCTTCGCAGCCGAAGTAAAAGGCCCTGGCCTGAGTTCCATTCGCAAACGTCACCTGAAATGAGATCCGTTTAGCTTCTGGCCAGGGGATCAGAGTATAATCCGTGTTTTTTTTTCGATTCAATTCACTTACATTTTGTAGTTCTCCATCGTCTGTCCCAAAAACATATTCGCAAATAATATTGGATCGCGAGATTGTGCGATTGAACTTGGCGTCGTTATAAGTCCAATAGTAGTTTCTATTGTCGTAGCTGTTAAAGAAAATATTCGAAACGTAGGGAATGCGTATGTACTTACAAGATTGGAGTTGCAGCAGCAATGATCACGAACGGATGGCCGCCGCCACGGGACGTTGCGTGATTGTGGAACACTGAAGTTTGCATCCGGAAAGCACTCGAACCGTAATTTGAAGTGGTAGAAGTGCCGGAGCCACTGAAAAACGGAGAATGACGTCACTTTCTGGGTGTCCCAAGAGACTTACACTTTGAAGCCAGAAGATCCGGATCGGACGCCTCCCGAGTAGGAGCTGCTGCCGCGAACACCGCTGTTCGTGGTCGTCTTGGCGCGTACCCTCCCTCGGGATCCGCTGTGCCCCCGACCCCGACCTCTTCCGCCACGTCCTCCACCTCCCCGCGCGGCAGTGTTATGGATAACGCAGAAGAGGAGGAGGAAAAGAAACAGGCAACGCGTCGGCAACTTCATATTTAAACAAGGACAACTATCGAGTAGAACTACTAGCGAATAGAGCGGGTAATTGTGTCTAGAACATCGTCTTGAATAGTGGATGGTACTTGCAAAAATCGTCCGGTGAGTTTTGATAAGCGAGCATGTGTGCCGCGAGGGACGCGCGACTATTGAAGATTGGGGCGGCGAGTGGAGGAGCGAGGGACCGAGAGGCTCGCGACGACTAGCGTGTGTAATGAGACGACGCTGCCGTCGCGCGAGAGCAGTTTTCCGTATACTCGTAACGCTCGACGGCGACAACGGAGCAATTGTCGTCTGGAAGAAGACGAAGAAGAAAAAGAAGAAGAAGAAGATGGGAGGTCGTGCGGCGCATTAATGAGAAAGTGCGCAAGTTGTTTGGTTATCAGGAGGGCTCAGAGCCGCACCTTCCATGTCAAATGCATGAATAAATGATGTGGGGCAAGCACAAAGAAATAATGGAATGGCGTCATGTTTCATGTCGACAAACGAAAGTGTCAGCGGGAGTGTCCAAAATGAGACAAATGAATTGGTACTGAGAAATTGTTGAGCAATGAGTAATGAGTTTGGAAGTCCTTAGTCTTTGCAGCAGATGTATGTCACGACGAAGATTACAAAAATGAACCAGATTGCGCTGAAAAGTGGTTTGAAACTGTGCAATGTGGAATGGCAAACTCACAATCCAATCCAGTCGCCCACAGAGTTGCAGCAACCCATTCCACAGCACTTTTCCCAATTTCCGCACTCAAACACCAATGCCTTCGGGCTCGTGCCATTCGAATACGTCACGTTCATGAGCCACCCGTCCTCGTCACTGATCGCATACTCACACACTGTTCTCTTTGTCGGCCCGCTGTGATAATGTCCGTGCCAGTAGTAGTGGTGATTGTCATAGCTAATGAGGATGTTATGGAGTATTCATAAAGGGAAAACAGCGACTCACATGATTGGAGTGGAGGGTTGATTGATAATATAAGTGTGGCCAGAGGTGCTCGTGGTGAAGTATGGTCCTGACGGTGAGGATTTCTCGAGGACGGAGGATCGGAATGCGGACGAGTCGTAGTGCACATAGGAAGAGTAACTTGTTCTGAAGTTTATTGTTCGATCTTTGTGAACGAATCATGTGACTTGTTTCGAGTACTCACGAAGAATGATACTTTCCTCCGCCAGAGCTTCTGGACCTGGAGAACGAGCTGCTCCGAGCGCCACTCGATCCACGACCGCCTCCACCTCGGCCGCCGTGGCCACCGCTTTTCGCAAGCGTTTCATCGAAGATCAGCACGAAAAAGAACGTAAAAAAGAAGAACGAAATGTTCATGTGAGAGGAGAATGACCGACTGCCGTCGTCATTTATTTATTTCTCTAGTCGAATCGATCTCTTCCCCTATCAAGAGAGACTGTCTGATTTGGGAGACCCAGGCTATCTTGTTTGTTTCTAATTTGGTCGAAGAATGATCGGAAACGACGATTGCCAGACAACGGTTTATTCATGATTCATTTCCTACACTCGTCGGTGCACTGGGAGAACAATAATTGCGAAATGAATGGACGAATTGATCAGACTGGAGTGACCTGCACTTCCGGGTTCTTTCTGACGATCGGAATCTGATCTGGGTCGCGACGGGCCACAATTGCTCTGTACTTGTTGTAAGCCAGAAAGATGGCCATCAGAATGCAGATCAGTCCCCTGAAAAACAAACGAAAACTACAAAAGCTGAAACAAAAGTGAATTACAAGATGAAGAGGGTGGAAGTGCGACTGTCCCCGCAGCACTCCATTCCGCAGCACTCCTCGAACGAAAGACAGCCGTACTGGATGGACGGAGGCTTAGATCCGTCCGGCAACGTCGCGTTCAGAGCTGTCAGATCGGCCTCATCGAAGACGTACTCGCACTTCTGCGGCCGACTCGCGTCGTACGAATATCTACCGTACCAGTAGTAGTTGACGTCGTTGTATCTGAAGATGAAGTTGGTGGGAGGTTATACGGTAGGAGGAATGTACTTGATAGGCAAAGAGGGATTCTTGATGACGTTCGCCCTGACCGCACTTCTGAACACGTAAGACCTGGCGGATCGGGTGTATTCGGTGGTGCGGTAGGAAGCACTGGAAGAAGAAGTGACCGGATGGACGGTGCCAATACCTGCCCACCTGTACTTGGTCCCTCTGGACAGACGCGCCTTCTCGGTGTTATCAATGTCAGCAAGTGCTCCGAGAAGAAGAAGGAGAACGGGAAGAAGGAGCCAGAAGGACCTCATCATCGGTTTGTGAATGAAAGATGATGATGGGGCCGATGAAGGCGGGTGCAGATGTTAAATTAGAAAACGGGGGGAGCCGATTCAATAAAGGAGAAAGCCGAGGACGGACGCGGGGCAGGAGCAGAAGCACGCAAATACTCGTGACGACACTGTTATGGAACAGCCGCTTTATGTTTGGGGCTTTGTCAGACTGAAACTGCCCGCCCAAGAAGACGAGTTTCTCATTTCCGACGAACGGAAATCAAAGCGATCACTCATTGATTGCGGAAGAATAACATTTACTCATCGGACTGAAAGGAAGGAAGTCAGAGCTCATTAGATACAGAAAATGGTTTATGAAATTGCAAATCTTAATGATAATTTATGATTTTGCACCATTGAGAGGCACCGCTGCTCTGGCCTTTTCAGCTCATGAAGTGCAAGGCGAACTGGAAATCCGTAGCATTCATCGCAGAAACAGTCGAAATCGGATTCACACACCCAGATGTTACATCCCTAAATACAACTTATTACCCAACAAAAAAAAAGAACTGCAACTCACATTCGCAGTGCATTCAAACGGACAAAAGTCAAAGCACGCTGTCGAGAATCCGATAATCAAAAGGAAAAAGAGAATAAAGACAGTTTTGACGGACATGTTTTTCTATGTTATGTTGTGTATTATCTGTTGTATTTATATAAATAGTTTTTTACGATGTGCCATAAAAACACAGCTCTAAACACATATTTTTACTATTGCTGGAGTGTAAATACATCCGGTGAACATTAAAAATAGTATGAATCATGTCGTCGGGGTTACAAGTTCTCTGTGAAATGACACCGTGACAACTGTAACACAGTTTATTTATGACGACGTATCTCAGCTGCCAGACGAGATATCAGAAAATTGTCAACTAATAAAATGTTCACAATGTGTTAATTTGTTAGTTAGCAACTTTTTGATATCTCAACCGGCAGCTGAGACTTCTATTACAGTTTTTCGGAAGACGAGAAGTCAAAAGATCATCGTCGGACACCCAGAAGCCTCGATTGTCTGCTCGCCTCTACCCACATCTCCAATTGCCGTTTCAGTTCTGCACGTCTTCTTTCTCGGTCCCCTGAAAAGCCTCTTCCTCTTCATTTTTCAGTTTTCTCACTTCTCATCTCTCTTCGCGTTTCTCTGAAAGTTTGCACGGTGAGCCGCACGTCCCGGATAATCATTAACGCCCAATCCGCGAAGAAGTAGAGTCTGAACAGAACAATGGATTATAGTTCAATGAACAAATGAAAATGGGAACGTACGAAATGAAGAAGCAGGCACACAACACGTATTTGAACAACATTTCCTGAAGAATCCGATGATCAAAACGAAAAAGAGAGCCGATCAGACGAACTCACATCGAAATGTCGACTGACCGCTTCGGTGAACAGATCGTGCCAATGAGCCATTTGACGATCATTCTGCTCGATTCTCAGAAGCTTCTTTCTGAACTCCAAAATCTCCGCATCATTACTGACAAAAGTTTTCCTTCATATATTATCGAGTTCTCCGTTAAAACCTACTCTGGCAGCAATGGCTGATAGGATAATCCGTGAATAATCAGGACGAACAAAAGGATAGCAAATCGCATGGAGGGGACAGCTCGATAAAGCAGTTGTAAGGATGAGAATGGGTGCGTGAGAAGAGAGAGAGTGAGTGCGGTTGCTGTGGCAGCCGCTGCTCGGCCCCCCCGACGACGACACTTGCCACGTCATAGTGGCATTCAAGACATGATCATTTATTCGGTGAAAAGGACTAATAATTACAAAAGAAGAGGATGAAAGAATAACAAAGTGGATGGCAGTTGTGAATTATTAAAATGTTGAATTGGTAAAATAAAATTAACTTCGCTCACAACATTTCGCTCTGTCGCGGCGTCTCGATCGAAAATGCGCTCGTCGTCGTGGGCTCCGCTCCTTTGGCCTTCAAAAACAGAATATCATTCAGATACTATTCAAGGGATTACCTGTTTCTCTTGTGTCACTTTTGTCACATGGAAATAGTTTCCGGGCGCAGTGCCGGACGGTCGAACAACCAGATCGGCGGTGCTTCTCGCCTCTCCGGCAATGTTTTCGGCCAAGCAAGTGAACTGGCCACTGTCGGCACCTTCCACTCGGACAATCACCAAAGAATGATACCCATCACCGTGCTGAAAATTGAGATTCCCACTAGTCCATTAGGTTATTAGTAAAACTTACATCGACAATCCTCACTTCCTCGCAATCCGGAATTTCGTATCCGTCGCGCATCCAAATGACCTTAGGCAATGGGTCTCCCGTCACTCGGACGGTCCATTTCAACTGGCTTCCTTCTTCAACTTCCTCACTGATCAGCCGTTGGATAAAGTCCGGAGCGACTGTCTTCGCTGAAAATAAAACAAGTCTGTTATTGTCTCGATTCTGATAAACTCACGTCTAACAACCAGTTGGGCACTACTCGTGGCCACTCCACTCGTGTTTTTCGCCGTACACATGTACTTTCCTGCGTGTGACAACTGGCAATTGAGGAAGTTAAGGGAGACCCTTCCTCCAATGTTCGACACTCTCACATCCTTCAAATCGAGGGGCGTTCCGTCGATGGTCCATTCGACAGTCGGGGCTGGCCATCCGGTAACTATTCCTTCGAAAGTCGTGCTCTCTCCCTGGGCCACGACAGTGGACACAAGGGTTTGAGTGAAGTGCGGTGGATGTCCGTTCGTCTTCTTTCCTTCCAGGTCGTACGTCTCCAGATGCTCCTCGTCTTTGCGGTGTTCCTGCTGAATCCGCTTGGCCGGCGGAGGCGTCGCCAGTTTAGTCGTCTCGTGCTTCAGAGGCCTTCTCTGTTCGTACTCGAACATTGCGAACTCTTCCTCGACCGTTGTGTATTCTGTCGGTCCGGCCGCTTGAGCCTGTTGTTTCTGTTGCTGCAGTCTTGTTTCCTGCTGTCTCTGCTGCTGATATGTTTGCAGAGATCTCGGACGGACGTGCAGGACCGTCAGCGATTCGGTGACTCCTCTCTTGTTCTCGGCGATCATCTTGTAGTAACCGGCGTGCTCGAGTTTGGCAGGACTGATGATGATGGAGTAGGTGTCATTCACGTGGCAAATCTGAATGTTACTTGTTTGCTCGATTCCTAAAAAGTCACTCCCTACCTTCAAGAACTCCGACTTCTCAGTGACTTGTTTGTTATTGAAGAAGAAGCGGGCAGACGGTTTCGGATTGCCAACGAGAACGCATTCGATGGCTATCCGTCCTCCCTCTTCCACCGTGTACTCCCTTTCGAAAGCCTTAATGAACTCTGGCTCAGTCGTTGTTCTCGAAAGTCCGATCCGTTGCATATTGTCTTCGGCAGTGCTTCTGTGAATTGGCTGCGGGGGCGGCGTGGGGGCGGAGTCGGTGTACGCTCCGTCCGTCCAGAATCCTTCTACGTCTGACGCCTGGATGAAGCTGTCTCTATGTCTGATGGATGATTCTTCGTCGGTCTGCCGTCTAATTTCATTGCTAATTGGTCTAGCGCTCTTTTTGACAGTCTCTTCGTCAATTCCTAATCGTTTCACACTGACTGTCGAACTTTGTGGATGAGCTGCGTCCGTGTGCACATTCTGAACCCATCCCTCTCCAGAAGTGATTTCCGTCACGGCTGTAGTCGTTTTAGGTTCTCTTCTGATTGGGATTCTGGATTCATTCTTCGTTCTCTGGTCAACCTCTTCTTCTGTCTTGGCCGTGATAACTTGCTGAGGGATTCTGGACTGCTGCGTGCGTTGGATGTTCTCTTCTCCGTCAATATCCAATCTCTTCACGGTCACTGTCGACTGTTCTGGTCTCTGCATATCTTGATGTACTTGTTGGACCCATCCCTCTCCAGAAGTCGTTTCGGTCACCGTCGTAGTAGTTTTCGGTTCTCTTTTCACTGGAATCTTGGATTCATTTATGATCCTTGATTCTTCTTCCTCCCTCTGTCTGGTGTTTTTCACTTGCTGTTGTGGAACTTGTTGAAAGTTCTGAAACTAGTTATTTTTCACTCTCCGCTTGAATCTTAAAATAAGAAAACCTGTCTGTGAATGTTCTCCCCTTCTTCGATATCCAATCGTTTTACAGAAACAGTTGACAAGTGTGGCTGCTGAAGATCTTGATGCACTTGCTGCACCCATCCCTCTCCCGAACTCGTTTCCGTGACTGTAGTCGTAGTCTTCGGCTCTCGTTTCACCGGAATTCTCGATTCTTTTTGAACTTCTTCTTCAACTTGTTCAGTGACCACGTGCTTTTGCTCTGGCTGGGCAAACTGTTGCTGGTTGATGTTCTCCGATTCTTCAATGTCCAGCTTCTTGACAGTAACCGTGGACTTGTGTGGTTCCACAAAGTCTTGAAGCTGATGTTGCACCCATCCTTCTCCAGAAGTGGTCTCAGTCACCGTGCTCGTGACTTGAGTCTGCTTCTGCTGCTGTTCTTGATACTTCTTCTGAAATTATTATTATGCCTTTTGTAAAACGTCATCCAGGGAATCGCCTACATCAATATCACTAGTGATAACTTCCGTCTGCTTCACAACAGTGGTCACTGTGTCCTTGTGAGGAGTCGCCAGAATATCATCGATTCTATCAATCTTCGGAGCTTCTTTAGTGATCGCCTGACGTTCTGGCTGCGCTGGAGCGTGCACTTGCTGAAAACAAACATTGATTAACGGAAATGAGTTCGACAGTTACCGCAATGTTGGCCACAGGCTGCCCGCCAGTAGTGGTTGCTCTGTGAGTATCCGGCTGAGCAGCTGGCTGATACTTTGCAATGTTCTCCACAGAAGGACTTCTTCTGGTCAACGTAGATATGTGCGTCTCTGGAAGCGGTGACTGACGGATCTTCGCCACGTTTTCAAGGGACGGGGCCTTCGAAAGCGAAGACTGGTGAGTCTCTCTGACGGGAGTCTTCCGAATGGTGGCCACGTGCTCAGACGTGGGTCCTGGAGTTGTTCTGGCCTCGTAGAGTTCCCTTTGGGGCGACTGTCTGATCGTCGCCACGTTCATTGTTCTGACGGTCTCATTCGAAGAAGTCGATCTTCCTATTGCTGGCTGAAGTGGCTCGTGAGACTGTCCGATGTGAGACACGGATGTGGTGGTTGTGGTCGTCCGATATCCAACTGGCTTCGGAGATGGTTCGTGGACACTGTGGGAACTGTATTGGTCCAATCCAGACGTTGTTCTAGTCTCCTTCACCTCGATTTCTCTCGGTGGGGACCAAATCTCATCGATAGTGTCAATCCACCTCTGCTGTGTCTCAATCTTTCTGACATCTCTGGTCTGTGGCACTGGAGAGATGGATCTCTGGGAGAGGTGCTCCTCGAAGTGCTGCTCCACCAGTTCCACCCATCTCTTCTCATCCGTGATTTTCTCCGGCTCTCTTGGTTGCGGGAACGCTGCTCTTTCTCTCGATTCATACTGCTCGTTCTTCTTAGTGATAACTGTTTGTTGCACGGGCTGTCCGATATGTTCGTCCATTTCCTCCTGCAGATGGTGTTCAGTGGTGACCACTCGTTTCAAAGATGGCTGCACATGGACAGTTGCTCCGGTCACCGCCTCTCCGACCTCATTTTCCGCGATTGCCGTGTACATTCCTGCGTTCACAGGCGAGATCTGTTGGATTGTGAGTCGGGACCATCCGTCATCCTGCTCAGAAATCTGAACTTGGCTTGAAGTCTGCACCGGTAAATCATTGAACTTCCAGTGCACTCTCGGCTTCGGCTCCCCGTAGGAGAACACTTGAAGTGTTGCGGTCTCTCCCTCTTGCCACGTGGTGTTAGTGAGGGGTGGCTGAATGACTGGAGGTCTTTGGATTGGAGTTCTGGGCTTTGGCGGCGTCTGTGGCGGTGCCTGCTTTCTCGGAATCACTCTGAGCTGACAGAAATTGGCCACTTCACCATGCACGTTCTTGGCGCGAACGGTGTAGGTGCCAGTGTCGAGTGGAACTGAAATAGATCTCATGAGGCTTCTCAACCTGCCAATTCTTACCTGTTCGGTCAATGACCATCTGACAGTGATCTCCGGAGAACGTGAGATGAACCCGCTCGCTCTCCTTTACCGCCGTTTCCTCCTTGAACCACGCGACTTCTGGCTCCGGCTTTCCGACGACCACACAATCCAATCTGGCGGTTTCTCCTTCGTTTACTTGCACGCTCTGCATCTGTTTCACAAATCGCGGCTTGTCCTCTTCGAGAATGGCGGATGACATTGCACTTCTTGCTGAACAAATGATTTAGAAGTGTCTCGAAGAAACCCATTTACATTTGACGACCAGATTAGCGCTGCTGGCCGCGGTGCCTCCGATGTTTGTGGCTTTGACCGTGTATTCGGCAGTGTCCTCGATGAAACTCTCTTCGATGACGAGGGTAGCCACTCCGTTCACGTACTCCTGACGGTAGTCCATGTTGCTTTTCACATCGATTCCATCCTTCATCCAAGAGATTGTGGGCTCCGGTGCTCCGTTGATTCGGGCCGCAAACTCGTACCGACAGCCTTCATCTACCTGCAAATTAACTGGATCAAGAACGTTTCTGACAAACACGTATTCACCTCTGCATCTTTGAGTTGAGTCAAGATTTGTGGAGCTTGGACACGAGCCCGCTCTTCTTCTTGCTTTTTGACTACAATATGCTGAGCGGCCGCCTAAATTATGAATGATTCTCACTAGAATTACCACCTTTTCTACTCACTCTCTCGTGGAGTTCCTTCACCAGCTGTTGAACTTGTTGCTGCTTCGTCATGGTCTCCTGGACTGTCTTCGTGTAGTCCTCATTCTTTGTGAACCTTGAAGCATCCTCGAGTCTTCTCGTTTGCGCCTCCACCGACTGCTGGATCTCACTGACTTTGTGCACGAGAGTCTCCGATTCGCGGACTGTCTTCGGTGTCTTGTCCACTAGTCGTATGATCTCGATCGTTTCTTCTTGCCACATTTGAATCTCTTCGACAATCTTTTTCAAGATCTGAAGTTCCCTCTTCTCCTCGGGAGTCAGCGTGATCTGAGTTTGCTCCAAGGTTGTCAGCTCGATCGTCTTTGTTTCCTCGACTGTTTGTTGAGGTCGAGATAGTTCGAAGCTGGCGGTGATGGCTTTCCTTTCCAGGTTCTCTGCCATTTCTCTGATAACCTTCTGCTTCTCAACTGCCCTCGCCACTTGAGTTTTGACCTCGACGTCCGTGGCCTTCGAGACGACTTCCTCGATCTTTGGCTGCTGCACTTCAATCGCTTCTTTCACGAGTTTCACCTTCTCTTGCAGCTCTTGACTTTCCTGAAGAAATCAAATCAAACCAAGTGATTGCTACCCAGATCTGAATACCTGCACAGTCTTCATTGGCGTACTGTCGAACATCTTAATGATCTCGACCATCTCCTCCTGCCACATTTGAATCTGTTCCGTTACTTTCACCAACTTCTGCTGCTCGAGCTTCTCCTCCAATTCCACCGTCAAATGTGTGATCTGCTCCTGTACGTGCTCCACTTCATCCATCTTCCGAACGAATTCAGGCACTTGCGACATTCTCTTGACTTCTTGAATCTTTGTGGATTTATGCTCCACAGTCTGTTGCAAATCGTGCACTCGGTCGATGAGCTCGTTGGCCTCCTGGATGTTGGCCGGCTGCGTTCTGTCCAGCATTCGGATGATCTCAATCGCTTCCTCTTGCCACATCTGAATCTCGTTCACCACTCGGATCAGCTTAGTGAGTTCCAATTTCTCTTGGAGTTCCTGTGTAGTCTGTCGGATCTGTTCCTGGTTCACAATGGTTTTGTGCAGTTGAGTTTGGAAGATTTCATCTGGAACAAGCCATTTTTCAGATTACTCAATCGTTTTCTTACTCTGCGAAAGCGTTTTACATGCTTCCAGATGCTCGCTCTTCTTGTTCACTTCCACTTTCAGATCCTCGATCTTCCGTTTCACCTGCTCAAACTGTTCCTGGTTATTCGTGTGCGTCGTGACCACTTGGTTGAGATTTCTGATGATCTCAACGACCTCTTCTTGCCAGATTTGCACATCTTCCACCACTTTGAGCAGTGAGTTCAACTCGATCTTCTGGCTCAGCTGATCCAATCTCGTTTTGATGTAGTCGTTCTTATCAATCAGAACATTGACTCGGCTGATCTGCTCTTCATTCGAGCTCTCTTCTTTCAGACTCTCCAGAGTTTTCTTGTGCTCTTCGGCAGCCCCTCCGAAGGAAGCAATACGTTTTTGGATCTCATCCACTTCCTGCAATATCAATGTCTCTAAGTTCTTCAGAATCTCTCCTCACTTCTCTTTTTGTCACCGTCGCCTTATCCACTCTTCCGATGAACTCGAGCACATCCGTCTGCCACATTTGTATCTCTTCTATTACTCGCTCCACTTTTGTTTGCGAACTCTACAATAATCACTCGGATGTCTCGATTCTATCCGAAATCTTACCTTGTCTCTCTGCCATTCATTCCACTTATGCTGCACGTATTTGAATCTGTTCTCATGATCAGTGATCATGTTTCGAACGGCTTCGGTGGCACGTTGAATGTTGAGCCATTCGTCAGACTTTCCAATTTGAGTTGCATTCGAAATGAACTTTTCGCCTAAAAGAATGAGATTTTGAAGAAGTGAAACAGCTCGAGAAGTGCAAACCTTGATGTTTTTCCTGACTCAACGTCTCCAGAATCATCTGGAAAACGTTGGCAATCTGCGCGGCAACCTTTTCATTCGTGTATTCCTGATTGTTTTCCAACAGAGTCTGCAGAGCATCGAAAGATCCTTCCAGATCTTTTCCGAACTTGTGAACTTGCTCGTAAGTGGTTCCGATTTGGATGCGGTTCTCCAGAATGTCCTTGATCTTCTCGTAGTTCTTCACAAACTCGCCGAGTTGTTGTTCCTCTTCAGGAGACATCTGCGGTTTCTTGGCCAGAAGAGTCATCACGTCAGCGTCGCGGTTGACGACGTCAGTTGCGAACTGCTTGTGGACAGCCACAAAGTCACGGGCGTCGTTCAGGTTCCCACCCATATCGCCTTTTTGGGCCAGGAATGCAGCAGCCGGTCCGTCTAGCCACGTTTTGATGCTTGAGAACTGAAACGGTTCTTTCAACACGTCAGAAAAAAAAGAAAGTTTATACATGAGAAGTGGTCTTTCCGGATTCCTTCCGTTGTTTTGACAACTCTTCAATCTCTCTCAGCTTCAAAGTCAGATCCTCCACGTACTGGCGAACGAGTCTCTGCTCTTCATAGCTCAGCACTTCCTTCGCTGGAAACATGTTTACAGAATTGACTGAAAGAGCCGGAAGCCTACCGGCAATGTCCTTTCCTTCGTGAATGAGCGGAGAAGCCTTTTGCTTGGCGAGCGGCGCCAATTCTCCGGCCATCGCCGCGTTCGCTCTCTTCATGTCCTCTGCCATCATGTTCAGCTGAGATACCATCGACTTGGCGGCTTGAAGGTAGGCGTGAATTCGCTGAGAACGGTTCATTCTGGTCTTCAGATAGTGCAAGAATTCTTCGATTCTTCCGGACAGATGCGAAATGCGTCCGCCGTCCGAAGAAGGAGTCTGAGCCAGATCACGGAGGCGAGCCACGTGCTTCTGAAAGTTTGGTAGTTGGAAAAAAGTAAAACGTCTTAATTTCATTCACTCACATTTCCCTCGGAAAGCACGTTCTTCTGTCCCGATTCGTTGAGGGCCTTCACCTTCTTTTCGGCGTATGCCAGCCACTGCTCAATCACCACCAACTCGTCCTCCGTCGTCGTCGTCGTCTTCTGCTGGGACACTGCCGACTTTCTCTCCTGCCACAGACTCTCCGATGTCTCCCAATCGGCAGCAACTCTATAAAACTACAGCTTTGTTTGGAAGATTTGAAACCTGACTGCCAACCTGAGCATGACCGTTTCGATTTTGATCGACGCTTCTAAAATCTCCTGGGGTCTCTCTGGGTTGTCGTCGAGCTGGCCGAGAGTACGGATTTGTGAGAGAACTGAAGATCCGAGATCGACAGCGGAAGCCGTCGTGTCGATGATATCTGAAAGTGAAAACTCATTGTGAGAAAAGGAATATGAAGTTACCGTTGATGAGTTTGTCGATGGACGACTGAAGCTGTGCAGAGTTCTGTCCATTTACCTGTTGTACAATTTCAATAGTCTTTGCAGTCATCTGAAAAGATTGTTAACAATTGCTCGAGCCAACTGCCTTCGCTTACCTTTTCATGGCTTTCTGCCAATGTGTAAAACTGTACAGTCTCTCGGAGCATGTATCCACGAAGCAGAAGCTGTCGATTCAAGGATCGCCAAGTCTGAAGATGCGACATTTCAAGGTCGGGCACTTCAAAAGAAGCGAATTCGAAAGAAAACGGGTTATGCATCCGGATTCCATTCAGATTAATGTGCCTGATTTATGTGCAGCTGCGTAAGAAAAAGAAGAGTACAAACCTCCCGCAAACTTTTTGCCATTTCGTCGTAAACGATCGCTTCGTTCGGATTCGTCTTTTCCGCTCCGAGGCTGTCGGCTCGGTTCAGAAGGGCTACTACTTGATCGTCTTTATCCTGCGATGAGATACTTTGTATTAGAAAGACGCAAGGAACGTACTTGAAGTCTAGAAATAAGATCATCGTGGATTCTGAGCAGATCCTTGGCTTCTTGAGATGAATTTCCGATCGAAAGAAGCTTCGGTTGCATTTCGTCCACGCGAAGCTGGATGAAGCCGGCGCTCTGAAACATGTTTTTGTAGACTTTGTCTTCTAATCTATCCAACTTTCAGAAGCGCAACGACAATGGAGGCATTGACGCCGGCTTTGACGGCTATCGTCGAGAGGGTCGTCGTCGACTTGTCGCCGTCGTTTTTCTGTCCATTCTGAGCCAATTCATGGAGATTGGCATCGGTAGGCGCCCCTCCCGGCGCCATTTTCAGATGTTACGTGGTCTTGTCTGAAAATATGTCCATGTGAAGACAGAGAGAGAGAGAGAGAGAAAAAACAAGTGCAAAAAATACGTATAAAAGTGCCGCCCACTCGGGGTTGCCGAGGCATTCTGCGGTGCTCTCCTACTATTACACACGTTCTTGCTGTGGTTCTCACTTCGGAAGAGAGGAGTGTAAAACATCGAGCCAAGGCAGATCGAGAAGGCCGGACGAGATGGAGACAGACAGAGAACAACAACTCAAAAATGAGAGAGAGAGGGAGGGAGGACGAGCCGATCGATGTGGGCACAGAAGGGACTGAGGGGGAGGGGATCGAGAAGAGCGGGAAGAAAGTGAAGAAGAAGAAGAAGAAAAAGAGCGGAGGATCGTGATCATTTAATCGAGACACCTGTATAGAAGTAGAGAGTCAAAAAAGAACGGGGAACGGAAGGAATCAAGATGTCAGCTGATTATATTGTAAAGCTGGATATTGCAAATGACCCTAACTAAGAAACTATTTCAGAACTTCAGATGAAATTTTCTCGAGTCCCAGAGAACCGTGAAGACTGTAGTAGAAGGGCACCTCAGTACTGTTCATTTAAAACAATATATCTCGGCTGCTTATAGATATATCAGAAAGTGTTCAACTCATAAAATGTAAGTCCTCTTTTAATGAGCAATTTGTTAGATGTCAACTTTTTGATGTCTCCATCGGCAACTGAGATAAACTCTCTAGAGTGAGCAGTAGTTGGGTGCCCTTCTATTATAGGCTTTTCCTTGTTGTGACCTTACCAACCATGTGATTATGTTCCAAAACGTCAACCTAACTTAAGTGTGTTTCATTCCCTAGTAAATCAAGCATTTCATAATGAATCGTGGAGAGTGAAAATGAAAAAGTTTGAATTTTGTGATAAACACCGACGAATGCATTAAACATCAACAGAAACTCTTTATGAACCCGATACTATGCAATCAAAAATGTTTATGTACGTTGATAGTCATCAATAATACTAGAATACCACCAAGAATTAAAGAAAAAGAAGTATATGTCTAGCAGATGCACTCTCTCTCTCTCTCTCTCTCTCTCCCGCGAGGCGCCAATTGCTGGTGGTGGCGGGTGATGGTGTGTGGTCGGAAGGTCCATCCTTCCCGTCCGTTGTTTCTTATCCCCATTACAACGCACCCGAACACACGGGTTAGCGAGAGCAGCTTCTTCTCCTCGGCAGAGCATTTGTTTGGTGCCGCCGCCGGCTTTTCCGCCGAAGTTATATCGATACAACAGGCGGAAGTCATCTGGAACTCAAAGTGACTGATGGCTGAAAGGGAACACGGGAACGTTTTGTAATGAAAGGTTTATTGAACATGTAAGGCAAGAATATCAGAGACGGAATAAAGTGCTGAGGACGTTCGGCGCTCACTTCCTTCTTCCGTAGTACTGCTGTTGCTGCTGAGTCTGTTGGGTGCTCATTTGCTGGTTGTTCGTCTGCTGATAGGCGCCGTTCTGCGATCCCATCGACTGATTGTTCGTCTGCTGATAGTTGCCAGTCTGGTACTGCTGGTTGTTCATTTGCTGGTTGCTCGTCTGCTGATACTGCACATTCTGATTCTGGCCGTTCTGCTGCTGATATTGGGTGTTCTGGTTCTGCCCGTTCTGCTGCTGGTACTGCGTGTTCTGATATTGTCCGTTCTGATTCTGTGCCGACTGTTGATACTGCGCGTTTTGTCCCATTTGGTTTCCGTAGTAATCGTATTGGGGCGAAGTTCCAGCGGCGTTGGTGTTTGTAGTGTTACCACAGTTTTGAGCACTGCACAAACACGGAGCCTACAAAGAAGAAAGGGATTATGATTTGGAAAAACTTTGTGATTTCTCACCTGTGGAATTGTGGGGAAAGTTGGAATGCTGGGGAAGGAGCTATTGACTGACGGAAGACTTTGGAACACTGAGTTGATCCATTGTCCGACCTGATGGTGAAATAAAATTGAAACTGACCCAGTTCACATCTCTTCACTTACATATCCGTTGACCTGGTTCATGTACTGATCAACGCTGTCCCTGTACTGCTGGATCTGCTGCAACTCCTGCGTAGTCGCCTGCCTCGTCTGTCCGTTTTCAATCACTTGCCCGTCTTTGTACTGACAGTTTCCGTTGTTGAACGAATAATCCATGAGGGAGACACTGGTGTTTCCGTTGCTCGCGGAACTCTGGCTCAATTGCGAGTTCTGCGACGAATACCCGTTGTTGGAGTAGCCCTGAATTTGTCCGTTCTGCTGGTTTTGTCCCGCATCGTATTGCGCCTGTCCTCCGTAGTTCTGGCCTTGTTGGTTCTGATTAGAAGAGTACTGTTGATTCGAGTTTTGTTGGTTCTGGTTTCCATTGTACGCGTTGGAGGTAGTGGAGTACTGTTGGTTCGAGTTCTGCTGATTACCGTTGTAGGTGTTGGAAGTCGTTCCGTACTGGTTCTGGTTCTGACTCTGATCGTATTGGGAGGTGGTTCCGTATTGATTCTGATTCTGGTTGTACTGAATCGGCTGAGAAGTCACTCCATTATTGTACTGAAGGGTGCTGCTCTGTCCGTTCTGATCGTACTGAGCTCCTTGGGTGGAGCCGGATTGGTATTGCTGATTCGAAGCGTAGACTGCCGAGTACTGGTTCGTCGAGACCGTCTGGCCGTTTGTCGTGGCTGAAAGAAAATGGAGCAATGACATGGCAATACGCGCGGAAACTCACATTGTTGCTGAGCAAGTGCAACAGCAGCGCAAATGGATAAAATCGTGATAAACTGCATGATTGGATCGAAGTGTCCCTTTTTCTCTCGCCGCCTTTCTTATATACTCGGTGATCGGTTGCCAAAATGAATCAGCGCAAACAGTTGGACCCTCCGCCCTTCTGTTTGACTTTCTTACTTTCTTACTAACTACTGAAAGAGAGAACGAAGGGGAGGATTTGAAAATCCAAACAATCGGCTGCCGCTGTTTACTGACAGTTTGCCACTGTAATCAGGAAGTGATGCAGCGGCGGATGATGATGAAGTTTTGATTGTCGGCGGTAAATGAAGAGTGGACACTTTGATTCGGATCCCCGGATTTCATGGGGATCTCTGTTTCGATGAGCTTTTCTGTTGTTTTACACGGGTTCAGAGATGTCAGGTAAATATTTGAGTTACGACTATTTCGGTGACCTCAAACTCAAAAACGTGAACAATGTAGCTGCACATCTTTATCAATTTTATGAATTATTATAAGGATTATAAAAGTCAGTGTTAAAGGTTTCAAAGTTGTAGGGATAATACGGGTAGTAAGGGTTGTAAGGGGTCTGATCATCGGCCGGACGGACTCCTTGCCCGATTTGGTATGGGGCATTGTACCATGCTGGCTGGTAATATGGATCTGAACATGATACAATAAATGTGGAGCTACAATAGTACTCACATCCGACCGAGACACCGACGGAGACAATCAGAACAAGAAGAATAAGAAAGCGCATGTTGGGTGGACCTGTGTGCCGGTTTCAGTCGTCACTTGCCTTATAAACTATGCTGATCAAACATCCCCTTTTTCGGGCGGTTATTTTTTCCAGGAAAGTGTTTGCAGAATGGATGAGAGCATGATGCACATAGTTTGAAACCACTTGAAGGCCCATTCGGGGATCTGATTCATTCGCGGACAGATGAAAAAAGGAAGGAAGTGACGAGGTGAAGGAAAACAAAACGAAACGAAACGATTCGGAAGAGACCTAAATGAAGAAGTCTTCTGTGATCTCGAAGTGTCCTTCTGTTGTCCGTTCCTGTTTTCCTCTTTTCCTGTCTGTCGAGATGCGAGCGTAGTTCATCAATCTTCTGTCTGTCTGGGGAATTTTGTAAATGAATTCGAAGCCCTATGCACTTTACCAGACGAACCTTTTGTTTTTCCTCTGCTTGCCATTTGAAGCACAGTTTTTCTCTCTCCCGCTTTCCAAGTTTTCAGTTTCCGGCAGACGTCAGCTGGAGTTGATGAATTCTCCGGAATTTATATTTTCTTTTCAAAACACGCATCTTCTCATCATCTCATTAAAAACATCACATCGCCGATTCCGCGTATTTCTGGTAATTTTGCGACCATCACGTCCATCAGACGTCTCGCTTCCGGCTCCGCCCCTTTCACCTCAATACATTTTCCGCTTTTTTTCTTTTCTGCAAGAAGAAGCCGTTCCCAAATTGCACACTTTCCATCGCAATTCAATCAACAAGCAGCAAATCCGTCTTCAGTTGGCTTCTGAGCTTTTTTTCGTTTTCACTTGAACTTCAAGTCTTGAACTATTGAGTTCAGTAGCACTGCTTCGTGTTTTTGTGTTCGAATAATTACAATCAATCAAGTGGGAGGACTTCTCTCCCTCTTCTCTATTCCTTCTATTCCCTATTTTCCTGCCGACTCAGTGTTTACTCTTATTATATTTGTACCCCAAAAAGCGAAAAACAAAAGAGATCTGAAAGCTTCACAGCAGGAAACTGTGTTCTGTGTGATTGGGTCGAATGGAGCACAGACGAGGAATTCATTTCCACTTCACAAAATTCGTTTTTTTCGGTTTGACACTAGTTTCATCTTGCACAAGTCCGAATCCCGTCTCATTTTCAGCTCTTTAAAGATAGACTTGAGTCGCTCAAAATCACCCACTACGCCAGACATTTATAGCAGTGTAGTTTGTGCGGGTTATGACAAAGATCTTGGATTACCTGACTCATGAAACATTAACGAAAAGCGCCCTTGTGTTTTTCTTTCCGTTTTCCTTGTCATACATAATAGTGTGCCTTTTTGCTTTTCAAACAATCAAGAGAGTGCGTGTAAGGCGAGCTCGAGGAAGAAGAAGAAGAAGAAGCTCTCGTAAATTCTGAAGTGAAGAAGCGGCGCCTAATCCGTGCACATGCCCAACATTTTGATTGTCGTCATGAAATGGAAGGAAGAGAAAGAATGTTTATGGGGTCGAATATCCGGTTGCCCGCCCGCTTTCCTGGTATTTCTATTTATTGTTATTCTCAGTACCATCACAGAACAACCGAGCTTTAAACGTTTACGCAAATTGCACTTGTGTCTATTTGTATGGAGCATTTCACTAGAAAATGCATTGCTGACGCCGGTAATTAAAAAGGATGGAACTGAAAAGGAATTTAACTTTCGAACGACTAACAGACTACGGTAGCTCTTTCGTGGAATGATCCGATAAAGCAGAAAGAGAAAGCCGGCCGCCAAATCTAAGAGACTTTTGACAAAACCATCGATGAACACGTCAGTGGGAAAGCGGTGAATCGTTGATTAGGAAGATCCCCGCACCTTCCTGTTTGCCGGACACCCGCTTCTCGGAACTCTTTCTCTCTCTCTCTCTCCCCCGATTTCAAATTTGTTCGTCCCGACCCGACGCCGCCCATGCCCTTCGTCTCTAATTATACTTTGCTTCTTCTCACTTCGAAATCTTAGTTTCCATTTCTCACGCAATTGCCACGTCATTCGGATGGGAGGAGTTTGGAGTGCATCCACTCTCTTCTCGTGTGCTTCTTCTTCTTCTTCTTCCTCTTATAATTGAATAATCTGTGCGCTCCAGTATGTATTCAGTTCAAGGAAAAATAAGCAAGAAAGGCAGTTTAAGCCATGTTTTTCAAAGAAAGCAAATATATTGTGATTATCGGAAGTATTGGGCTCCTGTTCACATATCTCCAGACTACATCCGATCGGTTTAAAACTTGAACCCAGTATATATATACTTCAATCCAATTTATGTGTTCAATATGTTGAGAGCCACAGAAAAACATGGCAATTCATCAAAGTTTGTGTCAAAAAAACGAGCCAAAGTTCGTTGGAAAGCGACGACGGAACGCAATTTCCTTGCTCATTTCCTCTCAAGTAATCTAACTGCACTTCTTTCGACTCTTCGGCTCCAAAATAGTCAGTAAGTTAGCAGAATGTGTCTCTTCCCGGTGGACTTTCTTGTTTCCACTAATTCGGAACTTTCCATCACTTTCCATCGCCAACTTCATCACACCTTTTTCATTTTTGATCTTTTCGCTGTTTTCGAGATCTCTTTTCAAATTCACAAGAGCTCACGAACAATGGGCAGCACGGCGTTCCAAAATATTTCCTCTCTTTTCTTCACACCTCTCTCTCTCTCTCTCTGGCTCCTCATTCAACGTTTATTCTTTCTCTTCGCTTTACGCATAGTAGTTTCGTTTTTCTGATGTTAGTGCATTTGACACTTTCTCACTCTTCCGTCCGGTTTTGTCACATTCCGCCGTCATTTGTTTCAGAATGCAGTTGACCGGATGGCCAGAGTACACGGCTATGATCTACTTTCCGATCATTCTGATCGGACTCGTCGGCAACGGACTCTCGTTGTACGTGTACACGACTCCGAACATGCGCAAGTCGACCGTCGCCTTCCTTCTCTACTCGCTCTCCATCTGCGACATCTTCGTGCTCATTTTTGCGTTGCCCTTGTACAGCGTCTGCCATTTACCCATCTGGGATAACCCGTATTATCCGTACTCGAAACGTCGCCTCTGCATCGCCATTTCCACAAAATTCTTCTATCCGTTGTGTATGACTGCCAAGACCGCCAGCCAATATATAATGGTTCTGATCACGATCGAACGATGGATTGCCGTCTGCCGGCCACTTCAGGTTCACTCACTTTCGGATCCTCTCTTTCCATTTTCATTTTTTTTCAGGTTCATATTTGGTGCACCTTCAAGAATTCCGTCAAAATTGTCATCGCCATCATTTCTTTCTCGATTGTTCTAAATTTTCCCAAGTTTTTCGAATATGGAATAGGCTACACGAAGAGTAATGGATATTTTCCGACAACTGGAATCCTGGACTCTAACAATCACTGGTGGTACTTCATCTGGTACTTCATTGTGATCTCAGTCATCTTCGACTATCTTCTGCCTTTTTGATCATGTTCGTTGCCAATATGAAAGTCATAAACGAATTGAGAAAGTCCAGAAAGGAAAGAGCACTTTTGACGACGTCGGTGAGCGAGCGATAATATTAGTGGGGGATATTAGAAGCAAGTTCATTTTCAGCTGCAAAAAGAGCAGAATACGACCGTAATGCTCCTGGTCGTCACAATTCTCTTCGCGTTCTGCCACTTTTTCAACATGGCTCTCAAGATTGCCGAGAGTATTTTCGGCGACTTCCTCACCAGACACGTGAGCAAATACTTGAGACTTTCCATGAATTTCAGTTCCGATTCAGAACCAATACTTTGAAATAATGATAGACATTTTTAATCTGCTCATCGTCATCCACATCGGCACCACTTTCTTCATCTACTACTTCTTCTCATTTCGATTTCGCAACATACTTCTCTATTTGTTCAAGTGGGACATTTCCGGAATCTTCTTCTTCATTTCAATACTTGCAGGAAGCGACGAGACCTACCCGAAAACAGTCTGACCGACCTGAACAAACGAAAACTGTTCCAAAAGTCGGATTCGGTTTGCACGACGCTCCTGAAGACATCCCCGAAGGCGTCGACTGATCTTCCCTGTTAGGCACCGCTTTTTCGTGCTCGGGTTCTCTGTTCCTGTTCCTACTTGCCAACTAAATGACCATTCCAAAGTTGTTTATCTTTCAACCGGTTCTCGTATATAATAAAACTGTTGTGATTTATTGCGAATTTCAGAAAAACTGATGCGTTTCAAATATTTTCGACACAACAACTGCGTCGAAACACGCGCCGGCCACGTTGAGAGTCTTGATAAACGGACCAAAGTTCTGAAATGGCTCAACTTTTTCCGGGAATTTGTGGGTGCGTACATTATATCCGAAGTCTGTTTTGAGTCCGAGAATTGCGACGGCGAAAGGGATGCAATCGAAGAGACACGAGATGAACATGGACAGAAGGAACCAGTAGTCCGTCTGAAACATTCTGACTCATTCGGATGAAGAGAGCGTGGGAAACGGACGTCGACAATCCGCTTCTCGCGACTTTCTTTTGTCTCGCAGAAGCAGATGAGCACGGCGTAGACGAAAGCGGAAGCAAATGTGATGGAGAAGAGAACCTGGAAGAGAGAATAATGAAATTGGGATCGAAAGGGATCGAGACGGTTCGATTGTAGGTGGAGTAGGTGACGAAGCAGGGACCGGCCATGCATCCGAGCGACATGCAGCCAATGTGGGCGGTGAATTGAAGGGGGCATGCGAGGAGCAGGGCGAACACGTCGGCCAGGCCTATTTTTGATAGGATTGATTGGACGAAGATCATAAGCATTTACCATACCAAACAGCACTGAAATTGAGATAACCGAAGAGCACACAAGTTTGAAGTTTAGGGATTCAGCCACTTTTGGAAGAATAAGAGACTGAAATTCGATATTGTTCTTTCAGTTTTTATTTTTACACCTAGGTCTTACAATGATTCTCCACACAGCTATGCAAATGGACAAAACGAGTCGTGTTGGCCATAGGAAGACTGTTGGAAGAGAGGAAAAAACGACAAAGTACGTGGTCGCAGAAGTCACTTTGTTCGGGTCCAAAGTTTTCAGAACAATGACAGTTATGTAGATGATCACTGAAGAGCTTCGACTTGAATCACAATACCTAATGAAAAGGCTGACCTGCGATTCCAACAAAGATATCCAGAATGCATCGGGCAAAAATGAGGACCAGATCGATTCGTTTCTTGATTGTCAATCGGTTGGTTCGAGTGAAAGTGAGGAAGTTTATAGAAATAACGAGGCAACATGCGGTGAGTCCGACGAGCGAAACCAGCAGCGGAAGGGTCATTCTTGCCGAATGAACGACGGAACATGCTCGCTTTTCTGGCTGTTTTTGCTAACTTTTACTCAGGTTTCACAGAAAAACAATATCTATAAAAGCTTGTTTTGGATTTGAAGATTTGGCAATCAAAGATCAGGCAATTATTGGACTTAGAAAGTATTGTATTTTGTTGCACGTGTTTTTTGTGTCCGTTATCAGTTATCACCGAATAATCTCAGCCCTATAAAACTGGTGTTGACATCTTTATTTCCAATGATTTCACTCATTCACTTTGAAATGTGCCGATCTTTACAGGAATTCCTAAGGATGAACCCCCCAATCGAGAATCCAGCTGCGACGAGTCATTTGTGGAAGCAGTCGAAGCATCTGGTGGATACGGAAGGATGATGACGATTCGACGACTATCCTCACGCCTTCACTGAAAACCACTCAAAGTGTTTTTGTTTAAGGTTCCAGTGGTGAAGATGGCTTCAAAGTACGAAGCGAAAGACGCTCTAGTTCTTGGAGCAAACGCCTTGCTGCGCGCGCGCCGCCTACCGTAATCTCTTCGTTTTATTTTTCGCTTGCCGCATCCATGCTCAACCCATGCTGACTGCGTGCTGCTGCAACTGTGCTGTGCTGCTCACGTGCTCGGTACGGTCTCACGTCGAAACTGCTGCGCGCGTGCCGTTTTCGACCGCAGCTTGCTTGCTACGTGCCGCACCTTTGCTCAAAATTCTCTGAGTAGTTCCTGTCACTATGATTACTGAAAAAGCTTTTGATTCATTGCCGAGTTATTACAAATAATTGGATCTACAGAGAGATCATAAATACATCAAATGTACAGTAAAGCATGAAGAGTTTAGAAGAGCAAGTACTGTTCTTTCGGGAGGGTCGGAACAACCGGGGTGGCCAGAGGGTTCACTAGGATCGAGGCGAGCTTCGAGAGCTGCGAGGACTTCTCCACCTGCTGCATGTCCTTCACGAGTCTGTCGGCGACCTGCGAATCCTCCTCGCTGAGCACAGTGAATCCCATAGAATCCAGAAGTTGGTTGACTTCTTCGATAGCCTTTTTAGATGCCTTCGAGTTGGCGAACATCTTCAAAATGACATTGTTCTCTAATCACTTTGTCTTTTTTCTGTTACCTTGACAGTCTTGGTGTCGCGAATCGGGCTGTACATCTTGACGGAGACGTGGTTCGAATGCATCGGTGACTTGTCACTGTTCAGAGAGATTATTGTGGCATTCGGGACCGCCTTCGCCGTGTGAGTCAGAAGAGCGGATTCGTCGGCCGAGCAGGCGTCAATGATCTGATCGGCAGCCTCGATCTTCGACAAGTCGGTGGTCACGTTGATCTTCTTGAAGTTCTTCTCCGCCAACTTTTGTTGCTGCTGTAATAAATATTTTTATGCGTTTGTTCGTTGATCGCTCGCCGGCTCACCTTCAGATCATCGATGAACTCGAACGGAATCTTCTTCTCAGAATCCTCTTGCAGAATGGTCTTGATGACCGCTGAATCGAACTTCTGAGCGTTGACTTTGGCACTCGGAGCCACGAGGGAAACGCGTCTGCCGGCAGCGCACACTGCAAATGGTCAGTATAAACAACAAAATCAGTGGATCTTCTCGGGTAACGTACACAGTCCGACGACAGTCTCAGCCAGGGCTCCACTTCCAACGACAATTGATGACATGTTCTGTAAAAGAATGGGATGAAGTCGAGGAAAAAAGAATGGGGGAAAAAGAAGAAAGAGCAGTGAAGGGGAACCGAAAGAAGGGCTCGAGTTAATTGAAGAAGGCGCGAAATGTACTGAAAACAACACGTGGTGCTGAATGCAACAAAGACTGAAGAATGGCATTTCGATTAGAAGGGGAGAGGTGCAAAAGGCATTTTGCAGGCATATTTATACGCGACTATCAGCTGTCCTCACCCGCGGGAAACCTCCCCTTTCCTCCGTCTCGACGTCTCCGTCTCTTTGTCCCTCCTCCCCGTCTCTTTCGTTCTCTGATCCTCTCGGTTCGCCGTTCTCCGTACTCGATTCGTGGACGAACACGTGAAAGTCATGCCCTCTCTGCGTCTCCCCATCTTCCACACTTTCTCCGCAAAGCGGCATCGTTATTCTTTTTCTCCCGATTGTTTGAAAGGGTTTCGTCCGAATGTGGTTGGTTTTTGGTGGCGGAGCGGCGGTTGCAAATGGTACAAACACGTGTTTGATGGAAAAAAGTGATAAGAGACGGTTGAGAAGTGAAAAAATAGATGATAAGAACCTCTTCATTTAATGCCATTCCGACGGGGTACAAACATTGTACCTTACACCCGGCTTGTACGAATTGGAGCAAAGTAGGAAGTGAAAAAGAACAAGAAACTAATTTTCAGGGAAGAATGCTCAAAATAGTCTTGAGCAGAGCTGAGAGAACACATCTCGTGAAAGATGAGCATAGTGAGTAGGGGTAGTACATGTGACTGCCGGAAGGCCGAGTGTTCTGTGCCCTGCAGAGCCGTTGGGGGTTCTCTGGATCCGTGATAAACATGAACTCAGAAAACTATCAGCAGAAAATCATTTGGATCGCAGATAACGGTCATGAATCAAAATAGAACCAGCAACCAGCGACTGAAAGAGAAGATTCTCAAGTGGAAAACAATCTTATTTAGCTTAAATGTTGATCATTTAGAAATGGTTCTATTTCAGTTCAACAACAGAGCTGTTGTGACCGACGATTCTCCGATTGACTGGTGAGAAGGGTTTGGCAATTTGATAGCAGCTGTTGTTGAGAACAGACAGTTTTGGTATAAAACGAACTTGTCTCAGAAGATGTATGCTTCAAAATACAGCAAAATAGCTTCATTCCGAAACAGTTATATTTTGAAAAGTCGCACCGAAAACAGTGGCCAAGCGAACATATTTTTTGCCAACAGAGGCAATATTTTGGGTGATCTCTAAGTTTGTCTGGACATGTCAACAATCCCCCCAGTCGTTCTCTGCGGCCGTCCGCTCCCACACAACCAAAGAACGCTCAGTCAGCTGGTCGAGTCCGAGCGAATCAACGGCGCACAATACGATCACAGACAGTTTATTAGGCGAAAGACAATCAACCGGCACTTGGGGACAGACGATGGACACGTGAGACTGTGGAACGAAGCGATTGGAGCATCTGGCGGCATTGATTCGAGTGCCGCATCGAAAGAGTCACCTGTCCGACCACTAGCTTTCTGGAACATTTAGCAAATGGCATCGGAGCCGAGAGGCTAATGGCTCACTTGTTGTCCACGATCTGCATCACGTGAATCAGCACTTCTGCCTTTGCCGCGTATTTCCGATCCAAATCGAATATGAGCTTCCGAGTGAAGTGCATCCCGTCATCCGTACACGCGTTTTCCGCTCGACGCCTACAAATCGGCTACAATTCTATATCCGTACATTACTACATCCGTCGGTGCGAACCTCTTCTCTGACTCCTCCTGTTCCCATTGTCTTCCGTCGACAAAGAGCACTCCGCGCACATAAATCTCTGAAAGTGCACATTATATTTAGAAGCGGAACAGGAAGCGTGTATACCTCTGCAGTCATCCTCCAGTTTCAGATTAGTAACAGTTGAGTAGTGAACGACGAGTCGCTCCGAAGTGGGCAGATAGGCCATGTGCAGTTCCAATTCGCCAATGTCAGGGGCGAACGGAGGAAAAGGCATCTCGAATTGGGTGAACTGCGAGATGATGTGCGTGTTGATCCAGTAGTCCATCTCGGCGACGACGACGTTCCGATCGTACTCGTCAATGTCACAGATTTGGATGCGAAGAAGGGTGTTTCTGAACTCGCGCGGCGACACTTTACACGTAAAGAACTCGTTGTAGATGGTGGTCGGAGCACGCACGACACTCAGCGTTTGGTAGGTGAATGGCTCTTTCTCTTTGATGTCCTAAAATGAATCAATGTTAGAAGAATGCTTCGGATCAGAAGCTAAACTTTTCTCGATATTCGTTAGTTAGACACGAACCTGCCAAGTGATGTTGCGCGCCCATCCCATAACGGAAGTCTTCCGCGAGATTCCCTTCACAAGATGCATGACCGCACGTGACTCCGTCTTGTGCAATGTCTGATTCATCGGATAGTTTGTGACGTTTCGAATGTAAAAGTTGAATTCGTGCTCGCCTTCGGCATATTCGAAAGCAACGGAGAGGCTAGGCGGCACGCGTCTGGGAATCGGCACCTGAATAACAATCAGTGGTATCGGAGAGGGCGGAAAACGAAGAAAACCTCCGCGTCGTCGCTGAGTCTATCCATCCAACTGTACATCGTTCGGGCGTCGGAGAGCGGCGGCGCGAGTCCCGGAAAGTGAGCGAATCAGACAGTTAGACAAACCATTTTTGCCACGCATAACAGACGGATCGATGCGGTTCGACAGAGAGAATCGCAGTGGGAATTTGTGAAACGGAACATAAAGGGAGATGAGCTAGAGAGAGAGAGAGAGAGAAAGTTTTGCGAGGGGGAGGAGGGAGAAAAGATTGGAGCGGAGCAGTAGTATTCGGACGCATTATGTCCTCCGGGAGGGAGAGGGGAGGCTCGAAAAGGGAAGAGAAAAGGAAGGAATGGCAGGGATACTTGTGACGAATGACACCCTCTAATCGACGGTTCTTGAGAGGTTCCAAAAGGAAATGAGAGCGGCGAGAAGAAGAAACGAAAGAAAACGGGCATAGGAAACGATTCATTTTTGAACCCGGTGGAGAGATTCTGACGGCTTATATAAAGGTGTATAGTGTGGTCTCGGGAGAACTAATTAGAGCTCCGAACTCGTTCAGTATTTCATTTCAGTCACAATATGAATCATTCCGCTCCGATTCCTCCGATCCTCTTCTAGGCACGAAGCGAAAACGCAGGGAAGCAAGCGGTAAATGATTTGTTTCACGGCTCTCAGCAATATTTTGTTCGTGAAAAGCATGGTGATCGTGGAGACGGTCCCGTGCTCTTGCATCAATATTGACATGTAATAGTTGAGAGCTGAAAAAGAAATACAGTTCTAGAATGGATAAGTGAACACTTACGCATGAGCGAATAGGGAATCGGTACGACGTTTGCTATGAAGAATGCGAACATGGGAACGGCTATGAACGTGGCATGCACTATTACCTCAAAACTGTTTCTTTTTCTCTTATTCGGTCTGTGTTTAGGTACAACTTACCATGACAAATAAACTTATCAAAAAGTTCTTCTGAATGGCAACTGTTTTTGCCGAGAGACGTAGCGATCTCAGGGCGTGGAATGCGACAAAAGAGCTGATAAAACAGTGAATCCCAAGACAAAAGATGGACACATATCCGACAGTGAAAAAAGAGAAACTAATGATGCACTCGAATCGAAAAAAGAAACAGTTATCACACCATACGTACTCTTGAAAGACTTCAAATTTCTGAAAAAAAGGACAAGCAAACTTCGAATTGACCTCAAAATGTACTGTACCGTCTGCATCTCTTTCTTGTATTCCATTTGATTTTTGAAATCATTGTAGGAGGCCACTGTGAGCACGGTCGCCGCGAATGAGAGAATGTAAAAAGAGAACTCTGCAATGTTCGCGGCTGTTTTGAGCCGAGGATAAAAGGGGTCGGCGACTGCTTTCATACGATACTTGAAGAGGTTCATGACGGAACCTCCGATGAAGAGCAGGAGGATTACGAATATCTGGAAGCAAACGATGGCGTACTCGGCTCCGACTCCACGGGAACACAATGCCGCGCATGGTACAACTCCGACAAACTTCCAGATGATCGACATGTGAATTTCAATGAGAAAACACCTTCAAATGTTCATCTTTTTCTTACGTTTTTTGAAAAAACGACTCACGTGAGCACATGAATGACCAGTATATTTCTGTACTTTCGAAAGTAGGCGGGAGATTTGAAAATAAGGACATAGCAGGAGAGAGCGTAGGATGGCAACGAGATAATATAGATGACGTGGGAGAATAGATCTATGAAAGGAGTTTCTGGCAAACGGCATGTCGAGTTGAGCATTATTTTGACGGTGTTTGAGCAACGACTGCAAATCCAATGTTTTTTTTCCACCTGCGCCAGATGAACTCTCAGAATTGCAGTTGAGTCTGGGAACTTGATCAAAGATAAAATAATGTTCACTTGAACTGCACAGCAGGAATTTGACTTCTGAAAACAAGAGTGTTGACATTTTTCACCGATTCTACTCATTTCATTCTATCGATCTATTGATCTTGTGCTCTCCGTACCCTTCTTGACCACCGTGTACGCTAGACTCTAGCACTTTTCTTTACGACTCGGTCCATTCGATCACTCTTGCCTAGACTAGCCCTCTTTCTCGCTCTCTGCGTCTCTCCTCTCTCTCTCTCTCTCAGTACCCCCCCGCCGAAAAAACGAAACAAACACATTCACTGCCCCTTCTTCTCACTCACCCAGTTCTTCTACTCTTCCGCTACCCATTTTCAACCCTTCCTTTGTCAAACGTCAAATTTCAGAAATGAATCGTGTACTAGAATGCGTGGTGGTACTGCTCGGCACTCTATTTTTCATTATCATCAACGGCATCAAGAATCTACTGCCAAACGGTGTGCTCCCACGCAAGTCAGTGCAAGGAAAAAAGGTGCTCATCACCGGATCGGGCAGTGGAATCGGGAGATTGATGGCCGTCGAGTTTGCAAAGCTCGGGGCTGAAATCGTCATTTGGGACGTGAACACGGACGGAGCAGAGGAGACGAGACGGCAGGTGGAGGCCCTGGGCGGCAAGGCGAGCAGTTTTATCGTGGATCTGTCGCAGTACAAGACATTCACAGAGTGGCCGACGAGACGAAGAGGGCCGTCGGGGATGTGGACATTCTCATCAACAACGCTGGAATTGTCACAGGTACTTGGAATCTGAAAGTGGCAGGAAAAATTCGAATGTTGTAGGGAAGAAGCTGTTCGACTGTCCCGATGAGCTGATGGAAAAGACGATGGCAGTCAACACCAACGCTCTGTTTTACGTAAATTCCTCTCCGTCTTCATTTCAATACCATTTCGTTCAGACCGCCAAGAACTTCTTGCCGGCAATGCTCGAGAAAAACAGCGGTCATCTGGTGACCGTAGCCTCGATGGCCGGTAAGACTGGAGTCGTCGGATTGGTTGACTACTGCGCCTCTAAGCACGGGGCTATCGGATGCCACGACTCGATAGGAATGGAGATTCTCGCGCAGAAGAAGTACGGAGTCAAGACCACTCTCATCTGCCCGTTCTTCATCAACACCGGCATGTTCCACGGAGTTACCACCAAGTGAGCCATCACGAGCCTTAATTAAATCATCTGTGAGGTGTGTATTCAGGTGTCCAGCCCTGTTCCCGATTCTGGAAGCAGACTACGCCGTCGAGTGTATTCTGGAGGCGATTCTGACGGACCGTCCGTTGCTGTGCATGCCGAGGGCCTCCTACATCATCCTCGCCCTCATCGGACTCCTTCCCATCGAGGCACAGGTGCTCATGGCCGACTTCTTCGGAACGAGCGAATCGATGAACGACTTCAAGGGAAGAGAGAAGAAGTCCGAGTGATTGCGGCTATATAATAACTCAATGCGTCAATGCTAATAATTCAAAGTTTTTCAGGACTCCTATTTCTCACTTGTATTTTAAAAATACCTACTCTTTCCATTTGTATCTCTTTCACTCTCTTTAGAATAATTAAACTTGTACGAGATGCTTTTTACGCTCTGTTGAAGTAAACAAGGTTCGCATTAGCTTTGCGATGGGGCGATAACGTGGCCAATGAGGCTTTGCCGAGGTGCGTTTATTGCTGGTTGAAAACTTTTCCCATACGTTATCAATTCGCTCGTAATCTTTCATTCTCATTTTAATCAGTGTACCGATAGGCTACAGTATATTCGTCGATTCCTTTAGAATTGAAAGCCATCACAACAGTCGGATTGTTCCTCGATTTGAACAGTTTCATGCCTCGGTGGCAGCACTTTCGGGGGCTCGTCATACGTGGATCTTCGTCCGTTTTCACTTCGATTCCTCCGTACTTACAGCCGTCTTCACACTCCGTTCCTTCCCGACGTGGAAATTTGACTTCGACCGTCTTGTTGGCAGGCGACTGAAATTCATCAGTTTTCAAAAAATAATAGTTGCAGTTACCGTAATCCAGAGATAGTAATACATAAAGTCAATTTGCCAATGTTCGTCTCCGTCGGAACTCTTGGCCGAGCGAGAGTCCAAACTAAAGATGTAGGTTTTCCAATCGGCCGAAGATTCCAACGTGATTCCCGGTTCCGCCCGTTGACTGCAATCGGCGCCTCCAAATCCATAGGGACAATTGCATTGGGAACAGTTCGCAGGATTAGGATAGCCTTGATTGAGACACGTGAGATTGCTCTGTTCACAAGAACACTGGTAGTAAGTGTTGATCATCAGATAGTCATAAAACGACGGTATTTGGGATCCCATCGTGTAAAAGTAGTCGTCATTCTTTGGACTCATTTGATTGCTGGAACATATACCGAATGAAAGGGACTGGTATAATAATGCTTACTCAGTTGGTGAGTATTGCATGATGCTACCGTAGTCGTACGGAACAATCAACTTCTGGTTTTTGTAGACCAAGTACTGCCCTTCTGGGTCGTCGAATTCCTCAATATTCAGGTACTCATCTCGGTCCAATCTTTGATGAGCGTGAAGGAATCCGATGGCGTGAATGAGTTCATGCATTGCCGTTCCGGAAGAGAAGCACGATTGGGAGTAGACGAACTGCTGGTTCTGCTGCACTCTTCCGATGGCCGCGTAGCAGTTGGATATATCAGCGGTCACCATTCGGATTATCATCTCGGCAGGCTCAGTTGAGAATGTGATGCACGTGTTCTCCGATATCTTTTTCATTCCACGAAGCACCGATTCTTTCAGGGAAGGGTCTGGAAACCCGGGAGTTGGAAAAAAAGCACAACGGAAACGAGACTCACCGAATTTGGTATCGTCAAAGTAGTAATGCACAACTCTGCCCGGCCATCTCATGTCTTTGTCACCCAGAAGAGCCTGTCTCTTTGACCGGTCCCCAGTTCTTTCTCCGAAGAATCTCGGCCGGGTAGACCATTTATGTGATGCACGGCAAAAGTAGCACCAAACAAGACGAGCAGAACAAGAATCGAACGCATTTCAGATGTTTTTTTTTCGAATTCAAAGTTTCAGTGTCCTTTTATAGCGAGCACACAATGGAGTTGATGTTATTGTTGTCGATTGGAAGACAATTGAAATTTGAAATGGAAATGTGTTATGCAAAGTGTGAGAAACCATTGGCCTCATAAATTTCGACAAACTGTAGTTCCGGATGCGGTGACATTGCCATGTAAGTCTTGTTATTCAACCACAAAACGAAACAGTTTATGAGTCACTCTTAGATTTGAATGAAATCTTTCTTCCTATAGAAAGAGGACTGTATAATTTATACCTTATAAAGCGACGAATATTGTTAGTTCTTCGACAACTCGCTATGCAGTTTATCATTCCTCTTTTGCTCGTTTCGACACCTTCCCTGCTTGCCATTCGTGGAAGTGACGAAGGCGTCGATCAGTGAGTCATTTCTATTATATTGTAGAAGATATGAACTTTGAATTTGCAGAATCGATATGTTTCGTGAAAAGCGACAAGCTCTTCCGGAATACAGAAGATGGACCAATCAAACATTAAACTACTACTTCGATGAAGAACTCCGTAAGAACAATTCAAAATTCCCTCAAATTGTTCACTTTCCAGCGCTTGAAATGCAGGCAATGTTCCGAGATGCGTTCAAATACCTCCGCAGCCACACGTGCATCAAATTCCAGGAAACTAGAGATACCACGTTCACAGTACGCATACGAGAAGACAAAATCAAGCATTTGTGTAATGCGCGCTTCGGAATGCAGCAATACGTGCAATCCCTCCGATTCTCATTCGACTGTGGAAACGTGGGAAGCTTTATTCTGAAACTTGTTTAAAATGTGAATTACAGTGGGGAGTAGCTGTCCACGAGTTGATGCACACACTCGGAATTGCTCATGCTCAAGCTCGTTCTGATAGAGATGACTACCTTATCGTTAATTCTAATGATTACAATGATGAATTGAATCCGAACACTTACAATCCAGTCCCATTCGATTACGGCAGCCTTATGCTGTATGAGCGAAAGTGAGTTCAAAGCACCAAGGCTCTCTGAGATTGCTCCTAAACTTTCACGCCACAAAGTACTTTTTGTCGCCCTCCTCTAAAATCCCTCATTTTTGGACACACAAACTTTGCCGGCTTCTTGGACTTGTATTGAAGTAGTTGGGGCAATTGCGTGCAAAACCCGGCCGCAGCCATTTTAGCACAGAATTCGTTAAGAGTGGAAATTTTACAGAGAAGGCAGAATACCTCGAGATCCGGAATACAACTACACGATGGGAAACCTTCGAGTCGCTTTCTACGACATGATGCTCCTGAACATCTTCTACAAGTGCAACTGCGACAGTCATCCTAAACTGGAGTGCCAGCACGGAGGATACCAGAATCCGGCAAAGTGCGATGAATGTCTGTGCACAGACGGGTTCACTGGAAAACTGTGTGATGCAATGGAAGGCCATGTTGTGGAAGCTTCGACTGAATGGAAAGCGTCTGGCTTCGTCAGAAAGAGAAGATCAGGATCATTGCCGGACACAACGCCTGTTTTATTCTACTTCCACGTCACGGTTAGTGTTTACTTACCTTACTCTTAATCCAATACCGTATTGTTTAGGCACCACCCGGGGCTACGATCGAAGTGAGACTGACACAACTGTCGGGCTTCTTCTGCCAGAACACTTGCGATTTTAACGGTGTCGAAATCAAGTACAAGGAGGACAGACGGATCACGAGTCCTCTCGTCTGCTGCGACAATGATAATCTGTGGAATAAGACTCGATCCACTACGAACAGTCCGCTTGTGATTGTGAAATATGGAGATGATCGAGGACCTCGCCTCGAGTTCGAATACCGATATGTTCCTGGAAACGGAACTGCGAAAACTGCTGATTTGTTGAATAATACTATTGGCCAATAAACATTATAGACATTTCAACATTTGAGTCCAACATTTATTCAGTCAAACGTTTCCTTCTCAATGGAATATCTGCTTCGTTGTCGCTTCGGGCACATCGTGGAATGTGACTGCGATTGGCGGGTTTCCATCCAGAGAGATATCTCCGGGCATATCGGGATCATCATTCACAATGGAGTGGATTCCGTGGTCCAAGAATCCGGGAGGAGCGTCGTTGACGAGTTCGAGGGCGTATCCAGAAGTGAAGACGGCGAGGAGAAGAACGAGGACAATCTTCATGTCTCAGAGAGAAGAATGATGCAGTTCAGAGCAGTACCGTAGCTTTTATGCCACCATAAACTCACACGATTAGCATATAACGACCAACTTGGCTCGCTGAATACAAATTGTGAGAACACCGAAGAATATAAAGTCGTGGTTCTGCTACCGTAACTCAATTGACGACAGAAGAAATCATGCGGCTCCTCATCGTCCTCCTTCTTCTCGTGGCTACTGTGATCTCCTCCGAGGCAGCCGTTGTATCTTTCGATTCATCTGAGCCATCGGAGGTGGTTGGAAGAGGATCGTGGCACAGTTGACTTGGAACTTTCAGAAGCTTCCCGCTAAGCGCTCGAGTGTGCTGTTCAACGATGTTCCTGGACAAATTAAACCGGACGGGGCGACCGGGAAACCGAAATTCGTGAAGATAGCTAAAGGATAATTATTTTTGCTCTCAATAAACATTACTTCATTTCAAGATGTTCTACTTCTGCTCTTTTCAAGTCATATCAGCACTTTTGTCAGACTAAAATTTCTGTGATGTTATGGAGCGTTCTAACTATGATGGTTGAAATCGACGATACTCATTCAGCCTCATTACAGCCAAATGTTTGGGCTCTTTTTCATCGGATATAAAACAAACTCTGAACTGTGAAAATTTTGAGCATCTCTAAGAATATCGGCATTTTCAGAAACTGCTCTGTACTTAGTTCGCGGCGTTGGAAGTTGGAGATGCTCGAAATTACTGTATACCGCACGCTCAAGACAATCAGCTGTCTATAGAGGAATGGAAAACTTGTCAACTAATAAAATGTGCGCAATGTTTGAATAATCAATTTTTTAGTTGCCAACATTTTGATATCTCTACCGGCAGCTGAGATAAATTTGTGCAGGCGGTACTGATGCGCTTACAGTAAACTTTGAGTAAAGTTAAGTAAAAATATAGACGCAAGTACGCGGGCAAAACTCGACCAGAATGTAAGATCTGGACTCTGAGAACCTCTTGTTTTCCAGATCTCAGCCCCCGTCTTTCCACGTCTTCTCGTGATACTGATGTTCGTCTTGCAAGGGCTTTCTTCCGCGCATAATCATGGGAACTCATCAGTATGCGCCGTGTGGAACTGTATAAAACAATGCGGGAAGAGGGAGACAACCACTTCGAGATGCTTCCGTGGCCATCTTCTCTTCTTCTCGCTCTTTTTTGTGTTCTGGCTGCCGGATCTGCCATTAGGAAAGATTATTTGTATGCCGATGAAGTCGAGTCGAACATCGGAAGAGAAGGAATTGTCGAAGGAGACATCATGATGACGGAGGAGCAACAAATGGGCGCCGATAATACCGGAAAGAGAGGCAAGCGGCAGATCACCAAGGTCTGGAGCAAATGGCCCAACAACCTCGTCTACTATTACTTTGATAGTGACGTCAGTGAGTGGAACTCTTACAAATAGTATTGATCGCAAAGATTCATGTAAATTTCAGCCGATCTCAAGCAGACGCTCATCAGAAGTGCGATGGAGTTTATCTCTTCGCTGACTTGCGTCAGTTTCACCGAGAGCAGCACCGCCACGAACCGAATCAAGTTCGTGAACACTGGAGGATGTGCCTCGTACATCGGAATGAATGGAGGCGAACAGACTCTGTGGTTTGGAGACGGTTGCGAGATTGTGAGTGAACTTTCTGAGTCTTTCTGAGCCTCAGTTTTCAGTTCGGAACTGCGGTACACGAAATCATGCACACATTGGGCATCTTCCACACGCATTCCAGGTACGATCGCAACGACTATCTTCTTGTCAACCTCACCGGCGTTCCCGATAATATGCTCGGCAATCTCGCGATGGAAACGACGTCATCGACGTACAATGCGGTGCCGTTCGAGTACGGTAGCACGATGCAGTACCGGTACAACACGTGGGGAGACGGGACACTGTTCCCGAAGCAATCCATCTACCAGAAGACGATGGGCATCCGGAAGGTGTCTTTCTACGACATCACCAACATCAACACTCGTTACGCGTGCTCCTGCTCCGCCAATCTGACATGCAAAAACGGAGGGTACACGAATCCAGCGAACTGCTCCGAATGCATCTGTCCGTCCGGATACGGGGGCGTTCTGTGCGATGGAATTGTGAGTCAACTTGTCCCGATTCTTCAAATAACTCTTTATCAGCCAGAGAATTCTGTGAAACTGGTAGCTAACACTGCCTGGAAGGGATACTACGTCACCTACGGATACAAGAGTCTCGCCCTCACCACCAACTACTACATCGCCAATCTCGTCGTCACGGCGCCCGTCGACAAGACCATTCAGATACGGATTGTAGAGATGACAAACTTTACGTGCGCCTACGGATGCAACTACAACGGCGTAGAGGTCAAGTACATGGGAGACCCACGAATCATGAACCCGGTGTAAGAAACTGTGCACTGAGTTGGAGATTGAAATACTGGGATTGATTCCAGATTCTGCTGTAGCGACGACGACAATATCATCAACACTGTTTACACGGCAAAAGTGAACCCCCTTCCGATTGTTCTCCATCAGAGATACGGCTCCAGCAAAGTGGCAATCAACTACAGATATCTGGATCGGTCACTGAGCAGCAACTCAAAGACGACGAACGGATACGATTCGTATCAGTATTATCAGTGATTGTGTCTTGTTGTCCCGCCCCAATAAAAAGTGAATTGTACTGTAGTTTAGAAGTGAATAATGATAAACAGACAAGTGGAAATGATAATGATTAGCAGAAAGCTAAAGGGATAATTTGAAGCAGATATTGAAAAGCAACTATGATTTCGTTTTTCGTTCTAGTTTCCCTATTTCTTCCTGTATATCAAAACGCCGAAAACGGCGGAACTGAAAAGAATCCAGCTAATGGCACGGGCTTTTTCCAAGGAGATATTGTTCAGACTCCGTAAGTTGAAATCTTCGGCATCATAATTCTTAGAGACTTTTCAGAGATCAGTACAGAGAAATTTTTGAGAAAGAGCCACCGACAAACCGTTAGAAACATCAGGTGGTGGTCGGGAGAAAATGGTTCGAAGGCATTGTCTATTACGAATTTGAAGTTGGAATTCGTTGGTAAGTGCCAGCGTTTCACTGGAATATTTTTTTTTCAGCTGTTTATTACAAGAACTTGTACATCAAGGCGATGGAGTACATCAGTTCGAGGACTTGCATAACTTTCGTGGAAAGTCGTGAATCGCCTCGGTTGTTACTGGCCTTGTGGGTTGAATATTGAATCCGTCGGAACTAAACGGATGATCTGTTCAGAAGATATTTCTGTTACTCGAATGTCGGCCGAGTTGTAGGAGTTCAGACGGTCGGAGTTGATCCGAACTGCAATCTGATGGGAAATGCTCTTCACGAACTCTGCCACGCGCTCGGAGTTGTGCATACCATGAGCAGGTTCGATCGAGCCGATTACCTGATAGTTGACACCGCGAAACTTGGTGTAAGGATAAAATATTAGAAAGTATTGAAGTAAAAAACGTTTTAAGGAATCTGACGCAACAAACTACCAAAAGTACACCGAGTCGAACTCGTATAACGTCGTGCCGTTCGAGTACGGAAGGAAGTTCCATGATGTACAGTGCAGATGAGATCAGTCAGCCGAAAGACGGACGGTTCATAACGAACATGGGCGTGCGAATCATCACTTTCTATGACATGGCAGCAGTGTGCAGGCACTACAGTTGCAAGTGTGAAGTGGAGTTGGAATCTGAGAACGGAGGATACACGAACTCATCGAAATGCTCCGAATGCGTTTGTCCGACTGGTTACGGAGTTAAACTATGCGATGGAGTGGCCAGCACTTTCTCGAAGAAACTGATGGCCGAGTCGGAATGGAAAGAGCACTCCATGCGCTTCAGTTACCTCGGACTAAACGAGGAAAAGCTCACAAGAGCGACTCTTTACATAGAGGTTTCTTTCATTCAATCAGCTGTGATCCTCTATCATCTGTTCAGGCCCCAACAAACAAAACAATACAAGTTCAAGCGACTGACATGAACCGATTTGTTTGCGCTCAATATTGCTATTACAGTGGTTATGAGATTAAATACATGGGCGATCCGAGAATGATGAATCCTTTGTAAACACTTTTATCACAAATAGTTCCGACTTTCCTTTGTTTTTTCAGATTCTGTTGTACAGACCAAAAGGGCTGGAATGATACTTACACTTCGAAGCTGAACCCGACTATCGTTAATATTTTCTCCCGTTACAGAATTTTGTATTTGACAATACGGTATCGATATATCAATCAATCGACTGCTGATTTGCCTCTCACCAACAATACCTATGACACATTTGAATATCCTATTTGATGTCATGTCAATGAAAATTTTTATCGATAATATCAGTTAATCAAACATAACGGTAACTGAACCCAACCACACTGTTCTTTTCTCTGTTCGAGAACATTTCGATGACCGTCGGGTTGTTTTTCGAAGAGAAGACATTGTTCGCAAACTCCTGATCGGGGCAGCAGATGCTGAAAGAGATGGGTTGCTCCGGATGATCGAATGAACTTACATCGGACTGACAGCCTTTCTGTCTTCCCTCGTTTTGATCTCCACTCCGTTCTGATTACACCCATTCTGGCAGACGAGCTCTCCCAATCTTTCCAGTTGGATCTCGATGGTCTTGTTGTTCGGTGCGTTGATGTAGGCGAACGAGGAGTGGAAGTATGCGAGGTTGTCCCCTGTGAACTTGTACTGGAACCAGATAGTTGTTGACTGCCATTCGGAAGATGCCGCCAGCTCATACGAATCGATTTTGGGTCTCTCGTTGCACAGTTTTCCGAAAAAGCCCTTCGGACAGACGCAGACGGAGCAGTCCCTCGGATTGGTGTATCCGCCGTTGTCGCACTGCAGTTGTTTCTCACACTTGCACTCGTAATACTTGTTCAGCTTCTCGATGTCGTAGAAGGAGACTCTTCTGTTTCCCATCGTCCTCTCAAAGTTTTCTTCCTTCGGCTTCATAATCTCTGGTCCGTACTTGTGCGTGTCGTACATCATGACACTGCCGTACTCGAATGGAACGTACAGAATAATGTACGTCTCCTTGTTCATGTTCTGTTGCTGGCCTGTCCGTTTCACTTCCGCTTCGTTCACAACGATGAAATTGTCTCGATCTGGCCGGTTGTGCTCGTGGTAGGAGCCGAGAGAGTGGGACACCTCGTGGACGGCACTTCCCAGAACGGGACAGTTTCCGAATTGAAGCGTTTTCTCTCCGTACGGACTTCCTCTGGTTCCTGGCGCACCAATGATAGAGCTACATCCACTTCCACTCAAATCAGAAGTTGTTAACTCTTTTCGGTCTGTGACGTGGCTTACCCTTTAGTAAGAATCAGAAGTCGTTGATCAGCCTTGGAGTTCTCGACGAAGCGAAGGCAGGTGTAGTTGCTGATGTAGGCCATTCCGGCCCTCATGATGTTCGCCCGGTTGACATCCACGCCGTCAAAGTAGTAGTTAACCTGTCCGTTCGACCATTTCGTCCAGAGGGACGACATCTGACGCTTGACACGATCGTGCGGTTGGAATCCATCCGAAAGAGAGAAGACAGACGAGCAGAAGGCGAGGAAGAGCAGAAGAAGCGAGTGAGCCATCAGTGCTCCAATCCATTTCCAACGGACAATCAGGGCCTTTTATACAGTTTGAACCTCATTGATATGCGAGAAATATCGCTATGCAAATGGGAAAGAAACACATCTTGACATTTCCTGCAAATGGGGTTTGCTACGATCTTTCTGCTTTCCTGAATCATAGTTTTATGGTCTCTAACGTTTCAATTCTTCGGTATCATCGTACAAAATATATTGTGACTGTAATTATAGCGAGCCGCAAATCAAACATCATTATCAACTGCAAAAATGATGGCTTTACGACTACCAAAGGCGAAACCAATTTGTGAAAGACACTGATATCGGCAGACACTCTGGGGTAATAAGATTACACGTGCGCGTGCGATTTTTTCCAAACGACTGATAAGCACAAACATTGGACAATGCTCGTCGCGGCGAGACCCACTCGAGATCCTTTTGTCTCGGCTTCACTTTGCCGACCACCCATACATTTAACATTTTCCCGTGTTGGCAGTGTGCCAGAACACCTCAAAGATTGTCAATATCAAATTGAGTACACGAGCGGCTGTCTGCTTCCAACAGGGAGACAGACCGGCGAAATTGTATTGTATCATGGCTTTTTGTTGTGATGACTCTATGCATGGACGGAGGAATTCGTAGGTGGGAAAGAAACAAAAACCTCCTTTTCCGTAATATTGTGTATTCGTTGTATAGCTTTCCAATTACGCCATCGTACTCGCGGGGTGCGTCCTCCTTTCCCCCAATTTCCATTGTGATAAGGGCGCCAATGTTTGTTGTATACGTCGTTTATATGTGTGGATGATACTATGTCCGATAAGCAAACTACTAATTTTCGATGAGTTTGTTGCGAGAGCGTCAAGCCAGTTTCTTTCTACACAATTCGTTTTCATTTTCGGATTTTCCGATCCGCTAGAGCTCTGATCTCTTTGATGCGCGGAGGAGACGGGCGGCCGCCTCCCTTCAGTCCGACGCCTCGTAATTGTGTAGCGGCGTGAGCGATTCTCTCGAAATTATGATAAGCAAACACGAGGGAACATGCACAAGCTTCTTCCCCTCTCTCCCCCCGTTTCGGCTTCTCTTTTCCTTCTTGAGGAGCGAGGGAGCCCGGCGGCGACCACTCTATGTTTTACTCGCACGAAAAACTGTTCTTCCGTGCACTTTTTTGCTTACTTTTTTGATTATAGACCTCCTCAATGCTGTTTAGCTTTTTTCTTCCTGTCTCTCCCTCATTCGGTCTTTTCTATTGTCCTTTTTGTCATTATGAGTTGGTAGGAAGGAATTCCTGCATTCCTCGAATGCTTGCCGACCGATGATCTAATCAGTTTACTACGTTTGGTGTGCTCCACGAGTGTTACACACTAAACGATTGTCAACGAAATGTGTGAAGGCGGGGAGTAGAATTTTATGATTTTAAAGTTGCTTATCGTTTATTTCTCTTCCCAGAACTTGTTGCTGAACCTCAGGATTCAGATCTTTGAAGTTTTCCTATCAGTTTACATTCTAATTTTGTTCAAAACGTACATCTCCGAGAAAACTGCTTATCAGTGGTCTCCCTTTCCCCTGGCTCCACTTTTTTGGTCACTCGACCCGCAGTCTGTCTCCCTTTTTGAATTTACCCTCTGCCGTCGCCGCTCGCCCATTTAACATGACAATGATTCGTGGGAACGGTGCCCTTTCCTCTGCGGTCCACTCAAAGTGCACCGATTGATATTCCATGTGAGACAGATAATCACTTTCCTTTGTCAGTTTGAATTCTTCCGCTCCACATTCACATTTGGGTCGGCGGGCTTACAAAAGAGCAATTCGCCATTGGGCGGCCGGCAGGATGATAAGCGTTTCGCAGTCTCTCTGCTGGCGCATGAGCCACTCGGTGTTCTTTGGAAAACAAAAGTGTCATGGTTGAACAAGGAGCCGCACACTCACTTATTGTACAAGGCGGGCATAATTTGAACAAATAAGTTTCTGCGGGCCGACGACCTCCCGGCTCTTTTGTATCGCAAACACGTTCAAATCGCACACACGAAATGAAGAAAAGGCGAAACGAAACGAGATATGGGGGTGATCAGTGGGATTTTGAAGTGGTCATCAGTGGAGGAAAGTTTTGCACCGCCATACAAGTACTAGTCAAATGCACAGTTCTACTGAAAGCACGACTTTCGAAGGCTTTTTGAAGGTTGATCAAGTTACCTAGTTGCAACATTCCGATCCTACCCAAACTTTGCTTAGACTTGGATTGAAGTATCTTGGGTCAAAGTTTCGGACCGATCGGCTTATCTGGTCAGAAGATTTACTGATTTGGGTTCGAAATTATCATAATTTTGTGAAAACTCGCTTTGGAACCTTTTTCTTTCGGTCTAGATATCTCCTCTGAAACTTGGACCCAATATACTTCCATCCAAGCCTGAAGATCCTGCAAAGTTTCGGTCCAATCGGAAGTTTGCATTGCAACTGGACCGGTCATTTTCCCAGCCCTGACTGAAAGTGAAATCACCAAAAAACCAAGAAATTCACACCTGCTAACCACATAAAAAGAGCGGTCCGTAACCTTGCCTTACCCCCAACCCCCTCGTGTCTCATTATTGCTTTCTTTTGAGAAGGGGCACGTACCTTATGCTAATCGGGTACTTGTGAATGCAGAGGATACGGTGTCCCCGTCATTTCTCTATTTTCCCTTTCATCGGCACCATCCCTTTGATGTGCGAGATTTCGGGAAAAATCTATTTCCGTACAGTAGCTGTGATAGTAAATGGAAAAATGTTTTGATTGTAACAGTAAACGGGGGGAAATGTGGGTATGTGTCATCCCGATTGACTTTTTGTAACCCTTCCCTCCGTGCTCGACTTCTTCCATTCTTTCACTGGTAGAGTTTCCAGGCGACTTCTTCGATTACCCTTGTTTGCACTTTCTCTTCATCTTCGTCCCCTTCTCCAAAAAAGACTCATCTGCCAAATAAACTCTTCTCTTTTTCTCCATCTTTTCCCTTCTCTCACTCTCTCCCTGGCACTCTGACTAGCACTGCGCCAATGTGTTCTGTGTAAGGAGGCGGAGTCTGTCTGTGCAGCTCTTCTCCCCCTCGATCATTCCTTTCATTTCTGCCCCAAACGGTCATAGTCCATTCTTCTCCTGCAGAATGCGAAAGCCGCTGACGGTACTGTTGCTAATGGTGGTGACGACGGCGTTCGGCCGATCCGTGCATCATCAGGACAACGAAGAGATCAGCGACACGTACTATCAACGGGAAACAGACGCGCAGGTAATCGCTGAGTGCTCAGACCCCACCGATATACTCAAATCCATTCAGAATCAGGAAGAAGCACAGTTGGATGTGTCATCGGAAGACGTGCCAAGCTTGCCGCGAATGAACAGTCAGCAGAAGTGGGACCTAATCAGAGCCAGTGGCCAAGACCCGACCGTCCGCCGCCGAAAGAACAAACCGCAGAGGCAGCAGAAGGTGGTCCTGGGCCGAGAACGTCGTGATCTGATCCTGTCTCCCTGGAGAATCACCCACGTGGCACCGAAGACGAAGGCGGTGGTCGTTCCGAAGAAGGCGATGGCTCTCGGCTTCGACACGTGTCCGGACAAGTTCGACGCGATCACGAAGGGATACAACGGACGGACGTACGTGTTCGCGCGCGAGAAGGTCTACCAGATCTGGTTCGAAGACGGGCTGCCTCAGAAGGCCTCCTACCTCATCTCGGAGCTGTTCGCCGGCGGACCGAGAACCGTGACTGCCGCCCTGACCAACTCTCGCTCGGGAGTCACCATTCTGTTCGACGGACGCACTGCCTACCGCTTCAGATGGAACAGGAAGCACCGAAGATTCCAGCTGGCGAAGAACACTCCGCAGGAACTGCCCCGCAACATCACCATCAATCCGCTGTCCGCATTCGAATGGTCCGACGGAAACCAAGTCGTTCTGAGCGTCAGTTTCCACTTTATCAGGCTTCTCAACAGTTTTCTGGTTTCAGGGCGAGCACTTCATCATCTACGACGCTTACTGGAACCTGGCCACGTTCACCGGGCACACCCGCAAGTACTTCCCCAATCTGCCACGCGACCTGCTCGGAATCGTCTACAACGGCGCCGGCGAGACCCTCCTCATGTACACAAAGACCAACAAACTGAAGGTGAGCATCCAGAAGGTTTCCAGGGGCACTTTGTAGTAAGAAGAAGTTCAGGTTTACGACACGAAGAAGTTCAAAGTAGTGCAGGAATACCCGCTGAAGCTGTCCGAGTTCGTCGGATGTCTCTCCAGATGATCTTCTCCTCCGTGCCGTTCTCTCTTTCTCTTTCTGTTCTCTGATGATCTGATCCCTCAATCCGTTCCATTCTCATTCTTTAGATCGATCGATTCGCTTCTTACTCACTTTTTTATACGCCCGCCCCCTCCCAATTCAGTTCTGAGCCGGTGTCTTCGAGTCAGAATTTCTTCCCCGTCCCCGCTTTCTCTAACTGCTTTCAGTCCCTTCCCTCTTAAATTATTTTCCTCACACCCAAAACACCGCCTTTTCTAAAGATGCTACGTGTATTTTCGCCGTTTTTCCCTTCCCTTTTCCCAATTACACATGACCCCAAACGTCCGCTTCTTTTCATTGTTTTTGAAGTTTTATTGACATGATAAATTCAAAATGTTTCACAGTTTCATCGACGTCTTCCCATCACAAACTCCATCACATTGTCCAGAATGTTGCCAGTCATGCTTTCCACGCGGCCCAGAAGACTGTACGGAGCCGGAGGATACATCATCATTGGAGGGTACGCAGGGGGAGGAAACGGAACCACTGTGGGCGGAGCGAATCCCGAATTTTGCGGGTAGATCGGGCTGAAATTCAGAAGATCATTCCATTTGCAAATGAGTCCCTTTTAGGAAAAGTGGGCGTGGCCTAGCCGCGTGCATCGCATAGTGACGGGCGGAACCCGTGAGAAGTCGGCACGCAGTCCGCATGACCTCCCGTCACTCGGCCGTTCACATCAGCTTTGCGCTGGGGCGATAACGTGACCAATGAGGCTTTGCCGAGGTGCGTTTATTGCTGGTTGAAAACTTTTCCCAATTGCCCGCGATGGCCCCTGAAACATGGGTGCCATACGCAATTTTTGAACGCCTCCAGGAGGCAGAAAACGAAAGAAACGCGGGAACGAACTCTTCTACTGCTGCAGTAGGCGTGACGGAAACAACTGCACGAGTGAAGAAGCTATCATTGGGCAGCGGATGGGCAGGCATTTCCAGTCGTGCCGCAATCGTCGTTTGCAATCTTCTCATCAGTCCGGACAGATCGGGAACAGGCACAGGGAGAAGGGAAGGTCTCTGAAAGAATTAAAGAAGAAAAGCGTTTCTTGATTAACCGTGAAACTCACGACATCTCCTTTGATATGAGCAACTTGAGTTCCTCCCGAAGGTGTTTTCCGGACTATTTCAGTATACTTGATGCCATCTTCAGTGAACACTTTATGAGAAACTACAGTACTCCCGACGCTCTTCGGCAACGGTCTCTCCAAAGTCACATTAATCGTGTGCGGAGCCGTATCTTTCCCAATCGGCACAAATTCGTGTTCAGTTTCAGTCAGAACTTCAGTGATCAGAACGGTAATCAATATATAGTAACGCATTAGAAGGTCGGAAAACAACGGCGAAGAGTTGAGTGAAGTGGACGAAGACGACCGTCAATACTTTGGCGAATCGAATTTGCCGAGACCAGGCGGACAAGGACATCGTGATAACGTTGCAGAATTGAAAGAACGCGACGGCGAATTAGAGAATGAAAAATAGAAAAAAAGGGGAGAATAGGTAAAGACGTAACAGTTGTTATCATTGGGTGAAAGTGAGACTGGTTTAGAAGTGGGTCGGCGGTTTACTTGTATGTACAAATAATTAGGGAGATATGGGTCAATCGGATTCTCGCCTTTCCGTCTCATCTTTCGAAGATCCGACCGCTACAAAAGCGTCGGTTTCACGCTTCACGATAAGACGGAATGGTGAGTTCATTGTATCCGTTCTCGGGTTAGGTTCACTCATTTCAGTTGCAGATTCCCTTAGTCTTTCTCCTTTTCTTCACTCCAACTGCCCTTCTGGCCCCTGTTCGGACGGAGCTCTGCTGCTGTGGCTGCACGGAGGAACCGTGTCCACTGGTCGGTCCCAGTTGTCCGAATCCTCGAGCACTCTGCAATTCTTCTGTGGAATCAAATGTGAAATGCTCGGCTCTTCAGACACTTTTCGAAATTTCGCAGAAGAAATTGATCACAGAGTCCTTTTTGGATGACATGAATGACGACGCGACTACGACTCCAGAAATTATTGGACAACAGGTTTCCTTGAATTTCATCTCATTTAGTAAACGTTATTCTTCAGAAGTCAGTGCAATTGTTGCCGACGTTGGATGCGAGGGAAGTGCAAAATATGAAGAATGAGATCCTTGAGATAACCTCCAACAGAACTCGAAAAGCTGAGATCCGTATGAGTCCTCGGATATCTTCAGATTCGGAACACATGAATGGTCTTCACAGAATATCGCATATGATGTCAGAAATGGAAGGAATGCTGCAATTGATGAGAGACGAACTGTCGAATCAGATCGAGAACACATCGCCCGTGAGATTATTGGAAGAGGCTGCCACACGAATAGAGGTAACATAACAAAACAAAAAAGGTCCTGGCCGGGTTCAAACCGGCGACCCTCTGCGTGTGAAGCAGACACAGGCAAACCGGTCAAATGAGGGTCTCATGTGGGCCTCATGCCGAAAGATGTACCAAACTCATCCTCGCCGACCCGCCGGTGGGCCTGTGGACGTGATAACGACTACGTATTGGTGGTGTACACCACAGGAACGGGCGGCTGAATTCTCTTGCTTGGCGGCAGACAAACTCTCTTTGTTTGCAGGTCGATTCGTCTTTGCTCGCGGCGCCACTGACGAGAGCGACGCGAGTGAGGAGGGCGGAGACGGACAATTGCAACGACGAAAAACTGAGGAAAGTGATCAAAGATGTGAGTGGAAATGTGGGATTTAACACATTGAGTCAAGTTGCAGAACATAAAAAAAGACGCGAAGAGCTCGAAAAGAGAGATCCAGAAGGCGGCGAACAAAGAGTTCGGAGGCCACTTCAATGTGATCTGCTCGCCGTGCGAGTTTTCGTTCGTCGTCGCCTCGCAGAAGTATTGCGACGGATTCAAGGATGACGTCGCGTGCTTTGCCTTCCTCCAGCCACCAACAAAGTTGAAATTGGACGAGGAATAAAATTTGGATTTGCAAGTTGCTCGTGATGATAAGAGTAATAATGAAACCAGACTAATAATTAATAAATCTAATTTTCTAAACAAAAATCTTTATCGTTATTAAAAAGCCATAGAAATCTGACAAATGGAACCAGAGAGCAAGCGAGATACCAGTTTACATCGCATAGTCATTGAAAATGGGAACAGGGACGAGGGAGGAGTTCAGACTTGGAAGAACTTGTCATCCGGATGGTCATAGCTGTACTGAGCCATGCGGCCAACCAGGATGAGACCGGCAGTCACGATAAGAACGGCGGCGACGAAGATGATCAGAAGGAATCTGAAAAGGTTTCAGATGATTCCAGATTCGATTGAGTGGGTTACCGATCGAGGACAGTGGCGAGGAACTCCCACTCGAGAGAGCACTGTCGTTTCCTTCTCATCTCGTCGATTTCTTTGTTGAAAACGTTCGAAGTTCTTCTCAGTTGATTGTTTGTGCCTGCAATGGAATCTACTGAAACTGAATGAGATGCTTCGTTTTACCTGCGAGAGCGGACATGGTTCCTTCCCACATCGTAGGCGTTTTGGCTGTCGAAGGAGCGAGCGACGGAGCACGGGATCTGGCAGTGTTCGGCGAGTTTGGAGAAGTGACGTCGATCATCTGGAACGACTGCCGCTTCTCACTCACACTTCCACCAGTCACCGGCACTCGGAGCGTTGACCTGAATCGTACTGTTATGCTCGTTTGCATCTCGTACGCTTACATTGGTGACGCCTGCTTCGTCGATCCGTTGTGACCATTTCTCATCAAGTACTCGGACTTCTTCCTTCTTCTCACGTTCAACGGATCATCATCCAGTTCGCCCCATAGTGTTTGAAGTGGAGGCGGAACGTTGAGTAGAAGGATTTGCGGAAGGAGAACGAAGAAGGCGTAACGGACGATCTGCGGCGGATTCCTTCCGTACTGACGCCTTCCTTGCACGGAGAGCACGACGCTTGTGAGGAATGTTCCGATCGAGATGATAATGATGATGGAGAGGTAGAACCAGGCGATGAGCGGCACGAATTCACTCGTCGTCGGCATCTGATCAGAGACCATCAGCATGAGAATGGACATTGCCAGGAGAGTCGTGATTCCCAAATTGATCTTTTCCGTTCGGTCATCGTCCGTGGAGGCTGGCGTGAAGAAGCCGGTGATGGCGACGAGAGTGATGATGGAAGTGGGAATGATGAGATTGACGAGGTAGTAGAGCGGTTTCCTTTGAATGACCAACGAGGCCTGTAGGATGACCCACGGCTCCGCGCAACACGCGTATTTGTACTGAAATGATGGGCGATTCATGAAACGGAAGCGGGAAAGAAACGGAGACTCACCTCGTGTCTATGAATTTCGAATGACTTCACCTGCCATTCTTCATTCGGAATGAAAGATTGCATGCTGACTTGCGGGTCCGCGTAGTAGTCGAGCGCCGATTTCGAGTTGGTCCAGCTGGAGATGGTGAGTGTGCAGTTCTGACGATCATAAGGAAAGAAGCGAATGTTGAGGCGGCACGTGATCGTGTATATTGCGGGGTACAGAAACGAAAGCTCGGAGCCCTTCTCGCCCTTCCAGTAGTTGGACGTCACTTGGATGTTCATGTATCGCTCCGTTTCATCTCTGCTCATCTTCACACTGTTGTAGAGGTACGTGTCCGGAATCCAGAGGTGGTGGAATGGAATGATGGTCGAGTTGATCATTCCGAACTCGTTGGGATTCCAATCCAAGTACTCGTCCTTCCACTTTTGAATCATCCAAACGTTCAATTTGATGTTCTGCGATGGTTCATCCTGAAATTATCGTGTTTGTTGAAGGAATGATGGACATTCGACTCACCACTTCGATGATTTGATACAGGGAAATGCTGATGTGCACCTTGAGCGACTTCTTGTGATCAAGAATGGGCCGGACTCGCACATCGTACCTCTCCGGGGACAGTAAGTGTCTGGTCAGCCGGATCAGAGGCACGTTCTGCATGGCCAAGTCTCGATCGGCTGTCGAGTTGAGTAGTCGAGGGTCTGAAATGGAAAAGTAGCCTTGATGAAAATCAAGGGAGGATACCGAATGTTCTTAAGGTTGCATTGAGTGATTTTGACGCTGCAGCGATGACCAGAAACGTCAGCAAGAAGAGGAAAGGTCTCACAGTCATTTCGGCTCGGCTCAAACCTAGAACAAGGGTTAGCACGGAAGCAGGTGAAAAGTGAGTAAGAGGTATAGGTTACAGTGAAGGGAACACTGGGAGAAGTCGAAAAAGAACGTAGTGCGCGAAAACAATGAGAATAATTTATTGTAAGAGAATCAGAGGAAACGGGAAAGGAGGAAAAGCTCAAGCTGAAAGAAAATGATTATTCTGACAGAGGAGATAGGACGGAAAGCGATGTGAATTGAGTACTAGATGAGAGTTGTTGAAAAGCAGAAGAGAGTGAAAAGGAAAGGGGAAAAGTAAGAGAAACCGCGTCAAGTAGGGGATAGAATAGCAACCGAAAGGAGTGGAAAATGCATCAATCAGTGCTCGCCGAACTCAACGCCGGCCTGATGCCAGTGGATGAATCCGATGAAGTTGATGCCGAAAGTGATGATGAGGAAGGCGACGACGAAGATGACAAAGCACGTCCTTTCGACGACTGTGGCCAGCCATTCGAACTCTGCGACCGCCAACTGACGGTTGGCTTTGATCGAACCTGAAATGAATAAATGTGAACGCAATTTACTGAACAATTGGGGAGGAGTTTAGGGTGAAACGAAAGGAGAGAATAGAAGTTTGACACAACTGAAACGATGGAAAGAGTTGAAACGTATCGATAGTCAAAGAAGAAGAACACTTATTAGAACCTACCTCTTCTGCGGCTCACACCTGAATCTACAAAGCATTACTCGACTCTCAGATAGTCTGAATTGTTCGGAACTCACTTTGCATGGCGGCGAACGAGTGCTCCTTGTCTTTCTGTGACTTTGGACGCATTCGACTCATCAAGAACTTTGATGATAGCTCGGAAGCCACAGAAACCACGTCATCGGCAGGTCCAGGAGTTTGTGGAAGGGGCAGAGGGGACGAACAGGGAACTGGAGGAGCTGACGGAGAGATGGACTCGTCTGGAGGGAAGGTCATTAACCATTTCAGTGCTTGAAGTGTTACCGTGTTGATGAGCAGTCGGTGACAGGTGTATCAGTGGATCGGTGCTCTTATCAGATATCAGTGCAAGTCCGCTATTGGCGCGTTGGGTGGCTCGGCGAGCACCGGAGACCCACTTGTTGCGGACCGATTCCTTAACACTTGTCAACTGCAACGGACGCACTTCGACGGACGGCGTCGGCGCATCGAACGCCTCCATCATGTGCTCTTTCTCGACGTGCGGAGGCAGCGATGTGCAGGTGAACCACGCAAGAACTTTGGCGAAATCTAAAAAAAGGAACAATGCGGTGAAGGGGGAGCAGAAGAATAAAAGACGCACTTGAGAGCCTTCTTAGACATTCGCTCGCCAAGACTTCCTCGTTTTTGAATGGCAATAATGACTGAAGAGACGACGGTTCCTAATGAAATGACTATGATCATGGCGAGAATAAACCATCCAATGAGCGGAATGAATGTGGAAGTGGTGGGCATCTGATCGGAGACCATCAACATGAGAATGGACATCGAGAGAAGCGTCGTGATTCCCAGCGACACCTTCTCTTCTCGCATTCCCGAAGCCGATGACGTTCTGCAAAGAAAGAAAACATTCATACATTTTTAACTGAAATGGAATGAGAAACTGACGTGAAGAATCCGACGATGGCGATGAGAGTGATGATAGAAGTCGGGATAATCAGGTTGACAAGATAGAATAGGGGCTTGCGTCGGAGGTACAACGTCAACTGCAGTAACGTGTAGTTGTTCGGACAGCAAGCATACTTCACTTCTCTTCTTTTTACTGAAACGAAACACGATTTCACTCATACTTCTCTACTTTTCACTCACTTTTCGTCTGCAGTATGTACCATCCCTCGTTTTCCAGATAGTTGGAAGTGCCGATTTTGTCCGAGTACGGAAAGTAGTCGATGCCTTTCTGATCGTACGTCCAGGACGAAAATGTCATTGTGCAGACCTGAAAGAATAACCTTTTTCTCGTAAAAAAAGTGTAATTAGTTTTGAAACGAGAAAGAGAACAAATTGGGAAAAGGTTAGTACTCACTTGGACGTCGAAAGGGAAGAACCGCAAGTCGAGAAGGCATGAGAACTTGTAAATGGTCGGGTAGAGCAGCTCGATGAGCGCCGCTCTCCGCTGCGTGTCGGTGGTAAGCTTTGCATTTAGAAGGCGTCGCGTGTCGTCGTCCTTCATCACCAACGAGTTGTAGAGCGTCGTGTCGGGCAGCCAGATCGAGTCGTACGGCAGCCGCAGCTCTGTGATATTCTCGTAATCGTCGGGATTCCAGTAGAGAAACTCGTCGAACCATCGCTAAAACTTTTTCTTTTCGTCTTTTTTTTGCACATTTCAGGATAAACTTCGACTTGCTCGCGCAATGCTCCGCCAACCGAAAGCGGCCGAACACCGCGCCGAACACACGTCATTTCCGGCCTACCTCGATGATCCAGGCGTTGAGCAGAATGTACTGCTGGGGCTCGTTGAGCTCCAGAATCTGATAGAGGTCCATCGAGAAGGAGACGTTGATGGGCTTCGAGTTGTCCCACATCGGCTTCGCTTTCTTGTCGTAGTTGTCGAGAAGATCGTGGACGAGTCGGATCTGTGTGGGCACTGGTGGTTCGGCGGTGCATGCCGGTGCTGAAACGCATCCTTCTGTGTTCAGGCTTACATCCCCAACAAAAGGGACCGGAGCTTTCACTCAAATTGGAAATTCATCATTGTGTCGTCGAAAAGAGATTAGCATCATTTGGTTCTTTGAGGTCCCTCTCGGACTCCCACCCCAATTGTTTCTTTTTTCGGAAATGAAAAAGTGAGGAGAAGAGGAGGGTGCTAGTAGTACTACGACTACTACGATAACCACCAGTTCCTGGTCACAAGGGGCAATGAGTGGTGGTCAACATACACACTCGAGCGCCTTGTTGTAAATTAACATCTGATGGATGATGGAAGCTTTCGGCAAGACCCACCCGGAACTTATTTGATTGGAAGCCCAGGGGGCTGCCTCTACTCATTCTCTGCTTGCTACTCTGAAGTTTGACCATTCGTAAACATGATACTCACCTGCGATCAGCAAGAGCAAAAAGTGAATGAGCATATTGAAGGAGGAGGGGGCCGAGAGCTCCTCTGAAAACAGAAAGGGTCTGAAAATGAATGAGAAGCGAGCCGTTCAGGACCAAATTTTTGGACCTCTTGCTGGGAAGAACGGCACTCAACACATATTTCGTATATGTCCATTCACTTACACAATGACACAAAACAACAATAACAAATAGAGAAAAAGGGGATGAATAGGAGGGAAGAACTGACCGCTCGGCCGCTGCTGCCGCTGAAAATCGAAGCGACGAGGGACGAGGTTTGCTCTTCTCCTCTCAGCTATTCGCTGCTTCTGTGGCCGCGCCGGGTGTGCTCGGTGAACCGTGCGGGAATGTTCATAAGAACCCGAGAGATGATGGCCTCGTAGGTGGAGGAAGAGGTAAGTGCTCGACGAGTTTCGCTAAAAACGGAAACGGAATGAATGGTGATGAGCAGTCAGTCAGTCAGTCGGCAAAAAGTTCAAACGAGCGTGATCTGTCATGTTCGGATCACTGGGACGGGATAGCAACAAAACATTTGGATGTAACAAACATAACAGGGGACAGGAGAGAAATAGGTGAGCTGTGATGCCCGGAGAATGAGGAAGCGCGACAAATTGTTTCTTGCCCGTAAATTTTGATGATGTCAGTGCAGTGCACCACCCCTATCCGTTTCAAATTTCGGATCAAATCACATGAAGATATATAGACACGGGTGTAAGGAATAAAAGAGACGGGTTCAGCAAGTTATGAGCAAAAAAATCAGAAAACAGCTGACAAGCAGGGGCCAGCTGGGGAAGATCACACTTGACGTGGCAACAGGATGAGTGAGAATGAGACTGGAAAACAGAAGAATAAGGGAGGACTCTTGAGCTATTATGATGATCGCCGACTAAAACTGGAATTTAAATATTCAACACGCCCGTCTTTTGTCTCGCCCATTCTTTTCGCAATCAACGATTCCGAGTTTTACCTGTTACTACTCTCAGTTTCACAGAAGCTCGAAAACAAAAAACAATAGTCGGGTCTGCGGTCGGGCAAATGGTACAACGGAAAGTGAGCCGGGTGGCCGTGCGTGTGGGGGGCAAAAAGTTGTAAAAGCGATGAGGAAGTGGAGGAGAGAAAATCGGAAAGGCAGCAGGAGGCACAGGTCACTTCGAGACGAACCTATTAAACTTCTACTCTTGCGGGACGCTTTCTTCTTCTCCTTCTTCCCCTTTTTCTCCTCCTCCCACCCCAAATTGTTTTGAGCCCCCTTCTCACTCGTTTCGTGGAAAAATGGGAGGAGTGGGGTGAAGGAGCAGGAGCGCGCTGTCTTTGTCAAATTAGGCAAAGAGCTGTATTCAGTTGTGGGCGCGTACACTTCCCGACGATTGGCTCAAGCAGTCGTGGTACCTTTGGGAAGGCCCGTTGGACCCGGCGCTCACTGACCCGCCCACTCCTCAATCAAACCAATCGGAAATGCATTTTTCGATATCAATCCGTCACCGGACACCCTCGCCGACCGACAAATGCATAACGGAGAAGGTTGCAAACACTGTTGTACCTGGAATGTAACGATCCATCAAAAATGTTTGATAGATCACTTGGAGGTGCCCTCTGATCACCTTAAAGTTTCTAAAGTTTCAAGACCTTGGAATGTGTTGGGAAAAAAGAATTCACAATAGAATGGGAGAAAAAAGGAATAAAATGAAGAGTTTAGTACTCGAAAGAGGACAATGAAAGGTTGTTGCACGGCAAAACTCAGCAGCCGCCAAGCAAAATAACCGACGGAAGACGTCAGCGAACGTACACTCGTATGCATAGTTCTAATCTAGAATGCTGATCATCAAAGCTGCAGCACTTTTTAGGTCGACGACGACGTCCAAAAAAAGTTGTCAATGGAGTAGTGTCCTGAGTTTCAATGAGTGACATACTCCGGCAGCCATTACTTTTCCGAGCGGTTACCAGAGAAAGGGACGTTAGAACAACGGATTAGTTGAGAGTTGCGAGTTGACGGAGCGCCTAGAATGGGCTCGAAAGGAGTCAAAAAACAAAGACAAAAAGGCAAAAATTTGAGAAGGAATTCGAAGAAAGAGAAAACACGTGTCTTATTCATCAGCCGTCGCGGAACGGGGCTACAGCCGTTGATTATTCAAAGAGATTTCCGGAGGTCAGAACAAGTTCCATTCTAACCTTCCGGTTCCAAATCGTCACTTCCAGTCGCGAAACGGATCGGCATCAGCGGATCGACGCGACGAAGACGGTGATGGGCGAATGCTGCCTTGTCGCTGAAAAAAATTTGAGCTTTTTCGGTAAACTGAGAAGAGGAGGGTACTCACCAGTAGCAGACTGCACGGAGTACTTGCTCGTTTGGGGACAGGGGCATGCCAACAAAACTGCCGCCTGCAAAAAAATAAATTATTGATTTGTTTCAGAAGCGTCTGACCTGCGATGTGCTCCATCATCCGTTCGAACTCGGGTATCTCGTTGATGGCCCGTCTCCGCCGATACAAAAGGCAGAAACACTCGAAAAGATCCACGACAAAACAGAGAAAAATGAGTGTAATCACAACCAATGATATAGAAATCCAATAGAGCACTGGCAAAGAAGGAAATGGAGAAGAGGCGGAAGTGTCGGAGGCAACTCACTCTGTCCTGTCTCCAATTAATCGAAATGATTCTCATTCGATCGGGTTAATCTCATTGAGGGGAGGTCGTCGCGTGAAAAGAACAATGAGGAAATGACTCGCCGACGGCAGCTTCGGTCATCATGAGCCAGAAGTACTGGAAGCCCCCGGGCGTGAGCGTTCGGGGCTGTTTACACCGGAAGAATGCTAATTGCGGGTGAATGAGCTGAAAAACATACCAAAACGGGTATTGGTGACTTTGGATTGCGTGCACAAGTGTAGTGGACCAAATGGACGAACATGCGGAGAGATAGGGGAGTGAGAAGGGTGTTTTTCGTGTTTTTCGGCTCTCACTTTGATTGCTTCAAACTTGAACGCCCGAGCTTCCGATATATTGTACCTGTGATGATTTTCAGTGATCACCCAGAAGATTTTCCAGATTTTCCGGATGTAGAGCTGAGTGGGCATACGAAAAAATGAGTGAATTTGAACGGAAACTTCGTTTTTTTTGTAACCGAAACCCATTGTAAACGGAAAAGTTAACTTCGAACATTCCTCCCGCACTTCCCGTCCTTGTCCAACATCTGGTCGAACAAAAAAGTTCGGCATCATGCCGCCGAACCAATAAATTGTGCCATAAACTCAACACTTGATGCTCGAAATGTGTTCACACTGATTCAGCCGTGTACTTTCCATGATTCTTTTTCTTTTCTTCTCCGCACAGGCGGTAGCTAATGAATGGCGAAGACATCGAAGGCTCACCGAGATGGGGCACTGCCGGCACTCGTCTCGAATTTCACTTTGCGAAAGCCGTCGAAGATGCCCGCTCCCGTCTTGTATTTGCTTTTTATTTCGGTTTTATCTGCTCTCGCTGCTTTCCGAGATTTATCCCTGCTCGTCTCCCATTCATAGCGATCGTAGTCTATGTGAGAGCGAGAGAGTGGACCTTCTGAACTTTCGGACGTTCACAAACCCACTGTGTTTCGACCTTCAGCCTTCGTCCGGCGGCTCCGGCTCCGGCTCCTTTTCCAATCCAATATCCAATTCTACCCGGGGGTACATACGAAGCCCCTGAAATCGACACCTCGACGTGCGAACATGCGTTTCTCCGCACCTTTCCCTCCAGCATGGCCGTCGCGTCGCCATGCTCGCTCAGATCGATAAGGTGTAAGTACAAGAATCTGAAGTGTGATCCGACTACTTACTCGCTCCCTTCCCCTCTCCCCAATCGGCCGACGACAACAAGTGCGCAAACAGTCTCGCTGCCAGGCCCCCACCGTACTCCTCTTTGAACTGTTGCTCCTCCCGTCTGCCTCCAAATGGGCTCTTCGGAGGTTCACGGAGCAAAAATAACACGCGTGCTGGTGCTCGACCACTCTTTCCCATTCCTCCTGCAACCCAATTTAGGGTCGTGTTGTGTTTTTCGCACGCAGATTTGATGGGCTCCCAACCCGCATGCATTCGGAGAGCCAGCCTACTCTCGTTTTTCTCCACTTTTCACCACTTTTATATATGTTTGATGAATACAATAATGTGTAACCGCGTGGCGTGTGGTGCAAAGAAACATAGAGGTTCGTTTGAAGTGGATCGCATTTAACGCCACTTTTTGGCGGCAGTGCAAATATTTGAGGGCAAAGCAGTGGGAGAGGCGAGAGACTGTTTTTTGAATTCAGTTCATGTCGATCGCAAATTAACATTTAGTTTGTCACAAGGTGTGCACGTGATTTCTTGTGATCTCACGGGATCAGATGGTGTCTTAGAAGCCATTAATGAGGTCGGCTAACTGGGTCAGCAGCTCAATTTTAAGACCTTTCTGCAAACGGTTTGCAGGCACTCGCGTGGGCCCTCGAAACTCTTATCCCCTTGTGCCAACATTCACTAATCCCATTATCCTCCGGGCCCCTCCTCTACCTCTTCTTTCCCATCCTAATCCATCTTCTCTTCTGCTCTTTCGAGTTTTTACCCGAGAAAGTTCTTCTCCTTCGGGTTTTCACCTCTAATTGCGCTCATCATGAATGAGGGCTTCTCCTCCGGACCAGAAGCAATTATCCGCGACTGAACCCCGCACTTTCAGTCTTTCAAACAAGAGCTGTGCTGCTGATCAAACAACATGTTTCCGTTTGCATTTTTTGTTACAAAAGTTTTAGCAAAATGAAAAAGAGAGAAAGAGAGAGAGAGAGAGGGCAGAGTTAGATTTGTCCGGAAACGGAGTGACTAAGTCTTGCCGAAGCCCTTTCTCCTCCTCCTTGTTGACCGCAACTGTAGATGACAACAACGCGTGTGTCATCTGCAGAGCACTGCTCCTCCAAACCCTAAAAAGTTTCTCCTCCCTCGTAAGAAGGATTATAGAGAGTAGTGGTGCCTGCCCCAAACTTTGACCAAATCCTTGAGGCGCAAATAATCCTGCAACACACTTTGGCACCCAGTCTCTCTTTTGATTTTCATTAGTCTGACCGCCCGAATGCAGCTCATTGATCATTCCTTCCAGTTCTGCCCCTGCTTCTGCTGCTTCTTCGTCGTTCCAATAACTCAAAATAAGTGGGGGGAGGGTAGGAGGCGCGCCGAAGAATGTGCTCTTTCAACTGCTACTCGTCAGGTGTCATCCCTCCCGGTTACAATCCTAACATCATTCCCTCCTTCTTCTTCTCCTACCCTCTCTCTCTCTCTCTCTCCTTCTGTTGCTTTTCTCTTCTCACACATCCTCACAGCTAAACTTGTTCCATGTGTCCTAATCGAGTTTCCATCCGGCCACAAGGTCTTTTTCCTCGAATTCTCGCCACCGGTTTGCGTCGCTTTTCCAAACTCGATCAAAATTTTTGCTAATTTCGTAGCCTTTGCACTTTTTGATTGCATCCATTTTGGTTGAAACGGAACATTCATAGAGTGTCTGTCGACTCTTTATGGTCACTGATCACAAACCAAAACCCGCTAAAAGCCGTGGTTTTTTGCGTGTTTCCTTCTGCTAATGGAACCGTGAGATTCTGGCGACAAATTACTCAAAAGTGCTTTAAGTAGTCTGGAGTTTGGATCAAATGACACATAAATCGGACGTCACCGTTCGCAGATTCGAATTCTGTTTTTCGCCCCAAATTGATTCGATTACCGCGCTCTTAAAGAAGTTTTGCCCCTCGCTTCAGATTTCCGTTCCGACTGACTCACAATCATTGTGCACAGCCAGACACCGCCGCCCTCCTCCTCCTCCTTCTTTTTTGCTTGCCATATTCTATTTTAAGGGTCCAACGTCATCAGATGTTACTATTTTTGGGCGACCACCCTTCCTCCCCATTATTTTGATCGGGTAAAAGAGCTATAAGGAAAAGGGAGACAAATATTGAAATCGCGGGTAGTTTCTTCCTCAAATCATAGTATAATTTGAGGAAGATGTGGGTGGTTGGAAGGCCACACAAACACATTTCAATTCCGCACGAACTTCTTTTTTTTGCAATAATATCTAGCTGCTCGGATGATAAGCCGATCCGGAAATGTTTTCAAAGAGTAAGTTTTCTTCCTGCTCAGCCGTCTCAATTGAAAATTGATCTACGGAACAAATCCCCCCTGTGTTTTGCTCGTTCCCCGACACATTCATAGTAGCTTTTGAAAATAGAGCATATCCTGAATCACTTGGAGTTCACGATCAAAAACCAGAAGGGAATCTGTTTTCCGAGTTCCAGAAGCTCTCCCATGTGTTTCGGTGCGAATCTCAGAGAGTGTTCGTTTCCGCCGCACACACTTGTTTACGAACAAATCCAGCCAGCCAAGGACCTACTCCTTCTCACAAATGTGTACATTGCATCAATCCAACCAAAAAAGGAAACGCAACGAAGAATGAATGAATTTCTGATTCCTTTTACCTACCTCCGAGCAAACCACACATCACATTTGTCTATTTCTCTGTGAATCACAAACATATTCATTCCGATCAGCTCTCGAAGTCTCTCGAATAGCCATGAGTCAAAGCTGAAAGCTCGTCCGTGCAGAAAAAATGCGCCAGTTGTGAAATCTGTAACTCGAGTGGCAGCCATTCCCAAGTAGCAGTGTCGCATGCGTCTGAAAGTGCACTCACACACCCTTCTCCCTTTTTCATCCGCACTTCGCTTCATTATCCACTATTCTCTCACCGTGTCAATTATTCAGCACTTCGCGTCGTCGCCTCCAGATTCGCTAACTCCTTGCGCCCCATTTTCCTGATTGAAGTTGACAAGAAGTCCCTTGTTCCGGAGCCGCCGCACCTGCTCCGTCCGTGTTTTCGTTTCCGAGCACTTGTTCTCTAATCATCATCTGCTCATAGTCAGTTCTTGTCTAAATTTAGGTTCATTAAGTTGGGTCTTCTTGTGTGTTACTCAACAGTAAGTGAGTAAGTAACAAGGCCTTCAGCAGAATTGAAAATTCCGAGAAGAAGAAGAAGAAAAAGACGAAGATGAGGAGCAGCGGACGGCCGGGGTTCAAAGAGTTTTCCCAGCATCCGACTGGTTATGACGTTGCGGAGGCGTCTTTCGCTGCCGCCGCTCTTCATACATTTTTCACCATTTTCTCCATGACGGCATCAGTTTCAAGTTATCGTCCAGACACTCTTCACTAAAATAGAACACGATCGTTCAATTCTTGAGAGAACAGGAAGAAGTTGACAATAACCGCCTCGAGCGAGCTGATTATAGGCTACTAATCCCCTTGTTAAACTTTCGGATGAGAAGAACTCATGAGAATTTTTAGAAATCTCGCTCAAAATGTACATACGCTCACAAAAGAGCATCTCCTTTTGCGTTCCTTGTCTTCTCGGAAGGGTTCATCTGATTCTAAGGGGAACAAGGGGGCCCCTCTTCTTCTTTGCCGTCTCGTTCTTTTTCGGCGCCCCGGGCTATGCTGAAATCTTGTTTTTCATTAAAAATTTCTATACAGCTTTCCTTTCCTCTCTTTTCCTCTCCTTTCCTCCTCTTCGTTCATTCGTTCGTTCGTTCTTCTTTTCCTTTCTTTTGCTAGCATTTTGAGAAGGCGACAACGATGCCCGAGTCCACTTTTCAGACGAAGCAAGGGGAAGGAAGCGAAGAAGAAGAAGAAGAGCTCACATTTATGGCCAGAAGAGCGCGCCGAGCCGTCGCAGAATGTGCTCACTCGGCTGTGATGTCCACACCATGTCCACACTTTTTAGCACTTTACTGAAAGATTGTCAGAGTTTGTGCACCCAAATTGGGCCCAGCCAAAATCTCTTGTATCTGCCAGAGTCACTCAAACTTTTTTGTTTGAGTTGTCGCGAGAGGATTCCTTCTTCAGCCATTTTGGCCCGCGGAGAAGTCAATTTCGACATTTCCCTCTTCAGGTTTTCCATTTTTCACTTCCGATAGTGATTTTTGGGTCGGCCTTGCCACAATTATCCAGTCTTCTCGTGCCCACCACCACTCTATTCATAACTCTCATACAACAAAAGCCCTTCTTCATAATTGGTGAGAAAACTCCCGTCTTCTTCTTCTTCTGCCTCTTCTTCTGCTTTTTTTTGCTTCTTTCACTTCTTCTCAGCCCCTGTTCTTCAAAAATCTTCGTCCCCCGCCCCCTTCGTATTCGGCGGTCCCATCTAATTAGAGCCTGAATCGATGAGGAATCAAGCGAAAAGAAAACATGATTTTCTGACTACTCTAATTTGTGAAGCTCGAAAAACTCGTCGTCAGAATATGAGAGCCCTGCGTCCGTCGCGCGAGGAGCCGTAGCTCCTGAGCCCTCAACTCAAATTTGGCCAATTTCGGCGACTTGGCTCGTCTTCCCTTAACTTTCGCGTCTTTTGCGGACCCCGTCTTCCCAGCCGCTGGTCCCACGCGGAAAAGTTCATTCCAATTTCCGCCTGGTTTGACAAATCCCGCCCGAAAATTCAAGGCCACGGTGGAAATTTGCAGAGTTGTGTGTGTGTCAGGCTGCCCCCTCCCTCGTCGTTTTTTAATATTCAAAACCTAGTATATACATACGGAATTTCGCGAGGCCCATGCCCATCCTCTCCGTCCGCGGGTCTCATTGCAATAACACAACACACTCGGGGTCTCGAATTGAATGAATTCAATTGGATGGACGACTGAATTTATAAAGAAATATGAATATGAGACGGAGGAAGAGAGGAAGAAGGAGGGGGGAGTCCCATTCCCCTTCAAGTTTGGACCGCCTGTTTATCTGCCCTTCCTTGACCTCGTGCCACGTCATCTCTTCACTCTCTCTCTTTCTCTTTTTCGAGTTCAAAAATTCCTCGTTGTCTTTTTTGCTCAACAGCCAGTCCATCCAGTGTCACAAATTTGGTTAGCTCTCAAATTTGCATTTTTCTGTGTTTACATCCGTCAACTTCGTCTTCGTCTTCCCCTTTTCAAAACCCTTCAAACTCATTGTTCGAATCCGTCCCACGCATCCATCAATTTCTCTCCAAGCCGCCGATCCTTCCGGAAACGGGAAACGCCGCTCACCTGACGTGCTCGCGATCGGCACATGACTTAAACTTCAAAGTCTCTCGCCCCTATCTGCTCCATAATTAGAGCGGTGGCGCTCCTCTCACACACTTCCCACCGAAATTCGGTTAGTTTCGCTTTATCCGTAGGCACAAAAATAGAAGGCGTCGGCAAAAACGCCGTCTGCATACTTAGTTACACCGACGAAACGAACGACTGCTTCTTGTTTTGGGGTCTCTTTCCCGTTTCCAATGATATTTCAATGAAGTCTTTATTTCGAAACGACGATCTCTATTCTCGTTCGTCAGAGAATGGCACACATTCGTCAGGTTGTTGTTTCTTGACACGGAAGTGTGTGACGAGTGTGCTCCGTGGCAAAACACCGTCGTCGCGCGGACCTATAATTACCGCCGGCCTGTCGCCGATCGCTAGTGAGCGGGAAAATGAGTCGCCGTTTATCCGAAAGAGGAGCGCGCTCCTCGTGCCGCTGCAATTGCCCCGCGAGATTCGGCCTCTCACCACACAAACCCTATCATTTTTTGGGTGTTTTCTTCTCTTCTTTCCTCGTCGTCATCTTTCATCCATTGCTAATGATTTTTTTCGCTCTATCCCACAGTTTGGTTCCGAAATATATTCTCGGAAATCATTTTTCATGCTCTTCTCTTCCTTTTTAAAGCTTCTCTTGTTCGCCTCTTGTTCGAATTGATCCTTGTTTTTTCATCTTCAGATGAACGAATAGAAACAGAGAATTTATGAGGAATGGAGTTCACAGAGTGCAAAACCGTCCTCTTCCATTTGCCAGAGAAAAGTTTTTTGTATGAGATTTTTTAGTAAGTTTCACATTCATTTTATACTTCTGAGAGAAACTGTTCATTTTGCAGCAAAGTATACGACTTCTACCATCCGATCCATGCCTACTTATCCATATTTTGTGCGTGTTGGGCACCATCGCCAACTTCTGCAACATCGTCGTTCTGACGAGGAGGACGATGCGCACGCCGGTTAACATGATCCTGACGGCGATGGCGTCGTGCGACACGGTCGTTCTCTTCTCCAATCTCATCTACACAACGCACTACTCGTTCGTCGCCTTCAAGTTCTGCCATCCGAAGCACTGGTCCTACTCGTGGGCGCTGTTTCTGATCGCCCACGCACATCTCTCGCTCGTCGCTCACTCATCAAGTGTCTGGCTGTCAGGTGGGTCAGCGCTTCGAGTCAAACTCTGAAGTTGAAATTTTCAGTCATGCTAGCGCTCATTCGATACGTGACGCTGAGGAGTCGAGGGAACATGGGCGGGATGCAAGTCACGCTGAGGCACTCCTACTACGCCGTCGCAGTCACAGTCTCGCTAGTGGCAGTGCTCAACGCACCCAATTTCCTCAACTACAAGATCAACGAGCAGCCGCTGAACGAGACTTGCACGGATTTAGATCCCAAGTTCTGGCACTCGTCCGCCTACCTGCCTGGCATTGCGGATATTGCAAAAGCGAACAGTTGTCTAGTAAGTTGTACGCCTTCCGTCCCGCCCTAATTGTCGTTTTCCTAGGTCTTCCGGTTGTCCTACTGGATCTCCGGTCTAGTATTCAAGTTGCTGCCGTGTGCGTTGCTCTCGTTGTTTGTTTGGCTGCTTCTCCGCATCTTACGTGAAGTGCGTGAGAATCGGCAACGCCTTCTCAAGAACTCTCAGCATCGGCCTCCGAACCAGACGACTCGGAATGGACAACGACTGAGCATAACGGGCGCGACCAACGAGAAGCTCGGCAGGAACGGAAGTCTGCGGGGGAGGGGCGAACGAGTCGACCGGACGACGCACATGCTGCTGGCGATTGTGGCGGTGATGCTGATGACCGAGCTGCCGCAGGGGATCATGGCGGTGCTGTCGGGCATGCTGTCGGAGGAGTTCCGCATCTCCATCTACAACAACCTCGGCGACATTCTCGACTTGTTCTCTCTCTGCGGATCCTGCTGCTCGTTCATCATCTACTGCTCGATGAGTGGACAGTTCCGAAACGTGAGTTTTATTTTCATTTCAATCCTGTCAAATCTCAAACTTGAATCGTCGTCGTTTAGGAGTTTCATCGAGTATTTGTTCCCACAAAGATGAAGTGTCTTCGGCTGAGTTCTCCGTCGATCCGACGTCCTTCCGATGCCTACAGCACGACCAAAATGACTTTTCTGAAGCCGAACGAGAAGAATGGGAATGGAAACGGATTGGGCAATTATTCGGAAGATACAAGGTCAGCAAGTGTGAAAGTAAGGGTCGAATAGAATGGTTCAATAACACACGAACACTTTCAGATGCTCGGAGGTCAGGTGCGACGAAACAGCACCGAAGTGACGAGGATGAGCGGCTGCGAGTCGCTGACTCCGTGCTCTCCGATGCCCGCCTCGTTCCCCTCCTCGCCGCTCCCGCCGATCCGCAGCGGAGAGGATGAGTCGATGGACGAGACATCGCACCTGCTCAACAGTTCGGGACACACTTCGACCGCCAGCGGCGACGACGGCATTCGGGGTCACTTTCAGAACGTCTGAAACACTCTTTCCTTCAGCAAAACACACGTGTCGACAAACCATTAGTATTTACGATTCTCACGGGTTTCTTCTTGCTATTCTATGTCGTTTTTTCTTGAGGGTGCCACCGAAATGAATTTTTTTTAATGACTTCTTCTAGTACAAGACTCAGGAAATACGAGAATACAAGTTATGTGGTTCGGCAGGCGCAATTCTTTATTCGTCATTCATTGAAAATAAAGAGAAAGAGATCAATTAACCGACAAAATTACCGGGTGCCGAACAGAAAAGACGAAGAAATGGAGAAAAAGGGAAGCCGACTAGGTTGAAAGCATGAAATGGGAGTAGGAAAGCATTGAACTTGAGAAGTTCGTCTCAGAACCAATACGACCCGTCGTGGAATGTTCTTCAGCTTCTGAATCCTGGCGGCTACTTGGAGACAACCGCCCGTTCCGGCGTCGAGATCGTGACGTGGCGTTTGAGTTGAGTGCCGAGATTCCGGATGGGAGACATCGAACATTCTCGCGAGGGAACGTTCGATGCGAACTCGCCGGGAGCATTCGAATTGCCGGCCGGTCGGTAGAAACAGACTACTGCCACGCAGTTGTTCGCCGTGTTCCAGTACCGGGCGGCTCCCAGTTCAGACGTGTCTTTCCACACTACTTGCGAAAACCGCTGACATTCTGGAAAGGAAAACAAATGTGTTTTTTTTTGCAATCGAAGATCAAATCTCACTTGGATTCCATCTCGGTTTGTCAAAATCGAAGAACTGCGCCTCTTTTTCCCACTCCTGAATGACTTCCTGCCCCGTCGGAAGATGCGATTGTTCGTTGGCCTCTTTCATTATGATATTCTCCCCGATGCCCGGCAGCTCTGGATACAATATCCTCCCTCGATCCGCCAGTTTGACCGCCCACGCATGAGCCATTTCAGCCAACTCGGTCGACCAACACAAGTGCTCGTTTCCGAACCTTTGCCGGCATTCATTATGCGCGTCTAGACATGCTCGCTGGAAGTTTACTTCGCCTGAAAAACCATGGAGTAAGTTAAGTACCGGAAAATTGGCTTGAACTCACTGAGAGCCGTGTACTTGCTATGCTTGATCATGTACTTCACATCGGTGATCGTTTGCATCATGTGCTTGTCGAGCTGCGCGTCAAAGTTCTTCCGAGATTCTTCTCCGATTGACGAGCAAACCGCTTCATAATCATCTCCGTACGAATTCGATACGTTACTGTAATCAACGTCTTAGGAACGACGTTGTCAAAGTGGTAGACATACTGAACAATATTAGTCGACTTGGACTGAGGGATGGGCACTGGCTCCGATGGTGCGGGCGCCCCACCGGCTGCTCCGTTCTCATGCTCGTGCCGTTCCGTTTCCGTCTTCTCACCCGTAAAATCGCTCTTCGACTTTCTCAGTTTTTTGCGAGAGAAGAAGCGCTTCATCTCCTCTTTTGCTGCAATAAATTCCGAATTAGAGAGCAGAGGAAATGCGTGGCACGGAAACTGATCGTAAAAGCGCATCGCAACATTTCCGAGCAGCACTCTCTCGCCAACAAATTCGCCTTGGAGTCGGCTCGGAAATGGAGCACACAAACGGATGACAAGGAAAAGTCTTATATGTAGATGTGGTGGTGGTGGTGGTAGTGCACTTGTGGAACAAGTCCCCCTGGGGAGCTATTGCTCGGAGCGCCCCTTCCCCTTCTCAGCCGGCACATGAAATCAAAGGAGAGGAAGAAAAAGAAAAGGAAGCGGGATGCAAAAAGTGCGGCTATACTAAAAGTTAAAACAACATTGCAGCTTCGAACGAAAAGCGACGAAGAAGAAGGAGAAAAAGAAGAAGAAGAAGAGGAAGAAGTGGTGGAGCGACGAGGCGCCACAATTTGTTCGACCGGAAAATGGGAATTAGACTTGTCTATGTTTAGTTGTTGGGATGCCTGCAAACTCTAACTGCACTGCACGCTCGACGCTTTCGAGGAGACGCGGAAAAGAAGCAAAAAATAACCCGCCGAGAACGTAGTAGTGTTGAGGGAAAAGGGGAACAGAATTGTGCGGCCGACGACGACGACGACGACCAAGGCCAATCTTCCGAATGGAGGTTCGGACGGAAATGAGAGGGCTCCGCGGAGCAACCAGATGCGGGAAATGGAAACGAAGAAGAAAGAGAAAGGAGGGGGAGGAGGAGACGCTTCGTTGCGTCAAGAATATGAATTAGAAAATATCAAATTTCTGAGAAGAATACGCCATCTTCGCAGCCCTCATGGAACTATACTGCCGTGCAAATGAAAGTTTCCATCAAGTTCACTTTGTTTTCATGACCTATCAAGTGACCTGCCTGCATTAATGGGACCAACTCGGGAGCGAAATGTGTGTTTATGTTTGCATGTGTGAAACGGGCAGTAGTACGGAGACCTTTTCAGTCGGTATACACATGTACACAGCCCCGAGAAAAAGAAGGCGAAGCAAGCAGCAAGAAATGTTTGAAGGGGTCCGGACGCTGCTCTGCGGGCTCCGCTAAGATGCCGCGCTATTTCGTCGTCGTCGTGGAGCCTCCGACAGAAAGGGACCGCGAGCAAACCAATACGCAACCGCCCCTTCTTCGTGGAAGAAGAAGAAAGAGAAGCGGACACACGTATCGATTTGTTGTTCCGGGCACCCGGGGGCAAGGGTTGCGGACGAAAAATGAAGAAGAAGAGAGTGACCAGCGTCTAACTAGATGGATTGTTGTTTGTGCTCCCAGAGAGCATGTTTTGCGTGTTCCTCATCTTTTGACCGGAACATTTGAGCTTTTTGGTATAAGTAGAAGGCGAAGGAGACGAAGAAGAAGACGACAGCCGGCGGCGGAGCGACAATAAAAATTGGAGAAGCGGCCATACACCCTATTCGTTATGGGACCCGTCTGGTGAATTGGTTTCCTAAGAGAATGGGCTGAGTACTGATTCAATTATGAATTGGGGATGGGTGCGGTCGGTGGTTGCAGCAGGAGCAGAAGCAAAACCAAGCAATATTTCGGCGGTTTAGTGGCTGGCACACTCGAGGTGGTGGACGGACGAGCGGAGCGCAGGATGAGACGGCACGGGCAGAAGTGTAACGCCAGCTGACCCGACACTTCACAACCATGGGTCAAGGTGTCTCGGACGAACTTTTAGACTTCTCTGCACACTTATGTTTCAATAGGACACGATGCGGACTTTTAATTCTTTTCTCCTCATTCTGATATTAGCCGAGACAGTTGGCAAGTTTCTATTTTGTATATTCGAGAGATTGTATACATTCAGGAAGTGCGACGCAGCGGAGCAATGACATTCGACTGGTCAAAAAGAGAATTCATGACGGGCTCAAGTTCTCGAGGGTACGACTCTAGATGAAGTGCGAAATGTAAAAAGTTCTACTTCCAGGTCATCAAATACACCAACGAAACTATATGGGGAATGAAGGCGAGCTACAATTCGAACAAGACTCAAGAGCTCTCCCTGGATGTGCTTGTAGTGGCAGACTTTTTGACGTACTCAGGTAAAACACATTGCCACGTCATAACCAATACCTCTTCTCTCTCATTTCTAGCGTTCCTCGAGATGAAGAACGGAAATGCATTGCGTGCTGTGCATGATTTGAAAGAGTACCTGCAGGCAGTTTTCGAGCAGATGAAACTGATCTACGACGGGATAAAGTTCGGTAACGAGACACTTCACATGGTGTTCGCAGGCACTTGGATTGCCACTCAGTGAGTACGCGCCAGAAATAGAACGAATAGTGACAAAAGCGGAGCGATTTCAGAGAAAAGGATTGTCCGTTATGGCTCAGCTGGGCTGAAGACGAAGAAGAAAGGGTGATTAATGAGGAGATTCGTCGGCTGGAAGAGGAAGAGAAACGGTGGAACGCGAGTGTCGTCGACGACGGATTCGTGATGAACTCGACAGATTTTGACGGCAACAACTCAACAGACGAGTTGGTCTCGTCTTCGGAGAACAAAAAGAAGCTGCGCAAGTTTGTGGACGTCACTTTGGAGGATATGCAGGAAAACAATAGTACAGAGTGAGTCATGGGGGAATGCTCCACTTCCGAATGTCTGACTCCTTCTCAGAATGGCGCTGAAGATCGACTCGAAGAAAGCAGTGGACAAGTTCACGGTTTGGTTGAAAGAACAAAAAGGACTGCCGAGACACGAGCACGCGACACTCATCACGAAGTGAGAAAAGCGACTGACTGGGAGCAATGCGGGTGTTCAGGTTCGATCTGATCAGTATCAACGGGCACTCGGCCACTCAGGGCATGGCTTACGTCGGCAATATCTGCGAGAATGGCGACTCCAGCTCGGTCGTCGAGGATATCGGAGCGGGACTAACCGCATTAATCATGGCACACGAGATTGGCCACTCGTGAATTAATACTCTTCTCGCTTCGCAAAGCATCCTTCCATTTCAGACTCGGAGCTCTCCACGACGGCTCTTACGAAGCCGCAGAATGTGATTCGAACGACAACTTTTTAATGGCGGTTGCCGTGTCCGGAAGCTCTGATAGACAGAGTTTCCTGAACAGCCGAAGGATGAGCAATTGCAGCGTCGGTTCGATTGTGGAGAATCTGAAAGAGCCCTCGGCTAGTTGTGTGAAGAAATGGAAGAAAACGAAAGGAGGAAACGAAATGGGGCAGAAGGATTTCATGAAAATGCCAGGGGAGACTGTAAGCTTAACGAGGCAATGTCAGGTCGCTTTCGGACCGACATTCATACCTTGCTTAGTAAGTTTTCAACTGTTCAATGCCCTTCAAGAATCTATTACTTTCAGCAAATCGGATACTTCCACGGACAATCCATTTGCGAGCGAATCTGGTGCAGTGACGGAGACAGTGACGAATGTCAGACACTCAATTACTTCCCGGCTTTCGATGGAACCGAATGCGGATATAACATGGTTAGCCGATTCCCGAAATGTCCCCGAAACGTGAATATTTCAGTGGTGCATCGAAGGGCAGTGTGTTCAAAATGCGAAAAAGTGGATGGATTGCAAAGACTTGAATGCGAAAACGTGTTCCCGATATTCGACTTCCAAACTAAAACACTACTGCAAATCGAAGGATTTCCGAGAAATTTGCTGTAGGACGTGTGCGCAGAAAGGAAAAATTTATTGAAATGCTCATAAAACAATTCATAAGTACACACATTCAACAATTGATAAATATATGGCACGCCCTTAGTTGGAGAAACGTCTTCTGTACTTGTCTGGCCTAGCCGGAGCGACCTCGACTGGTCCGCTTCTGGCCGGGCACGGGCAGTAGGCCGCATCGGTTCCTGGCACGCCTTCTTCTCCGTTCTCTCCTGGAGTTCCGTCCGATCCGTTCTGTCCTGGTTGTCCGTCTGGTCCTGCGGCTCCTGGAGCTCCTTGCTGTCCTGGGCCTCCGTTCTGTCCTGGCTGTCCGTTGTTTCCTGGTGCTCCAGCTGGTCCTTGTGGTCCTGGTGCTCCTGGTGCTCCGTGTCCGCGTTGTCCGTTCTTTCCTGGGGCTCCGTCTTGCCCTGGTTGTCCTGGCTGACCAGCGGTTCCAGCGTCTCCCTGTGGTCCTGCGACTCCTGGTGCTCCCGGCTGTCCAGAGGTTCCATCTTGTCCTGGCTTTCCGGCCGGTCCTGGGGCTCCTGGAGCTCCGTTTGGTCCTTGTGGTCCTGGGGCGCCGGCTGGGCAGACAATGCAATCAGTGATAGAGGAGGCAATGCTAGCGGTAACGGCGCTCTGTCCTGGGTTTCCAGCCTGTCCCGGAGCTCCGTCGTGTCCTTGGTCTCCGGGCGCTCCTGGTGGTCCTGGGGGTCCAGCTGGGCAGTTGCTCGGCTGGGTTCCGCAGTTGCAAGCGGCCTGTCTCTTGTTTCGTCCGAAGATGGTGGCCGCGTTGAGGTGTCTGGCTGGCTGGTTCATGGAGATCATCGAGTCCCACGCGTCGTTGGCGAAAGTCTGATCATATGAACACATAACCAAAGTATTTGAATATCAACAAACCTGGAAATCGTTCATATCTCCCATGACGTCATCGTAGAGACCATTGATGTCCTGGTAGATGGAGCCGAGGAAGAGGAGACATCCGAGGATGGCTACTCCTGAGAGAGCGGTGACTCCTGCGATAAACGTGTTCGACATGAGAGGTTGCTGTCGTTTTCGTTTTTTCCCCGCCGCACCGTCTCTTTTTATAGCCGGTATCGACAACGGCCTCCCGCGGAGGCGGCTTGGGGCAGTCCCGCCTAGTTACACCGCAGTTTCTGTTTTAGCGGACACCTCATTACAAAGAAGCCTATCACTGTAGTTCCTGGTCAATCAAACGAATCAGTAATGGTTTTACATTTACATAAAGGGAGAGAGAGAGCGAGAGAGAGATCACCTGTCCTTGGCGGTAAAAGCGGAAGCTTCTCTTGTTCGATATTGAATAGAGTGGCTTTGAATGAATGGAGGCTTTGAATGGTGGTGGACAACGAATAAGAGGAACGAACACGTGACGTCACAAGTGAGATGAGCATCCCAATTGGCTCTGCTCTGCAATAAATGTTCAGAGCTCAAAACACGGACCCGACCAGCCAGTTTTTTAGCGTTGATACTACCAGTTCTCCGCTCTTTGTCTCTTTATCAAGTGATAATCTCCGGACAGATCCATTGACACAGGTTTTTATAAAAAGTTTTTCTTTCTCTCTCCCTCCCGATTTTTTTTGTTCATTGCCACCACTTTGACTGTTACGCAAGTGTGGATATGAGTGTGATAAGGAAGCTTGCGGGCAGCGAGAGAACGGGCAGATTTCTGCAATCATCAAGTTCAGGGGGAATTCGATGAAAGTGAAAGGTCGTGTGAAATGGCAAAGTGGAGGTGGTGGGCACCAACTGAAAAGGACTGAAAAAGGTTTTGAAAATAAGAAAGAGAGAGAGAAAAACAAGTTGGCTCGGAAATTATTCGCATTTCGCTCAAAATACATGTCACTTGCAGCCTCCGCTTCTTCGTGGAAACCGCTTCCTTTCGGACGTCTGTAATTCCAACCGAATCTGAGAGGCCGTCGTCGAACGGACGATGTCAAATAATATGCAATTAAGTGTTTACTGGTCGTGCTCTCTTCTTTGTTTGTACATAACTGATTTGTCAGTCATTCTTGCCGCCACCGCCGCCGCAACGCTTCCAGAATCCTTTTACTATAGTTCAAACTTTGTGAATTATTTATGAAAAACGGCGTCCATCGGGAAGGTCATCATGTCCATATCCGTGCTTCTCCCCCAAATATTTCCGCTGTTTTTGACCGGCCACTTACTTTTTGGTCTCTCAGTAGTCACGAAGCTAAAATTCTGACGAGACTCCAGAAAACGTCGTCTCCGGTTTCGACACGGCCGCATAAATTCCGTCGTTCACTTTCTTTCCGTAATAGATGATGATCTGCTTGTTTGGAATCCTCCCACAAGGATCAAAGATCCACGCGTCAACAAACTATACTTTTTTGGCTCCCGGTACTCTGAGAGAGAGAGACAATCCGTTTGGCTTCAAAACAAATCAACAAATCCAAAATGTTTGTTGCTCCTTGGTAATTCACTGAAAACAGTTCAGCCACTCCATAATCTTTGTACTTTTCCTCTGCGAACCTCTTCCATAAAATAGCCGCCTCCACCTCTTTGACGGATCGCCACAAATGTCAAAAGTGGGGAGCAAGTCCCCGGAGGACTCTATTCTTCCGACATCTTGTCGTCGTGCCGCCCCACGTCTTCCGCCAGTCCACAACGCCCTTCTTCCGTATGTTTTCGGTCATCATCGTCGTAGTCGTCGTCGTCGGCTTCAGACGGAATGTGAGCAAAGCGACTGAGTGAGTGAGTGAGTGCTTCGTGTTTTTGAACAGAGAGAAGGCTCATTCGCCGAAAAACTAACTAATCAACGGCACTCGAAAAAGAAAACAATCATCGCAGGCCAAAATGACACAATCTGACTGGTTAATTTCGTTGGAAAATGGGAAAAGATGAGCACAGAGACATTGAGTCAACAGACGAAATCGTCCGAGTTCTCACCCCAAAGGGATCACTTTCGAGTATTTCACATTCTTCGAACAGAAACACAAGAAAAAGATCTTTTTCCAGCAATGACTCTTCCTTTTCCCGCCCGTCTTTTCTCTTTTTCATCAGAATCACAACAATGTGTGCTGCGTCTCCGGAATTCGGTGCGCTCTTTCGCCGAGTGGCACAATTTAAAATGCAAATTCGAGGCGGGTGCCTTCTTCTCCACCCAGAATTCTCACGTCCGGATTTGCAGTGTTTATTGAACACGTTACCCGTTTTCGTACCGACCCTCTTCACTTTTCCACCATTTTGAAGCGTGAGAAAGTGAGAAGGTCCTTCTGTCTACATACTTTTTGCTTTTTCTTCTTCTTCTTCCTCTTCCTGGTGCCTGGTCCGAAAGTCAATGTTTTTTATGTAGGCGTCGCACGCTATGGATACCTTACGTCACTGGTCTTTGATAAGAAGTTATTCTAAATTTAACTCATCAGGCCATTGTGAGCTTTGAACGATCGCATCGGCCCTTCAGAAGCCCTTCACTCGACTACAGTCGTCGTTAGTCACCAGAAACCCGATACACACACTTCGTAGTGGCTGTCCCCCTCCTCCCAAATCTTTTTTCGGTGCAAATATAACTAAACCCAATTTGGTTGGAGAAAGCCTTGTTGCCCTCATGTTCTTCTTTCCCAATCGAAATCCGGCTGACCAGTAGTACTAGTACTACTACTACTTCTTCTTATTCTTCTTCTTCCTCTCCAGATGATGTCATTTCAATGGCGTCTGTGTACAAATGCTCAAAAAAGGAAAGTTCACATTAACAGTCGTCTCTCAATTCAATTCGTCCGTCTTCTTTTTGTTTTGTTCGACGGCGTCAGCTTTCAGACTTCAGACTTTTTCGATTCCGTGAAGAAGCTCTTTTCTATTTTTAAGCATACTATTCGTGTTTTTCTAGGTGATTCGTCACCTTCGGAGCTTATCCGTTCGCTATGATTTCATCCGCCCTCTATAAAAGTCGCTCGCTCACAGTTCCCTTATTTCTGACTTTCGAAACATAGAAAAACGTGCAAACCGCATTCGCAACGGATTAAACTAAACCTAACACAATTTCCGTGTCAATTCAATTAATCTCTGCACGAAAGCCCTTCAGATATCCTCCTTTTTTCTCCAGAGTCTGTAATTTCCGCCCGGAACCTTTCCTCTGCCAATCTATCATTATGCTGCTCAAAACATGTTTGTCTTCTTCTTCTTCTTCTTCTCATTCGGTCCGGAACAGTCGTCACACCGAATGCTCCCAGAATATCTGATTACCAGACGCTTGAACGTTTCTCGCCTATTCAATTACACGAGATCAAAGCATACTGTACTTTGGAAACCAAAAAAGACGGAATAGGTCGAGAATGTTTCGCAACAGGGTCATGAGCTGCTGCCCCCAAAAAGTAGTGGATGACAATTGCTCTTTGATTGTCACATGTGAGGTTTCGGACGTGTTTTCTTGCCACCTCAAAATAAGCCGCCTTCCTCATCCTCCTTCTTCTTCTTCTTCTTCCCCAATTATCATTCATTCTGCCACGTCAGCGATGTTCTATTTTCTCAAGACCAAAGATGAGCGAAATTCCGCATTCCGTCTTCCGCTATTTTACATTCTTTCTTTAATCAGGCATCCGACGGTGGTGAAGAACATTTCATTCGCTTTCCGTTTTCAGCTCAACTGTGCTCCAGACAGTCTGAACTTTGAACACTCTCTTCATCTCTCTTCCATCCGTAAGAACATAAAAATGACTGGTGAAAAAGGCGGCTCTAGAGCCGAGAGCCTCCCAAAATACCCCTCCTGCTCTTCATTTTGCTTTTCTTTTGCATCACAGTAGATTCGGATAATTCGCGCCTCTTTTCTCACACACACACACACACGCTTTTCGGGAACATCTCTAATGGATTGCCGGATGAAAAGAAGAAGAAGACAAAAAGCGAGAAGAGACTCAGAGTACAAACATCTTAATTCTCTTTCTCTCTCTCTCTCTCTATTCGATTGAGAATTTTGGAATGAGAAGAGAGAGAGAGAGAGAGAAACTCATATTTTGACAGTGGAATGTAAGCACACACTTTTCCGTATAGGGACTTCGAGTTTCAGTTTCAGACGGCTCCGTCTGCTCCCCTCATCGTGTTTTCATTCGCAGAATCTAGTTCCTAGCTCTAATTACCTCCAGATTAGTCACTACTTTTTGATGTACTTGGGCTCATAGTCCCTTCAACGTCAATTGTGAAAGCTACTAACTGAGCGAACTGAAAACCGTTCTAAGTTCCTTGTTCTTCCTTTCACTCAATTGATAATTAACTTCATTAGACTCTAAGCCCTATCTCTCGTTCTCAAAATAAAGTCACAAGTTCATCAGCATATGCAAGATCTCTCCATGTGTTTTTGACGCGTCCATCCCCGTTTTCCGACCGGATCTCCGTCACCCTTCCTTCCCTTGCCCACTTTGATTATCCGTGAAGTCTCAAACTCATTTCACCCTGAAACTCAATCAATTGTCCATCAAATGAACACATCCACATAGTTTGCCCCTCTCCCTCTCTCTCTTCTGCCCTAAACTGCTCGAAACAAGTTTGCTTCGACTGGCCCAATCAAACAAATTTGCTCTCCTTCCGTCTTCTCCTTCGTCGTCCTTCTCCTCCCGCCTTTTTTCCTTTCATTCGACACGAAAAACTCAATTTGGACATCTTTTCCGGGATCAAATTTGGTGCTTTCTTCTTGACCTTTCCTCCTCAGATGTCATCATTCCGAACGATATTCGTTGTCAAGAAGTCACGTCATCCAACCTTTTCCTCATCGCATTTCCCGTACCATCATTATCGATATCATTAGTTCATTCGCATTTCCTTCCGATTTCTCAGAATCTCAGAATCCATCTCCCGAACTTGTTTCATGTTTCGTTTCGTTTATTTATTTGCTTCCGGACCCTTCGTCCGTCCTCTTCTCCTTCATTTCTTCTTCTTCTTCTTCTTCTTCTTCTCGCCCTTTTCCTTCTCTCTCCTTCTGGAACACATCCAACTGATCACTCGGAGCAGCTTCTTCCTTCTTCTTCCGCCTGTTATGACCCTGAGGTAGGCTCCTCCATTTGCCGGTGCTCGCAGACCGCGTCTAACCGAATTTCCCGTGGGCCGCCTCTCGGTTTCGAATCCATTTGCATCCACAGCATCGAAATTCAATTTCTCTTTTCCCTCATCACGATCGCTCACCTTTCTCGTGCCCGAACATCTTCTTCTTCTTCTTCTTCTTCTTCTTCTTCTTCTTCTTCTTCTTCTTCTCTTTTTCATCGCCCTTCCGCAGAGACTTCGTCGTTTTCTCAATGAACAATGGATTATGAAAGCACGTCTTTTGAACTTGACATCGCAGATAATGAGACCGAACGTAAGTGCAAATTTTTTTCCCTGTCAATAGCAAAACCGTGATTTTCAGTGGAGTCGTGCGCATACGCGGAGCCCGTCTACGTCAAGGAACGCTTTTGGATGGTGGCGATATTCGGAACGGCGGTCTGCATCATCAACATCCTCGAGAACACCTTCCTCTCATTCATGCTCTTCAAAAAGTAGGAGACAACGTGGTCGCAACGCTCCCTTACTCTGATTTCCAGAAAATCATACCGCTCGAGCCACATGCTCTACCTGGCTCTCCTGGCGTTTTTCGACGTCTGGATGGCGGTCGCGTACATTCCATTAATGAGTTTGAACTTGTTCGTGGACTATTATAAGTCGGTGACACTGCTCCGTGCCTGGTTCGCCTACATGCTGCCCATGATCACAGTGTCTCATATTGCAATGACAGCTTCTTCTTTTCTGATGGTAACTCACTGTTTCATTCTTGTCTTATGGAATTATCAATTTATTTTCAGGTGGCAGCATCATTGGAAAGATATGTGATCACGTGTCATCCAACAAAAACGAGATGGCTCCAGAAGAACCGAGTGTGGGTGGCCGCCTTCAGTATTTTTCTCGGTGTGGCCTGCAAGTTTTCTCAATTGTTCGAAATGGATGTGAGTGATGAGACAAGAGGCTTAAAAAGTATTCTCCCTTTGCAGATCAAGTACCTGTCCCATTGCTACGACACAATGCGAGAATACCAGCTGAGCTTGTCGCCATTGGCTCTTCACGAAGTGTACAGCTACTGGCGAGTCCTGTTCCGTACCATCGTCACCATCCTCATCCCGTTCTTCCTGCTCGCTTTCATAAACATTCGGATTGTGTTGGTGCTTTCGAAGAACGAGTTCAAGTTCCTTCAGTCGACGAAACTGAGCGAAGCGAAACGGAAGTCCGCAGTTCGGAACGCCACGCGGACGCTCGTCTTCATCGTATTCACCTACCTTCTCTCGAATGTTCTCAACGTCATAATCATTCTTTGGGAATACATTGACATCGAAATGCTCACTCAACAGTTTGAGACGTTCTACATGTTCGCTGTCGACGTCGTCTCCCTCTCCACCATCGTTTCCGGAGCTCTTCGTCTTCCGATTTATGTCATTTGCCAGGCGAATTTGAGAAAAGAGTTTTTCGCGCAACTCAAGAAAATGCTCTCATTCAGTAGTTACACTGTAGGTTCTCTATTGAAGAGCAATCAAAAAAGAAAGTGTGCTTTCAGGGATACCTCTCTTCTCCTTCCAAGAATATGACCGTGGAGGATGTTGACCTTGATCGAAGAACTCCCGAACCTTGCGCCGATTCCCAGAGACCGTATCCAATTCTGCTTTCTTTAGGTAGAGCACAATGAAAATCTGAACACCACTCTAACTTTGTGATTTCCTCCAGGTACCGTCTTGCTCGTTGAATCCGATCAGAAGAGTGATTCCTCCGGCGCCACCGTCTGCAAAGTTATCCGACAACACAGTCATCATCGGATGAACGGTGGATTCTCTGGCATGAGCGAGAAGGTCCAAATCGTCTAGTTAATTGTACCCTTGTGCTGGTAAGTTCCTTTCGCCCCGTTTCGTTCATTTTTCCAACGGGTAACACTCTTTTTGCCTCTCTCTCCTCTCTCTTTGTGTCACTTTGTCCGGAAAGAAGAAATAAAGTTATGTGAACTTATGCCGATCGCCTTTGCATACATAATAACGCGAGGGTGGAGGATTACTGTTTTTTAACATAGGAGCGTCGTCCGAACAAAAAGAGAGAGGGTGGAAACAGCGGCGACAAAACAATTTCCGTTTTGGCTCATTTCAACCGCTCGTTTTGACCTTGTTATTATCACTCACGGTTGTGTGACTAACGGGAAAGCAAACCAATTGTGTTCTTCATCTTCTTCTTCCCGTGCCGCTTCCCACTTGTGCGTCTCCGTCTGGCGGCTCTCTCAAAGGCGGAGCATCCCTGCGGCCGGCGACTCCGACCCATCATCTTCCCGGCTACCCATCGCTTATCTGCTCGGGTCCATCATCATCATCATCGACGTCGTCGTCAGCCCCGATTCGGAATGGAGACCGATCAGGTGAGAAGACTCGCTGACCATACCAGGAACTGTCTCTTTTGGCGCCGCCAGCCGCAAAAAAGGCAATTTGTTTAGGCCCCAAAAATTCTCGGAGATTACGATCAGTGAGCGAGAAAAAGAGCGAAAGACCCGCGAGAAGAAGTAAAAGAGGGACAACCCTGTGGACGACAACGACACGTTTTTAGACACCCCTTCTCCTCCGCGCGCGGGGCCCCACTTGTTATTATAACTTTTACTTACTGCCTGACCATCCATCCGATCGACGACCTTCCGTTCTGTTCTCTTCTTGTTTTTTGGCCCGCGGACCCCCTCGCTAAATGCTCATCAATTTGTCCGATTTGGACAAACCAGTGGTGAGTTGGACACGTGTCCGAAGGGCGCTCCCCCTTTGTTTGCCGACACTCTTATCACCGGTCATGATGTTCTAGCACATTCGGACATCGTCTCAAGTGCTGTTTTTTGTTTCGCAAAGAGAAAGAAACTCGGAAATACTGGTTTCGTGGTCGGAAGTGTTTCGAATGGGATTCTGAAAATGATAATCATGGGAACTGTGTTCTGTAGAAATACAGCCACTTTTATCACGTGCCCCGTCCATGAAAAGTCTGAAGAACGCCGAACTTTTTGTGAGTTTTGGAAGTATGATGTCCTGCGTCACAGTTAACGCGCTTGAGTGATAATCTTCAAAATATTATCCGATTTGCAATCGGCTCCCGCCATTACAACACCACATTGACCGTTTATTCTAGGAGTGCGCGAATCCCCCCTTTGCCACTTTTCAATAACAATGCGACGAATTGTAAAGTGTTCCCTCGTTCAGAACGCCTCGCAGCTCATCCACCAGGTGCTCCATGATGCGTTTCTGGCCGCCGACCTCGGCAACTACACGGAAGCCGTCAACCAGCTCGACAAACCGCCCGCGTGGCAAAGTGAGTGTACAAACATTTTCATGCACTGGCAAACGCCGCGACGGAACCATTCACATCTGGAAGTGATTGATCAGTTTGATTGGTTTCCGCAAAGTGGCGGCGAGAAGAAGCCAGCTAGCACCAATAAAAAATTGTACGAACTGATCGGAAAAAAGAGAGAAAAACGGAAAAAAAGTAGAAGAGAAGTAGCAACTTTGCGAGCTTGACCATCGGTTTATCTCTTGAAAGTTTCCAAAAACGCAACGATCGAGGGCCACCTCAACGTCGTTCATTCCAGACGATATATCTCTTCTGTCAGTGAAGTTATCAAAAAATGGTCAACTAATAAAATTTGCATAATGTTTCAATGAGTAATAAAGATCAGTTGGCAACTTTTTCATATCACCCCCGGCAGAGAAGATATATTGTCCTGGCTGAATGGTATTCAGGTGCCCTGCTATTGTCGTAAACCATTCCACTTTCCTCCGGGATTTCTCTTTAAAAAAGTGACGTGCTGTCTGTTGATCCCTACAAAAATATGCCTGATGTACAATTTCTACTTTGCAGCGTGGGGAATCGGTTTCGCAATCGTCTCCGGATGCAGCTTCTCGGCTCCACTCGGAATCCTCCTTCTGCCTTGTCTCTCAAAGTCGCTATACGAGCGAATAATGACGTTCCTGGTGGCCGTCGGAATTGGCGCGCTCTCCGGTTCCACCATATTCATCATGCTACCGCAGGCATTCCATCTGACTTCGTTCGAACATTTCGAATATCACACAAAGTCCTTGATAATTCTCTGCGCTCTCTACGCCTTCTTCACTGTTGACCGAATGTTACAGTACATACTGGAGTTTCGGTGAGAAGATAGATACGAATCGAAGATGAAACGATGAACTTTTTCAGGAGACGTCGACAGACTAAACGGAGGATTCACGCGTCCACGATCGCTTCGCTGATGAACACTCCGAATGTGAAACGGAGAGAAAATGGACATAATATCACGGAAGAGACGATAATGCCGTCGGAACCTCCGTCCATAACACTTCGAGTTCCGGACCTTCCTCACCACCGTTATCGGCGCGAATCTGAGCTGTCAGAGGTGGAAAGAACAGAAATGCAAGAGAAGGAGATTGCTGAACTGGCGAATGACCTAGAAATGGCATTAACGAACAACGTGCTGGCGAGAACTGTGAGTCAGAAATGGAGTGAAAACACAAAACTACGACTTTGAATGAATGTTTTCAGTTTTCCACTCGACGCCGTGTTGCAGTAGTCAGCGGAGGTCTCGATGACATTGAATTCCGTAGTCCGAAGAACTCTCACCATACGAACGGAACCGCCTCGCAGTTTCTGGACGTCGTCAACAATGAGTTCCACCGACGGATGACGCCACTGTCCTCCCGACCCAGCAGTCCAGTTGCCATCAGCATCGACGACGCGAAAGAATCGTACGAGATGAAGCCGAAGTCTGAGAAGCAAGGAGCTCCGTCGACGGACGACAGTGATCGGATGTCCGTTTCGATCCGAGTCGTCGAGAAGAAAGTGATCGAACCGGCGGCGATGGAAGTCGCTTCAGTCGCCTACATGATCATCTTCGGCTCTTCGGCCAACAATTTCGTCGACGGAATGAGCATGGGCGCCGCTTTCTCAGACAACTTGCTCCGCGGTCTCAGCATCGGCATCGCGGTAATCTCTCAGCAGTTCCCGCAAGAACTCGGAACCCTCGCCATTCTTGTCAAGTCCGGACTCGGACTCAAAAAGACTCTTCTGTTCAATATGGTGCCCATTGTGCTCAGCTTCTTGGGTTTCTCGATTGGAGTGATGTTGGACAGTGTCGACGATTCGTATGACGAATACATTTTCGCAGTCTCGTCCGGAATGTACATGTACATTTTCCTAGGAACTTTGGTGAGTTTTTTGGAAACAATCTCAATAAACTCTTGACATTCAGATACCGGAAATCCGCGAATCGACGAACGAGCTCATTAAAGAGAACCTCGCGGAGAGCGTCCTGGTTTCGATCCTCCAAGCTTGCGGAATCCTCTTCGGAACCACTTTCATGTACTTTATGAGTCGGGTGAACTCTGTCGACTTCTGAGCAGTATCTGCTCCCCATCTGCTCAAAATCTCTCTTCTCTCTGCTTTGTTGTCTTTTGTACGGGTTTCATAGTTCAGTACTACTATTGTTTCACCAATAAATATGTGGAAAATACGTGGCAAGCACCAATTGGAGCACAGAAAACAACAACAATATATATTTACAATCGTGTACACTTGGAAAACCCGTTATCCAATGGAGAGATCTTGTCAGTTGGCACCTTCTCGTCTTCAGCTTCCGCTCCGCCGATCGCGTTTCTCATCTCCTCGTCGCCGACTCGTTCCGGCATCACGTTGAAAATGATTTGCATGAATTTGGTGGTTTCTTCTGTAAAATCAGAATGATAATACTCGGGTCGAATCAAAAAGGGTACCATTGACGTTTTGTGAAGAATTTTTGTAGGAATCAATGGAAGGAAGTGCCCGGTCCCACACAAAAATGATGAAGATGATGAGTCCGCCGAGCAGGATTCCGAGTCCGACTGCCGAAGATTTGAAGTCCTCGATGATACTGACGACGACCATCGAAGTGCAGACCAAGAAGAAGATGATCGGCATGACGATGGGCAGTTGGATGCGCTCTGGATGACGTGGGCGGCCGCGGAAACGGAGGTAGAGCAGCGCGGACATTGTGAATGCTCTCTGGGACCATTGGGCGAACGCCACGTAGTTGATCAGCTTGTCCGGATCGCCCATGAAAGAAACAGCGATGGAGATGAGAATCTGAGGAAATTATGGAAAGTTGAGTGACAGTGGAAACACTTACATGAACAAGAAGAGCTACTCTCGGAGAGTCACAGTTAGGGGCAATTCCAGAAATAGCACTCGGGATGTGACCCTGTCGGGACACTGCTTGCAGGTATCTGAGTGTATGGATAAGAAGTTAACAGTGACTGAAGAAACGTGTGTTACCTGCTAGCCGAGAACATAGTGCTGTTGAGTGATCCGATGAGGAGGATGGCGACCATCACGGGCACCACAACAGCAGCGGAGCCTAGAGTTTTCTGAGCGAAATCAATGGCGACAGCGTTCGAGCCAAGCATCTCTGGAACGGTAAGAACGACGCTGTAGGATATGTTGACGGCGACGTAGATGAATCCAATACACGTCATTCCGATGATAATCGCCAGCGGCATTGTCCTTTTCGGGTTCTCGATCTCTTCGGCTCCAAAGTTCAAAATGTCCCATCCGTCATAGGAGAAGAGCCCGGCAAACAGAGCTTTCACAAATGGGCCAGGGCTCCAGACAGAGCCTTGGAAGGGCGCATTCAGATTCTGAGTCCAGTCTTTGAAAATGAGAACGTAGAATCCGGTAAAGATGATGAGAAGAGTGGCTGCAATCTTTGCGAGTGACGCCAGAATGGAGAAGCGTTGGACGAAGGTCTTGAGCGAGAAGAAGTTCATGAACATGAGCAGAAGGATCAAGGAGAAGCCCAGCAGTTTCTTGGCCCAGAACTCGGAAGTCTCATCCATCTCCACCCCGGCGCCCTGGAATTCAACTGTCTAGTCTACATTTTGTACTTTGCCCGCTCACCCGAAAGACGTATTCTGCAAATGTTTGCGCTTGGACAGCCAGAGTCGCCGGATAGTTGATAGTACACCCGATGCACATGAAGGCGAAGGCGACAGGGTACCTGAAACGTCAGAGAACAGTTCAAAATGTTGCCGGAGAGCGTGAACTGCACGTGCCATTTCATGAAGCAAAGGTATGCAAAGTCTCCACCGGAAAGACGAATTGACGTGCCGAGTTCGACGTAGCAGAAGGAGCCAAGCATTGAGATAAGTGCCGCCAGAATCCAGATAACAAGGGACAAACCGACCTGGAACACACCAGACGTCTTTTCTTTGAAACTTCTAGAAATCTTACCGAGTTTACATTCTTAATGATTTCAGTGGGCGTGATGAAGATTCCCGATCCGACGATATTGCCGACAATGTACGAAATGGCGCCCAACAGGCCCATTTTCTGGGAGCGAGATTCGTCAGGCATCTTGGCGGACACTCCTGAAAGTTTAAGGAACGGCGTGGGAGAAGCGACGGAACGATAGGGACACAATAGAACGACCTGAGAGAGCGACGAGCGCTTTGTGAGCGGAGGCCAACGAAGACCCGACGGGCGGTTCCGACTCTTCCGAGCTACAAGACATTCTTTTCGAATTTAGAAATGAAATGGGGGGAAAGGGTGATATTTAAGCGTGGAGCGCCCCGGGTACCGGTAAGCTATCACATGCCGTCCGAACGAATTATCGAAGAATTCGGTTATCGCTTTCTGTTAACTAGCAATTCTTCTAATCAGGGCGTCAAACTGCAAATGTTTCCAATCATGCCGTATTTTATAGTAAAACTTTTAGTAGACAACTTTTTCTGGTTTGGAGAAACTGAAAACTTTGAACGAGGAAATTCTGAATGAACTGTAATATATGGTGTCATTGGCATTAAAAACCGCCAGAGCAATAAATATAGTGCGCTTGAAACGAGGTGCTGAAAACAGTGAGCGTGCGGAGAAAGAAGACACGCGCCAGAATGGGCGGTTGATAAGCGGCGGCTCGCCACGAATTTCCAATTTTTTAGCGATAAAGTACATGTGTAAGTCGGAGCTAAGCACCCAACGCGTGTCGTTATCAATGCCTGATCAACGGTTGCCTCTCGTCGATTAGCAGAAATGGAAGAGAAGAAGTCGGAGAGAGAGAGAGAGAGATGAGCCAACATTCAAACAGACTCACCAAAAACACGAGGCATGACGGCGCTATTGGAACGGAAACAAACAAACAAACAGCAAAAAGACCGACAATTTGAACTCAAACTATGGTATTGTTGAAGTCAGTTAGGCCGATTACCTACCTTTTTCATACAGCGGGTGTTTCATGTGATCAGCACTTTTTTGGAAAGACTCGAGGGAAATGTAATGCCGAGCACATAGAGTGAATACGTAGGATTTGAGAATTCTCCCTGCGGACGTTTCGGAAGACCAACGGCACAATGCGTATCCTGTTTGAAAGAGATTACACTCAATGATCAGTATTTGGTTCATGACTGTAAATCACCTTCTATCTAAAAAACTATCGAAAGCACGAGCAGATATCATCCGTTTTCTGTGTCAAATTCTTTGGCATCAAATTTCACAGAAAATTAGGAATAACTTGATTTCTCGATTTCTTGCAGACGCTCATTTCATTCATGCTCATTTTCATAGCGGTGTTCATTGAGACCACTCCGGGATAAATCAAAACCACTCTCGTTTCTCTTTCCCTCGTGATGTGTCGAAAAATCATAAAACAGAGCCATATAAATGAAAAACCGTTCGTTCTGCGTTCTCTTTTGCCCAATGCGACGTTTCATCGTTTTTCTTTTTGCTTTCACATCGATCATTTCGACCGGAAATGTTGTGGCTAAACTCGGCGCAACCGGAGGGGTCAGTTAAACTTCATCTCCCGCTTCTATTGTTCCCTTTTCAGAATCGAACTGTTCCTGATGGTGCTGCGGACTTTGCCGGTGCGGAAATCCTTTCTACAAATCCCGAAGAAATGCAGGAAATGCGGAAGCTGCAGCCAAAGTTCCAGTTGATGAACTGAATAGAAAATGAATGCCCTTTTCCGATAAACTGATTCTCTGCCAGCTTTCTTTCCAGTTTTGCCCTCACTTCCTCTTATCTTAATGTCGCGCCCGGAAGTGTAGTGCCCTACCTCCCACGGAGTCGTGGCTGGGTACACTGGCGCAAGCGCGCTCTACCGCACGCCACCGCCGATATTCGGCTCTACAACGAAGTAGAACTCGTACGGAATAGAACTGTTACGATTTGAAACTCGCAACGTTAAAATACAACTGTCGCAAAGCTTGCCTCGAAATGGAGAAAGAAGGGATGCATCGCTGCACGATGACTGACGACGATGCGTTCGCGATGTACGCGGAGGCTGGGATGACGAGAAAGTCTTTTCGACTCATTAAGACGTACTTCCGGAAATCCGGCATTACAGACCCTCTCCCCTCGCAAGAAACCATCACTGACCTCGAAAATCGACATGCGAGTTGTGATGACTTCACAGTCTCTACCACTCCTGACGTCAACGGTGCTGATGCGAAGGAAGTGGTTGTAGCCTAACTGAAAAACGTCAAACAATACGCTGACACAATTTTCTAAGAATGGAAAGCTAGTCTTTGATGAGTCTACCGGAAAAAAAACATTTGGCTTTCCTTGCAAGGTTGATCTCATAACAGAGAAGGGGAAATGAAAGTTACTTACTTGGCATTTCAGATGACAAGGGAAGACAAGATGCGAAATCGGTGCTGTCTATCGGAAATTGCGACTCGCCAAATAGCTGCCATCAGCTGGTTCCATTGGGGCTTTTGGCTGCGACGAGTCGAGTGCGGCGATCGAGCAGAACCTGAAAAACATTGTTAATCAATTGAATGATCAATTGAATGAGGAGGGGGAAATGAAAATTGATGGAGTGTCGACTGTGGTCCCCGTGACTCTGTTTCGAGCAAGCTTCAATACGAAATCATTGGCCATCAAGGTGCTGCGTCAAAATTCCACTGCATGCACTGCTACCAAACGCAAAAGGATCTGCCAGTATAGAAGACGGTCTGCAGTGGATGAGCGAACAGAAGCGAGTTACATTGCAGACGCGTTAAAGGGAAGCAACGCAGCTCGGAGAAACGAGAAAGAAAGCTCAAAATTTCTTTTCCGGCTTCTACGTCTGAAAGGGATTATCCCACCATGTTTACACATTGTGATTTCCTTGGATGGATTTCCAAAAAATTTCCTCCGACAAGCCACTGAAGGACAACGGGAAAGAAATCGTTGCGAAGCGTCGCGCACGGTACCTGGAACAAAAGCTATTGGCGGATTTGGACAACCCGTTTTTTGTATTATTCGACGAGACATGGATTCACGACGGAATGGGCTCAGAAAACGACTGGCAATTTGGTAATCCGACCGAATATCAAATTGTCAGTTCGGAGCATCCCATTCCTGGTCCATTCAAAGCAAAACATCGCGGAAAACGTGGCATTGTTCTCGCTTCGCTCACAGAGCTTCTGCAAGGAAGTGTAAAGTTCATCATTTCTGGAGCCAAGCCGGAGGAACAGATGGCCGATTACCATCAGGAGATGTACGGGGAAACGTACGATAGGTGCATGAGAGCAATGATCCCGCTCATTGCCATAGCTGCGGCAGTGAAAGGGCGGAATCCATAACATCTCATGGACAAGGCCCCCTACCACAACGCTGCTGCGCTCTTCGAGCATTGCCGCCGAGACGAAAGACAAGTGAGGATTCTGATGCATTAAACTCTTATTTCTATCAAACAAACCAGTTCTCATTCAATCTTTTTACTTTTTCAATGCGCGCTTCTGTGCTGATACGGTATCCTTTAAAGGCACATGCCGCATTTATTAGGCCGGTCTCTCAGCGCTCGTTAGATGACTCGATTCAAATTTTCAATTTCTGCTTGCACTATTTAATTTCCTTATTATTCCCAAAAAAACAACGCTTCGAAATTATTCTCTTTCTAATAATTTGTTTCTTTGAATTCATCCATGTTTAGTAATGGTTTTTCATAGGTAAACTGCCTTCCACTGTAATTTATCAGCATCTCACGTGATTTTTCGTCTAATTTTACAAGTTAATTCAGTCGTTTTCTCATTCAATTTTTTCAGGGTATCATCCAATGGCTAGCCGATTACGCGACGGGCTGCTCTATCCGCCGCCGCCGAAGCACAAAGGTTCAATTTTGGCAGTCGTCGTCGAAAAGAAAGGCGATGAAACACAGACATCGATGCGTCAGAGCGAAATCTACGCGTACAGTCATGAAATCATCATTCGAGGTGATTCCTAATTCAAACTTTTTTTTTTCTACTGCAAGAATGTTTCAGACGGCTACATGGTTATGCCAAAAATTGTCTGGAAGGATTATGAGCCCGGCGAATGGTTTATTTGTGATCGCGTTTTTTCGACGGATCGTCACGGACAGGAGAAAGAGGAGCGCGAGCTCATTAACCTGCACAAAATCGCACCGTCCGCATACAAGAACATGCAAATTCCGCCAACAAGGTTCGAGCACGGAAATGTGAAGATTGTTCGTCCATTCGTGCTTTGCCCTCTCTTCATACGGAATAGAGAGACGCGAAATTCGTACGGATCGTACAAAAAAGTCTACCTGTTGAATTTGGGCCAAGGATTTGTCAGTTTTCGAAATGATCAGACAAATAAAGTCAATTAACATTTTCAGTTTTCCGACCGAACTGCGCTGTTCAAGAGTTTATGCTCAAATCGGGTTTACAACGGTGTTTTTGAATTCCGCGCGAAAGACAACGGAGCCGTCAATTTTGGATACCGTAGTAGTGAGCTGAAAGACAACACAGGGCATGTGCTCGAACGGGATTCAATGTGGGAGTTAGTGAATATTGTGTCATTCGATTCGGGCATCAATAATATGCTGTTGCAGGATCACCCGCAAATGGTGAACGATGTGAGTTATCGAAGTTCCAATTTGAACTCCTAACTTCACTTATTTCAGCTGAACGATCTGCAGGAATATGCGCAAAAGTTCAATGAAAATCTCGAGAGACAGAAAGCGTTTGAAGCGAAAAGAAGAACTGCCGTTCAAGTGCCGAAACACAACATTGTCAAAACCCAATTGGTACCCGTTGCGAAATTGGAGCCGCCGAGTAGTCCGAACCGATCGATGCCATTGCCCGTTCCCCGGGAGCCTCGGAAAACTGGCTGCGCTCGTGTCGATGAGCTGCAACACCAGCTTCATCAGCTGCGAGTGGGGATGCTGCAAAAGCCGACAATGACTCCCCGAGAACTCAACAATTGGCTCGATCCGGAGCTCGCGAACAGACATATCGCTCCTCCGCAGCCTAATAGAAATCTTCAAGTCCCCGGCAGCTCAGGTTACACCCAGGTTTATTGATTTGCAATCACTTCGTTCTTTTTCAGATACGACGATGACACACGACGAAACGCCTGTTTCGCAAGCTGTTTTTCAAAACGAGCCGATGTTTCGTGTGCCGGTGATCACAAACCGGGAACAATTGGAAGCGCACCGTTCTCGCACTATTCAGCAATCCTTGTTCGACGATCCAGATGCGGGTAGACCAGTGTTGAAGTGGATCGATCGGGAAACAGGAGAGAAATCGACAGACAGCGATATTCTCGTGAGTTTTAAAAACTTACTCGTTCCAGTTTTTTTTTAATTCATTTTTCAGAATTACAAGTTCGATGTTCGGTACAATGTCGGAGAAGATCCTCGGCTCGCTATTCCGGATCCCGTGCCTGCGAGCCATAACCATACTCTCTCCGATTTGAGCTTCCTTCAGCGCAGTACTGTTATCGAGCCTCTGGCCTCGTCAACCCCGCGCACAAGTCCGGAGCCACAACGCCGAAGAAACCAAAACGAACGGAGATCTGAAGCTCCTCCCGCTCTACTAACAATCGGCAGAAACGTTTTTCCCTCGCAGCCTCGGAATGAACCACCGTCTGCGCTTCGAAACGAACGTGTGGCACAACTCAGAAACGAAACTCCACAGCGCCGCCCTATAGAGTCATTGATGCAGCCACACAGTCCACAACAACATCACGATGGAAATGAAACCGACGCGACGGTCACTCTTTGCGAGTTGCAGAGAGATGTGAGTTCCTTCTCTGTTCCTGCAGTTCTTGATTGTTTCTTTTTCAGAACAACGCTAATCCGACTGGACCTCGGCGCCGCATCGCAAACCTTCAACGCTAAATACTCGATAAACTTCCATACGCCTATTTTGCATGTTCTATGAGAGTTCCATCCGTTTTAGAGAAAATATGTATGACAACTGAATTCTTTCCTTTTTTTTGTGTTTCTCAATTAACTGTACATTGTTCTTCCGCTTCCGTCTACGTGTTTTCGAGTAGTTTCTCGGATAATAAGATGTGTGATACACGTAAACATTCCTCGTTCTAATTTTCTTCATTTGAACGCTTCTGATTGGTGTTTTTACATTGCCTTTGTAGTTTTGGAAATGAGATTCACAACCAGTTCGGCAATTACAGAAAGACGGCGGTGATTCAATACTCAGCGAACGGGAATTTTACGAAATAAAGGACTTTTGACTGTGTCTGATTTACCACAGATTTCCGAAACAGTGATAAGACACGATCACACCGAGGACTCCAGCGAATTGGAATATCTGAGAACAGAAGTAAAAAAAAGAATGAAAGAGGAGTGGTTTATTTGATGAAAATATGAGATTAACGGCGAGTTCCGTCCTCGAAGAAGACTCCTCCGTCGATGGCGCAGTACTTGGGGCAGATTCCTTTCTCTCCGGCCCCTCCTGGAGTTCCGGATTGTCCTGGGGCTCCCGGATTTCCATCGGCTCCCGGCTGTCCTGGGTTTCCATTTGGTCCCTTCGGTCCTGGAGCTCCTGGCTGTCCGTCGCGTCCTGGCTGTCCTGGGGCTCCTGGTGGTCCTTGTGGTCCTGGGGCTCCCTGTGGTCCTGGTGCTCCTGGAGTGATTGGCTCCGATGGAGCGTCTTGTCCTGGCTGTCCTGGGGCTCCTGGAGCTCCTGGGTTTCCGTTCGGTCCAGATGGTCCCTTGTTTCCTGGCGCTCCTGGAGCTCCGTCTTGTCCTGGCGATCCTGGGTTTCCGTTGGATCCAGCATCTCCTGGTGCTCCTGGTGGTCCTGGTGGTCCAGGTGGTCCTTGTGGGCATGGCTGGCATGGTGGTGGGGTGACTGGGTCGCATGGCTGCTGTGGTGGACGTCCCGGGTTTCCTGGCAGTCCTGGCGCTCCTGGCTTTCCTGGACGTCCTGGCTTTCCTGGAGTTCCGGCTGGTCCAGCAGCTCCTGGCAGGCAGCAAGCGTCGCATCCTCCAGAAGTGGCGGATCCTCCGTTCACTCCGGCATCGTATCCCGACTGACGAGCGGTTCTGTTCGCGTGTTGGATGCTCTTCAGCTCGTTCACCTCGGTCCAGATGTCCTTGGCAGATCCCTGAGAAGGAATGGTGAAAGTGAGGATTTTGTTGGTAAGGACTTACACGGCAGAACTGAACCTCCTGATGCATAGTTCTCTTGACATGGTGGACGTAGTTGTGCACCATTGGCAGCGTGATGCACACCGAAAGAACGGCGACCACCGAGAAGGCGACAGCCGAGTAGGCCACGAAACGGTACGCTTTGATGCGCTGCTCGAACTCCATGTCTGAAGAACTGATTACTTTCCACTTGCGACACCGTCCTTATATACGCGGTCTTCGTCTCCCCCCTCAAATATTACACCCTCCCGTTTTTTGTCGCTCGACGCCGCCCGCTGTTCTGTCCTCCTCCCGCCTTCTCACTTCCATTTCCTCTTTCGTCCGCAAAGAAAGTCATAAGTGCAAGTGAAATCTCTCATTATGGCGGCCGATGGCAGGCAGCAAGTTCAAGCCTGTATTGTTGAAGGGAATTATGCAATTTGCAATGAAATATGTATACCCACTGCTTCTCTCTACATTAGAAAAGGGACGAATTCTTTCTTCGGGGGTTTTACGTTTTCACGTCCAAATCGGCTCCAAGGACGAATTAATTACGATGTTGTTGATCGGAACTATTGCGACCACCGTGAAAAGAGATGAAGTTCGGGTTTCTGAACGCAACGAAGCGTGTTCAATTTATACGGTTCCTCATTCCACTGCACAACCTTCAGAAAAGATCAAAGTCCAGACGCGGTTGATTCTTTAAACCTTGTTATGGAGCTACTGGTAATTGCAGCTGCCAAGCGTAACCAACTAAAAATATAAATGCTCTCGATGTTTTAAATGGCACTTTCATTCATACTTCCGCACTCGTGTCAGTTCCGAACGTATGGAATCGTTTTGAAATGCAAATCAAGTGGTGACGTTCTCCACTCCGAACAACCTTGAAATATTCCAGTCGGTTGCCAACCGAAAAGCCTTTCTCCTTTTCGTTTCGAATCCAATTAGTCATCTGGATGCGATGAAAAGCCGTCCCGCGGCAGGTGTTTAGACGGTTTTTTTTGTCGCTGTTGCGTATCCCTTACGCCTCAAGAAGCGGACAAAAACAGGGAGAAAACGAAACAAGAAAGCCAATCTGAGAAGGTCATCTGGAGTGGAAAGACGGAGATGAATACTGAGGTAATGAGATGGTGTGTATTTTGAATTACTTCATCGGAACATCAAACATCAGCAGAAGTTTATTTACAGGCCAAGAATAATTATGTTGTTTGCGGAGGAAGAATAATCAAGAAATGTGATTGATTTGTCGGAAAGTGAACTGAATTGAATGAATGAATAGTGTCGGGATGGTCAGTTTAGAGTGTGTTGAGTTGGACGATCATCTCGTCCAGGAACACGATGATCTTGTCCATCGAGCTCGGGCAGTGTCCCTTCTGCAGTTGCTCGAATGCGTACTTTCTCTTGGCCGCCACGTCCTCCAGGTCCTGGATCTTGTCCAGATCGATCTCCACGTTCTACAACAATCTAGTATTGTTCCTAGAGTATAGTCAGGCAGAGAAAGAACAGAATCAAATCGAAACATTGAAATGTTTTTACTTGACATCATCTTTTGACTCACGTTGTTCTCGTTGCCGTTGAATAGTTTGGTGACCTCCGTTTCGATCCAGTTCTCCACCTTCATCCTCTTTCTGATCAGAGCCATCTGCTGCTTTCCGTACTTCATCGTCAGCATTCTGCTGCGGTCCTCCAGACGGTTCTTCGAGTCCCCGAAACGGGCGTGCTTCTCGCCGAATGGCATTGTTCTGGAAGACGGTGATGTACGGAAAGTACGTAAAGTTCAGAAGCTTCGTCAACAATTCCGTACTCTTCAGCGAGTTCAGTGCATTCAAAAGTACGAGTGAGGGCAGACAACCCGGATTGAAATGCCAACTGCAAAAACGAAAGAAAGGAAAGAGCGAGACGATCAATGTATGCAAAAATATGGGAGAAGGAAGGTGCGTTCGGGGCCGCCCGTTGTGTTTGTCCATCAGATTCTCTGATGGTTTTCTCGCCTTTTGCCCCTTTTTCACCCGCAGCCTCTGCCTTTTCGGCAGAAGCTTCCGGTGAAAAAGTGATGATCGCAGCGAGATGCAGCTCGTTTTATAGTAGACGAAAGAAAAACAAAAAAACGTATTGCCAGATCATATTGGGCATATAATATCAGAATTTGTCATCGTTTTGACTTGTGATTCACCGGTCGGATGAAAAAAAGGAAAGGAAATTCAACACAAAGCGGCGGCTCCAAACATGTATGTGAGAAAGAGGAAAAAGATGAGGTGCTTCTAAAATTTGGTCCAACCATTAATTAAACATTGCACAATTTTTGAGAAGCCCCTCCCTCGAGTCAACAATGACTCCGACAAGGAAGGTCCGAAACGGGGGGACAAGATTGGAAATAGACTCTGACGCCTGAAATAGAAGGCCAGACGGGCGGAGGATCATCAATTGTCTTCGAAACGGAGGAGGGGGAGGAAGAAGACGTCACGCTCGGGCACCATCAAATCTCGAGTTGTGTGTGTGTGTGAGTGGCGAGCGCGGGATGTCGCTGATTGAAACTTTGGCGACAAAGACGACGAAGCAAGGGAGGAAGTACGTCTTGCTCGCCTTTTTCTTTCACTTCTTCTCCCCGTTGCTCGTGGAGCAGAAGCGGAGAAACAAGTGTTTGCCGGATTGGAACGGACGTGCAAAACTTGAGCGAGAATGCATTTTCAGCGAACAAATGTGTAGTCTTTAAGAAGCAACAATTGGAGAATGCCAAGAATGGGTGAGAAAGTGAAGAATGAATAATAGAGGGGAAAAGCGTCAAGATGAGTCACTCTATGAACACATTTGCAGTCTTCCTCTGATAAGAAAGTTCGTTACGAAGCACAGAAGTTGCGAAACGTCATTTTTAATCAACATAGATGCGTGGCTTGAGAAAGAAGCCTACAAAAACATAGGAAGAAGAGAAAATGTGTGTGGTCACTTCTGTACAACCACTGTCCTCGTAGTAATCCACAAGTAGGTTTACGACGGGTTTAACTACCGTCTGCATCATTTTTGAAAAGGAATGCCACCACACCAAACCGAAAAAAGAAGAAATAGTATCGGAGCGAGACGAAGGTCGTGCCGTCCAGGACCACCATCACCACCTGCCTTTTCTCTCGGTTCTCCCGATCTTTGGCTGTTGAAAACAGGATGGGATGAATGAAAAGCAAAAAAAAGAGGAGCGTTTTTGAGGGTTCCCCTCCCGGCCACTCCTCTAATTTGATGTCGGAAGATGAGAAGAGGATGAGAGCAAAGGAGGGGGAGAAACACGAGATGAGCAATGATCCCAGGGGGCATTTATTGAGGTTTAATTGGATTGTGACTTCACATCCTTCACAGCCTTCTTCTCTTTTGACCGAATGAGGGACCGTCGGACAGAATCCTTCAGACCCGGACGCCCACGAAAAATGATTGACGGGATGGGCTCAGTTGGTATTAGGGGGAAGAATGTGTGGGTGGAGAGGAGGGAGGAAGGAAACTCAGGTGGATGAATGAATGAATGAATGGACAGGGCTTTTAGGAGCGTCTTTGTGCATTCTTTCAGCCGAAAAAAGAACACGGAAGCACGGGATTCCATTCCACAGCACTCTTCAGACGCCTTCTTCGGCTCCGTGCTTCGGCCGGCTCAACTCGACGGCAATTCAATTTGGACTGAAGGCTTGAAGGGCGAAAAGTGGAAAAGGAAAGGACGCAACGGCGAAAACAATTCGATGCAGCCAACGATACATTTCTCAAATATTGACATACATATCTCTTAGCGCCCTTGAGACTTTTGGGAGGAAAAGGTACTACGGAGGGGTGAATGAGAAGAGCGTAAACAAGAGGATTTGGAAGTTGGGACCGTTCCTGATCAGAGTGAAGACAGGAGTGAAAAGAAAGAAGAAGGAAGAGAAGAAGTCTGGCCGAATGATTCATCGTTTCGAGAGTTAGTTAGATTTGTATTCATGTGAGACTCTGTTGTTCACCACTGGAACGGGAAAGCTGAGTGTTGCAGATATCACCTCAAAACGAATTATTGTCTTGAACGAACGAAATCTGGGTGCCGTTCTATTCTTTCTCACAGTAACCGTGCTCATTGTTGTCATTATTGCAATCCTACGAATCCTCGACGTTTTGTAACTTGACACTGCATTCGAGGTTGTGATAGTGAGACTACAATTGTCATTGAAGCTTACATCTGAAAATGAGATCTATCACCAAGCAAATAGTGCTCAAACTACTTTCTGGTTGCTATAAAGGATTTCTAGAGAATCTTCTTTTGCTCTTTTCTTCAAAAATGAACGATTTATTCGAATAAATTTCGGAAAGAATGAGATTCAAGTTAAAGCCGGAACACTGCTCTGATGACGTGGCACTCACACCTTGACGACCATTTTCTCGTGAATATCCAATGTGCCGACGACCTGAATAAAAAAAGAGCTGCTGACTCTTTTCTAACAATTTTGTCAGACTATCGTTTATATATGAGACGGACGGACAGAAATTATCATGAAACGAACGTCAAAACGTGGTTAATAGAACGCACGAAAGAGCATTGACTAGGTGGAGGAGGGGGGATTTCGCTGGAAGGTTTCCGAAAAGGGGCATTAATAAATATGGAGCATAGATCGAACAGCAAGAGAGAGAGAGAGGGAGAGAGAGACAGAGCGGGAAGGGAATAGAGCGGGAACATGTACAGGTGACGACTACAGGAAGATGGAGAGAATCGGGAGAAGAGAAGAGGAAGAAGAAGAGGACTAGAACGTCATGTTTGAACAGAAGCGGCGAGAAGGGTTAAAGATGCGCAGGGTCGGCGGGTGGGCACTTTAGATGTTCTCCAGAACCATCTTCTTGTGCACTTCGGTATGCTCAACGACCTGAAGACAACGAAAGTTAGATAATGCACGCGTTAGCGAAGCTCATTTCACTTCAAAAACACAGATGAGATCTCAACTGAAGGTATCACTCACATCGCAGAACTCTTGGAACGAAATCTTGCCGTCTCCGTCCTTGTCGTGGAACAGAATGGTCTTGTCGACGATCTGCTGGAGCTGCGAGTCCTTCAGGTTGTTCCCCACCATCATCTTGAGCACCTGCAACGAGAAGAGCATTAAAACAGGGGATTTGAACGAGCCGTCCATAATCCTCGCGTGCTGGACGACTAATACCTCACCTGGAAGAGCTCTCCATTTGAGATGAAGCCGTCACGGTCCATGTCGTAGATGCGGAACGCGAACTTCAGCTTCGTATTCTTGTCGCCTTTCACACTGAACTGCGAGATTCCCTGGATGAACTCCCGAAAGTCGACCTCCCGTTTCCGTCCTCGTCGAATATGTCAATGACCCTCTGGACAAGCGGATTCTGTTGCAGCTCGGGCAACGACATGAACTCCTCGACGGAAAGCGAGCCCGATCCGTCAACGTCGAGTTTCTTAAAGCGACGCGTGAGACGGCGCAGCTCGTAGGCATCAACTGAAACAAATTAGATGGATTTTCCTGATTACACAACGAAGACATCTACTAAATTTTTTGAAAACGACTTACAATTGCTGCACATTTCCATCGGAAGTGAGGCGTCGGCTCCCTAAAAGTCATGTGTATTTGAACAGACGGGGCCGGACACCATGTATACGTAAATGATGCGCATTTAATGCACTTACCATTTTTTATTGCTTTCGAGTAGTCGAGAGGACTGACGAACTGAACTGGCGACTGCAAAAAAATGGATCGAAAGGCAAATTGGTTTTGAATAGTAAATGAGAAGAAGAAGGAGGCGTGGCGATGTGAGAGGAGAGCGAGAGAAATCCATGGAAACTAATCTAGAGCTCTAAGCCTGACGGAGACGGCGTTTCCTCGAGTAGTCGTGGCCCGACACGGGCAAAAAAGACTAAGCGAGGGAGAGAAAACGAGAAACAGCAGGTTTGAATGAGAAATTGATAAGTGTGAGGGGAGTAAGTGTGCGGAACGAGGAGACGAACGAGGCGAAGCGCTTGGCAGAGAGCGTGCAGGGACCGGAGAACCGACGAGAGAGCGGAGGGCCGGCGGAGAGCGGAGACATCGAAGCGGCGCCGATCAATAGGCGGCTCCTGAAGGCCACCCCCGCCGCGACGTCTCTCCGCCGAGCACACTCTCTGGTTTGCAACGTGCTCCGCGAGAAGAAGACGAAGCTGCCAGCGAAGAATAATTACGAACTCTATGCAGACGGAGAGCAGGAGAAACGGATGAAATGGAGAGGAGCCGGTGGATTTTTTTTGCGGGATGGAAGCGTATCGCCAGATGGAAGAAGAAGCCGCTGGTTGAGCCGGTGGCCCCGAATGAATGAGTTGACTGAAATGAAAAGGGATTGGAAATGAAAGAGAGAAGCAAGACAGAGAACAAGTACGGGAAATACAGTTTGTTCGATTGGAAAAGGGAAATACCCAGTGAGGGAAGATCATTGATAGAAAATGAAGATAAAGAGGAAGGATAGAACCATTCGGATGGAAGTGATAACAGACATGATCCACGAAGAATTGAGTATTTCTGCTGAAACGTCTTCTGCAAGGCGAACATTTGTGAACATGCTCAGGCCTGTTTTTATCGCTCCGTATCGCAAACCGTACCACCTTAGTGAGTCGATACGTAGCGACCAAATACGGGCAGTAAATTCAAACCATGTTCACAAATATTCGCCGTGTTCTGTGAGCTTTGCAACTTTTCTCCGACTTTTCTGGCTGCCTCATCTCCTGCTTCTGACTACGAAACGTGCCTTTTTCCAGAATCCGAGCCGAATCAAGTGACCCATCCGCCGCCCCCTTTCCCATTTCCCATTCATCTTTCTTCGAAATGTTGCCAAAATCTGCCGCCCCTTGGGTCCTCTTTTCAGCCTCGGAACCCGTCGAACTTCTCCCCCATTTTGCCTATTTTCCCATTTCTGAGCCCCCAAAAATCTTTTGTGGGTAATCGGATACGCTTGTCTCGCGTCTTCTCCCCTCGTGCCAATTTGGCGGTATAAATCAAAAATTCACAAGTTGGTAAGAAGAGACGGTGCGTGTGTATGCATAGACTCCCTGGAAATCGAGTCTCTCTCTCTCTCTCTCTCTCTTTCTCGACTTCCTTTTAGAAATTCAGGCAGGCGCTGGTGGACTTTGGAACAAGTTCTGTTCACCTTTTGGGCATCAGACAATGGCTTATTGAATTCGCGGAAACTAGGGGCCGGCCCTCCAACGCCTTCTTCTTCTGCTCCTTCTCGGACTTGTTCTCCGTTTTCTTCCTTCCTTCCTTCTTTCCTTTCCGTTTCCGTCGTGGATCTTGAGAAGAGGAAGAGTCTAATCGGATGCGACGGAGGAAAGAGTATCATCCGTCTGTGCGCGCGCGTGTGTGTGTGTGTGTGTGTGGCTCTAATCCAATTTCGAAAAGTCTCCATGCTCTCAATCAATTAGGTCAAACGTCACTTTGTTCGGCTTCGGACACATTGGGATGCGTGAGCTCCTCGGAAATGCATGAGAAGTTTCGGAGAAGAAAATGAGCGGCTCCTCTATTTATGCTCCTCCTCCGGTCCCTATAACCCCAATTCCGATAGCTGTGTGCACCGACGACCACTTGGGTTTGTTCGGTTGGCGCCCGAATCCTCTTACTTTCTTACCACTCTCATTCATTCAATTTCCACTCGGTCGTCGAACTCATCCTCTACGGATCATCAAATATTCTCCGGGTCCCGCGCAGTTCTTTACGTCACTTTGACTTGTTGTGCAATGAAATATGAATATTATGAATTAGAATGTTTTGTCGCCGGGAAGCGAGTCACCACTAACAATTCGTCGTTAACACTAACACTCGCTCCGATTTCTGGTATAAAAGTGGAGTTCCTCGTTTCGAAACCGTGCCGGTCTGATGGAAACGAACGTCAGAGAAGGTCGCCGTGCGGGCTTTCCCACCATTTCTCCGTCACAAAGGGCCACTAGACGAATGGAATGTTTTCGAGCTCTCTCACGTGTGTTTGCCGGCTGCTCCTTATCTGTCTTTTCCTTCTCTTCTCAACTTTGGTTTGGTTCTGCTCCCCTCCAAAACAGTTTTCACTTTTTCATTCGGTAGTAGTGGTAGTAGGCTGCAAGGCTTTTTTCTATTTTTACTCCGAAAAAACTAATAATCACATCATTCGTTTATGCCCGTGCGAAACCCGATCCGGTGGCGGCTTCCAGAAAGACCGGCGGCGCCACGTGCTGCATTTTAGATGTATCTTTGACTTGCAAAACATGCGTGGGATACATTCAGATTTCTTGCGAAGGTTCTCGTTTCTGCAAAAACCCAATTTGCATCATCGCCCTTTTTGCAAGCACAACAATTACTCGTGGCGGTCCCCTTCCGCTTCCAGGACATCCCCCCTCCCCCCAGTCCAAATATTAGTCTCCTCATGCTCACTCACTTGCCGCATCTTCGTGTAATCTCCGATGTTTTTAGGCCGAGGCTGTACTTACCACTCACACACCGGACGGGTTGCCCATTTCATTTCAATTTCCTCAAGTCATCCTACTCCTCCTCCTCGTTTTCTTGTGTCGATCGACTGAATTTCCCGTGACGGACCCATCCCTCCTATCATCATCTCGTGAACACTCACTCGAGCGAGACGAGTTTTCATGGTTCATCGGGCTCTTTTCCCAGCCTCTCCGCATACAATGACCCCCAATACGTTCCTGTTTTCTTTTCTTTTCTTTCACTCCTCCTTCTTCTCATTTCCTGACCCGTTCCTTTTTCTTCTTCTTCTTCTTCAAAAAAGTCTCATCATGTCGTCCGTTCCCTTTCATGTTCTTTGCTTCAAATCTCTCTTCCTTCTCCTCCTCTTTTCCCGGATAATCGCCTAGGAAGGTGAGGGTTGTGGGTCAGCCTGAATGGAATGGAATTACCATAATTTCCCATGTTTGTTTTCATAGTTTGTCTGGAATTGGGGGTCGTGGTTTCCCGCCGTCGCGTGATGTTTAGCACTGTCGCCGAGAGCTTTCCCCAAACATCAAACATCGGCAGTCTTTTTCCTTATTAGCTTCCATGACGTTGGGTAAATCAGCAATAGTTCGAGATGATTTACGACTTTGTTTTTATCATAACATCATCGTTTTCATCATCTCCAGAAGCACTGATCTCTAGCAGTTCTTTTGGAATCCTTACGTGAGATGATCTGGCTGGAATGTTCAAAAGATGACCTACTAGAAATGAGAATTCCGACCCGGGAAATATTATTATTAATCCGCGTGGCATTCCAGCAGGTGCTCGACGACCATCTTAGTTCATTTTATATATATTTATTTGCCAAGCTTGTTTTCTGTTACCACTCTGTTATTTTCTGAAAAGCACGATTCACAGTAATTTCAGTCGTTTATGACTTTTTCTGATTCGTCTTCGTATTATCCGTTTCAAAAGTGAGTAAAAATTTAAATGAATCACTCTGAGATGCCGAGACGTGGTGAACTATTCCGGGGGTGTCAAGTGGCACGCAAAGAGCTCCAGACACCACTGGCGCCGGCCAGATAGCCAAATAGACAGGGGCAAGTTGCGTGAGATTGCTCAGATTTGCCGTCCTTCTCACACCTACTCCCATGGCGTGCATGTCAATTGCATCGACATGCTGTCAACTTTTATGAGGGGAGAAGAAGTGCGAGGCTCGGGCGCCTCCCCCCTCTCTTTTTAGCGCTCATCTGCTCTTTGCCCGTCGGGGGGATGATCTCATTTCCGATCTTCCCTGGTCCCAGACGTGTTTTCCGCGTGGCCGACGGGGCGGTATCAGGAAACATATCTCGACGTGGCCGTCGACGTGTCCGTCTTCACCACAAATTCATTAATCCCGCGTGTGCCTCCCGAAAGCTTCTTGCCTTCCGGCGTCACATGGGATAAGGCTGATTCACACGCACACTTCCTCCGTACCCGGAATGCCGTTCTCGAGCGGATTGGCTCATTTAAAGTGGTCTAGTCTTTAGCCGGACTCTGAAGTTTCGAAACCGGGATACTGTAGGTGAGTCTCCTCCTCCACCGCCGCCCACACCTTCATCTCTGATCCTTGCCCGCCCACACACTACTATGATTCAGTCGTCGTCGTCGATTGGTGCTGCGGAATTTCAGAGAGTCCAAACAAACATTCTATTATTACGGGGCTCTCTGCAAACACTACGTGTTGCCGAAAATAGGCAAGGATGAATAAGATTTCTCAGGGGCAAAATGATCCAGGCTCGTCTCGCGGGTCGCCACCCCGAAAGTATATTTTGCCCAAAATATTCATGCGCGTATCATCATCATCATCTTCTTCTTCTTTTCAAATGAAATAGAGCCGGTCGGAGCGGGGCGGAGTCTCAGAAGAAAAGGAGAGAGAGAGAGAGAGAGAGGCGGTCGACGCACGTCCATCGGTCACTTACTCAAGCTCATGCGCCCTTGAATTTCCAAGTTGTGCTCATTCCTCCGGAAAGTCCATTCAAAGATCACACGGAAAACAATACAGTTGGCTAGTTGGGAGGCGAGAACATAAACAATTCGTGCCCCCGCTCTCCACTTTCCTTCTGACCCCCATTCTCATTCGATTAAGCATCTCATGTACACTTCTCGGCCCCTCGTCGCCCTTCTTCACACCCACCCCCTTGTTTCTTTTTCGTCCTCAAAAACAGATAGGCCATCGAGAGCCGCCCCCCCTCCAATATTGGTTGTTCATTCCGTTTGGTACCTCTTCACACCATCATTACGTTTCCGTTTTTCTGTAACTCGGCAGCCGTCTTCCAATTAGTTTTTGGTTCCGCCTCATAACTGCTCGCTCACCGCTCTGTCCAATTTCCAATTTTCAGCTCTATATTTGCAACAATGCCCAAAACATAAGTTGGCTTTCGGACTCGTCCAAAACATGTTGTTGTCACTTTCCAATGACACCAATAAAAGTCCACAGGTCTGTAACTTGACGAAGCTCTCCAGTCGATTTCTCAATTTCAGGCAGATCACTCTCTGCAATGGAACGCCGTCCACGCCTTCCTCCTTCTGCTCATTGTGCTCGTCGTCGTCGGCAATACGATGGTGATCTTCGCAGTGGCGGTGGATCGGAAGCTGCGTTCCGTCACCACCAACAAGTTCATCGCCTCGTTGGCAGTCTCGGACTTGCTCGTCGGACTGATCGTCATGCCGCTCTCGCTCTACTACAAGATGCATAACGATCACTGGACGCTCGGATACACCTGGTGTCAGTTTCACCTGGTATCAGGTGTTTTCTCCACCACTGCCAGCATCGTTCACTTGGTCGCAATCAGTCTGGATCGGTACTTTGCGATCATGTTTCCCACGGAGTACCAGAGACATTCTGTGTCCACGTCCACTGTGCCGTACGTGGTTATGATCTGGCTGATGGCCCTGGCAGTCAGCTCCACCCTTTTCATGGAGCAGAGGGACTCTTTCGATGGAATCTGTTGGATCAGCAATCCCCAGTACATCGTTCTCTCCTCGTTCCTTTCTTTCTTCCTGCCAGGAGCCATTGTCGTCTACCTTTATATGAAGATCTTCAAAAAGCTGCGAAATCACCAGCTCTACATGTTCGGCCAGCTGACTCATCGTGGAGGAGACCGGGAGCGTCGTCACTCGCTGCCACGTGTCATCATCGAGGAAGTTCGTTCGAGGCGCGGCTCCCGGATGTCTCAGACCGGATCTCAGTCGGGAAGTCCCACGCGAAGACAGAGCGGCGGAAGCAAGGAGAGATCTCCAAGCCAGCCGGACATCCACACTGTGGCGAAGCCTCAGCAGAGGTGAGTTACTCGCTCGATTGGATTGGTGCCCGGTCCAACTTCTTTTATGAGTCTCTCTTGGTGGAAAAAGCCAATCAAGAACAAATTGAATCGGTCGGGGCTCTGGCTTCGTCGTCGAGAAGAGGGCCCTTGGGGAAATTTATCGCCTTTTTTGCCTCCATTTTCGCATATCTTTTCTCGCACTTGATCACGTGTCCGCGTGTTTTGAGATAGAATAGGCAAACTTAAGAATCCACAGCTCACATGTTAGTTTTTCTTCCCTGAATACGAACTAATTGTGCGCGGGCTAAGTGTCAAGCATCAGGCTCCTCGAAACTAGATGGATAGGAGGGAGCAAACGGCAACTTTTAATTAAATTTTTCATCACGATCGAAGACGGACGTGAAAAATTGCATTTCCATTTATGGGCGATGCTTTCTGAAGTCCTTCTTACTGCGAAATTTACAATTCAAGGGCACATTGCGCCGTTTTGCAGATGGAGATCGCCGACGATTTGTGCAGAAACACTGGCTCACGACCGGTTGCTGGCGGCCAAGAAAAGGGTGTCGATTGTGCCGGATCCGCCGTCAATGGATGTGTCGGTGAACATGGCATCTATGGATCAGATGAAGGATGAACATCATCATAATCGACTGAGAGAGGAGGAACTATTGGGGTGCGAAGCGGGGCTGAGGAAGAAGAGTGAAGAGGAAGTGAGGAAACTGAGCGATGAGCGGAAGGTTGGGCTGAATGAAGACGCTCTAGGGATGAGTTGAGATTTCAGAGAGTGATCTACGAACGACGACGATCTAGCACATCGGAGAATCCCAACGGAGTGCCCATTATGCAAGCCTTCCAGAAAGCATACCAGGAAGTGAGAGCGGGAAGAAGGAGGTCGACAATCCATGACAGTGAGTCATTCCCCGGGGACGCATTCTTCAACTCGAACCCTTCTTTCAGCTTATCACTTTCCATCTCTCACGACGGTCGCTGATGATGAGCCCGCCACTCCACCAGAAGATGAGAAGGAGAAGGAAAGGGACGAGTCGACCATCATGCACAAACTGTCGAGCGGATCAAGCATTGCAGAGACTGTCATTGCCATGCTCCCCAAGACTTCGACTTCGCTCTCCAAAACTGATTCTCATGAAGATTCAGTGTCTACGGAAGCCAGTCAGAAGCCTCTTCTGGGTCCGCCAGCTCATCATTACACCAAGAAATCGCAACAGCAACAGTTACGATATTCCCCTTCCATTCCGGCTCCGACGTTCCTGATGGTTCCCGCGATGATGTCTGTGAACACTCCTCCAGCCACTCCCAACACAAAGGAGGCTCCGCAGAACTGTTCGTCCCTGCTCCAGGTCCCTCGACTATTCGACTGTCCTTCTCCGTGCAGTGTGCCGAGCAACAGCAGTCATTCTTCGTACACTTCTGCCAGCGGATCCAGTGACACGTACCGCCGCATCTCGATGAACAGCTACGGAAGCAGTCTGACGGACGGAACGGAATCCACGTTCGAGTGCGACTCCAGAAGATCGTCGGCGTGGTCGACGATTCGAGCAGCCGTGTTTGATCGGCAGCAACTGAGGGGCGGGAAGGCGAGTGTGGACATCACGGTCGACAGAACTGGCTCTCCGCAGAAAAAGATGTCGACGATCAGCAGGGGCAAGCTGAGGAGGATTGCGACACAAGTGACGAGGGCGATCAGGAGGAAGCGGAGGGAGTCGATGGCGATCAGACGGGAGTCACGAGCAACGAGGGTGGTCGCAGCCATCCTAAGTGAGTTCTTCTCCGACTTGCTCATTCATTTCGTATCCGTTCAGTCGCTTTCCTCATCTGCTGGATTCCGTACTTCTGCATATCCATCGTCCGCGGCGTTCTGATGGGATTCCAAGTGAACATCAACACTCCAATTCATCTGACGCTGTTTGTTTACACCTCGTGGCTAGGTTAATCAACTCTCCATTATTTCCCCGTCACATTATTTTCTGCTGTTTTCAGGCTACGCGCATTCGTGTTTCAATCCCTTGATCTACATGTGTCTCAACAAAAACTTCCGGAACACAATGAGAAAGATGATGCAAAAAACGAAAGCAGCCGAACACGAATGAACATGAAAATGAAAAGCAGACAGTTGTCTGCAGTATGGTTGCTTCGTATCGAGGTTTATCTAAAGATCTCATTTCTTTTGGTTTACAATATTGATTTTTGATTTCAACTGGTCTATCAGGTTCTAATTTCCTTTCAATACGTGGTTTTCATTAAATGAATAAATTATTTTATATTTAACATTTATGTGAGAAATCGATAGAGAGGATATTCGCATTGTACAAGGTCCGTTCATAGTTCAGTTTTTCGAATGATATCACTTTTATGAGATGTAATCGGTAAGGATTGTGTATGGCAATCATGCACGTCGTTGAGGCCAATCAGTGCAACGAGGCAATCAGGACTACGTGATTGTTGAACTCTGATACCTTTTTTGTTATCTAATTTGTCATGACACCAAGACATGCACGCTGATTATAATATCCAATGTGGACAGAGAACCAAATGTGAACGATTGAACCCATGAAGACTGTCAAAAAAATCGCCACCTTAGCCAAATAGCCCATGAAGAACTTGCGCTGCATCCTGCGAGTGGTAGGGGAGAATCGGGAACTGTGCATGTAAACTAGGTGGTCCAAGTGTGGAACACGTAGAATCGACACTGGGGGAGCACCAAAACAGTTTGAATGGTCATGAGAACTGTGGCGAAAGCGGATGAATCTGTGAGAGCGTACACTTCCATTGTGAAGAATGACTATGACTCGAGATGCGGACGGAAAGAACATGATCGGAAGAGACAGGACGTTGAAGTCGAAAACTTTGACACCGCGCATTTGTTTGGCAGTTTTGTAAGGCATTCAATAGACACCATAGAATAATACTGGAATGGATATGAAAGTGGCGATTTGCACTCCGACGATGACATAATCAGAAGAATCGAAGAATGAATGATCGACAGAACAGTGGGAATAGTTGGTGAAACGGTAGAGGCTCATTTGAAAATGAGTAGTGACTCGAGAACTTTTAATTCACCTGTTTCGATTCTTAGACACCTTTGATTAGTTCCGCAGAATCAGGCGTTCAAGATTTCGAATCCACGTGTGCCACGTGTGGAAAGATGGAAAACAGTGGAAAATAGGGTTAGGGTCGGTCATTTATTGTGCAAGGATCACGAAGAGGGTTCTATGAATTTGCAAAGTTATTTATCGCATTGTTTTCGGAAAAAAAGAACTTTCAGAACATTTAGGGGTCAAAGTTTTCAGCGGGAGGTCTTTAGAACGTAATTTCCGGAAACTTGATCCCTAGCTGATCATGGAGCGGCCAGTTTGTCCCCCAAAAAGAGCTCTATTCCCCCTTTTCAATTCATTTTTTCTGTTTCTCATCATCTTTTCGAATCTTTTGCAAAAAGGCGAATCAGCTTTCGAAACGTTGAAATGATGAATAGTTCATTGAAACGGCGACACGCCAGTAACCGGAAAATGACGATATGCAGGGTTCTCCGGAAGAGGGAAGACAAAACAAATTGCGAGAACTCTTAACACATTCGAACGGATTATCCAGAGTCTAAACCATTTGGGATTAGAAACTCAACAATGACGACGAATCTTCGATCGCTCGTCCAGAGATTATCATTATTGTTTTATTCCACCTCTCATGTTCTTACCATGTTCAAGAATTGGGCTCACTGCACACTCGCTCGCTTGTTTTCCGCAGTTCCTTGTTTTGCCGGCAAGTTGGCTGAAATTGAGTTACAGTCGTGATTTCTGTTGTGTCTCACACAGAAAGCCGTGGGAGTCTGAGAATGCTACCGAGTACTTTGGTTTCAGAATGGATTTTGAGTTCTTATCCGCTTACTTCTGCACTTTTTCTATTGCAATTTGTCTTTCTTCATACTCCCCCCAATCCCTATTTTGGCACACAATCACCTGCCCATTCACTTCCTTCTTTCCTCTTGTTATTACTCTTCTCGTTATCGTAACCCCCGATGGGAATTATTTCCGTTCCTTTCTCATCCAATCACTCGCCTGTTTTTCTTTTGTCTGCGACAGTCAGAAAAAGTCTGGAACTTCATAAATCATAGAGTTTGTGTGATGGCTCCTGAGAGCTCGTAACACACAAATGACGCGATGCGACGGAAAGTTCACAAAGCGGCGTGGATCCCTCCCTTCTCGCACCAAGAGACCGCATAATTATTATTCGTGGTCCCCCTTCCCACCCGATCTCTTATTCATTACCTTCTCGCTGGCCCGGATGATGACTACTTGGTTTTCAGAAACATTTTTTTCTGAATTATTCAAAAACAAGCGCGACGGCTCTTGAAGGTTCTAAATCCGTGATCACACCTGCCCACGGACGCCCACAACGGGCCAGAACTTTGAAATGGAAAAATGGACTCAAAAATGTCACCCATCATTCACATATTCTTCTTGGAAATCCGTCATGTTTCTGATGAGTTTCGTCCTTCTTCTGTCACTTTCTCCCCTTCCTTCCTGCTTCATTTCAGAGACAGATTCTCAAAAACTCATCTACTCTCTCGCCGTGTATGCCCAAATATTATTATTGCCATAGGTTTTTGTTTCCCTCGCCCAAAAATGTTCCGCATTTTTGGAACCTTCACACACAAGTTGTTACTCATTCAAAATTTCTCACAGAATGCATACCAACCAATATTTACTTCTCTCTCTCTCTCTCTCTCCTACTCTTGTGAGTTCCCGTCAAAAAACGTTTCATTTCATTCTGATTCAACTTGTTTTTGATTTTGTTCTCACGTAAATCAAGTTGGAGAAGTTGGTGGACAAGCGGAAACTGGGAAACAATCCGAATATTGGAGGTTCGGGAAAAGTATAGTGAAGTGGAAAAGAAAGGTATAAACAATCGGAGAAGGACAATATCTCCTCGGCTTAATCTATTTTCGACAAAGAACTTCACAAACACCAGGTTCTTTGAGAAGACTATCCCAGAAACATCAAAAACCAAAATTTTGATTGCAAGTTTGAAGTCTATACGATGTTTGATCCAACTTTGTTTTTCCCACATCAACTTGTTTCTGTGTTTCTGTCTCTCTCTCTGTTTCTGATAATTGAGCCACGAGCACACGTTCAGAACTCTCAAATATCCAGCAAACTTTTCAATCCCTTAGGCTGCAACGAAATGAAGAAGGCTTCAGAAGTTATTATTCGTTACGCGTTCGCCGGTGAAGACACGTCACATACTGGCTCATTCTCATTTCTTATTAATTTTTTAATACGGGCGGGCTGGCTCTGGAACAACTCATAAACCGCGGCAAATTGCTCGAAAACGGCGCCCATCCTTGCTCGTTTCAGTTTCGGTTTCGCCTCTTCTTCCTCCCAGTTCATCTTCTTCTTCTTCTTCTTCTCCCCTTCCTCATACATCTTTCACTTTGTTCTTTGTCTCCGGAAACAAATGGAATTACCTGAAAGAGAAGGCGCGGCCCGCAAGTTCGCAGATAATCATGTTGGGTCTACCGAATACGTTTCGGTGCGGAATCCCTAAAAGCTTTTTCTTCCGAACTTTCAGAACATTTTCCCAAACTCCTGCACCATTCTCTTTGTTTTTCCCACCTTCACATGCTCATGCACATCTACATATTCCAGCCATGTGTCATCTGCAGCGTTCCCCATTCTTCTCTCTCTCTCTCTCTCTCTCCTGCTGCTTTTTTCTACTTCCGTCAGAGTACTCCTCCCTCGCTCCGCCCACCCTTCCGCCCATTCCCTTGCCACTTTCAAGCATCGTCACCGTCGTCGCTTCCCTTCCATTCCCGCTTTCCATTCCAGAATAGCTCCAATAGTTCCTTATACTATTGTGTCGCAAAATCGCCATAAAATATAATCGCTTCCCTCCGCCTCCTCCTCCTCCTCCTCTTTCTTTCATCAACCTTTTTGACACTTCGAAACTGCTTTCGTTGGTTGACAATGGTTGACATTTAACTTCTTTCTTTCAGATGAACATCACCAACTCGAGTACCGGTTTTCCGCCGCCTCCGCTCGTCGGCGCCTCGTTCGCAAAGACCGCCATACCGTATTCTATATGTTTTGTGGTCGGAACTCTCGGCAACACCGCCGTTCTCTCCTACGTGTTCTTCATCACGAGGTGAGCCGCAGGCCAGCCAGATGGGACCTCTAATTTCGCAAAAAAGATTCCATTTGGCAATAAAACTTTTCGGATCCTGAAAGCATGGAAAGTTGAAACTCGTAAACGATTCTTGATGGCCGCTTTTATGACGTCAATTTTGAGTTCAACAGAGTCCAATTTCAGATCTCTGAAATCGTCGGTGACCGCCCTCGGCAACACCTTCATCTACATCGTGGCTCTCTGCGCAGTCGACTTGCTCGTCACCGTCTCCATCCCGTTCTCGCTCTCCAACATGATCCTCAACAACTGGGTGTTCGGAGAGTTGGCGTGCAAAGTTCACTGGATGCTCGAGCTCTCCAACAAGGTTTGTTTCGATTTCCGGGCCCGCCGGATGCGTGCGTGCTTTGCCCGTGTGATAAACACTGGAATGCAACTTTGGCTTTGTTAATTTGAGGGCGATCCGCTTCCTCGTGGCCTCGTTTTATGTTCCTCTCGCCCTCGGAAATTGAAATTGGATTCTTGCGACGATAGGCGATGTGCAAGCGCCCGCCTCACACACACACACACGCACACACATTGTTCATGTCTAATTTTAGTTCTTACCCGGCGCAGCTCCCTCGTAAGACTTGTGTGATTCATTGGACTATCGTCGGGCGATGAATAGAGAATAACCTTTGCCGGGTCGGATGAATGTGGGAAGATTGCGAGTCATTGGAAGTCGGATGAATAGGTCATCTGGATAGTCGGGGGCCGGCTCCGAAAGGAGAATCCCGGGGAGGGCAACAACATCCCATTACTTCTGTTTCACTTATTTCCGAGAAAATGAATGGGCCGAGCGAGGGGAGCAGAAAACTGGCGAAAGAAGGCCCATGCACTAGTAATTATTATGTGCGTTTCGCGTGCGTGGAGCCGACTCGTCACGCACAAAAATAAACAAAAAGGGGACGACGGATTGTATTCGTCAATTGAATCATCCAATCTCGTCGTCACTCGTCAGTTTCCGAAAAAGTCGGGAGTGCCGTGCGAAGACCCTTGGGACGGCCTACGTGGAACTCGCCACTAATCACATAATTCAATTGAAAAAGAAGAGATGAAAGTTCCGACGGGAAAGCTAAATAATTGGATTTTGCATTTTGCATTTCAGATGTGCTCAACATTCATCCTGACGGCGCTCGCTTTTGACCGTTACATGGCGATTTGCCATCCGGAGATTAAGCGGATCCACGAGATGAGGCATACGATCTACATCACGACCATCCTCGCCGCCCTTTCCTTCTGCCTTATCTCGCCAGTCGTGCTCTCGGCAAGAGTGACAAGTTTCGGCAACTTGGGCTACTACGTGAGCACAAAGAACGTGAGTGAATGGAGGTTACTTGCATATGCACTTTCACACAAAACACGTCTTTCCAGGAACGACACTCCGTCACTCGTCAAATGTGCATTGATGGAATGGCTCGCGAATGGAAGCTCTGGGTGTCCGCCTTCCTTATCTTTTTCGCTTTCGTCCTTCCGTGCACTCTTCTCACCTACTTTTACGCAAAGATCGTCCTCCGACTGCGCAGACAGAGAAGGTTAATATTCAAGAATCCATGAGTCACCCGACGAACATCGTTTTTTTTGTCGGCCCTTTACTTTGTATTCATGGGATTATTGAAATAGAAAGAGAGAGAGAGAGAGAGAAGCAATTATGAATTCTTAAAATCCTCTTTCAGAACGATGCTCCAATCGCGGATTCCGCTCCGTCGCATCACAATCTACACAATGGCCGCCACTTTTTTCTATTTGTCGTGTCAAATTCCGTTCTGGCTCCCACAAATCTACGGAGTTCTCTCGATCATTCTCGGCTTCAAAATCAACGCGAAACTCGTCACGTTCACCTACTACTCGCACCTTCTTCCGTTCATTTCTGCCGCCTTAACTGGATCTTCTACGCGCGTCTCAACAGTCAATTCAAAAAGGGACTCGTGTTGGTAACCGAGCGAATGATTCGGAAACGGACGCGCTCGCTGCATCAAAGCGACAAGAACGGCGGCTTCAGTGAGGCGGCCGTCGAGCTGACGAGCAAGTTCGACGACGTTCCGCTGATGTGCCCGCACTGTGAAGCCCAACTGTCGATCCGATCGAGCAGCAACGGAAAGAAGGCGTCGCGATGACGTGCGCAACACATTTAAACACTTCTCCTCTTGTTCTTTGTACGGGCCATTTACTTATTTATAAACATCTCTAATGAACTTGATGAACTCATCGCATTTTCAAATAATTATCGCGTCGTACAAAGAACCTTTTCTATTTCAGTCCTTTGCGTCGACCTTTGATGAGGATATACTAAAGAGTGGGGCGTCGGTCAATGCTTGACCCAGACTTATTTTTGAATAGAAAGAAGCCGTTTAAACGAAAGCGTCCTCCACTAATTTGCAGACGGAACTTGTGGGGGCTGGCTATAAAACTGGGTTTGAGTTTGTGTATTTTTCTAGCCGACTGAGTAATCACGGCATTTTGCAAGTGTCCCTTGAGACTTTTGCAGGTAGATTAGATTTTTTCTTTTTTTGCGATTCAAAGCAAGATGAGTTGATACGAGCTATAGGGGTTTGCTGATTTACAGATTCAAGACGCTCCCTGACCAAAAGGACCATCGACCGTGTCCGTGTTTGCTTGCCAATTCGAAACCTGTTGCTGCCAACACACAAACAGTCCCGATTGCCTTCGCGGACGTCGGAAATCTTGATCAAAAACACATCCGAATATTGCATCTTCATTTATCCCACTTTTTCGCCTCCTCCTCATCTCCGACGTTAGCGAGATAAGAGAGCGGGATTGCGCAGGTGAAGCCGTCGTCAACATCATCGGGTTCTGCGCGTCCGCGTCGATGAAAAATCGAGAACAATGGCCGAGCGGCGGTAGCAAGTTTTGGGTGAGTGTGTGTGCCAGCGGCTACGACTGATAACGCAGCGCATTTTTGACGGTGCGCCGGTATAAAAGCCTCTCGGATCGACGTGTGGCGAGATTAAAATCCATATTAATTTCTTCATTTTCCAAGATTTCCTTTCTGACGTGGCAATTCGATTCGAATAGCCCATTCTAGGCTAAGCAAACTCGTCCTGCCATTCATTATGAGTATTATAGAGTAGATCCATTGCATAACCGCCCAGCGAATCGGTCTTCATTATGTCTCCTGATGCCTCAGAATGGTCTCGCCGCCGCGTGAATGTCCATCTAAAACCGGCCCCGGCGCTTATCACTATCAATCAAGCAAACGTTCTCCCCCCGCTAACCGACAAGCGTTTTCCAATCGTTTCACTCGTCCGCTCGCAAAGCCTGGCTAGCTTCTGACCCAGATTCCGCATAGTGCAATAGTTGTAAAAGTTATTAGCTTCTTCTGCTTCTTCTTCCTCCACCTTCCTCTTCTCGCAGTCAGTCGGCCCTTTCCATTCAGTGTTCCTTCTTCCAGAATGCTATTCCGACTTGTCTCCACACTTCTCCTAGCCCAAGCCACGTCGGCGTTCTTCTTCGGCGGTGGCGGAGGATGTGGTTGCCAGCAGGCGCCCGCTTGCGCACCACCACCTCCAGCTCCATGCTCTGGAGGGAACATCGTGCAGGGATACGCCGCTGCTCCACAAGGATACGCCGCCGCTCCACAAGGATACGCCGCCGCTCCACAGGGATACGCCGCCGCTCCACAAGGATACGCCGCCGCTCCACAAGGCGGATTCTTCCCACAGCCACAAGGATACGCCGGTGTTCCACAAGGATTCCAGCCAGTCCCAGGACAAGCCCAATACCAAGCGCCTGCTCCTGTTGGAGGATATCAAGCCGCACCGGCTCCAGTTGCTCCAGCGCCAGAGGCCCCAGCGCAAGTTCAAGCGGGAGGAGCGTACCAGGACACCCCAGTTCAAGTAGCTCAGGTTGCTCCAGCTCAGGAAGTCGTCCCAACTCAAGTCGAGGTTGCAGCTCCACCAACAGATTCTGCTTACCAAGGGGTTAGTCGGAATGATAGTGATTTTAATTCCCATTCGCATTCGTTTCAGGAACAAGAAGTCGTTGCTTCTCTTGCTCGCGAAGAGCCAAACTACCAGGTATGATGCTTTCGCTTTGCTTTCATTTCTCGCATTCCCTTTTGCTTTCGCTTCATCCATCCCAACTGGAATCATTTTGCGTTGCGTTTAGCTTTTGCATGAACCTGCTCGACCCCACTCGCACCCATTTCCAAACTCATTATCCTTCACTCGCACTTCTTCTGCATGCCTCACTTTCAGAACACTGGCACCAATGTAATCGAAGTCGCTCAGCGCGCCTCCGAGCTCGGAAATCAGATACTCGGATCTCAGGTACTGTGAATCACGTTAACAAGGGAACATCACTCTAGAATCTATCAATCTAAAAAAAAAAAAGAACGATTTCTGAAATTTCTGAAATGTCTCAGGCTGCCGCTGCTGCCGCTAAGGTCGCCGAGGTTGTCGAAGAGGAGGAAGAGCCAATCAAGAAGAAGGACGAGGGAAAGACGACGCACAAGAAGACCGTGAAGAGTCCGGCTTCTTCGACCACCGCCGCTTCGTCCACAGCCACCGAATTCCCAGTTGGAGAGGAGATTGTCGCCGACACCAACGAGAAGGAAGTCGATATCAGCGAGCTCCATCTGACTGACGACCCGCTCTGCAACTCTGACGACTTGAGAAAGGTTGTCATCGATGTGAGTGCCTTGCTTCCTTTCTTTTCGTTTTTCGTCATGACAATGTTTTGTTTGCAGAACATTGACGACCAATTAAACAGCTCGAAGAGAATGATCCAATTGGCAGCTGAGGCGCAATTCGGTGGACGATTTGATGTGATTTGCGCAAATGGCGATTTTAGGTGAGAATGGCGCAATTTTATAACCCTCATAACATCTATTCTTGCAGCTACGTCACCAACACCGAGCTCTACTGCCAGGAAACAAAGGGAGACATCTCGTGCTACACCTACAGACAGCTCTAATTCGCCGCCATCGCCAGGAATGCTCCTCTACGGATTTCGTACAAAGTGCAATATGGACAATGTGTCTTTCTTCTTTTTCTTCCTCTTCTTCTCTCGCAACGAGCTAATAATGAACTGCTTCCTAATAATCGGCTTTGTCCCTCAAAAGTCTCTCTTTGAACAAACCTTGGCGCCACGGGATTTATGGGCGACTTTCCCGGCTAATTGAGGTGTGCGGCCAACAAAAACCTGTCTTTATGGAAGGATTTTATGTGAAAAAATATATATATAAGAGAAAAACAGAGAAGAAAATCAGCGATATTAGAAAGGAATCGTATCTTTTTCATAGTTTTTTTTAGGGTTAATGGAAAACAGGAAATACATGGAGGTGGCGGGGGGAAGAATGGAAATTTGATTTGATTTACTATTATTTGGGTGAGTAGGTTTAAAAAAATAACGAATGATTTGAAAGCGAATGAAAGTCAAGTCATTACTCTAATAATCGTAGAGCATCACCGTACAAAGTGCGAAATCATTGAGAATCTGAAGACGCTTGGGAGGGGGAGGAGGAGGGTCTACAAAAGAACTAAAGGAAGAAGAATTCGAAAGATCCCTGAACTGATACTGGAGACGTGCGCGACCACAATCTGAAAGGAATGACATGTGGCTTGAAACAGTATACGGGGGCCCGCCAAAAGCTCGTCTCCGCAGTCTCCGACTCTCTAGATTAGACAGAGCCGGATTAGAGGACGTCTTCGACATATGTTCGACGAATTTGACGAACGACTAATGGAAAACGGAGAATCTGTGCCGGAAAGGATTACCTTTTCCTTCGTTCACTTTGTTCACATCACACAGAACAGGGCGGCGGCGAGTGGGGCGAGAATGGTGACGGCTGAAAAACGAGATTCAAATGTGTTGATCCGATTTTATCTTTAATGACCCCTCGCGTTAGTGCCTATTTTTCCGGGGTTCCCTGCCTCACCTGGTTCCTTAATCCGGACGGCTAATCCGTCTTTGGACCCACCTGGCCCCCCGGCTGAACCGGACCATTTTTCAATACCGTGCTAATTAGAAGAGGTCCGAGAGCGATCATGCGGCAAAACAGTACTAAACGCTTGCTGCGAGGTTCATTAGCCAGTCTCCGCTTTGCACTTTCACTGCGCATTTCATTGTCTTCCGGCGCCGCAATGGCTTCTGGGGACCTCGCATAACGAATAGTCAATTGTCACGCAATTTCCGGAGCGGCTGTCTGAGAGTCAGCTCCTTATGTCGCCTCAATTTCTCTCCGAAATGTCTCCTTTCCTTCCCCTTCATCTCATCTCAGAGTGTGCGAAATCGAAGGAAACGGAGGGGCAGGACACCTCGAAATTCTAATGATGTGCTTGGAAATCCCCAAAGGGCTGACCCTAGACCTCAATGCACGTCCCTCGTCCCATCTTGCATTCACATTAGTACATATTTGTGAGATGCGACGGCAGCCACGTGGCTCGGCAGCACACCTGCCACCGCTTATAAATGTATGGTCTTGATTAATGATACAACCGATTACCTAGAGGATTAATGTGAGCATGCGAGTAATGTGAGCTACAATAATTGTTGGCGACCCTTAACCAACCTTGGTAGGCGGCGTTGATCGACTCGAACAGTGGTGCGGGGGTGGTCGTTGTAGTGGTGGTGGTGACGAGTTCGGTGCAGTTGGAGAGCTTGCAGACTCCGAGTCCGCTGCGTCCGTCGTCGGTCGGCGAGCACTCAGACTCCTTCACCTGGCACTTGTCTCCATTATTGGGGTCAAACTGTCGGTCGCAGCAAGTGCTGAACTGCTTGCAGTAGATCTCTCCGTCCGGCGCGTACTGGGCCATCGTCCCGCAGAACTCGGTCTGGTCACGGACCGTCGGGTCCCACACATCGTCGTCAGTTTGTCTGAAACAAAACGCCCATTCTCAATGGCGCTGCTCTGAAAACTTACGCAGAAACGAAGACGGCAAGGAGGGCAAAGGCGTAGACGATTCGGGAATTCATTTTGGCGTAGCAGATAGGCCGAGAGCTTTTCTGAAACAAAAATAGATATTTATAAGGATGAAAGATGGAGAGAGGAGAGAAGGAAAAGAAGACCACTGGAAAATGTAATTATGCGAAGAGGCCGTAGTATTCTCGTAGTAATTCGTGTGTGCGCCATCTCCACTGTGATAGTGCTTATGAATGAAAAAAGGGTGACAGGGAGAGAGAGAATATATGGAATTTTTTATTTTTCGGGACTCAGGAGCTGTCCCCAGGAAATATTTATGAGCCGAGAAAACGAGTGAGGGATACTTGTGGAGTGGAGAAAGTGGGTTTGAGTAATGGACATTCGAGCAGCGGTCGAGAAAGGAGAAAAATTGGTAGACACAGGGACACGGGCGACCGAATCAATCATTCGGTTCCGTTTGGAGAGAAGGACGGAAGAAAATGAATGCGATTGCGAAAGGGGTTAGGAAAGGACGCGAACTCGGAAAGAGGAGCGTATGTCGGAGCAAAAAAGTGTCGCGTGATGAAGAAGAAGAAGAAGAAGAAGAAGGAAAAGGAAAAGGAGATGCTCGGCTTGCCAATCTTAAATGTGCTGGTGCTCGGCGAGCCACATCGAATCGCGCGCGGAGCCCACCCCACGCCACACCAGCAGCGGCAACAAAAAGTGCACCGAGGGGCGGGGCATTCTCGCGAGAAGGGACCGATGGGTGGGGGGCAGCTGGCCTGATGCCAAAGCGGGAGGAGGAGGAGGTGTGCCCGTGCGGGGGTAAGAGCACGCGTGCCTTACGCAAAGATAGCCCCACGGCTTCTCCTCGAAATTGAGTTTGTTCCAAATAGACGAATTTCGAGGGAAGGAGAGAGAAAGAGAGAGAGAGAGGAGAAGACCCTCACAGGAAATAGAGCCCTTCAGGGCCTCTTGTCTTTGTGAGCAGCGGCAGGAACGACGATTCGAAAGTTAATCGACTTCTTCTTCTCTTCTTCTTTTCAACAACTTTTCTTTCGAAAGACGGCCGCCGGAGGGGACGGCTTTCAGGAAATGGCAAAGATTTGAATGAGAAAGTAGAAGAGAGGATTATGCGAAACTTCTCTTCCCATGGCTTTCCTTTTTTCAATTTCAAAGAACTTTGGCCAGGGGAGCCGATGTTCGATCAGATGAAGGAACAGGAATGGAATGGCGGTGACTCATGAGGTCTTATGACTTGCTTACTCTCAGTTTTCTATAGACATGTTTTTCTTCTGCGTGCCTATAGTGCAAACGACAGCCCTATTCTATTCAGAATCGACTGACTCTCTGGCAATCTAATCAATTTCGTGGCCGATTCTGTTGACATAATCAGATTAGTGATAGCTTATCTGACCACCAGATTACGTAACATTTGATATTAGACGTTCACTGACTGCTAACCAACTTTCTTCAAATCCCCTTTTCTCGACAGTTTGAAGGACGCTTATTTCAAATAGAAAATGCTAATGTTATGGGGGGGGGGGGGATTTGGAATGAAAAGAAAAGAAGCAGAAGTAGAAAAAGAAGCGCATTTGGTTCGGGACCGACGACGTCGTTTCCCCTTAACGAGCCAAAGTTCGATGAAATACGAGCGCACAGAATTGTTGCGCCACATCGGAAAAAAGAGCACAGAATCGTTTTTTGGCTTTGGCTTCGTCTTTGGCATAGAATAGCCGATTGGGACTTGATGATAATGGCTACAGGTTAATCCAATAGGCACACAAGGGGCACAGCAAAGGTACTGTTCAAATAGGAAAAAGGTAAGAGGAGGGGGCAAAGGGACCATTCAATTACTGTTGACACTTCCGGGCGAGGTCGTCAGGAAATGGATGATAACCGGAGAAGGAGAAGAAGAAGTGGAAGAGGTCGAGAGTGAAAGTTTGGAATGGGAAAAAGAAAGAAAAAGAAAAGGCGCTTGCCAGAAATGTCTGTCCGGAAAACAAAGCCGAAAGGAGGAGCGGAACGGTGCTAAGAGCCAGCTTATTCACACCCGAACAATGCCCTGTAGAACATGCCTTTTCTGCGATGAGGAGCCTCCCCCACACACACACACACAGTGGTGTCCATTTCAATGTGCTGGGGCTCGATGTGAGAGTTTGTGGACACAGAAGGAACGCGCGACGAGCTGTTTTTGCGGCGGCGGCGGCCCGTTCTTTCCGAGTCCTTTCTGAGGTAGCCGGTGCACTTGATGAGTTGAGATTTGTTTGATCTGTGACGGGGTCAGAGCTCTAGAGGGAAACTTTAGCTTTGTCGTCCTAATATGTGAGCCTTTCTGTGTTTGCGGACGAAGGACCTCGGATGGATGACCCGCTTGTTGTTTTTCGAATGGAAAAAGAGGGGGAGAAAGGTTGTGGTGGATGAGTCACAAAAGGAAATGGCCACACTAAAATCGGTGTTTCTCTTTTCGGCAAACTGGCCCCGGGGGCATGGTAAAACCATAATAACCTCTGATGGCAAGGGGAATCCGGGACAGGAAACACGCCGAGAAGGATACTCGAGTAGGACACAAAACAATGGAAACTGGAGGACAATGTGTGGAGGAGGAGGTCTTCTTAAGGAGCGAGAGGCCACAAGTGACGACGGACCAACGCGTGCTGCAGCTCACTGCGAAAACATTGGAAGGTGTCAGAAAGGTTGCCAAACATGCAGCTCAGCGGGTTACGCAAAAACTTGATCAAACAGAGACACGACAAAGTTGGGCAACCTATGCACAAAAAAACGACTGCTACTACTATATAGGGCGAATGTACGAATAGTTTCGGGTTACTCGCTGAATGCAAAGGCTAGAAGAGTGAACAACTAGTTACTAGTTACCTCTGCCCAGTCAGCGACTCACAGGCACATCATTTTTAATCCGATTCGACAAGTCTTCATTAAAAATGATGGACCGGAATCCAGGAGGGCGTCAAAGTGCACCACACTTGTCAAAATTGCAATTTGAATTGGGCGCCGCCGCCGCTTTTGCTTTGCTCGGCTCGGCTGAAGAGACCACCACGAAAGAAGACGAAGAAAATTTCAAAGTGGGGACAGAATGCGGGCATGTGTTTGTGTGTCCGTCCCAAAAAAGTGACACATGGTCAAAAAGCAATACAATTGAGATGAGTATGCAAGATATATGAGGGGGCCGGGGGGCTTGACGTCTACAGTAGCTGCGAGACGGTCGGCTGCGTCTCTCCACGTGCCGTGCTCTCCGGCTAATTAAGGGGTTTGGTAAGCAGGCGCGCACGGACATCTTACAGTCGAACATCGAATTAGACGGATGCAACGTCGCAATTGACACCTGTCCCTTCCCGGAGGAAAAAGAAGAAATGGATGAAGAAGACACCCCAATTGACTTGTAGATTCGAGACGGTTTCGGGCGCCATGAGGACGTGTCCGGTCAATTTGCAACCAGATGACCAACTAGGGAAAGGAGAACTACCTCGAAACTGACTATTAAGAAATCAACAATCTCGAATGTCAGCAGACTGTCCCTTCAGCTCAAACGTATAATTTTGCCAGCTGGCTCCATCTCGCTATCATCTCGAATTCCTCTTTTCTGCGCAACTTGCATAATTGAGGCAATTAGTAGTTTTGGGCGTTGGGGGACCGCCCGGATTAGTGATGGTGCACTGGTAAATCCGGGTGAGGCAATCGGCGCAAAAGGGTCGGCAAGTGTCAAAGGAGTCATGGTGCGGGGATCAAGAATTGCCGGAAATTGGGCCCCGTCCGGGCGGCGAATGAGTTCTCAAGGACGAGGGATCCCATATGAATTTCCAGAGACTTCTCATCTCTTTCTCAAGTTTCAATTAAATATTCATGGTTCATCATTTAGCGCTTCTTCCTCTCCTCCTTCTTCTCTCTTCTTCTTCTTCTTCTCGTTGTCGCCCAACAACACGCGCGAATTTCAATTTCGCAACGCAAAACGAAATTGAATTGTCCGTCCCGGGGGCAGCACGACGTCTTCTGCTCCCTTCTCATTCTTGATGCCCTCTGTGTCTTTCGGCCAGCCGTAATTGGCGGGATCAAACGGGAACTGACTCATCAGCAATCCATAGACACAGGGGCAAACACTAATTGGAGCGCTTATCTGGGGCAACGAGCAAAAGGACGTCATCCGGTGCGGTGCGCCTACAGAAGAAGCCGTCGCGTTGTGGCCGGACTCTCTCTCGACACACAAAGTATCGTGTTGCCTGATGAAGATGTGTTTGTTCAGCCGCTCACAGATGTGTTGTCTTGACTTTTCGGTCCTTCGAGTCACTTCAAAAAACTGAAGAACAGGGAAGGGACCAATGATGGAGGGAAGAGTGAAACTGGATATCAGACATGTCACCTGTGGACGGGGTGCTGAAGCACTGCACGTGTCAGAAGAAGGTCAATAGTCATCTTTTCAGATGAAACTTTTCAGATGACGTCTTTTCTCGCACATACATCTTTGCTCGAACTGTTTATAGCCCCTGCAAGCGTTCATCATTAGAAAAGAGTAGCATCGCAAAACAGAGATTTCTGATTCAAATTGGCGTCGGCCACCCACTCAGAAATCTCGACCAGCATGTCGCCGACACGTATCGGGTTTCAGAGAACGGATACGGTTCTCCTCTCAATGTGTCACAGCCGGTTTGTTTAGACACCTGCCATTCTTCCCCTCTCGAACAGCTACATCCACAAAGATTCTCACATTTTTTTCAAAAGTCACGGTTTTTGGATGGCCGGATCCGTGGCTCCGTGCTCATGTTTGTGTAGCAATCAGAACGGTTCCGCTCGGCTTCAAAAGAGAACAGGGGATTAGTTGCCGAAGGACACGAGAGGGGGTGGTAAGGGGTAAGCTACCTGTATATTTGCAGAGGTTGGTGCAGCTTGAGTCAACAAAAAACACGAGAAGAAGGGCGAAGTGGTCACTAGATGTCAATTGAGAAAAGCAGCAGCAAGACGAAGGTGGTGGTGATTGATGAGGAAGGCAAACTCGAAGGCACGGCGGGGTCGCTCCACAAATACGTGTGACTCTAAAGGGAGAAGAAGGGCAACGACTTCGGTGATGATGAGGGCAATTGAGGCAATGACGCCGTCCGCTTCCCTTTTCTTCGTTTCGTAATATGAACCCACAGAAGGGGACTCCCGAAAGTTCCCCGTATTGAAATATTCATGCGTGCTTTATTCAATAGGTACGAGTTCAGGAAACTGGAAAATTAGCTACTTTAGTCGATTGGCGTTTGCCTCGAATTATGGCGGTCGGTGATGATGATGATGATGGCGTGGAGAGCGGATGGGATACTCGGACACGACCGGCCACCGTCCATTAGTGCACATTTATCGAAACCGGCAATTTGGCAGGGCAGCAGCAGAACCAAACTGTGCGCGGTTGGCTTCTTCTGCAGTGCATGCGTGGCTAATTGCCTGTTGGGGATAGAAATGTGCTCAACTGGAAGAACGGCCACATCTTCTCGTTCAGTCCAAGTCGTTTTTATGAAGGAAGACGTCGAGGAAAGCATCTCGAAACCACTTTAAACTAGACTGTGGCAATGAATTGAATTGACATGCATAATGAACATTTCTGTGATTGATTCGGACAGAAAAAAAAACAAATGATCAATCAACAGGATCTGTGTTTTGGATTTGTGAACTCTCGGGATGGAACCAAGAAGTTGTGTTCCTGCAGCGGTCGACAAAGGCCTGAAAAGGTTAGACTTTCATATCAAACGAAACCGTGTTGATATCAAAAAACACAAGCAACTTTTCCAGGGATTGTGACTCAATAAACCCTGGGATTCTACAAAACCTTATAAAACGTCTTCGATCGCCGTCCAAGTTCCTTCTTCTTCATCTCCACACCGCTCTTTCCATTTTGGCAGTTGAACTTCTAAACTCTGCCTTCTAACTACACTCTCTTCTAATTTCCATATTCAAATCAGTTGCCAACCGGTGAATTTCAAAAAAAGCTTTCAGTCACATAAAAGGGTCGACTCGCCAGAAGAAACCATCCGAAATGAGTCGTCTCCTCCTCCTCGCCCTTTCCTTTGTGGCGCTGTGCCTCGGCCAGGATTCTAGTCTCTACGTCAACAGGATACCGATTCATGGGCGGCTCGACGACAGCAAGACTTACACCTACTTTGTCGACGACAACTATGACCCAGTTCAAACGGAAAACTACAAGACAGAGTCGAATTCGATCGCGAGTCTCTACGAAGACGACTATTCGGCCGATACAGTGTCGTGCACGGTTGCCGAATGCCCGAAGCTCACCAGACTCTACGCCTACGTGGCTCAGAGCGGAGGAAAAGTGCAATACACGCAAATCCTCACGGCCGCCATGAAGAACAGCTCGATTTCTCCGAAGCCGATGGGATACGTGGCTCCGTATCCGGGATACTGCAGTTCCGATGATTCTCTGCCAATTATCGAGCTGTACTCGCAAACATATAACAGTAAGTGGCATCATCGGGAGACTTCCATTCCGTGCTTCTTCAGAATACGCGTACTGGAGCCCAGCCCAACCGAGCCAGTACATTGTCCTCAACTCGACTGATATTGACCTGACGAGGTACGTTCCGAAACGTCTCGTCGGCTACGGACTTTCCGCCACGCCGGCCAGACTTGTGCTTGAGAACAAGTCTCCAGATTACGCCAAGACTCTGTCCAGAGCCAACTACGTAAGCGGGACTCGATCGATATTCCGATGAAACGCGGGAAATTACAGACTCACTCATTCTGCCCAGCCAACGAAATCGTCGAGTACAAGACTGGAACTGACACGTACATGGTCATTGGAAAGCCCGCGCACGTTGACGCCGTCCGGGCAAGAGCCACGGCCACGTTCTCCCGTTCGCTCGGAATCTTCTTGCCGGACACTTCCACGGCCTTGTCTACTAACCAAGTTAACGCTCTCTGTGGTACACGCATCACGATCTGGGCAATCGTTGACCCTGAAAAAGGTCAGTTCCCCAGTTTTGTGAAGACAGACGTCGGTGCTTACAGTACGGAGCCGTCTTGTGCCCGCCAATTATCTGAAAAATCTTCCGCAAGGGTGGTCTAATGGAGCTATTGCCGGAACCACTTTCCGGACGAACGTGGCCGCATGCGGAGGAATCAGTGGACTGGCCAATTTGACTGAGTTCGTTCACACGGTATACATATCCCCGTCCGGTTTGTCTGAAACTTTGTGTTGTTTTCAGACCAACGCCAACCGCTACACGTACGCTGTTGACCCAGTTGAGGTTGCTGCTCTGAAGGCCGACTCGAACTGGAACGTCACTCCGGAAAGTCCGTCTCTTGGATTCGCGCCAATCGACAAGATCGGATTCACCCTTTTCAATGACGTGTTCCAGGCTTTCTAACTTTCTAATAAAATTTCTCAAATAAATCTTTGTCGGGCAAACGTTGTTTTTAATCGACGAAGGGAAGAGATTTACTGGAATCATCGAAAAATGAAACGAGAAAGTGAAATAAGGCAAGAACCACCTTCTGGGAGCATTCGAGCATACGTCCTCATAAACGTGTACTTATTCGGTCAGCAGTCGAGGGCGTTTTTTGAAAATTGGGCGAAATAGGCTCGCTCGTCTTACTGCAGTGTCTAACATAACAATAAATAACTAAACCCCAATTTGGTTTTAACTTCAAAAACCATTCATTTACGACACAATCACTACATCAATGAAATCGGAATCGTTCCGTTCTTCATGTACGTGCAATCCAGACCGTATCCCAGAATTCGTCCGGTGGCCGTGTACCCAACCGCAGTGAAAGCACTCACATCGTCACCGGCAGCGATTGAATACTGAAATGAAAGTATAGACAGTTATGGCCTCATGAATAGCTTCAACTCACTCCAGTATTATTCTTATAAACCTCTCTCAGCGCCACCAACGGAAGGCCGCACCGATTTCCGTCTGCCGATAAGAAGGCGTAGCCCATCTGACCGACCCAAGTGATTGTGCTGCTCGGAATGATCATGCTGGTGTCCAATGTGAGGTACAGGAATCCTTTGAGAATGTTGACCCACTGAAGAAGTGCAGTCGTTTGTGCGCACTGTTCGAGAACGGATCGGTCGGCCGAGTTGCTGAAGACGCACGCAGAGGTTCGGTTGATGAGTCGCATGTATTGAGGTTGCGGGTAAGCTTTGAGATTGCCACCGGCAGAGAACAAAGTGACCGTGCGAGTGATGTTCTTGTACGGTTGGAACAGGTAGATTGGAGAGGCTGGGATGTAGATAAGCGGACGTTCCGTTGTTGTTGAATCCTTTGTGGATGATGAGAATGGTAGAGTAGAAGTAGAAGTGCTTGATGATTCTGATGTTGAAGTGGCAGCTGTTGACGTCGCAACTAGAGTAGATGATGCTTCCGTTGTTTCAGCACTAGAAGAAACAGTTACTATGAGAGTGGAGGTTGGTATAGTAGAAATGGAAGTGCTTGACGATACTTCGGTTGAAGTTGTAACCTTCGAAAGGAACGTTGAAGAGGACGCTGGAGAAGAAGACGTTATCTCAGTAGACTGATAAACTTCTGTGCTTGAAGAGGCTGAAGGCGTAGAAGAAACTGTCGAAGAAACCCCTTTAGGTGATGATTCAGGTGTGGTTCTGATGGAAGAGCTCCCGAAGACTGATGTCTTTGTGGCTGCTGAAGAATTTGAAAACGAGGAGCTAGCTGATGAAGAAACCGTGCTTGTTTTCTCCATAGTTGTCGTTTCTTGAGTAGACATAGTAGAGACAGTCGAGCTCAAATCTGATGCAATACTGACGGAAGAGCTTCCCGGAGGCGTTGTTGTTGATGAGTCCGCATCAGTGGAACTTCTCGAAGGCTTTGTAGACAAAGCGGAAGAAGCAGAGAAAGTAGAAGTCGTTCCAATTGAAGAAACGGTGCTTGTTTTCTCCGATGACGTTCCCATCGAGACTGTTCGAATTGAGAGCGTGGATTGAGAAGTTGTAGTTGGGACTGAAGATGGAACAGAAGCAGTGGAAGCGTTTGTGGACTGCGAGTCGTCGTGTCTAATGAGGTTGGTTTAGTAGAAGAGAAGTGCTTGACGATGCTTCGGCTGAATTTAGAACCGTCGTATGAGAAATAGAAGAGGACACTGTAGACGTAGTAACTCGTGTTGAAGATGTTTCCGTAGTTTTTGCACTAGATGGAACAGTTACTAGGGGAGTAGACTGATCAATTTCTGTGCTAAGAGGAGCTGAAGGCGTAGAAGTAACTTCTGTAGCCGTGGAAAGTGTTGAAGAACGCACTGTAGTAGATGATGATTGAGGTGTGGTTTTGATGGAAAAGCTTTTCAAGATTGTTGTTGTTGTGGCTTTTGAAGCTTTCGAAGACGGGGAGCTAGCAAAAGCAATACTACTTGTTTCTTCTGCGAGAGTAGATGTGGAAGAGACAGTTGAACCCGAATCTGATGCAGCACTGGAAGAGCTTTCCAATCGCGCTGTTGTCGATGATTCCGCATTAGGAGAACTGCTCAGCATTGTACCAGTTGGAGTCTTTGAAGAGGAAGTGGAAGATGCAGAGGAAACGGTGCTTGTTCCTTCCGAATGGGTTTCCGTTGAAACCGTTTCAGTTGAAAAGATGGATTGAGAAGGTGTAGAAGGGACTGAAGGGGAAGCAGAGGAAGTGGAAGAGTTTTCTGGACGGACTGATGTTGTGTCTTTTGAGGTAGACGTCTCAATACTTTGCTGACTTGCGGAAGTTGATGATGGAGCATCATTTGGAGATTGAGAAGATGGAGATGGGTTCAATGAAGTACTACTTTCTTCCGTCATACCTTTACCCGTAGAAGTCGTTTTTTGTGTAGACACACTGCTGGAAGACGTCGAAGTTGATAGAGCTGAAACTGACGATGTTGCTGCTGATCTCTCATCCTTAGTTGACGTTCTGCTACTTGTGGTCGTAGAAGATCCCACTCGTACTGTCGTATCAACATCTGACACAGGTACTTCTACAGCAATGAGTCTGAAACCTCACATTCACTTGGATTGTTCGGAGCAAATTCAGATCAACTTACGAGTATATTGGTAAGTTCTCTGGAATTGAAATCGGTTCAAACGCATATCCAAGAGTTCTGACGAATTTGTAGCGGAACGAGTAGTAATCTCTCAATTGACACGCATGAAACTCGGCCGGGTAGAAGCCATTCACATAGGCGAACACTGAATGAATGAATGAATCATTGACAAAGAGAAACGGAGGGGCTCACTATTGTCTTCCTCCGAGTAAAACTCATCGTATCTGTGCAATCCGACCATGTACTCCGTTGATAAATATCCGGATTTGGCCAGCACTTTATCCGATGACGAAACAGAGATCTCGAACTTCGGACGGCCTTCGTTGTCGATGATATTGTACACCGGGATCACTTTGAGGGGAAAGTTCTGGCAAGTGTCGGACGAACAATTCAGATCTTTCAGGAACATTTCCTGGGTCATTCCACGTACGGCAGTCAACTGGGACATGTCTGAATGGGAAAGGATAGGGAGAAACTTCCAGCACTCTACAGACTTAGGTGCGATTGGATCGGCGCCTGAGAGAGCTTCGTGAAGAAAACGGCTTTCATTGGGTTGGCAGCCGTTTCAGAAAATCGATAAATAGGCTCGAGAACAATCTTCTGAAGCACTGTCTTGGTCTGCTCGGCGGCCATGAATCGACGAAGAAGAAGAGGAGGATCATCAGCGACAGGCGGTGCACAACATTCGAGCAAATGAACCAATTCGGCAAGGAATGCAAGAAGGAAGAGCTTCATTGAAATCGATTAGAATTGAGTTTTATCGCTCTGAGACTACAATCAACTAGACTCTTTTCGCGAACTGCTTCATTATGCAGTACATACAATTTATATGCATTTGACACATTTTTGTTGTGGTGAAGCACTACACAAAAATATTGGACAGGGACTTTCAGATGCCACTTTTATTTTCAGAGAACAGTTTTTTCCATATTTTCTCAAAATTCTGCTCAGTTTGCTTCGTAAGCTTCGTAAGGGAAGCGCTTCTGAATTTGTCAACGTCGTCGAAGGGGTACGGTCGTCAGCGCGTGTTTGCGTACACACCACAATCTACGCGCAATCGCATACGCCGCGTTGGTTTCGCTAAATTTTTTTCGATTTTGTTTCGACTTTGAATCTATTTCAGAGGAATACCGAGTGAAAATTCATAGGAAAATCAATTGAGAGACATCTTGACTATCTTTTTCTCAAATTTGCTGATGGAAATTGTATTGATTTTCAGGTAATCATCCGGAGAAGCATGAAATCATTAGTTATCCTGCTATCCGCAGTCGTCCTGGTCAACTCGCTGAGGTTCTACGCTCCTCCGAAAGAGAAAAAGTGTCTGAAAGAGGAAATACACAAGGTTTGAAAACGTAGTTAATACAAAGGGAAAGTAATGTCTCAGAATGTCGTCGTGACCGGAGAATACGAGTTCAGTCAGGGAATCCAATACACTGGAAGCATCCATGTAAGTTTTTTCACAGAAACAATTTTCATTATATTTTTCGTTCAGGTGACAGACACCAGAGGACACACCTTGTACAAGCGCGAGAACTTCATCGATCTGAAGGGAAAATTCGCGTTCACCGCCGACGAGTACGACATCTTCGAGATTTGTATTGAGAACCACCCTCCAGCCGGAACTCCAGGAGAGAAGCGTGAGGTTTCTCTTATTTTGAAGCACGGAGTCGAGGCCAAAAACTACGATGACATCGCCAAGGCCGAAAAGCTGAAGCCGCTCGAGGTGGAGCTGAGAAGGCTAGAAGACCTGGCCGATTCCATTACCAAGGACTTTGCATTCATGCGTCAGAGAGAGGAGGAGATGAGAAACACAAACGGTTTGTTTTAGAAAATGTTTTGTTAAAAATTCAAACCCTTAAAAATTTTGTTGACTTTCATTTTAGCCGTAATGTACTTTTCCACAAAAAATACATCAAACAATCTCAAAAGTTTACTTCAGAATCGACGAACAGCCGTGTCCTCTACCTGTCCGTCTTCTCGATGCTTTGCCTTCTGGGTCTGGCTATCTGGCAAGTCCTCTTCCTGCGTAACTATTTCAAGTCAAAGAAGCTCATCGATTAGACATCTCTCGCCAACTTTAATTTATACTTTATTTATCAAATTAATTGTCGGTTCTCTCCTCCCACCTTCTTGCTTTTCTCTTTTCACACGTCTTCCTCTAAATTATGTGATTTCCTCTCTTTTTCCTCTGTTTCACTAGATAATGATGATGTTAAAGAATTTATTTTTTGAATTTTAAGTAGTAGTACTATGCTCTTTCCTTCTTTCTTTTAAGCCGCACACCACGTAAGTATCACGAAAAGGGTAATTTGTATAGTGTAACTTCGTTTTTTTTGCGATTTTTTGTTTCCCTATTGTTTTTTTTTCCATTTTCATGAAAATTACAAAAATAGATTATGTGGGCCGCTGCCTGAGATAGCTCTTGCTTCTAAACAAGCACGACCGCATCCAATTTCCTGTCATCGGAGTCCTCTATTGTCGTGTTCCAGGTACTGTGCCATAGATGAAGAAGTCTTTTTCGAGGACGGAACACGAAGATAATGGAGCTTCAGAGTTTGCGGGGCACATTTCCTTCCCATTTCGGTACGCTGAAGAGTACATCAATTTCCTCCTTTCTTTCCGTTCTTCAGAATGCTCGCATGTCCGACTTAAATCAGAACTAAACAAACCCGTTCCCCATGTTTTTTGCGTTCAGCCCCAATACGGTGCGCTCTGTTAACTGGTTCGTGTTAGTTTGATTTGTACTTGCCAAGTTTGCGTTCGGACAAATGTAAATATCAGTGCGTCGCTCGATCAATAGCTGCTCTCTCTCTTTTTCGCTTCCCGCGGGTCTCTACTTCTCTGCTCCCTTTTCTCTCTCTCTCTCTCTCTCTCTCTCTCTCTCTCTCTCTCTCTCTCTCTCCCTCTCTCCCTCTCTTTTCGAGTGTAATTTCTGCCGTTTGTTTCTTTTTCGTTTTCTTTTGCCGAACTCCGTTGGAGCAGCCGTCGCAACGATGGAAGAGAATCCGCTGCAGTGTACAATCTGCAAAAATGTGAGTCACAGTTTTATGTTTATGAAATATGAAATAGAGAAAGTGAAATCTTGAAGGAATTGGATGATCCGATATTGTTGAGCTGTCAGCACACAACCTGCAGGAAATGCTCCACGAGCTCCCCGAGCTGCAAAGGATGCTCTCCGGTGCCGTCGACGTCGAGGAGCCACACTCCGCAGCCGGACAGACTGGCTGCCTTCCTGCTGGATGCGTCCAAGGAGGAGATGGAGGAGTGTGCCAATTGTGAACAGGTTTTGGGTTAGGGCCAAACTTTTATGACTCTTTTCACTTTGCAGATATCCTTGCCCATGTTCTACTGCGAAACGTGTCAACAGTCGCTGTGTCTCCACTGTCGAAGTTCCACACATCAAGCCCGAATGTTCTCATCCCACAAGATCATCACTTCGGACGAAAGGAGCAAAGTGTACGGATCGGCGTTGTGCAAAGATCACAATGAACCGTACATTCTTTACTGTTCCGACGTCCGCAAACTCGTCTGCATTCAATGCTTCAATGGGCGACCTCTCGAAGAACGGCACAGCTTCATTTCCATCGAACAGGGCCATCGGATGTGTCTGGAGAAAATAGAGCAGGCGGCTGCGAAACTCAGGTTTTATCAGTCTGAGCGGCAAGAAGAACTGTATGTGCGGCAGAGAGTACTCGATGAGAATGCGTCGAACTTTGACGAGGCGAAGACGGCGCTGTACCAACTGTGCCAGCAGATAATCGATACGGTGATGACGACTAGGGAGAATTTGGCGAAGGAACTCGTGAAGCAGCAGGAACAGAGCGACGAGCAGTGCAAACGACAGATAAAAGAGATCGAGGCGGTCATGGTATGTCCCTTCAAATGATCTCTTCAGTTACACAACTCTTTCCATTAGGGTCCCGTTCGTTTGTGTCTCTTCTCTGCCCAAATTATGTGCACAACAGCTTCGAAGCTCGACGTTCTGCAGCTCTGCTCACAACTTCAGAAGAGAATAGGCGCTCTACTCGACAGAACAGTCGATAAGTTGCCCGTTTCGTCGACGCCGGACAGCATTGAAGTCCGTTCGGACCTGGCGAAAGCTCTTGAGCCGTACCTCGGAATGTCGGCCGCCTGGTGTCCGATAAGCGTGTCGCGGGAGGGAAGTTCTTCCAACTCGTACAAAAGGGGCTCCGGATCGCACAAAGCAATGCCGATGCTTTCGAAATTTCAAGCGACGATCGACCTTGCTGGAGCATTTGGTCAGCTTTTCGGCAAAGTTGATCGTGAGTCTCACTCCGATCTTTCATCCCCAATTTTTCCGTTTTCCAGACCCTCTGCGTCAGTTGGTCGTCGAATTAGCCTCGACCAGTCAACAAGTGCTCGAGACCCAAAGAGACTTGACCATCCGACGGTGTCTCATTGAGAAAGAAGGCGTGGAAAAGTTGGTGAAAATGTGAGTTGTGAAGTAAATTAGCAGATATGAAGATTTTGAATTTAGGTGTAAGAAAATCGAGGAAAACTTGGGAATGCACTCGGCTGCTCTGGATGGAATGCAGAGTGAAATGCAAGAAATTTGGCAAGAGCAACTGGATCGAGTACGTCGGCAACAGATAATATATCGGGAGAAAGTGGAAGAAATTCTGAACCTTCGGGACACTGCGAGACAAATTCTGACTGCGGCGAAGCAGCTGGTGCCGTATGTCTCCTGCATTCTGAACATGAATGCGATGATCGACCCTAAGTACGTTTACTCCGTGACTCCACACACCGACAGTCTTTTTTCAGGCGTTGCCATCCGCCGGATCCAGCTCCAATGGAAAGTATCTGTTTGGAAATCACCGGAATCGAGCCGAACAGTCAGACGAGAATTCTGGCGATCGAGAAGGAAGAAGAGAATCGGAGACTGTATCAGGAGGCGAAGAAGAAGGAGGAAATGGCCGGACAGAGTGCGGCGATGAAAACATTGAAACACGGAAAGTTAAAGAGAAAAGAGATGCATCGAATGATGGTGAACACGAATAGGGAAAGGAGTCCGGGAGGCACCGACACCGCACTCATCAGTCCGTGCGTCCGGAGAGTGTGAGTCAAGTCTCTTTCGATTGAATTTCAGAGTGTTGTTTGTAGGAGCTCCGTGCTGAAAGAGGAGACGAACTCAGAATTGGATGCCGAAGAGTTTCTTGACGAGTGCTTCGAGCTGAGCGCCGAGCAGTACGAGGAGATCGTCGACGGAACACTAACCGAAGAGGACCGTTGCAGCTCGGCACTCCTTCTTTCTCTCGATATTCCCAACGACTCCATTTCCCCACTCCCTTCTCTTGATCAGCTGATCGGAAAGATCCCGTTGGCTTCTCGCGTGACCCATGACATCGGATTTAGTCGGGGAGCCATGTTGCAGAGTCTGAACGACGTGTTCGCGCTGCAGAAGCCGCCCACGCCCGAGAACATCACCGTTTCCGAGGAACGGAATGTCCTCGCTTCGGCTGTCAGGAATGCGGAGAAGAGAAAAAGCGGAGCAGGTTTGCCGACAAATTCGGAGAAAGAAGAGGAGATTGAAAAGGAAAAGGAGGAAGCGGCGGAGAAGGAGAAAAAGAAGATTGTGAGAAGGCGAGTGAAGAAGAATACAAAGGAGGACGTGGAACAGTCGGAAGAGGAAGCGCCGCCGCCATTCGGTGCTCTGCCGGACTGTCCGTTCGTGCCGCAGGAGATCTTCGAGAAAGACGACAAAATCGGAATGTTCGAAGCGAAAGAAAGAGTCTTACAGAGTTTGAAGCATAAAATGAATCAGAAAAAGGAACTAGAAGAATAGATGTTAAGCGAAGTCATATATGTACTTTAAACCGGTGTACCTGTAAATAAACCCATTTTGTTTCAATCTCTCTCCTCCTTGCTATTTCGGAATCTCAGCATATATCCTCCGACACCTATAAAAGCAGTGAGCCGCGTCGATTTCAATTGAATCGCTCGTCGTAAATATGGCTACCTGAATGATAAAATGGCTAATGTTTGCGTAGTGAAACTGGACACAAGATTGTAGGTCAGAAGGAGGCTGGGGGGCGGGGCCAGCGTCCGGAGTGGTATCAAAGTTATGATTCATTCGGAATCCGTTCCTCATGATATTGCGAACTTCTCCACGCTTTCTCCTAATTCCCGTTCTGGCCTTCATTCTACCGGCCACCGCAAACGGATGCCGTGACAAAGAAACTGTCGCGTTTTTTGTGAACGGAGAGGCGAACCTGCCCGCCTCCGGGACCGCGTGCTTCAATTCGTGTGCTCTTGGAAACTGCACAGGCAAGTGTCGATTACTTTTCAATTTCATATGAATCTTTGTGTTTAGGAGTTTTGTTCCAAGGAGAGATATGCATAACTATTGACAAGACCAACTATTTCGGGCGCATTGAGCAGAAGAATTACATTGAGAAGCAGTGCGTGAAAAAGGCGAATCACAAGTTGCTCGTTTCCGAGTGGGATGACAGAATCCTCGTGGATCGCAGTCGTTCCGTCCGAAAAGCCGAATCCAAACTTGAATGTCTCAGTTTCTGCGCCCAGGAGAAGGCGTTCCCCTGCCTGTCGGCCATGTTCTACCACGAGAGCAAAGACTGTATTCTGAATTCCGCGTCGAGTGCTTCTGCTCAACTTACGGGTACGAGCGGTTTCAAAGTGTCCTACATGGAACTGCACGGTTTGAAGGGTAAGTGAAACTGTTAGGATCCGCCGCGCGCATGTCACGCCTCGATGACATAAGCGCAGAGGGTATCCGGTTCAAGGATGGATGACTGATAGAATTGAAGTGTTGCAGAAGCGGTTCACTGCCTCAACGCGTTCAAGATGGTCGCCCACGACGCGTTGGAAATCCGCGGAGAATCACGCATTTACAATGGCTCGGACGGAATCGCCAACTGTATCGAACGGTGCAAAGATTGCGACATCGTGCTCTTCAACGAGATCTTCTCTGAATGCTACATTGTCTGGTTCGACCCCTCGGGACAGTGGCTCGACTTTGTGAACGACGAGTATCAGGTGCTCGTCAACGCGTGCTCCGACTACAAAAAAGACTGCAAATCTCGCAATTCTCTCTTCGTTTCCTATGCGAATCCAGACGAGAAGATCAAGGCGGAGTGCCTCGAGAAGTGTGCAATTGAAGAGGATTGCCAGTTCGCATATCAGTCGAAAGACCTCAATAGCTGTGTGATCACAAGAAGAAAGAAGGCGTTGCCGTTGGTGGCGCAGAAAATGTGCGTGGATGTGGGCGACTTGACCGATGGATCCGCCATCCTTTTCGACGAGATCGGAGGGTGCAAGAGGGAGGAGGGACACTTGGTTTCGAAGAATCTGGAACTGCATCAGTGCATGCAATTGTGTGCCACACACCCCACAAGAAGGTCAGTCTTTCCTAGGTCTACTTTAGTTGTACATAATATGATTCCAGTTGTGAATCGATTACTTACACAAAGTCCCGTCGTTGTTATCTTCACGATGGAGCCATCGAAACAGACGAGAACAATGTGAACTGCTCAATTTTCACGCTGAATGTGATCACTTTCGAAACGAAAGTACAAAGTAAGCCGTTCTTTGAAATAAATTAGTTTATAACCATGTTCAGCGACTCTTCCCCCGGGCGATTCTAAAGTTAAGAAGCCGAACAAAGCGAAGACATTCTCCTCTGGCAGCAAAAAAGACCAGAAGAAGATTGAAGAGAGTTAGTTGAAAAAGTTGTTGTCATTTCAATCAATCATTCCAATATTTTCTAGAGAAACTCCTCATCAAAGAGTCGCCGAAGAAATCGGCGCTTCTGGACGTCAAGATCAGTACTCAATGCAATTTTGGTGATATTTCGGTCAGAGTCTCTTCGGAAGACCTCATCGGTGGTGAAGTCTATGTGCGTAACGCTCATACGAACTGTTCCGCCAAGATTGGATCGAAAGGCGAGGCAAATCTGAAGATCCGCCACAACGACACTTCGTGCCCCGTCACAAAGAGCGGTGACGTCTTCGAGACCGTGGTTGTTGTGACGCAAAACGTTGGAAATGCGACCGTCATAACGATCGATGATCAACTATTCAAAGTCAGATGTGATTATTCGAATCAGAAGAAGACGGTTGCCGTGGCGAATACCATGAATCTCCGGTTGGAAAGAGAGCACGACATGTTTGGAAATATATTTATTGCAGAACAACGTCCTTCTCAAACCTTGACATTTATGGAAAAGTGAATGTGAAACCGATGAGTATGGAGCTTCGTGGAAAAAGAGAAATTGTGAAGGCAAGGACTGTCCAGATCGGACAGAGTCTCGACCTCATTTTCACCGCCGATAACAGCACTTCGGCTCGTCACGTCTTCGTCCGTCGATGCACTGCTTTCGACCATGATGGCGATGAGAAGATTTCACTAATCAAGAATGGGTAGGCGAAAACGAAAACAAAAGTAGCCTCAGATCGTCAAACCTCAAGGGTAGTTCTAATCAGGGGATTTCAGCTGACACGCTTAAATACCATCACTGGCGGGCATCCAACTCAAAACTGCTCGCGCGGCTGCCAAGAGTGTACCCCACTCGACCACAGACAGAGGTCGGCGGGCGGCCACACGAGGAATAGACATTAGCGCGCGCACGCACACACTCGCCAGTCGTTTTCGTATTCTTGCAAGGGTTCCGATTCAGATGTGCTACTCAGAATGCGAAGGAATACGTGTTACGCAACGAAATCAAAGAGACCAAGACCGGTTTCGTTCTGCCTTTCCGGGCGTTCCGCTTCAAACAAGGCGAAGCGGTCAAGATCGAGTGCGAAGTGAAATACTGCGAAAAGTGCAAAAAGGCGAGTTTTCTGTTATACTTTTTCGTCTATTTCGTGACATTTTCAGCCGAACTGCTCAGCCAGAAATCGAAGATTCGCATCGGAAGATGAGGAAGAAACACTGACGGACAACGATGAAACCGAACAAATCCGAGCAGAGCTGCTGGTCCAAACGGTGACCTCCGAGAAGGCGAATGGATATTGCATGCGAGCGGTCCGATGGATCGCATTGACCGTGATTGCCGCTTTCCTGATATTCTCTCAATTATTGTTGATTATCTATTTATGTCTCAAGGGTCGTTATTCTGATGACAAACATCTGAAATGGGTCAAATACTTCTTCATTCCATATACAATTACTAATAATAACAAGTTTTATTCATTCAAAATCTCGGCAGCGCATGTGATCTTCACGGGGAACCACGTATTCGATGGGTTCGTGAACTTTAGAATGTACTCCCCCGGCGCCACCGTCTTTTCTCCGTACTCGGGCAGCTGAAAAGGACCGTGAGTGACGGGTGGAACGCCGGACTCACCTTGAGGCTGGTGATGGTGATCTTCGGCCAGATGGCCACTTCCTTGCCAGCGTCTCTCCGCACTATCTCGAAGTCAACGTCTCCACTCGTCGTGTAACTCCAAACCAGTTTGCCGGTCGTCGATGTTTTACTGAAAAGAAAGAACAATTGTCTTACCGTCACGATTCCGAACAACCAATTACAATTTAACACTTACACTGTGTATTCGGCTGTTTGAAACGATTTGATCGAGAGACCCTTGCCTTTCGGCGCTTTCAGAATGCCATTTTCTATCCAAATATGCTCTTGCGCTTTGTATTCGTCCTTTGCAATACGTTTCGGCGGTTTGCAAACACCTTCTGGAGGGTGCGCGTACCCCGAATCGTCTCGATAAGTGCCTCCATACTCGACTGGAATCGCCCCGGGCTCCAAATACTTTTTCAAGTCTTCAACATTGCTCAAGAACGCCAGCTTCTCAGCAGTCTTGGGATCGACTAGACGTTTCGTGACTTGCCACATCACAGAGATAATTCCCGGTGGGTTGATCAGCAGCAGTTTGCATAACTGGAAAAATCATTGTCTGATGCATGTGAGAATGCAGTGTGATAACTTACATGCTCACTGAAATACTCAGCCCACACTTGCACGACGAGCCTCGCCAACTGAGCAGGACCTGATAACGGGTTCATAAAATCGACGAGGTTGAGTCCCTTCAAGTCGAGAATGCAAACGACTGACGAAGTGTTCCCAGTAGCCCGTTCCGTGTGAGCCATGGCTCTAGAGAAGTTTTCCTGGAGCATAAAGTACGAATGAATGACGTAGCTCAACGGCATGATCTTCAGGATTTCTTTGATGTCCGTTCCCTCCATCTTCTGTACAAACACGTGGACATTCCTCGAAGTGACCTCGTAATCCAGTTGTGAAATGTTGAATCTCTGCAGATTCCTTTTCTCTACTTTTTTTGTTAAGGATCTTCGATCTATCATACCTCGAAACAGTCTTTTCCAATGTCGATTGAAGTGAATATCTCCAAATCGCTTATTTCGTGGTATCCCAGCAGTTTTCTGTGCTCCAGAAGCTGAAGAATCTTCTGATGGGTCTTCTCGACGTCTCCACTGTTGGCCGTCAAGAATCGCGCAAAAAAGAACGGCGAATCGAGCTCTTTTGGAATTAGTGGAATGGAAATTCTGAAAAAGAAAGGGCAATAGAAAAACATCGAGGAAAGGACTCACTTGAGCGTTTCAGCCTTATCCAGAATGTCCTGACTGAAACTTTTCGCAGTGATCATATCGTCAATCATTTTGATAGTCTGTGATGGATAATCTCCTAAAAAACGGGTATATGTAACAATGTATGCAGACAAAAAACGCAGAAAAGGGAGAAACCGGGGATGGGGGGCCAGAAGAATAACTGAAGACAGGTTTTCGGACTGAAAGGCGGTCTGGGAAGGTGGTGTGTTATCACTTGATTGGATGGTATAGTTATCAGAGAACGGCGTGCAATTGGTCTCGAGGTGATATGACGCGGGAAAAAGAGACATTTGGCGAAGAGGCGCCGAAAGCGGAGAGAGAGAGAGAGAAAGAGAGAAGCGATTCTGTGCTTTGTGATGAGTTTTTGGAAGGGAAAGTAGGCGTCAAACTTCAAGGTTAGAAATGAGAAAAGAGGCGGGCGGAAACATAAACAACGAAAACGAGAAGGGAACAATTTTTAGATTATACTGCTACTTCTGCGACAGACAGTAAACAGGAATGGCAGAAGTAAGCGGTCAAACACACAAAGAGAACCCGTGCATAATACGGTAGTCACACAGAAGAAGAAGAAGAAGAAGAAGCCATGAAGATGGCGACAAGAAGAAGGAGAGAAGGAGAGAAGACAATGTGATTGTTTGGGCAGAGGCGGAGGGAGTTGGCGAAAGAGAATGACCGCGTGTATTGTACTAGTCGGGGGCCAGGGGAGGGGCACTTGTTTCAGATTGTTTTCGAGATTGGGAAACTTGTGACGAAAAGAGAGAATGAATGTAAAAAACAGCTGAGAAGAGTGTTTTCCAATTGAGGGAGAGGTCAACGGCCAGACTGAACGGTTCTCGTCGTCTGAAAAAGAGAAATGCCTGGAAAAATCACGGAAAACTCAAATGTTCTAAATTTTTTGAAAAATTTGAAGATTTTCAGGAAAAATTGGACCTTCAGCTGGAACGAGGACTGACTGGCCTTCCCTGGCTTTTCGTTTTAGAGAACTTACAATATTGCGCTTGAACCCAAACTTTGCAAGCTTCTTGGACTTGAATTGAAATATTTTGGGTTCTCGGATTATCTGGCTTGAGACCAAAAAGGCCTGCAAAGTTTGGGTCCAATCGGAATATTGCAAATGGTCTAAAAGTTCGGGCTCAGAAAGGCTCTCGAAAAGCCAGCCGACCTTTGCCCAGCCTTCAACAAATCCTCACTTTCAGATGCAAATTTCTCGAGATTTAGAGTCGTTTCACAAAAATGAAGTACACGTTTGGAATCATCTAGATCTTTCGAACCTTGTTGGCTCAGTTTCAATCTCAAGTGAGAATTGGCTTAGACTTCCCTGCAACAACGGGATTCCGATATAGTTGATCTCGAAAGAAGGAAAGTTCCCAAACAAATCCTCGTTAGCCAACGTTGACCAATGACTTGTAAGGTACCGGAAATTGGGTCCATCTTCCAACCAATCCTCCACAACTCGCCATCCCCTCCATTCACGAGTAAACAACAACCTTTCCGCCGGAATTCCATCCCTTCAGCGCCACAGGGCATTCTGCTTTTTGTCGACACACATATAAGAATTTATGACAAATTGGCATTTTTGGCCTCGGTCGGCTCTTGGCCCTTCTTTCATTCCACTCCTAACACACCCCACTTTTTCCGTTTTTTTCTCAATTGCCTCCCCTCATTTATTCAGATGAGCACATACTTGTGGTGGCGGTTTTGAATGAATGAAACGGAGGGCGATAGAGCTGGAAGAGAGAGAGAGAGAGAGAGAGAGAGAGAGACGGCGCAATGTGAGCTCCCCGAGACTTGATGAGAAACAGCGTTTGATCTGTTTGTGAGCCTCACCATCTCAGGACGCAAGAACGGAGGGCGAGGAGATTGAAAATAACAATATCTGAATGAAGAAGAGCTCATTTTCCTCTGCGATTAACCGAGAATTCTTACCCCTCGGACTACAGTAACCACACGAAAAGCTCCTTTCCTCCGCCGAAAGTTCCTCCTACTTCAGTAGGCCCAATCGAAGAAAAGAAGACCCATTGAGATACTTCAAAAGAGCCCACTTTGAGCCCATTTTATTGTGTTTCTCTCTTTCTGTGTCTTTCTGTTCTTCTTCCCGAATATGTGCATATGAAAAAATGTTTTGCTCGTCATGTAGTTTTATTAAAAACTGAAAACTGGTAGTCAGAATGATTGACAGAGAACGAGTCGAACAATGTACGGTAGCAGTGGACAAGGAAAAGTAGGTCATGATGACCCGAGTGACACATGAGCCATCAGCTCAACTCACACTGGAAGGATTCTTCCCGCGAGAGCAGCTGTGTGCTCCCGCGCCGCCCTCTGCTCCACCTCTTGTCACTTCGTTCTCTGTCTCTCGTCGCTCTTTATCTGCTCTCCTGATCATCATCATCATCAGTCGCGGCCAGACCCATTCCGAAAGCACTTTCACGCTATTCCCCCTTCTTCTTCTTCTTCTTCTTCTTCTCACTGCTTGCTCTCCCCGTCGAATCGTGTCTTTGTTTATGTCAGCCAAAGCCGCAAACTCCCTCACCCTGTCCGTCGGTTGGTCCTGATTTTTTTGTGCTCAAGTGCCGCCGGCTGAGAGGGTCCTCCCGCCTTCTAAATTGAAGGGGGCTTAGGCCGGGCGGCTCCTGCAACCAAATGGTGCACTTTGCCTCATTGGTTTCTCCCCGCCTGTCCTCCCTCCAATCCAACAAATTTTAAAATTTAATTTCGCTCTCATCTTCCTCAAAAGCTTCTCCCTTTTTTTATTTATTCACGTGTCTGATCGTTAACCCACATTTTTCGAGTGCGAAACCTTGCAGGTAATTATGGTGGAGGCCGCAGCGGTGGCCGAAAGGGAGCAATGGTCCTCTTGGGCCGACTTCATCATGAGCTGCATCGGCTACGCGATCGGACTCGGCAACGTCTGGCGGTTTCCGTACCTCTGCTATCAGAACGGAGGAGGTAATAACACGTTGCCTCTTTTCGCCTACTGTTTTTCACAAGTGTGACGAAACCCGATCCGGGCTGCTCAAAGATTACGTCTTCCCCCCGAGCCTCCTCGCTCATCAATCATCGCTTGTTGTCCGAGATTAATAAGAGGGGGGTGTGAATTCGGTGTAACTCGGGAGGGTCCCTGGATCGGTCGGGCGGGGGGAGGGGGAATAGGACAATTTGTCAGTCAGACGGGAAGGGTATCCCCGCAATTTGTCACTCGGGGCGATGTCTCCTGTCGTGCCTCCCGCCTGCTCTTTGCCAACATAAATCACACAATTTGCAGGCGCCTTCCTCATCCCGTACTGCATATCGCTCGTCTTCTGTGGAGCACCTCTCTTCATTCTCGAGACGTCATGGGGACAACTTCTGTCTGTCGGAGGACTCGGCATGTTCAAGATCTGTCCGATATTCAAAGGCGTCGGAATCGCCGCCGCCGTGATGGCTTTCTGGCTCAACATCTACTACATTGTCGTGCTCTCCTGGGCGTCCACGTATCTCTATAACTCGTTCACACTCGGCGATGTGCCATGGAGGAACTGTGATCATCCGTGGAACACTCCAAAGTGCCGGTCAGAGTACATCAAGATTCCGTGTGATAGCAACCGGACGATTGCCGAGTTTTTCAATGTGAAAGTTCTCACTCATGATCACATTCACGAGTACAAGAAGCAGTTTTTCGTCGGACCGAAAGCCAATTTTACTGTGTGCACCGCCGCCGATCTCTCTGTTGTTTCGCCTGTCAAAGAGTTCTGGAATCATCGTGTTCTCGGGCTGTCTGCTGGTCTCGAACACCCCGGAGGCCTCCGTTACGATCTTGCCATCTTCCTCTTCTTCGTTTGGGTAGTCTGTTATCTGTGCATCTTCAAGGGAGTCAAGTGGACCGGAAAGGTCGTTTACCTCACTGCTTCCTTCCCCTACATCATGCTCTTCTGCCTTCTCATCCGTGGATTGACTCTTGACGGAGCTGGAGTCGGACTCGAGTTCTACCTGAAACCCGATTTCAGCAAGTTGTTGGAGTCTAAAGTGTGGGTGGATGCAGTCACTCAAGTGTTCTTCTCCTATGGCCTCGGACTTGGAGCTCTTGTCGCTCTGGGAAGTTATAACAAGTTCAACAACAATGTTTACAAGTAAGTTCACCGATGTGAGCCTGCCCAATCTATCCGATTTTACAGACAAGCCCTCACGGTGTGCTTTGTGAACAGTGGAACTTCCGTGTTTGCCGGTTTTGTGATCTTCTCCTTCATCGGATTCATGGCCACTCAACAGGAGAAAAGTGTCGCGGAGGTGGCTCAAGCCGGCCCGGGACTTCTGTTCCTCGCCTATCCTTCTGGAATCCTCCAACTACCGTACACTCAATTCTGGTCGGTTCTTTTCTTCCTGATGGTTCTCTTCTTGGGAGTTGACTCTCAATTCTGCACAATGGAAGGATTCTTCACCGCCATAATCGACGAGTTCCCTCAACTAACTCGGAATCGGAAGTATGGAAGAGAGATATTCGTCGGAGTGATCTGTGTGATCTCCTATCTGATCGGCCTCACCACTGTCACCGAAGGCGGCTTCTACGTCTTCCAACTGTTCGATTTCTACGCCGCCTCCGGATGGGCTCTTCTCTGGCTTCTCTTCTTCGAATGCATCGCCATCTCGTGGAGTCTCGGCATTGACCGTTGGTATGATCACATGAAGAGCATGATCGGATACTATCCGAGCAACTGGTGGAAGTTCTGCTGGGTGTTCGCCACTCCGGCCGTCTGCTTCGGAGTTCTCATGTTTGGTCTCATCAAGTATCAACCGCTTCGCATCGACGCCTACAACTACGACTATCCCGTCTGGGGTCACATTTTCGGATGGTTCCTCTCGCTCTCTTCGATGCTCTGCATTCCCGGCTACGCGATTTACATTTGGTTCAAGACTCCCGGAACTTTCAGAGAGGTTTGAGTGCACATCTGATTCTAAACTCTGTCTTCTTACAGAAAGTGAAGATTCTCTGCCGTCCAGACATCGAGATCAAAGGAGCCATGGAAAACGCCGAAAATCTCGAGCTCGTTGAAGATTTCCAGAACGCCTAAGCACTTTCTTTGTTTCAAATCACTTATAGGAATCACTATTCCCATTTCCACACCTAGCTCTTCCTTTATTCCATTTATTCTCCGCCCGTTCTGACATTCCGATGCCAACCAATGTTCTTCCAAACTGTTTTCCAATTAGCTGCCCGCAATTGCATTAATTGTAGATTTTATAAGCCACGAATAAAACATCAAACTGATTTTATTTTTTCAAAAAATGGAATTGTCAATCTAAAAGAAACTTTAGGCTTCGCGCAAACTTTCGCGCATGGCAGCCAGGATTATTACGGAGTTGGAGAGCTAGAATACTCTTCTACTCGTTCAACGTTCTTTTCGTGCCGTCCTCCCTGATCGGACCATTCTCAGTCGTTCCAGAGCAGTCTTCGGTTCGCCAACTCATCATACTTCATCAGATTCCGTGCCCGACTGAAGATTTCATTTTCAATCCCGTTTTCGTTCTCAGTCTTGATCGCATTCCAATTACTACCTACCTTGGTGCTATTTCAACTGTCACTATCGTACAAATCCTTTATTTCGGCGGACATTCTCTGACATATCTGCCTGCTGGCACCAAGAACATATCGCCGTCCACACAGAAACTTCAGCGACGATTCTTCATGCTCATAACCGTACAATTGACACTTCCCTGTGTTATTCTTCTGCTGCCTGTTTTGTATTTTATATTCTCAATGCTCAGTGGGTACTATAATCAAGGTAAGGTCATCAGGAAATCATATTCCTTACATATTTATTCGTACACTGCCATCAACAATATAACAATGACACTTTACGGAGCGATCGCCACTCTCACCATGCTTTTCCTCCACAATCTTTGTGCTCACTAGTCAGCCTCCTTCGCCGTCACCGGACGCCGATTGTGCACGTGATGACTGCGAAGACAAGCAAATGGGTTCGTCGGAATGCGGCTTCTCTTACAACGCCGGTTTCATTCTGATCTTTTCCCCTCGTATAAATCATTATTATTTGACTACTTCAAACTTCTTCCACTCCATTGTGTTAGTGTCGATGTCGCCCGCAAACTTCCCACAGAGGCTTTGGGAGCCGGGGGCGATGACCGAGAGCCGAACACGAAAAGAAGGTAGGGCTCGTAGATGAGAAGTATGGATATTGTGGAAACGAAGCCGTGAAGGGATAACACGATCAGAGAAATTCTTTGTTTGGAGCTAAAGAATTTGATTACTCGTAAACTCTGGTTACGGAAAATAGGAGCTTTCGTACCTCAAGATTCGCCAAACTACATAAACGCCAGCGAACGTCGCCGTCAATTTAACCTCGAATCACTAGAAACTCGCCGATCACATTTAGATAAGAAGTTTTTAATCAAATTGTTAGCTAACAAAGTCGACATCAATCCTGATGACTTTTTCCTACGCTTAAACACTACACGGACTAGACGGAGTCACGTTTACCGATGGAAGACTCCAAAATCGAAGCTAAGACACAACTTTTTTACACACCGAGTCTTATCAAAGATGAATCTGGCACAGGCATCTGTTAAATGATCATCTCTTTCCTTTTGCGCGGGCGAGTAGCTGAAGATTCCCCATTTATTCCCCCCAACTCCCCCACATCTCCTCCCCCTCTTTTTTTCTCCTTCTCCACGTTAATAAACGTAAATAAATAATAATAATAATAATAATTACAACCTTGATTGTAGTAATTTGTGACTGTGGATGTGGCCAGATAAATGACGGGAGATTAGGAGCAGGATGAACACTTGAATGCGAGTGAATCACGAAGAAAGAAACCTTGAAAACGGAGAAAGGGACAATAGTGAAGAGGAAAGAGGCGATTTTCAAGTGATTCTCGATGAAGAACTGTTCATTGTAGAATTGATCGTTCGGACACGGAAGGCGCATTGCGAACACAGGGAAGACAGAAAAGAATGAAGATTAGTTGGTTGAATACAAAAAAAATGTCTCATTCGTCGACTGGCGTACGGAGAGAATCTGAAAAAATGGAGGTCGGAGAAGTATTTGCCATCCTGTCCAACTAACCGCTTTTCCTTCGAGCACGCGTCATGGCATCCGCGGCGCCTTGTGCAAAACGGCGAAATGTTCGTCGATACGCTGAACATTTGCGCTTTGTATTGCGAAGACACCAGATAATGATTCGTACTCGGATGGCCTAGGTTTCCACTTAGGCCACGGCCAGTTCTGTCAAAATCCATTTAGAGGCACTTGCTTCTCACCCAACAGCAAAAATCAGAATTTTCACAAAAGGGAATTTTGATCGTCAACAGAGCATTCAACGATTTTTCATTTCAAAATTGAGTCCGGCTTTAAGTTTTCACGGTTTATTGGCAACTCTTTCGACAATTTTCGTTTATGAAAGCATACGAAAGGAGGCGTTCAACTGTTGTCAGAAGCGGAATATAATACTAAACAATTACAATTCCTCTTAATCTCTTTGTCACATTCCTACTCTCCAAATGTTTCTGAACTGATTGAAATGGTCCTGTTGTATTTGGTGTGAAGTCATTCGTGTCTGGTACTTGTCTTCTGGAGTTCTATTTGAGTCAATCTTCAGGAAATTCTTCAGCTTTTCCTTTTTGCTCGGGTGGAACAGTATGAAAAAAACCAGGGGAATAGGGCGCAGTCCAAGTTCCAGAACTGAAATTTGACCAGTCTTTTGTATTTGATTGTGAAATTGAATACACTTACCACATTCAAGACAAAGTAGAACGGCGGAATGTCCGACGGATCTTTGAGAAGATAGGACGAAGAGAAGAAGAGGAAGGCGCCGGACTTTAGAAGAAGACTGCTGATGGACGCCGGAAGAAAGCATTTGATCATGGTCACGGACGAAGAGAGTTCGAAACGACGCTCCAACGGAACGACTCCAATTGTGTTTATGAGCACTACATTCGTATAGTAGTACAATTTCAATTCCAGCTGAAATCCCAACTCAACACAATTCTGTTTTTGTTTGGACCTTATTTACCAGGAGATTGAGAACGTTTATCAGACAGATTGTTCCGAATGCTATCGATTTTCGAATGTCTTCATCTGTAAAGTCTGAAATTGATTGCACTTTTTACTTTCGCTTAAACGCACAATGTGCCAACTCCTCGTATGCGATTCCCAGACTGAATGCGACGAACACTGAAGCATAAAAGAATACTTTGGAGCCTTTTCCCAGTGATCTTCGCGGCCGAAAAGCCAAGAAGAGTCGGTCTGAAAATGTGTACTCTGAATATGAGCATCCCCGTGACTAACCGATATTGATGAGCATGTGGAAGCTCACGACGGTGAACTCTCCGAAATTGTGCAGTTTCAATGGAATCATCCGTGCTTCGGCACACTCTTTCACTTCGAATATCGTGCCGAATCTCAGACAAATTCCGGTTATCACCAGGAAACTCGTCACCATTATCTGGTAGCCGAGGGACAGGAAGAAGAGGTGAACTCGCCCGTAAACATGAACTTTCACATCAAAAACGGTTGTTCTCATGAATAAGTTTTGCGAGAAAATACCAAAAAGACAGAGTAGCACTTGAAATGTAAAAAAGCACAGCCAAGCAGCCGAGTACTCTTGCATGGCGTGAGAATGAAGACATTTCAGAGAGATGGACCGGAACATGTTAATAATGAGACCGAAGAGTTCACTGACAAGTTCTGGTGGCTCATGCGAGAGCGAGTCTTCGGATATAATGCACTCTTGTATAGCAATAACGTCAAAAAAACAAGTGTTCCGGGCTTCGGGCTTCTTGAGAATAAATTATAAAAACCGCTCTAAACTAGTCTGAGAAGTGTCTTTGGCAGTCCTGGAAGTGATTTCCAGACCAATGTTCAAGAGAATGTGATAATATAGCTGAGTTTCAGCATCAACTCATGTAAGAAAATGGAAATCATAGATGCTTCTCCTTCAGCTCAACAGAACGACAATACACATAAAAAAGTCTACAAACAAATAAAGATAATTCGAAAAAAATTGAATTTTTGACCAAGTCCGACTAGGAACCCTTATTTTTCTAAGGGGATCATCAAAATACCAGGAGTACCCGGAATACCGAGCAACGGCGTATTTCTGTTTACATATCGGTCTGGTTCGTAGTGGGAGCTGATAGAAAAAGAGTGAGAGAAACGAGCAAGAACGAAGTTCAGAATTCATTTTCGGAACAAATAAATAAACCCGTTTCGACACAATTATTATCTCTTGAAGTGGATTCCTCCGAAGCTCTTGGCGGTGTTTTGTAGAAGTTGTCCATTTGGAGCTGAAAACAAAAGCCGATAAACGTTTGAATTATTGCAAATGGGGGCGTAGTGGAGAGAGGAAGAAAGTTCGGTCCTCGTCCCGTGAACTGTCGGCTGCTTATTTCGCCGGCCGACGGCACGCTCCTTGTCAGGCCTTTTTCCGCGCGCCCTGAAAATTGGTAAGTCAAACTTTCAGTGATTTTTTGAACACACACACACTTCCAGATATTCCCGAAATGGCAATTTGGAAAAAGTAAATTAACCGAACTGGACGGAAAACGGATTGTCAGAAACCCAACGCAAAACGACTATTTCCAGGAGATGAAAGTGGCGTGGACAGAACCGAAATTCTGATTTTCCCCCTTCCTTCCCTCCTTCTTTTTTCTCCCGTTCTCATTTTGTTTTGATAATAAATGGGGAAAGTTCCCACGCGTCAGAGCACATTCTAATGGCCAGAAAGTCAGTGGCGAATTCATTTCGCTTCACAGAATTCTCTTCATCATTTTTCTGATTCTCGTTCGTCTCTTTCGAGAAAAATGAACATTTCCGAGTTCATTTCAGACATCATAATGATTTGGTATTTCCTTCTCGCCGTTCATTTTCTCGTTGCAATTCTCGGCACAGTCTCCCACATGACATTCATATACATTATGGTTTTTCAAGGGATCATGGACATTTACTGCAGGTTCACCCATCAAAAGTCATTTTGCGCTAATTGATCTCTCTCTCTCAGGATCAGTTTGGGAATCATTTCGTTTTCGATGCTCACACAGCTCGTTTTTTTCGTGAGCGGAATGACAGTGTGTCTGTCTATAGGCACCGTGTTCGAAGATTTTGAATGCCAACAAATCCAACTCAAGGTGTACCTTCTTTGCGTTCGTCGCTACGTGGAAATGGTCTCACTCATCGCCCAACTGTTTTTCACAATCGAAAGAGTTCTTTCGATTCAGTTCTCCAGAATTCACCAGTCGTTTCTCTTCAAACTCCTTTTCTTTCTCATCTTTCTTCTGGAAAACTTCCTCGCCACCGTGTACATGTATACGGACGTGTTCTTCCGTGAGTTCCTTGCATGCCCTTACCCATTTAGACTTGGATGTTTTCAGTAGAGACGACGGGAATTTTCTGGCTGATAACCCTACAGCTCATCGTTTGCGCCAATTTTCCGGTGAGTGGACTGACTGGGTGCGGATGTTCGGTGACTGAAATGAGCCAATTCTAGTTTGTCTATTATGCGAAATGGGTGAGTAAGTCCAAGTACAACAAAGCCAACGTGACCATTTACTCTTTGAAGAGAAAACATAATGTGAGTCATTTGAGACGTCATTTCGGTTAGTCAGACATCGAACGTTTTCAGCTCTACAACTATTATGAAATCGCGCGAAGTTTCGTGTTTTCCACAGCGATATACATGACTGCTCAGTTGATTGTTCTCTCATTATTCTGGCTTTATTTAGCAGAACTTGTGTTTCCCAAGAAATTCCATCAGCTAATGTTTATCATTAGTCTGGTTGGTATTATCAAAAGACCGAGAAACCAAGAATACTTTCAGATATGGAACATGAACGTCGCTGCGTTTCCCTGGATTGTGATGTTAATTAATCGGAGCCAGAGAGATCGAATCTACAGAGTTTGGTCACATGTAAACACAATTTCGTAGAATCTGAAAACTTTTTGAGAGTAATTGCAGATGTTTCCGGACAGCGTGGAGTTCAAAAACAAAAAGATTCTGGGAATGAACGGAAAGGAATTGGTAACGACTCCCACCCAAACCGATTACTTCGACCAACTGCGGACGGCGTGGCAATAACAGAAAAGGGCCAACAGGTGAAAGTGATCCGAAGAGTGAAGGGCGGCGAGAACCTTGGTCTCCTTCGAAACTACACTCGACGCCATGCAACTCTTCGAGGACCTCATCCATTACTTTGACACCCACAGATACTGCTTCCTTTTCTGCGATCCGAACCACAACTACGACGGCATTTATGATGTGTTCAAGTTCCACGAGGAACACTTTTTCGGAGTCTACCGAGTGCTTCTCTATGTCATTGGAGGGATCACAAACGTCTTTTCCGTGCTGACGTGCTTCATTCACATTCGCTATGGACACAATCTGAACAATTCCTACCGACACATTATGCTCTTCAACATTTTCCTCCCAGTCTTGCTCACAAACCATGTCTGCTTTCTATTTCAACCGTACGTCATCGCACCGCATTTCATACTCTACATTATTGGACCGATACGGTAAGAGAGACTGATCAGTTGGCCTCTGAGATTAGTTTCAGAGTCTCTTTCTATTGGACCGCAATTCAAATAATTATCTTCGCAGTCACCACCATTCCGTTGACCTATTTCCTTTTCACTCAACTCTCTTATCATGCATTCATCATCATCCGACCTCAAAACACATTGTGAATATGTTTTTGAGACATGTTTCATTATCTGTTCACTTTCAGAAGCATGTTTTGGGTGAACATTGCGTGGTTTTCATTCACCGTCTCATCAGTTTCATTCACCCTGACTTTCCTTTTCTTGGCCATCGACCGCCAGCACTACCGACTCGAGGCCAGGATTTTGTCCGTGGACCCCCGGTACGAATATGTGATTGCCAACTATGCGCCGTACATTGTCGACATGAACACTGCGACCGTCCCTATGATTATTATCGTTCTTGAAGCCATTTATGCGATTGTGCTCTTCGCAGTTGGACTCATTTGGGCTGCATTCAAGTGGGTTCAAAAAAGGGTTGGGCAAAAGGCTTTTGAAGACTTAAAAGGCTGGGCATACTTTTTATTATCCGATCTGTTATCTGTCTTTGTCTTGAAGTGCCTAGAACAGTTTCCACCCGAGATTGGATAACATTATGCGGAGATGTAGTAATTTGAATCCGAAAAAGCTTCGTTTCAGTATATCTCCAGATCAAATTATCCGATGAGGCTGAAACTTTCAAGTTCATTCCATCGGACGATTGCAAGTCTTCAAACGCCTTGTCTTTTCCCCTGATTCAAAAGTTCTCTTTGGTTTTTGATGAAAATTTTATAGAATTCTCCGTGCATTTCAAAAGAATCGAAGTATTCTTTCGCAAAAGCTCACAAAAGTGCAAAAGAAGATAGTGCTGACGCTGCTGCTCTACACGGGCACCTACCTGGGACTCCTCGGCTTCCCGTCCATCGCCGCCGGAGCATCCATCCTCACCGGTGCTCCACTCCAATACCTCCCCATCTCGGCCCTCTATTTCACCTGCTGCACCGTCGTCGCCATTAGTTTCTGTGCCATCAACCTCTCCACAGTTTCACCTTACCGCCAGGCTCTTCACGACTTTTTCTATCGTTTCCGTCCTTTGCTTATCGGCTCTAGAAGCTCTTCCACTGCCACGGTGTTTCATGTTCGGCCAGCTATTGCAACGACGATCCGGGACTCTTTATTCACAAGAGAATGGGCCACACATCCATAATTACAAGCTCAATTAATAAACGTTTTTCACGCCCACGAATTCTTCTACTGATCGAATTACTCGTTTTGTGATTGCGAGAGCATAATGCGATGCCCGTCTAGTTTGCAAACTGCGTGGGGGAGAAGAAAAAGCAACCAAACAAGCGTGGCGAGCAGAATATTAAAAGTGCCGCTAAAGAACAATGTGGGCAAGAATCTTTGGCTTCGTAGCTTTCAGATAACTGAAACTTCAAATCTAGGACACCTTGTCTTTACAAAATATTACCAGATATCTCTTGGTCAGTGAAATCAATTCGAGGGTAGCATAATATCTCTGCTTAGCAGCGCAATGAAAGAATGCAATTTTTATTTCGTTTTCCATTAATCTCCCAAGCGTACCGCCATAGATGCGTGGCACAGAGAAATAAGAAGAGATTGGTTAGCGAGTAAGATGATGTCACAGTATTTCATGCAACATAATTCCTTGGTTTTCATTTCAAGTCTATCATACAATTAGTTTAGCAAAAAAAATCAATTGTGGCTCTTGATCAGCTTGACAAACTTCAATTGGACATTTCTCTCCGGCGCTTTGCCAGCGCCGAAGGGCGTGTGATCAATAACATTTGGCAGCCGATGATGAGCTCTGACCTTGTACCGGAGAAGGAGATTTCCGACCATCTACAATAGCTTTTCAGTTGGTTCCTTCTTTCCGTTCTCACCAAATAAAGTTCCGCTCGGGCGAGATTCTCTCCAACACAAGATCTTTTCCCGATACCAAATGGAATCACCTGGTTGATCAGTTTTTCATCTTTTATAAATCTCGACGGGTCAAACTGTTCCGGGTTCTCGAATATTCCATCGTGACAGTGGATCGCACTGAGCTGAGCAGTCACGAGGCTTCCCGCGTCCATCGGAAGCCCCGCAACCGTCGATGACTCATGATTGTAACGCCAGAGATTCAAGTTGATAATTGAGGCGTGCCGTTGGATTTCCGCCAACGTGGCAATCAGAAGTGGCGTGTTGTGGCGGTCTTTGAGGGAAAGGCACCGAGCTCCGTTTCCGGTCACTTTCAGGAGTTCCGCACGGACTTCCGTCTGGATGTGAGGGTTTCGGACGAGGTGATGGAATCCAGAGACCAGAGTTTTGGAGGTGGTATCTTGACCCGCAATCCAAAGGTCGTAGAGAAGTTGCTGTAGAGCCGCGACACTGAAATAGAACGCTGTCGATTGTGTGTATTTATAGAGTAACTTATGTACGTGTATGTATTGGGATCAGTCGTCATTCTAGAAATGTAAGCATCCGCCAGATCCTGCGGGTTCTCAGAATCGATAAGATATTCGCCAGATTTGACCTGAGCTATTCTGAAGCAGAAAATCTCAGAAAAAACAGTCACGATACCTTCTCAACGCACCTTTCCACAGCTTCTCTCGAGACATACTCTCTGGCCGCTCCTTTTGCATCCATAATTTTGTTGTAACGATTTGAGAGGTGCTTGGAAAGCCAAACTGGAGCAATGAGGTCAAAAGCTGTCAAGTGGTCGTTCCCGTGGTCCAGAAAAGATTTAATCTTCAGAAACTCTGACTTGCTCTCCTAAAGTGCATATTTCGAAAGAATAAAAGAATTCCTGCCCACCTTATCAAACCGTTTCCCAATCAGAATACTGTTGATCACACTCCCAACGGAAAGATCAAAGAACTCGGAACTGTTGGCTACCGTAACCCCATCGACCGCGTTCTCGTCCAGTTCTTCTCTGCATCTTTCGTTGAACTCCACCATTATCCTCTGTTCGATCACATCTTTTCCCACTCCCATATTTCGAAGTGTGAGATGAGTGAACCTGCGCATCTCCTGCCAGTGAGCACCATTAGAGTTTATCAAGCCGAGGCCTTCTGGAAATTGCGAGCGACTAATCTGAGACCCGCAAAACCTGTGAGCTTACTTGCGACCGCGACGAAGATTGGCGGGAGGAATCGGTCGGCGTACTTGCTTCCGTTTGACGAACGTTTCCTGAATGGCATCCTGCCTGACAATACTAATGTGCGGTTTCGGACCGAACCACAGTGTGAACACATCTCCGTACTTCTGAAATCACAACTAAGATATTGGAGTGTGTATTCGTTTATTTTGGAGTTAAGAGGTTAACAATAAACAGACAAAGACTGAGAAAGACGATGGATAAGAGTTATGGCAAGATGAAATTAAAGGGAGAGGGGGGCAAGATTAGACGGGGGTAATGGTGGTTTGGATGCGGGAGGAGGAGAGAAGATAGGTGCGCAGTACTCGAGAATGGGGAGAATGTAAGTTTCGGATTAGATGAGTGGAAGGATTTGTTGAGCTGATTCGCACGAAGGAGAGAGACGACTTTGTGATTGATGTGGAGCTCGAATTTAAGAGATCTTATTGGCATCAGCAAAGACTGCGAAGTGAACATCGAGGGGAAGGATGTTCAGAAGGTCATTAAGGAATACTAGGAAGAGAAGGGGACCGGAGACTGGTCCTTGGGGTACTTCAGAAGGAATTGGAGTTCTGGAGGTTTGGGAATAGAAGTAGATGATGTCAAGGGATTTGTGGGAGGAAAGAAGTTTATTATCTGAACATTCACAACGTACCTTCCTGAAGTGATTCAGCATTGGTACGGTCCCCTTGAGCTTCCATGAGTGATAGACTATTTGATGAAAGTTTCCAACAATCGGAAGAGGAAGTGGTCCAGGTGGGAGACGAGCGATCCTTTGGAAATGGTCGATGAGGTACCATGTCAGCAAAGTGAAGAATATGATCAGAATCATTCTACGAACTCTCTCTCTTTTTGCAAAACCACAGTTTTTATACCGTTCTCTTCCACCCATTTATTCAGTTCTTACACTCTGTCTGTTGATGAACACCCGGTTTAGTTCGTGGTCGTTGCCCTTTTCCTCCTTGCAACCCGTCTCTGCAACGAAAAGAATATGTGCACTTTACGTATGCTTTTCACATGAACATCGGACATTCCATCTGTGGGGGAACAGAAAAGTGTCTAGTTTAGTTGTGGCTGCAGAATATGTTCGATCTCTGAATCATGACTACTATCATTGTCAAACGTAGTCCTCATTAGAGAGGAAAAGCTTACAATTTGTCATTGATGCTATTTGAAGCAACGTTTACTGAGAATAGAGTACATTATAAGTTAAAAGTGCATTTAATGAATGAATCGAGGAGGGCATTGACAGATGATAGAAATGAGGTACGGTAGGTTAAGGAAGAGTTGGGATGATAGTGATTGGGGGTAGGAGATACGAAGCACTTGCTCATTGAGCCTATCGCTCGAGAAGCACTAAAGAGATGTGATTATTGCGTTCTTCTCTGTTTGCTTTGAAGAAATACTCTTTGAAGAGTTGATAGCGACTCTTGTTCCATACGTTCATCAGCTTCCACTGCTTTTCCAGATTGAGAATGTGATCGTCGGAAGTGTGGCACAATGGAATCTCCTCTCCGGATCTATTCGCAATCCCGCTCGCCTTCCTATCCGCCCCTCTAACGATTCGATCGTAGGCTCGACGAATGTGCTTGTGTTTGAGATAAATTGCCGCGGGAACGACGACACCTTCGAGCACTTTGAATGGTCCTAACAGATAAGTGTTGATGCCTCCATACGCCAGATTGTGATCTAAAGCGTAGTAGAGAGCGGAGAGCCCGTGAGAGAAGAGCCGATAGGTGAGGATGACGCTCATCGCGCCACTGAATTCCAACGCGTCCGAAAACTGAAAAATATTTGTATTGCATTGCTAATTGCTACTGGTGGTGGGTATAATTCTCACCTGGAAGCGTTTTGAGAGTCTCGCGACGCCGACGGTTCTGTTGTAATTCCTCTCCATCCGCCAACACACATAGTAGTTGAACTGAAAGTGGTGGGATGCGATCCTTGCGAAGTGGATGGGACTTACCGCGAGATTGAAAGCCACGAAGGCCAGGTTATGCAGCTCGTGGAGCAAGATGGAATCGAAAAAATTCCGGCGGAGTTGGGTGGAAAGAAGGGAGAGGGAGACAAGAACGAAACCGCAAACGGCGAGGAAGATTCGGACGAACCGACTTTTGAATGACTGGTCCTTCCCGAAGCGGCATTCTGAAGACGTGGGCGAGCATCGAAGAAAAAAGCATCTAACTCACCAAAGATCAGAAGAAACTGCGCGATGTCGATCACATAATCCACGTTGATTTCGACCATTTCAACCGCCTCCAGAACATGCGAGCGACCCGTCTCGTTCAAGTTCCAAACGGCCAGAGTACGATGAGCAAACTCTTCGGAGATAAAGGCGACGTGGCAAGTGACATAGAGCCAGAGGGAAATGAGAAGAGCCGTGAAGATGCCTCTCTGGAACGGACGCAGATAGTCGGCCAAGACGGCCACCCGGGAGAATTGGAAGACGACGACGGATTCGAAGACGAACACGAGGTAGACGAGCACGACGGCGACGGATTTGAGGCTGACGAGAGCGGTTGAAAGGGGCGAGTCCATTTGGGAGGCAAGTGGGGGAATGAATGAGGGAGAGGGATGATAAGTGGCGGTTATAAACCCTTCTGATTTCCCGAAGGAATTCGTGAGCATGACAACCGAAAATGGGAGGCGCCTCGCCTACTGATTACGACGCATGAGCTGCGGAGCATGTGAGCGTGAGTAGTCTGGCACGAATCCAACGAAAGTAAAGTTTCAAGATTATTTTCAAAATCAATCTTCACCCGGCAAAATACCGTAAAGTCAATTGAGAGAATGGAACTTACAGAATTTCAAGGGGGAACATGAAGACGAAACCCGTTTGATTATGTCTAGGGGGCGCAACAAAGGGGTTTATGTAATCGGCCATGCTGAATCGAATGAACAACTCCGTTTTCCATGAAAACGCACAGTTTTCTCAAAAAAAGGCGAAAACGAAAATGGAAGTTAGTCTGAGAGCCACTGTGGCCGGAGTTTGTGCAACACGCGGCTTCTGAGAAGTGATTCTGACAGTTTAAGGGATGGAGAATCCGTTTTTGAAATAAAATTTGAACTTTTACGGGGCCAATCATGTTTTTCAGGCCGTCAAAGTGCCACAAAAGTAGCAAAAAATTTTTCAGCGATCACCCTACTTTTTTATTTTTGGAATGGCTAGATAAACTCTCTAAGAACCCAAATATAAATTTTCAGAGCCCTAGACCCTCTACGAGCAGATTTGTGTTCATTTGAGTAGACCCCATTTTGCCGAATTTCTAGTTTTTCGATAATTTGAGGGTCACAGACAGCCAACACGCGGCTGTTCTCGACGGAATCAGATTCAGCGTGAAATTCTCTAAAAAATCCACCTAACAATTCAAAATTTCTACTGGGCCAATGACTCTAAATTTTAAGATGTTTGAGCTGAAACTCCACAAAAGTCGCATCCAAAATGAACGGCAGACACCGAGCTTCTCATTGCCATTGGCGGTGGGCGCGCCTCCGCCTAACATTTTCGAGAAAAAAAATTGGGAGCGTACTAATATAGAGTGGGGGAACACATTCCAACAAAAATTTTATGGAAATTCGGAGTTTTGCGAAACCCGTTGCGATACCTAATAAATTATGTCTCGAATAATTATGCGAGAGATGATGAGGAGAGGAGTCAAGGTGATGAAAGAGGGAACAAACTGATAAGGGGGAGAGTGCACCATTCGGGAAGGGGATGATATCGGGATGGAAGGCAAGAGAAGCATTTCAGTGAGGAGTCATTATTATCATAAGTTGGTGTGCGGAATGGTGGGAGTCGTCGTGAGCGCACTTGTGTTGGATGGGAACGACACTTTTGAGTTGAGCATGTCGTGGAGCACGGACGGAATGTTCGCGGAGACACGGACCAACGGGGTCTTGTTGATCTCGCACAGTTGCCGATCTCTGCAAAAAAATGCAAGGTTCAAAGTGTTAGAAATAAAGTCTACTTTCATCTAAACGATATAAAATGAAAAAAAATTTAGTTTAAAAAAAGGTGCGGGATTAAAGTTTTTTTGTACTCTATTTATTCACGAATCTGATTCTGACTTTTGATTTTTTAAATATGTTTTCTCGACTGACTCACTGTTAAAAATTTGGGGGTGGACATGGCATTTTATGCTTTGTTTAACTCGGGAAAACTGACCGAACGTCTCCCCATCCTCCGTTCTCCTTCGACGGTTTCAGTGACCTTCTGGACATGTCGGTGACAGTCAGCGTGCTCGGAAACAGAAGATCTTTGTGTGCGCGGAACAGCTCCTGCGTCGACTGAAGGGCCTTGTGAGCTTCACATCTGAAAGATAGCGTTCCGTCTGGATCGGATTCAACCGGAGGGGTACCTGTGAGTGTGCACTCCGCAGTCTCCAATGTGAATGACTCTCGGACTCTTCGCGAATATCACTCGGAAGCGCTGCGGAAGACATTTGGCGGAGATTTGCATGAGGGACCAGTCCCAGTTGTAGTCGTCCCACTTGCAGAACATCTCCGAGCAGCCCTTGATTTTCTGCCACGTGTTCTTCTGCAGAGCCATTCCCATGTTGTGCTTGCTGCTGTACCACGGGTGCACGCCCAAACGAGAAATGTCTTGCCCGTACTTGTTCGTTGATTTCAAATAGAATCCGAGCGAAATGATCTCGCAGTTGGCGCAAAACTTGGGTCGATTGTAGACAATGATGTCGAGCACGTGAAGCGCGTCCGGAGCCAGCATATGATCCTCCTCGAGCAGAAGCACCCATGGATCATTCATTGCGAACTTCTCGACGATTCCGTCAAACACAAAGTTCATCTTCCACCACCAATGATGCTTGATTTGGGTCAACTGCGCCACCCGATAGTTCCCGTACTTGTCTGGACTGCTCCAATTCGAACAGTTTGTCTCTTGGGCTTTGTCCCTTTTCATCTTTTCCGCGCAGTCCGAAGGTGATTGACCGGGGTACACGGATGGAAAAAGTTGCAAGTTGTACGGGTAGAATATCTGATAAACTCTTGCGAATGTGATATTCCGGATCATTTCGTTGATGACTCCGACGTTGATATCATGAGAGAAAACGAGCAAAGTGTCTTCGATTCCTTTCGTATTCCGCATCGATTCTATCAGATACTGTAGGTAAACAGGACGGTCGTGAACCTGAAGTCGACAGTTGAGTGGAAGAATAGAAAACGAATAATTGTTACCTGTATAACAAGAACCGTCTTTACATTGCTCAAGTCTCCGAACTTTCCGATGTTAAGAATGTCAAAGTTTTCGTTTAGAAAACTGACAGACTCCACGATCTCGGCGCCCGTGAGCGCTTTCCCGTCACTAGCTGAAAACTGTTTTTGAATTTGAATATTGGCAACGATTTTTTTCTTTTTTTCAATTTTACGCGAAGGGAAATGTAAATTACCGGCACTGCGTGCTTCCTTTCGAATTATTGCGCGACAGTTTATATTTCTAAGCGAACATGATTGAATTTCGGGCAATCAAACATTTGTAAGTCCCGTGCAAGGAAATTAAAATACTCACGCTTGAAATCCCATCCACTCCAATCGGGCCGATCGCCATTGGCTAACCGTGCGGATTCGTTCTTCAGCAGCTCGGCCACGTCTTTGTTCAGTCCTTTCCAGTCGCTTGGAGACCATCCGGGCCTCCGGTCGATCACAGGCACTCCGTCCCGTAACCGCTGCTCTTCTGTCGGCGCTTTTAGGAAAATAACAATAAATCCGAACTGAAACGAGATGAGTTTTTTTTATTAGTAATTTGAGTGGCAACTTACGAGACAGCATGCGATGACGGCGTTGGCTATCCGGTGCATCCGTCGATAGACCATCATAATCAGTCGATGACTGCACGACCGGCGGTCGTCGTCGATGACTGCTCGGACGGTGATCCACTGTCGGCGGCCTGCAACAAGAAAAAAACTGAATGAGATTTTCTCCAAATATTCATCTCTTTAAAGCGTTTTTCTCTGCTTTCTATCTCAATTAGACCTTTTTACAGATTCCAGATGAAGTAATACGCGAAGAAAAGTCGATGCGATGAAAAGAAACGCGTAAGTAAATGAAAGCAATGTTTTATTCAGAAAATATACGATTTCTCGAAAAACGTCTCTAGATTTTCTAATCTTTTGGTTTAAAAAGTTTACTAACATGACTGTGAAAAAAAAAATCTAAAAAAAGTAGTGACAGCTCGCTTTCGCGTAAAAATTGGTCTTTTGCCGGAAAACAGTGACATTTCGTTGGAAAAAAAATATTTCTCAAAAAACGTCTCTAGATTTTCGAATCTTTTGGTTTAAAAAGTTCACTTACATGACTGTGAATGTTTTCGAACCAAAAAAAAAGTAGAGGAACAGTTCGCAGAAGCAGAAAAAAAAAATTTTTCAACGAAATTTCACTGTTTTCCGGCAAACGATCGGTTTTTCCGCGAAAGCGAGCTGTTATTCTACTTCCTTTTGGTTCGAAGACATTCTCAGAAATGTAAGTAAAGTTTTTTAACCAAAAGATTCGAAAATCTAATCACGTTTTTCCAGAAATCGTGCATTTTCTGAATAAAACCTTACTTTCACTTATTTAGGCGTTTCTTTTCATCACATCGACTTCTCTTCGCGTATTACTTCATCTGGAATCTGTAAAAAGGTCTAATTGAGGTAGAAAGTGGAGAAAAACGCTTTAAGGAGATGAATATTCGGAGAAAATTCATCAACAACTTAAAAAAATGAACTTTGCGCGTAACTGTACGCAGAGCAACACCGGATTGCAAAAATGCACAGACTGATCAAACGTTTGGTGAACGTCGCAAAAGCCGCACTCGAGTGTGTCGAATTTCCGGAGAGCGACAATTGGGTCAATTTGTGGGAGAGAAGAGGAGAAAAGAACAGGATAATGAGGGAGTGATCGTCGAACACTGTTACTTTCGTAAACAACACACGCCTTTCTCTGTTTTGCCCATCATCGATGGCCAGGAGAACCCTTTCGCCGCATTTTTCAGTCGACAATGGCATACATTTGAATAATTCAAAACGTATCCGATGGACGACGTGCGTCGCTCAAATAAGAAGGGAAAGTAAAAACTGGGCACAAGGCTATTCTTCTTCGTTCCAATTTTTTTTTGGAAAAAGAAAAGGAATAGCCAAAGCGAAATTAAACAGCGCGCTAATTTTTTGAGATGTGGCTGTGGCCGAGGACCGCGTAATTGCACGGCCCTTCTTGGAAACGAGTCCACGGCCTCCGGCACGAGAAAAGCGCAAGCAATTACGCGTGCTCTCTGCGTCGCCGGCAGCATTCTCCTTGTCTCGCACTCTCTCGCTTGCCTACTGTCGCTCGAGAAGCGAAATGAGAGTTGGTGTGGCGCTCGGAACGCCGCCGGAAGAATACTGATTTATCTTTCCGTTTTTCTTCATGAACGTGTTTATCATGAGGAAAACTTGCAAAGAGCAACAAAAAATTCTCAAAAAAATGCCGGCGTCAGTACGAAATTTGCATTTTTCGTGTTGCGGTTGGTTATGCGTGCTACAAGTGAGAATCAAAATTATCTTCCGTTATTTCGTGATGAAAACGTTGCCCGAGGGTTTTTCATGACCACATCATCAAAAATTTAACGAAATTAATCGTGTAAGCCACATTGGGAGCACCGATTTCACACTTCGGTGGCCAACGAAGTTTCATCGGAGACTTCAGATGCGTGCTCTCGGAAGAGTACTGATTCATTTTTCCCGCTTTCTACGGGAATATGTTGAATATGATCAGTACTTCGAAGCAGCAACAAAAAAAACTTGAAAAAAATATTCTGGAGTGTCCACGGAGACGGCTTCTAAAAAGTGCTACAGTTTTTCTGCTGACTTCAGATGCGTGCTCTCGGAAGAGTACTGATTCATTTTTTTCCCGCTTTCTACGGGAATATGTTGAATATGATCAGTACTTTGAAGCAGCAACAAAAAAACTTGAAAAAAAATATTCTGGAGTGTCCACGGAGACGGCTTCTAAAAAGTGCTACAGTTTTTCTGCTGACTTCAGATGCGTGCTCTCGGAAGAGTACTGATTCATTTTTTTCCCGCTTTCTACGGGAATATGTTGAATATGATCAGTACTTTGAAGCAGCAACAAAAAAACTTGAAAAAAATATTCTGGAGTGTCCACGGAGACGGCTTCTAAAAAGTGCTACAGTTTTTCTGCTGACTTCAGATGCGTGCTCTCGGAAGAGTACTGATTCATTTTTTTCCCGCTTTCTACGGGAATATGTTGAATATGATCAGTACTTTGAAGCAGCAACAAAAAAAACTTGAAAAAAAATATTCTGGAGTGTCCACGGAGACGGCTTCTAAAAAGTGCTACAGTTTTTCTGCTGACTTCAGATGCGTGCTCTCGGAAGAGTACTGATTCATTTTTTTCCCGCTTTCTACGGGAATATGTTGAATATGATCAGTACTTTGAAGCAGCAACAAAAAAAACTTGAAAAAAATATTCTGGAGTGTCCACGGAGACGGCTTCTGAAAGAGCTACAGTTTTTCTGCTGACTTCAGAAGCGTGCTGTTGGAGGAGGGAAAAACTTTTTTTGACTGATTTCAGCTGTAAACTGTTGTTTACACTTCATCGAAACAAAGAGCAATGAATAATCGCAAGTTTTTCTTATTCTCCAGCTGTGAATTCCGAAGATGTGAGCACGACGTATTCTGGTGGACAAGTTAGTCAGAATCCACCAGTTTCTCACATTTTTTGATAGGAAATGTTCACATACGGGTAAAACTTCGAATTAAACAATAGTCGAGTGAGAATGAATGTTGCCGCCGTTGGTGAGTCCGTGAGAGTCGGATCTGTCGTAATCTTGGCTCAAGTCGGCGTGCTTGAAACCGCCATATCTCTCTTCAAACTCATCCAATCTACTCGTTCGAAGTCGCAAAAAGAAAGCTCATGAAATTTAGAAACTCTTGTGTGTATGAATTTGTAAAAAGTGGTTTCTTGCTCACGTTATCCTGGAAAAAAACCTCAAAAAAAGGCCACTTTTTTTCCACTGAAAACTTCAAAGTGATGCATCTGCCTTCAAACTGCATCAATTTACTTGATTAAAAAAAAGCAAAACGTAGGCCTCTCTAATGTCTACAACTTGCCAGAATCAGATTTTTCGAAAAAAAATTTTTCCTGATTTTTTTAAAGTGACTGCAAAGTTTTTCTCTTCGTGGTTTGTTACATCCCATTCATTCGAATCACATCTATATTTGATATTTTTTTGTGTTCAATATTTGAATATAATTGTGTATTAACGAAAAGTGACGAAACAGTCAAGAAAAATTTTTCTTGTACCCGCTCCTAGACATGTCTTATACTCAAATTTTTGGTAAAACTGGCTCTTTTTCAACACACAGGAACTTTTTTTGATTGGCTAATAAAAATGATTCCTAATTTTTTTGTCTTAGTCTGTTCAGATTTTTTTCGAGATTTTTATTTTTTTGTGGTAACCATGCCGCCGACAACTTTTTTTCGTGTTGAACAAGAAATTTTTTTGATAGATAATGCAAGCGCGCTCTACGGTCATGCGTTAGAGATGAGAGACGGCTGAGTATGCGCGTTTCGCGATCCGGCTGGCACATTTCTCGTGCCGGAGGCCGTGAGTCTCTTTGAGGCGAGGATAAGAGCAACAAAGCACGAAAAAACGTCAGAATTCGGGCATTCGAAAGTTGAAAAAGTTTAGTCTCGTTGGATATAGGATATTTCGGCTAATCCGTATCGAATCGAACGATCTCTCGGCCGCACAAACGGCGAAAACCAATCGAGATCTCGAGAGTGCGAGGACGGAAGAAAGGCTGGCGAATGTATTTTATTTCGTGACGACAACGAAGAAAGGGAAGCGCGAAAACGAAGATGTTGTGTTTTTGAGGCGAAAAGAGAGAAAGCAAATTTGTATCGTTATTGCTCGGAGATGCGTCGCGAAGGGCTCGAGGCGCGACACTCTGAATGGGCACCAATTAAAAATGGCGACAACGCGATTCCTCACTCGTCTCTCTGTTTTTTTGGCAAATTGAAAACGAAGACGTTGGCTGGCGGGAGGGGAGGAAGTGAAATAAATGAGACAAGGCGGAAGGAGAAAAAAATGGTGTGAGAAGTCGTTGCGACCGGGGGAAACGGCCGTATCGGAAGAGACAGCTGCCCTAAGCTGCGCCGATCGACCTCGTCTCTCGTAAATCGACACTGGCGGGCTTGTTTGTAAACTATCGAGAAGGGCTGAGCGTGGTAGGGAAGCGGATAATCGGACACGCAGACGACGCGATTGTCCTGATTGATTGCTGCCTCATGGGCACCGTCTTCGTGTGCATTTCGGATGGCGACGGCCATGAGCAATAGACGCAGGTGTGAAAAATGAGCGCATGTTAGTTTCCAGGTGAGAAACTCAATTCGTACTCGACGGGAACTGCTCCGCCACCGAAAGCTTTTGTTCTCGAAATCAAAATTGGTGTCCCTGGGGGCGGAGGAAGCCGGTCCGCCATGAAATTTCGTTTTCGAGTAGTATTTTCCGGGCTCTTTATGATTAAAGAAGAGTTCGCCTAATATGAGTGACGTGGTCAGTAGGTTATTTTTCAAATAAATATATCCGAAGATTAATAGAATACAATCCGGATTATGGGGGACAAAACAAAATCAAATGAACATGAGTAGTATTATTATCGCCTTTCAGAGGAATAAAAACAAAATCGTGTCTCGTTCTCTAGATATTTTGTTTTCGTCAGTGTCCTATTTGTATTCCTATTTTCGGTCAAGATCAAAAAGGAGATAGAATACGTCCGGGAGGCTAGTAGGAACGACGGAAAGATGCATATCAGCCGGTCAGAACAACTTTAGCCTCTCGGCCAAATTTTGGTTCATTGAACATCTGAAGAGGGATTCATTCATATCGACTAATCTAAGAAAAAAGACTCTGGCTTCTCCCTCTCAAAGCGAGAAGCCTTACACCTTCTGTGTTCGTGCTGCTACTCACGGAAAGTTTCGGAGAAAAGGGTGGCAAACGAGTGCGAGGACCCGTTCAAATAGGCTCAATTTACGTAAACTCGGGGGGCTCTCACACGAATATGTATGCAAATTCGGTGGAGAAACACGCGACGAAGAGGACGGATTAGACGATATGCGGGGAAGAGAAGAAGAAGGAGTGAGATGGGAGCAACAGAATTATTCTTCTGCTCTGCCAGCCGGCCGGACGAACATACGTAATAATAAAATGGGCGGTTGAAGAAGATGACTCGGCGCGGTCGTTCCCAATTTTTATACTTTCGCTTTCAAACAACGACGCTTTCCGTTTATTTATGTTTCGTTGGAGGAGCCATCGAAACCTGGTGTCATGTTACCAATTCTTTTGGAAGCAAAGCGATCGTGACTGATGACGCATTCGTTACAGAAGAATGGTCCGATGACGCGTAGTGAGAAGAAAGTGGGAAAAGTAACCAGAGGGAAGTATTGGACGACGCGGGGCGCGGGGGCAAACAGATAATTGAATAAGAAAGCGAAGGAGACATTAGTTAGTGGCGGCGGGGTGGCAGTGGCTAAATAATGAGTGCCGCAGAATGGGTGTGTTTTCCTTTTTTTCCGTCTTGTTCTAGCTATTCATGGCCAGCCACAAGTTTCGTTTTTTCGTGGGATGGAAACAAGAAACAAGAGACAACACGGAAGAATTCGGAGATGAATAGGCGGCCCAAAACACGAAAGGGCACAAGTTCTTTGTGCTAATGGATCCATAGACTAGACTGATCCGCTCGCAACCCGCTTATAGAAGAAAAGTTAGAAAACCGAAAGGCGCTGCCGGGTAGACTTTACACAGTTGCGAGAGCAGCTGAACATTCATTGGAATTGCACTCAAAACTGGTTTTCCGTCTTAGCGATGGCAGCCGATCAACAATCATTGCTGTGTCATGAAAGAGGCCAATTCATGAATCGTTTATTCGGAAGGAAAGCGCTCGACGATTCAATTCTACACGTTTTCAAGGGCAAACATCTGGAGGACGGGCGCACAGAGCCGCGTTGCTCATTCCAGAGCTCTGCTCGCCGCTCGTACAGTAGGTCGAGTACATGAGTCCGTTATTCGCGTTGGCCGAACCGTCAACAGAGACCATAATACCCACGCATTCCATTGGAACTGTTCCGTTTCTAAAAGGCCGTCGTTGTTGTTTTGTTGCAGCCTCCTGAGAACTCACGTTGCGGGCTGCCCGTCGGCGAACAAACTTGGAGTCGCATCGAGAATCTTCTGATATTGAACACTGGACTCTTGCCACACATACGCCTGGAACGAGAGTTCTTGAGCAAACAAACAAACATCGCGGACAACACCTTGAACACGGAGCAATCCTCGTCGTCGGTGTACGCCAGACAAATGGTTCGTCTCTTCAAAGCAATCGTAACCACGATTTGTTCATTGGTGCTCGTCGTGTAGTTCACTGTTGACTGCGCCAAACCGACGACAGTGTTATACTCGGTCACATTGTCAATTCCAGAGAGGTACGCGTCGCTGCTCTGGGATTGGCAAAGAGCATCCGACTCGTCGTACGTCATATTGTAGCCGTTGACCACTTTGAGACACACTCTGCGAGTGCTCGAACGTTGCGAAAGAGTCCAGCCAGTGGCACAGATCATGCTCGCGTTTGCACAAGTTTCTGCAAACAAAGTAATTGAACAGAGCGCCTAACGTAACGTACTTGTTGTCGTTGGTGGCAGAGTGGTAGTGGTCAGTGTGGTTGTTGGAAGGGTTGATGTGGACGGAGTCGAAGTGCTTGTCAGTCGAGTAGTCGATGCAAAAGGAGTGGCGGTGGAGGTCAGGATAGTTGTGAGAAGAGTGGTTGAACTGGCAACAGTGCTCGATGGCTTGACTGTTGTGCTTGTCGCAGTTGTTGTGGATGGGGTCGAAGTGGACCCAGGTTTCGTGGACAACAGCGCTGTGGTGGTTCTGGAGCTCGTGGAAGGAGTGGCAGTGGACGTCACAACTGTGCTGGATGGTTTGATTGAGGTACTACTGAAAATGGTAGTGGACGTCAGCGATGTTGTTGAAGGTGCAGCCGTACTTGAGCTTGAAGGAGGCTTCGCCGTAGTAGTGGAAGGAACTGCAGTCGAAGTTGATACTACTGTACTAGACGGCTTCGAATTGGTCGAAGTGATCAGAGTGCTAGTTGGCTTTACTGTTGTCGACGTGGCAGTCGTTGCTGTGGTGGTGCTCGAGCACTGACCCTTTCCACACACTAACATCCTGGCCGGCGTTCCGTTACTGGAAGTGGCATCAGAACAGTTCATCGAGTAAACCAGATCTTGCGACATCCACGAGCTGTTATGGTACACAAGAATTCCAACGCAAGCCCGAACGCTCTCGGTGGACCTGAAATATTCAGTTTTTGAAATGTTTCTATCCGTTGTATCAAAACACTCACGTCTCGACGCCTCCTGGATTGAAATGTTGGTTGAATAAGGTGTTAGACGTTTGCCCCAGTCCGTCCATCCAAACAAAACCTTGTGGAAGAGCACACTGTGGATCCGTGGACCCGTTGTTCGCTGTGCAAGCAGATGTTCGTTGGGCGCCAATGATAATCATCGCCTTCTCGTACGGTCCAGAATCCATTCCATCGACAACATCGGACTGAGTGTACGCCTGTCCGATGATGTAGTTGTACTCGTCATTTGTGTCCGGTCCAGTAAGAACAGCGCTGTACTCATCGACACAGTAGTCGCTGGCCTCTGTATAGCTACCGCTATTATGATAGAACAGCTGAAAATTTGATTAGAAGATTTATTTAACCGCCCATTTCTTACATGAATACAGAAGATCTGTCCTCCTCTGACAGTCTTGAACCAACCTTCCTGACAGTCTCCAGAGCACGTTCCAGAACCTCCTGAGCCAGTCGTTGTGGAGACAGAAGTTGGTTTCATTGTAGTCGAAGAAACCAAAGTGCTCGATTGTGTGGAGGAAGCAGCGGTTGTTAACGAAATGCTCGTAGTGGATGAGGCCTTTAGAGTTGTGCTCGTTTGGATCGTTGAGGATACGGCTGTGCTTGATTGTGTCGATGCAATCGATGATCCGCCCTTCGTAGAAGTCGAGAGAGCAGTTGTCGAAGAGCCTTTCGCGGTAGTACTCGGTGCGCCTGTCGAACTGCTTGAAGGAGCTCCTGTTGAAGGATTGCCTGTACTAGAAGACGTTCCCAACGACGTGCTGCTTGGTTTCACTGTGGAGGTCACTGCACTTGTAGATGAAGGCAGTGTTGAAGTCAGCAAAGTGGTGGTACTGGAGGGTTTCGCTGTCGAAGTGATGGTGGTTGAAGTTGTTGTACTGGCACAAGATCCTTGTCCACAAACAACCATTCTTGACGGAGTTCCGGTACTTGACGTACCGTCATCACAGCTGAAACATTCACTTGCAACAAACACTAAAAAAGAAACAGAACAAACCTGACTGAATACACAAGATCCTGTGATTTCTGCGAGCTATCAGTGTAGACAAGAATACCGACACAAGCGCGAACTGTAGTGGTAGATCTGAACCAAACCATTTTGTATATCAAATATTGCTAGTTGTGCTGCAACTTACGTCTCCACACCTCTAGTTCCCATGTGCGAGTTGACAAGTGTGTTGGAAGTTCCTCCCAGTCCATCTTTCCATTCGAATCCCTGAACGGTGGGCTTTATTCATTTTGCTCGCTCATTCTACTCACTCTTGGCAACTGGCACTCAGGAACGGATCCACTATCCGTGAAGCACTCGGCAGTTCTCATCAGTCCAATCATCATCATTCCTTCCGTGTAAGGAGCCATTCCGGTCAGCACGTCACTGTAGTTGTACGCCTGCCGGATGATCTCATCGTACTCCGGATTGGTTTCCGGTCCGGTCAGGAATCCATTCTGTTCGTTCTCACAGTAGTCACTTGCATCTGTGTAATTGCTCGTGTCATGATAAAACAACTGAAATTAATAAATGGAAGTAATTTTAGTGAACTTGATTAAGACGCACCCTGATGCAGAGAGTCTGTCCTCCTCTAGCCGTCTTGAACCATCCTGGGTAACAGTCTCCTGAGCAAACTGCAGATATAGTGGTAGTTGTGGATGACCCTGAACCAACTGTCGTTGAACTTTGAGTGACGGTTGACGAAGATCCGATGGTTGTTGGTGCTCTTGTGGTCACCGTGGAGGAAATCGTCGTGGAAGCTCTCGTCGAAACAGTTGAAGATACTGATGTTGACTGGTAAGTGGAGGAGATGATTGTGGAACTTGCTGTACTAGACTTCACAGTAGTAGATGAAAGGCTCCCGTCGGAATCTGGGCAGATTCCCGGCTGACCGCATACAACCAACTTCTTCACAGTTCCGTCGGCCGTCGTGACCTCATCACAGCTAGAAGAAGGCATAACTTTTCAATTAGAAAAACAAGTGCGACTCACTTGAAAGAGTAGACCAAATTTTCGGAAACTCTCGAAGGATCTGTGTAGACTAAGATTCCAACACAAGCCTGTGGATCATCTTCGGATCTGTAACATGTCAGCTTTAGCTCTGGCATACTCGGATAGAAAAAAGTTTACGTTGTAGGACCACCTGAGTTGTAATAAAGGTTGAAGAGAGCATTAGAGGATCCAGTGACACCGTCAAGCCATTGATAACCCTAAATTTATAATAAAACTGTGCTTTTTATAGAGTCACTTACATTTGGAAGCTGGCATTGAGGATTCAGGCCCGGATCTGTCGTGCAATTCGGTGTTCGCTGTGCTCCGAGAACAAGGAAAACCTTTTCGTATTGGCCGCGTTCAAATCCTTCTATGACATCCTGCTGGGCAGTCATTTGACCTGAATGAGATGATGAATTGTTTAAATGAACAGCCAAACAAACTCATGACGTAGTTGTAATCGGTTTGACTGTCGGGTCCAGAAAGTACCGAATTCCAGCTGTCCACACAATAATCACTAGCTTCTTCGTAGTATTTCGTCCATTTGAAGAACAAGTGGAGGCACCAAACTTCTCCATTTCTCGTTGTTTGATACCATCCGTCTCTGCACACTTTCACTGGACAATCCGTCGTTGACGATAGCGCTGAAGTTGTTGTGGCGAGGGACGTCGAAGATGGAACACTTGTGGCCACTGTGGTGGAAGACACGGTCGTAGGCGTGGGCGGAGCACACTGCCCTCGTTTTCCGCACACCACCATCCTCGACTGGGTTCCGCTGCTACTTGTTCCATCGGAACAACTGACGGAATACACGAGATCGTTTGACTTGTACGATTCGTTTCGGTAGACCATGATTCCAGCACAGGAACGGACATTTGCAGCTGAAGTTTCAACACCGTTCGGGTTGAAGTACTGGTTGAAGAGTGTGTTCGAAGAGTCACCCAACCCGTCTTGCCAGATAAAACCCTGAAAACATATTTTGCAAATAGATTTTCTGATAAGCATACCCTCGGAAGCTGGCACTCAGCAATTGTTCCAGAGTCTGTTGTGCATTCAGATGTTCGTTTGGCTCCGATGATAATGAGTGCCTGATCATATGGGCCGCTTGCTAAACCGTCCACAACGTCAGATTGATCATAGGCCTGGTCGATAATGTAGTTGTACTCGTCCGTACTGTCTGGTCCAGTCAGGAACGCTTCGTGATCGTTGTAACAGTAATCAGACGCATCGTCATAACTTACAGTGTCGTGATAGAAAAGCTGAAAAGATCTAGATATAAAAGGTCTCGCATAATTAAAATACATGCAAACATAAAACTGCTTGTAGGTTTCCGCGAGAAGTCGTGAACCAACCCTCATCACAAACAGTGGAGACGCACGATTCAGACGTAGTACCGAGAGACGTTGCGACGGTCGATGTCGTTGGCGAAGCCGTGGAGGACACAGGAGTTGTCGATGAGGCCGTGGACGATCCTGATGTCGTTGGTAAAGCCGTGGAGGACACAGGAGTTGTCGATGAGGCTGTGGACGATCCTGATGTCGTTGGTGAAGCCGTGGAGGACACAGGAGTTGTCGATGAGGCTGTGGACGATCCTGATGTCGTTGGTAAAAGCCGTGGAGGACACAGGAGTTGTCGATGAGGCTGTGGACGATCCTGATGTCGTTGGTGAAGCTGTGGAGGACACAGGAGTTGTCGATGAGGCTGTGGACGATCCCGATGTCGTTGGTGAAGCCGTGGAGGACACAGGAGTTGTCGATGAGGCTGTGGACGATCCCGATGTCGTTGGCGAAGCCGTGGAGGACACAGGAGTTGTCGATGAGGCTGTGGACGATCCCGATGTCGTTGGTGAAGCCGTGGAGGACACAGGAGTTGTCGATGAGGCTGTGGACGATCCCGATGTCGTTGGTGAAGCCGTGGAGGACACAGGAGTTGTCGATGAGGCTGTGGATGATCCTGATGTCGTTGGTGAAGCCGTGGAGGACACAGGAGTTGTCGATGAGGCTGTGGACGATCCCGATGTCGTTGGTGAAGCCGTGGAGGACACAGGAGTTGTCGATGAGGCTGTGGACGATCCCGATGTCGTTGGTGAAGCCGTGGAGGACACAGGAGTTGTCGATGAGGCTGTGGACGATCCCGATGTCGTTGGTGAAGCCGTGGAGGACACAGGAGTTGTCGATGAGGCTGTGGACGATCCCGATGTCGTTGGTGAAGCTGTGGAGGACACAGGAGTTGTCGATGAGGCTGTGGACGATCCCGATGTCGTTGGTGAAGCCGTGGAGGACACAGGAGTTGTCGATGAGGCTGTGGACGATCCCGATGTCGTTGGTGAAGCCGTGGAGGACACAGGAGTTGTCGATGAGGCTGTGGACGATCCCGATGTCGTTGGTGAAGCCGTGGAGGACACAGGAGTTGTCGATGAGGCTGTGGATGATCCTGATGTCGTTGGTGAAGCCGTGGAGGACACAGGAGTTGTCGATGAGGCTGTGGACGATCCCGATGTCGTTGGTGAAGCCGTGGAGGACACAGGAGTTGTCGATGAGGCTGTGGACGATCCCGATGTCGTTGGTGAAGCCGTGGAGGACACAGGAGTTGTCGATGAGGCTGTGGATGATCCTGATGTCGTTGGTGAAGCCGTGGAGGACACAGGAGTTGTCGATGAGGCTGTGGACGATCCCGATGTCGTTGGTGAAGCCGTGGAGGACACAGGAGTTGTCGATGAGGCTGTGGACGATCCCGATGTCGTTGGTGAAGCCGTGGAGGACACAGGAGTTGTCGATGAGGCTGTGGACGATCCCGATGTCGTTGGTGAAGCCGTGGAGGACACAGGAGTTGTCGATGAGGCTGTGGACGATCCCGATGTCGTTGGTGAAGCCGTGGAGGACACAGGAGTTGTCGATGAGGCTGTGGACGATCCCGATGTCGTTGGTGAAGCTGTGGAGGACACAGGAGTTGTCGATGAGGCTGTGGACGATCCCGATGTCGTTGGTGAAGCTGTGGAGGACACAGGAGTTGTCGATGAGGCTGTGGACGATCCCGATGTCGTTGGTGAAGCCGTGGAGGACACAGGAGTTGTCGATGAGGCTGTGGACGATCCCGATGTCGTTGGTGAAGCCGTGGAGGACACAGGAGTTGTCGATGAGGCTGTGGACGATCCCTGATGTCGTTGGTGAAGCCGTGGAGGACACAGGAGTTGTCGATGAGGCTGTGGACGATCCCGATGTCGTTGGTGAAGCCGTGGAGGACACAGGAGTTGTCGATGAGGCTGTGGACGATCCCGATGTCGTTGGTGAAGCCGTGGAGGACACAGGAGTTGTCGATGAGGCTGTGGACGATCCCGATGTCGTTGGTGAAGCCGTGGAGGACACAGGAGTTGTCGATGAGGCTGTGGACGATCCCGATGTCGTTGGTGAAGCCGTGGAGGACACAGGAGTTGTCGATGAGGCTGTGGACGATCCCGATGTCGTTGGTGAA